AGGGTCCTAGCCACAGCACTAGCCACCGAACATCTTTTTAGCTTTGCCTGATTTCTTTATCAAAGAGACTAAACACAACTCACCGACTCTCTTCCAGCAGCCACTTGTTTGTAGCGAGACCTCAGGCCAGTCCATTACGGACTGCTGTGGGGTGACACAGCCCAAGGAAGAACATTTATGATAATTACTTCATGGAAATGCAATCAGACCGAGATGCAAAGGCAGAAGAACTACAGTGTCTACAGTGCAAAATGATCAATATGGTGATTATTACTTAAAAGAAATGATTAAGTAATGACCCTAACTTAATTTTATGCCATAATATCCCTTTAAGAGTGATCTGATTGAGGAGAGGACAGGGTTGCCCTGCACAATTGTCCTCCCTCCCGAGCCCCCTGCTGGCCTGAACTTACATTTCTCCAGTCCCTGAGACTCTGAATCACATCAAAGAAGGAAGAACTACATTTTCCACTTCGATAAATTTCATCCTAAAACACAACAGGAGATTTTTTTATGAGTCAACACTCCTTTCAAAAGGATGAGGGTTACCAATTTGTCCACAGGAGGCGCCAAAGTCAACACAGACAGAAGTTAAGGGACCTTTATAGGAGTTTTGTCTTCCAGTTCAACCTCCTCCAACACACCTGTCACAAATCCAGGTGCGCAGGTGTTCTCATCACTAGAGGCTCCAGGTGGGTTCACACATACTGACTCGATGCATGTCAGTTGAGAACATACCAATTATTAAAGCCATAAATACCAACCCTGGGGTAAAGTTTACTCCTGGATGCTCTCTCCTCATATTTACAGGAATCTGTTGCATAGCAGTGGGTCCACACAGCAGGCCTTTCTGCCTGTTTTCTCCACAGGGTATTCACATAAAGCATACTCAATATCTGAGGTTCATTTGGCGCCACATGCAAATGACGACTTATCTCCAAATGCTGCTGGGGCTAGATCAGGCGAGGCGAGGTTATAGCCTGTTGTGGTAATTAATTTTGGCAGCGGTGGGTTGTTTGCTCATAGAGGTCTGGATGTGCCATCCCTTGAGGCTCATGTGTTTCCAGATACTCCGAGACAGCGCCACAGTCTGCAGCCCAGGGCTACAGAGGCAACATGATGCCGCAGCTGACCATAAGAGGCAGAAAGACCACAGACAGGCTCATTCAGCAGCAGCAGCTTCAGAATGAGAACTTTGGTTATACCTCTGAATGGAGAAGCAGAAGAGGAAAGCTTTTTCAATGGGTGCCCCTTGACAAAGTGAAGAATGTCGAGATACAGCTTGACTTTCTGGTTTGCATGATAATATTAAAAAGAATTTCTGAAGAGCCAGAGTTCATTTTCTCTCTAAAGTTGTGAATTCATCAGCAGGAAGTAAGAGGTACGGGGATGAACTCCTGGATGTTCGCTCAAGGGCACGAGCCAGGATCCGGCGAGAGGAAAAGTATAATCTGCCAGCACTGACACTGAGCGCTGACCCACGACCAAGGGCTGATGGGATACAATTTCAATCGACAGGCTCAGCTATTGCTAGGTATGGACCTGAAGCGGTTCAGGTCATATTTCTCTGGCCTTCATTAATTGGTATTTTGACTACAGTCCTCTCTCTTGTGGTCGACCACCCGTCCACCCACATGAAGTCCTTGAAGTGTGACATTGCAATTACACTGGCTGTGACACATGGGAGAAAATCCCAGTCTGCTAATAGAGATCTGGCTGGCCTCTTCCCCCGTCTGCACTGAAAGGAAAAAGGAATTTTCAATAACATGGCCATTTATAGCTGCTAGCACATGGTGGAGTGAAGCAAAGAGCGCAAGGAGAACTACTTTTCACTATTGATGGGGGTATAAATGCTAATAGTGTGCTGATCAATATGGCATTACAATGGCCCCTGGTAAATAGAATTATGCTCTGGATGCACTGTATAAATGATCACATGATTGATGTGTAAAAGAAGCGCATTATGGCTGAACTGTACAACCAGCATAAAAGGAATAGGCAGTTAAATGTAAAGAAAATAATCAGACTGGGTCAATAATCCTGGAGTAACATCGTGTTTGTCAGCGGTATTGTCAGGCCGGTTTATTACCAATGGCATTAATCCATTAATTAGCCGAGTCTCATTTGTATCTGGCAGAGGCCTCTGTGATTGAAATAGAAATATACTCCCTTTGTGACGGGCATAACGAATGCAGAGCAGCTTAATGCATATGATGTTGCATTATTCAAACATGAAGTCTATATATAAGTAAATGCATAGGGATTACTTTAATAGACAGAATATAACACAGCCCTGATTAGAAGACAACACACTCTTTATTAAGATTAACCCCTTGGAAAAATACTTTCTGGGGACCAAATTTGGTTGTTATGATGAAAATAATTAGTTGTAAAACATGTTACATTTTAATTAAACTACAACGTAATCACATGTATGAATTAAGCATTTGCGGTAGTTGTTAAGCTATCCATCTCAGTGAAAGAACAACCATATGTAGCTTCTATATGGTAATCTTCATTCTTTAAATCTGATATACTTCAATTTAATGCGGATTCATTGGGACTGATATGGCATCCTGTATTGAAGTTCCCTTACTTACCTTGAAAATCTGGTTGGAGATCTACTTTCTCTTCCAAGTTTACAGCTCGATCAGACTGAAACTGGTCTACGTGTTCTGTGCGCGCTCAATTGTTAGCATGTTGAAGCGACAGTTGAATAGCATGAATGTGTGGTGAGGAAACCAGGTAGTAAGCTAAACCTTGACAATAAAACATAACACAGGACTTTTATGTGGGTGTCTGCCCAAGCATCTGATTTTTACCTTACTGATGCTGGTTTTGATGTATTTTGTCTGCCTGTATTGTGAACTCTGAATTTGTAACATGTTGTATTTAACCTTGAAATAATAGTTCTATTGACTGTTATTATCGTCATAGTTACAGAGATATTCCAGCGTAAAATTAATTTAGGGTCAAACACACCGTAACACCGAGTTAGACACCCCCCCCCTTGAGAGATGTTGCTGACCGCTTGCTTCTCTTGTTATACCAACTTTAGTAACGACCGCACGATAGCAATACACAGCGGTCTGAGGAGCCATAAACAAACCTCAACCAAAACACCACTCTACAGCCACAAATAATGCTCAGAACAGCACCTAACTTCATCTACAGTACATATAGGGTCCTAGCCACAGGACTAGCCACCAAACATCTTTTTAACTTTGCCTAATTTCTTTAACAAAGAGACTAAACACAACTCACCTACTCTCTTCCAGCAGCCGCTTGTTTGTAGCGAGACCTCAGGCCAGTCCATTATAGACTGCTGCGGGGAGATGCAAATTACTTTTTTGCCGGAATATCCCTTTAAGAGTCAAACTTTGCAATATCATGCACATTGCATCAGTCAGTTAAGTCAGACTGTGAGAGTAGATGAAATGTTTGTTTTTGTTTTATTCATTGATTCATTTTTAATTTGTGTAAAGACAGCCTGTATAGGGTGCATAGCAATAAACCGACTGTCCATGAGACGATATGCTACAAATTTATCCGTGTGTGTGTGTGTGTGAGTGTGTGTGTGGGAAGTCGACTTAAACATTTTGGCTTGGAGGCACAACTTGATTTGCATGACTAATAATATTTAATGACTGCACAGATTCTCTCTTATCCAAACTCATAATAATTGATTATTTCTAATTAAGGGGTCCTCAGCACTTCACATACAGTACATGTAGGGAGCCGTTAGTGCCGTATCTTTGCTGTCCTGAAAGAAAAACTCTTGTAAGTCTTATCTCAATATGTCTTCATCAGCAAACTAAGCCTCAGGCGTGATACCCACTGAGATAGCCAGCCTGCACTTTGACATGATGCATCTACAGCAGTTCAGTTTAAATATCTGGAAAACGCCTAAAGCTGGTTAATTTAACAGGTGTCAAGTTTTTATGGAGCGGCTCTCTGAGAGTCTTCTTAATTTATGGACAAAATCCAAAGTTTTTCCGTGCCCTTTAGAATGATATGAAGGTGATGATGATAACATTACAATTGAAGTTTGGTTATAATCGAAACAAAGGAAAGTGTAAGGGCAAAAATTTGAGTACTAAAGTCAGAAAGAATAAGAGACCTTTGCTGCAGTGATGGGAATAATGAGAATGTCGTTCAGGGTGATTACAAAAACAACTATTTTACATTTTCTCACATCTAAAACTCACAGGAACTTGATCTTCTTCTAAGAAAGGCTTTTTTGTGGTTGTCAATTTCAGATTATTCACCTATTATCTATCTGCCAGTCTATCAAATGTTCCTGGAAACCTCTTTAACTTAACTTTAGGATAGCCTCGCACACATCCTCTCACTGCTTCATATTATTTCAATAATAAGTATTCTTGGTCACTTATTCAATTTTTGTCCATTAGTATGACAGTTTGAAAAAGTATAACAGAACAGAATATAAGTCTGGACATGTCCCTACAAGACTCCGAATGTGGTTCGAGTCTCTATGAACTCATCTCTCCTTCCTCTATCTTTTCTTATTTTACTTTCTGAATGTGTAACTTTGAATTTCACTTTGTCTACAGTAAATTCTTGTTGGGATTTAGGGTTAAAACCTGTTCCTCTGGTTGTATGTGGCTGCATTATACAAGTGAATTGTGTAGTCTCTTTACACGTCGACACTACTTTGTATAATTCTCCACTTATCAAAACAAGTGTAACAATTATGAAGACCTATGGGACCCCAATATGTCACACTTTTACAATCCCTCAACACACTCATCCCACACAATTTTCCCTCCCTTTCTCTTCCTTTAAGTCATTCCCTCCTGCGTCTTGTAAGCTTTTTTTCTCTCCGAGGAGGGGTAAAAGAAGGGGGGACCCCATTTCTTTCCTCCTCCTTATCCCTAAATCCAGGCTGGTTTCCATGAGAAACTGGCAGGAATGTGTTTCATTAACATTCTTTGTGGAATGCATATGCACTTCTTGTTCATCAAATCTAAAGCAGCTCACCGCCTCCTCTAATCGAAAGCAGCCCATGACGCCTTTTAAGTGGGGCTCAAGTGTCTTCTGAGCAGCAGCATGTCCATATGAATGCCTCGAATGACCACATGTTGGAGGGTGTTGATCCACAACTAGTCCCTTGTGATCCTCCACGCTGAAAGAAAAGGATACAAATCATTTGGGCAAGATTATGAGACAGAAATTGCGTGTTCATGTGTCACATAAGAGCACTTTAGAAGTGATTGATTAATATATCTCAAAATCAAACATTAGCATTAAACTGTCATGTTTTTTTTCCCTTCTGGTTTCATATCTTGTTACAGTTACGATATTTTAACCCTGCTTATTACTGGAGCGAAACCAAAGGGGCCCTTTCCTGGTTTAAAACAGCGAGGAGCCTTGAGGTCATGAGGACCTTTACGCTGGATTGACCTCTGGGGTGCACACACACAAACACACAGAACCACAAACACACACATGGATACAGAAAGCAAAAAAAAAAGGGGGGTCTCATACAGCTGTCTGTCAACTCAACACTTCACGTGTTTTCACTGGTGACATGCATCCCGGTTACTTGGCTGACAGGAGAGAGATGAAGCCATTACAGCGGGAGGTTCTTACCCCCAAATCCAATTGACTCATGGGAAATCGCAGCAGAGTGATGGATGCAGTGATGTCTTGTTACAAGGATGTTGTTTTTTTTTAATCTGTGATGCTGTGATTTCCATTTGAAGAATTTCCCGCACTTTTTACACCACACCTGAAGCAAGTACTGACCAAAAATCTTGAAATATGTTGATCCAATGTCTAACTTTGGGTCATATTTTGCTTTTCATGTAAGATTCATCACATATTTGCACATATACTATCGGTAATTTTCAAGCCAAATCTAATATGGTGGCTAAAATTATTACAATAGCTAGCAGGGTATCATGTCATGATGAGAAACACTGGATGAACAACAAGGACTCCTGCACCCATCAGTGCAAGTAGGGATATCCAGATCCGATACTGATATCCGATCAGGATATTGGTCTGATATCAGCGAAAAAACAAAACAAAACAAGCATTCCATTCCAGACTCTGCGCCGGCACCTCTAGCTAGCAGCATCCGAACATCGGTATTGGCCATTACTGAAGGCTACAACATTGGTATCGTATCGGAAGTAAAAAAGTTGTATCAGGACTAGGGTTGGGCATCGTGTCTCGAGCATCGATGGGGACCGGGACTGACATTCCGATTCAAATTTAAAGTTTCGATTCCAAGTTTCGACGCCGGAGTCTGCCGACTGGAAGAAATAACCGCCGAACACCAACGAGGCAGACGCGGCTAAACACCGACGAAGAAGAAGCCGCCGAACACCAATGAGGACGAAGAGGACAGCAGGAAGAATGAACTCTTATCTCAGTGCAACATTAGCAACACAGTTTTTTTAATGCAAAGGAGGGTGAACGACCAACAGGATTAAACACCTCAGGATTCATGGAGGAGAAATACCTGAGTGTCCCGTCTTTGACACGCTTCGCCGGTCTTCCGCTAACCGACCAGAATCAGATAACTGAGGCAATAAATTACTTCTGCTAACGTTGAAGAGGCAAACAAATTGTACTGTGTACGGTGGGTCAACTTAAATATCCAACTAATGTTAGCCCTTGTACTTTTTCATAGAAAAACGACCTGACAACAAAAATTGATATTTATATACTGGTTGAAAAAAGCCCTGTGAGAAGTTCATAGTAAAGTTCTTAAAAAGTTAATATAATTTAAAAATTCATAGAGAAGTTCGGAAACTTTATCCAAAAAGAAGAATTCCGGTTAGCACCCTCATTTAAACCATGCTTTTTTTTTTTAACTATCCTGCCTTTTACAAGAATCGGAATAGAGAATCGTTAGGAACTGGAATTGAAACGAGGAATCGGAATGGGAACCGGAATCAAACGGACACCCGACTCTAATTGGGACACCCACAACTGCCGGCCACAGCATGTTCATTTTATACTGTTTATGGTCACTAATCAACTATGTTATCAAATCGGGGTCTTTTTATCGCTGCAGTTGCACAATCTAAATGTCTAAGCGTGTGTAGTCTTCTATTTTCTCTGTAGAGGGTGATAAAAAGTGGATGTCAACATCACAAAGCCCATCATGAGCTCGATTCATGGTTTGAAAATGTTTGAAATGAGATCTGAGATGTCTACCGCTGATGTCAACTTGTTACAAACCGAATTGTAAGGTCAAAATCTCAATTAGTGCTCACCAGGTTGATTTGTGAATTCTGACAAACGGCCTAATAAAGAAGTGGACACGTGTTGATGAACCACACACAGTCAGAGGTAATAAGAGGAGTCGGTCTTCTTTGAATTCAGGTGGAGTGAGTGTCTCAGTGTTTGCATCATCCACATCACATCCTCTACCCCTTTATGACGAAGTTTATGACTCAAACGTATGCATTAGCGTTGGGGGGGGGGGGAGATGCTCTGACTCAAACCGCCACTGACACGGTGACTAGGAGGCACTTAGCTGCAGGAAACACAGAGCAGATCAAAACAAGCCCCTGGTTGATCTGTGTGGTCTCTTTGTGAAGCGGGCGGACGTGGAGAGGCAGCGGGGAGCGCGGGGTGGGGGGAGGCCGGCGTGTTTCACCTCCTCAAAAATCAGACAGAAAGTCATTGATTTTTCCCATGACATACCCAACCCCCCCCCTTTAAACACACCCCCTCAGAGTCAGACGGCTGGCGTGGTGAACATGCACCAAACACGCTCCTCAAACCCACAGCCCTGCCCCCCACCTCGGCCCCGGCGACCACCCCCTCTCCCCCCTATCTTTCCCTCTCTCTCTTGCTCTCTCTCTTCCTCACTCCCCCTGTCTCATTTATGCCTTTGCGGAGCAGCTGCTGCCCAGAGAACGGAGGGAGCTGCATTCACATCTGAGCACATTAGTCACCAGATGTCACCTTTTGCTGCCAGCCCATCGAACATCCAGGCAGACAATGCCCCATGCATTCTGAACATCTGACTTACGACGTCTCCTGCAAAGGGGGCTGGGTGGCGCTCTGGACCCCGACAGCCACGGCTGGGTAGAACTCAAAGCCACGTCGACAGTGACACCTACAGCCAGTCCACACACATGAAGAGGAAGCTGCTCTTGTGGTATTAATATCAAAAGACCACCTTGAGATATTGATAGAGGGGTTTTGGCCACTGAATAGATGATACAAAAGATTTTCCGCCAAACAACTCCCTTTTTTATTTCAGACATGTGCCTGGAATTTTGAATATCTACCTGTTTTTGTGTACCCTAAATATGTCTAAGCTGCTCAGAGATCTGAGTCATGTGGCGTGATGCTTTCTGACAACCCTGATGTTGCTGGAGACACCTGCAACAGATCTGCCGCTGTCACCTTCAGGGTATCAAATCTGCGTTCAGACTGAGAGACAGCAGCTCGACAGAAGGAGAAGGCCAAGAAGAAGGTCTCTCTCAGAGAAGTAAACAGTAATATGTGCGCAGAGAATAGCAAAAATAAAAAAAGCCCAGAGGCATAAAATGTATGAATTGCAGAATTCCATTAACTGGCATGTACCTTTTTTAAGCCTTGCGCTTTGTGTGGAAGTTTTCGATTTTAAAATACGCATCTCCTTCAATGTGTTTCACCCACACTCTTAAATAATTCATGAAAAGCCTGAGAGCTGAAGTCACATTATACAACAAAGTGATGATCTATTTTCCCCAGTTTGTATTCAACTGTTTGAGAGATTGTTTTAATGCAGTGCTTCTGGGACTTTCCAAAGGGTCACATGATAAAACTGCGAGATAATATGGTCGGTAGTGTAACACTGTTGGACCCATGATAAATAATTCTTGTATGGCGTATACAAATAGAAGCAGAAACAAGAGATAGTGTTTTTTCTCTCTTTGTGCTCCATGTATTCTTTATCATGTGTATACAACCCTCCAAGCATAGACATTTCTTAGTTTTGAATGTATGATTTTAGCTTAGTCAAGAGCGTTCGCCTCGAGCAAAGATGAGCAGCTGCCCACAGAGGTCGAGAGCTCTTTCAAACTTCACCTGCAGTTTGTTTGTTTGTTTGTTTTTTCATCGTACGAGACCCAAACTGAGGAGAAATCCCATGAGGAAATTCTCCCTATAGCAACAAATAATGGTCATGGTTTATTTCGCCATCCACTAAATTTAATCCAAATCATTTGAAATGACCAAAAATCATAGACTGTATATGGACAACTTGGTTCCGCCTTCCACCAGTATACAGATTTGAAGCCGAAAAGCTCTCGGTAATTCTGCGTTCTTTCTCCATTTCCTGAAACCAACATTGCGCAGTAGAGTTGTACGCACTCCACCACTTGCGCAGTAGCATTGTACACATTCGGCAAGAGAGGCGCCGAGAGTTGCTTTGATGACGCTTGGCTCAAACAGCGTATCCCCCGGGTGAGTTACGCAATCTTCGTACGCCCATAGTCTGTATCAAGTGTCAATCATAGAAAACAAGAACCTCCTAATAACTTAAAAACGGAGCTGAACAGAAAGAAAGAGGACTTGAGCACAAACCTGTCTGACAATAACTACATGTCAACATTGCAAGCAGTGGGGAGAAAAAATTATATTCTGTGTAATAAGTTTCTAAAGCTTGTCCACAGCTCCACAAGGGAGGCGGGATTTATGACCTATACTGCAGCCTGTCACCAGAGGGTGCTGTTCTCGGAGTGGCTTCACCCAGCGAGAAGGCAGACGGCGTCCATTCTGTATGGGGTCTATGCCAAAAACTTTCCAAAGCTATACCAGAATAACTTTTTACAGATAAAGCTATCATGTTTACAAAGACTCATCATCCACATTATGTCCAGAGGAAAATTAATAATTTAAACTCTTAAATCAGAAAAAAAGTGGTTTGATTTGGTCCATTTAGAAAGAAATGTCCTCCTTACGGGGCTGGTTGATGTGATTTGATATTTAGATCAATAAGCAAAAAGCAAAACAGGCGCATACTCCAAAACAAGAATCCCCTTCAGGCACAAGAATATCACAAATGTACAGAAAGAGCCTAAAAACTTGAGCACACTCAGTATCATTTATTGTGTTTAATGATGGCAGAGAGACGTACAGCTTACAGCGGACCTTCTTCAAGTGTTGCATTCAGATCAATATCCATGACATTGTTTTGTGAGTGGGTTAAAACGATCGTTACAGTGCATGTCTGTGATGGTTTCCCTTGTTGCTTGTACAGATAGAAACATCGTTTGATTTGTCTATTACTAAAACAACTTTTTTTGCCGTAGAGTTTTTAAAAAAGTCAGGATTGTTCTTCACTGACGGCTAAAAAAATAATCAATAAGTTTGGTTTGTTTGAATCGGGTTTGTATGAGATTCTTGTCAGTAGTAAATGTATTCGCCACAGGGGGCCAGACCTGCCATGTAATTTATGAAATGTTAAGAAACTTCCACAAATCGCTTTTCTTTGTGTAGATGTACGCTCTGTTTGGAAGTTTGCCAGTCAATATATGGAAAGCGAAGTCGATTTTGCACTGTTCTTAGATGTGACACGGACATGCTCCTCCCCCTGTGATGACCTACAATATACAAGTCACAGATAAATTGTGAATTGAAATATTTTTGCAGCTCAGTTTGGCATAATTTTATGCACCAAACACTCAATATTAGCCAGCCAACACAGTTCTGGGTGAAGAGTTCATTATTTCCACTAGTATTCCCTTCAAAAGCTAAGACTGTATTCTACAAGGGTAAAAATATCATGTGGACGATGAGTTTTTTTGAAGACTCACTGTCATCTAGTTTAGTGTATCTTCCCTCTTTGACCCCTGCCTATTATCTACACCATTAAGTCTTCATGCTACTCATACATCCCCGGGTCACTGCCCTAAATCAGACAAAACAACTCTTTAACTGCTCTTTCACTCCCTTTGTTTATCCGTGTTACGCCTTATCAGCAGCAAGATGCTTCCTCCTCCATCCTCGCCGCCTCTCCTCTCCCTGCTCCCTTCTCTCTATATATTAAACGATGGGTGGCACTTTCCCCTCACAGCGCTATCCGCCACGTCAAGTCACCTCCAGACACATTAGCATATTTATCATCAGCTTCACAGACTTCAAAGTCACTGCTTGCTTTCTCGCCGAGATGGGGAAGCGCCACCAGGAAGCAGACGCAGATTGCAAAGCGCTAGGTGTTCCCCGGGGATCAAATATCCATTTAAGTAAGAGCAAGGGGGGGAGGTTATAAGCAGAATTCAATTCATTTATTTGCAGTGGTGATGATGTCTTTAGCAGTGACTTTAAATATTTGCTCAGTGCTAACTGCAGCATTCACCACAGTTTTGTGATGTTAACATGCCGCTAATGCTGAAGGGAGCTCGGAGGATTTCTTGGGTTTTTTCATGTGGGACACTGTCAGGAAGATTATTACCACACCACATGACACAAACAATGAAGCTAACACAATTTAAGCCCATTTGCATGAAATATATCGTAATGCAAATTAACACCTCGAGTGTGCGTTTCTTTGCTTCTGTTTCTGCACAAATCCTCTAATCTGTACATCCGTGTTGCCAGGAAACTGGATAAACAGTCCACTAAATCTTCTGTAAACCACATCAGTCTTACCTGATCTTTGTCCGCCCATGAAAGCGGCTCAGGTCAGGCTGCATTTGTCCACACTCAGTGCACACTTGACAGACAGCTTGTCCCAGCGTGCGGCCAGTAAAACAACCACTCAGGCTAAAGAGAGGTCAGTGAGCATTTTCCACTATATTACTGTACAGCGTTACAGTACACAGGAAGCTAGCTGAGGGGCTTGTGGGTATTGACAAGGGTAAGGGATGCTGGCCTCCTTAGACAACAATACAGGGTTCACACTATTTGATATTGCCATGGTAATGTAAAACCCACTGTGATAATTTCAATCTGGTTAAACCGTTTCACAGAGAGAGCCAAAATGAGACAGAATCCTTTCAGGTTTCCACACTGCACTTGTAAACAATCACCTAAAATGTGAGAAATCGACTCCTGTAACAGGCTGAGTTTCATTGTAAGGATGCAACTGAGAGCGTAGTGACCTGTCTGTTCAGTGACTCTGTCCAGGGGTGTGTCTCAGACCTGGAGACATAAGGGGCTGAGCCTGGACCCCCTAACCCCACCCCACAAAGAGAAGTCAAAGGAAATAAAAACAGCCAAAGAAAGAAAGTTTGACTTGAAGAAAGCGTTATTCCTCTACGTTACCTTAAAAAAATAATCAGACAGCTGGGCGAGTCTGAACTGAATCACCCAATTAATGTCAGTAAAACCGATATTATTTGAGTTCAAGTATCAAGAGAGTGAAACACTAGATTTAAACATAAGCAATCATGATACCAATGTCTGACTGATTAATTCACTAAATTTAGAAGTATGATGTGTTATCTACTTGGCACTGACCAAAACTAGACTAAAAATAAGGGCTTAGCCGACTTGACAGACATCCTGTACCTGCTAGCCAAGAGTCAAGATCTCAGCTCCATCTCTTTGCCCGTAGTAAGGTCGTCCGAAAGTTTGGTTAAATCTGCATTTTTGATATAGCTATAGGCTTCAAAGCGACACTTCGGAAACCCCTGAGTAACATAATTGAGATTATGTCCATGTTGTAAACTATTCTTTTTATTTGAGTAGTTTCGATAAGATGTGGTTGAGAAGTATCTTTGAGACAAAGTGTGACCTTTTTCAGCTTCAGCAATAAAGTTTTGAGCTTTCTAGCAAGAAAGACAAGAAGCTAGCTCATTCAGTGTTTCCCTCCCCAATATCTGATGTGAAATTCAAAGCTCAGGTATGATAAAAGGCACTTTTGTTGATATTTCTCAACCTACATTAATACGCCAGATAGCTCTTTAAGTGTCCTTGACCTTCACTAGAATATATAAGGGCTGAACGCTAAATCGATTAATTTGATAAATTGTATTTGTGGCTTTGTAAGATTTACAAAAATGAAAATTAAGTTAGTCCTTTTAACTTCCTCTACTGCTCCCTGGGGCTCCTGTTGTTAACACTCAATACCACCTCCCTCACTCTCTTCAGCAACTGTAGCCACAGTGTTTAGAGTCATGTCTTCATCATTTGAAGTTTTATATTTAGGAAAAAAGTAAAATCGATCAAGTCAAGTTTTTTAAAATAAATCAGATTTAAATTTTAGTGCGTGTCGCCCAGCCCTACATTACACCATGATTTACTGGATGGCACAGCTCAGAATTATACAGTGATGGTTTTCTGACATGGGTTTGCTTCTGTGTGGTGAGATGGTCTAAATGACATCATTCTGATGCTATTTCTGCTGTTTTACCACGTGGCATTTGGCTGATAAAAGTCTTTTTGTTTTAATCTCCTTTAATGTGCTCTGACACTTCCTGTGAAACGCCACTGTGTAAAACGTCTCATTTTTTCACACTCACACTCTCTCGCTTGATTTTTAAACATACATGCTCTGTTAATAATGTGATTTGAATCATTAATATGCTACATTGTAGGCACCCATTATAATTGGAAAATTAGTTACAGCACAATGTCTAACTGCTTCTTACAACACTAATGCTGTCCCTCTCTCTGTGTCATCTAAACCCTATGCTAATGAAGCCTGGGCCCACAACATGCAGGAGGTTGAATATCAATTTAATCAGGCCCTCCCTGCAGGGGCTTTCAGAGGGAAATGACAGCCAAAGTGCATTAGTAATTCTACTGCTGTCACTTCTCATAGCTGCTTACCTTGCAAACAAACTGCTCTAATGGCACCTGCCTGCTGGGCAATTTAGGCACTGTAGAGGCAACAGAACATGAAATGGACTAGAGACCACTGACCTAAATAGGAAAGAGCTGCCTCTCAACAAGGAGTGGCTTTCTTATTGTTGGAGTGGAAAACATTAGCTATGTGTCTGAACAAATAAAGCATTCGAGTGTCCTTCAACACTGTGTTTCTCTAAGAGAGATATGGAAAGGGAAACAAACACCAATCAATCACGCCTCTCGCTGAAAAGAAAGCCTCAAGTTTTGTTTTATTTAAATTTTTTACTCATTGATAGTTTCTTATCCTGAAATCCATAAGTTTCCGATTATTATCTGCAGATAACAGGTACAAATAAATAGTTTAATACGCAAATGAATAGAAAAAAAGGGAAGAGTTCATTACCTCCACTCATACAATCGAATTGCTTTGACATAATCCCCTCTTATTCCTCAAGGGGATGGGGGAGGGAGAGAAGATGATGGGATTGGTGGTAGTGCGTGTGTGCATATATATATAAGCGTGCGTGCGTGTGCAAGTGTGTACATGCTGGGGGTGGTGTGGCTCATTTCGGTGTCAGCCTCTGTTCATCACTGGAGAAGAAAATATGTCCTTTCTCACTGCACACGGTGTAGCGGCGCATGTTTTCATTCACTCTCCTGTCATCATTGCGCACTGATACTCATGAGTGTGTCATCTTTCAGACCAGATTTGAGTGAGATGACTGGTGAACTAGCGCCACCTGTTGTTGATACTCGCACACTGACTAACTGACTGACCCACAGCAAGTGTTACATTTTGTGCGCTTTGATTCCAAAATGAATCATTCATGTCGTTTATTTCTGCTTTTTTTTGTCTCCCTCATCTCTTCTGGACTGCAGTGCCAAGCGACTACATGCTCAATATGCTGCAGCCAGATGCCTCTTAGCAGCCAGGCCCCTTCACGTCAATATGTCAGGTCAATAGTGTGGGATGGTATTGAATGTGTCAGAGAAAAAGAACTTCACTCTGGGGAGGTTGTTCGGTGGCGGTGGGGAGGACAGCGCCCAGGTTTCCTCTAGTCAAGTAGATCCATTTCACGGGAGAAAAAAAACATTAAGCCTGAGTCGAGCAAGGCCGGAGAGAGGAAAGTGATGAGTCAAGTGGTGGCATGAGGGATCTATAGAGGGAAATATGACTTGTACGTGTGCTTTAGTGAGCGTACTGTAAAGCCTTCGCCTCTTGGGCAGAAATCTTAGCATGATAAGAAAGTTGAGACAAGCCTCCGCAAAAGCCTTACTTTAAAAAACATCACTATTAAAGCTCCTATGAGGCGTTTTGGACATTTGTAAAATGCACTGAAATTCAAACTGATGTTTTTTCATGATATTCAAAAGCAAATAAGGCTATCAGTGACAAGATTGGTGCTTTTTATACTTTAATTTTTAATGCCTTAAACTGGCATGAGAGGGTCTAGACCAGTGTTTTGTCCACAGGGGGCACCAAAGTTGACACAAACTGAAAGATCCTGATGGGAGCTTTAAAAAATAATATTATCTTACCATGTTATCATGGACAATTCTCTGGCTCCAAATAAATCAACCATGGACATGACAATCGGGATAACACTGCCCATTGTCCAACAGAACCTTATTGCCTATATTTATTTTTGATTACCTGGCTGTTTAAAAATACTTGATTCTGATAGGTCAGAACATCATAGCAGGGGTCATAAATTCTGAATAGCAAGAGAAATGCCAGAGACAACCAGATTACAAGTCATATCAGATCGACCCATGGGAAGGAGTTTACGGCGCATTTCATCTCTCACCATTGTTACAATGCCAGCTGCCTTTAGGGAACTACATGAGTTGTTGCAAATCTTTTTGTTAGCGTATCAAATTGGCAGGATAGACAACCTGAATGATATTTTTGATATCCCCCTCATTTATTTCAACAAAATAAAGTTTAAGATGGGCATCCAGAAGAAGGAGATATGGAGAGGAACGCACAAGATGCTCAAGGTGACATCAACCAAATTGAAGAAAACGGTCACAAAGCAACTGAGAACATGTGAATGAAAATCATCTATAAATGAAAAATGTCACCTTCAAATCAATATATAATGTCAACTTGTTGGTATTTTAAGTTAGTAGCCAGGTGATAAGTAGGATAATGTACAATCAGTAGGTGGTTATCCAGAATGTAATCACAGTAGACTGAGATGAGATGCCGTTGTTGAGTGTAGAGCATTGTGCACCACAAGATTCAAAGACCTTTCATCTCGCTGAAGATATTTGCCCTCCTCTCTTGTAGACACAATGTTAAGTATTGTTGTCTGATTTTTAACTTTGCAAAGGCACGACCAAGAGACCTCTTACAGGCCTTACGTCAACCCATAATGAGGAGCAGCCCGGCCTGATTAGTACTGTCTTGTGCACATATTAAACACTGATTGGATGACACACAGCAAGACTAAACATTTCCCATCCAGTCATGGTGACTGCTCACTAAAGCATGGCAGAGACCGTGAGAGCAAAATAGCTTTTCTTTAAGCACAATGGCATGAATATTTAAGGTGCTACATGGAGTCACTGAGACCACCTGATGGTCTGTTTAAACAAGGCCAGATGCTTTTTCTGTGGACTCCTTCTCGCTTTTAAGTACTGCAAAGCCCCAGTGAGAGTCCTGTTGAAAACAATTGATTCATAGTCATCTATCTCATAGCCGAGGGCTTGGTAATCACAGCCAGAGAATCGAATCTACCACACTCCTGTTCCACCAGGGAGAGGACTCTGTAATGAAATAACCCTCCTTGCTGCTTAATTGTCTTTTTGGCCAATGGCATACACATTCAAGAGCTGGTTGTTGTTGTTTCGCTGGTGGAAACGATTTTATAAGGTTTTTTATTATGAGGCTTCTAGTTAATTAAGCTCAAACTGTGCAGGTGTTACAATATCACAATAACAAGACATTACGTTAGAGTAGAAATGTGAAGCCAAACAATTGGGACACAGCTCTAAACAACCTAGATGTACCAGGATGCTAAGCAGCCTGCAATATTTTCACCTGACATTCATCCCAGTGTTTGCTTTGTTAACTCTAAAGTCACGTTTGACCAAGAACAATAGATCTAAGAGTCTGGATTCTGGTTATTGGTTTATTGTATCCATGTGTGGTGTGCTGTGTTGACCGCCACACAAATACATCACCATGTGGGGGGTCTCTCAGGTTTTCAACCCCTTGTGGTCTTAAAATGGACCAGGCATTAGAAATTTTGGTGATACATGTGTGAGCAATTTACACAAATCTATGCAAACTAAGTCAACCCATGACAGAGACCTGGTGTTGAAGCCCTTACACTGAACTCATTAAGGCCTTCCCAGCATTTGAACAGGCTTCATTAGAGGTGCAGTTCACTTAATTAATACAATTCCACACTTTTCTCTCACATGTGATTACAACGGAGTCTTAGGGCCACATTAAGAAAAAGAAAAGAGTAAGACTTAGAGATGTAAGTTGTTAACTTATAAGAATAAAGGCATTACTAACAAGAATAAAGTTGAAATAAAGTAATTACAAGAAAAAAGTCGTAATAAAGAAATGACTAAAGAGAAAAAAGTCGTAATAAAGAAATGACTAAAGAGAAAAAAGTCGTAATAAAGTCATTACATACGAGAATAAAGTCGTAGTAAAATCATTACAAGGATAAAGTCATACTAAAATCAATACTTACGAGAATAAAATTGTAATAAAATCGTTACGAGAATAAAGTCGTATAAAAATCATTTCTTACAGGAATCAAGTCATAATAAAATCGTTACTTACAAGAATAAAGTCGTCATTAAATCATTATTTACGAGAATAAAGTTGTAATGAGATCATTACTTACGAGAACAAAGTCCTAATAAAGTAATTATGTTTGAGAATAAAGTTGTAGTAAAATCGTTACGAGAATAAAGTCATAATAAAATTATTTCTTACAAGAAAAAAGTTGTAATAAAATCGTTACTCATGAGAATAAATTTGTAATATAAACATTACTAGAATAAGTCAGAGTAAAATCATTTCTTAAGTTATTACTTAATTACAACTTTATTCTCGCTACTAATGACTTTATTCTCGTTAGTTAACGACTTTCATCTCAAAGTCTAAATTTCTTTTCTTAATTGGGCCCTCATACTCTGTTGTGTGTGATAACTTGATATTTATACAAGTAAAACCTTATGTACCATATAGTTTTACATAACGAGATTTTGAGATCCCTGCCCCAATATCTAATGCCACAGGCTCTACACGACAAAGCTGAAAGATTTTTGAGTCAAAAATAGAGAGAGACGCATCGTAGGATTGAAAACATACCATCAACTATAAAAAGAACTTTGACTGACAAATCTCTGAGAACAGCTGAAAGGCAAAGTCTATTTTTGATTTAGGTGAAGTGACCCTTTGTAAAAGAAAAATAAGATTCTAGGAGGTGTGCATTATTACACGCAGATTCACACACACACACACACTTTTCCTATAACTCTGATCTCTCAGATTGTGCAGTATGCAAATGTTGTGCCATCAACTCGGCCTAGCGGAGAATGACAGGAACATTTGATGCAGCGCTGCTTTTTAGTGGAGTCCCTGCAGAAAGCTATTTTCACAGGATGTTATGTATGCATTTTTCAGACAGATTGCTGCAGGAGACAGGAGCTCAGGAGGGGAGCAAACATGACTGGAATGAAACACAAGACGCTCACAGTCGGCTGAATGAAGCCAACTACAATGCCAGCGGTACAGAAAGCCTCACTTTTAACATAAAAGAGTTTAAAATGCTTTAAAAGCTTTCCTTTCATAATGAGACAGTAAACTGAATCGTTTAATTCTCATCAGCGTGACTCATTTTGGAGTTCAACTCTTCTTGTTTACACAAATGAATGTGCAATACCGCTTCATTCATTGCATGTTATACTAAACCAATTATACAATGAGCTGTGAATCACTATGCAGCTTTGACTCCCTAATCTTCTGCTGTAGTTTATTTGCATAATATAAACTTGAAACTAATACAGTGAGTGAGGATGATTCTGCCCTGCATGGAATTCTACAATAAAACACCTTTATAAAACATTAGTGATATTCACATTGCCCCGTTTTCCCTGCACAGGAAAGAGAAATGGCTTCCAGCTGTGATGATCACACATCAGAGTCGGAGCTGAAATAGAAATACTAAATGAGTACATGAATTAAGCACATACCCTTTAATTATACTGTGCAGTGTTCTCTTCATTAGCTCCCTGCTTCTTTATGAAATCCGTTTTTTTTTTTTTTTTGGTTTAAAACAACCAGTTCAGAGATGTGATCAATCGATTTCATTCAGCTCAAACAAAACGCTTATTCATCTTTTAAAACTGAGGTAAGAAATGATACAGTTAACCTCCAAATTATGTATTTTGACATCCTTTAACATAAAATATGACTTTAGAGGTAAGTTTTTCCAGAGAAAAGTCAGATTATTTCAAAGTGTAAAGAAGCTGACTATAGGTAATTTATACAAAAGTGTCTTAACCATCACTTTAACTCTGCAGTTGAAGTTTAGTTTAAAGCAACATTAGCTGAACTGATAAAACTGGAATTAAAAGGCTACACTTAACATATGGGCTGGACTCCTTTTAAATGAGGCTGTCTCATTTTTCTACCATCAAACTCAAAAACAATCAGAATATTTGGGTTATATTTTATCATCATACAAAAAAGATTCAAATAAAAAGCTTTACTTTGTGATTTTTGCTGTATTGTTTTGGATTGTTTGCAATTAAATTTGAGATTACTGCTCCAAACTTTGAAATCCAAAAACACAGACTATTAGTCTTGCATCCACCAAAGCCGGTTCCTGTGTACTTTATTGATACTACTTGGACTACAAACTTACTATAAACAAAAACAAACCCTTCCCATTAAAGGAGTGGGTCTGGCTTTGTTTGTTGACCAGGGATGGTGTGGCTCTTCATATGTAACCCCGAATTTTCATCCCATCCAGAATGGCTCCGATCCGAAACAGTGAATTTTGAAAAGAAGCTGGATGTTTTATTTTGTGTCTGTGCCCGACTTCCTTGCCAGCACAGACTAATCTGTGTGGACTTTATGCGGCATAATGTGGCGTCCAGAAAAAAATACAACTCTTGCAATCAGCTGAGGCGTCCGCTGATCCGTAGTGGATTGGAAAGAAGCCGATGGAAACGGACACCTTAACTTGAACGGTAATGATCAGCTGCGATTGGCGGATACGGCCTTTTCGTAGCCGTTTCGGATGCGGTGGAAATTGGAGGTAACTGTCAAGGAAAAGTTGTGTTGTCAAGATATTGAACTGTTGGCAGTTGCTCCTCAACTGTATTATGTTCCAAGGGAGTTCAGTCATATCGTAACAATGCTTGTTTACATCCCACCCAAGGCAACAGCTGAAGTTCCGTGTGATGTTCTCCATCATACTGTTGCTAGGATACAGACTCAACATCCTATGGCGCTAACCCACAAACTTCACTCACTTACTCCATTCTAAAAACCATGGATCATCCACTTCATTACACCTTGATGGACCAAACAACAACGATGGTGGATGGCTCCTCTCTCTTGTGCAGGATGTAGCGAAGAGATGTAGACATCTGGGTAAAGAGTTTACTTTTTTCTATTTTTAAAGAATATTTCTTGACTTAAATGTCTTTCTCTGATACAGACACTCCTACCATGATTATATTCCCTCCTTCACGTGGCGCCAACATACCAAGAACAAGAAAGCATGCTACAACAGCTGCACTCTGTCATGTCGCACAGATCACATACATCGACATACTTGTATAAATCCTTCTGACACTATGTTGTCGTTTATCTGTGACAGATTAAAGGAGCACAGCCAGTAAGTGCTTCAAGAAATGTGTTTCCTGGCTTTCTGTGGTCTTTCCCTAAGGAGTCTCAAACCTTACCCTGCCATCTGCTGGCTCCATCCAGGTGAACAAAAACTCGTACTGGCAGATGACCCAAAGCACCTTGTGTACCCAGTACGAAGAAAATATGTCAGACATCCTCATCCCTGGTGCTCATTTCTAGCGTAGTTTGATTTAAAGCAGGATGACACTTGTATGAGCAATAAGAAGGGCTCTTAAATAATCTTGGCAAAAAGGGTGGTTCATTTATGGAGGAAAGATAGAGAGAAGGAGGGAGCGTGTGGGGAGGGTCGTTGGAGGGGGTTTCAATGCTTCTGAGAGGTGGCTCATTTTCCAGCACCATCTGTTCCTGCTTCTGCGAGCTGGAAGCCTCCTTTCGTGTCAAACACCTCCCACACGCTCCGATCAGCCAGACACCAACAGCAAGGACTCCATCACCTGTTTCAAACAACTGCACAACGTGACCCTCTGCATCCGTTAACTACTAATCACATCGTGTTTGATGATGTTGTTAACCTGCTGCTTGAGAGGTTCCTTCCCTCTGGCTCTTTAGAAAAAGTTCCAAACAGCCCTGAGCGGCTGCTAATCTATACTTTGGCGGCGGAGGGTGACAATGAGAAAAGGTTGATGAAGGGAAGAGGGGAGGAGAAGGAGGAACAGGCCGGACCTGGAGGAGAGAGAGATAGAAGGAAGACAGAGGTGCGTGAACAAGGCCATGCTCTTCCATTTCAATCAGCTGCCGCCGTCTCACATGGCAGCAGAGCATCCGGAGGGGAGGCGCCGTCATGAATCCTAATTGCTCCCTTTTCACCACATTGCAGGGTGTTTCTATGCAAATCTGTCCAGAGAGGTATCTAGTTTATGCAAGGCCGACTGTATGAAGTGAAATGTGAGCAGAAATCTTGCTCAGACAAAAGCCTTGGTGGGGAGATGCTGGGATTATAATTCATTTGGATAAATTATTCATTTTGCACATGGCTCTCCTGAGTGCAGGACAGAGCGCAGTTTCACACACGCTGCTAATGTTTTGACATGTATGTATTCCACTACATGGGCGAGCTCTGGCCCCAAGTTAAGATATATTGCTTTAATAAGAATGACGAAGATGCAAAATAATGAGATGTCTGAGACGAGAGTGCTGGGGAGTCCTCTGAGGCAACAGACAGAAACGAGAACATGATTCCCTGCTTGTGGACTCGCTGCAAATTCTGTGTGATTTTTTGGAAAACCAAGCTCTTCATATTTGTAGCTCCTAGATATAAACAGCGTGCTTTCTAGACACACGGTTTAGATTTATACAACTATGACTGTAGACTCATATTTTGATTTTGGTCATTAGGAGCAATGGGAGCCAGTGTGCTGACATGATGAAAATATTCTGTGTTTAATATTCATCGGTGTGTTTATTTCCACTTTGTTCCTGGCTGTTTCAGCACCAGGCATGCACTCAGGGATCAATGAAAGCTATGATAATTTAACACACGAGTGCGGAAGTGCAGTTTAATTTCACCAACAGGAGTCAGGGATGACTATTTGTTCCCATAAGGATTACATAAGTTGGACAAATAAGTTTATTTTGCTATATTTCCAGAATGGGTTGAGGGCCTTGGCTCAGTCTTAAACGGTAATGATAATGTTTTTCTTGGGCTTGTATGTCTTTATTCAAAGGATACAATAGTGGATAGAGCAGCAAACTGGGAGTGAGAGTGGATGAGGGCCTGCCTACATCGAGAACCACAATGTCTGTACTTGGGGTGCATCAAGGATCAAGGACACTAATGTTGAACCCAAAAGCGAACAGAAAGGGCTTCAATGTCAACTGACAATGGCTCCATAGCGCCCTCTTCATAATTTCAAAATGTAAGTCTCGCTCCTGAGTGTGACTCAAACCTACAGAATCAATTACAGTTATGTTGGACCCCAAGCAGAACAAAAAGGGTTCCAATGTCAAAATGGAGATCCAACTAAAAATGGCTCCATAGCGCCCCCTACAAAATTTCAAAGTGCACTGGGGAGGTGTTTTACAGAGGTAGTGGCGCGACACTGCTAGGGCCTGTTGGTCTGCTCTGAAGCGACACTTGTTTATCCAGCCTTTTGGTATCTAGTTATGTTTATTGTAGTGTGTTGTTAAGCGCTTTGGGTATCTTGAAAGGCGCTATACAAATGCAAGATATTATTATTATTATTGTTGGTGCCCGTGGGGCGCTAGTTGACAGTTGCACTCGAACCACTTGATTCTTCACTGACTGTGTTCTGGGTAGTTCAAAACCCACATCTACTACATTATTTTGAGTAGTGCAAAGTAGGCATAAATAATCAAACCTCATCACTCTAACTAGCTGGCGCCAAGGTTATTAATCGGTTATAATAAATATTTTCATTGTGACAGTACCAGTAATATGTTTTGTCAAAACTTCAAAACAGCAGTCCATAAACTGTAGTTTAAGTTAATGGTTACTGCTATAAAGCTGCTATAAGGCTTTACTACCCGGATTCAAACAGGCACAGATAATGTCTTGCGGTGCAACACAATCCGCCAGTATTTTAATCCTTGTAATGAAGGTGTAAGCTTCAACCAGTGCTACCAGTCCAGGCATGTAGACATTATCTTGCAAAGATGGCGGCGCTGGCTCTGTCTGCTAGTATGAGCCACGCTTTGCAAACCAATTTGACATTGTTTACCCTTTATCTGTGTGGCTCTGAATCCCAAATAAGACCAAAAGCTGGGGTGCTTTTGAGTTAAAGTAATCGTTGTTGGTGCTGATTATTCATTTCATGATAATGAGGAAATTAATTCACAAAGTAAATAGATTCCCTTCAAAATAAACAAGTCTATTAAAGATTGAGGACTTTTTCCATTATTAATAACTCTTGAGTTCTAGTGCATCATGCTAAATAATAATAAAATCTTTGTGATTTAAGCTGTTGGTTCAAGTGTTTATATGGCAGGTGATCTAATCAGGTCGTTTTTTTTTCTTTTGTGCATCTAAAAATCTAATCACAACAGCGACGTGACGCATTAAAAAGTTGTCAGTCTGCCTCACATCTCTCTCTCCTCTTCTGGTCCAAGCACATCAGACTTTTTAGAGTTTTAATTCACTCCCCGCTCTGGAAAATCTCCGCTTCACACAGTTTGTCACTGAATTTTTATGAGTTTGCGTTGCATACCTTTCTACTGTCTTAGCAGTGAATTATGTTGAATTCTTTCGAGTGTTTCTCCTTAAAACAAACTCTGCTGTCATTCACTTTGAGATTCACAAAGAAGAACTGTTTATCTCTGAGTTTGTGAGTCAAGATGTTGGGTAGAAATGCTGTTAACACGGGACGGTTTCTTATTGGGATCCATTTATAAAAAGGTTTAACACCACCTTGAAACCAAATTCAATTTTATTCATTATGGGCCTGTCAAAGTGAGGTGTTTATAGAGCGCTTTCAGTCCTGCTATAAACAGGATATTATGCTTTATAGTATTCCAGCTAATTGAAATAATCCAAAATCTGTGCCCTCTCAAACAAGCATTTCTAAGAACTCTAAAAGTAACTGCTTTGTGACACTCACAGTACACAACGTATACTAGATCGATCAATACATGTTGTGAGGAGCATACACTGAAACTCATCTCCATCCCAGCCGTCAGAAAACACATCCTCACATGAATGCTCTCTGACACGGAGCTCTGATTACAAACCCACCCGTCACAAATGACCATGATCTATACCGCGCTCCCAATGGCTCTCCTGGGAAGCTCCCCCTCTTATTTCATTTTTCATCTCATCCTCTTCCGCTTTATTCTTCAGTTATTCAAACTCACTAAATCCAAATATGAGGAGACACGGAGCCCTGCTGTTTTGACAAGTTAAATGACTACAGGCGATGATATGCTTCCCAGCCAGTCTGTAAGCAGCACACGTCGCCAGCCACCGCCTCGCTGTGCTCAACCAAAACATGTGTGTGTGCTCCTCATTCCTGCAGCCACCAGACCTTCTCTCTGCAGCATCCTTTTTTGAGGTAAAATTGAAATGGATTGTGTCGCTCAATATTTTATTGACATCAACTTCACAGAATGTTGCTACAGTGACACAGGGGATAATTATTTCACCACAGATTTCTTCCTCCCTGCATTTTCTCTCCCTCTCTCTCTCTCTCTCTCTCTCTCTCACTCTCTCTTTCAGCCTTCCTCCAAGCCCTTCCATTCCTGTAGAGAATTAGTTCTGCATAAATTACCCAGTGGAATATTGAATCAGTCTCCAGCCACCAAAGGCGAGTCTGTGTGGCTGATTACTGAGCGGTGTGCACAAGATGCGTGCAGACAAACACACGCGGAGGACGAGGGAGAGGGGCCTCTAAGCGAGGAGCTGACACCATTGCAGAAAACATGGAAAGAGGAGGACACCATTGCAGAAAACATGGAAAGAGGAGGAGGGAGGAAGAAAAAAAGAAGACAGGGGGGAGGGGGGAGATCAGCCAATCTGGATATGAGGAGTGAAGGCTGTATTAGCCACCCTAGCTCCACACTATCTTCTCATTACTTAGTCATTAGCAGGGGCATGGTTTTAAAAGAAGGAGGGATCAATCAATTGTCATGGGTCAATGTTTTGCAGCCCCATTATGAACCTTGGGTGGCTCTGTAAATTAAGCACAGTAATTACTCATGTTAATTACACAAAGATGGTGGTCACATTGATCTGCAGATACATTTCGCAAAGTGTAAACGGTACGAGTAAACAGAGGTTTGAGGTGGAGTACGTAAAGGGGTAATGCACTGATCATTTGAGGGAAAAAGAGACGAGTAATTCTGCTTTTAAAAAGAGTTAAAATCATGTTTTTTTGCAATGTTACGCTAAAATCATTACTTAAAACTCCTGTGAGGAACTTTATGTTTGTGTCGATTTTTGGCGCCCCCCTGTGGACATTTAAATCATGTCACTGACACCTTTATCCCAGTGGTTACAGGTATTAGAAATGTCAATGAAAACATGATCAGTCTTGCTGCTGGTGGTCTTGTTTATTCTAGTAGGTCAAAAGGGACATAGCTTTATATTGCATTGTGTTTTATAACCAGGGAAAATCCACACAGGAGCTTTAATTGACAAATATTGTTTTTATTTATTTATTTGTTTTTCTTGTTCTGTCTCTGTCTTCTCAGATATAGAGGATTAGCCCTTTTTAACTAATTGGCTTATATTTTCGACTAAATAATTTCACATTTTGAACCAATTTTAACACGTTAAAGCCTACCCAGAAATTTTATTCACTTGAGGTTAATTTTTCAGGAAAAACAGGCTCTTAAATCAGATGTTTGTTTGTTTTTCCACAACTGATGGTTAGGGCTAGGTGATAAAATGATAACGATATATATATCGAAAATAAATTTTCCTCTATATCAATATAAAACATGGTCAATATGCTTTTCGATAGTCAGCATTCTGCCATGTTTTGGCAGACTATACGAATAGCCAATGAAAAGAGGAGTTGCCCCGGGTCCGCTTCGCGCTGAACCAATCATGTGCTGAATTACAACTAAGTAGCAAACAACTGCGTAGTAACAGGCTGCAGCTACACACAACTATAGCACTTGTGCAGCCGAAACAGCTGACCATTCTGCTTTTATATCGCAACTCCTAACGACAAAACGTCAAAGAGACACAAAGACGACACAGATGCAGTAGCTTATTGTATTAAAAAAGACATGCTACCAATAAGCACTGTTACATTTCATTTAAGAGTACCAGGGAACATTTAAGATTGACTAGTGATTTTTTTTATGTTGTGATATATATTAATATAGACTGATATGAAAAAAATATATGATAAACTTTTTCCCATATCGCCCAGCCCTACTGATGGTATATGCAACAGAACAATAACTACTGTATCAATTGTAAAGCTCCCCCTGACTACCTCTTTCAGTGTAACAAGTGGAAAATGGGTCAAACAAGAGGGTTAAAGTACATGTCAAATAAGTTTTTGGCAAATATGCTTTCAGTCATACCAGTAAGTTCTTATATTTTCTTTTATGTTTAAACCAGGATCATCACAGCTGTTTAAATCTACCTGTATTCAACCTACAAACACATCACCTACAATTTAAAGTCCAAACCACTTCTAACTTGACATCACTTAATAATAAAATAACGCATCAGATTTCACATAGCATTTCTTCAGAGATCCTTCAAGTGCTTTACATTGGATACATCATTCATTCACACACACAGTCACACCTTGGTGGTGGTAAACTTCCTTTGTGGTCACAGCTGCCCTAGGGCAGACTGACGGAAACATGGCTGCCAGTTTGCGCCTACGGGCTCTCCACACAACACTCACAATCATACATCAGTGGAGGACACACTCTGGGAGCAAGGTGGGTTAAGCGTCTTCTCCAAGGACACAACGGACAGACTCAGGATAGGGGGGAATCGAACCACCAACCTTCCAGTAATTGGACGACTGCTCTACCTCCTGAGCTACTGCCGCCCACTTGAGGTTTTTCAAGTTTCTGAAAGTGGAGGCTCAACTGTCCTGAAATTTTAAGTCTGACAGACCCCCTCCCCAAAGTCCTAGTGTTGGGAACCAGGTGCAGGAACCTTTTCGAGGTAGTTACGAGAAAGTTCCAGCAGTGTATCTTCAGCTTATGTTGAATACTGGGTCTCAATAATGAATACTATTTAGTCATTTCTGACATAAAAGACCAAATTGATTAGTCAATTGATTGAAAAAAATCCCCTGTAGATTGTGATAAGTAACAATTACAGTTATTGATTATGGTCTTGATTTGGTGGGAATGAGATTAGAATCATTATCTGGTTATAACACACCCTGAGGGCTTCAATACATACAAGAAACCAAAGAGGGAACTGTAACTCAGCGGAGGGCACTTCTCTTAATCTAAATCTAATAGCCTACAGTATTCAGCAGGACCAGTGACTAAATCCCAGGATCCCCTGTCCTGGGAGAGAACCAGTTTCCCTCCATCTGAGCGGTTTGGGATATACAATTCCCCCACAGGGAGTACAGTGTGTGTGTGTGGGCCTATGTGTAAGATCTATTAGCTTACAGTATTTGATAGCTCCACAAAAATGCTCTAGAGGCACTTTAAGGGAAGATCACTGAGCTTCCTCTCATGATGAAAACATGCTACTTGCAGTCCCTCAAGTGTTCTGAGCATTTGTATGCTCTTTACATGGAGGCTTTTTACACAGCTTGATACGTGGTGTTCTAGCACATGATTTCCGGGATGTGAAGATTTACAAACACCAAGCCTCCAGAGGCACTTTCAAAAAGCCCACACCATGTTGAGCACAATATTAGAGGTTTAATTAGAGGTCTATGTGGGTTGTAAGTGGCAGCATTATAAGGAAATGGAAAATCAAATGCTGTGGGGTAATTTTCACTGTCAGCGGTTATGATTCGACAGAACAATTAATCAGCACAAACGCTTCGTGGAAGGAAATGCTCATCAGGAAGTCATCAGTCGCCATCAGTTCTTCCACATCCATTCATCAAACTGCAGCACAGGTACAACAGTTTTCCTCTCTACTTTCACTCTCACTGTATTTACAGCTAGGTCTGTTAGAAATGCATTTGCTGCCATCTAGTGGCAGGAGTTCATGCTAAAACAAACAGGGAAAATATGACCCATATTCACACAAGGATGTATTTTGAACACTTGGAACCACATTACTATCACATACTGTATGTTTTATACCATTGGAGTTATAGGCCTGGATGTTCACATTTACAGGAAACTCAAGAGTATGTTAAAGGGATATTCCGACGTAAAATTAATTAAGATCAAACACACCGTAACACCGAGTTAGACACCCCTTCGAGAGATGAATGTTGCCGACCCCTTGCTTCTCTAGTTGAGGCCGACTTTAGCAATACACGATAGCAATACAGAGAGCCACTTGCTCAACCAAAAAGCCACTCTATAGCCACAAATAATGCTCAGAACAGCACCTAACTTCATCAACAGTATAGGGTCCCAGCCACAGCACTAGCCACCAAACATCTTTTAAGCTTTACCTGATTTCTTTAGCAAAGAGACTAAACAAAACTCACCTACTCTCTTCCAGCAGCCGCTTGTTTATACGGAGACCTCAGGCCAGTCCATTACAGACTGCTGCGGGGTGATGCAGCTCAAGGAAGAACATTTATGATCATTTCTCAATGGAAATGCAATCAGACTGAGACACTAAGGCAGAAGAACTACCACGTCTGTAGAGCAAAATGATTAATTTGGTGATTTTTACTTCAAGGAAATAAAGTAATGATCATAAATGTTCTTCCTTGAGCTCCGTCACCCCACAAACTCTAATTCTCACTCTAATGCTAAGCCAATCATGAATGTGCCCTTCATCCTGGGTTACTGTATTTACTATACACTGTTTACACTGTATTCCTTTTACACTGTTCTACACACGATTCAGTTTCCTACTTGTTCCATCCTTAAGTCAAATTTCCCTTATTTCTGTACTTTTTTGTCATCTTCCTCTTTCTTGTATATGCATTTTTTGAATGGGTTTGTAATACGCTGCCCTAAATACCATAAATTATCACAAGCAAATCCTAAATAAATATAAATGTTCAATAATTAAGGTAGATTTGGTTAAGTACTCAGACATGTCCATGTAACATTTCAACTCAGGGGACACCTATCAGTGACTATTTGGTGTGTCTGCAGAGTCAGATCAGAAGCAGTAAATTAGTAAATTATGGATGCTCAATATAATAAAAGAAATGCTCTAACTGTGTGAGTCAAAAGTGATTGTTTATGTGGATTTTAAAGTCCTTGCCTCGTTTCCAGTACCATCTAAAATATCAGACCTCTCGTGAGTAAAAAAATGTGTTTGTATATTGTATGACCTAAAATTTTAAGTCTTACCCAAGACTTTTAAAGACTTTTTTAAGGTGCTGCAAGAAGCCTGCTCAGCAAGGAACTTATTTTGTTGACATAACACTTGAAGTTCACGAATAGGAAGCCAACAGTAAGGAAAGTGAACGCATTTAAGGTTGATGCTAGGTATGCTAATTTAAAGAAGACAGACTGTAACCTTAAGTGAAAGTACACAGCCAAAGAAATAATAAAAACACTCACCTCAGTCGTGTTTCGCTTTGCTCTGTGTACATGTGAGAGTTTTGAGAAGAAGGGCAGCACATTCACTGTACTTTCCTCCGGCAAACTTGTTTTTGGGATTCACGACCTCCATAACATTATTTGGAAATCTAAACATGTTATTTTGCCGCCTCGCCGCTAGGCGGCAGCACTTGCATCCTGGTGGCGCTCCGGTTCGCAGAATCCCTCTTTGTAGCTGTTGTTGAGCACAGGCGAATGCTGCGTTCAGGTTCTCACTGTAAATAAGAGTTTTACGAAAAACTTAAGTCATAAACCCTGTCCTTTGCAAGCCTGCAGGCTGGCGCTACAAAACAATGTTGGATTTAAGACAACAAAATCAAGATATGAGTACATGTGTCATGTATTTAGAATATCCACAGTACTTCTGTGTAAATTCAACTCATTTGCTTGATTTGTGTACAGCAGTTGGTTCACCAGTTACTGTAATTGTCACATTTTCTCAATTTTCTTATTTTTTAAAATATATACTACACGTGTCTCTTTTATGCTATGTCTCCCTACCCAACGAAGTCCGCTTCGTGGTAGTTCGTGATTGTTTCAAAATGCAGATTAAAGATATTCACTTGGACTAGAGATGGGCACTGCAGTTCTTCTAGATGTACTGAATCACTAGAATCAGTTCACTGAAAAGATTCGTTCAAAAGATTCATTTATCAAATCACCGAATCATTCAGCGCTTGGCAGGAGGAGCCTGCGACTCCGACTTCCTGAAGAGACACACAGCTGAAGAATTCAGGTTTTGGTCCAGTTCATGGCTCCTGAGCCCGGGAGGTGATATTTTTTTGCAGGATGGTAGGGGAAAGTCCCGCCTCCTTTGTCTCTGATTGGCGAAAAAAGCTGGAATTGTCATCACACGCTCGAGCCAAATGCAGGCTGTTAGCTTTGTACATCGAACAGAACATTACAGAACTTTATCGCACTTGTGAATCGCCAAACCCTAACCATAACCATAACCATAACCATTACCCGGCAGACGATGACGTTTCACAGCCATTAGGAATAACCAATCAGAGCCCAGCACTTCTAGCTAGTCAGTGGCGAAGGAGGGCGGGACATTCCCCTAACATCCTACAAAAAAAAAATTTGCGCCTGTGAGATGAGAGTGTTGTGCGTACAGTCCCTCCCTTCCTGCGCCAGCTGATTGCCCAGCAATACTAAATACTATGGCAGCTGCACTGCTGACAGCTAAACTTAGCTGAGAAATGAACGATTCACTTGAGGAAGTGATTCGGTTCAGTACATTCACTTAGAAGATTCGTTCTTTTGAATGAATCATTCGGGAATGACAAAACACTTGCTACGACCGAGATGCGAAGGCAACACGGCTGTTTCACATGCAATCAACTCATTGCATGTTGCTGGACCAAAACCTGTTTGGTCCAGTTCACGGCTTCAGGGCTGGGAGACGAGAGTGTTTTGGCTGTGCATATGGTCCCTCCCTCCCTGCCTGCTCGCCAGCTGATAGCCCAGCAACACTGAATACTATGACAGTTGCAATGTTGACAGCTCAACTTAACTGAGAATCGAACGATTCACTTGAGGAACTGATTCGGTTCAGTACGTTCATTTAGCAGAATCATTCGCGAACGACACAACACTTGCTACGACCGAGTCGACTTGAAGGCAGCACGGCTGTTTCACACATGCTATCAACACATTGCATGTTGCAGGATCCTAGCATTTCCACAACATGGGGAGACTAAGTGAAATCTAGCTTGCTGTAATGAGAATAAAATAACATTTAACACAGTTTCTTTCTTATTTGTTTAGGATAAGCTGCCAAAATGGTGAAGGAGCAGTTCAGAGAGACAGATGTGGCCAAAAAAATGTGAGTAAAACCAGCAAGCTAGTTAGCTCACCGGCTAGATAGTGTCAGTGTTATTTTACAGATTAATTTATATGAACAATTTCTTTTTAACAGAGGTTAATATTAAAGATTTTGCAGGGGCTTTGTTGAAATTTTACATATCTTAAGGGTTTTATAGTAAATAAGATGCTTTTATGTGGCTAACATTAGCTGATCACTCCTGTTACATGAAGACGTGTCAGTCAAAGTCAGTAATAAATCCGATCAGAGTCAAATACACGTCGACAAAGTTATAATCAACCAGGATATCATTAACATAAATCTATTATAATACAAAATTAGTCATTTCTTAATTATATCACGTGCTTTGCTGCCATGTGATCAACCTTTTGGATCTGCAAAAATCAGACTTTCCCTTTTAATGTGTGAAATGAACCACTGTAAACATGTAAAGTTGTTTTATTTAATTTGAATATTCATACAAACTGTGTCATTGTGTACCTCTTACATGACTGACCCAATTGAGTGATGTGTTTCTGTTCAATGATTGCTTACAGAAGCCACATCTGTTTTGGGATGAAATCAGCCGAGCAGATGCGTCAGCAGGCCCACATCCAGGTGGTCAGTAAGAACCTGTACAGCCAAGACACCAAACACTCTCCTCTGCCCTATGGAGTGTTGGATCACCGTATGGTAAGACATGGACACACATTAACTCTTTCCCTCAATCAAAACTTGTTTACCTTTTACCTATCTATTCCCTGGGGTGGGACACAACATTAATTCAGCATCATATGGTCATTGAAGGGATATTCCGCACCTAACAGCACCTAACTTCATCAACAGCACATATAGGGTCCCAGCCACAGCACGAGCCACCAAACATCTTTTTTAGCTTTGTCTAATTTCTTTAACAAAGAAACTAAACACAACTCACCTACTCTCTTCCAGCCGCCGCTTGTTTGTAGAGAGACCGCGGGCCAGTCCATTACGGACTACAGCGGGGTGACGCAGCTCAAGGAAGAACATTTATGGTCATTTCTTCATGGAAATGCAATCAAACCGAGACACTAAGGCAGAAGAACTTTTGCGTCTGCAGTGCAAAATGATTAATATGGTGATTATTACTTTAAGGACATGATAAAGAAATGACCATAAATGTTCTTCCTTGGGCTGCGTCACCTTGCAGCAGTCAGTTTGGACTTGCTGGAGGTCTCTGTACTAACAAGCGGCCGCTGGAAGAGAGTAGGTGAGTCGTGTTTAGTCTCTTTGCTAAAGAAATTAGGCAAAACTAAAAAGATGTTTGGTGGCTAGTGCTGTGGCTGGGGCCCTATATGTACTGTTGATGAAGTTAGGTGCTGTTCTGAGCATTATTTGTGGCTATAGAGTGGCGCTTTGGTCAAGTGTGTGGTTACTGAGACCGCCGTGTTTTGCTATCGTGCGGTCATTACTAAAGTTGGTATAACTAGAGAAGCAAGCGGTCGGCAACATTCATCTCTCGACGGGGTGTCTAACTCAGTGTTTGACCCTAACTTAATTTTATGCTGGAATATCCCTTTAAATGATCATTTTATGGTTGCTGCCAAGATAGTAATATTTAAAGGTATAGTATGTAAAAATGGGGTTGTATCATTATATCTAACAGTCACATTCTAGGGTATAATACCTCTACCAAGTTTGTGCTGCTAAATATTACAAAATATATACACTGTACCTTAACTTCTAAGAAAATAAAACACTACTCAGATTTCTGTTGCAATTTGATTCACTAGCTCACTACCTTATGATTATCTGAGGTGGTTGTGATTACATTTATCCCACATCCTACCTCAGAAAGCATTGTGTATCCTTCAGTCATCAGCAGGCTTATTTCTCTGCCATCATATGTCTAACAGGGCACCAGTGAGAAAGACAGACCCTGTTTGACGTGCGGGAAGAATTTAGCAGATTGTTTGGGACATTATGGCTACTTGGACCTGGAGCTGCCGTGTTTTCATGTTGGCTATTTCAAAGCCATCATAGGGATCTTACAGGTAAGTGAACAAGAAGAATTAAAACGGTGCATTATAAAATTTAAATTCTCAAAGTGTAAAAACAAATGCAAGTGACTCTTAAAAGTGTTTACTTAAAATAGTCATTTGAAGACAAAATGTGAGCATGAAAACCGAGCTTCATTTTTATCATGTTTCCTTTAGGTGTCAGTAGAACATCAAAATTAGAACAGCTGGAAAGACACACTTTGAGAGTTGTGTGTGTTTTATCTGATTAACTACTTTTAATGTATGAATAAGCAAAAGTAAGATATAGATAAGCTCTCAAGGATCTAAACAAAAGCATCTTTACACATGTTCCTTCATTGAAATGTATAATTATGCCATCTTTCCAGATGATTTGTAAGACATGTTCGAGCATCATGCTGTCAAAAGAGGAGAAACTGCAGTTCACGGATCATTTGAAGCGCCCCAACCTGGCCTATCTCCAAAAGCGGGGGCTGAAGAAGAAGATCTCTGAGAAATGTCGCAAAAGGACAATCTGTCTGAGCTGTTCTGCCTTCAATGGTGAGAAGAGACATTTAAATGTTTGATATTAACTTTGTTTTGAGCAAGACATCGTAATCTGATACTTGGCGGGGGAAAAAATCACACATTTAATGTGTCGGTGTGACTCCTCAGGTCCAGTGAAAAAGTGCGGCCTGCTGAAGATCATCCATGAGAAGTATAAGACGACCAAGAAGGTGGTGGATCCTTTTGTGTCCGAGTTCATGCAGTCCTTTGATACGGCCACCGAACACAACAAAGTGATCGAGCCTCTGCTGACAAGAGCTCAGGTAATTTGTGTGCTGTAAAAACTGTCTTCTCGAGTCGCCATGTTGTGGTATGCAGCTTATTAGCCATTACAGGCTGAGAAGACATAAATGAAATAAATACATGAATGACTTTTTCCAAGTCAGGAGGAGAAAGAAAAGACCAGATTTTAATCAAGGCAGGACTGCATAATTACGGTCACCTGGGTGTCAAATATGACTCATAGGTTGTGGGCCTCTTTGCCAACATTATTAGATACGACACCAAGACTAGAAGATAGATTATTCAAATAGCTACAACTGGGGGTTACGGGAGTAATGACAGTAACATCAGATTTTTAATAACTCAGCAGGAAATTCTCAGACATCCAGTTCTTGATTTCAGTCAAATAGGACATAATTTGAGACGCATCAGTGGTGCGTAGACCTGAGTGTCATCTGCATAGTAGTGAAAGTCTATACCATACCTATGCAGTGTTTGCCAAGGGGGAGCGAGTATACAGTAATAATAATTATAATAATAACTTTATTTTTATGGCAGTTTTAAAAACAGAAGTTTACAAAGTGCTTTGATAAACAGTCGTAAAGCACAGAACATCAGCACACGGAAATAAAAACAAATAAAAAACAAAAAGCTCAGTTAAAAACAAGACCTCTGAATTGAAGACCAATTTCATTTGTCATAAGGAACCCAGACAATACAAGGACCCTACAACATAAAATGAGACCATGAGGACCAAAATAAAAACATAAAATAGGTAAGAAAAATATGTAATAATAAAAGAGGAGTAGAAAGCAGGAAACAGGATAGTAAATATAAAAAGACGATATTATTAATGATAATAAAATCATAACACAATAGTTTTCATGGTAATAGAAACAAAAATGAGCAGGAAAAAACAATAAAAGGCCTAAAAGGTTAAATAGGAAAAGATTATAAGTAAAACTAAGGCTAAAAAGACAGTAAGTCAAGATAAGATAGAGATAAAAGAAAATACGGCATCACATAGGAGCAAGTCTGTACAAGTGAGTAAATAGAAGGGGACCCAAGATAGACCCCTGGGGTACCCCACATGAGAAAGGAGGACAGGAGGAGGCGGTGTTTATAAACACTACAGAAAATTACCTGCTTGACAGATAGGAAATGATTCAATCCAACAGATTATTTCAAACTGAACTGAGAGGATGGCTTAAGTCCATTCCAGCTCTGTTGCAGAGTTACAGTGTGTTAAAAGCTACAGCTTACCTAACGGCATTTAGTGGCCACCACAACCTAAACATCACCACCTTCAGCAGAGTTAGGCCCATGATGCCCCAACCAGCATTATTTCCACCCCGTTACCATCTTGCCCATACTCTCTCCATACATCCCCAATTTTTCCTTTTTAATAAGATGTTTGATGAAGTTATGAATGCTTTAACTTTCCATCCTTGTGTTTCAGCTCCTGCTACTTAATCTGCATATTTAGGTGTCTTACCTCATATCCTTGAGCCACCATGTCCTATCAAATACACTAACTGCCAACTTACAGCCCGCAACACTCTGTGAGGCTTCAAACTATCAGGTTACCTTTTTCCCCATGCGCACTCTCTGGCTGCCTGTTCCTTGAAATTGCTATTTCTCACCAACCGGGCACAATGGGCCCCCCTTCTACTGACCTGTTAAAGGCATTAGGGTGATGGGAGGACATCCCAAGTGGACCTTTATTAAAATTTTAATACAGCCATCCTCCACACTCCACAGGTCCCTCTTCTCTACACTTTCCTGATTTATCCACTGTCCCCACTTAGCCTCTGCCACGACCATTTACATAATACTAGAATTATTCAGACACTTAGCACTTAGCAGTGTTAGCAGTTAGTTTTTTCTCATTTTGTCTCCGATATCGCTCCCTTTCCAGGAGAACCTCAACCCCCTGGTGGTGCTGAACTTGTTCAAGAGGATTCCTCAAGAAGACGTCCCCCTGCTGCTGATGAACCCCGAGGCCGGCAAACCAGCCGATCTCATCCTCACCCGCCTCCTGGTGCCTCCTCTCTGCATACGACCCTCTGTGGTTAGCGACCTGAAGTCTGGCACCAACGAGGACGACCTGACGATGAAACTCACTGAGATCATCTTTCTCAATGACGTCATCAAAAAGGTTGGCGTCTATTATTGGCTCTGGCTTTTTTGTTTTTTCTTTAAATCTCTTTTCCTGCAGGGACTCATAAGACTTGGATCTTGTTTTTTAATAAAAAGCGATCTGAGTCATACATATTGATCTGTCCTGTGTTATAAGAAAAGGGAACTATGAATGATTTATACTTCTGCTGCCGTCAGCTTGAAAAATCGAAAACTTTCAAAGCAAAATCTGTCAAGGCCGAGAAACTGTGTCCTCAAATCTTCTATACTTTTTTGTAAACTAACGTCTTGTTATCGTCTGATGACTGCCCAGACCTCTGAAAATCATCACTGTCTAATGCGCTCTGTCTCATTCAGCATCGTATGACAGGGGCGAAGACTCAGATGATCATGGAGGACTGGGACTTCCTCCAGCTGCAGTGTGCTCTTTACATCAACAGCGAGCTCTCTGGAATTCCTCTCAACATGGCGCCAAAGAAATGGACCAGAGGCTTTGTGCAGAGACTCAAGGGAAAGCAAGGTATAGCAGTGTGTATTAAATCTGTGGCACCTCATTCTGCCTTTCATCGGGTTTTCTCTTTTGAGTTTGTGGATTTTTTTTTGTCATTTTGGAACATAATTAATAGGGTCTCAAATTCCCCCAGATACTCACACTGATAAAAATACGCCTTCCTGCCAACTTCACACAAAATCTGCTCCTCTGCCTTTTGGTTTTTGGAAATACACTGCAAAAACAGCCCTACTAGAAAGAAGCAAAATATTCTTCTTTTCAATCAAATAATCTTGCATCAAGCAAAAAAATCTGCTAATAGGGTAAGTTTTTTTTCGCTTGACAAGAATTCTCAAAATAAGAACAAATTTCTTGGCCCTGACAGACTCAAATGAAATTTATAACTAGACAGAAAATCTTATATTAATCTAATTTTTTCTACAGCAAGCAATGAAAAATGAAGATTAAGTTACTTAAAATTAGAATTTTAGTCTCTTGAATGAATGAACTTCAAATAAGACATAATTTCTTAAAACAGCATTGCAAATATAAGTGATGTTGTCTTAAATCAGTGGTTCTCAAGTCCAGTCCTCGAGGCCCACACCTGATTCAAATGATCAGCTCGTTATCAAGCCATTCCAGAGCTTGATAACGAGCTGATCATTTGAATCAGGTGTGGGCCTCGAGGACTGGACTTGAGAACCACTGTCTTAAATCAAGATACTAAAACAATCTCATTAAATATATATTTTGTTCTTTGTTGTTCTTTGTTGTTTTGCAGTTTTCATCTGGTCATTGTATTCTGTTGTCTGTTGTACAGACTAGCCTACTTACATCTTTATATGTCTGATAATATATGAGGCAGCAGATTCTGTCAGGATCAGATGACCTGCAGTGGAAATCTTAATTAAAAAACAATCAACTGTTCTTGTTTTATGGCATTCTTACATTGAGAAGTTGTACATATGTCCTATTTTTAAAATGAGACGAATCATCTTGTTGCTCCGCTGGATTTTATTGTAAAACATGAACTTAAAACATTCAAATTAGATAATTTTCTAATGCTAAACATGCTTGAAAAGATTATTATTCTTCTTGCACAAAAAATAAGACGTATTTCCTAAATACAAGGCTGTTTTCCTTTCTTGAAATTCCTTTTTTTGCAGCGTAGAGCTGAGTGTTGGAAAGGATCTGAGGATACTTGCTGTATAATAAAATCAAAACCCTTTAATCCAGCTTGGTAGATCAGTATCATATAAACTGTTAAAACAATTATCCCTGTTTTAAAACATACAAGTCATAGACACCCAGACGAAGGAACTTTCCTGTTTTGAATTTTCAGCCTCGACAAAGCGCCGGTACAGAGAAAACCCCATTTCAAAGGCCACTTAGCAGTATCTAAGAGCCTATTGAGGAGAAAAGAGTACAAAGTGCTTCTGAAATGTTTCATTGTTGCTCAGAAGTCTGAAGAAGTGTGTGAAGATGTTTGTATCTGCTGCGAATCTGACATCTGTCATTGTTAGATTTGCTCTTTATGTGGATGTTTTAGAGGCGTTTCTGTGTGTCGGTCCTTGTGCAGAGCTCACAGCCGACAGTCCTCACGTCAGGGTAAAGAGAAAACCTAATGGGATCTCTGGTCTGCAACGGATGCATATGTCGCTCGTAGAGAAGCCAAAAGGACTTAATAAAAACATCAGTGCAGTTTTAAAGAGTTAGTGAGACGTTCAGACAGAGGATGAAGAGCAGCAGCAGCATACAAATAAATCCAAGCTTCTTCCTGCGTTTGCTTGCAGAGCTGCGAAAAGGTTTTGAACGCTTTCGAGTGTAACCCTGGAGAAACAATCAAAAAATAATTTCTGATTAATTTTTACAAACAGCACTCACTCTCCAAGCTCTTTTTTTCTTTCACGTGGTCTCTACAGTAAAGGAGGGTGAATTACGGTGAAAACAAATCTTGCATTACTTGACTGTACAACTGTACGAGTACTTTTGTAGTACATCTGTTTTATAAAACTAATTAATCAGGTTTCTCATCCTTGCAAACCCACTCACTGGTGTTGGAGGAATTCAAAAATGATCTTTGTGTTAATTTTGCTTCACATCAAGAAAATCATCTTTTTATGTAGACTATTTACTTTAGTAGTTACCTTTGAGGAGAAGAGTGAGTGACTTCTGTTTCAAACTCAGGTCGATTCAGAGGAAACCTCTCAGGAAAAAGAGTGGACTTCTCCGGGAGAACCGTCATCTCCCCGGACCCGAACCTGAGGATCGACGAGGTGGCCGTCCCCGTGCATGTGGCCAAAATTCTGACATACCCAGAGAAGGTAACCACCGCTGCAAGATGACGATAATCTGTACGGTAGTCTGCTCTCCCTCAGAACTGTTGACTTTTTATGCTGTATTGAAGGTGAACAAAGCCAACCTGGAGCTCATGAGGAAACTCGTCCGGAACGGTCCTGAAGTACACCCCGGAGCGAACTTTATCCAGAACCGACACACCCAGATCAAAAGGTGAAGCTGTGCTGCTCCTGATTTAAATAATAACTGATGTAGTTCCCACTTGATGTTAAAAATCCCTTCTCCTGTCAGGTTTCTGAAATATGGAAACCGTGAGAAGATCGCTCAGGAGCTGAGGTTCGGTGATGTGGTGGAGAGGCACTTGATAGACGGAGACATCGTCCTCTTCAATCGACAGCCGTCTCTTCACAAACTCAGCATCATGGCCCACATTGTAAGTGTTGTTCGATAGATACCCATCTGAAAAAATTTAACGTGTGTTTTAGCTTCTAAACCAAGGTAACTTTGTTTGGATTTTATCTTAAAATGAATAGATGTAAGACCTGAAGTTTAAGTGGGTTCAGTTCTTAAAATCCTCCTCAGTCAGCACAAGGACAAGAAGGTTTCCCCCTTTTTCTATTGACAAGAAAGAAAACCTCGAACCAAAGCAGACTAATAATTTTTACCTATTTAATTTTTTGTCTTCATTAACTTTGATTATGTTCCAAACAAAAGTGCTTCACTAGTTTTATAGTGTTTTATATTTTTTATCAAACCCACAGGCCAGGGTCAAACCCCACAGGACATTCCGTTTCAACGAGTGCGTGTGCACCCCGTACAACGCCGACTTCGACGGGGACGAAATGAACCTCCATCTACCTCAGACTGAAGAGGCCAAAGCCGAGGCCCTCGTCCTCATGGGGGTTCGTATCCTCACAACATAAGTGATGGGAACAGTAGTCGCTCAACTATCTGTGCGAATGTTTCCATGGTGAAACGGGGTCTGCAGTAACAGCGTTGTTCTTTGAAAATTGTCCGCACTTAGACACAAATTGTGATCTTTTCTTCTAGACAAAGGCTAATCTTGTCACTCCGAGAAATGGCGAACCTCTGATTGCTGCTATTCAGGACTTTTTGACAGGTCAGTGCTTTATGCTAGGCTACCTTTCGTAGTGTTGTTTTTTTTCATACTGCAGGAGCTCCTGGTGCTTTGAGTGGCAAGAATGTAATTATCAATGATTGATTAGAGGTGAAGTGAAGTGATGGCTATTAGTGCAGCGGGTTCTTTGCGGTGGAACACTTGTACAGCACAGGCAAGGTATGACTAAAGTTCATGGAAACCGTTCAGGAAATGCTGTAATGAAACAAAACACGACGTTTCTGATCAATGTTCCTCTTTGAATGATTTCTCGGTTTCCCAGGAGCCTACCTCTTGACCTTGAAGGACACCTTCTTTGACAGAGCCAAAGCTTGTCAGATTGTCGCGTCCATTCTGGTGGGCAAAGATGAGAAGGTTAAAATCTCTCTGCCCCATCCAGCTATCATGAAGGTAAGGTCGTCTAAATCCTCAGTACTGAGATTTATCTTTTTTCATAACCAGGTTAAATCCAGGTCTTCTCTTGCTCTGGTTTTGAAAATCTGGTTGTTCATTTCTCAAACTTTCTTGCATGAATTTGAATTTCTGCTGTAGCCCATGGCTCTGTGGACGGGCAAACAGATCTTCAGCCTCATCCTGAAGCCGAACAAAGACTGTCCAGTCAATGCAAACCTGCGAACCAAAGGCAAACAGTACTGCGGGAAAGGAGAGGACCTCTGCCACAACGACTCTTGTAAGTTTGTTAAACATCTTGATTCGTAAATCAGTATGAAATGAAATAGTATGGAAGTAATTTGATCAGTTTCCAGGTCTTTAAAAAGTACGGTGAATGAAAAATTAAGTATGGAAAAATGTTTAGGTTTCCAGACTATTACCACAGGAAAAAAAAATACTGTTTTCTAAAATAGAAAAATAGATATTTCCAAAAATAATTCTGAAAAGTAGGGTATGGAAAAGTATGGAAATTCCATTTGTGTAGGAAACCTGATAAATCACAGGAAAAATGGTCAGTCAGAATCATGAAGGAAACTTGTCTTGGACTGTGGTGTCCGTGGCTCAGATGCTCGATCAGATGCTCTTTTATACAGACACGGGTTTTTAATGACCTTGCTGACGTGTTTCGACGTGCTGGCAGCAGTCTTCCTTAGAGCGTCACGTGACGTTTGTGTGACGCGTCTTAAAACAGCTGATGTTTACGAAGGCGTGACCTTTCCGCCAGTTTGACAGATCATGTCAGCAAGGTAATTAAAACACCCGTGTCTGTATAAAAGGACATCCGATCGTAATTTATCAAAAAAGACACAATGAACCTAATCCAAGGAATACATATAGAACATTAGTACACATCCACACGAGTATTCGAGCATCAAACATCAATGTGCAAATATTGGTGACCTGATTGTTAGGATATTCAAAAGAAGGGACATATAAAATTAAAGGTTAAGACAACTAAATGTCAAATACAATAAAATTTGAAAGTATAAAAGGCGAGTACTATGACCACAAGACGAAAAAGACTAAAAAAGACTAAAAAGACCACCAGACAAACAGTGTAAGAATAAGATAAAGTGCATGGGTACCAAAAATAAATGAAAATAATTGAATTGTTAAAAATAGTTCACTAGAAAAGCACTCAGAGAGCACAGACCTCTGCCAAGCAGCTCATGTCCCCCCTTATATTGTGATTCACACCAAAACTTTTACTGTTACGTGTCTTTTATTAACGTTTGTTTGTGTTTAAACTGGTATGTTCACTGTTCATAATGTTCCTAAAAAAAGAAATGCCCTGACCGGGATTTAAACTCTTCTGGTTGTGAGGCGAAAGTGCTAACCACTACACCACTGTGCTGCCTACCTACACCACTCTGCCGCCCATTGCTTGGATCACAGTATCCGGAATTTTGTCCGGATCACCACCAAAATTAAATGGGATTTAATCCTCCTCCTGTGGTGAAAATTTCAGGTCAATCCGTCTGTTACTTTCTCTGTAAAGTTGCCAACAGACAAACAAACTCACAAACAAACAAACCAACGCTACCGAAAACATAACCTCCTTGGCGGAGGTACTAAAGATAGATCACACTCGGACATCACAGATCACTCTGCGGCAGCTGAGAAAACACAGACATACATATGTTTGACTTTAATCCATTAAAGAGGCCAGCAGTCATTTTGATTTTTAATGGATTTTTATGCCTGAGCTACATGGAAGAACATGATCCTATTACCGCACACATGTACAACCATATATCAAAGCCTGTACTTAATTGAAATTTGACAGTACTATTCATTTTAAATTAAGTTTTTTAAATCGACTCCTCTTTCGCAGGATTTCCCCTCGGCACCAGATTTAGTTTAGTTTTCCCAGAAGTTGCGTCTGTTTGGCTCTAAAAAACATTTTCAGTATCTTAAAGGAAGCATGTGCGAGTCTTCATGGGCATCTGAGGATACGCTGAGGTTACTGGAAAGCTGGGAGCTTTGCGAGTTCCTGTGCTGCAGTGTTTGATATTTCAGAGGAAGTTGGGGAAAAATAGTGTGAGGAAGCTGAAAGGTAGGAAGGAGGAACGGGGTGTGAAGCCTGTGAAAGTTTAGAAGAACAGGGATGAGATGAGGTCTCTGGGGGAGGAGTGTGTGAGCTGATGAGTTCAGGATGTGCTGACATTGATTGAGGGCTCAGGGTGAAGAACCATCAAAGATTTTATTACAGCAGCTGATTGTCATATAATAAATGCATGGATCACAATCAGAGCAGCGGAGAAAGAGAGAGTGATTATTCAATAACTGTTTTCCACCCCTGCTGAATGTCCTACTGACCCCACTGACCCACCCCACATGACTCAAAGGCACCACAATCCGAACCTAATGGCTTCAATTTTCCTCTCATTTTCAGTCGTGGTGATTCACAACAGTGAGCTCATGTGCGGCAGCATGGACAAGGGCACCTTGGGATCTGGCTCCAAGAACAACATCTTCTATATCCTGCTGAGGGACTGGGGACAGCTGGAGGCTGCGAACGCCATGTCCCGCCTGGCAAGACTTGCTCCAGTCTTCCTCTGTAGGTGTTCCAATCACAGAAACATGTGTCGTCATCCATTATCAGAATTATAAATCTAAAAAACGATCAAATATTGAGTTGAGATGTTTATTTTTACCCTCAACTATCAGCAAACCGGGGCTTCTCAATTGGAATTGGCGATGTGACACCAGGCCAGGGTCTGCTAAAGGCCAAACATGACCTCCTGGATGACGGTTACTCCAAGTGTGATGAATATATCGAAGCCTTAAAGACGGGCAAACTTCAGCAGCAGCCTGGCTGCACGGCAGAGGAGACTCTAGAGGTAGGTGTGAAAGCAATTATCCTCTCCGGTTCTCTCTATGCAGCAGCCGCTTTCTCTATAACACACTTCAGCCTGAGCTCGGTTTGTTGGAATCACCTGTTCTATGCGTCGGAACAGAGGAAGTTCACCGGTTGTGACACAGACCGCTGCGTATGTTGAAAGCCAGAGGAGGATAAAAGCCAAGGTTTGAAGTCAGAGAAGTTGAAGTGGATGTGATTTTGCGTCTGTGGTTTTCTACATCCTTTCTGCAGCTGAAACTGAGTCATGGAGCACTTGTTGCAGTAATTGAAATGCCTCTTTCACAAAACATTTCATCTGACGCAGACATAGCTCAGCGCCAAGAACTGCACTTCTAAATTCTTAACAGACCAACTGCATACCAAACATTTCAAAATGTTTGGTATCCAGTGTGTTCATCTTTTAAAAAAAAACAAATTGACTCTCAGGTGTGTGTTCCAGCTAAGACTTCAATTAAGAAAACTTTGTGAAAATCAGACGCAGGAGAAAGACTGTGTAGGCTTTTTTTCATTCTCAAAACAAGTTCCTTCTTTTGAAAAGTTGGTGTTATTCACAAAACTTTCAAAGCAGCTCCACATGCACATAAGATCTGCTCTGGAAGGACACCGAACACAAAGAGCTCCGAGGTTGATATTTGCTCATAGCGTTTAAGCTTCGGAGTTAACAAAGGAGACGAGAGTGTCTCGGCCTTTTGCACATGATTAATACTTAAAGTAAAGCTTAAACTTGCCAGTCTCAAAGTGTTGAATTTTTTCAAAGTCGATGTTCAAGTGTTGTGTGCGTTTGATCGACAGGCTCTCATCCTGAGAGAGTTATCCGTCATCAGAGACAGAGCTGGCAGCGCCTGCTTACGTGAACTCGACAAGAGCAACAGCCCTCTGATCATGGCTCTGTGCGGCTCCAAAGGTAAGCTCAGAGATGTTGCTTTTGATCCACATCATTTCATATATAATTTTAATTTCATGCTGTTGCCACGGTTTGGATTTTCAGTCAAATTACTCCCGATCTAATCTTATGTATCATTAAACTTTTAGAGAGAGCGCGTGATTTACCTCAGTGTCTTACTCTTGATGCTTTTCGACTAGTTTCCTCTCTTGGCTACACACGTCTTCGTCCTGTTTTTCATTCGATACCAACATTCATTACTTTGGTTACTCCAGTTTCTAAATCTGATTTGTATTTAGAGCAAGAAACCCTCTGAATAATACATGTATGGAGAGGTTATTGTTGGCTCATGACAAACAAAATGCCTGAGGGAGATGACAGAATCGGTTTCATTTTAATTAAACACGTTCATCAACATTAAAAAATGGCTCAAAAGTCCTTGCAGAAGATTTTATCATGCAGTTTTCTTGCACACTCTCATCCTATCGTGATTTAAGTGTTTAAACGTAATTCGACAATAATAACAGACTGGCTTTTGTATGTGTTTTGATGAGCTTAAATTTACATTCACAGAGGGACAAGACTGTCTACCGTCTTACAGATCCTTCATGACAAACTGGAACTAAAGCCTACAAAATATTATAGAGATTTACATTTTTAGGAAAGAGAGACATTGCTTACAATATAATTTTTAAAATATGAAATATAACTTTTACATTGATTGAAGAGTGATATGTTTGAGGACTATTGGAGAAGTTAGATTGAGTTTATCACCACTTCAACCACTCAGATCAGACTTGAGGTAAAAATCAGCAGTAGCTTAACTGTAATTTTGCCACTGTATTTTTTTTTCTTTTGTCTTTTTTTCTTCTTTTGTCTTCTTTTCATGTTTCTGTTCTTTACAGCAGTTTGCTTTGATTTGAATCGACGTACAACAAATGAGGATGTTTAAAACTTGAATTCCAAATAAAAAGAAAATAATAAATAAATAAATAAATGAACTAATTAATAGATAGATAGATGGATAAAAAATGTAACAATTTGTTAAAAATGAGAAGAATAAACAAGCCTGCCTCCTTCAAAATAAAAGTCTGCGATTAAACCATAGAAAGCTCTTTCTGAATGCGTCATATCCTGCTTTTAGTAAAGTAGAACAGCCATGACAGTCGGAGATACATCTACAAACTTATTTTAGACAGATGTCTTTCAAAGGTCTGCTGAATAATAAGTTAGGCTCCCTGATATATTTTGAATGCCAGATCTTTCCTCTTCATGCTGGGGCGACTGTGAAAGTAGGTTCATTCTCGCCTGCAGGAGCTCCAGAGATGTTTGGATTATCCTCTGAACTTGTGGCACCTTTGTTACCCTCTCACTACCCTTTGATTCGTCAGAAAACACCGAGCTTCTGTTCATACTGTGGACTCTGATTGCTATTTTAGATGTATTTCAGAAAGTAGTCACAGACGTCAGATCCATGTCCTGTATCAAAACCTTTGCAGACCTTTCTTGGTGAGCGGTACGAGTTTGAACACTGAAAAGTTTCTTTTATTCAGACTGTGGTGCTCCCTTTCAGCGGCTGTGGTGTTCAGCACAAAGTTATATGTTGCATGATAGGAAATATTCAGAATAGTTTTCATAGGAAAAATAGTTTTCTATTGTCAAACAGTTACCAACAATAAATTGAAGGTTTTGGAGGAATAAAAATTACACACAGAAGAAGAAAACCCTGAATACACAATCAATGTAAAAGTTTTACTCTGTGGATTCAAATATTTGAATAAAGAAAAGTTTCAAGGTTATTTGTCATCATCTAAGATATAAAAAAAGATTAAAAAAAAGGTCAATAAAGTTCTTCTAACTCAAAATTAGCAGAGAGGGGGAAGAGAGAAAAATATCGAAGCGCCTAGTCACATAAGAGCTCAGAGTAGGGCTGGGCGATATGGCCTCAAACAAATCTCACGATATATTGAGCAGTTCACTTCGATAACGATAAATGGACGATAACTATTCCACAAACTGCTCATCCCCTGCCACATTAACTTCGTCTACTTCAGCAGCTCCAACTTTTGAACCGTCCTCCATTTCCTCACCTGTCTTTACCTCTTTGTTACGGACTGGATGGGGTGGAGTCACGTCTCTGACATAGGACAGCGTCTTAAAGGGACATGAGACCATAGCCGGTCTCAATTTTTTGTCAGAAATTAGTCCGATTCCTAAAAATCAGAAATCAAGTCAGACTGGGGTCTGAGCATAGACTGCATTTACTATGGACAACTTGGTCCCGCCTCCCGCCTATATACGGATTTGAAGCCAAAAAGCTCTCTGTATTTCAGGGATTTTTCGTCATTTCCTGAAACCAGCGCTGCGCAGTAGCAGGAAGCAGAGAAAATCCTGGAAATACCAGAGCAATTCGGCTTCAAATTTGTACGATGATGGATGGTTACCTACCTGGTAGCTAGACAGTATTGACTTAGTAGTAGGTAATTACCTGTTAGTTACCTGGTAATAAGCATACCGTAAAAGAAAGCGTTACCGATTAATAAATAAATGAACAAATGCAAAACCATAACATCATGAGCACAGGGATCATCTCTTCACGGTTGTCTCTATTACACAGAACACTCTCCATTGCTGGATGCTTTGAGTGTGCTCTCATTGTTGACACTTTTACAGTTAGACACTTGTACTGTCTTATTAACGTGTGTGTGTATTTGTGTGTGTATATGTGTGTGTATATATACAGGGTCCTTCATTAATATCTCTCAGATGATTGCTTGTGTGGGACAGCAGGCTATAAGTGGCTCCCGAGTGCCTGATGGTTTTGAGAACCGCTCTCTGCCCCACTTTGAAAAGCACTCAAAGGTGAGTAATGCAGAGTGTTGGCTTTTTTTTTTTTTTATTGACTCGCTGTGTGCGTTTCATTTATTTCATTCAGAGGTGATTTATTTTCATGCGCTTAAACGGAGATTTGTGGCATTTAGTCGAACTGACTCTGCTGCTCTGAAGCGTGTTCATGAATTCTTGAAGTTATTTCTCATGGAATAAATCCATCCTTTACCGAACGCTGAGAAAGTGCGTCAGTAGATTCTTTTGCTTTCTTTTCTCACCTTTGAACATAGATTTTCTTTATAAATCACTTGAAGGTGAAATGAAAAAAAAAACTAATAGGATAAAAAACACAAAGAGTCAGTAACTACAATCACATCTCCCTTGCCTCTTTCATAACGTCTGAATTTCCACAGCTGCCCGCTGCCAAAGGCTTTGTTGCAGACAGCTTCTATGACGGCCTGACTCCCACAGAGTTCTTCTTTCACACCATGGCCGGGCGAGAAGGTCTGGTGGACACTGCGGTGAAAACTGCAGAGACTGGATACATGCAGGTAATGCCTGAGGTTACTCTCCCCTGCTGTTCACTGTGCTCATGCTGATGATAACACATGGTGGGATTGAAGTGTGGGCCCCCGCCGTTTGTACACTGAGTATGATTTTTCTTTCAGCCCAGCTACATGCAATGTGATCTGCCGAAGGTTCTCGGTAATAAGAAAAACAACCTGCAGCTTTTCTTTCATAACTGAAAATGATTTTTTTTTTCTTTTACTTAAGAAAATACCCTATTCAAAAATGAAAGCTGCTGCTTCACACTACTTGTCATGAATATTTACTTAAAGGAGTCTCTGAAGATGCTATGGAGTCTTAGAGAGTGAAGTTTAAGATGAAGGCCTCAAAAAAATTACTTTGAAAAAAAAACAACTTAAGCTATGGTATAAAAATTAAGGAGTTTATTAATGATCTTGTGTACGCTTCAAACTAGCATTAGCATAGAGTCAAGCAGAGGAACAATTGCCACCTGGGTCTGTGGTGGGACTGCAGGCTAATGCCACAGTGCTATAATGCGCTATAACACAGTCTACAGTTTGTGATGTAATTTAAAGGGGGTTTTAATGCATTTTTTCAGATGCTATTTTTTTTCTTTTCTGATTCCTCTTAAATAGCTTTCCCTGATTTTAAGATCAAAAAAAGACTCAAATTTCTCACAGTGGTGTATTAAAACATTGTAATTTCAGCCTCCGTCTGGAACGCTTCATTTTGGCTGCTGTCCCTTTAAGGCCCCCCCTTCACAAGCCTACTTTCTTTTGATTGGCCACCTCTCCTGAGGGCAGAGCTTGTTGTTTTGGCTCCTTTCCCTTGATTGTGTTCAGTTAGCGGAGTACACATAATAAATCTTGTATATGTACCGTGTTTTTCGCACTGTAAGGCGCACCTGATTATAAGGCACACCATCAATGAACGCGTCTTTTGGCGTCTATTTTCATACATAAGGTGCACCGGATTATAAAGCGCATTAAGCCAAACAAAAGTCAGATAAGTCAAACTTAGAACTCTGCGAGGCTACGGTTGCTGCAGTGCTCCGACAAGCCAAAAGGATTTTAAGTGCGCCTTATAGTGCGAAAATGATTATGTCGATGGTTATCCTGCTCCACTGTGGGTGTCACTTCACATGGTATTGGACGCAGGCCTTTCCGCTCTCCCAGAAGCACATGAAGTAAATCTCGCAGATAAATTACATTCTTGGATTTTCACGCGTTTGTCCAAGATTTGAGCAGTTTACATCTACTATCTCAGATTATGACAAAATATGTTCACATTGTGATTTGAAACTTTGCATACATGGAGTATGGACGCCAAACTTTGTAACTTTGCAGTTTTTGTTGCAAATGTGGAAAAGCATGATATCCCCTCTTTAAGTTTCAGTTTAAAAGGCTAGTTATTTAGTCTCTTTGGAGCATCCTCAGTCTAAACACAGTCTCATTTAAAGTCTGTTTACTCAGCACATGAGTGATTCTTCAGGTTGGTGCCTGTTGGTGAGTTCACTTCAATCACGCCCGTCACACAGACTCCCCAACAACCATTTTTTTTTGTCCCTCCAGAGACGTCTGGTCAAGTCCCTTGAGGATCTGTGCTCACAGTACGACCTGACTGTGCGCAGCTCCACGGGGGACATCATCCAATTTATTTATGGCGGTGACGGTCTGGACCCCGCTGCCATGGAAGGAAAGGATGAGCCACTGGAGTTCAAGAGAGTCTTGGACAACATTCGGGTGAGTTAACTGAGAAGCAGATTCGCTTGCCCTGGCACTTGCTCTTCTCCTTTTCCTTTTTGCCGTCTGCTGTTATTCAATTGTAGATTTTTCATTTTTTAATTTATTCTCTATCCTCTTGTTTAGGCTACTCCCAAACAGATAAAATCAAAACAGAAGCGAAACCTTCATGACCAGAGGGTTATCAGTGCACCTCTTGGATTAATTTAGGAGTTCAAGGCTTATAAGCACATTATGTAAAATAAGGAAAATCAATCCGTCATGTAAACTCGGCTGGAAGATAATGAGGGTTGAGAAGAAAATGAAAAACACTGTAAACCCTGCTTTTCTTCAGCTTCGCGGGATATTACATTATATTAATACAAGAGCTTTGATTTGGTTTTCAAAACAGAAGCGAAACCTTCATAACCAGAGGGTTATCAGTGCACTTCTGGGATTGATTAAAGAGTTCGAGGCTCCTCTTGTTTTGCTTTTTTCAGATTCGATCAGCGCATTCGGCAAAATAAGGAAAATCAATCCGTCATGTAAACTAGGCTGGAAGATAATGAGGGTTAAGAAGAAAATTAAAAACACTGTACTCCCTGCTTTTCTTCAGCTTCATAGGATATTACATTACAATAATACAAGAGCTTTGACTTGGTTTTCACATTTACAGGTATTAGTAAAATTACATTCAAATAATAACTCAGTTATTTTGTGGTCGGGTTACAGGGCTTGACACTAACTTTTTTCCCAAGGAGCGCATGTGTTCCTTAGTGGTCGACATAAGTACTATTATTTGAAATCAATCTTAGGTCTTTGGTCACATGACATGGAAGCTATTGAAGAAAATGTTCAAAATTTGCCTTTTAAATTTAACACAAAATTTTTTAGAGGACAAATTAGAGAAATAAAGAGGTGTGTCTTATTGTTTGACCTTAGTACTATTATTTGAAATCAATTTTAGGTCATTTGGTCACGTGACATTTTTGAGAAAATCAACTGGTAATTTATTGATAGTCCCTTATTTAACACCTGACGTTGACAGTGAGGGTTCCAAGTAGATGTAACCGTGCTGCTGTTGCTATTCCTGGTTTTGGAGAGTGAGAAGACACCAGTAGATCCACAGTGAATGTCCGTCGAATATCCAACCTAAAACTAACTTCGCTGTGGTATTTATATGAAAAAAATATTTGTTGCCTCGGCTGATTTTTTTTATGCGCACATGTGCCCCTAAATACATTTTACAATTCGCACACACCTATTTTAGTCGCAAATACGAGTAAAACGGGTAAAACTGTATCACTGTCGAGCCCTGAGTTATTTAAGGAAGCGGTCAGGGATATCAGTAAAGTCCTGCAATGCTAGGATTTATGGAGGATGTCAACCATAATCCCGTCATTCATCAGTCATTTCTAGTGTTTGTTCAATCTCTGAGCGAGGCCTCTCCGCAAACACAACCCTGAAAGTTTCTTTGAGTTTGAGCCAGGTTTAACTTTCTGACTTATTCATGAGAATCCAGCACAATTTTCCATCATCAACCAGAACAATTTAGCATTTTAATGACTTTACTCAGGGGAATTCTGCCCTCTCTGTATTTCTGAGTAAACAAATCGAGCAGTCGGCTATCAGCGTTAAATGCGTTAAAGTGCTGAGTGTGTAGTTGATATCAGCAAAGGGAAGATTGATCCCCGAGATGCTGAGCTCTGCAGGGGGAGAGTCACCGCTGCTGCCGTAGTAAGATAACAAGGTAGTTTGTCCTCAATGTTATGGAAAATGTCACACCTAATAGCCATAAAATGAGGTTTTATGAACCACAGCAGAGAGAAAATAATTGGTTTGACTTCCTTCTTTATTAATTTGTTTATGGATTGATTGTGAGGTTGTTATTATCTCTCAAAACAAGCGGTCAGATCCCACGGTACAAGCAAATGCAGCGAGTTACATGCTGACAATCTCACGAGACGCTCAATCAAGACTTGGTGTCATTTGTAAAGCTCTTTAATACAAAGGGAGTCTCTTAATGACAAGTCTTGGATTCATGAGGTTCTCTTGAAAGTTAAGGAGGTCCTGTTTAAGATAACGGTTTTCCACAAAGACCTTTCGCCTTTGAGAGAGCTCCTATCAGTGTGCGTGGGACTTTTAAGAGTCTTGAGAGTTTAAAGGCGGAGGAGAGAATAGCAGAGGACAGAGAGATAAGAGGGAAGTTCTTCAAACACTAGATAATAGTGACTTAATTAAACCACACAGGTACAGCCATGCGGTGATCACAGTTATAGTAGATCTCATTACAGATGCGCTTTCATCTGTCAGGCTGCGCAGGAACTCGATAACCTCCTGGAATGAAAGTGATTGCGACATCAAGTTTTTTCTTAGAAAATCTAATCCTGCTGACTTAAATTTGTCATGAATTGTAATTTTAGTACAAATCTTTTTTTTTTTTTTTTGCTTTTTTGCTCCTCACAGGAGCTTTAAAGTGTGACTGCTGTTCATTCGCTAAATTTTTTTTTTTTTGGCAACAGTGTTGGACCAAATCCAATCTTAAAACCAAATGAGTTTACTGCCCCTCTGTGCCAGTAACAGAGTTTTTTCTCTTTTTCTTCCAGGCTGTGTACACATGTCCTGATGAGCCAGCGCTCAGTCAGAATGAGCTGAACCTCACTGCAGACTCCATTATGAAGAGAGCAGACTTCATGTGCTGCAGGGACAGCTTCCTGGAGGTAAACTCATGAGAAAAACTCAGAACGTAATTTAAAGTTTTTTATTGATTGATTTAAACAAGCACAAAACTCTTCTTACAGCTCATGAAGGCCGAACAATATTTTAAAGGATGTTTTTATGTCTTCATTTAATTATTCTGAGAATTGCTGTTTGAGAAACCTCTACTGTGATTGCAATTCAAACGTAGAAAATAACTAAGGACACAAGCAAGGCTTCAGCTTATTGTTTATTTCTCTCCTTCTCAGCTCCAGTCCATTGAAACCTGAGAATCTAATAATTCAAGGTTGTTACTGAGTCAACTTTCCTCCTTTTTATAGCAGTGTTTGATTGAAAATCTTTATTGCCAACTTAATAGTTAGAACAGCTTAACACTACCATAAAATGACCTGCATATTTCTTATCTATCTATCTATCTATCTATCTATCTATCTATCTATCTATCTATCTATCTATCTATCTATCTGTCTATCTATCTATCTATCTGTCTGTCTGTCTGTCTGTCTGTCTGTCTGTCTGTCTGTCTGTCTGTCTGTCTGTATAAATACATTTATTTATATATACTGGTATTTTGTATTACATAAAGATAGATATTGAGAGATAGATATAGAAATATGTAGTTAGATGTTTACAGAGATAAATATCCATGTAGGTACATGTATTTATGTAAATAAAGTGTCACTATATATATGTAGATATGAATACAGATAGATATCTAATAGATAGATAATAGAATCTATATGATTCTTTATCCATATCTCTATATATATTCTATATCTTCTATATATACATTTAAACAGTAAGATATATATATAAATATATATATACACATACGTATACATTTTATAGATTTAAGTAGGATTTAAATACTGATATATATATATGGCAGAGATAAGTATTTATTTCTATAGATAATGATTTACCACAGGGGGAGCTGAAACTGTCACAAAACAAACGTTCCTAACAGGAGCTTTAACTGAAACTTGAGTTTATGTGGACACTTCCTGTCGACTGTCTCATGAGAAAACCAATGTAGCTGGTGTATGTTTACCTTTAAACAGGTATTAAACTCACAACCATTAAATGTATATATCTCAAAAATAATAGACCACACAGTTTGGGGTCAGTTGGTTTGAATGTAACCTTTCTTGGTTAATTTGACAGCTGTTTCTTTTTCTTTTTCTAAGTCATTATCAACAAGTGGCATGCAGCTATAGTGACACCTCAGATAATTGCTCCCAAGAGCCTATAAATAGGACACTTGTATAGGTCTTGTCGTGTCTTTAATCGCTCCTGACAGTACACATCACATGACAGGTTAAAGGTTGTTATTAGTAACCTGTTTATATACTTATTGACGTGTTCAGCAGTAATAGATTCGAACCTTTCCTCCCTTTTGTGAAGGAGTTAACTGAAACAGGCGCAGAGAAGTACCTGGAGGTATAGTGTCAGAGCATGCTGGAGTGTGCTGTGTGTCAGCACGGTGTGTGTCACAAAAAGTCAGAGCTGATCAGTAACATGTTCAATAACCTCAGTGTTTCTGGGAGAAATCAAAGCAATGTGGATAGACTCGAGCTTTAACATCTGACTGCTGTCTCTGAAGTCATGCTGAATGCTCAGTGTTGTACTTGAATATTGGAGAGTCTTTTGCTGCAATATATAACAACTGCATGATTGTGCATTATATGTCAAGTCTGGTCACACTTCAGTGTTTTTCTCAAATTTTATAATAAGACTTTTGGGTTTTTGGAAACTTTTCTCCTCCCTCGATTTTAGGAGATAAAGAAATTCATCAAGAGCATCTCAGAAAGGATTAAGAAGACCAGAGACAAGTATGGCATCAACGATAACGGCACAAGCGAGGTAGAAACCACCCATGCTGCAAACACGGAGCTATATCTAAATGAGTTTCTCTGTATCTAATGATTTGTCTGGTTACTTTGTATTGCAGCCAAAAGTCCTCTATCAGCTGGACCGTATAACCCCGACCCAGTTGGAGAAGTTCCTTGAAACCTGCAGAGACAAGTATATGAGGTATTAACCCACATTCCTCTTTTATTCTGAAGCAAAAGAAAAGAACAGTCAAGATTTGCAGCAACTTCCTACATATGCTCTTGTTTTTGACAGTTTGGAGCATGATCAGGAACTTTACAAGACAAGGCAGTGTCTGCTTTCAGTCTTTGTTGTCCGTGTAGCCGTGGGCATCAAGCTGCAGGACTGGTTGTTAGCTTGAGCGTGGGTTGGTGTTTGCCACACACACACATACACACAGAGCAAAGAGGCGTTCAATTAAGAAACACAAGTTCTAGCGCAGAGTTGTGGGCATTTTTTGTGCTATGCAAAGAAGCAGTCACAAATAAACTCGTTCACTTCCAGTCTCTTTCTCTGCGCTCCAGTTGTTCCACACTTTGAAGAGTGCATTCGAGAGACAGGTGCAGAGGAGTTGTAAAGTCCCACTCGTTATAGCCTTGAGGCCTGTGTGACACCGGCACAGCTGCTCCCAGACAAATACATGTGGGTGATCCTCAAACCTCAAGTCCAAACTGACTTTTTTTGTCTTCTTGTTTCTTGTCTTCAGCAACACTGGTGTAAAAAAAAAAAAAAAAAGTCACATATTGGCTGAAACTCAACTTTTGTCGCCATTTGAGTTTGTGTTGTATTGCTGCAGTAAAAAGTCAACATCGTATGTCTCTGGTAATGGGAAGTGAGGGGAAACACAGGGGGAAGCAGATGAGGTGTTGATTGTGCGTCAGAGTTGTTTTAGATCAAAAACAGTGACAGATGTTGGAAATAATGTTGTAAAAAAATCACCTCAGAAATGTGTTTCACTCTACATCAATCTGTGCTTCGTAAAAAATTCATCACAGGGATTTCATTTCATACTGGGGCGGACATTTATGTTTGTACCAAATGTTACCGCAGTCCGCTCTAAGAAATCTCACTCTTAACCACAAATTTCAACCTCATCACGTACCAACACAGTGTTTGTGATGGACCAGACTCGAGTCTGTATCTTAAACTAAATCTGTTTTCACTTTAGAAATAACATCTTTCAAAGCTGACATTCGCTTTTTATTGTTTTTTTATTGCTCAGATGCTCGACTCATCTCAGCTTTATTTAAACAGCACATTTGTGACGCACAGGCATTTTTCCCCCCTTTTTTTCTTTGCATACAATGCAGCTTTTGAGGACCTAAAAAGAAAATAAAGAAACAAGTAAAGAGGAAAACTGAGGGGTCTTTATTGGGTAGCCTTAAGGACTGGAACAAGAGGAGGGTTTATTTGTGTGAAGATGCATCCATGAATGTCTAATTGTGTAACTGTGCATGTCGGGTTAATGAGTTCAACAAGAATGAAGAACCGAGTAAGTGCACAAACAGAATGATTTTGGCCGCTGTGTTCTTGAAAAGGTTCCTGAAAATTACCCAAAGTGAGCCGTCAGCCTCGTAGCACCATGTCGGGGTAAAGTCTTGGTGAGCTCATGTGAAGAATGCCACTACAGCGAGATGTTATTTTACAAGAGGTGAATCTCAAGGCAAAAATACTCTCTATTACCAAACGCTCTCTGTACAGACTGACTTCATATCACAGCATTCCTCTCTCTGTTCACACCATCTTATTATTTATACTCTGTTACACAACCAGCCATTTAGATTTCAAGAGGAGTGTACTTCATTGGATTGATGCTCTCTTTCAAAGTCCCACTTGAGACAAGTACCCAGTACTGGAGGACTCTGAGTCTGTTTGTAATCTGCAGTTTTTTTTTTTTTGCTGAAGAATATTACCCTGAAATATTTGTTGAACTATTTGTCATGGCTCTCCTCTCGTCCCGTCCTCTAAAAGACTCATCCTCTCTGGGATGAGTTGCCACGCCCAGATGTTCCTCCAGAAATATGTTGCTGCCATCAAACAATAATACATTTTCAAGTTTATGAAGTAAAAGATTTGCAAACTATCCAGTTCTGTTTTCATCAACATTTTACACAGCGTCCTAACTTTTTCGGAGGAGATCATACTAACAGATAAAAATAAAAGAAAATCTGTTTTCACCATGTGCTTTGATAATCCTTTGGTTTGATGGACCCTGAAATCTTCTTTATGTACTTACCGTGCAGAGCTCAGATGGAACCCGGCTCAGCCGTTGGAGCTCTTTGTGCCCAGAGCATTGGAGAGCCAGGTACTCAGATGACCCTGAAAACCTTCCACTTCGCCGGTGTAGCCTCCATGAATATCACTCTTGGAGTCCCTCGTATCAAAGAGATCATCAACGCCTCCAAGAATATCAGGTACGATTATATAACTCCTCTCTATCAGTGCTCTCCTGACGTCTCCTCTGTTCCTAGATGAAGGCGCCTTTATTATCTGATGAAGGTAGCTCTAGGGTTTTCTTTGTATCTCTTGGAATACATTAAAAATTACTACAACAAACATGCATCTCTGTGTTCTCTTGAATGGAAACAACTCTTATGCTCCGAGACGTCCTGCTTTGTTTTTCATAGTTTTGTAGCTCTTCAGGACGGAGATCACTTTGACAGGGGTGTAATTTAACAGCTTCATCTTCCTGTTTGGACACTTAGTAAAAGAGGCTCTGCTGGGCCATAAAAATTAGCATTCGTGTGAGTGAATACACACTAAATATGTTGGGAATAATCTATTATATCCTCTCTACAACACTCAGCACCCCTATAATTACCGCTCACTTGGATGTGGAGGACGACGCCGACTTTGCGAGGCTGGTGAAAGGACGCATTGAGAAAACTCTCCTAGGAGAGGTATGCTGTGTTTCGACATGGATAAAAGGGACTGACCTCGGTTGCTTGTTAGGTGTCGTTGTGTAAACAGTTGAAATAACCGGCTATTCAGAAACTGAAATGTCTTGCTGTCTTCAACAGATCTCTGAGTACATTGAAGAAGTCTTCTTACCCGATGACTGTTTCATTCTGGTGAAGTTGTCGCTTGAAAGAATAAGACTTCTGCGTCTGGAGGTAAAGAAGTTTTTAAGTTTGTTTCCAACCTGAGCCGAACTTTGTACTTTTTCTCATCACTTCTTTGATAATTCACCTGAAATATTTTTAAAAACATGGGGACATCGTCTATTTAATTTATGAATCTCACCTTATTTCCACCAACACAATGGCCAAACCTTAAATATAATTTAAATTAGCTTTCATCAGTCGGGGTTCTCAATCATTTTGTTTGAGTTTATTTCCACTTACCTGTGGCTTTACATCATGAAATCCTCATTATTATAACAAACTTTAAATTTGCTGTAAATACAATTTGTCTCTCATGAAAATGAAAACGACGTGATTTATCAGACAATTTAAAAGCAATAAAAGATTCAGTGACGTTCTTACTTGGTCTGTTAGAATGACGTAAATTGTTTTATTATTCAATTTCCATCCAAATTAGGAATAAATTCAGGGCCTGTGTCCTCTGAAGGCATATTTTTGCACTTAATTTACCCGCAACTTTAATTTAAGAGTGTTTTTCACTGTTCCTTCTCTTGCTGGGTTACAAAAGATTCAGCGACGTTCTTACTTGGTCTGCTTGAACACCAGTGATTAATGTGACAATACAGATGCATATCGTTTTATTATTCAATTTCCATCCAAATTAGGAATAAATTCAGGGCCTGTGTACACTGAAGGCATATTTTTGCACTTACTTTACCTGCAACTTTAATTTCAAAGTACTTTTCATTGTTATTTCTCTTGCTAGGTTACAAAATTTGTACACAGCACCTTCTCCTTCCTTAGTAGTGACTGTTTAGATTACCCTGTTTGTCTCTTATTTACTTTTTTTAGTGTAATGTTAGGAAGAGAAAAGAAATCAATAAATAGTAATTGCATCAACGCTTTAGCAGCAGATATTCAGTAGTTCTAGAAATTGTACCCTCAAAATCATGAGTATGGACAGTTTTTCTTCTAAACGATTGTTGATATCAGAAGTCCCGCCTACTTTTTGTTCTGGTTGGTAGGTGATGGAAAACTAGCATTAATTAGCATGGTGCAAACTGTTTCGACTGGGAACACAGAGTGTATTTCTGTGCCTTCCCACTGAGCTTTTTTTGGTCTAAATAGACGTCTAAGTGTAGCCTAGATGAGGCTACCACAGGTCTAAAAATAAACGTTTTTTTTAGACATCTAAATTTAGACCAAATTTAGACTAAATCTATTTATTTTGGTGAAGTACTTGGAGATAAGTTCAGCAACTCACAGTTGCTTTTTGAAATAAATAGTTATCGAATAATCAGTTCAAGTGCAACATCTACACTCTGTCTAAAAATATAGAGAATCTTAATGGTTGAAATTAGGTCTAAAAAAAAACTAGACGTCCAATAGCCGTCTATTGCTCAGTGGGTTAGATCAGTGGTTCTCAAATCCAGTCCTCAAGCCCCTCAGTCCTGCTTGTTTTGGATGTTTCCCTGCTCCAACACACCTGATTCAAATGATTAGCTCGTTATCAAGCCATTACAGAGCTTGATAACGAGCTGATCATTTGAATCAGGTGTGTTGGAGCAGGGAAACATCCAAAACATGCAGGACAGGGGGCCTCAAGGACTGGACTTGAGAACCACTGGGTTAGATGATGAGAGTTAAAATTACTAAACTACATCAGTTTGCCACAGAGTGCCAGTGCAAAAATCACTGTCAGTGGACACAGGCCCTTATTTTGTCCTTTAGTGTTGTGTTGTGTGTACTGTTGTGTCAGTACACACAACACGTATCCAAGCAGTTTCAGATCCTTATTGATCGGCAGCAGGAGACACACGCTTGACAACAGGGTCAAGGAGTGTAAAAAGCTTTATTCACGATTTAGAGCTTTTGTGTCTTTGTGTGATGAGAATAATAATGACAGCTTTGCTTCTGGTTACCTTCTCCGCATGCCAGGTCAACGCAGAGACGGTGCGTTACTCCATCTGCATGTCAAAGCTGCGAGTGAAACCAGGAGACATCGCTGTGCACGGTGAGGCGGTCGTATGTGTGTCTCCACGGGAGAACAGCAAAAGCTCCATGTACTACGTGCTGCAGTCACTGAAAGAAGAGCTTCCTAAGGTCTGATATGTCAAAACACTCAATCTGTCTTTGTTTGATACACACACAAAAAAGTGCCTTAACAGCCTTATATGGTTAAATTATGTATGTATTATCTTTTTTTTTGTTTTTATTCTGTCTTATAAATCATACTTTGACAACATGAAGTTTGAAGAAAAGGGGCATAATTTCAAATAAAGAATTAATGTCAGTGACGATAAATATGGTCATTAAAAGTTAGTTGCAATTCGGATGAGTGATGAAACATTTCTACTAAACTACACATGTAAATCGAACTAGTACCTGATTACGTCAGGGGTGGTAAGATCACAACATTTAACTACAGACACGGTTATCCATGGACATGTCGTCAGAAATAAGATTTCAGTACCTGAGTTCAAAGCTGGAGAACGATTCAAAGTCAAAACCTGAGGGCAAACACACGCCTGAGTGTGAGTCGGACTTCAATCTCGGATTTGGTGATGAAATTAGACTGACAAGGACACCAAATTAACGTACTTTGTAGAAAGAGTATCAGGTTATAGAGAAAACTTTGTCTTGTGTAGTTTCGAGTCTTAAAGTCAGTGAAATCATTTGACAGTTTTAATGAAGACCCTCTACTACTCAAACTATGAATAAAGCATAATAGGGGGTTAACGGATAGTTATCAGCACAGTATAACTGAAGATATGATTTGCCTAAATTGAAGTTGAAGTCTAAATCGCTGTAATCCATTTGCTTCTTTTCCTTAAGAGCCTGCTAGTCTGTTGAGATGATGCTCCAGATTTCTAATAAATCTGTCGGTCATGAAATCTTAGTCCAGGGGCGCCACTGACCTTGTGGTTTAAGCATGCGCCCCATGTACAGAGTCTTTCCCGCAGCGATCATAGGTTGGACTCCTGAGTCATTGGGATTAACTTTGGATCTTAGTTTGTCTGTTCAACATCATTACATTGAAGTGCTTACAAATGCTGCAAAACCAAGACTTTTTATCACTTTACTCTCGCTTTTTAAAAGTTCTCTGTACAAAGCTTTGAAAAGGCTTGTCAATATCTTATCTTTCCCAAAAATACAACCATCTGCTGCAGCTAAAAATGGAGTTCATCAGTCGCTGCATTTCAATTAAAAGTTTCCATCTGGATAAATGTAAATGAAAAGATGAGAGAAAACATCCTTCTCTCTTCCATGTTTTCATTAAATCTACTTTACAAGATCAAAAATTTCACCCCCGAGAAGGTCACCCCGCCTCATTCGGGATTAATCTCCCCTGTGACCGCTGACGTCGTTCTCATTTCTCTGAAGGTGGTGGTTCAAGGAATACCTGAGGTTGCCCGGGCCGTCATCCACATCGACGAGCAGAGCGGCAAGAACAAGTACAAACTCCTGGTGGAGGGCGACAACATGAGAGCTGTCATGGCAACGCATGGAGTGAATGGAAGCAGGACCACTTCAAACAACACATACGAGGTATCAGTAGGTGGAGATTAGTTGTAGATGGAGAAGCCAGCAGAGGTGTAAATTTAACTAGAGCCCTTCATACGTCCTTGTTATGATTGAACATCCATTTGATTAGATGGCAGATTCTTCAGCGAATGTCGTATGTATTTTTAGTCACAGCTGAAATGAAGATACATCAACTCAAATGTCATTTCTTTCTAGAGAGCTCTTTAAAGGAGAAAAATAATAGTGAACACATCTTATCATACCTGACAGAATTGGCTTAATACTTGGTCTTAAACGTGTTATGTCATACCTGTTAAATCAGAATTATTACTGGGCTCTCTCAGCCGTTCATGTTCATTACTGCGGCAAAAAAAGGCGTAAAAGCACAGCGTGTCCAAAAGCCTAAATATTAAAAGGGAGTGATGGATGTACTTTTTAACAACCTAATAACCTGAGGAGTACGCTAGATGATTAAAGCGCTGTAAAGTGTCACATGCTTAGAGGAAAGGACTTAATCATGATGATAAAGGTTAGTTAAAATTCTGTTCAAAAATTTTAATATATTTTTTAGATTAATCCTTCTTTTAAGGGGCTTTCCTGCGTACCTCCCCTTAGTTTTTATGGCTGTCAACACTAACATTAATACATTCTAATGACCTGTACATGTGAATAATTTCATGCAGCTGAATCCCATGACTTTCATGCTTTGTATGCTAACTAACAAGGAGCTTTATTTACCCGTACCACCTTAGATTAATAATTTAATGATTATTGCATAACACAAGGCTAACTCACTGAAGAGAAAGACAGAGCTACATACACTATATAAAAAGGCACCGAACCTCTTTTTTTTTCCCACCGTCTAACATTAAATCACAATAAACTTTTCCTGTTTTTGGTCAATTAGGATTATCAAAATTATTTTTATTTGATAAATGCCAGAAAAGTGAGAGAGAGAATTTTTGAGACATTTTTTAATTACTTTCTCAAGAGTCAAAAGTTAACATACATTTCATTCATTAGTATTTGTAGGCCGCCTTGCTCGCACATAACTTTTCAATTCTGCCCATAAATTTTCAATTGGACTGAGATCAGTGCTTTGTGATGGCCACTTCAAAACTTTGACTTTGTTATCCTTACGCCACTTTGTAACCAGTTTGGCAGTATGCTTAGGGTCATTGTCCATTTGGAAAACCCATTCACACCCAAGCTTTAACTTCCTGGCTGATGTCTTTAGATGTTGCTGAAATATTTCCCTATAATGTTCTTTCCTCATGATGCCATCTTTTTTGTGCAGTATACTAGTCCCTCCTGCAGCAAAACAACCCCACAACATGATGCTGTCAACCCCATATTTCAAAGTCGTGATGGTTTTCTCAGGCTTGCAAGCTTCCCCTTTTTTCCTCCAAATGTAACAACGGTCATTATGGCCAAAAAATTCAATTTCAGTTTCATCAGACCACAGGACATGTCTCCAAAAATTATGGCCTTTGTCCCTGAGTGCATTTGCAAAGTCTGCACATTTCGGACTAAAGCATGTTCATCTCAGGGACACAGAACCCGTCTCCTTCCTGAGCGGTATGATGTCTGGACATTCTCTTGGTGTTTATACTTGCGTACAATTGTTTGAACAGATGAAAGTGGCACCTTCAGGCGTCTGGTAATTGCATCCAAGAATGAACCAGACTTGTGTAGGTGCACAATTCTCTTCCTGATATCTTGTCAGATTTCTTTTGATTTTTCGCACACAAAGAGCAGTGTGTTTCAGGTGTGCCCTAAAATACATCCACAGATGTGCCTCTAATTAACTCAAATGTTGTCAATAAACCTATCAGAGGCTTCCAAAGACATGAGATTATCATCTTGACTTTCCCAAATTGTTTAAAGGCATAGTCATCTTAGTGTATGTAAACTTTTGACTCTTGAGAAAGTAATTAAAAAATGTCTAAAAAATTCTCTCTCGCATTATTTTGCATTTAGCAAATAAAAATAATTTTGATAATCCTAATTGATCAAAAACAGGAAACATTTATTGTGATTTAATGTTAGACGGTGAGAAAAAAAAGGGTATTTGCCTTTTTATACAGTGTATGTAAACTTCTTGTTTCAACTGTATATGGGTTTGTCTGATCATTCAGCTCTGTGGACTGTTAGTTTCGAGCTTTAATGCAGCCTCAAGTCTTTTTTTTTTAAAGTTAAATCACAGAAAAACTAATATCGTCAAATTGTCCGCCCTCCTTTGTCAAACAGTTGTCTTTAACAGATTGTTTTTGTTTACTCGTTCACACCAGCAGCTCTTCAGCCTGACTCTGTCGGATCTGTGTCTGACTTGTTTTATGTTTTATACGCTTATTGATGTTTTTCTTTTGTCGCCATGTCTCATGAACAAAAAACGATTTCACAGCACTCGGCATCAACTGTCTTATCTCCGCCTCTGTTCTCAGAAACTTAAAGCTGTGAACAAAATCTGAACACCTGTGAAAATAGACGATTAATGATGGCAGGGGCTCTGCAGGTAGAAGAAATAGCTCGATAGATAAGGAGCCTGCTTTGAATATTTTCTCCTTTATGTGCAGTGAAGGAATTCAAAACAACAGAGAAGCTTTTATAATGTGTTATGTGTGTTTTGAATGTTGAAAACCATTGACGGAGACGGTAGACTAAGTACTTATAGTGAAACAAATGAAGGTTTTTGGACACCCAACAGGCTGACCTTGACTTCTTTACATTTTTCTCATTTGTTTTATTTGATCTTTTCTGTTTTTCTTTTTTTTTTTTTTCAGGTTGAGAAAACTTTAGGAATCGAGGCAGCGAGATCCACCATCATAAACGAAATCCAGTACACCATGGTGAACCACGGGATGAGCATAGACCGGCGTCACGTCATGCTGCTGGCAGATCTCATGTCTTACAAGGTTTGACCTTTTATAAAAATAGACACCACCCTTCCACCTCCCTCTGTTGTAGAGAGAAGAAGCAGCTGGACGGTAGCTGTCAATCACTTCCTCCCTCAGTCAGTGGTGCATGATGGTTAAGTCTGTTTGCAGGGTGGTTGGGGCACAGACAGCCCCAGACTGATTTATAATAAGTGTGTAATATTTTACCCTCTGTGCATGCTTGGTGAACCAGAAAATGTCTCTTTGACTCTTTCAGTGGGTACAAATGCCAGACAGTCCTTTAGTGGATCTCTTTATTCAAAATATCGACAACCAGACTTCTCAGATAGAGGGAATTGTATGCAAGGGCCTGCCTTAAGTTTCAGAGAAATTACAGGAAACTTCTAAAAAAAAGATTTTGACATAAATTAGCTTGAGAAGAACTGTAGACACCATGTCCCAGTTCCAGTTTGTAAGGATGCCTAGCCCAGGTTCACACTTTAAAGAGTGGAAGGTCCACACGAACGGTCAGTTTGACAAGCTTTACTGGTTGTAGATCTGGGTTACAGCTTCATCATGCAACAAGTGTAACAAAGACTGGTCTGAGACTGTTCAAGTATATATAGTCGTCCACATTTCCAAGCATTCTGCCGGCATTTAGTTGACCCTAAGAAGAGTCCATGTAGGGTAAGAACAAAGGACAACATATGGAGAGCCCGTATACGGTAGCCTGGCTGGGCCATCCAGTTGCGTGAATCACTTGCCGTTCCTTCCCACAACAGTCTTGACTTTGACCAATTGGGAGCGTGTATTAGAAATCAGAAAATAACCGGGCCAATCAGTGACTGTGTTTCCACTGTTCCCCGGACAACAGTGAAAGGCAGCCCCTGATTGGTCCATGTGTAGATGGTGACGTCTAACACATGCTGCGGGACTTTTCAAAGCGCTGTTTATTCAGAACGCCGTTAATTCTGCAGTTGACTTTGCAAAGTCGGCAGAAATCATTTAGACATTGTTTGCTCGCACACGTTGAAATATTACCAAACCTTTACTTGATGCTTGAGACCCCAGCAGGGAACACAGTTGTGCACTGTGATGACGTCAGATGTTTGGTTACGGTGATTGGTTACAGTAGTCTGTCTATCAAGGAAAGTACTCCCGCCCACTTTTAGGGCTCCCAATTGGCCAAAGTCCAGACTGTTGTGGGAAGGAACGGCAAGTGATTCACGCAACTGGATGGCCCAGCCAGGCTACATATACGGGAATACCATTGCATGACATATTTTGGGAACCTGAGTGATGTCAAAAATTTGTACAAGGTTTTTTGTTGAGGATGGTTGTCGGAGGCCCCCGGCTCCAGCAATCTAACACCAACGTATCCATGGTATCTGAGTTGCATGGCTCCAGCGCCCTAAAGGCTGATGGGATTGGCTAAAGAAAATTCTCCTAACACAGTTGGATGTGTTTTTCTGTCACTTTTAGGGGGAGATTCTCGGAATCACCAGATTCGGTTTGGCTAAAATGAAGGAGAGTGTCCTCATGCTGGCCTCTTTTGAGAAAACAGCTGATCATCTCTTCGACGCTGCATACTTTGGTCAAAAAGACTCCGTCTGTGGTAAATTTATATTTCACCTTTAACAGAAAAACGAACTCCTCTTTCTTTATATGATCGGGTCTTAACATGTTCTTGTGTTCTTGTCTCAGGTGTGTCCGAGTGCATCATTATGGGGATTCCTATGAACATAGGAACTGGACTGTTTAAGCTTCTACACAAGGCGGACAAGGATCCTTCCCAAGTCACAAGGCCGCTCCTCTTCGACAACTCAGACTTTCACGTCCCTTTGATTAGGTAGCACTGAGGACGGAGCGAGTTCAAGGTCAAATTTTTCAGAAACAGAGACATGACGATCACCCTCAGAAAATAATGAAGTGCCTGCCAAAGTGTGCGATGAATTCCATTTAGGGGATCCAAGAGAAAATTAAACCGGGAGCTTATTTCTGCTGTAGCTGATTTCAGATCCTGACTATTGGCTCATGTTTGCATGGAGAAGATTGGAAAGATGCTATTTTTTCATGTTGGATCCAACTACCATGAAGGACTAATCTTTAGTACCTGAAACACAAACATTTCTACATTGAATGACAGTATGTGACCTTTGTTGTACATAACTGCTAATGCAATCTTTTGTTTCCCCCAGAATAGCACTAAATGAAGAGTTTTTGAGAGTGTTTTTCATCCACAACACAATCCCAATATCTCTTAATTATGGAGCAGATTTCTTTCGGTTTTGCTTCTTTTGTACTTAGTTAACAGTCAATTTGCAGAATCGACTGTTAACTAAGAATTACAGCTTAAACTAGCCTTAACTCACTGAAAAACTCCCACCAGGTTATGGGCTTTAGTTTGACTTTCCTTAGAAGAATTTGCTTTGAAACTGGATTTAAATTGGCAAGGGTTCATTCAGGCTGACATAGATCTTTCTTTATGAATCCACCATGTTATAATTTAATAATGTATTATACTGTAATAAAAGAAACCACCTGGTAGATCTTGTGAAAGTTATTATCTTCATGCTAACAGGCTTTTGTGGACATTCTTAGCCATGAAGGTGCCGGGGCGCGGAGTCATTGTTTGAATCGGACCATTTTTAAAAAGCTTAACATCTATTTCATCGGTCATTAAGTTTTTTAAAAAGACAATTATAATCCAAAAGATATAACCTCAATATTTTGTATGTTCTCTTGTCTCAATCTCTTGACTTTGTCCTCGAAGGTCACCACTATTTCACAAACAGGCAAGGGGAGGGAAGAGTGTTTGGATCCAAAATCTGACTACTAGATATCCCCACATGTTCCTATTTCTACACGCTATACTTTTAAAAGAATTTATAAGAAGAATCTCAAGGTTTCATTTCACCGGTTTCAAAGGAGAGATTGGAAAATTACGGCTGAACTCAAGGAGAATTTTTCAACAATAAGCGCCTATTCCAGCTCTAATAACCTCAGTGCACACTTGAAGTCCCACTCTGATCATTTTTGTTTGTTAAGTGTTCTCAGTGGACTTTAAACTTTGATTATTAAGTTTTCACCAAAATCTCATTACCTGTGTCATTTTCAAGGGCTTTTCTTCTGCAGAACTCGAGTAGATCATTTGCAATTCACCTCTGAGACGAGGGCAGAGACAGCGCTGCTCTGCACACTCGTCCTCACATAAGCTAGAAGTAGTAGAAGAAACAGGTGACAGAGGTGCTATTTATCTCTCTGACACGAATGTCTTAAGGGACATGATGAAAGTTCATGTTATTATTAGCTTTCTTACAAACATTGCAATCCACTACCGCAATGGCTTGGTCCTCAATCATCCTCTCTATTTCTCTGTGTCTGGTCTGCATAGCGGGGCTCAGGGGGCGGAGCTTGGATTTGCTACATAAGAAATCTCACTATCACTGAACAGAGATTCACAGAGATTTGAATGCAGAAATACTCAGAAATGCAGTTTCACTTAGTTCTCTCATGATTCCTCCTGTAGCATCAGAAAAATGCCATATGAACATATAAAAAACAAGAAAAACATGACGTTCATCTGAGTGGGTCTCAGAGCTCAATTACATCCACGTCTTTCTGACCCTTGCCTAGAAATGCATTTAAAATTAAGATTTCCAGACGCGAATACTGTGCACGGTTCAAAGAGAGGAGCAGAAAGAAGATATCTTTTACCAAACACAGAGTTAAAGTTTAATCTTCATTAAGATGACAGAATTTAATATGTCCTAAAGGTTCAGTATGGAGGAATGGGCAATTTCTAGCAGAAGAGACACTCTGAAGTATGTTGAAATTAGTGCATCGTCACTTGAACATCAAAATTCGATTGTTTTTGATCATTTAAAATCAGCTTTTCATGATCATAAAAACTTTTCAGATAGAGGCTTATTCTTGTTCTTAAAGGTCATCACTAATTCACCAACAGGCGAGGTGAGGGGAGAGTGTTTGGATCTAAAATCTGACTGCTAGATATCCCTACATGTTCCAATTTCTACACATTATACCTTTAAGATAATCATTTTAGGAAGAATCTCAAGTTTTCATTTCACCAGATCTAAACACAGAGAATTTTTCATCAATAAGCGCCTTTCTCAACTCTAATACTCTCAGTACACCCTTAACAACAATGTCCTTCTTTATCCAAGATGTGCAAAGAAAAACCGGGTCATCACAAGTCAGCGCTGCTTTTATTCCATATTAAAAGATTTACACTTTATATCTTCGTATCAGAATGAACTTATGAATTCATCAAAAAAAAAGGGAAAAACTGTAAAAATACATTTTACATGAATGCAGATCTGAGCTAAAATAAAGTTTTCTCAACATTAATCTTTTAATAAAGCCATAAATGCCAAACATGATTACAAAACATGTCACTAACTTCACAACAAACTAACATAAGACGGCAAAAATCACAGGAATATTCCACAGCACCATTAAGCAAACACAATACTGGTCCATTTTCCTTGTATGTGTCCCTTCAGTGCTTTTCATCTTGGCTTTTCTTGTGTGAAATTGATTTTATTTTTATAGCAGCGAGAAAGTACAAATGCCGTTTTAACGTGTCATGGCTAACTGGCTTTATGAGGCGGTCTCATTCACAGCTTTGAAAGAGTCAAAATATCTGATTGCATCCTTTGTATGGCATCTGATCTGGTCCAAAAAGAGTAGAGGCATAGACTTGCATGAGGATTTAAACCTTCTATGTCAATATTACAGATATAGTTCTCTTAAAACCAGTGTTAGGGTGAGGTTTGCAAAGATGCCCTTTTTTTTAAGTTTAATAGTATTTGTATAAGAAAAATCTGTTATAAAAGAATATTTTGCAATTGATAGAACCTGAACTTCACTGAGGTTTATGTTGGATATTCGACTTTGTGTATTCAAAGCAGAGCAGTCCATCAAATCCAGATCCATCATCCTTTGCTGCTGACGTAGACTCCATTAATCAGATGTTCCCAATGTACCATGGCACAGCTGTGGTGACAGTTTGTGTTCATTTAGAGTGACATCAATGATGCTTTCGCAGATAGCTGAGACATCCCAACAATAATTATCCCTGAATTCAGCTGACAAACCAGTCTTTCAGTGTCTGACAGCAAGGGCTGAGCTTTCTTTCAACTGCTACCTTTCGGTTTCCTCCGTTTTTCTTCCCGCTGCTCCTCTTACTGAAATGAAAAAATACCCCCTCATCTATGGCAGTGCGGTGTTATTCTCAAATCTGTTCAAGCCTAAAATTCAACTTGAATTTGCATCTGGTTCAGGTGCAGCTGGTTGAGTAAAGAGTCGATAAATCCAGTTCAGCTCCTGCACTTAAGAGCAGGTGTGTTTGTTTTTCTCATTTCTCTGTGCTGTGTGCAGGCAGCTCTGTTTGAATGGTCGATATTTTCTCTCCGATTTCAAGCGTGCTCTCTCTATGCAAAGAATTCGAGTGGCCTTTCTCCGCAGAGTTCTGGTTTGAGCTGTTGCCTTCGTCCGACTCCAAGAAGGCCTCTCTACTATGCGGTTTGATGAACTGCACGCTCAGTTTGGGCGCCACCACGGCGCCGCCCTGATGGGGGGATCTGCGGATGCATTGCGAGAGCGTGGTGAAGCAGCTCTTCTTGAAGTTCTCGTTCATGAAGGCGTACACGATGGGGTTGTTGAAGCTGTTGGAGAAGCCGATGGCCTGAACAATGGCGATGATCATGTTGACTGTTACGCCGTCGTACTTGTTCTCCAGGTCATCTAGACAACAAAACACAAAGACTCAAACTATAGACTCTGAGAAGATGGCATAACCCTGAGAAGCGAAGAAGGAAAAAACATTACAGCTGGAATTTTGTATTAAACTTACACTTTTAAGTGGGAATGCAAAATTAGATCATTATCGATTAAGATTTATATCAACAATTAACTACACTACCTACCTGATATCAATCCCTACTTACCTAGACTTGTTTTTTTAACCAAAGCCATTTAAACTTTAATATACGAGGACAATGACTGGTGACGATTAACCAACATCACACTCTGCTACATTTAGGGTCCCTAACTTACTTCCTGAAACTATAATTTTTTATGGAACCCCTAGTTATAAACCAGTTGATGGATTGATTGGCAAACTTGTGGATACCTGTCGTTTAAGTCAGTATCAGAGGTTATTACTGATCAATTATTCACTTGGCTCATCTACAAAGATCAAAATGATGAACTTTAATGTTTTTTTGTTGCAAATATTCCCTCATTTTCAGTTTGATGCCTGCAACATGTTATTAAAAAATCGGGGCATGTTTACATTGACCCTTTGTTGTGTATTTTTAATAACACTCAAATAATGATAGGGAACCGAGGCAGCTTTGAAAAGTGGAAATTTTGCCATTGTTCACCATATCTGTTGATGTACAGTCCAGGGTCTCCGTTGTCGTGTTTTTCACTTAATAATGTGTCTTTCACTATAAAGTCCCTCTGTTGTAACCATAGACTGTATATAGAATGGTCAGCATCTGCCTCCTCGCTGGGTGAAGCCACTCCGAGAACAGCACCCTCTGTTGACGGGCTACAGTATAGTTCAAAAACCCGCCACCGCCAGCAAAGCTTATGGAGCTGTGGACAAACATTTGTGTCCACAGATTGTGTAGCTCACCCGGGGGATACGCTGTTTGAGCCAAGCTTCATCACAGCGACTCTCCCGCTGAATTTCGTACAACACTACAGCGCAATGCTGGTTTCAGGAAATGAAGAAAAATCGTGGAAATACCGAGAGCTTTTTGGCTTCAAATCTGTATACTGGCAGAAGGCGGAACCAAGTTGTCCATACAGAAGAATATACAGTCTATGACTGTAGCACGCGCAGAATGTGTCTTGGCATTGTCTTGCTGAAATAAGCAGGGACGCCCTTGAAGAAGTGGCTTGCATGGCAGCAGATGTTGCTCCAAAGCCTGTATTTACCTTTTAGCAGAAATGGAGATTTCACGGATGTGACAGTTACCAATGCCAACCATCATAGAAGCTGGCTTTTGAAGTTGGTCCTGAGATAATCCTTTTTATCTCAAGCCCGGAGGACACTGTAGCTATGATTTCTAAAAGAATATTTAAAACGTGGACTCGTCAGACCACAGCACAATTGTCCACACCTCAGAAGAGCTTGGGTTCAGAGATACTGTATCCTATCAGGCTTTGGCTTTGCAGGGTAGAGTTCGAACTTGCACTTGTAAATGTAGAAATGAAATGTTGGTTTCCAGCCTTGCGCCTTACGTGCAGATTTCTCTGGATTTTCTGAATCTTTTGATGATATTATGGACTATTGAGAATGAAATCTCTAAATTCCTGTAACTGTACGTTGAGGAAAGTTCTTGAACCACTTGCTCACGCAGTTGTTGACAGAGGTGAATTTCGCCCAACTTTGCTTGTGAACGACTGAACCTTTTGGGGATTCTCCTTTTACACCCAGTCATGACGCTCACATGTTTCTAATGAACCTGCTCACCTGTGGAAAGCTCCAAACTGGTGTTCCACTCTTTTGTTGTATCTGTCCCGATTTTTTTAACGTGTTGCAGACATCAAATTCGAAACATCCCAAGTTTCAAGGCTACAAAGCTGTGTAAAAAGTAACACACACACATCTATTCTAACTTTGTTTCACTGGATAATATGAAACCTATCATGCAGAATTTTTCACCGATGCCAGTTTAACGTAAACAAAAAGTTTTGAGAAAAGAAACTCACAGTATTCGAACAGCATGTGGACCGTGTGGAAAGGTGCCCAGCAAATGGTGAAAAGCAGGACGATGGTGACCATCATTTTCACGGCTCTTTTCTTTTTCCTGGTGAAAACAAAAACGAAAGAAAACTTGATGACAGAGAGAACAAATGCAGCTTAAAATAATGATAATAATAACAACGATGATGGTGCTCTTTCAGATAAGTTTGTCAAAAGGCTCTGGTGTGTGATTTTTACACAAAAGTTACACAAGTTAACAAAAGAAAACCTTCAGCAGTGTTGATGTTTTGACTCCCACTAAAGCTGAGAATAATTTCAGCTTAAAAACATGTTTTCAATGCAGATAAAGACTTATAGAAAAAAAACCTGGCAATCACAGAGCAGAAATTCTTTGGCCTCAAACGACGCCAGTCATTCAACACATGGTTGATGCTGTAATTTGACAGAGAATTGCATCTTTTCTGGAAAGTTGATGGGCTGTGAAGCAAATCGATATGACAGCTGCCTATCAAGATGCTGGCTATTAATCTTGCCCTTTATTTTCAGGCGTCAACACGTCAGTATCTGACATTTGTAATGAACACCTGTTATCTGGCCTTCCTGGAACTGAGATTTGTGCAGCTATAGGTACTGGCATTCAGCGGTGAAGAAGAACGCAGCAATGAGAAGGTCAGTTTGGTTGGGTGGGCAAACAAGGACTTCTAAGACTTAAGTTTCTCTAACGTTTATTTCCTTTGATTATCCTTAAATATGGCAGTAAAGATCCACTCTTTTATTTGCTGTCTGTATTAAATACTTGACTCTGATTGGTCAGATATTAACTCTCATGATCTAAAATGACGCCAGAGACACTCTGTGCCGAAAGGAGTTGTTTTCGTCATCTTAGACTTAAGTAGACTTCTTATTTACACGAGCGCCCCCTCACCATTCATCACCCCTTACTTTTCTACTCTTTATTCTACCAAAAACACCTACTTTCAGTATCAGGAACCTTGTACTTTTTTTTACCTTTCTGCTGTGTCGTATTTTAAACTCCCTCTAAAGTTCTGTCGATAAAATGGAAAAGTGTAAGCTGTCAGGTTGCTCAGTGATTAACTCTCATGATCTAAATGACGCCAGAGAAAGTCTGTGCCGAAAGGAGTTGTTTTTGTCATCTTAGACTTAAGTAGACTTCTTATTCACACGAGCGCCCCCTCACCATTCATCACCCCGTACTTTTCTACTCTTTATTCTACGTAAAAAAACACCTACTTTCAGTATCAGGAACCTTGTACTTTTTTTTACCTTACGTCTAAAGATCTGTCAATAAAATGGAAAAGTGTAAGCTGTCAGGTTGCTGAAAGCCGAGTCATTTTGTGAAAATAAAGCGCAAGTTTCCTCTCCTTGTCGTCCAGATGCCGGGACCAAACACTCCGAGCTGCTTGTACAGCTTCAAGAATGTGAAACTTTCCACCCACGACTTCTTTCAACTGTGTTTGGAGGTATGAAAAGCACGAATTTTAAAGTTGTTCAAACTACGAGGACATCTCTTGGCAAACTTCTGACAAGGTTGTAGCTACTGAGGGGCACAGCTAAATTTTTAACACTTTTTGGAGCCTTCCTCGCTGTCAGGTATGTTACTCGAGCTTTCTTTTCTGCATTCAGGTTGTTACCTCCGCCAAGGAGGTTATGTTTTTGGTAGCATTGGTTTGTTTGTTTGTTTGTCTGTCTCAGCCCCAGGAGGATCCCCTTAAATTTTGGTGGTGATCCAGACAAAATTCTGGATACTGTGATCCAGAACACACAAAAATAAGGGTGTCGTTGGAATTTTCAATGCTGAAAGATAAGTAATGGGCAGCAGAGTGGTGCAGGTAGGCAGCACTGTGGTGTAGTGGTTAGCACTGTCGCCCCCACAACCAGAAGGTCCTGGGTTCAAATCCTGGTCAGGGCATTTCTTGTTTCATGAACAGTGAACATACCAGTTTAAACACAAATAAACGTTAATAAAAGACACGCAACAGTATAAGTTTTGGTGTGAATCACAATATAAGGGGGGACGTGAGCTGCTTGGCGGAGGTCTGCGCTCTCCAAGTGCTTTTTTATTTTTTTATGGTGTGACAAGCGAGTGTAGCTTTGGGAATGGATTAAGATAGCAGGACAGGATGCCTGAAGCTAAATTATAAACTGTATTTAAAGCAAAATGTCTGTTTAGAGATTAAAAATGCATGAAAGTTTCAGACACCAAACCCCCTGTCTCCTCCCTGCTGTTTTTTATGTTTGTGAGACTCCCCAGTTGTCTAACCTACCTGGATATCTTACTAATCTCCCTGTGGTTCATTGTTTCCAGGACTGAGGAGTCGCCCACCCTCTTGCGGATCCACAACTCGATGCCGATGCGGGTGTAGAGGAACAGCATGGCGGCCAGAGGCAGCAGGAACAGAGCCACCATGATGAAAGTGGTGTACGTCTGCCTGTGAGTCATGGAGGTCCATCTTTCCTGACAGCACACGTGGTAGTGATCGTATAAGAAGTCGTACTTCACCTACACAGCAGGAGGAAGAAAAGATAGGACTTAGAGAAGCTCTGGCTGTGCAGTATGTGAGAGTTTGTTGACTGTATATTAAACAACCACAACAGGAGCTCAACTTAGCAGCACTTAGCAACTCTTTGATCGGTGTTTATATGGCCTTAACCCCCTCCCCCGTGTTTTTCATAAACAGAGTATGCAAATCATAAAGAAATCACAGCTCCAGACTTCTTAGAGCTCCAGATCACCGTGAGTTTTTCAGTATTATATACACTTTAACATGAGTTTGCAGCAGAGTTGTAAGAAGTGGGCGGATTGACCTTTACAAAAACAGCTTGGAATTAATTGAAAGATTAGTTTTCTAATTATTTCCAAAGATCATCACCTTAATCGCCAGCATTTACAATTGAACACTAAGAGGAGCTAAAAACAATAACATCTTTTAAATTATCTCTTATGAAATGAAACACTTACCTCCAGCTGTTGTACAAACAACATGGGTGAGCCCACCACCACTGAGGCGATCCATACCAGCCCTGCAGGATGTAAACATAAAGCTCATTTACACGCCGATATGACCATGCTTGGAGGAATATACAACAGCTGTGAAAGGAAAGAGGACGAGTAGCTACTTCAGAAATTCACAGTCACTATCACGGCTTCTGTCTTTAAAATGAGCCTTTTAACACAACCTGACAGAAGCAGCAGGAAGGCTTCAAGCTCCAGAAAGATGAGGGTTTACTCTAGTTTTACATTATCTTGGGTAAATATAAAACATTATTCTAAGTTATTTGAGGGACAACATGAAACTATAACATCCATCGTAACAGTAACAACCATATTTGATGATAAACTTCAAATCCATCCATTTTCTAAAGCTTATTCCCGTTGGGGGTCGCTGGAGCCTAACCCAGCATCTTCGGGCGAAGGCAGGGGACATCCTGGACAAGTCGCCAGTTCATCGCAGGGCTGACATATAGAGACGAACAACCATCTACGCTCACATTCACATCTATAGGCAATTTGAAAGTGGCCAATCAACCTAACCCCACTTCTGCATGTTTTTGAGATGTGGTGGGAAACCGGAGTACCCGGAGTAAACCCACGCAGACACAGGGAGAACATGCAAACTCCACACAGAAGCGCCCTGACTCAGATTCAAACTCAGGACCTTCTTGCTGTGACATGACAGTGCTAACCGCTACACCACTGCGTCGCCCAACTTCAAATCCTTTTCTTTAAAAAGACTAAAACGATACCAGACCAGACAGTTAAAAGGACAGCAGCAGAAACAAAATATGGAAAGCTGTTTTAGCAGCGTGTTTCTAAAAGGGAAACTAAAGAGTTTGGAGGTGTTTATGTGTTTATGAAACAGGCTCAATTTGATACTCATGCCTCTTTGACACCTTCAAAAGCAAAGTAGTTTTGACTATTTGTGCATTTTTACTTTTAAAATCTCCAGATGTTGCCAACAGGTGAGTGTCAGCTAAAGCTAGCGACATCATTCCTGCCAAAAACAGCCTTTTTCTAATATTTCCTTCTTCAAAAAGTGGCACTTCCAGACTTTTATTTTCTTGTACACTTTGAAGAGACACTCAAAGGATATTCTCAAACCTGTACGTGTCAAGATCATGAAAGACACGGATACAAAGGAGCAGAAGCACTGTCGGATGTTTGTATTGATCCCAAACAGCAAACAGCTGCCCTTTGGTTCTTCAGGCATGAGCCGCTTGATTTCTCATGTGAAGGGTAAAAATGAACTAGGTCAAAGAGTGAAGAGTGAACAATTTAGTAACTAACACATTTTTTGACTGCACTTGCACCAGAGGCATCTACTGCTGACTTCCTTGTACATTTACACACACAGCCCACACGGTTTGGAGGATTCATCCCTCATCCAGAGCACAAGCGAGTGAGTGTGCATGAGGGTAACAAGAGAGTCTACACTGTCAAGTAAAATGATATGGAGCCGTGTAAAAGCAAATTGAACTCAAACCTTGCAAATGTAAAACAAACAGCCACAGGAGCATCTAAACCTCGACGCAGCTTGCAGCCTGTTCTGTGAGAGTCTGCACAAAAACGTATAATATGCATCCTCACACGGGTGTAACACTCGAATTGATTAGATCCCCTGCAGATGTACGGCGTTCATTTAGCTTGCATAACACTCGTGGCAGCAGAAAAGCGGAACATGTTGATTAGCCCTCATGCACATGCAAACTTTGTCACAGCTCTTACAGCAAACACAAGACCAACACAGTACAGTGCTAATAAGCCTCTCTTGCAAACATAGGATACCTAGCATCTTGTATGCTCTTTTGGACGAGTACTGCCTCCTCATCCTCAACGGGAAGACAATGCCCTGGTATCTCTCGATGGCGATGCATGTCATGGTGAGGATGCCCGTCACAATAGCTGTGGTCTGCACAAAGGGAACTGTCTTGCAAACCAGAACCCCTGTAAAAAAACACACAACAGAAGGGATGGACAATAATGAGATTGTGGAGAGACAACAGACACATTTCTATTCAGGCTCACAGGTCTGCTTATCGTCTGATCTTAGAGTGGAAACAAACACAGTGGAGCTCTTTTCTCCTCCTGTCACTCTACCTGTGTGTGTAGTGGGGGGGGGGGATGGAAATGACAAAACGACAATCTCTGATTTCTCTTCTGCACACTGATCACACACTTTTCACGTCTAATGAAGCAAAGAGGTGAAACCCTGGTGAAGACTTGCACACCCTGAGCATAATGAGCCTATTTCAATTGGGTCGCATGCTTTGAGCTGGCCTGTTATCGCTATGGTACACTGTTAGTTACATTTCTTGAAGGGTCCTTGTTGGTTTCAGGCATTGTGTTGAATATCATGACGCTGTTTGTGCTTTCATTATGTCATGCATACATGCCACATGCTTATCTAAGGAAAAAGCTCTATTGTCATACAAGGTAATATCAGACGCAACGGAAAAAATGCATTATGCTCTTGAGTTACTGCACCTAAAAGTAGATCCCATGCAAGCACATCTAGAAGGGAGAGCAGAAAAGAAAACTAAGCAGAACTGCAACCACACACACAGCATCCCTAACCCTAACCCAAACAGGACATACCTTTAATGCTTCAGATCATTTAAAGCTCCTGTAGGGAAATTTTTGTATGTATCAATTTTTTGGGGGGATAAAGCAGACTTTGCTTATCTTGTAGTATTAGTACTTTTAAGTAGTACACAAAAACTTATCCGGCTGACTTTTGGCAGTTAAATGTGTTGATCAGAAATATTTCTGAGAAACTTTTTTAATGAGCCCAAACAAAGTTAGCGTGCTACAATATCGGACAGTAGAAACCAACCAGAAAGTACGGAAAATTGTCTGAATCCTCCTTTGACCACGTCTGCCGACACAAGCAAGAAAACGAAGTTGATACCGGAGACTCTGGCGGAATAACAGGCGTTTAAAAAGCCGGGCAAGAGCTAAGGCTTAGGGTCAACATAGCATAAACGATGGGGAACGCTTCGGGATCTTAAAGACCCTGTAACCGTTTCTGCTGGACAGGTTAATCGCTTTAACAAAGTAAGCCAAGTGTCTGTAACAGGAGTGTTTCTTGTCAAACAGGACCTGCTGCATGTCGTAGCGCTGCTAAACTGTTGACCTCGGGTCCTGGACTATGTCACTTCATCCTAGTTGTAGAAGTCCTGCTAACATTGTGTTTGCTGGTAGTCTGTTGGCATCTACAGTGGCACCAATGCTTTTTCCTCTCACGTTGACTGAGCCCCATTTGTAATTATCTGAAGTATTAATCTGCATTATATCTTAATTTTAATTGAAACGATACAAGTGAGCAGGAGCGTCTGTTTGTGGGCGGGGCTTGCTGAAGCAGAGAGGGAGGGGAGAGGAGGAGCGGAGAGGAAAACTGGTTGCGAGGGGTAGAGTTTACATTCAAGATTCCTCCCAAAAACTGGCACCTCCTCAGATCCTGTCTACCCCACTTTTAAGTAAAAAAAATCTGTCAAAAAGATTTAATGCTGCCAGATAGAATCTATTGTTTGACTCATGCATGGCAAAACTGACATACTTCAAAGTAGCCTGGTTTGAGGAGCCATGTCATCTGCTGGTGCTGGACCACTGTGTTTTATCAGGTGTCTACCAGGACGCTCTTGAGATGGCTGGATGGATGGATGGATGGATGGATGGATGGATAGATAGATAGATAGATAGATAGATAGATAGATAGATACATACATACATACATACATACATACATACATACATACATACATACATACATAGATAGACTTTATTGATCCCAAACTGGGAAATTCACACTTGAGCACTTCATGCTTCCCTCTGCTGACCAGCTTTTCTGAGATGTTGATTTCATTTCCCAACAGGTCATGGTGCCTGCCCACACCACCAAAATTGCCAATACCTGGTTTAAGAACTGTGGTATCCATGTGATTGATTGGCCAGCGAACTCACCTGACCTGAACCCCATGAAGAATCAATGGGGTATTGTGAAGAGCTGAAGGCTGCTAACAGAGCAACCTGGGCTTCCATAGCAGTGCGACAGACTGATCACCTCCATGTCACTGCAAGTACTGAGTTTATACTTTTCAGTCTGACCTTTCTGTGAAAAACCTTTTATCGTTCTTCAGTATTATTAATATTTATATTTTCTGAGATATTGAATTTTAAGTTGATAACTTTTGGATGATATTCTTATTTAATGAGATGCACCTGTATTATCTGAACACAATGTGAGTCAGACTTCCTCCATATGTTGTCAGGCAGATCCGATCATGTTTAGGTTGACCTATCTACACTTGCAATTAGCATTCCTTCATCTCTAACCAGACAATCCGTTGAAAGCAGATCACACCTTGATGATAGGTGTTAATTGGGTCCTTGTCATTTATTCAGGTCCCATATGGTTTAATGATAAGAATATATGTCTTTGCCTGTATATACAAGTGCATCTCCAAAAATATGTCTGTAGTGATTTCTTTATATTTTTAAAAAAATTAGTCAAGTATCTTAAAATAAAATTGTCAGATCAATATATTTTTTAAAGTTTTTTGAGCGCTAATTATGAGACTTGGACAGAAAAATGCTTGACATATTTAGGTGACGCATATTGAATTTAGAATTAAAAAAAGGGGAATTTTCTATATCTTGGATGCACTATTATATACTCCTCGCGTCACCCTGTCAATGTTTCCGTGAAAAGTCTTTGCATGACTTCTGCAACCTATTTACGCAGCATCTACAGGATTTGAATTGACTCCTGTGGTGACATCATAACAGGAGTGATCGGCTCGCCATGCTCCCAATCCTTGAGTTATCCCCCTTCTCTGTTGTGGTTTTGCTTTGCTCTTGTAGAGTGAAGATGTCAAGATAAGAACATGATACTGTAACTGCTTTGTTGTTGCTAAGATGAAAATGTCATAACTCCGTTTAGAGCACATGCACTGGAAGACCACAGCAATAGTGGTTTCCTTTTCCCTTTTGGGAGAAACACAGAAAAGTTGTGCATAGTGCATACTTTTTTTCAACAACAATGTGCCATCTGCAGTTAACCTTAAGCTGCTTCAACCACAAAGACCAATCACATAAAGTTACAACTGAAACGCAAGGGATTAGAAAACGCACACAAATCACAACATACGACACAGAGACAAGCTGTTGTTTTCTGATGGTCAGGTAATTAGCAACATGATAACCTGAACAAGAGACAGGAGGCTTGGTAATCAAAGCTGTAAAAGGAACAAGTCCTTGTGTAAGGTTTCTGTTTGTCCCAAAGCAAAATACTGTCACTGATGTTGAGTTACAAATGGTCTGAAATACTTCTATTGGGACAGCAGCAGAATAATAATCTACTGGGAACAAAATCACAGCTCAAACCTCATCATTTCAAGCTAACCAAAACACCACAGAAGGCCTGGTGAACACTGTTTTATACAATCCAAAGAGCCCAATTCCATAACAACAGGCTCCCTATTTACACTGTTTAGAGTTAGTCACAGTCAGCTGTTATAAAAACAAACTCAAATCGAAAATCTTGTACCACAAATCTCCAGTACCAACCCTCCTTGTATGCAGAGCACATGAATTATGATACAATTTATCAAGGTCAGAAACATCCTGTGTTGTTGGTCCAGCACATTCAAGTAAATTGTATAGCCATTTCAGTGTAATAAATATTTATTTATTCATTTTCTGTCTGCTGCTAACCAATATGCCTACTGTATCTGCTCCCTCTGCTTCTCCATTGCAGAGGGAGCAGATACACATGACAGACACGCACATACTACGCATGTTGAAACTTTGCTGTGACAAAACCAATTTAAACTATTTTTGTAAGATGCTGCTGTCAACTCTAGCTGCGATTAAATAGCATAGCACAGCTGGTTTTGAAGGTTTTGATTTGCCATGTTATTAACCTCAAGTTTCCACCAGACTTCGTTCATCTGATGTGAAAATGAATCCCAAGAAGCAGACTTCAAATGGAGTTGTGTTTGATGGTGATGGGGTGAGAAATGTTGCAGATCAGAGAAGTTGACAAGGCAGACGGTCAGAGGCAGGAATAGAAAATAGCAGAGCAGTTACAGAGTTATCATTATACTGGGGGTCTTATTACCTTTCATATGAGTATGGGGGATGAAATGTACTGAATCTTTTATCAGACTGGGAATTTATTCACTGACATTTTGATATGTACTTATTTGAAGGTAAAATGTGAACTGTTATTCCACCAAGAGCCCAACTTTAAGCAGGGGCAGCCCTGACTGTTTCTCCCCCTGTAACATGTAATCACAAATGTACTTTCCTGAAATACGACCTTTCTAGTCTTCTGAATGCTCAAATTGCTTTACACTGCAAGTCATGCTGGCTTTTCACACACTGATGATTAAAGCTGCCATGCAGGGTGCTGGCCAGCCCATCTAATTCAGCACACGGTCACACAGGCGGCTCCGTCTTCATGAGCAATTTAGGATTCAGTAACCCATTCAAAGAGCCAGATATTGATCTGCACCATTTCAATCAGTAAGCAGTTTGCTCCACTTTTGAGCCGCAGGGAACCTCTCATTACACATCAGATACATGAAAGTACTGGTGATTTACTCATGTCTCTATATTTGGCTGGTTTTTGTTTTGATTCGGACACAGGTCATTTAACCTCCCACACTAACTCGAAATTTGATGTATGTTAGTTGCAGGAAAGTAAAATACATGATTTGAAAGGGTAAACAGTGGAGCTAATTTCAAATACATTCACTTTGCATGTGAAGTGGAAAGATTACCAATATTCCCCTACTGTCAAAGTATTGTACAGTTACTGTAGTGACGTTTTACTCATGCAGCAGTAAAACTACCATCTGTTATTATACACTTGTGACAGTAAAAATTTATTTATTTGAAATGTAACTTGCACCAGTAGGGGTGAGTGGGAGTAATATGACCCCCAAAACAATAACAAGACATTATTTCTCAATCTAGTTGATGAAATATGACCAATATCACCTAATTGTAAGAGGATTTTGACTCTGCACCTATCCTGGGTGTAGTTTTTGAATACTTGTGCAGCATTTTTTATCGGTATTGCACTTTGAGGATGGTCCCTGCACACTTAATTCATTGCAGGAAAGGATTGTTGAGGATTGTGAAGAATAGAAATGGCTGCAAAGGTGGCAAACAACATTTTCTCGACAAGTTTCTTAAAACAAGATGCCGAAACCATGAACTAAAACTGCATGCCTTTATACTTAGCTGACTGCACAGCTATTAAAGACACATGTCTATGAGTTTTGACAGCAATAGCAAGAAAACGAAAAAAGGAAATGCTTAGAAAGCACACCTGACATGCACAAAAATCTAATTGCAGATCTGAATAAGGCAGATCTGCAGCTACATAATGCAGATGGAGCATGATTGGTCAAAATATATGTATAAAGTAAATGAGACATCAGCTGAAGTGAAGTAGATGCTTTTCATTTTTAAACCCCTTCATGTGCATTTTATCTAAATGTCAAAAAAAATCAACAACGTTAAACTTTCTGATTTTTTTTTTATCACATTTTTGCTCATGTAAGCTGAGGGGCTTAAAAACTGAGAATAATACTTATTTTAAAGGACTTATAAAGAAAAATTGGTCTTGAATGAGATACTTATTTGGTCTGTTACGTCAGTGTGATACACAATAAAAGCTATACTTTAGCGCATGAATCCAAATGATAGTTAATACCTTTTCTGCTCCCTATAATGCACTCAAGTATTTCATTGACTTTTCAAGTAACATCACCTGGTGTCATTTGGTATTCAGATGATAGTTAGAATTGTTGGAGAAGTTGAAAACTCACCCCCGAACCACTCAGACGAGATGTTCTGCAGCAGAGTAAAAGGGATGCAGAAGAAAGTGATGAGCAGGTCGCTGACCGCCAGAGAGCAGATAAAAACATCCGTCGCAGTCTGAGTCGCGCGTTTCTTCAAAACTATGTAAATGACCAAACTATTTCCAGCCAGAGCCAGCACGAATATCACCATGTACATGATGACAAAAGTTATCTTGGCGCTGTAGGGTAACTCGGGGATGTAGACGAGCGGCTCGATGTTGTAGGTGTCGATGAACTCCTGACGGCTCAGGTTGTAGTACTGGAGCATCTCCTGTAGCGCTTCGGGAGTGATCTTTGTGGACCCTTGCTCCGCATCTGTCGAGGCGGCTGCCATCCTTATTCGAGCGTCCAGATCTGATATCAGCTTGTTAGGGTTTAAAAGAAAAAATATATATAGTTCACTTTTAGACCATAAACCTCCTCTTTAACCTAGAGGTGGTTCGGCACGCTCCTCCTCCTCCGGGCAGCAGAACATGCTGCTGCCACTCTGCTGCTGCAGCTGTACAACTGTGTTTGTGCTCAAGGATGACCACGTGTGCGTGTGCGTGCGTGCGTGTGGATTTAAGAGTACCGGATGACAGCCCTGTATTGTAAAAGCGACCAATTATGTGCAATATCGATTTAACAGCTTCCAATTCACCAGTAATGGACTCCCACAAAAACAGACTTCACAGTCAAATTTTACTAGAGAACCTGGACTCTTCATGATCACTCCACTTCAGGTGTTATGTAATTACCTGACTTGAATGAAGTAGAGTGCAGGATAATATATTTGCACTTGGCTTGGGTCTGTGTCTGAATCTTGGGGTTTGATGCTGGTTAAAAAAAAAAATCTGATTTATGGTTAAAGTTGGGGTAGGCAGGATCTAAGGAAGAGCCAGTTTTTGGGAGAAATCTTGAATGTAAACACTACCCCTCCCAACCCCGCCAACAAACCAGACGCTCCTGCTCGCTCGTATCGTTCCAATTAAATCAGATATAATGCAGATAAATACTTAAGATAATTACAAATGGGGCCCAGTCAACGTTAAAGTAAAAAGCATTGGTGCTACTGTAGATGCCAACAGACTCCCAGCAAATACAATGTTTGAAGGACTTCCACAACTAGGAAAAAGTGACATAGTCCAGGACCCGAGGTCAACAGTTTAGCCACGCTACAACACGCAGCAGGTCCCGTTTGACAAGAAACACTTGGCTTACTTTGTTAAAGCGGTTTACCTGTCCAGCAGAAAGGTTACAGGGTCGGCGATATCATTATATTACCAAATGTCATCAATAACTAATAGCCATCGACTGATATTAAAAGCTCTTTTGTGTAAACACCACAAAAAAGATGCTTCTTTAACAGATTCCTGCACACCCCACCTTTAAATGTGGTATTTTTTCAAGCTATTTTAAATAACAGTATAGTTTTTACATAATAATAATAATTGATATAGTGCCTTTCAAAGAACCCAGGGCCACTTTACGAAGCAGAATATATACACAAAAAATGTCAAAAGCTATGTAAATGTAAATGTTCTTTATTTATACAGCCCTTTACAACAACCCTTTTGTGCTTTACAAAAAAAAAAAAAATTAATACAATAAAAAGCAATAAAAACAATAAAGTTAAAATAGATTTGGTCAAGAGCTTTAAAAACAAACATTAAAAGTTTAAAATCAATCCTAAAAGAGACGGGAAGCCAATGAAGGGAGCTCAGGACAGGAGTGATGTGCTCATGTCTGTTAGTATTAGTTAAAAGATGGGCAGCAGCATTTTGGGCAAGTTGAAGGCGACTAAGAGATGATTGGGAGATGCCAACATAAAGTGCATTACAATAGTCCGATCTTGAACTAATTAGAGCATGGATGGCTATCTCAAGGTCATGACGGCTTAAAAACATTTTTACCTTGGCCAGGAGACGTAGTTGGAAGAAACTAGTCCTGACAACATTGTCAAATGTACATAATTTGTAAGAACGTGTGTTGCGTCTATAAAAAAAATCATTCTTAAGAGCCTATGTTAATTCGTGTAGTTCCCACAACTGTCCCCATCACTCTGAAACCATTAAGCAACTGCCTAATGTCTGACAGGTTGAGTGGAATTTATGTGAACATTTTTGATTGGCATTAAAATTGAGTTTCATTATATTCATGACAAGCAACAGCACACATCAATCTATATGGGTATGCAAATGTGCCAGAGTGAAGTCAGAGGCTGATTTCATCTGTATTCCCAGCTGAAGGCAAACTGGCGGTAAACATATGGATATACATCAAGCTTAAGTGGACAGTATGCAATAAAAAACAACATGTACCAAACAGCACAAGTAATTTACAGTCCAAGCCACATGTTGTATTGTTACAACTGATAGGCAATTCTAAAAGGTGGTTTTTCTGCAAGAAATGGAGGTGGAAGAGAGTCAGAGTCATGGATTGCTTGTGGGTGAGAGTCCCAGAGATGGAGGGCTGCACAGATGAATACTCCAGGCCTAGAAGAGGGTAATCAAGCATGAGGTACAGCAAAGAGCACAAAGGAGGAAAATTGGAGAGTACAGGTAGGAGTATAAGTAAAAGGGCAATCATAGTGGCTTGGAAGTGATAGGTGATGGAGAGCCTTGACTGTAAGAAGAAGAATCAAAGGATGTAATGAAATTTGACTTAGAGGACAGATAGAGCTGGGTGTTAGCAGCATAAACAAGGAAAATGAATGAATGAATGAAATATGACCTAGAGAAGGAAGGTACATCTTGAACAAGAGGGGACCGAGGATGGATCCCTGGGGAACACCAGTGGTTACTGTAAAGGAATTTGACTCTTTTCTAATTTTTCACCGAGGCTACCTCACTATTGTGTTCATCTGCCAAGCATCTCCTTCAGTTTCTTGGTTACTTTGATAGCAGGTCTTGCCCCAACTCCTGTGTGATTGGTTACCTTGGGCGGTGTAATCAGCACCTTTATATTAACACAGTCTGGGGAGTTTAGGAATTGCACCTAACTAACTAAACACTGAGCTCTTAGAAAGACATAGTGTGTAGCGGTTTCTCTACTGAAGCTGATGCCCCTGGTTAACTGGCTGCTGATGCTACTGATTAACTCTCTGTGGAGGTCAGCTGATGAATACACATTTTATAAGTCGACAAGCTAATGAGCTGGCTAACATGCACATTGGGGTAAGATGATGATATGAACGTACACACAACAGCTCTCCACTGGTTAGCTTCTAAGTGTTGATATCACACTTCTGCATTCAAGTTCAAGGTTGAAATGTTCCTTCATTCGCTGGTAAACACTTGCTGCTCCCTGATCTTTGTCTCTGTGCATCTGCGCGGTCTTTTATTGAAAACTGAAAAGATTTCTTTCAGCTAACGTTATAACTTCTCTTTCTTCAGGTTGATTTGTTCATGGACTTGATAGATATACTGTATATACGGCATTCATGTGGCAGGTTGACAATACGAATCCATTTAATTTTATTCTCCCTTTTTGCAGAAGATCTATTTTTTTCTTTTTTGCAATGTGCAGTGCGGCTCCTTTATCTCCGACACCCAGCTGTTTGTGTAGATACACAATAAGAGATAAAAAAAGGAACATAGATAGTTGTTTACATTCTGGAATGAGAAGTTTGATTGCTCATTGATCTGTTGGTAATGCCTCGGGAATTTAGAAAGTGAATCTCGCCTTGTGCAAATGACAAAAGGGAAGAGCTGCCTTCTTATCCCAATATCTTCTATGTTGAAGGTAATTTAAAAGATAGCGAGGGTAGAAAACAAAAAACCTGTTAGCTACTGAGAGAAACCTGCTCAATATACACTATCTGTTATTGACCTGTGCTACTTTTCCTTTTTGAGCTGCTGGGTAGTGTGTAGTTCATTTGGATTAACATCAGAAATCATTTTTGAGAGCTTTTCTCTCTTATATCTTGGAATTATTGAAGGCCATTGTTAAAAATATGTAAAGGTTATAATTAAGGTTCAGTTTGCTAAACACCTCCCACTTCTTTTAGAATTTTAGCTCCAGCACTGTGGAAGTTAAGACATAACTTTAGGAACCTTGCGGCTTGTGTTGAGAGCAAAACTCAATACAGAGCAGCTATTTATGACTTTTTAAAATACTTGTGAAAGCAAGAGCCACCTCAACCACAGGCTCTGGGATTTTATTTTTGACCCTATCTGAAAATCACTGATCCATGCGAGTGAATTAAGGACATGTATTATAACAACATGAGTTATCCTTGGGGTTATTCTGGGACACAGTATAAACAGACTTCACAAAGGTAAATTGAGGACTATTTTCTGCTGTGAGGTTTTGATTATGTCTTTAGGTGAAAATACAAACCCCTTCAAAATACAAGTTTTTCTTCCGACCCTCACACAGCTGAAAATTTGCACCTCATTGAGAAAAACCTCTGCCATTTCTAATCAACCATTTTTGCCCAGTTTGATGTCAGTTTGGATTATACCTGCTTATTTTTAAAAAAATTACACAACTTACCAAGACAGTTATTATATCTTACCTATGACATATTTTACAGTGAATAACTTGCATCCAACGATGGGAATAGTACAACAAAAACAAGTCCTTTTAACCACTTCTCGGAAAAATAGTACGAAGATAACATTTTGCAGGAAAGACGAGCTAATTCAAATCGATCACAGTCAAGGTTCTTGTAAAATGTAAAGTATGAAAACACAGAAATTCCACCAATTGACAACATTATCAAGGAAATACTATCTTATCACTCTGGTATGTTGCAGCACTTTCACAGCTACATTAACCTTCTTGTGAGGTTGTAGTGAAGTAATGTGTACAAAGGAGCTGAATTAGCTCTCACTTCAATCGCAGCAGGTACTACAAATGTGAAGTTTTACTAAGTGGAGGCTGTAAACCAAAAATATGAGACAGACTGTTGCTATATCAGCGGTATTCATTAGTTTTCCTTTGTACAAACTAAATCAACACTACTTACTACTTGATACTGCTTCTACTTATTTTCATTTATTTGTATTAAAGCTATTAGAATCAGAGCACATTACACCGATGGTCACAGGAACACAAGAGTTTTATAAGTGTATGTGTCTGTGAGCGTAGGAGTTATCCAGTACTGAAGATCTAATAAATAAATTATAATAAAGGCCCTTGCTCTTGACTATATTGCATCTCAGTAGTGTTCACCGCCGCTTATCTATTTCAGTTTTCACGGCTGGGTTAATTAGTGGATGTTGCTGTAAATCATTTCCCGTATCTATCCTTAAACGATCCATCAGCATGCTACAAACTTTATTAATTATTCCCAAGGGTATAATTTCCTCCAACTCCGGAGTTTCAATCTTGAAAGTTTCGAATAGGTCTTATTGATCAGCAAATGCTGTCTTAATAAGAAGAAAGAAAAAACATCTAACTGTGCCAGTCGGCTATAAAGACGCCCCGAAAAGCTTGTGCACCCACATACATTTTATTGATTAAAAAATCTTTAAAACAAACAGAGAAAGAAACTTAAATAATCCTAATTAGGGAGGGTGATGGCAGCATAGCATCGAATATAATAATCTTACATAACAATATATTAATGATTCTCCAAACCAAGATAATTTATCGACAAGTTGCAGAGGAAATCAAAAACACTTTACTTTAAACTCACAAGAACTTGGTTTGAACTCCAATGATTCAAGTAGATGAGTCAGAGGAAGCAGGACCCTGAAGGGATCAATCGTCCTTTCCAGAGCCCATCAGCAAAATAATGACATTGTTATGCCAGAGTGTAGATGCTGTAGAAGATTGATGGATAAAAAGCCCTCCAGGGCGGTACAATGCCTCATTGAGTTTCAAATTTGCCTCTTTCTTGAACCTGTACTGAGCTTACTCTATTTTATTTTTAATATTTTGTCAACAACTGATGGATATTTCTGGCGGGAGAAAAGTTTATTCAAGAGAAAAGCTTATTTCATTGAGACAGAGCAAATGTGGACAACAAAATCCAATTCCAGCAGACATCTAGGAGTGTTTTCATGGTTGCTGTGCTGGTGCAAAAGTGAAGGCAGAGTTGAAGGCTTGAAAATGGAGATATAAGTCCTTTCTTCAATCAGTCATCATGGGTAAGATCAACTCTCTACCCAAAATAAGTAATGAGCTGGAGATACTGGTGAGGATTGAGAAAGCACAACGGCTGAAGTTCCTTGTGTTGTTCTTCATGAAACAATGGCTAGGATACAGACTCAACATCTTGTTTGAAAAAAAAAAAAACAGGATGATGGTGGACGGATCCTCTCTCTTTGCTGCAGGACAGAGAGTTTCAGAAGATCTTTTGTACCCACAACCATCACACTTCTTTATTACCTCCGCCAAGGAGGTTATGTTTTCGGTAGCGTTGGTTTGTTTGTCTGTTAGCAACTTTCCGGAGAAATTTACAGACCGATTAACCTGAAATTTTCACCAGAGGTGTGTCTCAGCCCCAGGAGGATCCCGTTAAATTCTGGTGGTGATCCGGACAAAATTCTGGATACTATGATCCAGAACACACAAAAATAAGGGTGTCGTTGGAATTTTCAATGCTGAAAGATAACCAATGGGCGGCACAGTGGTGTAGATAGGTGGCACCTGTGGTGTAGGGGTTAGCACTGTCGCCTCACAACCAGAAGGCCCTGTGTTCGAATCCCAGTCAGGGCATTTCTTGTTTAAGGGGGGATATGAGCTGCTGGGCGGAGGTCTGCGCTCTCCGAGTGCTTTTTTAGTTCCTCTATAAATAATAGATAAGATGATATTCCAGTCAAACAAATTTTCCTTCAGCGATGATTAAAGTTCTTGTATTGGATTGAATTGAAGGCTAATTTTCATCTTCTTCATATTCAGCTTTTTAATAAAAAACAAACAATCAAACAAAAAACCCACCAGTGCACAACCACATACAATCACCGTCTCCTTCACCCCTGCTTTTCATTTTACAACAATTACATCCCCCAAACCAATGCAACGCATTTTATTTTTTATTGGTGCAACATATTTTTATCTTGCAAGATTCATTATATTTTTGTGAACATTGTCAAACTGTGCATTACAATTTATCTACATGTTGTTTTAGATTCTTAAAATAGTAAGGTCGTAACCGTGTTGCATATAAAACCCCAGTCTAAATGATGCCAATGAATACCAGTCCCCCATTGTGCTCAGTTACCATTGTTTTATGTTTACTTCAAGTTTCTTAGCAACAAAGAACAACAAAGTGCGTTGAATACCAAAGGCTGGAGCTGGAGGCTGTTTTCTGAGGTAAAGTGGTTCTCCGTTGGTATTTTAGCGTTAAATGTAAAAAGGGAAAAAACAATACTTGTTGAATTTCAAATGGATGATCTTCTTTAGGCTCTTAGAACATGAGAAGTTTGAGCTGTCTCTGTCTCTCTCCTTGTTAAGTTTTAGTCTCTTTGGCTTGTGTGGCCACAACTCTCAGCTCCTGTATTTCTATCACTTCACCTAACAGTTTCTCTTCTAATCCTACAGGTTTAGAGAGCTTCAGCTGCTTCCAAGACATGCCTGTAACGCCAAGTCTGGACTCTCAGGGGACAGCAGGAGAGAGGAATCATGCTCAAACCAATTGCACACCATTCAGCGCTGAGTTTACCAAAAGACTGACGACAAGCAGTCCACGCTTTGGCGCCTTGAGTCATCACTCCTTCTTCTCCCGGCATAACCCTCACCCACACAGGGTGAGGCATATTCAAGGTAAGCAGCAGCCTGCTGTGCGAGATATTATTTCTCGAGCGCTTCATAAACTCCAACTTTGTTCTTTGCGCTGCGAGTTGTTTAGACAGTTGATTAAATTTGCGTTCTTAATAACCGTGTTTGCTTGTTTGGTCATAACCTTTTCCTCTAATAGCAGTTCATTGCAATTTAAATCTTGTTTTATTCTTTAAGTAGTTTGTTTTTTAAATGCTATGTTTTATGAGAGTCGTGCTTAACTGTTAACATTTGAAATGATGTTTCAGAGTAATTTCCTTTTTCATTTCAAGAAATCAACACTTTGTATACTTTCTACAACAAAAATCTGTAATGCTCAATTACACTAAGATTGCAGGACATATTTATAACTACGGTGTGGCCATAGACGGGTTTAACAACACTCCTCATGTTCTCATATTCTTTTCTTTTATTAACTTAATTTAAAGTTAATCAAGTGTATAATAACTGATATTCAGAGTTAAACACACACCTTCGTAGTGGGCTTTCTTTCTTCCTTTTGTTCTTTTTATCTTTCTTTCTTTCTTTCTTTCTTTCATTCTTTTTATCTTTCTTTCTTTCTTTTGTTCTTTTTATATTTCTTTCTGTCTTTCTTTCTTATTTTCTTTCTTTTTTCTTTCATTCTTTTTATCTTTCTTTCTTTCTTATTTTCTTTCTTTCTTTTTTCTTTCATTCTTTTTATCTTTCTTTCTTTCTTTCTTTCTTTCTTTCTTTCTTTCTTTCTTTCTTTCTTTCTTTCTTCAGAAAACACTTTCTCAGTAGGAATGAGAAGATATTCACACATCTTTTGCATCGTTTGATGAAGTTTCTGAAATATCAAATCTGCCTTTTCCTCCATATGTTTAAATATTTACGGACTAACACTTTCCCAACATATCTTTCCCTGGACACCTGAAGCAAACACAGCTTTTTTCCTTTTTTAAATTTATTTATTATTTCCCCCCTGTCAAGCGTACATAACTTTGATATCCAGTTTTTATGAGGAGCTTACAGGTTTAGCCTCCCCCTTCTAACCGTGCCCCCTCTCCAGGAGCGTTTTTAGCAGACTGGGCCTTTGAGAAAACCAGACGAACCTCATCAGAATCTCGTCAGGCAACTATTTGATCCACCTGCAGGGAGACAGACATCAAAAGGGGAAAAGCTCATGCTGTAGATCAGGGAAAACATGCACCTACGTCAGTTCTTGGTCCAATTCTTTAGTGCAGCTCTCAAAAACGCCTTCAAACGGGCAGAAAGCTGGAGCTGAATCAAATTGTTAGGGGCAGCCATCTGCTGGATGGGCCTAAGAAACGAAGCAGAGGGAAATGCTCTTTTTAGCTGTGCAGATTCACACACAACTTTTTGGTCACCAGTCAGATTTTGAAATTCGGCCAAAATATCAGCCAGATCATGTGTCATTTTGGGGCTCAAGGGGGGCAACTGCAGTCCAATCAGCTGCTCCCTTAATTAATTTCTGGCTAGTCAGAAAGTTAGGTCTGCTAATTGCAACATCCTGGCAAAGTGAGAAGATTTCTAACAAGTTGATTCTCAAACTTCATGTATGTTTTTTCCCTGGTTGCCTGTGTTAGAAATAAGTGATGACATCTGCAAGCACCATGGCAACACTCAAGAACTGAAATACACACATATATATATATATAGACATTCATCAGCTATGACAATGCAATGCAACAGGCCTATTGTGAATTATACTTTTAAAAGATTCTCTATTTGTAGTTTTTATGAACATATTCAAGGATTGATAATTGTACTTTATAGTTAATGATGAAGTTATATTCTCTGATTTCAGCCTCCGTGAGTGGAAATTTTTCATCAAGGACACTTAATAGACAATTATCAAAGCTCTGTTTAGCTCTAAGGTTGTGCTGGACAGTCGGAGTATACAGTGTGAGGAAAAAAAATCACAAGTTTTGGGAGTGTGTGTCATATAATTCACTCGTAAAGTGTGAGCTCACCTAGATAACATTATAGAGTGTGTCCAGCTTCATTTTTAGCTTTTGCACTGCAGCTCACATTGCTCAGGGACCAGCTCAGGAATGTGCTCTTTGAATTTTTTATGCTTTGTGGAGGTATTGTGTGTGATTCATTTGTTCAGATGCCATTTAAAATGTCACGAGGATAAAGGATAGATCACTCACTCATGTACACAAACTGTAGTTGTACTCTCATTCCTGGCAGGATTTGGTGCATCTGATTCTGTCTATCTAAAACTGATTTGCCGTTACAAGCACAAAAACAGTCTTAGGAAATTACCCTGAGGGTATAAATAAAGATTACACATAATGATTTTTTATGACAGATGCATTCATCTGTGAATAAAGTCTTCCAGGGACATGCTGAATAATAATTACCTCTTTTCTGACTTGTTAATAATGACTCAAGGGGATCATTTTCAGAGCTGATTGCATGTTAAGTAATACTTTGAGTCAAGTGCGGCTTTGCTTTCAAAATAAGGTCATTATAGAGATGCTTGTTCAGATATTAGAGTGGAAGCAACCACTCTGAAGAGAGCGTAACGTCTCAAATTTGCAGGAATGTTTCATGAGGTTTGGTTGTACGCAGACCGGCACACGTGTAATGTGAGGGAAACTCTTGCAATCCCTCTCTGAGATAACAATCTGAGCCCGTCAGTTGGGAAATAAAGCACTGGTAGAGGATGCATTTCGGCGATTTTAGCTTGTTTCATGGCTGCAGGCTGCTCAGTTCTCTCTCAATACTAGACCAGTTTTAGAGATTGGTTTCCCCTTCAGGTTAGAGAAAATCAAAGTTCCCCTTTAGCTTTAATCTCTGCAGGAATTTTCACCTTATGTCTTTGGGGCTTTTACATCATGTTGTCCATTTTTGAAGCCCCTCACCTCTTTAAAATCTCTCAAGTTTTGGGTGTGTGTTCATCTCTGAGACTCATCCGTGTCTTTTCCCACAGGACTCAATGGTCACCCTGTTTGCATGGTGCGAGACGACTGGTACGTCACCTCGTCCTTGTTTCCCCATCCACTTCTCAAGAGTCAGGTCTTCAGAAAAGCAGCCGACCCACTTGCTGCTTTCCCGCTGGCCAAGAACCTTTATGGAACCGGTAGCAATAAAAACAGATCAGGTTTGTTACACCCCCACACAGGAAGCAGATTCTTTTATCACCTCTTTGAGGTAAAGTCTGATGGAGAGAAACATGACATTTTTCCTCTGTATTTCACAGCACTTTTTTCAGAAGCGTGGAAAGATGAATTAAAAGACCTTGCTGCAAAAGTCTCTTTGGCCTCTCAGGCACAAAAAGATAAGAAAGAGGTAAATGTCTGACTGCAAATGTCTCAATTCTAAATATTTAAAATGTTTGATTATTTTCACAAAGCTTTAAATCAAGGCTGAAGCTGTGATTAAAATCTACCTGTGAGGCATAAACCTGAGAAAAAATGCCAAATCGATTTTAGGAGCGTTTTTACCTGCGGCATCAACCTAATGTCTGAGCCACTTTGGACCTGAATTGCATATTACTGGCTTCACATAAAGCTCTTACAAGTTACGAAAATTATTCATTTGTAGGTCCTGTTATGTATGCATGCATCCTTTATTAGCTTTGACACATTTCTCATAGGAAATAAAGCAGTCATGGTCAATCACAGAGCTGACATGTTTCCCCTTACAGCACATTTAGAGGCACTAATAAGCCCAACTGGCTTGTCTCTGTGGGGCTGAAGGAAGCTATATCACTGGTACAGAAGCTATTAAGGCAGAGATTATGCAACTCCACACAGTTTGACCTTCTCAGCCCACCGCTGTGGCTGCTTTGTACTTGAGGCTAATTAATACACAGACCGCATAATGATCTGTGTGAGTCCTTTTCAAAATTAGCATAGAAGTTCATTTTTACCCTGATATTCTCCATGAGAAAAATGAGACGATCACTCTGCCTCATTGACCAAAACAAAATATTTAGATTATTACAATTAATTTCAGGAACAACCAGAAGGAGAAGTAGTCCGTCGACAGACTCAATACTCAGCTGAAACAGGAAGGATCATCCCGCCATCCTCCAAGTCTTACCAACGCAGATCCCATTCCCAGCGTCTGATGTATCCCCAGCCCCTCCAGGATCAGGAGCTCATGGTGACACCCACATATTCTTATTTCTACTTCTACCACAGTTAATAAATGAGTCATGTGGGAGATCAAAATATAGAGCAAGCTTTGTGATCATAGACTGTATATACTATGGACAACGTGGTTCGCCTTCCGCCAGTATATGGATTTGAAGCGAAATTGCTCTCGGAGGCAGATGGCGTCCATTCTATATACAGTCTATGTTTGTAATATATCCTCTCAGATGATGGTTGGTGGTAGATCAGAGGGAGCAGTTCGACTTGTCAAAGTCTGCACTGTATTTGCACTTTTGGAAATGATCCCCACCTTGGTTTTTACAGGTTAACCATGACATGATTTTTCTGCTCTTTTGGCAGGTGTTGGAGCTGCTGTGTCAGATCCTGCAGACTGATTCTCTATCGGCAGTCCAGCAGTGGCTTCTGCTTGCAGGCCAAAGAGGTACAAAGATTTCCTTCTGTATATATTGAGGGAATTTCAGGGTTGAGCTTGATTAGCTTTCATATTTGTTAGAACAGCACACAGGTTTTGTCAGCTGCTACAGTGATTTTCTCTCAAATGCTCCTGTACCTTTGTTTTCCACTTGTTAATCATGATTTGAGCATCAAGTGGTTTCGCTCCTACTGCCATCAGAGCACATGTTGCCATGTTTATTCTGTAACATGTGCATTGATGCGCATATTTGCAATATGTTTGTGACTTTCAGTTTTTGAGCATTGCTCTGATTGCACATTATATCACTGGAATCTAATCCATGCAGCCCCATATACAATCTACTATTATCTAATCTTTGTTTTGACACCTCTCAATCAGAACCAGTACTTACTTTTACAGCAATCTGAACTCTATTATCCTCTATTGGATCAGACATATGAGCCAGCCTACCTTCCCCACGCGCATCAGCGAGCATTGGTCACCTTTGACCTCGTCTCTGATTCTCTGGTTTTCCACCCTTGGATCACTTTTGGTGTGCAGAACGAGAACACCCCGCAAGAGCTGCAGTTTTGGACACGCTCCGACTCAATCGTTCATTCAGTTCAGCTCACAGTGTCGCACTTTATCATGTTTTTTTTTTTTGCTTCCCACACATCAACCTTGAGGACAAAATGTTCACCTCGCGCTCATTTAATTTTCAAAAATTGCTTTTAAATTGCACCGCTCGACCCACCAAGTGTATTACGATCAACTTGATCTTTCATGAGGGTTAATGGCTTGTCAACCTTTTTCCGTCACACTAAAAGGACTGATACAGTAATTTAATTAACCGCTCAACGAACATGATCACTTCTGGTGGTATTCTGCACCGCTGATTGAAAAAACTAAAAAAGATGAACTCTTTTCTGTCATCGGTGTGATATGGTTTATACTCTCAGAGAAAGACCTGGTGATGCGGATGTTGAAACAGGCTCTGGATGGGGTTGACCTCTCAGGCCATCAGCAGCAGGTGTACAGGCCGCCCTTTGACCACTCATGGAGGAGACCACAAAGAACCAGGTCTGTTGTCTTGAATCGTTATTGTCTTTTTGCTCAAAAATACAACAAATTCTCTCTATTGAATGTTTCTCATCCACCTCTGTAGCACACATAAAGTGAGTCAAGTTTCCAGCGCTGACAAACCAGGTATGTATCCTTCTCTTACACTCTCTTGTCTTTTAGCTTTTTATTTACCCAAAGAGTATCTGACCTTCCTTCTGTTCAGCTTTTGTCTTCGAATTTCTGGTTCAAAATGAAAAGAGTTTAAACTCATGCCGCCTGCCAAAGAATGCTTCGTGTTTTTTTTTTTTGTATTTAAGTCTGACCAAACATCCAAATCATCGTTTTATCGAGCACTACACATAGCTTAACGTTTCCAAGCTTTAAGCCAAGGGAACAAGAATGTCAAGGTCATTGACAGACCAATTTCTAACTGCGTTTATTCTGTGATGAAATTATACTAAAAGCTAGTGCAGAGGACTCGGCCGAAGCACGTTGCAAATTGCAGGATGGCATTATCCATTTATCTGTGGGTTTACATGAGTTGGAAAGTTTAAACATGATGAACTGTTTGTTTTTGATCATGTCCTGATATTTTTCATTATTAAGATAGCCCTGACTAGCACCAGACTGATTCTACCTCTATAATAAAAAAAGAGGGAAAATCTGTATGAGCCTTAACAATCCTGTTCACCTTCAATATTAGAAAAAAAGATGGCCTCAAAAATTTGTATGAATGTTTGGGGCATTGTCATGGTGCAGGGTTAAACAAAGGAGAAAAGGACCAAAATGCAGAACTTATTAAAGCAAAATCAAATGAGGAAAACTCTGGAAAATTTCCAAGAAAAATCCAAAGAAACAAAAACGCACAAGGAAAAATCACAACAAGGGATATGACACCAACAGAGACATACAGACAATGAACTGATAAGAACAGAGGTGAAGACAGAGACTATATACACACGGGTTAACGAGCAACAGGTGAGGCTAACGAGACACAGGTGAAACTCAAGGTGATTAACGAGGGACGGAAAACTAGGGAAGTAAAACCAGACTAGAAACACAAGGAGAACTACAAAATAAAACAGCAAACACTGAGAACTGATCTAACAAAACACTGAGAACAGGAGGAAAACAGGTTCAGACACAAACTGAAAACTCACAATACTGGATCACAGGGGAACAGAAACACTAGTGGAAATACTCAGAAGATACACTCAAATAACAAAACCAGGAAAAAATAAAACAAGAATCAACCATGACAGGTATTTAGCTGTGTGATAGGGCTGTCGATACATCCCATTATTGACCATAACTGTTTTTATTTAAATATTAATTATTGATGATGTGATAAATTTAAGGAAATGGTCATAGTCAAAGTTCACTGATTGCTACATGCTGTGAAATAGAGGACAGGTGTGAACTAGCTTAGAGCAACTCTCTGAGAAATTATCAGACAAAACTGTAATTCTGTGATTTTGTTCAGAGCTTGTGCCTCTGATTAATTAAACGTTCATACTTTCTTATCCTTCTGTTAACTGTTTTCATTCAGTCCTATTTTTTTGCATCTACCTGAGGTCACTTGAGTTTCAAAATAAAAGCAGTTTTACGATGTAGAAAACAAAGCAACTTAAATGCAGGACGAATAAAATATCAAAGTAAAAGCATGAAAAAAAAATAGTTTTACAATATGAGGTAATATTTTCTCTAAAGATGTTTAAGTTACACAGTAATGTGGATAAATAAAAAGATTTTAACAAAATTTAAAAAATTATAAAATGCGCTAACTGTCTATTAGTAAAATTTATGGACTTGTAAAAATGATGCTCCACCCTTGTCTTGCCTTTTCTCAGTTTTACTTCCTGTAACATCAAACTTTCACCTCATGATTATTATGATATTCTATGACCATAATAATCATGAGGTGAAAGTTTGATGTTGTGACGGCCCTAGCTGAGAGATCTTTATATTGTTAGTGTAATTCTTCTGGTTGGGATATTATTTTATTCTCTGACTTCTTCAGGTTTTGGGTTCTTGCTTTGTTCCTTGAATATTTTTGCATGTATGTCAAAGTAAACTCGTGTTATTAAAGGTGTTATATGAATAAATAACAATCAATATTATGATTAAATGATGGAAATGAATATTTTATGGTAACACTCACTCTCAACTCTCCTCTGCAGAAAGGATTGGAGACGCAGAGGTCCTTACGGTCCACACGGAGGCTTCCCACCAATCTCAAGATGGACCCCTTGAGCACACAGAGAGCGTGTAGAGCTCCCTGATTCTCATTATGGAGACATTGCTGTTTCTCTGATTGCCTTTCTTACCATCCTCGTGACAAATGCTTGTAATATCAAAAGGTCTCTGTTTTAGAATGATGTAGATGTTTGTAATGGCTGTAGAGGATTCTCAGAGCTCAGGTCAATTAGTCATAATGAGGAGAGAGTCCTTGAGATGTAATTTGCCCTTCGATTACATAATACACTGTGTTAGAGTAAATGGTGTTATGTTGTTTGTGTCACCTGTCTTACAGGTGCGTTTTTGATACTGAACTATGGTGTGTGTAAAAACACTGTTTTGGGTTTAAGGGCTTAATGAGGCAAGAAAAAAAATCATTTGAAAAGAAGAGTAATTGACTTTTCATTGAGTGTTTTGATTAACCTTCCTCCTGTGTTAGCTTTTACTACGCACCCACCATGCTAAGGGTCGGTTTTGACCCATGTCTTAAATCAGCTGTAAATTACACTATAAACAATTCTCTATCATCCAGTTTGGTTCTCATCTCTCGGTTACCTTGTCAGGCTTCATTATCAGACACAGACATCTATACTGAATTGATCTCACATGTCTGGACATACCCAACGTTGTTTTTTGTGCAGGGAAAACATGGCATAATAAGAATTTCCTAAATCTCACATGATTGGAGGAGGATCCGACTGTCAGTGTGGTGTCTGACAGTGCACATATGATTTTAGGTTTTGCTCTAATTATTAGATATTAATCTAACCAGGTCAACAGCGACCGTAACAAGACAAGAGCATTTTATAATTTAGTCAATTTCATTTTTTTTTTTTTTTTTTTTTTTTTGTTGAAATAGAGGTTCCTGACAAAGTCAAAAAGTCTTGATGCAAAAAGCTGATGTAAGTGGTTCTAGCATTTAAATAAAAAATGGGTCAGTGCAGACCCCTAACACAGGTTGTTTTATGACCCTGAGATTCAGTGGGATGGAAGAGCAGCTAGTGTTTTCCTGTTTTACTTTTATTCTACGTCTTCTCGAGCGAAAGTTTTATTCTTAGTGAGAGTCAAAGTAATGTAAGACAAGATATTTTTGTGATAAAACACCACCTTTACATTTACATGACAAAAACAGGAGAGATACATCCACTAGGGGGGCGCTCAAATCCATGCAAAATGAAAGTTACTCACAGGAGCTTTAAGCAAAAGCCTAAAAAATATACTATAAGATAAACCACAGCAAGATAACTTCTGTTTCTTTTATATATTTTATTAAAAAAAAAACTGTTTTAGGAGTCTTTGAGTGTCAAAGCTGTAATTACTGTAAGATTAGAAGTCAGGAAAAGATCGAAACAAAACCTACAAGAAGAATTTTCCATGATACATGTCACAGCTGTACCTGGAAGACAAACCAACTTCCTCATCCACTCTGCTATGGTGTGTACAGACAAGCAATTTAGAAACAATTTGCAGTGAAGTGTGGCACCTTGAATCTACGTAGCTCAATCAGAGGATGAGAGATTGAAAGAAAAAAATCTTCCTCTCAGCTGTACGAGAAGAAAAACAGCACTCACTCTCTTGGAAAAAAAAAAAAAAAGATTAAACCCTTAGAGAAAAACATTTTATAAACAGCTGCCTGCGCAAGATTACCACCGTCTGACACTGTTTATGCTGAGTGTCAATGCAGGTAGTCAAATCTGTTCTAACATTTGCACAAACTCCACATAAACGTGTAAGTTCACATAATGTGATTTACCTCGGGGTCTTTTTCCAGATGCAAATTCAGGGTCAACAATTCTGCAGTGATGAAAATTTAGCCATGCCTTTCAGGAAGTCAGTCTATTATTTACAAAGTCCAGCGGTGGTAAAAAACATTTTAAAATATTTATGACTGAGCCGCCGATGAAGACAGATTGTGGTCAGAGGATGTCACAGTAGGTAAGACAGGTCTCACTTAACTGCTCCTTTATACCAGTGGGGAAAATATGACTGTTAAAGAGAGTGACAGACATTATTATGAATTCATGTAGGGGATAGAGTTGTAACAGAGCTGTGCTGTGGTGAGAGGCATGGATGGAATATGAAAAGCCTTAACCGTTCAGCAAAGGTTAGAATGATTCATTGGATATGCAAACCTGCAAGACTCAATGTGAAAAAAAAATACAGCAAGTAGCAGCTTCCATGTAATGAGGCCTTGGACTCATCACGTCTTATTACACTGGGAGTCCTTGTGCTCAATCATGCCGTAGGTTCCTCTGGATCGCTGCTGCAGATGTTTTGCTCCCGTGGACCTGCCTGCTTTCCATCTGTCTCGCATCAGTCTCACCTTGTTGTGAACGCAACACTGCATAGACTTTTCTCTGTTATGACTAGAGTGAGAAAGACGCCAAAAAGCACAATAAGGAGAAAACAAGTCCAAAGTTACATTTGTCTCCTGTCCATCATTTTTATTATTTACCTTTTTAACGTTGTTGATACTTGCAGTATATGATAGATGTGTCCTCTTAAGGATGGAGATAACTGGATTTTGATTCGAATTTTGAAAAAATAGTATTAATATAATTTGCATCAATGTCAGACCTGACTGAGTCTCTGTGGAGATGCATATACCTTGTCTTTGAGCATATTTTGCTTCATCTACAGCATCCTGTCATAAACATTAGGCTGCTGCTATTTACGGTCCTTGGTGGCTCATTCTTTCATCATGGTTCTGCTGTGTTGTTGATGTGGATTGCTTTCTTCTGTCAGCAAGAAAACTTTAAATAAAAGCAATAAATATATAATCATGACTTTCTGAATAAAGTGTTTTGTATAAAGCTTCTAAGCTGAGGGCAAACTGCGCTCAGGCTCTGGAGAGTATTCTCTGCACTGATACAGTTTCACAGTGTTTGCCCTTGGAATAAAAACTGACTGGACTCACAGTCTTTATGAACTCTTGTTCCCTGAGGCAGAGAAACTTTAGCCTTTAATGCAAATGATTGAACTGTGGTGCACCATATCTTTATCTTTATTTGTATTATCCATTCTCCTCATATCAGAAAGACACTGGTCCCTAACCTTGAGTAGTTTTTAGGTTACATTACAGACAAACACTGTACAAATGTACTCTATAACAAGGAATTTGAGCCACATCACAGAGATTTTTTTTAAATTTTAAATTATATTTTGATGAGTATACATATTAATATTATTCATTCATCTTCTTTACTGCTTATCCCTTTCAGGATCGCAGGTGGGCTGGAGCCTATCCATGCTGTCATTGGGCGAGAGGCAGGGTACACCCTGAATTGGTCGCCAGTCAACTGCAGGGCCACATAGAGAGACAGACAACCACTCATGCTCACACTCATACCTAAGGACAATTTAGAGACACCAATTAACCTAATGATAATGTATATAAATGTATGTATGTATGTATGTATGTATGTGTGTGTATATACATATATATATATATATATATATATAGATAGATAGATAGATAGATAGATAGATGTATATATAAATAAATAAATGTATGTATATATGTATATATATAAACATACATATACATACGTACATACAGTACATATATACATTTATATATATACAAATATATATACCTTTATGTATATATATACATTTATATATTGTTATTTTCAATTAATTATTCCACAAGAATAAAGAAATAAAGAAAAAAGAAAATCCTTAAAAATTTGTTTTTATCATGAATATGGAATCGCAGTAAGATTGACTTGTCATGACCCCAACCCTAACATCTTAGTAAATAGTAAAATCACTGTCTTATAAAGGCTTTATTTGGAGAATAAAACTGTAAGAAAACCAAGTTGAAATGTTATGGGATTCAAGAAATATTGTTACAAATATACAATCATGGTAAATCCATGATATTGCAATTATAGAGTCACTATATTTTTAGTCTAAATTGGTGATAAAGTCGTAGTTTGGGTTTATAGTGAGCAGTCAGCTGGCTGTGCCAAAATGAGGATTGTATTGTACTGTACTCAATATTTTGGCACTAAAGCACCACAAAGATGTTAAGTAGCAGGAGTGTAAAAAAAAGTTGAGGTGTGTGGTATCCAAATGCAAAAGGACCACAAAGAATAGAACAAATAAAAGAAACAAAACAACCTTGAGGTTTTACAGAGTAATCATAAAGAGAAGATCCAGATAAAGGTGAATATCCTTGAAAAGTTACTCTTACATACAAAGAGGATGGTGGAAAAAAGCAAAAGTACCAGGATGAAAAGAGATGTGAGATTAAGAGTCATACAAAAATGTTAACTGACTCCAAAGAGACAAAAGAAAAGATATAACTCCAAAAAGGCAACCACAAAGAGGGTAAACAACTTTAGAGAAACAGTCAACAAAAAGACGTCTGATTTACTCTTATGCATCCTTATCACACTCTGATTACAAGTATTTATTAGTACACAAGGAAATAATGATAATAAAATTTAACACTGATAAAAACTCAAGCTGAGAAATGTTAGTGCAGGCAGGGACAACCACATAAGTGTGCCCACAGGCAACGAAAAAGCGCCCTTTAACAGCTCAAAAAAGCTCTCTACCTCGAGGACAAACACTTTTACCTTTAAATAGTGCTACATGTGCACTTTGTTTCGTTAGTGAACAAAAAAATCACTGCTCTAGTCTGGTGCGGTGAGTTCAATCAGCATGCTTTGTGATGGTACTGTATGTTCTCTGTGTTAACTGCTCGGTTAAGTACTACTCTGTATACTTGGTTTTTTTTTCTGTTCTCATACAATACTACTCAAGGCGCTCTTTAGACATGCAAACTGTTCTGTACAGCTGGAAGACAGGGAGGCACATTGGCTTGCATAACTAGATGGCTGAAGAAAGTTTCTCTGCTGCAGTATGAACCCTGTTGATCTCTCAGCTCAGATGTTTACTGATGCCATGAGAATTGTTGCCAACATGGCGAAGTTTATATACATTATATGTTGTTATCAATTCTATTTGCTTGTTGGGTTTTGATTACTTATCTGTGTTATTTTCCCAATTTAAAGTCAAATCAAATAGCTTTGTTTTAAAACCCGTACATTAAGGTAGAAATATCCTGTCTCCAGGCCATCATGGATTTGTTGACTTGGGTTTGAAATTCAGATGACATGGTGGTTAACACTAGAAGGACCACAGAGCAGCCATTTGGCTTTACCCCCCTCAAGGTCCACGGGGCAGCCGATCGGCTGGAAGGATTTTAGCTAATATCCTAAATCACCTGTGAGCACTCATTTTGTTATGCAAACGAGGTGATCGTTGGTGCACCACAGGAGGGGACTGGACTAAGTGGTGTATGCAGTGGGAAGGGACAACAGAAAGGAAGGGATCAACACACATGGGTTGTTTACTTTGTTGCTGAAATTTATTGATTAAAAATAAACAAAATTTAAACAACTGTATAGAATAAGAACAAGAATCAGAATCAGAATCACAAGGGGTTTTATTGCTATTGTCAATGAACAGGTTTCACAGACTAGGAATTTTTTACGGCGTGATGGTGCAACATTAAACAGAGTATAATATGTAAAATACAAGAATAAAAAATAAGAGCATGCAGGACATATATAAAGAATAAAAGTATGAAAGGCTATGTACAATGCTAGGATTTTTTACGGCGTGATGGTGCAACATTAAACGGAGAATAATATGTAAAATACAAGAATAGAAAATAACAAGAGCATGCAGGACATATATAAAGTATAAAAAGGTTGGTGATGGACTTCAGGTGAATATGCATCATCAGGATACAGTGTTAGACTCTCACTCACAATCCTGGCACTGCCATGGTATCTCCCTTCTGCATTTCCCACATGTGTATCTGTAGCAGTCAACACATCGCACAGTGGCATAATTGTTCTTACACTGATTTTTAACCTGGCACATGGCTCTTTTCCCAGGGCTAGGTGTGGAAGGTTGTTGCCGAAGCAATTCTTCCTTTCATGCCTTCTTCGCAGTCACATGAGAGTTAGCCAACTCTCTTGCAAGCTCCACCAGGAAGTCCACCCGTCTCTCCTTCCTCCCGGTGCATGCTTGATACAGCACATGTGCATCCAATGCTGCCGTATCAATCATGTTATAGAACACAGCGACTGGCCAGCGCCATGTTCCTGTGCGGACAGTGTACTCCCGCACCATCTGGTCCATCACATCCACGCTGCACTTTGTAGCATTGTAAAGTTCATTGCAGTCCCTCTGTCTAGATGACTGTGGAATTTCCTGGCGAATCTTGTTGACTGTGCCTAGGATGGTGGTTTTCCGCCTAAGCAGTTGTTGCGCAAGTGACAGTGATGTAAAGAAATTGTCCGTGGTAACATTTCTGCCCTTGTCCAGGAATGGTTCCATCAGCCTCATGACTACATTCTCGGACAGTCTCTCCCCACTAGGACGACTGGGGTCCTTGCCAAGATATGGGAGGACATTGCAGATGTACTTGGATTTCAAGTCACAAGCAACCCAAAACTTGATCCCAAACTTGTCAGGTTTCGTTGCAATGTACTGCAGGAAACAGCAGCGAGTCTTTGAGGGGAAAAGCTGTTCGTCAATGGTGATGTGTCGACCAGGGTTGTAGGATGTGATGCAGTTGGTGACAAATGACGACCACACAGCAGAAATTGCAGCAAACTTGTCAGTCTTTGTGCGCTCACTGCGGGTGTCCCTGTCATCAAAGCGTAGGTGTCGCATGATGTCTTTGAAGCGATTTCGGGGCATGGTTGCCATGATCTGGGGGTTTCCCAGGTTTGCTCACCAGCAAACCAGAAAATGTGATAAATTGTCAATCAAATAGTGATCCTGTGAATGGGACTGGTTGCATTCACCTGAGTCGTTATGGTCATTCTCACATTCATACTCTCAACAGCTTCACCAGAGTATAAAAAATGTAGTGTCATATGTAAACAGTATGCAATTTAACAATTTAGATACATTTACAATGTCATTAATATAAAGTACAAACAGTTTTTGTCCGTGGACCGACCGCTGGGGCATCTGCTGAGGTGCAGGAACATCAGGAGAAGTAGAACCAAACAAAACAAACAGAGGCCCACACTGTCTGTGCAGTGGCTATGGCTGAAGCAGTTTCTGTCTACAGTTGTTCTAAGGTTGGAAACTCCCCTCCCCCTCCCCACTCACTCTCCCCACAACACAAGTTTCCTTGAAATAACTTAGCATATCCCCTCCTGTGGTGCACCAGCGATAGCCTCGTTTGCATAACAAACTGAGTGTGCAGAGGTGATTTAGTACTAGCTAAAAGCCCTCCAAGCCATTTGGCTGCCCTCTGGTCTTTATAGGTAGAACAGCAAAAAGCCGTTCCTTCTAGTGTTAAGGTTGGAGCTAGGGTTAGGGTTAGGTGTGGGTTGGAGCTAGGGTTAGGGTTAGGGTTAGGGTTGGAGTTAGGGTTAGTGTTGGAGCTAGGGTTAGGGTTGGGCTTGGAGCTAGGATTTTTCTGAGTGCAATGAACCAACTCCCGAGTCTCTAGGACGGTCCTAAAAAAATTTGATTTTTTCCCATTGGGTTGGAGCTAGGGTTAGGGTTAGGGTTAGGGTTGGAGCTAGGGTTAGGGTTAGGGTTAGGGTTGGAGTTAGGGTTAGTGTTGGAGCTAGGGTTAGGGTTGGGCTTGGAGCTAGGATTTTTCTGAGTGCAATGAACCAACTCCCGAGTCTCTAGGACGTTCCTAAAAAAATTTGATTTTTTCCCATAGGAATGCATGGGTTAGGGTTAGGGTTAGGGTTGGAGCTAGGGTTAGGGTTAGGGTTAGGGTTAGGGTTGGAGTTAGGGTTAGTGTTGGAGCTAGGGTTAGGGTTGGGCTTGGAGCTAGGATTTTTCTGAGTGCAATGAACCAACTCCCGAGTCTCTAGGACGTTCCTAAAAAAATTTGATTTTTTCCCATAGGAATGCATGGGTTAGGGTTAGGGTTAGGGTTGGAGCTAGGGTTAGGGTTAGGGTTAGGGTTGGAGTTAGGGTTAGTGTTGGAGCTAGGGTTAGGGTTGGGCTTGGAGCTAGGATTTTTCTGAGTGCACTGAACCAACTCCCGAGTCTCTAGGACGTTCCTAAAAAAATTTGATTTTTTCCCATAGGAATGCATGGGTTAGGGTTAGGGTTAGGGTTGGAGCTAGGGTTAGGGTTAGGGTTAGGGTTGGAGTTAGGGTTAGTGTTGGAGCTAGGGTTAGGGTTGGGCTTGGAGCTAGGATTTTTCTGAGTGCAATGAACCAACTCCCGAGTCTCTAGGACGTTCCTAAAAAAATTTGATTTTTTCCCATAGGAATGCATGGGTTAGGGTTAGGGTTAGGGTTGGAGCTAGGGTTAGGGTTAGGGTTAGGGTTGGAGTTAGGGTTAGTGTTGGAGCTAGGGTTAGGGTTGGGCTTGGAGCTAGGATTTTTCTGAGTGCACTGAACCAACTCCCGAGTCTCTAGGACATTCCTAAAAAAATTGATTTTTTCCCATAGGAATGCATGGGTTAGGGTTATGGTTAGGGTTAGGGTTGGAGCTAGGGTTAGGGTTAGGGTTGGAGTTAGGGTTAGTGTTGGAGCTAGGGTTAGGGTTGGGCTTGGAGCTAGGATTTTTCTGAGTGCACTGAACCAACTCCCGAGTCTCTAGGACGTTCCTAAAAAAATTTGATTTTTTCCCATAGGAATGCATGGGTTAGGGTTAGGGTTAGGGTTGGAGCTAGGGTTAGGGTTAGGGTTAGGGTTGGAGTTAGGGTTAGTGTTGGAGCTAGGGTTAGGGTTGGGCTTGGAGCTAGGATTTTTCTGAGTGCACTGAACCAACTCCCGAGTCTCTAGGACATTCCTAAAAAAATTAGATTTTTTTCCCATAGGAATGCATGGGTTAGGGTTATGGTTAGGGTTAGGGTTGGAGCTAGGGTCAGGGTGAGGGTTAGGGTTGGAGTTAGGGTTAGTGTTGGAGCTAGGGTTAGGGTTGGGCTTGGAGCTAGGATTTTTCTGAGTGCAATGAACCAACTCCCGAGTCTCTAGGACGGTCCTAAAAAATTTGATTTTTTCCCATAGGAATGCATGGGTTAGGGTTAGGGTTAGGGTTGGAGCTAGGGTTAGGGTTGGAGCTAGGGTTAGGGTTAGGGTTGGAGTTAGGGTTAGTGTTGGAGCTAGGGTTAGGGTTGGGCTTGGAGCTAGGATTTTTCTGAGTGCACTGAACCAACTCCCGAGTCTCTAGGACATTCCTAAAAAAATTTGATTTTTTCCCATAGGAATGCATGGGTTAGGGTTAGGGTTAGGGTTGGAGCTAGGGTTAGGGTTAGGGTTAGGGTTGGAGTTAGGGTTAGTGTTGGAGCTAGGGTTAGGGTTGGGCTTGGAGCTAGGATTTTTCTGAGTGCACTGAACCAACTCCCGAGTCTCTAGGACATTCCTAAAAAAAATTTGATTTTTTCCCATAGGAATGCATGGGTTAGGGTTATGGTTAGGGTTAGGGTTGGAGCTAGGGTTAGGGTTAGGGTTAGGGTTGGAGTTAGGGTTAGTGTTGGAGCTAGGGTTAGGGTTGGGCTTGGAGCTAGGATTTTTCTGAGTGCAATGAACCAACTCCCGAGTCTCTAGGACGTTCCTAAAAAATTTTGATTTTTTCCCATAGGAATGCATGGGTTAGGGTTAGGGTTAGGGTTGGAGCTAGGGTTAGGGTTAGGGTTAGGGTTGGAGTTAGGGTTAGTGTTGGAGCTAGGGTTAGGGTTGGGCTTGGAGCTAGGATTTTTCTGAGTGCACTGAACCAACTCCCGAGTCTCTAGGAAATTCCTAAAAAAATTTGATTTTTTTCCCATAGGAATGCATGGGTTAGGGTTATGGTTAGGGTTAGGGTTGGAGCTAGGGTTAGGGTTAGGGTTAGGGTTGGAGTTAGGGTTAGTGTTGGAGCTAGGGTTAGGGTTGGGCTTGGAGCTAGGATTTTTCTGAGTGCAATGAACCAACTCCCGAGTCTCTAGGACGTTCCTAAAAAAATTTGATTTTTTCCCATAGGAATGCATGGGTTAGGGTTAGGGTTAGGGTTGGAGCTAGGGTTAGGGTTAGGGTTAGGGTTAGGGTTGGAGTTAGGGTTAGTGTTGGAGCTAGGGTTAGGGTTGGGCTTGGAGCTAGGATTTTTCTGAGTGCACTGAACCAACTCCCGAGTCTCTAGGACGTTCCTAAAAAAATTTGATTTTTTCCCATAGGAATGCATGGGTTAGGGTTAGGGTTAGGGTTGGAGCTAGGGTTAGGGTTAGGGTTAGGGTTGGAGTTAGGGTTAGTGTTGGAGCTAGGGTTAGGGTTGGGCTTGGAGCTAGGATTTTTCTGAGTGCACTGAACCAACTCCCGAGTCTCTAGGACATTCCTAAAAAAATTTGATTTTTTTCCCATAGGAATGCATGGGTTAGGGTTATGGTTAGGGTTAGGGTTGGAGCTAGGGTTAGGGTTAGGGTTAGGGTTGGAGTTAGGGTTAGTGTTGGAGCTAGGGTTAGGGTTTGGCTTGGAGCTAGGATTTTTCTGAGTGCAATGAACCAACTCCCGAGTCTCTAGGACGTTCCTAAAAAAATTTGATTTTTTCCCATAGGAATGCATGGGTTAGGGTTAGGGTTAGGGTTGGAGCTAGGGTTAGGGTTGGAGCTAGGGTTAGGGTTAGGGTTGGAGTTAGGGTTAGTGTTGGAGCTAGGGTTAGGGTTGGGCTTGGAGCTAGGATTTTTCTGAGTGCACTGAACATACTCCCGAGTCTCTAGGACATTCCTAAAAAAATTTGATTTTTTCCCATAGGAATGCATGGGTTAGGGTTATGGTTAGGGTTAGGGTTGGAGCTAGGGTTAGGGTTAGGGTTAGGGTTGGAGTTAGGGTTAGTGTTGGAGCTAGGGTTAGGGTTGGGCTTGGAGCTAGGATTTTTCTGAGTGCACTGAACCAACTCCCGAGTCTCTAGGACATTCCTAAAAAAATTGATTTTTTCCCATAGGAATGCATGGGTTAGGGTTATGGTTAGGGTTAGGGTTGGAGCTAGGGTTAGGGTTAGGGTTAGGGTTGGAGTTAAGGTTAGTGTTGGAGCTAGGGTTAGGGTTGGGCTTGGAGCTAGGATTTTTCTGAGTGCACTGAACCAACTCCCGAGTCTCTAGGACGTTCCTAAAAAAATTTGATTTTTTCCCATAGGAATGCATGGGTTAGGGTTAGGGTTAGGGTTGGAGCTAGGGTTAGGGTTAGGGTTAGGGTTGGAGTTAGGGTTAGTGTTGGAGCTAGGGTTAGGGTTGGGCTTGGAGCTAGGATTTTTCTGAGTGCAATGAACCAACTCCCGAGTCTCTAGGACGTTCCTAAAAAAATTTGATTTTTTCCCATAGGAATGCATGGGTTAGGGTTAGGGTTAGGGTTGGAGCTAGGGTTAGGGTTAGGGTTAGGGTTGGAGTTAGGGTTAGTGTTGGAGCTAGGGTTAGGGTTGGGCTTGGAGCTAGGATTTTTCTGAGTGCACTGAACCAACTCCCGAGTCTCTAGGACATTCCTAAAAAAATTTGATTTTTTCCCATAGGAATGCATGGGTTAGGGTTATGGTTAGGGTTAGGGTTGGAGCTAGGGTTAGGGTTAGGGTTAGGGTTGGAGTTAGGGTTAGTGTTGGAGCTAGGGTTAGGGTTGGGCTTGGAGCTAGGATTTTTCTGAGTGCACTGAACCAACTCCCGAGTCTCTAGGACGTTCCTAAAAAAATTTGATTTTTTCCCATAGGAATGCATGGGTTAGGGTTAGGGTTAGGGTTGGAGCTAGGGTTAGGGTTAGGGTTAGGGTTGGAGTTAGGGTTAGTGTTGGAGCTAGGGTTAGGGTTGGGCTTGGAGCTAGGATTTTTCTGAGTGCACTGAACCAACTCCCGAGTCTCTAGGACATTCCTAAAAAAATTAGATTTTTTTCCCATAGGAATGCATGGGTTAGGGTTATGGTTAGGGTTAGGGTTGGAGCTAGGGTCAGGGTGAGGGTTAGGGTTGGAGTTAGGGTTAGTGTTGGAGCTAGGGTTAGGGTTGGGCTTGGAGCTAGGATTTTTCTGAGTGCAATGAACCAACTCCCGAGTCTCTAGGACGTTCCTAAAAAAATTTGATTTTTTCCCATAGGAATGCATGGGTTAGGGTTAGGGTTAGGGTTGGAGCTAGGGTTAGGGTTGGAGCTAGGGTTAGGGTTAGGGTTGGAGTTAGGGTTAGTGTTGGAGCTAGGGTTAGGGTTGGGCTTGGAGCTAGGATTTTTCTGAGTGCACTGAACCAACTCCCGAGTCTCTAGGACATTCCTAAAAAAATTTGATTTTTTCCCATAGGAATGCATGGGTTAGGGTTATGGTTAGGGTTAGGGTTGGAGCTAGGGTTAGGGTTAGGGTTAGGGTTGGAGTTAGGGTTAGTGTTGGAGCTAGGGTTAGGGTTGGGCTTGGAGCTAGGATTTTTCTGAGTGCACTGAACCAACTCCCGAGTCTCTAGGACATTCCTAAAAAAATTTGATTTTTTCCCATAGGAATGCATGGGTTAGGGTTATGGTTAGGGTTAGGGTTGGAGCTAGGGTTAGGGTTAGGGTTAGGGTTGGAGTTAGGGTTAGTGTTGGAGCTAGGGTTAGGGTTGGGCTTGGAGCTAGGATTTTTCTGAGTGCACTGAACCAACTCCCGAGTCTCTAGGACGTTCCTAAAAAAATTTGATTTTTTCCCATAGGAATGCATGGGTTAGGGTTAGGGTTAGGGTTGGAGCTAGGGTTAGGGTTAGGGTTAGGGTTGGAGTTAGGGTTAGTGTTGGAGCTAGGGTTAGGGTTGGGCTTGGAGCTAGGATTTTTCTGAGTGCACTGAACCAACTCCCGAGTCTCTAGGACATTCCTAAAAAAATTTGATTTTTTCCCATAGGAATGCATGGGTTAGGGTTATGGTTAGGGTTAGGGTTGGAGCTAGGGTTAGGGTTAGGGTTAGGGTTGGAGTTAGGGTTAGTGTTGGAGCTAGGGTTAGGGTTGGGCTTGGAGCTAGGATTTTTCTGAGTGCACTGAACCAACTCCCGAGTCTCTAGGACGTTCCTAAAAAAATTTGATTTTTTCCCATAGGAATGCATGGGTTAGGGTTAGGGTTAGGGTTGGAGCTAGGGTTAGGGTTAGGGTTAGGGTTGGAGTTAGGGTTAGTGTTGGAGCTAGGGTTAGGGTTGGGCTTGGAGCTAGGATTTTTCTGAGTGCAATGAACCAACTCCCGAGTCTCTAGGACGTTCCTAAAAAAATTTGATTTTTTCCCATAGGAATGCATGGGTTAGGGTTAGGGTTAGGGTTGGAGCTAGGGTTAGGGTTAGGGTTAGGGTTGGAGTTAGGGTTAGTGTTGGAGCTAGGGTTAGGGTTGGGCTTGGAGCTAGGATTTTTCTGAGTGCACTGAACCAACTCCCGAGTCTCTAGGACATTCCTAAAAAAAATTGATTTTTTCCCCATAGGAATGCATGGGTTAGGGTTATGGTTAGGGTTAGGGTTGGAGCTAGGGTTAGGGTTAGGGTTAGGGTTGGAGTTAGGGTTAGTGTTGGAGCTAGGGTTAGGGTTGGGCTTGGAGCTAGGATTTTTCTGAGTGCAATGAACCAACTCCCGAGTCTCTAGGACGTTCCTAAAAAAATTTGATTTTTTCCCATAGGAATGCATGGGTTAGGGTTAGGGTTAGGGTTGGAGCTAGGGTTAGGGTTGGAGCTAGGGTTAGGGTTAGGGTTGGAGTTAGGGTTAGTGTTGGAGCTAGGGTTAGGGTTGGGCTTGGAGCTAGGATTTTTCTGAGTACACTGAACCAACTCCCGAGTCTCTAGGACATTCCTAAAAAAATTTGATTTTTTCCCATAGGAATGCATGGGTTAGGGTTATGGTTAGGGTTAGGGTTGGAGCTAGGGTTAGGGTTAGGGTTAGGGTTGGAGTTAGGGTTAGTGTTGGAGCTAGGGTTAGGGTTGGGCTTGGAGCTAGGATTTTTCTGAGTGCACTGAACCAACTCCCGAGTCTCTAGGACGTTCCTAAAAAAATTTGATTTTTTCCCATAGGAATGCATGGGTTAGGGTTAGGGTTAGGGTTGGAGCTAGGGTTAGGGTTAGGGTTAGGGTTGGAGTTAGGGTTAGTGTTGGAGCTAGGGTTAGGGTTGGGCTTGGAGCTAGGATTTTTCTGAGTGCACTGAACCAACTCCCGAGTCTCTAGGACATTCCTAAAAAAATTTGATTTTTTTCCCATAGGAATGCATGGGTTAGGGTTATGGTTAGGGTTAGGGTTGGAGCTAGGGTTAGGGTTAGGGTTAGGGTTGGAGTTAGGGTTAGTGTTGGAGCTAGGGTTAGGGTTGGGCTTGGAGCTAGGATTTTTCTGAGTGCAATGAACCAACTCCCGAGTCTCTAGGAGGTTCCTAAAAAAATTTGATTTTTTCCCATAGGAATGCATGGGTTAGGGTTATGGTTAGGGTTAGGGTTGGAGCTAGGGTTAGGGTTAGGGTTAGGGTTGGAGTTAGGGTTAGTGTTGGAGCTAGGGTTAGGGTTGGGCTTGGAGCTAGGATTTTTCTGAGTGCACTGAACCAACTCCCGAGTCTCTAGGACGTTCCTAAAAAAATTTGATTTTTTCCCATAGGAATGCATGGGTTAGGGTTAGGGTTAGGGTTGGAGCTAGGGTTAGGGTTAGGGTTAGGGTTGGAGTTAGGGTTAGTGTTGGAGCTAGGGTTAGGGTTGGGCTTGGAGCTAGGATTTTTCTGAGTGCACTGAACCAACTCCCGAGTCTCTAGGACATTCCTAAAAAAAATTGATTTTTTCCCATAGGAATGCATGGGTTAGGGTTATGGTTAGGGTTAGGGTTGGAGCTAGGGTTAGGGTTAGGGTTAGGGTTGGAGTTAGGGTTAGTGTTGGAGCTAGGGTTAGGGTTGGGCTTGGAGCTAGGATTTTTCTGAGTGCACTGAACCAACTCCCGAGTCTCTAGGACGTTCCTAAAAAAATTTGATTTTTTTCCCATAGGAATGCATGGGTTAGGGTTAGGGTTAGGGTTGGAGCTAGGGTTAGGGTTAGGGTTAGGGTTGGAGTTAGGGTTAGTGTTGGAGCTAGGGTTAGGGTTGGGCTTGGAGCTAGGATTTTTCTGAGTGCACTGAACCAACTCCCGAGTCTCTAGGACATTCCTAAAAAAATTTGATTTTTTTCCCATAGGAATGCATGGGTTAGGGTTATGGTTAGGGTTAGGGTTGGAGCTAGGGTTAGGGTTAGGGTTAGGGTTGGAGTTAGGGTTAGTGTTGGAGCTAGGGTTAGGGTTGGGCTTGGAGCTAGGATTTTTCTGAGTGCACTGAACCAACTCCCGAGTCTCTAGGACGTTCCTAAAAAATTTGATTTTTTCCCATTGGAATGCATGGGTTAGGGTTAGGGTTAGGGTTGGAGCTAGGGTTAGGGTTAGGGTTAGGGTTGGAGTTAGGGTTAGTGTTGGAGCTAGGGTTAGGGTTGGGCTTGGAGCTAGGATTTTTCTGAGTGCACTGAACCAACTCCCGAGTCTCTAGGACATTCCTAAAAAAATTTGATTTTTTTCCCATAGGAATGCATGGGTTAGGGTTATGGTTAGGGTTAGGGTTGGAGCTAGGGTTAGGGTTAGGGTTAGGGTTGGAGTTAGGGTTAGTGTTGGAGCTAGGGTTAGGGTTGGGCTTGGAGCTAGGATTTTTCTGAGTGCACTGAACCAACTCCCGAGTCTCTAGGACGTTCCTAAAAAAATTTGATTTTTTCCCATAGGAATGCATGGGTTAGGGTTAGGGTTAGGGTTGGAGCTAGGGTTAGGGTTAGGGTTAGGGTTGGAGTTAGGGTTAGTGTTGGAGCTAGGGTTAGGGTTGGGCTTGGAGCTAGGATTTTTCTGAGTGCACTGAACCAACTCCCGAGTCTCTAGGACATTCCTAAAAAAAATTGATTTTTTTCCCATAGGAATGCATGGGTTAGGGTTATGGTTAGGGTTAGGGTTGGAGCTAGGGTTAGGGTTAGGGTTAGGGTTGGAGTTAGGGTTAGTGTTGGAGCTAGGATTAGGGTTGGGCTTGGAGCTAGGATTTTTCTGAGTGCAATGAACCAACTTCCGAGTCTCTAGGACGTTCCTAAAAAAATTTGATTTTTTCCCATAGGAATGCATGGGTTAGGGTTATGGTTAGGGTTAGGGTTGGAGCTAGGGTTAGGGTTAGGGTTAGGGTTGGAGTTAGGGTTAGTGTTGGAGCTAGGGTTAGGGTTGGGCTTGGAGCTAGGATTTTTCTGAGTGCACTGAACCAACTCCCGAGTCTCTAGGACGTTCCTAAAAAAATTTGATTTTTTCCCATAGGAATGCATGGGTTAGGGTTAGGGTTAGGGTTGGAGCTAGGGTTAGGGTTAGGGTTAGGGTTGGAGTTAGGGTTAGTGTTGGAGCTAGGGTTAGGGTTGGGCTTGGAGCTAGGATTTTTCTGAGTGCACTGAACCAACTCCCGAGTCTCTAGGACATTCCTAAAATAATTTGATTTTTTCCCATAGGAATGCATGGGTTAGGGTTAGGGTTAGGGTTGGAGCTAGGGTTAGGGTTAGGGTTAGGGTTGGAGTTAGGGTTAGTGTTGGAGCTAGGGTTAGGGTTGGGCTTGGAGCTAGGATTTTTCTGAGTGCAATGAACCAACTTCCGAGTCTCTAGGACGTTCCTAAAAAAATTTGATTTTTTCCCATAGGAATGCATGGGTTAGGGTTATGGTTAGGGTTAGGGTTGGAGCTAGGGTTAGGGTTAGGGTTAGGGTTGGAGTTAGGGTTAGTGTTGGAGCTAGGGTTAGGGTTGGGCTTGGAGCTAGGATTTTTCTGAGTGCACTGAACCAACTCCCGAGTCTCTAGGACGCTCCTAAAAAAATTTGATTTTTTCCCATAGGAATGCATGGGTTAGGGTTAGGGTTAGGGTTGGAGCTAGGGTTAGGGTTAGGGTTAGGGTTGGAGTTAGGGTTAGTGTTGGAGCTAGGGTTAGGGTTGGGCTTGGAGCTAGGATTTTTCTGAGTGCAATGAACCAACTCCCGAGTCTCTAGGACGTTCCTAAAAAAATTTGATTTTTTCCCATAGGAATGCATGGGTTAGGGTTAGGGTTAGGGTTGGAGCTAGGGTTAGGGTTAGGGTTAGGGTTGGAGTTAGGGTTAGTGTTGGAGCTAGGGTTAGGGTTGGGCTTGGAGCTAGGATTTTTCTGAGTGCACTGAACCAACTCCCGAGTCTCTAGGACATTCCTAAAAAAATTTGATTTTTTTCCCATAGGAATGCATGGGTTAGGGTTATGGTTAGGGTTAGGGTTGGAGCTAGGGTTAGGGTTAGGGTTAGGGTTGGAGTTAGGGTTAGTGTTGGAGCTAGGGTTAGGGTTGGGCTTGGAGCTAGGATTTTTCTGAGTGCACTGAACCAACTCCCGAGTCTCTAGGACGTTCCTAAAAAATTTTGATTTTTTCCCATTGGAATGCATGGGTTAGGGTTAGGGTTAGGGTTGGAGCTAGGGTTAGGGTTAGGGTTAGGGTTGGAGTTAGGGTTAGTGTTGGAGCTAGGGTTAGGGTTGGGCTTGGAGCTAGGATTTTTCTGAGTGCACTGAACCAACTCCCGAGTCTCTAGGACATTCCTAAAAAATTTGATTTTTTTCCCATAGGAATGCATGGGTTAGGGTTATGGTTAGGGTTAGGGTTGGAGCTAGGGTTAGGGTTAGGGTTAGGGTTGGAGTTAGGGTTAGTGTTGGAGCTAGGGTTAGGGTTGGGCTTGGAGCTAGGATTTTTCTGAGTGCAATGAACCAACTCCCGAGTCTCTAGGACGTTCCTAAAAAAATTTGATTTTTTCCCATAGGAATGCATGGGTTAGGGTTAGGGTTAGGGTTGGAGCTAGGGTTAGGGTTAGGGTTAGGGTTGGAGTTAGGGTTAGTGTTGGAGCTAGGGTTAGGGTTGGGCTTGGAGCTAGGATTTTTCTGAGTGCACTGAACCAACTCCCGAGTCTCTAGGACGTTCCTAAAAAAATTTGATTTTTTTCCCATAGGAATGCATGGGTTAGGGTTATGGTTAGGGTTAGGGTTGGAGCTAGGGTTAGGGTTAGGGTTAGGGTTGGAGTTAGGGTTAGTGTTGGAGCTAGGGTTAGGGTTGGGCTTGGAGCTAGGATTTTTCTGAGTGCAATGAACCAACTCCCGAGTCTCTAGGAAGTTCCTAAAAAAATTTGATTTTTTCCCATAGGAATGCATGGGTTAGGGTTAGGGTTAGGGTTGGAGCTAGGGTTAGGGTTAGGGTTAGGGTTGGAGTTAGGGTTAGTGTTGGAGCTAGGGTTAGGGTTGGGCTTGGAGCTAGGATTTTTCTGAGTGCACTGAACCAACTCCCGAGTCTCTAGGACATTCCTAAAAAAATTTGATTTTTTCCCATAGGAATGCATGGGTTAGGGTTATGGTTAGGGTTAGGGTTGGAGCTAGGGTTAGGGTTAGGGTTAGGGTTGGAGTTAGGGTTAGTGTTGGAGCTAGGGTTAGGGTTGGGCTTGGAGCTAGGATTTTTCTGAGTGCAATGAACCAACTCCCGAGTCTCTTGGACGTTCCTAAAAAAATTTGATTTTTTCCCATAGGAATGCATGGGTTAGGGTTAGGGTTAGGGTTGGAGCTAGGGTTAGGGTTAGGGTTAGGGTTAGGGTTAGGGTTGGAGTTAGGGTTAGTGTTGGAGCTAGGGTTAGGGTTGGGCTTGGAGCTAGGATTTTTCTGAGTGCACTGAACCAACTCCCGAGTCTCTAGGACATTCCTAAAAAAATTTGATTTTTTCCCATAGGAATGCATGGGTTAGGGTTAGGGTTAGGGTTGGAGCTAGGGTTAGGGTTAGGGTTAGGGTTGGAGTTAGGGTTAGTGTTGGAGCTAGGGTTAGGGTTGGGCTTGGAGCTAGGATTTTTCTGAGTGCACTGAACCAACTCCCGAGTCTCTAGGACATTCCTAAAAAAATTTGATTTTTTCCCATAGGAATGCATGGGTTAGGGTTAGGGTTAGGGTTAGGGTTGGAGCTAGGGTTAGGGTTAGGGTTAGGGTTGGAGTTAGGGTTAGTGTTGGAGCTAGGGTTAGGGTTGGGCTTGGAGCTAGGATTTTTCTGAGTGCACTGAACCAACTCCCGAGTCTCTAGGACGTTCCTAAAAAAATTTGATTTTTTTCCCATAGGAATGCATGGGTTAGGGTTAGGGTTAGGGTTGGAGCTAGGGTTAGGGTTAGGGTTAGGGTTAGGGTTGGAGTTAGGGTTAGTGTTGGAGCTAGGGTTAGGGTTGGGCTTGGAGCTAGGATTTTTCTGAGTGCAATGAACCAACTCCCGAGTCTCTAGGACGTTCCTAAAAAAATTTGATTTTTTCCCATAGGAATGCATGGGTTAGGGTTAGGGTTAGGGTTGGAGCTAGGGTTAGGGTTAGGGTTAGGGTTGGAGTTAGGGTTAGTGTTGGAGCTAGGGTTAGGGTTGGGCTTGGAGCTAGGATTTTTCTGAGTGCACTGAACCAACTCCCGAGTCTCTAGGACGTTCCTAAAAAAATTTGATTTTTTCCCATAGGAATGCATGGGTTAGGGTTAGGGTTAGGGTTGGAGTTAGGGTTAGTGTTGGAGCTAGGGTTAGGGTTGGGCTTGGAGCTAGGATTTTTCTGAGTGCACTGAACCAACTCCCGAGTCTCTAGGACATTCCTAAAAAAATTTGATTTTTTCCCATAGGAATGCATGGGTTAGGGTTAGGGTTAGGGTTGGAGCTAGGGTTAGGGTTAGGGTTAGGGTTGGAGTTAGGGTTAGTGTTGGAGCTAGGGTTAGGGTTGGGCTTGGAGCTAGGATTTTTCTGAGTGCACTGAACCAACTCCCGAGTCTCTAGGACATTCCTAAAAAAATTTGATTTTTTCCCATAGGAATGCATGGGTTAGGGTTATGGTTAGGGTTAGGGTTGGAGCTAGGGTTAGGGTTAGGGTTAGGGTTGGAGTTAGGGTTAGTGTTGGAGCTAGGGTTAGGGTTGGGCTTGGAGCTAGGATTTTTCTGAGTGCAATGAACCAACTCCCGAGTCTCTAGGACGTTCCTAAAAAAATTTGATTTTTTCCCATAGGAATGCATGGGTTAGGGTTAGGGTTAGGGTTGGAGCTAGGGTTAGGGTTAGGGTTAGGGTTAGGGTTAGGGTTGGAGTTAGGGTTAGTGTTGGAGCTAGGGTTAGGGTTGGGCTTGGAGCTAGGATTTTTCTGAGTGCACTGAACCAACTCCCGAGTCTCTAGGACATTCCTAAAAAATTTTGATTTTTTCCCATAGGAATGCATGGGTTAGGGTTAGGGTTAGGGTTGGAGCTAGGGTTAGGGTTAGGGTTAGGGTTGGAGTTAGGGTTAGTGTTGGAGCTAGGGTTAGGGTTGGGCTTGGAGCTAGGATTTTTCTGAGTGCACTGAACCAACTCCCGAGTCTCTAGGACATTCCTAAAAAAATTTGATTTTTTCCCATAGGAATGCATGGGTTAGGGTTATGGTTAGGGTTAGGGTTGGAGCTAGGGTTAGGGTTAGGGTTAGGGTTGGAGTTAGGGTTAGTGTTGGAGCTAGGGTTAGGGTTGGGCTTGGAGCTAGGATTTTTCTGAGTGCACTGAACCAACTCCCGAGTCTCTAGGACGTTCCTAAAAAAATTTGATTTTTTCCCATAGGAATGCATGGGTTAGGGTTAGGGTTAGGGTTGGAGCTAGGGTTAGGGTTAGGGTTAGGGTTAGGGTTGGAGTTAGGGTTAGTGTTGGAGCTAGGGTTAGGGTTGGGCTTGGAGCTAGGATTTTTCTGAGTGCAATGAACCAACTCCCGAGTCTCTAGGACGTTCCTAAAAAAATTTGATTTTTTCCCATAGGAATGCATGGGTTAGGGTTAGGGTTAGGGTTGGAGCTAGGGTTAGGGTTAGGGTTAGGGTTGGAGTTAGGGTTAGTGTTGGAGCTAGGGTTAGGGTTGGGCTTGGAGCTAGGATTTTTCTGAGTGCACTGAACCAACTCCCGAGTCTCTAGGACATTCCTAAAAAAATTTGATTTTTTTCCCATAGGAATGCATGGGTTAGGGTTATGGTTAGTGTTAGGGTTGGAGCTAGGGTTAGGGTTAGGGTTAGGGTTGGAGTTAGGGTTAGTGTTGGAGCTAGGGTTAGGGTTGGGCTTGGAGCTAGGATTTTTCTGAGTGCACTGAACCAACTCCCGAGTCTCTAGGACGTTCCTAAAAAATTTGATTTTTTCCCATAGGAATGCATGGGTTAGGGTTAGGGTTAGGGTTGGAGCTAGGGTTAGGGTTGGAGCTAGGGTTAGGGTTAGGGTTGGAGTTAGGGTTAGTGTTGGAGCTAGGGTTAGGGTTGGGCTTGGAGCTAGGATTTTTCTGAGTGCACTGAACCAACTCCCGAGTCTCTAGGACATTCCTAAAAAAAATTTGATTTTTTCCCATAGGAATGCATGGGTTAGGGTTATGGTTAGGGTTAGGGTTGGAGCTAGGGTTAGGGTTAGGGTTAGGGTTGGAGTTAGGGTTAGTGTTGGAGCTAGGGTTAGGGTTGGGCTTGGAGCTAGGATTTTTCTGAGTGCACTGAACCAACTCCCGAGTCTCTAGGACATTCCTAAAAAAATTTGATTTTTTCCCATAGGAATGCATGGGTTAGGGTTATGGTTAGGGTTAGGGTTGGAGCTAGGGTTAGGGTTAGGGTTAGGGTTGGAGCTAGGGTTAGGGTTGGGCTTGGAGCTAGGATTTTTCTGAGTGCACTGAACCAACTCCCGAGTCTCTAGGACATTCCTAAAAAAATTTGATTTTTTCCCATAGGAATGCATGGGTTAGGGTTAGGGTTAGGGTTGGAGCTAGGGTTAGGGTTAGGGTTAGGGTTGGAGTTAGGGTTAGTGTTGGAGCTAGGGTTAGGGTTGGGCTTGGAGCTAGGATTTTTCTGAGTGCAATGAACCAACTCCCGAGTCTCTAGGACGTTCCTAAAAAAATTTGATTTTTTCCCATAGGAATGCATGGGTTAGGGTTAGGGTTAGGGTTGGAGCTAGGGTTAGGGTTAGGGTTAGGGTTTGGGTTGGAGTTAGGGTTAGTGTTGGAGCTAGGGTTAGGGTTGGGCTTGGAGCTAGGATTTTTCTGAGTGCACTGAACCAACTCCCGAGTCTCTAGGACATTCCTAAAAAAATTTGATTTTTTCCCATAGGAATGCATGGGTTAGGGTTATGGTTAGGGTTAGGGTTGGAGCTAGGGTTAGGGTTAGGGTTAGGGTTGGAGTTAGGGTTAGTGTTGGAGCTAGGGTTAGGGTTGGGCTTGGAGCTAGGATTTTTCTGAGTGCACTGAACCAACTCCCGAGTCTCTAGGACGTTCCTAAAAAAATTTGATTTTTTCCCATAGGAATGCATGGGTTAGGGTTAGGGTTAGGGTTGGAGCTAGGGTTAGGGTTAGGGTTAGGGTTGGAGTTAGGGTTAGTGTTGGAGCTAGGGTTAGGGTTGGGCTTGGAGCTAGGATTTTTCTGAGTGCACTGAACCAACTCCCGAGTCTCTAGGACATTCCTAAAAAAATTTGATTTTTTTCCCATAGGAATGCATGGGTTAGGGTTATGGTTAGGGTTAGGGTTGGAGCTAGGGTTAGGGTTAGGGTTAGGGTTGGAGTTAGGGTTAGTGTTGGAGCTAGGGTTAGGGTTGGGCTTGGAGCTAGGATTTTTCTGAGTGCAATGAACCAACTCCCGAGTCTCTAGGACGTTCCTAAAAAAATTTGATTTTTTCCCATAGGAATGCATGGGTTAGGGTTAGGGTTAGGGTTGGAGCTAGGGTTAGGGTTGGAGCTTGGGTTAGGGTTAGGGTTGGAGTTAGGGTTAGTGTTGGAGCTAGGGTTAGGGTTGGGCTTGGAGCTAGGATTTTTCTGAGTGCACTGAACCAACTCCCGAGTCTCTAGGACATTCCTAAAAAAATTTGATTTTTTCCCATAGGAATGCATGGGTTAGGGTTATGGTTAGGGTTAGGGTTGGAGCTAGGGTTAGGGTTAGGGTTAGGGTTGGAGTTAGGGTTAGTGTTGGAGCTAGGGTTAGGGTTGGGCTTGGAGCTAGGATTTTTCTGAGTGCACTGAACCAACTCCCGAGTCTCTAGGACATTCCTAAAAAAATTTGATTTTTTCCCATAGGAATGCATGGGTTAGGGTTATGGTTAGGGTTAGGGTTGGAGCTAGGGTTAGGGTTAGGGTTAGGGTTGGAGTTAGGGTTAGTGTTGGAGCTAGGGTTAGGGTTGGGCTTGGAGCTAGGATTTTTCTGAGTGCAATGAACCAACTCCCGAGTCTCTAGGACGTTCCTAAAAAAATTTGATTTTTTCCCATAGGAATGCATGGGTTAGGGTTAGGGTTAGGGTTGGAGCTAGGGTTAGGGTTAGGGTTAGGGTTGGAGTTAGGGTTAGTGTTGGAGCTAAGGTTAGGGTTGGGCTTGGAGCTAGGATTTTTCTGAGTGCACTGAACCAACTCCCGAGTCTCTAGGACATTCCTAAAAAAATTTGATTTTTTTCCCATAGGAATGAATGGGTTAGGGTTATGGTTAGGGTTAGGGTTGGAGCTAGGGTTAGGGTTAGGGTTAGGGTTGGAGTTAGGGTTAGTGTTGGAGCTAGGGTTAGGGTTGGGCTTGGAGCTAGGATTTTTCTGAGTGCAATGAACCAACTCCCGAGTCTCTAGGAAGTTCCTAAAAAAATTTGATTTTTTTCCCATAGGAATGCATGGGTTAGGGTTAGGGTTAGGGTTGGAGCTAGGGTTAGGGTTAGGGTTAGGGTTGGAGTTAGGGTTAGTGTTGGAGCTAGGGTTAGGGTTGGGCTTGGAGCTAGGATTTTTCTGAGTGCACTGAACCAACTCCCGAGTCTCTAGGACATTCCTAAAAAAATTTGATTTTTTCCCATAGGAATGCATGGGTTAGGGTTATGGTTAGGGTTAGGGTTGGAGCTAGGGTTAGGGTTAGGGTTAGGGTTGGAGTTAGGGTTAGTGTTGGAGCTAGGGTTAGGGTTGGGCTTGGAGCTAGGATTTTTCTGAGTGCAATGAACCAACTCCCGAGTCTCTAGGACGTTCCTAAAAAAATTTGATTTTTTCCCATAGGAATGCATGGGTTAGGGTTAGGGTTAGGGTTGGAGCTAGGGTTAGGGTTAGGGTTAGGGTTAGGGTTAGGGTTGGAGTTAGGGTTAGTGTTGGAGCTAGGGTTAGGGTTGGGCTTGGAGCTAGGATTTTTCTGAGTGCACTGAACCAACTCCCGAGTCTCTAGGACATTCCTAAAATAATTTGATTTTTTCCCATAGGAATGCATGGGTTAGGGTTAGGGTTAGGGTTGGAGCTAGGGTTAGGGTTAGGGTTAGGGTTGGAGTTAGGGTTAGTGTTGGAGCTAGGGTTAGGGTTGGGCTTGGAGCTAGGATTTTTCTGAGTGCACTGAACCAACTCCCGAGTCTCTAGGACATTCCTAAAAAAATTTGATTTTTTCCCATAGGAATGCATGGGTTAGGGTTATGGTTAGGGTTAGGGTTGGAGCTAGGGTTAGGGTTAGGGTTAGGGTTGGAGTTAGGGTTAGTGTTGGAGCTAGGGTTAGGGTTGGGCTTGGAGCTAGGATTTTTCTGAGTGCACTGAACCAACTCCCGAGTCTCTAGGACGTTCCTAAAAAAATTTGATTTTTTCCCATAGGAATGCATGGGTTAGGGTTAGGGTTAGGGTTGGAGCTAGGGTTAGGGTTAGGGTTAGGGTTGGAGTTAGGGTTAGTGTTGGAGCTAGGGTTAGGGTTGGGCTTGGAGCTAGGATTTTTCTGAGTGCACTGAACCAACTCCCGAGTCTCTAGGACATTCCTAAAAAAATTTGATTTTTTTCCCATAGGAATGCATGGGTTAGGGTTATGGTTAGTGTTAGGGTTGGAGCTAGGGTTAGGGTTAGGGTTAGGGTTAGGGTTGGAGTTAGGGTTAGTGTTGGAGCTAGGGTTAGGGTTGGGCTTGGAGCTAGGATTTTTCTGAGTGCACTGAACCAACTCCCGAGTCTCTAGGACGTTCCTAAAAAAATTTGATTTTTTCCCATAGGAATGCATGGGTTAGGGTTAGGGTTAGGGTTGGAGCTAGGGTTAGGGTTATAGTTAGGGTTAGGGTTGGAGTTAGGGTTAGTGTTGGAGCTAGGGTTAGGGTTGGGCTTGGAGCTAGGATTTTTCTGAGTGCACTGAACGAACTCCCGAGTCTCTAGGACATTCCTAAAAAAAATTGATTTTTTCCCATAGGAATGCATGGGTTAGGGTTATGGTTAGGGTTAGGGTTGGAGCTAGGGTTAGGGTTAGGGTTAGGGTTGGAGTTAGGGTTAGTGTTGGAGCTAGGGTTAGGGTTGGGCTTGGAGCTAGGATTTTTCTGAGTGCACTGAACCAACTCCCGAGTCTCTAGGACATTCCTAAAAAAATTTGATTTTTTTCCCATAGGAATGCATGGGTTAGGGTTATGGTTAGGGTTAGGGTTGGAGCTAGGGTTAGGGTTAGGGTTAGGGTTGGAGTTAGGGTTAGTGTTGGAGCTAGGGTTAGGGTTGGGCTTGGAGCTAGGATTTTTCTGAGTGCACTGAACCAACTCCCGAGTCTCTAGGACGTTCCTAAAAAAATTAGATTTTTTCCCATAGGAATGCATGGGTTAGGGTTAGGGTTAGGGTTGGAGCTAGGGTTAGGGTTAGGGTTAGGGTTGGAGTTAGGGTTAGTGTTGGAGCTAGGGTTAGGGTTGGGCTTGGAGCTAGGATTTTTCTGAGTGCAATGAACCAACTCCCGAGTCTCTAGGACGTTCCTAAAAAAATTTGATTTTTTCCCATAGGAATGCATGGGTTAGGGTTAGGGTTAGGGTTGGAGCTAGGGTTAGGGTTAGGGTTAGGGTTAGGGTTGGAGTTAGGGTTAGTGTTGGAGCTAGGGTTAGGGTTGGGCTTGGAGCTAGGATTTTTCTGAGTGCACTGAACCAACTCCCGAGTCTCTAGGACATTCCTAAAAAAATTTGATTTTTTCCCATAGGAATGCATGGGTTAGGGTTATGGTTAGGGTTAGGGTTGGAGCTAGGGTTAGGGTTAGGGTTAGGGTTGGAGTTAGGGTTAGTGTTGGAGCTAGGGTTAGGGTTGGGCTTGGAGCTAGGATTTTTCTGAGTGCACTGAACCAACTCCCGAGTCTCTAGGACGTTCCTAAAAAAATTTGATTTTTTCCCATAGGAATGCATGGGTTAGGGTTAGGGTTAGGGTTGGAGCTAGGGTTAGGGTTAGGGTTAGGGTTGGAGTTAGGGTTAGTGTTGGAGCTAGGGTTAGGGTTGGGCTTGGAGCTAGGATTTTTCTGAGTGCACTGAACCAACTCCCGAGTCTCTAGGACATTCCTAAAAAAATTTGATTTTTTTCCCATAGGAATGCATGGGTTAGGGTTATGGTTAGGGTTAGGGTTGGAGCTAGGGTTAGGGTTAGGGTTAGGGTTGGAGTTAGGGTTAGTGTTGGAGCTAGGGTTAGGGTTGGGCTTGGAGCTAGGATTTTTCTGAGTGCAATGAACCAACTCCCGAGTCTCTAGGACGTTCCTAAAAAAATTTGATTTTTTCCCATAGGAATGCATGGGTTAGGGTTAGGGTTAGGGTTGGAGCTAGGGTTAGGGTTGGAGCTAGGGTTAGGGTTAGGGTTGGAGTTAGGGTTAGTGTTGGAGCTAGGGTTAGGGTTGGGCTTGGAGCTAGGATTTTTCTGAGTGCACTGAACCAACTCCCGAGTCTCTAGGACATTCCTAAAAAAATTTGATTTTTTTCCCATAGGAATGCATGGGTTAGGGTTAGGGTTAGGGTTAGGGTTGGAGCTAGGGTTAGGGTTAGGGTTAGGGTTGGAGTTAGGGTTAGTGTTGGAGCTAGGGTTAGGGTTGGGCTTGGAGCTAGGATTTTTCTGAGTGCACTGAACCAACTCCCGAGTCTCTAGGACATTCCTAAAAAAATTGATTTTTTCCCATAGGAATGCATGGGTTAGGGTTATGGTTAGGGTTAGGGTTGGAGCTAGGGTTAGGGTTAGGGTTAGGGTTGGAGTTAGGGTTAGTGTTGGAGCTAGGGTTAGGGTTGGGCTTGGAGCTAGGATTTTTCTGAGTGCAATGAACCAACTCCCGAGTCTCTAGGACGTTCCTAAAAAAATTTTGATTTTTTCCCATAGGAATGCATGGGTTAGGGTTAGGGTTAGGGTTGGAGCTAGGGTTAGGGTTAGGGTTAGGGTTGGAGTTAGGGTTAGTGTTGGAGCTAGGGTTAGGGTTGGGCTTGGAGCTAGGATTTTTCTGAGTGCACTGAACCAACTCCCGAGTGTCTAGGACATTCCTAAAAAAATTTGATTTTTTCCCATAGGAATGCATGGGTTAGGGTTATGGTTAGGGTTAGGGTTGGAGCTAGGGTTAGGGTTAGGGTTAGGGTTGGAGTTAGGGTTAGTGTTGGAGCTAGGGTTAGGGTTGGGCTTGGAGCTAGGATTTTTCTGAGTGCACTGAACCAACTCCCGAGTCTCTAGGACGTTCCTAAAAAAAATTGATTTTTTCCCATAGGAATGCATGGGTTAGGGTTAGGGTTAGGGTTGGAGCTAGGGTTAGGGTTAGGGTTAGGGTTGGAGTTAGGGTTAGTGTTGGAGCTAGGGTTAGGGTTGGGCTTGGAGCTAGGATTTTTCTGAGTGCACTGAACCAACTCCCGAGTCTCTAGGACATTCCTAAAAAAAATTGATTTTTTCCCATAGGAATGCATGGGTTAGGGTTATGGTTAGGGTTAGGGTTGGAGCTAGGGTTAGGGTTAGGGTTAGGGTTGGAGTTAGGGTTAGTGTTGGAGCTAGGGTTAGGGTTGGGCTTGGAGCTAGGATTTTTCTGAGTGCAATGAACCAACTCCCGAGTCTCTAGGACGTTCCTAAAAAAATTTGATTTTTTCCCATAGGAATGCATGGGTTAGGGTTAGGGTTAGGGTTGGAGCTAGGGTTAGGGTTAGGGTTAGGGTTGGAGTTAGGGTTAGTGTTGGAGCTAAGGTTAGGGTTGGGCTTGGAGCTAGGATTTTTCTGAGTGCACTGAACCAACTCCCGAGTCTCTAGGACATTCCTAAAAAAATTTGATTTTTTCCCATAGGAATGCATGGGTTAGGGTTATGGTTAGGGTTAGGGTTGGAGCTAGGGTTAGGGTTAGGGTTAGGGTTGGAGTTAGGGTTAGTGTTGGAGCTAGGGTTAGGGTTGGGCTTGGAGCTAGGATTTTTCTGAGTGCAATGAACCAACTCCCGAGTCTCTAGGACGTTCCTAAAAAAATTTGATTTTTTCCCATAGGAATGCATGGGTTAGGGTTAGGGTTAGGGTTGGAGCTAGGGTTAGGGTTAGGGTTAGTGTTAGGGTTAGGGTTGGAGTTAGGGTTAGTGTTGGAGCTAGGGTTAGGGTTGGGCTTGGAGCTAGGATTTTTCTGAGTGCACTGAACCAACTCCCGAGTCTCTAGGACATTCCTAAAAAAATTTGATTTTTTTCCCATAGGAATGCATGGGTTAGGGTTATGGTTAGGGTTAGGGTTGGAGCTAGGGTTAGGGTTAGGGTTAGGGTTGGAGTTAGGGTTAGTGTTGGAGCTAGGGTTAGGGTTGGGCTTGGAGCTAGGATTTTTCTGAGTGCACTGAACCAACTCCCGAGTCTCTAGGACGTTCCTAAAAAAATTTGATTTTTTCCCATAGGAATGCATGGGTTAGGGTTAGGGTTAGGGTTGGAGCTAGGGTTAGGGTTGGAGCTAGGGTTAGGGTTAGGGTTGGAGTTAGGGTTAGTGTTGGAGCTAGGGTTAGGGTTGGGCTTGGAGCTAGGATTTTTCTGAGTGCACTGAACCAACTCCCGAGTCTCTAGGACATTCCTAAAAAAATTTGATTTTTTCCCATAGGAATGCATGGGTTAGGGTTATGGTTAGGGTTAGGGTTGGAGCTAGGGTTAGGGTTAGGGTTAGGGTTAGGGTTGGAGTTAGGGTTAGTGTTGGAGCTAGGGTTAGGGTTGGGCTTGGAGCTAGGATTTTTCTGAGTGCACTGAACCAACTCCCGAGTCTCTAGGACATTCCTAAAAAAATTTGATTTTTTCCCATAGGAATGCATGGGTTAGGGTTATGGTTAGGGTTAGGGTTGGAGCTAGGGTTAGGGTTAGGGTTAGGGTTGGAGTTAGGGTTAGTGTTGGAGCTAGGGTTAGGGTTGGGCTTGGAGCTAGGATTTTTCTGAGTGCAATGAACCAACTCCCGAGTCTCTAGGACGTTCCTAAAAAATTTTGATTTTTTCCCATAGGAATGCATGGGTTAGGGTTAGGGTTAGGGTTGGAGCTAGGGTTAGGGTTAGGGTTAGGGTTGGAGTTAGGGTTAGTGTTGGAGCTAGGGTTAGGGTTGGGCTTGGAGCTAGGATTTTTCTGAGTGCACTGAACCAACTCCCGAGTCTCTAGGACATTCCTAAAAAAATTTGATATTTTTCCCATAGGAATGCATGGGTTAGGGTTATGGTTAGGGTTAGGGTTGGAGCTAGGGTTAGGGTTAGGTTTAGGGTTGGAGTTAGGGTTAGTGTTGGAGCTAGGGTTAGGGTTGGACTTGGAGCTAGGATTTTTCTGAGTGCAATGAACCAACTCCCGAGTCTCTAGGACGTTCCTAAAAAAATTTGATTTTTTCCCATAGGAATGCATGGGTTAGGGTTAGGGTTAGGGTTGGAGCTAGGGTTAGGGTTAGGGTTAGGGTTGGAGTTAGGGTTAGTGTTGGAGCTAAGGTTAGGGTTGGGCTTGGAGCTAGGATTTTTCTGAGTGCACTGAACCAACTCCCGAGTCTCTAGGACATTCCTAAAAAAATTTGATTTTTTTCCCATAGGAATGAATGGGTTAGGGTTATGGTTAGGGTTAGGGTTGGAGCTAGGGTTAGGGTTAGGGTTAGGGTTGGAGTTAGGGTTAGTGTTGGAGCTAGGGTTAGGGTTGGGCTTGGAGCTAGGATTTTTCTGAGTGCAATGAACAAACTCCCGAGTCTCTAGGACGTTCCTAAAAAAATTTGATTTTTTCCCATAGGAATGCATGGGTTAGGGTTAGGGTTAGGGTTGGAGCTAGGGTTAGGGTTAGGGTTAGGGTTAGGGTTAGGGTTGGAGTTAGGGTTAGTGTTGGAGCTAGGGTTAGGGTTGGGCTTGGAGCTAGGATTTTTCTGAGTGCACTGAACCAACTCCCGAGTCTCTAGGACATTCCTAAAAAAATTTGATTTTTTTCCCATAGGAATGCATGGGTTAGGGTTATGGTTAGGGTTAGGGTTGGAGCTAGGGTTAGGGTTAGGGTTAGGGTTGGAGTTAGGGTTAGTGTTGGAGATAGGGTTAGGGTTGGGCTTGGAGCTAGGATTTTTCTGAGTGCAACTGAACCAACTCCCGAGTCTCTAGGACATTCCTAAAAAAATTTGATTTTTTCCCATAGGAATGCATGGGTTAGGGTTAGGGTTAGGGTTGGAGCTAGGGTTAGGGTTAGGGTTGGAGTTAGGGTTAGTGTTGGAGCTAGGGTTAGGGTTGGGCTTGGAGCTAGGATTTTTCTGAGTGCACTGAACCAACTCCCGAGTCTCTAGGACATTCCTAAAAAAATTTGATTTTTTCCCATAGGAATGCATGGGTTAGGGTTATAGGTTAGGGTTAGGGTTGGAGCTAGGGTTAGGGTTAGGGTTAGGGTTGGAGTTAGGGTTAGTGTTGGAGCTAGGGTTAGGGTTGGGCTTGGAGCTAAGATTTTTCTGAGTGCAATGAACCAACTCCCGAGTCTCTAGGACGTTCCTAAAAAAATTTGATTTTTTCCCATAGGAATGCATGGGTTAGGGTTAGGGTTAGGGTTGGAGCTAGGGTTAGGGTTGGAGCTAGGGTTAGGGTTAGGGTTGGAGTTAGGGTTAGTGTTGGAGCTAGGGTTAGGGTTGGGCTTGGAGCTAGGATTTTTCTGAGTGCACTGAACCAACTCCCGAGTCTCTAGGACATTCCTAAAAAAATTTGATTTTTTCCCATAGGAATGCATGGGTTAGGGTTATGGTTAGGGTTAGGGTTGGAGCTAGGGTTAGGGTTAGGGTTAGGGTTGGAGTTAGGGTTAGTGTTGGAGCTAGGGTTAGGGTTGGGCTTGGAGCTAGGATTTTTCTGAGTGCACTGAACCAACTCCCGAGTCTCTAGGACATTCCTAAAAAAATTTGATTTTTTCCCATAGGAATGCATGGGTTAGGGTTAGGGTTAGGGTTGGAGCTAGGGTTAGGGTTAGGGTTAGGGTTGGAGTTAGGGTTAGTGTTGGAGCTAGGGTTAGGGTTGGGCTTGGAGCTAGGATTTTTCTGAGTGCAATGAACCAACTCCCGAGTCTCTAGGACGTTCCTAAAAAAATTTGATTTTTTCCCATAGGAATGCATGGGTTAGGGTTAGGGTTAGGGTTGGAGCTAGGGTTAGGGTTAGGGTTAGGATTAGGGTTGGAGTTAGGGTTAGTGTTGGAGCTAGGGTTAGGGTTGGGCTTGGAGCTAGGATTTTTCTGAGTGCACTGAACCAACTCCCGAGTCTCTAGGACATTCCTAAAAAAAATTTGATTTTTTCCCATAGGAATGCATGGGTTAGGGTTATGGTTAGGGTTAGGGTTGGAGCTAGGGTTAGGGTTAGGGTTAGGGTTGGAGTTAGGGTTAGTGTTGGAGCTAGGGTTAGGGTTGGGCTTGGAGCTAGGATTTTTCTGAGTGCACTGAACCAACTCCCGAGTCTCTAGGACGTTCCTAAAAAAAATTGATTTTTTCCCATAGGAATGCATGGGTTAGGGTTAGGGTTAGGGTTGGAGCTAGGGTTAGGGTTAGGGTTAGGGTTGGAGTTAGGGTTAGTGTTGGAGCTAGGGTTAGGGTTGGGCTTGGAGCTAGGATTTTTCTGAGTGCACTGAACCAACTCCCGAGTCTCTAGGACATTCCTAAAAAAATTTGATTTTTTTCCCATAGGAATGCATGGGTTAGGGTTATGGTTAGGGTTAGGGTTGGAGCTAGGGTTAGGGTTAGGGTTAGGGTTGGAGTTAGGGTTAGTGTTGGAGCTAGGGTTAGGGTTGGGCTTGGAGCTAGGATTTTTCTGAGTGCAATGAACCAACTCCCGAGTCTCTAGGACGTTCCTAAAAAAATTTGATTTTTTCCCATAGGAATGCATGGGTTAGGGTTAGGGTTAGGGTTGGAGCTAGGGTTAGGGTTAGGGTTAGGGTTGGAGTTAGGGTTAGTGTTGGAGCTAAGGTTAGGGTTGGGCTTGGAGCTAGGATTTTTCTGAGTGCACTGAACCAACTCCCGAGTCTCTAGGACATTCCTAAAAAAATTTGATTTTTTTCCCATAGGAATGAATGGGTTAGGGTTATGGTTAGGGTTAGGGTTGGAGCTAGGGTTAGGGTTAGGGTTAGGGTTGGAGTTAGGGTTAGTGTTGGAGCTAGGGTTAGGGTTGGGCTTGGAGCTAGGATTTTTCTGAGTGCAATGAACCATCTCCCGAGTCTCTAGGACGTTCCTAAAAAAATTTGATTTTTTCCCATAGGAATGCATGGGTTAGGGTTAGGGTTAGGGTTGGAGCTAGGGTTAGGGTTAGGGTTAGGGTTGGAGTTAGGGTTAGTGTTGGAGCTAGGGTTAGGGTTGGGCTTGGAGCTAGGATTTTTCTGAGTGCACTGAACCAACTCCCGAGTCTCTAGGACATTCCTAAAAAAAATTGATTTTTTCCCATAGGAATGCATGGGTTAGGGTTATGGTTAGGGTTAGGGTTGGAGCTAGGGTTAGGGTTAGGGTTAGGGTTGGAGTTAGGGTTAGTGTTGGAGCTAGGGTTAGGGTTGGGCTTGGAGCTAGGATTTTTCTGAGTGCAATGAACCAACTCCCGAGTCTCTAGGACGTTCCTAAAAAAATTTGATTTTTTCCCATAGGAATGCATGGGTTAGGGTTAGGGTTAGGGTTGGAGCTAGGGTTAGGGTTAGGGTTAGGGTTGGAGTTAGGGTTAGTGTTGGAGCTAAGGTTAGGGTTGGGCTTGGAGCTAGGATTTTTCTGAGTGCACTGAACCAACTCCCGAGTCTCTAGGACATTCCTAAAAAAATTTGATTTTTTTCCCATAGGAATGCATGGGTTAGGGTTATGGTTAGGGTTAGGGTTGGAGCTAGGGTTAGGGTTAGGGTTAGGGTTGGCGTTAGGGTTAGTGTTGGAGCTAGGGTTAGGGTTGGGCTTGGAGCTAGGATTTTTCTGAGTGCAATGAACCAACTCCCGAGTCTCTAGGACGTTCCTAAAAAAATTTGATTTTTTCCCATAGGAATGCATGGGTTAGGGTTAGGGTTAGGGTTGGAGCTAGGGTTAGGGTTAGGGTTAGGGTTAGGGTTAGGGTTGGAGTTAGGGTTAGTGTTGGAGCTAGGGTTAGGGTTGGGCTTGGAGCTAGGATTTTTCTGAGTGCACTGAACCAACTCCCGAGTCTCTAGGACATTCCTAAAAAAATTTGATTTTTTCCCATAGGAATGCATGGGTTAGGGTTAGGTTAGGGTTGGAGCTAGGGTTAGGGTTAGGGTTAGGGTTGGAGTTAGGGTTAGTGTTGGAGCTAGGGTTAGGGTTGGGCTTGGAGCTAGGATTTTTCTGAGTGCAATGAACCAACTCCCGAGTCTCTAGGACGTTCCTAAAAAAATTTGATTTTTTCCCATAGGAATGCATGGGTTAGGGTTAGGGTTAGGGTTGGAGCTAGGGTTAGGGTTGGAGCTAGGGTTAGGGTTAGGGTTGGAGTTAGGGTTAGTGTTGGAGCTAGGGTTAGGGTTGGGCTTGGAGCTAGGATTTTTCTGAGTGCACTGAACCAACTCCCGAGTCTCTAGGACATTCCTAAAAAAAATTGATTTTTTCCCATAGGAATGCATGGGTTAGGGTTATGGTTAGGGTTAGGGTTGGAGCTAGGGTTAGGGTTAGGGTTAGGGTTGGAGTTAGGGTTAGTGTTGGAGCTAGGGTTAGGGTTGGGCTTGGAGCTAGGATTTTTCTGAGTGCACTGAACCAACTCCCGAGTCTCTAGGACGTTCCTAAAAAAATTTGATTTTTTCCCATAGGAATGCATGGGTTAGGGTTAGGGTTAGGGTTGGAGCTAGGGTTAGGGTTAGGGTTAGGGTTGGAGTTAGGGTTAGTGTTGGAGCTAGGGTTAGGGTTGGGCTTGGAGCTAGGATTTTTCTGAGTGCACTGAACCAACTCCCGAGTCTCTAGGACATTCCTAAAAAAATTTGATTTTTTTCCCATAGGAATGCATGGGTTAGGGTTATGGTTAGGGTTAGGGTTGGAGCTAGGGTTAGGGTTAGGGTTAGGGTTGGAGTTAGGGTTAGTGTTGGAGCTAGGGTTAGGGTTGGGCTTGGAGCTAGGATTTTTCTGAGTGCAATGAACCAACTCCCGAGTCTCTAGGACGTTCCTAAAAAAATTTGATTTTTTCCCATAGGAATGCATGGGTTAGGGTTAGGGTTAGGGTTGGAGCTAGGGTTAGGGTTAGGGTTAGGGTTGGAGTTAGGGTTAGTGTTGGAGCTAGGGTTAGGGTTGGGCTTGGAGCTAGGATTTTTCTGAGTGCAATGAACCAACTCCCGAGTCTCTAGGACGTTCCTAAAAAAATTTGATTTTTTCCCATAGGAATGCATGGATTAGGGTTAGGGTTAGGGTTGGAGCTAGGGTTAGGGTTGGAGCTAGGGTTAGGGTTAGGGTTGGAGTTAGGGTTAGTGTTGGAGCTAGGGTTAGGGTTGGGCTTGGAGCTAGGATTTTTCTGAGTGCACTGAACCAACTCCCGAGTTCTTAGGACATTCCTAAAAAAATTAGATTTTTTCCCATAGGAATGCATGGGTTAGGGTTAGGGTTAGGGTTGGAGCTAGGGTTAGGGTTAGGGTTAGGGTTGGAGTTAGGGTTAGTGTTGGAGCTAGGGTTAGGGTTGGGCTTGGAGCTAGGATTTTTCTGAGTGCACTGAACCAACTCCCGAGTCTCTAGGACATTCCTAAAAAAATTTGATTTTTTCCCATAGGAATGCATGGGTTAGGGTTATGGTTAGGGTTAGGGTTGGAGCTAGGGTTAGGGTTAGGGTTAGGGTTGGAGTAAGGGTTAGTGTTGGAGCTAGGGTTAGGGTTGGGCTTGGAGCTAGGATTTTTCTGAGTGCACTGAACCAACTCCCGAGTCTCTAGGACGTTCCTAAAAAGATTTGATTTTTTCCCATAGGAATGCATGGGTTAGGGTTAGGGTTAGGGTTGGAGCTAGGGTTAGGGTTAGGGTTAGGGTTAGGGTTAGGGTTGGAGTTAGGGTTAGTGTTGGAGCTAGGGTTAGGGTTGGGCTTGGAGCTAGGATTTTTCTGAGTGCACTGAACCAACTCCCGAGTCTCTAGGACATTCCTAAAAAAATTTGATTTTTTCCCATAGGAATGCATGGGTTAGGGTTAGGGTTAGGGTTGGAGCTAGGGTTAGGGTTAGGGTTAGGGTTGGAGTTAGGGTTAGTGTTGGAGCTAGGGTTAGGGTTGGGCTTGGAGCTAGGATTTTTCTGAGTGCACTGAACCAACTCCCGAGTCTCTAGGACATTCCTAAAAAAATTTGATTTTTTCCCATAGGAATGCATGGGTTAGGGTTAGGGTTAGGGTTGGAGCTAGGGTTAGGGTTAGGGTTAGGGTTGGAGTTAGGGTTAGTGTTGGAGCTAGGGTTAGGGTTGGGCTTGGAGCTAGGATTTTTCTGAGTGCACTGAACCAACTCCCGAGTCTCTAGGACGTTCCTAAAAAAATTTGATTTTTTCCCATAGGAATGCATGGGTTAGGGTTAGGGTTAGGGTTGGAGCTAGGGTTAGGGTTAGGGTTAGGGTTGGAGTTAGGGTTAGTGTTGGAGCTAGGGTTAGGGTTGGGCTTGGAGCTAGGATTTTTCTGAGTGCAATGAACCAACTCCCGAGTCTCTAGGACGTTCCTAAAAAATTTGATTTTTTCCCGTAGGAATGCATGGGTTAGGGTTAGGGTTAGGGTTGGAGCTAGGGTTAGGGTTAGGGTTAGGGTTGGAGTTAGGGTTAGTGTTGGAGCTAGGGTTAGGGTTGGGCTTGGAGCTAGGATTTTTCTGAGTGCACTGAACCAACTCCCGAGTCTCTAGGACATTCCTAAAAAAATTTGATTTTTTCCCATAGGAATGCATGGGTTAGGGTTATGGTTAGGGTTAGGGTTGGAGCTAGGGTTAGGGTTAGGGTTAGGGTTGGAGTTAGGGTTAGTGTTGGAGCTAGGGTTAGGGTTGGGCTTGGAGCTAGGATTTTTCTGAGTGCACTGAACCAACTCCCGAGTCTCTAGGACGTTCCTAAAAAAATTTGATTTTTTCCCATAGGAATGCATGGGTTAGGGTTAGGGTTAGGGTTGGAGCTAGGGTTAGGGTTAGGGTTAGGGTTGGAGTTAGGGTTAGTGTTGGAGCTAGGGTTAGGGTTGGGCTTGGAGCTAGGATTTTTCTGAGTGCACTGAACCAACTCCCGAGTCTCTAGGACATTCCTAAAAAAATTTGATTTTTTTCCCATAGGAATGCATGGGTTAGGGTTAGGGTTAGGGTTGGAGCTAGGGTTAGGGTTAGGGTTAGGGTTGGAGTTAGGGTTAGTGTTGGAGCTAGGGTTAGGGTTGGGCTTGGAGCTAGGATTTTTCTGAGCGCAATGAACCAACTCCCGAGTCTCTAGGACGTTCCTAAAAAAATTTGATTTTTTCCCATAGGAATGCATGGGTTAGGGTTAGGGTTAGGGTTGGAGCTAGGGTTAGGGTTAGGGTTAGGGTTGGAGTTAGGGTTAGTGTTGGAGCTAGGGTTAGGGTTGGGCTTGGAGCTAGGATTTTTCTGAGTGCACTGAACCAACTCCCGAGTCTCTAGGACATTCCTAAAATAATTTGATTTTTTCCCATAGGAATGCATGGGTTAGGGTTAGGGTTAGGGTTGGAGCTAGGGTTAGGGTTAGGGTTAGGGTTGGAGTTAGGGTTAGTGTTGGAGCTAGGGTTAGGGTTGGGCTTGGAGCTAGGATTTTTCTGAGTGCACTGAACCAACTCCCGAGTCTCTAGGACATTCCTAAAAAAATTGGATTTTTTCCCATAGGAATGCATGGGTTAGGGTTAGGGTTAGGGTTAGGGTTGGAGCTAGGGTTAGGGTTAGGGTTAGGGTTGGAGTTAGGGTTAGTGTTGGAGCTAGGGTTAGGGTTGGGCTTGGAGCTAGGATTTTTCTGAGTGCACTGAACCAACTCCCGAGTCTCTAGGACGTTCCTAAAAAAATTTGATTTTTTCCCATAGGAATGCATGGGTTAGGGTTAGGGTTAGGGTTGGAGCTAGGGTTAGGGTTAGGGTTAGGGTTGGAGTTAGGGTTAGTGTTGGAGCTAGGGTTAGGGTTGGGCTTGGAGCTAGGATTTTTCTGAGTGCAATGAACCAACTCCCGAGTCTCTAGGACATTCCTAAAAAAATTTGATTTTTTCCCATAGGAATGCATGGGTTAGGGTTAGGGTTAGGGTTGGAGCTAGGGTTAGGGTTAGGGTTAGGGTTGGAGTTAGGGTTAGTGTTGGAGCTAGGGTTAGGGTTGGGCTTGGAGCTAGGATTTTTCTGAGTGCACTGAACCAACTCCCGAGTCTCTAGGACATTCCTAAAAAAATTTGATTTTTTCCCATAGGAATGCATGGGTTAGGGTTATGGTTAGGGTTAGGGTTGGAGCTAGGGTTAGGGTTAGGGTTAGGGTTGGAGTTAGGGTTAGTGTTGGAGCTAGGGTTAGGGTTGGGCTTGGAGCTAGGATTTTTCTGAGTGCACTGAACCAACTCCCGAGTCTCTAGGACGTTCCTAAAAAAATTTGATTTTTTCCCATAGGAATGCATGGGTTAGGGTTAGGGTTAGGGTTGGAGCTAGGGTTAGGGTTAGGGTTGGAGTTAGGGTTAGTGTTGGAGCTAGGGTTAGGGTTGGGCTTGGAGCTAGGATTTTTCTGAGTGCAATGAACCAACTCCCGAGTCTCTAGGACGTTCCTAAAAAAATTTGATTTTTTCCCATAGGAATGCATGGGTTAGGGTTAGGGTTAGGGTTGGAGCTAGGGTTAGGGTTGGAGCTAGGGTTAGGGTTAGGGTTGGAGTTAGGGTTAGTGTTGGAGCTAGGGTTAGGGTTGGGCTTGGAGCTAGGATTTTTCTGAGTGCACTGAACCAACTCCCGAGTCTCTAGGACATTCCTAAAAAAATTTGATTTTTTCCCATAGGAATGCATGGGTTAGGGTTATGGTTAGGGTTAGGGTTGGAGCTAGGGTTAGGGTTAGGGTTAGGGTTGGAGTTAGGGTTAGTGTTGGAGCTAGGGTTAGGGTTGGGCTTGGAGCTAGGATTTTTCTGAGTGCACTGAACCAACTCCCGAGTCTCTAGGACGTTCCTAAAAAAATTTGTTTTTTTCCCATAGGAATGCATGGGTTAGGGTTAGGGTTAGGGTTGGAGCTAGGGTTAGGGTTAGGGTTAGGGTTGGAGTTAGGGTTAGTGTTGGAGCTAGGGTTAGGGTTGGGCTTGGAGCTAGGATTTTTCTGAGTGCACTGAACCAACTCCCGAGTCTCTAGGACATTCCTAAAAAAATTTGATTTTTTCCCATAGGAATGCATGGGTTAGGGTTATGGTTAGGGTTAGGGTTGGAGCTAGGGTTAGGGTTAGGGTTAGGGTTGGAGTTAGGGTTAGTGTTGGAGCTAGGGTTAGGGTTGGGCTTGGAGCTAGGATTTTTCTGAGTGCAATGAACCAACTCCCGAGTCTCTAGGACGTTCCTAAAAAAATTTGATTTTTTCCCATAGGAATGCATGGGTTAGGGTTAGGGTTAGGGTTGGAGCTAGGGTTAGGGTTAGGGTTAGGGTTAGGGTTGGAGTTAGGGTTAGTGTTGGAGCTAGGGTTAGGGTTGGGCTTGGAGCTAGGATTTTTCTGAGTGCACTGAACCAACTCCCGAGTCTCTAGGACATTCCTAAAATAATTTGATTTTTTCCCATAGGAATGCATGGGTTAGGGTTAGGGTTAGGGTTGGAGCTAGGGTTAGGGTTAGGGTTAGGGTTGGAGTTAGGGTTAGTGTTGGAGCTAGGGTTAGGGTTGGGCTTGGAGCTAGGATTTTTCTGAGTGCAATGAACCAACTCCTGAGTCTCTAGGACGTTCCTAAAAAAATTTGATTTTTTCCCATAGGAATGCATGGGTTAGGGTTAGGGTTAGGGTTGGAGCTAGGGTTAGGGTTAGGGTTAGGGTTGGAGTTAGGGTTAGTGTTGGAGCTAAGGTTAGGGTTGGGCTTGGAGCTAGGATTTTTCTGAGTGCACTGAACCAACTCCCGAGTCTCTAGGACATTCCTAAAAAAAATTTGATTTTTTCCCATAGGAATGCATGGGTTAGGGTTATGGTTAGGGTTAGGGTTGGAGCTAGGGTTAGGGTTAGGGTTAGGGTTGGAGTTAGGGTTAGTGTTGGAGCTAGGGTTAGGGTTGGGCTTGGAGCTAGGATTTTTCTGAGTGCACTGAACCAACTCCCGAGTCTCTAGGACGTTCCTAAAAAAATTTGATTTTTTCCCATAGGAATGCATGGGTTAGGGTTAGGGTTAGGGTTGGAGCTAGGGTTAGGGTTAGGGTTAGGGTTGGAGTTAGGGTTAGTGTTGGAGCTAGGGTTAGGGTTGGGCTTGGAGCTAGGATTTTTCTGAGTGCACTGAACCAACTCCCGAGTCTCTAGGACATTCCTAAAAAAATTTGATTTTTTTCCCATAGGAATGCATGGGTTAGGGTTATGGTTAGGGTTAGGGTTGGAGCTAGGGTTAGGGTTAGGGTTAGGGTTGGAGTTAGGGTTAGTGTTGGAGCTAGGGTTAGGGTTGGGCTTGGAGCTAGGATTTTTCTGAGTGCAATGAACCAACTCCCGAGTCTCTAGGACGTTCCTAAAAAAATTTGATTTTTTCCCATAGGAATGCATGGGTTAGGGTTAGGGTTAGGGTTGGAGCTAGGGTTAGGGTTAGGGTTAGGGTTAGGGTTAGGGTTGGAGTTAGGGTTAGTGTTGGAGCTAGGGTTAGGGTTGGGCTTGGAGCTAGGATTTTTCTGAGTGCACTGAACCAACTCCCGAGTCTCTAGGACATTCCTAAAATAATTTGATTTTTTCCCATAGGAATGCATGGGTTAGGGTTAGGGTTAGGGTTGGAGCTAGGGTTAGGGTTAGGGTTAGGGTTGGAGTTAGGGTTAGTGTTGGAGCTAGGGTTAGGGTTGGGCTTGGAGCTAGGATTTTTCTGAGTGCAATGAACCAACTCCCGAGTCTCTAGGACGTTCCTAAAAAAATTTGATTTTTTCCCATAGGAATGCATGGGTTAGGGTTAGGGTTAGGGTTGGAGCTAGGGTTAGGGTTAGGGTTAGGGTTGGAGTTAGGGTTAGTGTTGGAGCTAAGGTTAGGGTTGGGCTTGAAGCTAGGATTTTTCTGAGTGCACTGAACCAACTCCCGAGTCTCTAGGACATTCCTAAAAAAAATTGATTTTTTCCCATAGGAATGCATGGGTTAGGGTTATGGTTAGGGTTAGGGTTGGAGCTAGGGTTAGGGTTAGGGTTAGGGTTGGCGTTAGGGTTAGTGTTGGAGCTAGGGTTAGGGTTGGGCTTGGAGCTAGGATTTTTCTGAGTGCAATGAACCAACTCCCGAGTCTCTAGGACGTTCCTAAAAAAATTTGATTTTTTCCCATAGGAATGCATGGGTTAGGGTTAGGGTTAGGGTTGGAGCTAGGGTTAGGGTTAGGGTTAGGGTTAGGGTTAGGGTTGGAGTTAGGGTTAGTGTTGGAGCTAGGGTTAGGGTTGGGCTTGGAGCTAGGATTTTTCTGAGTGCACTGAACCAACTCCCGAGTCTCTAGGACATTCCTAAAAAAATTTGATTTTTTCCCATAGGAATGCATGGGTTAGGGTTAGGGTTAGGGTTGGAGCTAGGGTTAGGGTTAGGGTTAGGGTTGGAGTTAGGGTTAGTGTTGGAGCTAGGGTTAGGGTTGGGCTTGGAGCTAGGATTTTTCTGAGTGCACTGAACCAACTCCCGAGTCTCTAGGACATTCCTAAAAAAAATGGATTTTTTCCCATAGGAATGCATGGGTTAGGGTTATGGTTAGGGTTAGGGTTGGAGCTAGGGTTAGGGTTAGGGTTAGGGTTGGAGTTAGGGTTAGTGTTGGCGCTAGGGTTAGGGTTGGGCTTGGAGCTAGGATTTTTCTGAGTGCACTGAACCAACTCCCGAGTCTCTAGGACGTTCCTAAAAAAATTTGATTTTTTCCCATAGGAATGCATGGGTTAGGGTTAGGGTTAGGGTTGGAGCTAGGGTTAGGGTTAGGGTTAGGGTTGGAGTTAGGGTTAGTGTTGGAGCTAGGGTTAGGGTTGGGCTTGGAGCTAGGATTTTTCTGAGTGCAATGAACCAACTCCCGAGTCTCTAGGACGTTCCTAAAAAAATTTGATTTTTTCCCATAGGAATGCATGGGTTAGGGTTAGGGTTAGGGTTGGAGCTAGGGTTAGGGTTAGGGTTAGGGTTGGAGTTAGGGTTAGTGTTGGAGCTAGGGTTAGGGTTGGGCTTGGAGCTAGGATTTTTCTGAGTGCACTGAACCAACTCCCGAGTCTCTAGGACATTCCTAAAAAAATTTGATTTTTTCCCATAGGAATGCATGGGTTAGGGTTATGGTTAGGGTTAGGGTTGGAGCTAGGGTTAGGGTTAGGGTTAGGGTTGGAGTTAGGGTTAGTGTTGGAGCTAGGGTTAGGGTTGGGCTTGGAGCTAGGATTTTTCTGAGTGCACTGAACCAACTCCCGAGTCTCTAGGACATTCCTAAAAAAATTGATTTTTTCCCATAGGAATGCATGGGTTAGGGTTATGGTTAGGGTTAGGGTTGGAGCTAGGGTTAGGGTTAGGGTTAGGGTTGGAGTTAGGGTTAGTGTTGGAGCTAGGGTTAGGGTTGGGCTTGGAGCTAGGATTTTTCTGAGTGCAATGAACCAACTCCCGAGTCTCTAGGACGTTCCAAAAAAAATTTGATTTTTTCCCATAGGAATGCATGGGTTAGGGTTAGGGTTAGGGTTGGAGCTAGGGTTAGGGTTAGGGTTAGGGTTAGGGTTAGGGTTAGGGTTGGAGTTAGGGTTAGTGTTGGAGCTAGGGTTAGGGTTGGGCTTGGAGCTAGGATTTTTCTGAGTGCACTGAACCAACTCCCGAGTCTCTAGGACATTCCTAAAAAAATTTGATTTTTTCCCATAGGAATGCATGGTTTAGGGTTATGGTTAGGGTTAGGGTTGGAGCTAGGGTTAGGGTTAGGGTTAGGGTTGGAGTTAGGGTTAGTGTTGGAGCTAGGGTTAGGGTTGGGCTTGGAGCTAGGATTTTTCTGAGTGCAATGAACCAACTCCCGAGTCTCTAGGACGTACCCTAAAAAAATTTTGATTTTTTCCCATAGGAATGCATGGGTTAGGGTTAGGGTTAGGGTTGGAGCTAGGGTTAGGGTTAGGGTTAGGGTTAGGGTTAGGGTTGGAGTTAGGGTTAGTGTTGGAGCTAGGGTTAGGGTTGGGCTTGGAGCTAGGATTTTTCTGAGTGCACTGAACCAACTCCCGAGTCTCTAGGACATTCCTAAAATAATTTGATTTTTTCCCATAGGAATGCATGGGTTAGGGTTAGGGTTAGGGTTGGAGCTAGGGTTAGGGTTAGGGTTAGGGTTGGAGTTAGGGTTAGTGTTGGAGCTAGGGTTAGGGTTGGGCTTGGAGCTAGGATTTTTCTGAGTGCACTGAACCAACTCCCGAGTCTCTAGGACATTCCTAAAAAAATTGGATTTTTTCCCATAGGAATGCATGGGTTAGGGTTATGGTTAGGGTTAGGGTTGGAGCTAGGGTTAGGGTTAGGGTTAGGGTTGGAGTTAGGGTTAGTGTTGGAGCTAGGGTTAGGGTTGGGCTTGGAGCTAGGATTTTTCTGAGTGCACTGAACCAACTCCCGAGTCTCTAGGACATTCCTAAAAAAATTTGATTTTTTCCCATAGGAATGCATGGGTTAGGGTTATGGTTAGGGTTAGGGTTGGAGCTAGGGTTAGGGTTAGGGTTAGGGTTGGAGTTAGGGTTAGTGTTGGAGCTAGGGTTAGGGTTGGGCTTGGAGCTAGGATTTTTCTGAGTGCACTGAACCAACTCCCGAGTCTCTAGGACGTTCCTAAAAAAATTTGATTTTTTCCCATAGGAATGCATGGGTTAGGGTTAGGGTTAGGGTTGGAGCTAGGGTTAGGGTTAGGGTTAGGGTTGGAGTTAGGGTTAGTGTTGGAGCTAGGGTTAGGGTTGGGCTTGGAGCTAGGATTTTTCTGAGTGCACTGAACCAACTCCCGAGTCTCTAGGACATTCCTAAAAAAATTTGATTTTTTCCCCATAGGAATGCATGGGTTAGGGTTATGGTTAGGGTTAGGGTTGGAGCTAGGGTTAGGGTTAGGGTTAGGGTTGGAGTTAGGGTTAGTGTTGGAGCTAGGGTTAGGGTTGGGCTTGGAGCTAGGATTTTTCTGAGTGCAATGAACCAACTCCCGAGTCTCTAGGACGTTCCTAAAAAAATTTGATTTTTTCCCATAGGAATGCATGGGTTAGGGTTAGGGTTAGGGTTGGAGATAGGGTTAGGGTTAGGGTTAGGGTTAGGGTTAGGGTTAGGGTTGGAGTTAGGGTTAGTGTTGGAGCTAGGGTTAGGGTTGGGCTTGGAGCTAGGATTTTTCTGAGTGCACTGAACCAACTCCTGAGTCTCTAGGACATTCCTAAAATAATTTGATTTTTTCCCATAGGAATGCATGGGTTAGGGTTAGGGTTAGGGTTGGAGCTAGGGTTAGGGTTAGGGTTAGGGTTGGAGTTAGGGTTAGTGTTGGAGCTAGGGTTAGGGTTGGGCTTGGAGCTAGGATTTTTCTGAGTGCAATGAACCAACTCCCGAGTCTCTAGGACGTTCCTAAAAAAATTTGATTTTTTCCCATAGGAATGCATGGGTTAGGGTTAGGGTTAGGGTTGGAGCTAGGGTTAGGGTTAGGGTTAGGGTTGGAGTTAGGGTTAGTGTTGGAGCTAAGGTTAGGGTTGGGCTTGGAGCTAGGATTTTTCTGAGTGCACTGAACCAACTCCCGAGTCTCTAGGACATTCCTAAAAAAAATTGATTTTTTCCCATAGGAATGCATGGGTTAGGGTTATGGTTAGGGTTAGGGTTGGAGCTAAGGTTAGGGTTAGGGTTAGGGTTGGCGTTAGGGTTAGTGTTGGAGCTAGGGTTAGGGTTGGGCTTGGAGCTAGGATTTTTCTGAGTGCAATGAACCAACTCCCGAGTCTCTAGGACGTTCCTAAAAAAATTTGATTTTTTCCCATAGGAATGCATGGGTTAGGGTTAGGGTTAGGGTTGGAGCTAGGGTTAGGGTTAGGGTTAGGGTTAGGGTTGGAGTTAGGGTTAGTGTTGGAGCTAGGGTTAGGGTTGGGCTTGGAGCTAGGATTTTTCTGAGTGCACTGAACCAACTCCCGAGTCTCTAGGACATTCCTAAAAAAATTTGATTTTTTCCCATAGGAATGCATGGGTTAGGGTTAGGGTTAGGGTTGGAGCTAGGGCTAGGGTTAGGGTTAGGGTTGGAGTTAGGGTTAGTGTTGGAGCTAGGGTTAGGGTTGGGCTTGGAGCTAGGATTTTTCTGAGTGCACTGAACCAACTCCCGAGTCTCTAGGACATTCCTAAAAAAAATGGATTTTTTCCCATAGGAATGCATGGGTTAGGGTTATGGTTAGGGTTAGGGTTGGAGCTAGGGTTAGGGTTAGGGTTAGGGTTGGAGTTAGGGTTAGTGTTGGCGCTAGGGTTAGGGTTGGGCTTGGAGCTAGGATTTTTCTGAGTGCACTGAACCAACTCCCGAGTCTCTAGGACGTTCCTAAAAAAATTTGATTTTTTCCCATAGGAATGCATGGGTTAGGGTTAGGGTTAGGGTTGGAGCTAGGGTTAGGGTTAGGGTTAGGGTTGGAGTTAGGGTTAGTGTTGGAGCTAGGGTTAGGGTTGGGCTTGGAGCTAGGATTTTTCTGAGTGCAATGAACCAACTCCCGAGTCTCTAGGACGTTCCTAAAAAAATTTGATTTTTTCCCATAGGAATGCATGGGTTAGGGTTAGGGTTAGGGTTGGAGCTAGGGTTAGGGTTAGGGTTAGGGTTGGAGTTAGGGTTAGTGTTGGAGCTAGGGTTAGGGTTGGGCTTGGAGCTAGGATTTTTCTGAGTGCACTGAACCAACTCCCGAGTCTCTAGGACATTCCTAAAAAAATTTGATTTTTTCCCATAGGAATGCATGGGTTAGGGTTATGGTTAGGGTTAGGGTTGGAGCTATGGTCAGGGTTAGGGTTAGGGTTGGAGTTAGGGTTAGTGTTGGAGCTAGGGTTAGGGTTGGGCTTGGAGCTAGGATTTTTCTGAGTGCACTGAACCAACTCCCGAGTCTCTAGGACGTTCCTAAAAAAATTTGATTTTTTCCCATAGGAATGCATGGGTTAGGGTTAGGGTTAGGGTTGGAGCTAGGGTTAGGGTTAGGGTTAGGGTTGGAGTTAGGGTTAGTGTTGGAGCTAGGGTTAGGGTTGGGCTTGGAGCTAGGATTTTTCTGAGTGCACTGAACCAACTCCCGAGTCTCTAGGACATTCCTAAAATAATTTGATTTTTTCCCATAGGAATGCATGGGTTAGGGTTAGGGTTAGGGTTGGAGCTAGGGTTAGGGTTAGGGTTAGGGTTAGGGTTAGGGTTGGAGTTAGGGTTAGTGTTGGAGCTAGGGTTAGGGTTGGGCTTGGAGCTAGGATTTTTCTGAGTGCACTGAACCAACTCCCGAGTCTCTAGGACATTCCTAAAAAAATTTGATTTTTTCCCATAGGAATGCATGGGTTAGGGTTAGGGTTAGGGTTGGAGCTAGGGTTAGGGTTAGGGTTAGGGTTGGAGTTAGGGTTAGTGTTGGAGCTAGGGTTAGGGTTGGGCTTGGAGCTAGGATTTTTCTGAGTGCACTGAACCAACTCCCGAGTCTCTAGGACATTCCTAAAAAAATTTGATTTTTTCCCATAGGAATGCATGGGTTAGGGTTATGGTTAGGGTTAGGGTTGGAGCTAGGGTTAGGGTTAGGGTTAGGGTTGGAGTTAGGGTTAGTGTTGGAGCTAGGGTTAGGGTTGGGCTTGGAGCTAGGATTTTTCTGAGTGCACTGAACCAACTCCCGAGTCTCTAGGACATTCCTAAAAAAATTTGATTTTTTCCCATAGGAATGCATGGGTTAGGGTTAGGGTTAGGGTTGGAGCTAGGGTTAGGGTTAGGGTTAGGGTTGGAGTTAGGGTTAGTGTTGGAGCTAGGGTTAGGGTTGGGCTTGGAGCTAGGATTTTTCTGAGTGCAATGAACCAACTCCCGAGTCTCTAGGACGTTCCTAAAAAAATTTGATTTTTTCCCATAGGAATGCATGGGTTAGGGTTAGGGTTAGGGTTGGAGCTAGGGTTAGGGTTAGGGTTAGGGTTGGAGTTAGGGTTAGTGTTGGAGCTAGGGTTAGGGTTGGGCTTGGAGCTAGGATTTTTCTGAGTGCACTGAACCAACTCCCGAGTCTCTAGGACATTCCTAAAAAAATTTGATTTTTTCCCATAGGAATGCATGGGTTAGGGTTAGGGTTAGGGTTAGGGTTGGAGCTAGGGTTAGGGTTAGGGTTAGGGTTGGAGTTAGGGTTAGTGTTGGAGCTAGGGTTAGGGTTGGGCTTGGAGCTAGGATTTTTCTGAGTGCACTGAACCAACTCCCGAGTCTCTAGGACGTTCCTAAAAAAATTTGATTTTTTCCCATAGGAATGCATGGGTTAGGGTTAGGGTTAGGGTTGGAGCTAGGGTTAGGGTTAGGGTTAGGGTTGGAGTTAGGGTTAGTGTTGGAGCTAGGGTTAGGGTTGGGCTTGGAGCTAGGATTTTTCTGAGTGCAATGAACCAACTCCCGAGTCTCTAGGACGTTCCTAAAAAAATTAGATTTTTTCCCATAGGAATGCATGGGTTAGGGTTAGGGTTAGGGTTGGAGCTAGGGTTAGGGTTGGAGCTAGGGTTAGGGTTAGGGTTGGAGTTAGGGTTAGTGTTGGAGCTAGGGTTAGGGTTGGGCTTGGAGCTAGGATTTTTCTGAGTGCACTGAACCAACTCCCGAGTCTCTAGGACGTTCCTAAAAAAAATTTGATTTTTTCCCATAGGAATGCATGGGTTAGGGTTAGGGTTAGGGTTGGAGCTAGGGTTAGGGTTAGGGTTAGGGTTGGAGTTAGGGTTAGTGTTGGAGCTAGGGTTAGGGTTGGGCTTGGAGCTAGGATTTTTCTGAGTGCACTGAACCAACTCCCGAGTCTCTAGGACATTCCTAAAAAAATTGATTTTTTCCCATAGGAATGCATGGGTTAGGGTTATGGTTAGGGTTAGGGTTGGAGCTAGGGTTAGGGTTAGGGTTAGGGTTGGAGTTAGGGTTAGTGTTGGAGCTAGGGTTAGGGTTGGGCTTGGAGCTAGGATTTTTCTGAGTGCACTGAACCAACTCCCGAGTCTCTAGGACGTTCCTAAAAAAATTTGATTTTTTCCCATAGGAATGCATGGGTTAGGGTTAGGGTTAGGGTTGGAGCTAGGGTTAGGGTTAGGGTTAGGGTTGGAGTTAGGGTTAGTGTTGGAGCTAGGGTTAGGGTTGGGCTTGGAGCTAGGATTTTTCTGAGTGCAATGAACCAACTCCCGAGTCTCTAGGACGTTCCTAAAAAAATTAGATTTTTTCCCATAGGAATGCATGGGTTAGGGTTAGGGTTAGGGTTGGAGCTAGGGTTAGGGTTGGAGCTAGGGTTAGGGTTAGGGTTGGAGTTAGGGTTAGTGTTGGAGCTAGGGTTAGGGTTGGGCTTGGAGCTAGGATTTTTCTGAGTGCACTGAACCAACTCCCGAGTCTCTAGGACGTTCCTAAAAAAAATTGATTTTTTCCCATAGGAATGCATGGGTTAGGGTTAGGGTTAGGGTTGGAGCTAGGGTTAGGGTTAGGGTTAGGGTTAGGGTTGGAGTTAGGGTTAGTGTTGGAGCTAGGGTTAGGGTTGGGCTTGGAGCTAGGATTTTTCTGAGTGCAATGAACCAACTCCCGAGTCTCTAGGACGTTCCTAAAAAAATTTGATTTTTTCCCATAGGAATGCATGGGTTAGGGTTAGGGTTAGGGTTGGAGCTAGGGTTAGGGTTAGGGTTAGGGTTGGAGTTAGGGTTAGTGTTGGAGCTAGGGTTAGGGTTGGGCTTGGAGCTAGGATTTTTCTGAGTGCACTGAACCAACTCCCGAGTCTCTAGGACGTTCCTAAAAAAATTTGATTTTTTCCCATAGGAATGCATGGGTTAGGGTTATGGTTAGGGTTAGGGTTGGAGCTAGGGTTAGGGTTAGGGTTAGGGTTGGAGTTAGGGTTAGTGTTGGAGCTAGGGTTAGGGTTGGGCTTGGAGCTAGGATTTTTCTGAGTGCACTGAACCAACTCCCGAGTCTCTAGGACGTTCCTAAAAAAATTTGATTTTTTCCCATAGGAATGCATGGGTTAGGGTTAGGGTTAGGGTTGGAGCTAGGGTTAGGGTTGGAGCTAGGGTTAGGGTTAGGGTTGGAGTTAGGGTTAGTGTTGGAGCTAGGGTTAGGGTTGGGCTTGGAGCTAGGATTTTTCTGAGTGCAATGAACCAACTCCCGAGTCTCTAGGACGTTCCTAAAAAAATTTGATTTTTTCCCATAGGAATGCATGGGTTAGGGTTAGGGTTAGGGTTGGAGCTAGGGTTAGGGTTAGGGTTAGGGTTGGAGTTAGGGTTAGTGTTGGAGCTAGGGTTAGGGTTGGGCTTGGAGCTAGGATTTTTCTGAGTGCACTGAACCAACTCCCGAGTCTCTAGGACATTCCTAAAAAAATTTGATTTTTTTTCCCATAGGAATGCATGGGTTAGGGTTATGGTTAGGGTTAGGGTTGGAGCTAGGGTTAGGGTTAGGGTTAGGGTTGGAGTTAGGGTTAGTGTTGGAGCTAGGGTTAGGGTTGGTCTTGGAGCTAGGATTTTTCTGAGTGCAATGAACCAACTCCCGAGTCTCTAGGACATTCCTAAAAAAATTTGATTTTTTCCCATAGGAATGCATGGGTTAGGGTTAGGGTTAGGGTTGGAGCTAGGGTTAGGGTTAGGGTTAGGGTTGGAGTTAGGGTTAGTGTTGGAGCTAGGGTTAGGGTTGGGCTTGGAGCTAGGATTTTTCTGAGTGCAATGAACCAACTCCCGAGTCTCTAGGACGTTCCTAAAAAAATTTGATTTTTCCCATAGGAATGCATGGGTTAGGGTTAGGGTTAGGGTTTAGGGTTAGGGTTAGGGTTAGGGTTGGAGTTAGGGTTAGTGTTGGAGCTAGGGTTAGGGTTGGGCTTGGAGCTAGGATTTTTCTGAGTGCACTGAACCAACTCCCGAGTCTCTAGGACGTTCCTAAAAAAATTTGATTTTTTCCCATAGGAATGCATGGGTTAGGGTTAGGGTTAGGGTTGGAGCTAGGGTTAGGGTTAGGGTTAGGGTTGGAGTTAGGGTTAGTGTTGGAGCTAGGGTTAGGGTTGGGCTTGGAGCTAGGATTTTTCTGAGTGCACTGAACCAACTCCCGAGTCTCTAGGACATTCCTAAAAAAAATTGATTTTTTCCCATAGGAATGCATGGGTTAGGGTTATGGTTAGGGTTAGGGTTGGAGCTAGGGTTAGGGTTAGGGTTAGGGTTGGAGTTAGGGTTAGTGTTGGAGCTAGGGTTAGGGTTGGGCTTGGAGCTAGGATTTTTCTGAGTGCACTGAACCAACTCCCGAGTCTCTAGGACGTTCCTAAAAAAATTTGATTTTTTCCCATAGGAATGCATGGGTTAGGGTTAGGGTTAGGGTTGGAGCTAGGGTTAGGGTTAGGGTTAGGGTTGGAGTTAGGGTTAGTGTTGGAGCTAGGGTTAGGGTTGGGCTTGGAGCTAGGATTTTTCTGAGTGCAATGAACCAACTCCCGAGTCTCTAGGACGTTCCTAAAAAAATTAGATTTTTTCCCATAGGAATGCATGGGTTAGGGTTAGGGTTAGGGTTGGAGCTAGGGTTAGGGTTGGAGCTAGGGTTAGGGTTAGGGTTGGAGTTAGGGTTAGTGTTGGAGCTAGGGTTAGGGTTGGGCTTGGAGCTAGGATTTTTCTGAGTGCACTGAACCAACTCCCGAGTCTCTAGGACGTTCCTAAAAAAAATTGATTTTTTCCCATAGGAATGCATGGGTTAGGGTTAGGGTTAGGGTTGGAGCTAGGGTTAGGGTTAGGGTTAGGGTTAGGGTTGGAGTTAGGGTTAGTGTTGGAGCTAGGGTTAGGGTTGGGCTTGGAGCTAGGATTTTTCTGAGTGCAATGAACCAACTCCCGAGTCTCTAGGACGTTCCTAAAAAATTTGATTTTTTCCCATAGGAATGCATGGGTTAGGGTTAGGGTTAGGGTTGGAGCTAGGGTTAGGGTTAGGGTTAGGGTTGGAGTTAGGGTTAGTGTTGGAGCTAGGGTTAGGGTTGGGCTTGGAGCTAGGATTTTTCTGAGTGCACTGAACCAACTCCCGAGTCTCTAGGACATTCCTAAAAAAATTTGATTTTTTCCCATAGGAATGCATGGGTTAGGGTTATGGTTAGGGTTAGGGTTGGAGCTAGGGTTAGGGTTAGGGTTAGGGTTGGAGTTAGGGTTAGTGTTGGAGCTAGGGTTAGGGTTGGGCTTGGAGCTAGGATTTTTCTGAGTGCAATGAACCAACTCCCGAGTCTCTAGGACGTTCCTAAAAAAATTTGATTTTTTCCCATAGGAATGCATGGGTTAGGGTTAGGGTTAGGGTTGGAGCTAGGGTTAGGGTTAGGGTTAGGGTTGGAGTTAGGGTTAGTGTTGGAGCTAGGGTTAGGGTTGGGCTTGGAGCTAGGATTTTTCTGAGTGCAATGAACCAACTCCCGAGTCTCTAGGACGTTCCTAAAAAAATTTGATTTTTTCCCATAGGAATGCATGGGTTAGGGTTAGGGTTAGGGTTGGAGCTAGGGTTAGGGTTAGGGTTAGGGTTGGAGTTAGGGTTAGTGTTGGAGCTAGGGTTAGGGTTGGGCTTGGAGCTAGGATTTTTCTGAGTGCAATGAACCAACTCCCGAGTCTCTAGGACGTTCCTAAAAAAATTTGATTTTTTCCCATAGGAATGCATGGGTTAGTGGTTAGGGTTAGGGTTGGAGCTAGGGTTAGGGTTAGGGTTAGGGTTGGAGTTAGGGTTAGTGTTGGAGCTAGGGTTAGGGTTGGTCTTGGAGCTAGGATTTTTCTGAGTGCAATGAACCAACTCCCGAGTCTCTAGGACATTCCTAAAAAAATTTGATTTTTTCCCATAGGAATGCATGGGTTAGGGTTAGGGTTAGGGTTGGATCTAGGGTTAGGGTTAGGGTTAGGGTTAGGGTTAGGGTTGGAGTTAGGGTTAGTGTTGGAGCTAGGGTTAGGGTTGGGCTTGGAGCTAGGATTTTTCTGAGTGCACTGAACCAACTCCCGAGTCTCTAGGACATTCCTAAAATAATTTGATTTTTTCCCATAGGAATGCATGGGTTAGGGTTAGGGTTAGGGTTGGAGCTAGGGTTAGGGTTAGGGTTAGGGTTGGAGTTAGGGTTAGTGTTGGAGCTAGGGTTAGGGTTGGGCTTGGAGCTAGGATTTTTCTGAGTGCACTGAACCAACTCCCGAGTCTCTAGGATGTTCCTAAAAAAATTTGATTTTTTCCCATAGGAATGCATGGGTTAGGGTTAGGGTTAGGGTTAGGGTTGGAGCTAGGGTTAGGGTTAGGGTTAGGGTTGGAGTTAGGGTTAGTGTTGGAGCTAGGGTTAGGGTTGGGCTTGGAGCTAGGATTTTTCTGAGTGCAATGAACCAACTCCCGAGTCTCTAGGACGTTCCTAAAAAAATTTGATTTTTTCCCATAGGAATGCATGGGTTAGGGTTAGGGTTAGGGTTGGAGCTAGGGTTAGGGTTAGGGTTAGGGTTGGAGTTAGGGTTAGTGTTGGAGCTAGGGTTAGGGTTGGGCTTGGAGCTAGGATTTTTCTGAGTGCAATGAACCAACTCCCGAGTCTCTAGGACGTTCCTAAAAAAATTTGATTTTTTCCCATAGGAATGCATGGGTTAGGGTTAGGGTTAGGGTTGGAGCTAGGGTTTGGGTTAGGGTTAGGGTTGGAGTTAGGGTTAGTGTTGGAGCTAGGGTTAGGGTTGGGCTTGGAGCTAGGATTTTTCTGAATGCAATGAACCAACTCCTGAGTCTCTAGGACGTTCCTAAAAAAAATTGATTTTTTCCCATAGGAATGCATGGGTTAGGGTTAGGGTTAGGGTTGGAGCTAGGGTTAGGGTTAGGGTTAGGGTTGGAGTTAGGGTTAGTGTTGGAGCTAGGGTTAGGGTTGGGCTTGGAGCTAGGATTTTTCTGAGTGCAATGAACCAACTCCCGAGTCTCTAGGACGTTCCTAAAAAAATTTGATTTTTTCCCATAGGAATGCATGGGTTAGGGTTAGGGTTAGGGTTGGAGCTAGGGTTAGGGTTAGGGTTAGGGTTGGAGTTAGGGTTAGTGTTGGAGCTAGGGTTAGGGTTGGGCTTGGAGCTAGGATTTTTCTGAGTGCAATGAACCAACTCCCGAGTCTCTAGGACGTTCCTAAAAAAATTTGATTTTTTCCCATAGGAATGCATGGGTTAGGGTTAGGGTTAGGGTTGGAGCTAGGGTTAGGGTTAGGGTTAGGGTGCCAACCCAATTTTTCACCTTCCAGAATTGTGTTAGGAGCACGTTTCAGGCCACGGGGAGTCTATAGAACCTTATTCTGGGGGAAGCTTTTTGAAAAGTTTACTTAGGGTTAGGGTTAGGGTTGGAGCTAGGGTTAGGGTTAGGGTTTTGGTTGGAGCTAGGGTTAGGGTTAGGGTTAAGGTTGGAGCTAGGGTTAGGGTTAGGGTTAGGGTTAGGGTTGGAGCTAGGGTTAGGGTTAGGGTTAGAGCTAGGGTTAGGGTTAGGGTTGGGGTTAGGGTTAGGGTTGAGGAAGCGTTAAATCTAGAAGTAGTTTGATTTGTTAAGCATCTTTGATAAAGTTGAAATTTGTGTAGCTGCTCCCTGCTGTCTAAGAAAGAAAGAAGGATGAGGACAACCATAATACACTTGTGACAATGTCTAAGTCCAAGTTTGAGTAATTAGACAACCACTGTCAATTTTCATGAACGAGATAACTCAAAGAGCGACACAACTGCTTAAAATCATGATTGCCTGCCTTCGTACGAATGCGCTTGAACTCCCAGGATCCCAACCATCTATAAATCATTAACAAAACTCATTTTATGGATCGCAGCCTTAACCATCTCCTAAATGAATCTGTGGCAGTCTTGCTTTTCACTCAAGTACTTCGACCTCTTGCTGACTTTACCTTTAAAGTGTCTTGGTGTTTCCGTTGTTTTTCTCTTTAGCTTTTGTTCTCTTCTTATAATTCCCTGTTATTTTCCACCGCTGTTTTCTTTACAAATGGCCCTACAGGCACATAAAGACTTCTAAATATAGAAACATTACCTACAGCCAGTAAATTGCATTAAATTGATTTCCCTGCAAGAAATTATATAGCAGAAGTTTGCATGCTGGGGCTTAAAGGTTAATACAAAGCCAAGAGTCTGACAAGATGAATAGTCCTTTGTAGCTCCTGGTGTTGATTGTAATGACATGGTGTGCAACTTATATAATCCAATGGAACAAATTCCATATCTATAAAAGTTATTAATTGTAAAACTTTTAACAACTGCCCAGCAAAATGACCAGTGATGGAATACATGATGATAAGACCTCACTCTTTTAAGCTGATGAGAAACACAGATAAGATGAGATAAAATAAAAAGATGAGATAAGATAAAATAAAAAAAATGAGATGAGATGAGATAAAATAAGAAAAATATAAAAAGATGAGATAAGATGAAATAAAAAAGAAGAGAAGAGATATGATATACTAAAAATTTGGTGAGATGAGATGAGATAAAATGAAATAAAACAAGATGAGATGAGATAAAATAAGATGAGATGAGATGAGATAAGATAAAATAAAGATACTTTACTCTTTTAAGCTGATGAGAAACACAGATAGGATGAGATGAGATAAGATAAAATAAGATGAGATGAGATAAGATCTTACATAATAAGATGAGATGAGGTAAGATAAAATGAAATAAAATGAGATGAGATAAGATATTATCAAATAAAATAAGTAGGATGAGACGAGATAAGAAGATAAATTAAGATAAGGTAAGATAAAAATAAGATGAGGTAAGATAAAAAAGATAAGATGAGATGAGAAGATAAAATAAGATGAGATCAAATAAAATAAGATGAGATGAGATAAGACGAAGATAATACTTGATTCTTTTAAGCTGATGAGAAACACAGATAAGATGAGATAAGATAAAATAAGAAGAGATTAGATAAGATATTATCAAATAAAATAAGATGAGATGAGATAAGATATTATCAAATAAGATGAGATAAGATAAAATATAATAAGAAGAGATGAGATAAGAAGATAAAATAAGATGAGGTAAGATCAAATAAGATAAGATAAAATATAAGATGAGATCAGATAAGATAAAATAAAATGAGATAAGATAAAACCAAATAAGATGAGATAAGATAAAACCAAATAAGATCAGAAAAGATAAAATAAAATGAGCTAAGATAAAACCAAATAAGATGAGATGAGATAAAATAAAGTAAGATGAGATGAGACAAGGTAAAATAAGATTAGATGAACCTATCTTCATCCCATGGTGGGGAATTTGCAGTATAGTTTGTGCACAGATAATTATAGAGGTTAAATTAGACCAATACAAAAAAAATGTGATGTGTAACAAATCTAAAAACGGTTCCACACAGTGATCAAAAAGGAATTGAACATTTTTTTACTGCACATTATTTGGGTGTGATGTTGGATCTTTCATTTATCACTTTTTCACACTGGAAAGATGTGTACCCCAAGAACATAGATACTGATTCCTAACTTGTTACCGGAGTAACCCTGGCAGAGACTCAGACTCAGACAGATCTGATGACAATGATGAAGACATTCTGGGGATTCTTAAGGGTCTCGCTTCCCTCATATCCACATACGTGTCCTTGCTGCCCCTTCTTGCTGGTGGGGCGACCTAAGATTGAGGTCGGCTGGCCTGGCTGGCAGGTGAAGTTCAGCTTTCACGTCATGAATCCTTCTCACAAGGACACCTGTTGGTTGAGGAAGATAAGAGGCAGCTGGCTTTCTATCAGTAATGCTGCTTACAGGGTAGCATTGAGAAGAGAGAGCAGCATTTGGCCCCATATCAAGTATTCAACCAGTATGACTGCCCTTCATTTCAACACACACACACACACACACAAGAGAGAGAGAGAAAACCCTGCATCCAGAGTCAACACTCCTCACACTTACACAGGAAAGTTCTGGAAACACTGTCGCTGGTTTCATCAAGCTGCAGGTTAACAGTCCTGGTAGATGAAGGTTGAACGAAAGAAGGACATTGTTATTGATCCAGACAAGCCCCACCCCCTAAATCTAAACCGCCTCACCTGTTGACCTTTTCCTTCCTTGTGTGTCTAATACGTTTACAGAGATGCAAGTGTGAAGGTGATACAGCCTCCAGTCCAGCTATAATCTCAATCTAAAGCTTCTGTGACACCACTTTACTGTGTGACTCCTGTGGTCAAAGCAATCCCATCATACAGATTGAAAGACTTTGATTAGATTAGATAAAGACAGAATTTTATTTATCTTTTTGGGAAAGTTCCCCTTAAGGAAATCAAAAATTAATAATCATTTATGGAAAGTATTTCATTTAAAATACAGTATATCCTCATCTTAATAGAGTTTGATTAGAGTGTTATAAAGCAGTCCACATATCCATACATTTGCATTACATTTGCATGATTTACACAAAGCGCTGCTGGTTATCAGTTTCATATAGAGTGGTTCTTACCTCTGCTGTCTTTCAGGGCCACATTTCAGGGATCAGACCAAATTTAACTGGAAAGTTCGTTAATTAAAATGCCTGGATCTAATCTGTGCAGTGTCACCTATAGATGGGTTTCTGTGCAACATCCTGATATTAGAAAACAACGTCACAATCTGGTAAACTGAGTGAAATTCATGGATATTTCAGCAAGTGTTTTTCTGATTTTGATGCAATGAAAAGAAAAGTGATTTTTCAGTGAAATGACATCAAATTACAGTTGTGTCAGGGAGAACTTCATTGATATCAGTTCACTCTGAAGCAGGTTTTTGCCCCCTGGTTGCCGTCAATAGGTTTCAGGAAAGCCCAACAATGGCTGCCATATTGGAAATGTTGACTCAGTTTGGGGCATTTGTAATACATATAAACAGTTATCATTTTAGACCCCATTCAGTGTTAACAAAAATAATCAACTACATTAAAGGCTGCGTACCCAGAATTTTTATAAATATGTTGAGTTTTGCATTTAAACATAAGGCCTGATAAGGTTTCCTTGGCTTTTACAACCAGCCTCAAGTGGACCCGAGTAATTCCAGCTGTTGTGCCTCCAGATTGCCTCGTTTTCAGTGTTGAAAGCTGTCACTTTTTCAATGAGCATCTCATCTGGGACTGCTGCATTTGTCAAAATGCCAATGTATGCAAATGAGGGTGGCAGCGCTCCTTCGACGTTATATCAGCAGGTCTTTGTTGTGAAACATAATGCTGTATTTTTGCACTGTGATTGAAAACCATCTTTGACAGACAGAATCAAAACTTATGTGGCTTTCAAAGTGCTGAAGCCTTGGCGGGCAGAGAAACTTCAATTATGGATACAAAAGAATGTGACATCTCGAAGAAAATATAAGAAATACAGCTGTTTGGAATAAAATGTATTCATTATTATTTTGACTCCTTTGAAATAGTCAAAAAGCCAGATTTGTCCGAGAGGAAATTTCATACATTTCTGATCATGAACTTTGCTTTTTAAATTTTTTTTCATTAATCTTAAGAAATGCTCAAAGGCTGAATGACATGGATGAATATTTTAAGAAGCTGAAAATCGTGCATTGCAGTTTTATCCTTTCATCTAGATAAATCTATTTATGAAACCTTAGAAATAATCATAGAATATAAAATATTCACCCAAACGTACCAAATTTCTTTCCCTGCCTCTCTGCTGCATCTCGATCTGTGTTGAGGGTATCAAAAGTTCTTGTCAGGTGTGGCCTTCAGAACAAAATTCAGAGTAAGTCCTATCTTTTCCTCTTGCTTATCTCAGCGGAGCGTCCTTCACAGGCTGTATAAAGTGCTGAGACCTGCTCTGCTGCTCTGCTGTCACTGCGAACGACAGACAACATGCTGCCTGCAGTTGTTAAGCTCTGCTGTGGAATATCCTACCCCCACCTGAGGAGCATGGCAGGTAAAACTAAATATATATCCTTATTTAAATTCAATTCGAAGTAATATTTTAGACTGTATTTCTGTATTTTTCGTATGCATGAAAAACAGAGACTTTTCTGTTTATATTGTTATTAATGAGCCGTTTTCATGCAGGACTTCAACGCACAGCTGTGGCAGTGATAGGCCAGGAGATCACACATCTGCAGAGATGGAGACAGCTGCAACATCACATAGGAACACATTTCGGATTGAATTATAAAGGTGAAAATAAAGACATCTGTCATTTTGATGAAGGGATTTGTTGTGTAGTTGTTGAAAGAATACTTAAAGGGATGTTTTTTTTTTTCAGAGCCCAAGCATGAAGATGTGAAACCCATGCAGTGCACAGAAGAACAGCTGTTCTTTACAGAGCAGGGCCAGGACGCCATGAGGAAAGCTCTCAGTATGCTGGAGGAAAAAGACGGATGGAGGGTAGAGATCGCAGAGGTAACATCAGACTGATTCAAGCATGTTTGATTGACATATTTGTGTCTTTCATGGTCTTCAAAGTCTCTTTCAGGGGACCAAAGTCACCATTGTGTTTCATTAAAAAAACAACTCTTTGTTGCTTTTTTCTCAGAGTAATGGGGATGTAATCTGCAGCAAAGTGATACCAGGAGCCAGGAGGGTCTTCAGGCTGGAGGCGGTCCTGGAGGGAAGCGTTGAAGAGCTTTATGACCTCCTGTTTGTGAGAGTAGAGGAGATGCACCTGTGGAACCCAAGCATACAGCAAATCAAAGTGAGCTGAAGATCCCTTATCAACTACTGAGATCAGGTTTCAATCTGGGATCAATATGTCAGAGTATCCATGGGCAAAGCCAGTACTGGAGGGTGCTTTAGATAACTACTAACTTAGTATTTTCATTTTTCGTCTTTCAGATTCTGAAGCAGGTTGGACCTGGAACCATGGTCACACACGAGGTCTCGGCAGAGACGGCAGGAAATCTGATCGGGCAGAGGGATTTCTTGAGCGTCCGACACAGCTACAAACAGGAGTCCAGAGCTTATCTTGGAGGAGCTGCCATTCAGCTGGAGTCCTTCCCACCCCAGCCAGGCTTTGTGAGGTAGGAGGACGTAGCTTTGGCATCACTCTAACAGAACATGAAAAATGGTTAATTAAAGTGAGTACAATGATCACATTAAAGGGATATTCCAGCGTAAAAATAAGTTAGGGTCAAACACACCGTAACACCGAGTTAGACACCCCGTCGAGAGATGAGTGTCGCCGACCGCTTGCCTCTCTAGTTATACCAACTTTAGTAACGACTGCAGATAGCAATACAGAGAGCCATGTACTCAACCAAAACACCACTCTATAGCCACAAATGATGCTCAGAACAGCACCTAACTTCATCAACAGTACATATAGGGTCCTAGCCACAGCCTGATTTCTTTAGCAAAGAGACTAAACACAACTCACCGACTCTCTTCCAGCAGCCGCTTGTTTGTGACGAGACCTCAGGCTAGTCCATTACGGACTATAGCGGGGTGACGCAGCTCAAGGAAGAACATTTATGATCATTACTTCATGGAAATGCAATCAGCTCGAGATCCCAAGGCAGAAGAACTCCCACGTCTGCAGTGCATATTAATTGATATGATGATTATTACTTCAAGGGAATGATAAAGTAATTATTATAAATGTTCCTCCTCGAGCTGCGTCACCCTGCAGCAGTCAATGAACTCACCTGGAGGCCTCCGTGCAAACAAGCGGCTGCTGGAAGAGAGTAGGTGAGTTGTGTTTAGTCTCTTTGCTAAAGAAATTAAGCAAAACTAAAAAGATGTTTGGTGGCTAGTGCTGTGACTGGGACTCTACTGTTGATGAAGTTAGGTGCTGTTCTGAGCATTATTTGTGGCTATAGAGTGGTGTTTTGGTTGAACACGTGCCTCTCTGTATTGCTACCTGCGATCATCACTAAAGTTCGTATAACTAGAGAAGCAAGCGGTTGACAACGTTCATCTCTCGATCTCTCTCGAAAATTAATTTTACGCCGGAATATCCCTTTCAGTTTGATTGTGGCGCCTCCTGTGGGTCATTTTATCTCTTTAGCTAGATTCCACTTTACATGCAAGTATACGAAGCTATGTCCTTATCAAAAAATCCCTACCCTGCTCTCTTTTTGATGTAAAAATATTTTATTGGCTGCAAGTCTTTAACTCTCAGGTGTTCAAAATGAGAAACAACTGTTTGTTCTCCTCTGTTTTTGTGGCCTGTATAGAAGCATCAGTAAAGACTGCTCGGTTTTTCTGCAGATTTTATTGGACTCAGGCAGCAGCTGACTCATTAGCAAATTGACTAAAGGATTGTGTGACCACTAATCAAGAGAGGCCATCTAGGGGCACCAGGGTGGCTTAGCTCATTGAGCTGCTTTCCCTCATGCAGAGGCCAAAGTCAAAGAATCAATTCCTGGTTTCAACAGGATTTGGCAAATGTCATCCCCCGCTCTTTCCCACATTAGCTGTCTCTCCCTCCCTGCTGTCTTATCCAAAAGAGGCTAAAAATAAGGGGTGTGCGGACGTCAGCTTGTGCAAGTTCTTCAGGATATTGTGAAGTCATGGGAGTGAGAGACGAGAGTGCTTTTTTTATGCAGATGACTTGCTCCAGCTGTGATGAAACAGTCGTACAGACATCAGCTGGGTCCAAGTTTCATAAAAAGCCATTTAAAAGCAGCTCTAACCATTACAGCTCATTATCTTGGGTCACAACTGAGATCATTCATCATGAGACTGAAGTTCTCACAGCAGAGAGTCGGGACATTACATTACATAAAGAGAGGAAACTGCTCTTATTGCTACTCTGAGAGATAATCATGTGAGTCAGCCTTGGTGCTCCCTGTTGACACCGAATGACATCTTCTTTATTTTTGGATCTTTGCCCGTACATTTTCCATCCAGCCGGTATTTAACTCTGTTGAAGGATCTCAGTGTGCTATCTTTAAATGTCAAACACACCACTCTCTGAGGATCTTCGCTTTCAGAAAAGGTTAAAGAAAAAAAAGGAGTTATTATGGCAGCAGTTTGCAGACACTCGAAGTTTTAATACAGATAAGGTTGGTCTTTTTGCTGATGGTTTAATTTGCGCCAACAGGTCATAAAAAGGCATCAACAGAAATCCTCACAGCAGTTTTAGCTTCTGTCATGTTGGTCCTGCGGGATTAGTTGCATAATATGTTTTGTGAAGCCAGACAAAGGTGTGTGTCGTTCATCCTGCTTTCTTCTTATTCTTTGTGAATTTTTCCCAGTAGGAAACAACTAAACCATTCAGTCTGGTAAGGCTGTACACAGTGAATAGCTCGGTGGTTCTTGGAACTACCTGCCAAATTTAGCTTGCTTGGAAAAACACAAAGAGCTGATGACAACAGAGAAATCCCTCAAACATACATATGGATTCAACAGAGGTTAGGGCTGGTTATTGTGGCAGACTCCAGGTTTAAGCAGGATAGAGTGTCCTATTGCTTGGATTTCTGCAGATATTATGTTGCGTTTGAGTTACCTCGGAAGTTGGATGTCGGAGCTGGGAGTGACGTCACAACCGAGTTACCAGCGTTTCAGTTACCAAGTCGGAAAAAAGCGAAATTAGAGGCGGAAACAAGATAGATACATCTACGAAAGGGGATGCTAAAATAACTAAAATAACAATCACTAAAATAACTTGCGTAGATGTAGCCATCTTGTTTCTGCCTCCGATTTTGCCTGTTTCCGACTTGGTAAGTGAAATGCTGGTAACTTGGGTGTGACGTCATTCCCAGCTCCGACATCTGACTTCCGAGGTAACTTGAACGCAGCATTAGTGCTCCCTTCCAATCCAATCCAATCCACTTGATATGTATAGCACGTTTTAAAAAACATTCAAGTTTGCCAAAGTGCTGCACAGAAAAATTTAAAAGAACAAATACTACAGAAAATATCACGAGGAAATAAATAAAAGCAGGTAAAAAAATAAATAAATAGACAAGATAGTCAATGCTGCTTGGTCCACAGGGGGCGCCAAAATTGACACAAACAGAAAGTTCCTCACAGGAGCTTTAACCGACTTATATACTAGTCTGCTAATACTGCATGTTTTTGTATGTGCTGGACAAAATATAGACAAGAGATAAGAGGCACGGCTTTGTCTACAGGGGTAGTAAAAACAATTGTTGCTTTGAGATAGTCATAACTGACTAAAAGTGCATCAAGTTTTATTTATTAAACATGATAAGAGTCTAAAGGAAAATAAATATATCAGGAGTGTTTGTAGATAACAAGTCTGGTAGTCCTATAACATTTAATTGAAAATAAACGTATGAAACAAAAAGAAAAGTTAAGTTTCTTGTTGTCATAAATGTAATACTTCATTAACAGTAGACAGACTTGACAGTAGGATTATAAATGGCCTTGGATACTTTATATACACACCAACACTGATGGAGACACTTCCTTTTAGACTGCTGATCCAGCACAGTCCAGTACAATGTCAGATTGAGTCTGTTTCTGCTCATTATTAGTGCGCTCGCTCAATCCATTCATTATCAGTGCCAATGCAATCCAAGTGCATTCATGCAACCCACTGCTGAAGCACTGTAAGAGGAGATTAGCCATGGAGAACAAGCACCAGTCTCTGAATTTTAAACAGCCTTGGTGTTGCTCTGAGAGGACTTTTTTTATAAAGTGTATAATAATAATAATAATAATAATCTTGGTTGACTGTCTGTAAATATACGGGTTTATGTTCCTGTTTGCAGAGCCGAGGACGGACCAACCTGTATTGTCATTCAGGCTGTGGAAAACGACAGAGGAAAAAGCCGCTTCACATGGCTCCTTAACATGGATGTGAAGGTAGATACTCATTTCGTGTGATTTCTATTTTGTGAGTGGTCGTAGGAAAGGCTCCTGCAGCCTCTGCTGTTTGTAATAAAGATGTTTTTCCTTGGAGAGATTATCACAGTTGACATCACATATCCGTGTGCAGGACTTTTTTTATTACTCTGTGTTTCTAGTATTTCCACCTGATATTTTCTGGCTTTCCTTGAGAGACCATCTCTGCCTTTTGTTGTTAATAAGCAGTTACAAATCACAGGACACTTATTTTCAGGTTTTCAATTTCCAGAGAGACACTTTGCTGAAATGATGTGCGGTCAGACACCATCAGGGTGGAATTGTCAGGGTAGAGAGGACTCCAATGTTTGTGTTTCAAGGCCCACACTGCAGGATACACACAGTGGGAATGTTTATATTGTCAGCAAAATTCAGCATACACTCAGCACTGTGAGATAGAAGCTGCAATTGTGAGATATGGGGTACCTATATGAGCAGAGTCTACGATATGTGCTGAACACCCGCACAACAGTAGCTGGGGAGGTGCAGGGGTAAATAGCATCATAAATCATCAGCAGCATGGCAGGTGTGTGTGTGTGTGTGTGTGTGTGTGTGTGTGTGTGTGTGTGTGTGTGGGGCCAGGGATAAATGAACCGCCGGATTAGAGGAGGAAAGTGTTGCTGATGTTTCTCAAGAATAATGTTTGGTTTAATTCTGCAATTTGCAAAATATTACAAATGCAAAAAATACATTAGGTCTACAGTATTTGCATTATACACACTCCACAAGTTAACACCCATATTCAAGCAAGCGTAAGCTAGCACCAGGGCATTTAACTGGCTATATACCAGATTAGAAGACTACATACATAAATCCTGTCAAATTAGCTTCACTCTTGGGAGCCAATCAGACAGTAGCTCAGGAGGTAGAGCAGTCTTCCAGTAACCAGAAGGTTGGTGGTTTGATGCCCCCCTATCCCTAGTCTTTCCATTGTGTCCTTGGGCAAGACACTTAACCCACCTTTCTCCTTCCTTTGGACATACTTCTGGTGCTAATAAGTATAAAGAAAGTATTAACAGAGGTTGACAAGAAACAAATCTCAAAGGTCGAGTCTTCACTTTTTAAGATTGAAGTTTGAAAGATCCATGATCTACACATCACGTCTTTCCAGGTTATAAATAACTTGGAAGATTAAGTATAACAGAGATAATGTCATTCTCAGGGCTGGCTGCCGACATCCATTGTCAATCAGGCTCTGCCCCGGGCACAGCTCGATTTCACCCGACACCTCCGCAGACGTCTGGCTGGGAACGCTACCCTTGGCTGACTCAATCTGTATGATTCCCACATCACTGCAGCGCCCTGTCATCACTCAGGGTCACACTGAGAGATGGAGACCATCGCTACTCTTCAGTTATTTCACTGGCACATTCTATCCTCTGTATCCATCACTCCATGCAGGGAGCCTCTTGGCGTCCCTGTCCCTGGTGCTCTTACTCCTATTTCCTGTTTCTTTCCCCCCTTGCCCGCACGCCCTGAAGTCAGTCACTCACGCTTTAAAAATGGAACGACTGAACTAACACCCCATTATCTTGTGTTTTTTCTTTTTTTTTTGTACCTGGTATATTTTTCAGATAATAATGTATATAGTGTAAATTTACAAGTTATGAAAAGTGGTTACTCTGTCACACCAATCCTGCATTGCAGTTCATAACATCAATATGTTTATTGTATAGTTCTTGTATATATGTACATGAACGAAAGCTTTAAATATTAATATTTATTGAATTTTTAAGTGATATGAAGAAAAAAGTAAAACATATTTCAAAAAAATCTGTCCTCTGGGATTTTACTTTTCTCTGTGTCGTCTGCATTTACTGCATGCTCGCTCTTTGTTCCTGTTTTTATCATGAATTCAATGAAAGATTTACCAAATTACTCTTTCCACCTGTCCACATACAAACACAAGTAGAAAAACAATCTCTCACATCTCTCATTCTACATTAACCTCTTTTAATATTTTGGAGCTGTAATCCAGCTACCGTGAATTTTCTGTGGCTGAACTTGCCTTTTTAGTCGCTTCAAGAACAGGGACAGAGTGCTAATCTTCCCTGAGATGAAGCTTGAAGGTAAAGGGATTTTATCTGCAGTCGACTATGATATTGTCAAGTCATCTATAATATATATATTATATATGATATATGATATATTATACTGTGATATTGTCAAGTCATCTATAATATATGTATTATAGATGACTTGACAATATCATAGTCGACTGCAATCATAGTCTACTTCATAGTCACAAAGTCATCACTGTGTCATCAAAATTTCACCCACCTCTGACTTCCTGTCTCATAACTACCTTGTTATACTTCTCTGCAAACACGGGGGGGAAACCCCACCCCCCAGGCCTGGTTCCCCAGGATTTGCTTCAGGATCGCCTTTGTGCTGCGCAGGTATCGAACCAGAGCTGCCCGCTTGACTTGCATATGGGTGTCAGTTGCATACTCTCTACGCCACCGGATACCATCCACACTTGGAGATGAGCTCCGCGCCCTTTTATCTTGGTACTTTGTCTCCTGGACTTTAAAATTCGTGGTGGATAAGGTTTGTACCCACGACCTCAGGAGTCCCAGTCAGTCTCCTTATCCTCTGAATCATATGGACTCTCAGGAGATCTCTCCTTTTATAGACAGCTCAATCTCCAACCCACCTATCAGAGAGTGAAGCAAGTACCTAAAAGGAGAGCTCAAGAAAAGGTGGACTGATCATCAGACTCTGAACAGCACCACAGGAGCAGCCGAGCCCCTTTACCTGAGCGGGACGCCGAGGGAGGAAGGCCACCACATGAAGATGGTGGTCCACCTGACTCCAGGGACAGTCCTGTGTAGAGACCTAAAAGAATGAGAAAAATTTGTAGTTTTTAAGGTGAAGCATCCCTGACATCTTTTTATACTCATCACTACAGACATTTTCTAATCTCCTATCATGTGCAGTCTTGTTTCAGTTCAGTTGAATGTTGATATACCTGTAAATTCTGCTTTTGAAATATAATAAAACATATTCTTGACAGCTGAATAATCAGGCTAATGGATGGTATTTTCAGGTAATTGCTGTTTTTTTATTTTTATTTCTTACCTATTGAATGTATTATTTATATTCACATATTTTATGAAATGCATCACACAACCCTGTATTTTTCTATTTCATTTATTATTTAATAAACATGTAAAGAAAGTCACTGGATCATATAAACATTTATATAAGACTATTGTTATATTGCTATTGCGTTTAGATAGAGCTTTAATTTTTTTCTGTCCCAATCATCCACTGGCTTTTTTAAACTTTTATATTAATTGATCAGATAAACGCCCAAAGTTTCTTGTCATAATATTTTACTGTAATATTAAAATAAACTTCATTAAAGTTTAGCAATTTTGTTTCTGGTATTTTTGTTTGTATTGCTTCATTAAATGCAAAACAATAACATAAAAAATGATAAATCTTCCATTTAAGACCTCCTTTCTAGTTTTCAGCTTCTCTCTTTCAACTCTACTGTATTGAAATACAGAGTCATGTCACTTTAATGTCTGTTAATCTGTGCTAAATACAACTTTAAAACAATCAAACAGGCTTTTTTTAAACCTGGTGGAGCTACAGAGAATTTATTTAACATTAATTAACAGAAGCCCATAGTCTTGGCTCCTATAGAACATGTTAAAACCTGCAGAGAGAGATTGTTTGTCTACTTATGTTTGTATGTGGACAGGTGCGGTAGATGGCGAATAGAGGAAAAGACCTACATTTGGTACATGCACAATCCAAATCGTGTTTCTGGGACGCATCAGGTAGCCTCAGAGGATTCAGTGAGACTGTGGCTCTGCTGAGGAGGGCAGAGCTGGTAGAGACGAGAGACGAGGAAGCTGGCTTGTACTAGGAATGAATTTCACCATTCAACCTCATTATAATGCCCTGATAAGAAGAGTTTATTGATACAAGATGGAGCGTAATTGTCCCTGAGTAGGACTGGAAAATGTAATAAAGTACTTGAATAAGGCTGTTATGCTTGAGTCTTTTCATGAATCAGATTTTAAAAAGTGGAGAAAGTAATTTGGTAATTCTTTCATTGAATTTATGATAAAAACAGGAACAAAGAGCGAGGATGCAGACGACACAGAGAAAAGCAAAATCCCAGAGGACAGGTTTCTTTGAAATGTCTTTTACTTTTTTCTTCATATCACTTAAAAATTCAATAAATATTAACATTTAAAGCTTTCATTCACGTACGTATATACAAGAACTATACAATAAACATATTGATGTTATGAACTGCAATGCAGGATTGGTGTGACAGAGCAACCACAGTCAGGCATTGCCTGTATTTTTTCAAAATTGCATCTTCTGTACTAGTCCTGCTTTTGTATGACTTTCATAACTTGTAAATTTACACTATATACATTATTATCTGAAAAATATACCAGGTACAAAAAAAAAAAGAAAGAAAAACCATAAGATAATGGGGTGTTTGTTCAGTCGTTCCATTTTTAAAGCGTGAGTGACTGACTTCCACAGAGGCAGATGGAGGGCGTGCTCCAGTGGGGTTATCGTGATTTGTTACCAGTGAGGATGATCATGAGCTTGTTGGATTTAGGGGGGAAAGAAACAAACAGGAAATAGGAGTAAGAGCACCAGGGACAGGGACGCCAAGAGGCTCCCTGCACGGAGTGTTGGATACGGAGGATCAAGTGTGCCAGTGAAATAATTAAAAAGATAAGAGATGCTCTGGTCCGATCCACTCTGAAAACCATTATAACTTCTTTCTTTTATTGGCAGCTGAACAAAACTGATGACTTTTTTTTGTCTTCCAGGAATTAAGAAGTACAGTATTTAAAGCTCTCTCTACTGTAAACATGAAATGCTTGAAGCAAGTGGAAACAAGCCCTTTCTCTCTTATTTGACATCAACATTCAGATGTTAGTATGAACTTTTAAGAAAAAAGTTATCCTCATACTGTTGGTGTTGTTCACTTTTGTAGCTCTAGCATCAATATTGATCACAGGAGCTCTGACTCTGTCTCTCTTTGATTATTCCAGCGGCACACCCAAGCCTCCGTACCTAACACGCACACACCTCCACCAACATGACCTTTTACCTCTCCTCAAATGTTCACAATACAAGTTCAATAGTAGTTCTAATGCACTTGAAAAAAGTCTTACACAACTGTACACAGATAAAAACATGAATGTAGCAATGCAGTCATCACATTTTGAGCACATCTTGTAGTCGTTTTAGTTTACAGCACCTGACAATGTTTTTTTTTTTTTTTCCTTCCGTTTCATATTTGAGGCACAAGGGGCGGAGCCTCACTGCGCACAGATCACTCTGGAGGTTCGATGAGGTACCATCACTGGTCTGGTGTAAGTTCGCTGGATAAAAAAAAAAAAAAAATCTTTGTAAATTAAAAAAAAAAAAAAAAGTAAGAAAATATCTGCAGCCAGACTGTGAGTCTTTCAGATGCTGCAGGCGGGGAGTTGATGTCTGAGAGCATCTCACTGAGCAGCATGATCACATCACTCCTCGCTCTCTTAAACTCTCAGGGTTCTGTGACTCGAGTCCCTCTCGGATCCTAAATCGTCCCTTCTTGACCTGGCAGCAACTGGGCCTAAAGTGCTGTTTGGACTGTGCTCTTTGGAGGCACCTCCACTGGAGTCCGCTGTGGGCCGCGCTGGCCCTGGAGGTAGAAGAGGCCCCGGGTCTGAGTCTCCTCTCCCAGCTGTGAGGAGGGAGTCACTGGAGGGACCCTGAGGCGGAGCAGCACCCGTGGAAGGCGAGGCTTCTGTTGCTACTGCGGAGGTGGTTGGCGCTGGAGGGGTGGAGTGAAGCCGTCTGCTGGTGAGTTTAGTGGTTTGAGGCGGGCTTGGTGTCGTTGAAGGAGCTTTTGGTGATACAGCACGAGAAGCAGAGGTCTTCGTGTCCACGGTGGCCACAGGTGTGTTGAGGAGGTCAGGAGTGTGTGTGGGGAAGAGATCTTTCTTGTTGCACGACTCACAGCAAAGCTTATTGTACCCGGGGATGGAACAGTAACGGGCCAGAACCTCCATTTGACAGAAAATGGATTTATCCCCCAGACATGGCTCATCTAGAAACAACAAGTGAGAAGATGTTGCTGTGAGCAAGATGGAGAATTAAAAAAAAACACTGTTTCTTCGGGTGTTTATGTTGGAAATCAAAGTGATTGACTCACTGGAAGAGATTTTGTGCACAGGGTTTTCAGGATCTCTTTGGTGCACCGCTTCATCCTTTATCGTGGAGTTCTCCATTGTTTCCACCGTGAGAGAAGACACTGGTTGTCCTGCAACAGACGACAAAATCAAGTCCGAATTAGTGCTGCACAATATGTGAAAAAACATTGCGATTTCTTTCAACCCTGCGATATTAAAAAATACAGGAATTTTGACCGGATGACCTGAATAGCACTTTATGTTGTGCTGCACCGCTGAAATCTTGAGGATCATCAACCTGCACTGATCTTACCTCTTTTGTGAATGTTAGTAGAATGGCTTTTGTCTTTCTTAGAGATATTTTTAGCTTTTATTGCGCTGGGACTTGTTTTCTCTCGTTGTAGCAACAGATGAAATGCACTGCCGTCACAGAACACGTGTTTGGTTGACATCATCTTTCTTGTAACCGAAATAATTCCAGAAACATGACTTTCATTTTCTTTTTTTCTAATTCATTGCTCATTTTGCGATCTTTGTTGAAACGCATGTCCTCCAGAATTGCATGCACCTCGTGGATAGTAGAGTGGTCCACAGAAATGTACAGTTTAAAACTCTAACAATTCTTATTTGTGGGGCTGAGCAGTGATGAGTAATGTTCCGAAAGTAATTGTTGGCGGGCATCCTTCTTGGCACAACAGCGGCAGCGCCAGCGACTCACTCCATGTGCAGGGTCGTGATTTCCTCCTCTCTGATTTTGATTGACGACTGGCAGAGTATAGTCTGCTTGGCAAGTGAGTAAAGAATGAATATGATTGGTGGATCGCTGCACAGCACATGCAGAGTCACGTGCAGTGTATGTCAGTCAGTTACCCTTGAAATTCGCCTCCTACATCGCAGGCTCTGCAATGTGACTATCGCGCAAATGTACATCGCAATGATGATGCTCAAACGATATATTGTGCAGCCCTAGTCCAAATTATATTCAATAATATCATACCATTTTATAAAGGAGCCACCTCCTGTCGACCCTTTACTCCAGGAAGAAACTAACGGTGAGGTTAGAGACCAGTAATAAAAAAACTAGGAGCAATTCACAGAGCACAAGACACAACCTTGACTTGTCCTCTTGTTGTCCTTGATAAAACCACTATTTTCTACTCACCGCCTGCACAGGGGAATAGAAGAGAAAAGCTGAAAGAAGCTGAAGCGAGGGCAGCGGAAATGGTGTGACAGTTTCTAAAATGTCAAATCTCTCGACTCTCCTCACCTGTTTTCTACAACCTGAGTAAAAAGAAAAGTTTCAAAGCCTAACTGATATGAGCCTGATCTGATGTGATCTGTCTCAGAGACACTGTCAGAAAACAAAACACACCATTTTCTACCGCCTGGTTATTACTGAATTTGCATAATACAGCAGGAAATAACCCGCCCCGAGGTCTACAAAGGACTAAATTACCCTGTTAGTTCTCCTGTAAGTTGTTCTTGCCGCATCAGTGATGAAAAGGTAATGAGTCCGACATGTACAGGCAGCCTCTGTAAATTGGTGAATATTGTTCTGTTATTACACGTAGGTCTCACCTGGGCACGTGTTCAGATTGCAGATGAGGACCGTCTCGGGCTTCTCGCCTTCACATTCTCCTATGGTGTTGTCGCTGGCCTTGCAAACCACCTGCCTTTGCTGAATGCCCTCCCCACACGTCACCGAACACTGCCGCAACACAAGAACACATACATACAATGAAGCAGAAGAGGACACGCATCTATGGTTATGAGATGTGTCACATACAACAGTTCAATCCTGACATTTTAAAACAGGATCCATGATTCAAGCTCACCTGAGACCATGCTCCCGTCCTCCACTGAGGGGGGCACGCCGTGCTGTTACACGCTCTCCTCATCTCTGGTCGATCTGCGGTGCAGTGCTTGCTGTGGACTGGTCTGTTGGTGCCATTGTGGAGCATCTGCATGCACTGCACCACCCTGGTCTGATAGCCCAGCTTCCCGCAGGTCTTACTGCAGGGACTCCACTCCTCCACAACCCACCTGTCAGCACAGAAGGAGCTTTGAAAAGATTTTCCTGGTATTTGCAAACTGCCTTTCTTACTCTGGTATTACTCTACACAGAGTGAACCATTTAAAGTAAAAGGGCCATTATAACTGTTGTTACTTCATTCTGCACCCATTTTCTCACAAGAGCGCACAGAATGAACATCTATAGGGGAGTGTAACTCACGTTGGCTGGCTGCACTCTTGGGTGTTGCAGCGTTTGCGGATGGGTTTCGGCTTCTTGCTGGTTTCACAGAAGTTACGATGCACCAGACGGCTGTCACTCTTCCTCCTGCAGCCGTATTTTGTGTACTGAACACCTGGAGGAGGGAAAAAGGAAGATGATCAATGCTCTAACAAAGTCTTCAGAGTTAATTAAAAGTTCTTAAATCCAGACATTTTACATCTTTTTTTATCATGCAATACTAAAATTTGAGTATTATTATTATCATTAAAATTTGTTTAGTACTGTATACTATGACGTTTTTATGATACTTTTGTATGACATTTCAATCATACTATACTATGACATTTTTTTCATACTAAAATTCAAAACTTTCATTATAGGTTAATATGTTAGATTTTTTCAGATTTCATTTTTATCATACTATACCTGATCAAGCTTTAAACCCAGGACCTTCTTGCTCTAAGTCAACAGGGCTAACCATTACACCACATTGCCGCCAATTTCACAATAGATCTTTTTATCATACTATACTACATTTTTAAACATACTTTACAATGAAATTTCCACATACTATGCTATGACATTTTTATCATACTTTACTATAATAATTTTTTCATACTAAAATGTGATATTTTTATCATACTACACTATGACTTTATTTCATGCTAAAATGTGATTTTTTTTATATCATACTATACTATGACATTTTTCATATTTAAATGTGAAATTTTTATCATACTATACTGTTATATTTTATCATACTATACTTTGATATTTTAACATACTATACTGTGACAATTTTTTCATATTTAAATGTGAAATTTTTATCATAGTATACTATGACATTTTAATCACACTACTCTATGACATTTTTTTCATACTAAAATTAAAAACTTTCGTCATAGGTCACTATGTCCTTTTTTTCTGATTTCATATTTATCATACTATATCTGATCGGGATTTAAACCTAAGACCTTCTTGCTATAAATCAACAGTGCTAACCATTACACTACATTACTGCCCGTTTCACAATAGATCTTTTCATTATACTATACTACGACATTTTTAAACATACTATACAATGAGATTTTCACATACTATACTATGACATTTTTATCATACTTTACTATAATAATTTTTTCATACCAAAATGTGATATTTTTATCATACTACACTATAACTTTCTTTCATACTATACTATGACATTTCAATCATACTATACTATGACATTTTTATCATACTATACCGTTATATTTCATCATACTATACTTTGATATTTTTTTACATACTGTACTATAAAAAAATTTATACTAAAACCTGATATTTTTAACATACTATACTATGACAATTTCTTGTCATAGGAGTGGAGGTGGAAGGTGAACTAGCTGACTTTCAGATGTATTGTCCACTGACCTCCTCCACAGGGCTTGGAGCACTGAGACCAGCTCTTCAGCGCCCACTCGTAAGTGTCCAGTTCAGCCAGTAGAACGTTATTGTTGGTGATGAGCGGCAGAAGGTCCTCATGGATGATATATTTATATGTCAGGCTAATCTTCGCGTCCTCTTCCTGGGGAATGACCTGTGATGAGAAGAAAACACTTCAAGTAAGGAACAAAAAATAAACATTTAAGATAAAAAGCGATGATGTAGACCAACCCACCAGCACTATAATGCCTTCATGAAGGGGACCGCTTGTTTTCAGCGTCTCCTTCCCACCATCCATGGAGTACTCCCACTGCAGACCGTTCTCTATGAAGCTCTTTGATTCTGCTTCTTCACTTTTTGAATTCAGGATGAAGTTTCCAGTTACTTGATTCTTCACAGCTGTCAGAAAAGAAAGGGGGGAGAAAAAAAAAAAAAACTTTTTAGGCATGAGTGATGGGAAAAAAATATGTGCACAACGTGTAGTCGTTAGTTTCATTCAGTAAAACTCTTAAAAAAGTGACTGAAGTTCCAGGATCAACAACGCTCTGCCAAACAACGCTGAGATTTTCCTCCCATCGCAAAATGTGTCAAGATTAATTTTGGGATTCTTGGCACTGTGTAGGCAAACAGTCATTTCTCAAAGTTGCGTGTCATCTTTTCTTCCCATGAGCTCATAAAAGACAGAGAGAAAACAGGACAGGGAGTGTTTGGGTTTGTGCCACGCTTATCCTCACAGTCATCGATTTCTGAACTCAGTGTTGCAAGTTTCGCTCATACATGTGAATATTTTTGAGCCCTTATATCATTTATGAGCTACGCTTCACCTACTCAGCTATATTCAAGTTAAATTAAAAGTAATCATCCAGGCAGCGTCGCTTATAAAAGGAAAAAAGAAATCTATTAATAACACAATGATAATGGTGTCATCTGTGATGTGACTCAGGCTTTGTTTGCTATCTATTATCTCCATCTATTATGCTCCAATGGGAGAATTAATGATGACCGCAGCTCCTCCAGAGAACAAACAGTCTCTGTAGATTTCCTTTTATCAAGTTAACAAGCACAAATATAATTTTCATTTGATCATACACATACTTCCAACTTTTATTTCTTACAGAGGAAAACTTCCGTTGGGTGTGGATACATTTGTATGATTATTATTGTTCTTGTCTTTTCATAATAACCAAGAACTTGTGACCACATCTACATCTCAAGTGTATCGATGAAACCAGAGGGTCTAGGCGGTGCTTTGGCTCTCTCTTATTGCTGGTTTTATATCTTATTTTGCAATTTTGCCGATCTTTTTCATTTGGTAACTTTAAATTTCGAGAAATCTGAACACAGCAGGGGCACCTCTCCTCACTCCGACATACCTATTATCAACTATCAATTCCCTTCAGGCTCAGCACTGCAATTGGATCTGCCAAAGAAACTGCTGTAAACCATGTTTTTAAGTTTTCAAAAGTGCCTCTAACTGCCTGAAGCCTCTCACAGCTGATTCATAGAACTTTTAAAAAGTTTTAAAACAGGAAGTCAAAAGATGAAGAGGTTTTAAAGTTGAGGAGAAAGTCGGTTTTTGAAGTTACATAAAAGTTTCCTTTGTTGAGAAACCAGCAGGAGTAGAAATGGTGATGATGCCTCCTTATCAGCTATGAACAACCAGTGTGAACGACCTCTCCTTGTACTACTCAATGGAAACGCTTCACTGTGAGTGACGTGTTTGAAAGTAGACAGACAGCAGGAGGAATATTTCAGCACAAAACAACATTTATTCTTTTATGGAGAGCAGCCGGATATGAGATTCCACAAACTGCTCCGACTACAGGCAGCATTAGGATCCACACAACATGAAAACTCCTCGTAGTAGCTCCAGTTCGTACAATTTTTTGTTCAATTGTCTCCAATCGAATTGAACAAGTTTGGAAACAATTTGGAGTTTATGTAGGAGGAGCTTCAGATTTCTACCAGCTGTAACAAAAAACATTTGCTTTGTCTTACTAAAGGAAATCTATAATAAAATTATCAACATAAAAGAGCACAACTTCAGCTAGGGGTGTCCCAATACAGCTTTTTTACTTCCGATACAATACCGATATTGTAGCCTTCAGTATCCGATATTGATCCGATACTGGCCCAAACTTGTGCATGACAAGTTTTGCACTCAGCTGCAACGTTTTTTTCGGATCTAATCGAAAAATACCATCACACGGCCGACATCGCTCCTACTCCTTGCCACTTTGTTTGTAGTGTAGTACACACTGTTGTTGTGATCATGTGGGCTCTGCATGCTGGATCTGGGCGCTGCTAGCTAGAAGTGCCGAAATGGAGTCTGGAATGCTGATATCGAATATTTTAGATGCAGGCCGATATAATTCCGATATTTGTTTTTTGGCTGATATCGGACCGATATCCGATACTTGATTCTGATTGGTCAAAACCCTTTTAAGTCATTACAGGAACTTTAAGTTTTTTGTCAGGGGCAGTTTTGACAGCTTAAAAGAGAGACAGGAAGTACTGGAAGATTGTGTTAGCGAAACTTGAGACAGTTGAGACAAGAAATGAGTCTTTCCTCTCACTTTTTTTTTTTTTTTACATACCAATTATCCCACTCAGCCTCAGGTGTGAAACACTTACCTATTATGTGAGGGGAGGTCTCATTCTCTTCGATGACAATGTGTCGTGCTCCTATCGGGATGTCAAACATTTTCAGCATTCCTGACAAAGAGACACAGCACAGTCAAGCCGGGAGTCTGAGTGTGGGCTGTAATGGTAGACAATTATTTCTGAGTCCTAACACTAATATTAAGTTTGTCAATTAGGTTATAAGTCAGAAGCTGAAACGCGGTAAACTTGGATGATTATTTCAAGTTTTTTTTTCATTTTAGCGCTTTAAGGATGACTGCTATCCAGAAGATAACTGCTATAGAGATGTGTTGCTGAATTGAACACAATCCATCCACACAGCTGATAATCACCGTTCTTTTTGGGCGTCTTTGTGAGTGTCAGCTTCACGGTGCGACAGTGGGAGTTGTCTCCTTCACACACTCCACATTTGTCCTCTTGCTTGTAAGAGCCGACCTCCTTGTCGCAGCCCACGTGCTGTGAGGGAGAAAAGGACAAGACAGTCAATCACTCCGTCTGACGCTGCGTCTGACTTTCATACACACTGAGATTACTCAGCTGGGAATATGATGCCATGGGAAAACTCAGCAGGCGTCTGGTTTAGAGTCGAGCTTTATGATGATACATGTCGGAAAGCAGACATAACAAGGAGGAAGCCAAAACACGAGGAGGCTGGTGCGCAAAAAATAAAAGGCTCCACTTTATCTCCAAGGATTCGAGCATAAAGACAAAATAATATCTGTGTATGTTTGTGATAGAGCACCGCTTTCAGTTTATTGACATCAAAATCCTCAGACAGCAGTGCAAACATCACAAAAAGGCACCATTTTCATCATCAAAATACACCACAGGAAAGGTCAAGGCATTATGGGTAATTGGGGTTTCTAAACTCAGCGACATGTTCCTCCTTTTTACAGACCAGAGATGTTTCTGTGAAACCCAGTGCAGATAACGACCAATTTATTTTGTGCAGTTATCATTTTTCACTGATCATCAGCTTGTCATATAAACATGTTCGTCTATCTTAAAATGTTTTTAATGGTGTAAAAACTGAAAAGACTGAAAAGACTTAAAAATAAAAGTTTTGGCATGAGGAAATTAATGATTAAGTTTTAAAAAGGGTATAAATGACTTTTAACCTGTTAGCTATTTCTCTGCTAAAACACTTCAGCAGCATCGAGGCTCAAACACAAGGCAAAACCTTCAGATTATTTTCTAAAATAGGCTACGTAAAGATCAAATCTTGATTACTCATTACTCATTACGCAAAAAAGCCGGTTGCAGTTTTAATTTTGTCAAAGGAAGTTATGATGATACATGTTCCTTCATGAAAGAGATAAAATTAGATTTTGTTCTTGTTGATGAGATGAAAAGGTTTTAGGAGAAGTGTCGGACGCTTATAATCATTTCCTCATGGAAATGCAATCAGACTGAGACGCTAAGGCAGAAGAACTACCGCGTTTGCAGTGCAAAATGATTAACATGATGATTATTACTTCAAGAAAATGATAAAAAAAATGATCATAAACATTCTTTCTTGAGCTGCATCCCCCAGCTGATGTCTGTAATGGACTGGTCTGAGGTCTCCGTACAAGCAGCTGCTGGAAGAGAGTGGGTGAGTTGTGTTTAGTCTCTTTGCTAAAGAAATTAGGCAAAGTTAGAAAGATGTTTGGTGGCTAGTACTATGGCTGGGACTCTATATGTACTGTTGATGAAGTTAGGTGCTGTTCTGAGTATTATTTGTTGCTATAGAGTGGTGTTTTGGTTGAGGTTTGTTTATGGCTCCTCAGACCGCTGTGTATTGCTATCGTTCTGTCGTTACTAAAGTTGGTATAACTAGAGAAGCAAGTGGTCGGCAACATTCATCTGTTGATGGAGTGTCTAACTCGGTCTTAAGATGTGTTTGACCTTTACTTAATTTTACGCCAAAATATCCCTTTAAGGGGGATTGAAAATGGTCATATGTTAAGTCAAGTCAAGTCAAGTTTATTTGTATAGCACATTTCAGCAGCAGGGCAATTCAAGGTGCTTTACATGAAACAAGCTGGCAAAACATTCAACACAATTTAAAAAGTAAAAACAGCGTAAAAGACATTAAACAGATTAAAAGTTACATTCAAAGCTAAAATAAGATTGGAGATAAAAGAAAACAAAGGTTAGATTGGAGAGATAGAAAAAAAGATCAAGACAGGCAGATGATGAAGATGTTGATTAAAAATGTTAAAATGAAACATTTATGGTATTGGTCGTCTAAATAAATACCTTAAAATCCTTCATTCCTGCAGTTTGTTGAATGGATGAGAAGTCAAGGTTGAGGGCACTTTCATTCAGAAACATTCTCACGCTCATGTTTATGGATGAAACATTTGACTTCTGACACACTCGCAGTGACCCCACACTGTTCGGCTGTTTAACACTTGTCTAAATTCAATGCTACACTCACAACTCCATCACGACTCCACTGCAGTTGTCACATATAAAATGTGCTACTTTTGTGTTATCACCTTGGTGCTGTAGCAGTGAGACACAGCTGGTTTCAGTCATGGGGGTCCGGTCCTTACAGATGTTGTAATGTTATTGGTATTTAAATGCTAAACCTCAAATATGAGACAACTCCACTTTTGGTAAGTGTGTATTTAGAGGACAAAGACCAGCTTAGAGGACAGTAGTTTTACTAAAGACTTACCAAACACTCTCCTCGAGCGCAAACACTGAAGGGGTCCGAGTAGCTGCAGCGCGTCCCATCGTGCATCACCTGGTTCATGAACACCACCTCTCCTGTTTCCTTTGACTTACAGCTCAGCTCGCACTTACGAGCCTCTGGAATACACAAACACACACGCACACCTGGGTTAACACAAGTCTTTAAAGACTCGTAAATTTATCAGCAGAACACAAAGGGCTTTTAAATCTGAAACAAATCCTGCGAATATCATCTGTCCGTTCGCTGAGCTGCATGAAGAATTCACGCCAAAAAAGAGAGGGCCAATTTTCCCTGGATTTACCATCTGGGTGTTCATACGGTAGCCAGGTGTGCTTGATGTTTTTGTGGTATTTGTTGCTCCTCTGGACACACTGCTGAGCACGGAAGTCCTCGTACGGGCCAGCACACTCCTCTGTGTTGCACATCTGGTAGTCGAAAGCAGAGCCAGGGCAGTCCCGACCACCATAAGCAGGCCTGATTGATGTGGATAACAAAATTATGACACCAAAGATGTTTTACATCCTGATTTTTCCCCTGAAGTTGTATATCAAGAGGTTATTAAGGATATTTATCTTCTAATAAATGTATCTCTGCTGCCAGCACAGGCCTGTGTATCATCGATGGAAATTCAGAAACGGCTGAAATTAAACGAGTGCTTTATCACATCCGCTCAGAGTTTACTGTCGGGTTTTTGTTTATTTAAAATCAATCAAAAACAAAAAAAAAAAGGGACGCCTGCTGCTCAGCTCTACATACAGACTTGAACTGTTTGACATCAGCTGCTGGAAGAACACACAGATCGTATAAACTCACTGGCCTCTGAAAGTGCTTCAATTGCCAGCTGATCTTAGGGAGGAAATTTCTTTATGTAATTCCAGCAACACCTTCAGGTACAGTTTGATATTCACTTACAGTTTCTGATCTTAGGAAAGAAAGAAAAAATCTACAAAAAATCCCTAATAATTCTTCACAGATGAGCCAGTATGGAGCTCTCTGTTCTCATCGTTTTTGGTAAAATACATCTTTTTTTCAATCTAAAATTAAGAAATTTGAAGAAGATCCTTCAGAATTTTTAGTTCACCTGGATGCAAAGCAGATTCTGAGATAATTCCTCCTTTTTATGTTGATACTAATGCTTACAGATTGCATTGTAGTTACCTGTGCTGTCTTGGCCTGAGTCTCTTTTAAAAAAGTGAAACTAACCCAGTTAAATAAATAAAAAATAATTTAAATCTCTATCTTTACTGATCATGTGCATGTAAATGCTCTTATTACACTGTTTACTGACACTCACGGTGAATCTTAGGGAAATGAAGCTGTGGTTTGTGTGACACCTACACCACGGCAACAGTGACAGAGATAGTAACAGCGCAGTCCAATCAACATTTATTCTTTCCCTCTTTTCCTCTGTTAAAAAATACAACTTTAGTGACATACAAGAGCAAAGTTTAAGTTTGCAAGGTTAACGTGTGTTTAAGCAACGCCCTGGTGGGATTACAGGATGCTCTGAACGGATTGTTCAATGGTGGGAATTCAGTGTGAGATTTGGTCAAATTGTGACATTACCAGATGGTGAATCTCCTAAAAAAGGCAAATTTGTCATATTATAAAACAAAACACAACTTTGTTGAGTGGCAACAGTGAAGGAGGCTACAGGAATACTGGGTTCCAGAATGCTGGGGGGGCCATAAAGAGACAGTGGCTTAAATGAAGCGCCTCAAACAGGCTGAAATGAGGCTTCTCAAAGACAGCAGCCTAGGATGATATCAGAGGGACAATATAAAGACAAAAATAAGCCTAACACTCCCTTTTTAAAGAATGTAGTATTGTATTTGGCTCAGACTTTTCCGAGGAACTTTTTACTCAGAAAAAGTTTGAGAAAACTCTTGAAAGGTATTGATAAAGACTCCCACAGTTTCCTTTTGGTAACAACACTCACGGTGGGTTGTTGCATTGTCTGTTGCGAGAGCGGACTCCACCGCCACATGTCCTGGAGCAGGAGCCAAACTTTGACCAGGAGCTCCAGCCTCCGTCGTGTCCCTGAGGCTGCTGGCTGGATCTCCAAATGCAGTGGCCCTTAAAGCACCACTAAAAATATCACAAAGAGAGGAGGAAATAAGTGCCGGGTGAAAAGAGAGAGTAATGGCGATGATGTTTGAGTCCATTTCATTCCTCTCTTCAAAGCGCTGCGATGTTCAATTATTTAAAACACAAAAAATTTCAAAATGAAATTCAGACACTTTTTACCTTTCCTGCAGCACACTCTGTTCCGTCCACCGGGGGTCCTTTTTTGGTTTTGCAAAAGTACTGATTGTCGGGGTGACTACACCAAAGTTGCTTGCAGGGGTCGTAGGTTCGAAACTGTAGAAGAAAAATGTGTCAGTTATGCTTTTACTGACGATTCTAACAATGAAAATTTAAGTTTTAATTTTAAAAAATGTCTTTGAAAAGGGCATTTGTGTTAAACTTTCAATCCCATGATGCTGAAAATTGAACAAAACTTTAACATTTTAGGTTAACTTTTAGTTCCTATCATGTTTGTATACAAGCTTCCTTTACCTAAAATCGCTTATCATGTTTTTAATCATGTCATAGCTGACCATATAAGGGCGTACAGAATAGGCATTTGCTGACCAGAAAGGAAAAATACAAAAATGTATCCCTTTAATGCCTGAAACCAAAAATTATGGCCAGAAAATTACATTTTTTGGAGCTGAAATGTTTATTTCACTTACTACTGAAAACCCCAAAAATCAAAATGTCCTTAAAATTGAACAAATATACTTATTTATTTATCTTGTTTCATACATTAGATGTTTTTGGAAACTGATAAACCACATGAGGACATTTTTTATCATTTATTGGACTGTATTAAGTTATTTTTTAGTAATTTTTTGATCATATTGATTTGATAGAAAGATATAAAAGTATGTATCGAATATGATACAAAATCAATAAAGGGTTAAGTTAATATTTCATTGATTTTTGAAAAACTTACAGCTGTGCACATCTTATATCCAACGCCAAAATCAAAGCGGCACTGCTCGTCCATCGAATAATTAATTCCAGGTAGCTCAGGAAGCTTGGGCCACTTGTGTTCAAAAGGGTCATCCAGTAGGCAGTCATATGAGCTGAGAGAGATGAGAGGAAATGAGAGTAATAATACCATGAGAGTCAGATGTTTAAAGAACAAGCTCAAAAAGAAACAAGTTTCAAGAAGATCTATTAGCCATCCTCTTCACATACACTCTCAGTCAACAATTCAATGTTCAGTAGAGGGAGATTGAAAAACTACAGACAGGGAGGAACAGAACCCACTGTATGTATCGATTGAGCTCCTGCTTGCTGCAACGTGACCAGTGATAGCGATGGAAAGCCGCCTGGACGAGAGGAGCCATGATGCTGCCCATGCTAGTCTCATCCGCGCAACGATTACCCTGGCCGTCATGCTCCATGCCAAGCCTGATGGGAAAGTAATAGGTTTATTAATCCGGGGTGCACGAAAATGTAAGACATGGTTGTATGGCAGAAGATATTTTTAAAAATGTGATTTTGAAAAAGGAGTAAGCTAAGGGTCATCATCGTCAGAACGCTGCTTGTGTAAAAACATAATTAAACAATGATTAATGGCAAATCTGTGCCTTTCATATTTCAAGAGGGTCTTCACGTCTCCTACAGTCATGCTGCTGGTGAATTATCGCCAAAGTGCTCAAACATCTGAAACACGTTTGATCTGATGTCGCATCACACCAGGGCACATACCCCTGCTTGTTCCTGCTCCCTCTTCATGCATTTGTAATTCACAATCTAAACCGTTGTGTATTTATACCATGTACATGCCTGAGCGATAGAATGGAGCGGCTTCCAGGAAAACCATTGAAAATTGAGTGTTTTCAAAGTGAATCCGAACCCTGGAGGAAGCTTTTTATGCATCTACATGTGACTTGTGACTCATTTGGTCTCCATCATTCTTTGGTGCTGGTTTTAGTGTGTTACCATGAAAAAGACATTGAAGTAAAGACCGGTTATTTTCTTTTTGAAGATAAACTGAATGGGTATGTGCGTCATCAGTCAGTGTATAAAGCCCCTCCTAAATGAAAGCACAGGGTAATGTTTCATCATGACTGCTCTCAAACAGAAAAATGTAGAAAATGCAGAAATATAAATGAAATAGGAATAAAATAAAGAAGAGATGTATTTTCTCAGGGACAAAGACATTGATTATTTTTTTTTATCAAAATGCCAAAAAGTTTCAAGGGTTTACTTCAAGAAAAGAAAACTGAGTAAGAGAAACCAACAGAGTGAAACAGGAACAATTTCTACCCTTGTGAACAATTCTTTGTTGTCATGAAATTACAGGGGGTCAAGATGTCATGTGAACTTTCTGTTGATTGCGAATCTTGACTCACAAACAGCCTTGTTACAAGTAAACCACACATTCAAGTTAAGCTGAACTGAAAATCTCACAGGCCACTGACACATTTACAAAGCCTCATGGGGGTTGTAGTTGTTGAATGCCAAGAGTAATTTCATTTGGAAATTTCCTTTATGGAGGTAGAAAACACTCGGAACATGCTTCAGCTGTTCACAAAGGCTGATTAAAGAAAACCTTCAATCCTTGAATCCCACTGGCAGGATTTCCGCTCTCTGTGGTCTTTTCTTTGTACCGACGAGGAAATGAAATGTTTTCTACAGGGGGTTAGGAAGCACAGTATCCTCCAGTAATTGGTTACCTCTGATGCCGGTGGGATCTGACAACACAATGAAGTCCCACATTTGAATCCAAGAGCAATTCAAGCCTATTACATGATGTTGTGGAATTTAACCTGCCACTAACCAGCTGGATGACAGGCACGTGCATACGTAGAAGAAAACCACATTTCTCTCTCTCTCTAACTTTTCTTTGTCTTAACTTTTTACTTAACTTGGACTTTTTCCCTGGAGATGCAACTGACAGATCATGCCCAAAATTCGTTCAATATCCGATCAAACTTCTGGTACTTTTTTGGAGTACGTATGCACCAATCAAATATTTGGATCGGATATCAGCTTCGATATTGTCAAATTAACTGGATCGGATATCTGATGAATGACGCAGATCCAACATTCCAATCCAGGTCTTTTTTTCTTTTAATTAATATCAATCTTTAAAGGGATATTCCGGTGTAAAATTAATTTAGGGTCAAACGCACCGTAACACCGAGTTAGACACCCCTTCGAGAGATGAATGTTGCCGACCACTTACTTCTCTAGATACCAACTTTCGTAACGACCACAGATAGCAATACAGAGATCATAAATGTTCTTCCTTGAGCTGCATCACCCCGCTGCAGTGGATGGATTTGTCCGGAGGACTCTGTACAAACAAGCGGCTGCTGAAAGTTGTGAGAAACAAGAAATTTGGCAAAGCTAAAAATATGTTTGATGGCTAGTACTATGGCTGGGACCCTGTTAATACTGTACTGTTAATTTGTTAACTTTTTTTTTTTTTAACAAGGCTAATGTCAAGCCTGATGGCTTCACTCACAGGGCAGGGTAAACAGTTCACATCCAATTGGATTGGATTTGAAAAAAATGGATCAGTGCATCTCTGTTTTGGAGTTAAAACAGGGACTTCCGAGTTTTCTAATTCTGTAAACCTTGAGTTACTATTAAGTGAAAAACTTTGAAGTAACTGACTTTTTAAACTTTTTTAGCAGTGCCCACAACAAGGATAAGACAAAACAATGTGTCTCAGTGTGTTTTATCTTATTTTAAAAATTACCAGCAAAATTCACGAAGAGATGCTAACCTAATTACTGTAGCGAACAATGTTACTGGTTTAAATCCAGCCTTGAAGCGTTTCCTGCTAATTTTTACATATTTTAAAAGATTTTTTTGGAGCGACAGTTTTTTTTTTTTTCAGGGGTACCTAAAATTACAGATTGGTTTGTAACCAGTAAAATACCATTACATCCAGCACATACATCACTGAGGCCTAATTTGGAGTTTTACTTTTTGCCCACAAAGAGATTGTGAGTCTTAAACAGAGTAAAAACCCCATGGAAGAGTATATTCACACCTACTGGGAATCTGAAGAGCTTATAACACCTAACCTGCACTGGGCTGTGAAAACCAAAGAACACATGAGCCTCCTGTGCAGGCAAGAGGAAAAAGACGTGATCCAGCTGGTTTGGTCCATTTTTAACCTGAAATGTCTGCAGTTCAAGAGCGGCTGCTGAAATCACAGCTTTTATAAAGTATGACGCACAGATCAATGATTAGGGTTTCAGTTTCAACACTTTCTTTGTTAAAATCAGATGGTAACTGTAGACGTTCACAGTAGAGCAGACTCTCAGGACCAACGTCTGAACTGCTGTAATGATTTGAGTGTCTGGACAAGGAGGTAAACCAGATTAGACACTTACAGAAACTTTTAAAAGAAGTTGGCGAGCACGTATTGGATCTATTTAAGAATATAAATTGTATAGCAGCGGAAAAGTTTCCCAGTAATCAGGAGTCTTCTGTCTTGCATGTTTAATAAGAAATTTTCACGAATCCAGCATTACCATTGGTTTGAAATCATTTTGCGAATCAGATAGTGTCCATTACGCCTTCAGACAGTCAAAGTCTCTCCTCTGTCAGGCAGGAAACAAAGCAATCTGAAATCATTCAACCACAAACATCCTCACAGTGTCGATAAGTCCAGTACAGACAAAATGATTCATCCAATCCAAGAATCGGCCATGCTTGTCTATTCGATCTCTGGGCCACCGCTCGACGAGCGCCCCTCTCAACTCTCAGAAGATGAAGGGCTTAGTGACCTTTTTTCTCTCATCCTTCTGTGTGACATGACAGTCAATCAAGCCAATTAGCAGAGTTTTTTTTTAAGGTTTGTGCCACAGCAGGAGGGAGCACACTGCAGACACAACCTCAACCTCAAACAAAACATGTGAAACGGAACAGAGCGCACGGAGATCTGCAAATGACTCAGACGAAAGATCACGAAGTGCATTAACAGAGACGATTCAGGCTGCAGCTACTGGGCTAACTTTAAATCAAGAGTGTGAGTGGTTAGTTAGAAGGTTTTACAAGGTTATGAAACAGTCTGAAACTGAGGTTGACGTCTGCATGAGTAAACAAGATCATCAGTGAATAGATCTTCATGTATACTTGGATTAAAAGAGCCTGAAACCACTGCCAGCAGCAGGTGTTATTAATGGTACACTGCAAAATGAGGCTTTTTACAACTTTTAGACAGATTGAGGGTCAACTAGAGTTGATTAATGTTCAAGAAAAATGTCTGAGAAAAAAAATACATGAAGAGTGAAGTCACCCTGATCCGTCCACAGGGGTCACCAAAGTCAACTAAAGCTTAAAGTCCATCACAAGACCTTAACATGAAATGATAAACAAACTGATAAAACTCTGAGGAACATAAATAGAAAGTTACATGAAGCAGCTCATCTGAAGGTGAAAAAATCAGCTGAACAACTCGTAATGTTTGAACAGGCAGAAGAAAATCGCTGTATGTTACAAAAATAGTGAAAAAACGGGATCTTGCAATAAAATCATCACTCCCTTAAATCATTTTCATGTTTTCTGTCGACGTTTTACACACTGTACCGACTTTTTTGGCATTGAGTTTGTATGTTTTTTGGTAGAAATGTGAACCTGACTATTTTAATTTATGTTCATTTAATAGTTAAAGCTGGCATTACACTAGAGAGCCATACATGAAGTGGTCTTTCTCCTTTTAATCCTGTTTTCATTTGCATAGATGACGGTTATGAGCAGCCACTCTGAGCATAGAGGGGACAGCACTTCATAATGACCTCTTTGCTGCATAAAATAATCACATTAACCCCTCAATGATAATTAATGTAACACTTTTATGGCAGTGTAAGGGAAAATCTGACATTGATATGCATGTCAGTGAGCCAAAAGCACAGTCTAAAACATGCAGTTTCTGTTTTTTTGCTTAAACACATAATGACTGTATCTAGTTTGTTCATTTCCCATGACTTCTGGCTGAATAATCTCACACTGTCTGGCTAAATAACAGCTTGCACATGTTGTTTTTATAAAGACAACACATTTCATTTAAAGGTCTCCGCCTGTGATGATAGACTACAGTCTCTGCACAAAACTATCGCCTTAATTGGACGCAGTAAGACCCTGTGAGACTCTGCTGGCGCTTTCATCTTAATTTCTTTACTCACACATGGCCGGTTTCGTGAGCGACCACAAAAGCGGAGGAGAAGCCGTCCTCGTGGTTCAGAGTGCAGCTCCTCAGTGGGTGGCACATCCCTGTCACCGGAGCGTAACCTGGGCAACACAAAAGACCACACAGACCTAATAATCAAGAATCAGGGTGAAGGTCGTGACATTTCCGCTGATGATCCAGGAGGAAAATTGTCTCTTCATGTCACATGAATGAACTTTGAGTGCTTTTTATATCCTGTCATTTCACTTACATGAACATTTCAATTTTGTCTTAATATGCTGTCAAAGCATCCCACTCAACTCTTGAGTTGAGTGGGAAAAAACATCGAACTGTCACAACTGATATATGAGTACAGCATGTACTTTTGCCTGATGCAGTGGGCTTTTATTCCATATGCTACAATTAATGAAAGTCATTTAAAAAAAAAGAATAGTAAATACTTTAATCCTTTAATGAATTATACTAAAGCCGACTCTGCATTTTTATAAGAGTATAACAGAACTTTAGCTCTTGACTTTACCTTTTTTTGACAGATGCAATCCTTAGACATTACTTTGCTAAATGATTCAATAAACAACTAGTAATGTTCCTTCTGTTGCTAATTATTGTTGATTTATATGTGCTTATTGTGCAATGGTTGCACTAATGCGATATCGCACTCAAGTATCGTATCGTTATACTGAATAACAGCACAGCCTGCAGCCTGTTGCCCATGGCTGGTGTCCAAGCTGGTACACCTTTTTATCACGGAATATCATCTAATGTTTGTAATGTCGGTAGTAATGCTACGTTCCAGTTGTACTCGGAAGTCGGGATTTCTGAGCTCTGAGTCGGAAATTCATCTTGAATGCGCCCCTGAAGTCGGGTTTCCGACTCGGAAAGTTAGACGATCCTCTCCAACCCCGACTAGATGACAACGTCATATTCCAAGATGGCAGTGCAGTGCATAGACAGTAAAGAGTAACAGGGAAAGCTCTCGTAATGTATTATTTATTAGCACTTCCGTTTTGTTTTTGTGAAATTAAATAAGTGGTGTATGTTGTACTGCCAAACATCTAACTGTGAACACGATGCTATGGTGTTTTTAAGAGTAAAATACTGTGTTTTGCGTTGTTTACGACTGGTACAGCTAACAACGGCTAACAACATCTGACAACCGCTAACAACAACTAACAAGAGCTGACAATAGCTAACAAGAGCTGACAATGGCTAACAAGAGCTGACAATGGCTAACGACCGCTGACAACCGCTAACTGTAGGTGTCCATCTTGGTTTTCCGACTTGTTAACTGGAACGTCGCCAACCCGGGTGTAACGTCATTCCCAAGTAACTGGAATGCAGCATTAGTCTCGTTTAAGACATGGAAGCCCTTGATTGGTTTTGAAGCAAGTCAAGGGATTTTTCTAACAAAGGCAATAAAACTCATTACCTCAGTAGTATAAAAAGTTTTGACAGGATGGTTTCTAAGGGGCTAACGTTGACAGCTTACATACTGTTTATTTCCCAGTTGTACATAAAGACAGACCAACGGAAAACAGCAAGCGCAGAAGCCTGTCAGCCTTACCCAGCAGACATCTGCCCGGCATCAAAACATTTCACACAGTTCACCAAACTTTAAAAGCAAAGCACAAATATTGAAAACAAACAAACACACAAACAAACATTACTCGATCAAGAGGTGTGCAGCGATTCAGCTTAGCGCGTTTCTTTTGGATCAAAAGCACGCTCGTTTCCATTTTGGCGGCTTTCAGATCATTTTCATGCTCTCTGACCATCAGAGGACCTTTTGGCATGCAGGTAAAAAGCAGAAAATGCAGCAGACAGACAGTGATGAAGACATGTACACCAGGTTATTTTGGTGGCGATGAAAAAGGAAAAAACATCTGCAGCAAGTTATTACAGTCATAGCAGTGTTTTTCTCCTGCAGTGTGATAATCAAGGTCGAGTTTAAAGGCTGGTTTGGATCAGAATGAACTATGGTTTTTGCTCATGGATGAACACACACATGGTGTTGCAGGGGACAGTAACACATGAAAGCAGTTGTGTAGCTTCAACCTTTATCTGAAAGACAGATAAAAGGAATTCAAAGAGAATGCAGTTTACATTCCCATGAAGAGGCCGGCGGCAGCTTTGCACATGGAAGCGAAAAAGTGCAGCGGCAGCAGCTAGGGTACAAAAAAAAACAAAAAAACGTTCGACTACTGATGTCATGAGAGAGGAGAGAGGTGGTCTCTGCATGTGGTTGATAAACTCAAACACTAAACATTAAGTGGGAGGAATTTATTGGTGGAGGAAAAGCAGATCAAAAACACTAAACACCATGTAGAGGATGTTGTAGCAGTGCATTTGAGAAAGTGGTGAACTCATGACTCGTAAAAAAAAAAACTTTATATATATCCCATCAGACTAGTTTGTGTCGACACAAAGGAGGACAAGGGGTGACCTTTTGACCCCATTGATACCCAGCTGTTCATATTGGTGATAAAACCTTCTTCCTTCTTTCCTGACAGGTTTAGATTATCTTTATACGCTGACGATCTATCATTATATGTATCAGACTCCTCTTTTCTACAGCTGATTTTGCAGATTCAATAAACAGCCTTCAGCTACATCTTAAGTTAACCACATGCCCTTCAAAATAATCCACCTTCGGGCTTGGTTCCAACAGTTTCCTTCAAGCTCTGTTTACTTAACAGCTACTTCACAACCATGCAAGGATTTATTTCTATTTATCCTCCTGCCCAAAAATCTGTATTTGGATCCAGAACCTTCCACCTCACACCTTAACTTTGACAAGAGAGTGTGATGTCTCCTTGTGACCCTCGACACACAGCACCGGGTCCAACCCCAACACAGTGCAAGGCGCCATAGCAACCGAGACCTTGTTGTGCACACAAAACAACGGCAGCTATGGCAACATCCGGAGGTGTGACGAGCAGACCAGGTAGCCTCGGGTCGTCCTCTAAACATGACACTTAAGCTAAAAAAGTTAAAAATAAACGCAGGTATTGAACTTGTGCACAGAGGATGTTTGTTCTTTCTGCACCAAGTTGCTCCTGCGTTTAGGCTGCTCACTTCAAATTTTGTTTTGAAGGGCTGAAAAGGAGAAATACAGCGTGAGACAAACTCAGAAAAAAACATGTATGGTACAAAACTCCTCCTAGAAATATCATACATGTGTTATTAAGGTTAAAATCGTGTAAAATAGATATTGTTTTATTTAAAAAAAAAAACAACTAGCACACATTTCTGTTTTTTCTCTACATGCCAAAAAAACCTTCTTAAATATTATCAGACTTTACTGTTTTATTTCCAGGGTGGCATCAATGTCAAGTCTGCAAGGTTTTGGAAAGCTCCACATTTAAACCCTCCTCCCGTGAGGCTGCCTCGGGGCAGAATCGGCCTCTGCTTTTTTAAGTTTTCCAATCCACCTTACCTGGGCAAGACTTGAGGCCAACCCCTTTTTGTGAATGGAAGCAGAAATCAGCACTCACTCTGCACAGTCCTCGATCGAGAAAAATACAGTACCTTGCATACCTGCGGGACCAAAATCTTGCCTTGTGAGGAAGATGGCGTGGTCGTGGTACTCGGCGTGGTCGGGGTCGCGGCGCTGCTGCGTGTTCGCCCATCGGCACACCTGCTCCAGGCTGCGGGATGGGTTGCCACGCTCGATCAGGCTTATAGACTGAAGAAATACAAAAGGAGAGGAAGACGGTTATAGAAGAAAGACGGTGAAATGTGATTCAGATTATAGGTTTCTTCTTTTAAGACAAGAGGGTCAGACTGCCAGCCTCGAAGTCGGCATGTACCTTCACTTGAAAAAAAAATAGAATTATACAAGAAACCACACCGCTAATTTAGCCATTGTGAGACTTAATTATTAGGTTCAGAGGATCATGCTGACAGGGAAAGCGAGTAGCTGGCAACAGGAGTCCTTAGACTGCAATCTTTATGGTTTTAACACAGCATGGCAACTCTTACAATTCAGGGGAATCAATTATAATAAAAAAGAAATACTTTTGCAGACGTATATGAATGTTCAGGATCGTGTGTGTCAAACCAAACTCCTTTGCCTTTGTGTGCTTGCCAATGTCAGCAGTGAAGTTCGAGCTGTTTGATAAGTCTTAATGAGGCGTTTTTATAGGGTCATTATAGAACATTAGTGGTTTTTGACTCTTTCAGTCTTTAAACTCTTTTTTCTTTGAAACTCTGTGAAAGCTGACGTGACAGAAGCGTGTTTAATTCGAATCTCAGAAGTCAGTCAGGGATGAGACAGCGTGTTAATCAACAGTGACATCTCTCACAGATGCAGCGCCTGAAGTACAGAGAAATAAAATTCTTTAAAAGGAACCAGCAGAATAATTTGACCTCCTTTTCTGCCTGAGCACTGCTGACACATGCAGCATGTTTGAGCTCATCTAATTAGTGCTGTGTAAACAGCTGCTTTGGCAACAAGACAGAAAAAGCTAAATGCAAACTGCCTGGTCTCCAAGCAACCTAAGGTAGGTATGGAGATAATCCGGCACAGAGGGAGAAATGGACTTGTACCGCCATTGATTTGTTCTGTCACTGTTTGTTTTGTACTCGGTAGGGAACAAAACTGAATTAAAAAACGAAAGCACACATTACGAGATAACGTGTAAGGAAAAACAAACTCTTCCGCACACATAGAGAAAAATACGTGTGAAGGAAACAGATGCTTTTTAATCAGATCACCCGTTACATAAATGACTCATTGCACAGTGGGAATTTTGAAAACTGCATTTCTCCTGCAAAGACATCAAAGGTACCTTGTTGCGTTTATTTTAATACTGATGTCTTCAAATTATGTAAAATAGGGGTCCACCGTTATAGATTTTTCAAGGCTGACACAAATAATCATGGGCAGTGCAGGAGACAAAATCTACACTATGAAGTATTACTAAGTCCAGCATGAGACTTAGTTTAAAAACCTTTCTCAAAAGTTTGATCAAAACTGAAACTTTTAAAAGTAATTACAGTCCGTTTATATAATTCAGGTGTGTAACTTCTAGCCAATCAAATAGTCTTGTGGGCAGGACAAAATGAAAAGTGAAAACAGACCCAGAGGTAGAAAAGCACATCTCATTCACCTTAACATTTCGTAATTTAGCATTGTATATTTGCGTCGTTCCTGGTGTGTAAGGACCTTAACAGTTGACAGGTCTTTGATTTTACTGAGTGCTCTGTCATGGCCAAGTCTTTTTTACAAAGTCTCATTTCTACTTTTGAGCTCAATCTCCTCTTTTTAACCTTGAGCGATAAAAAATTCATGCAAATACTCAATCCTCGGCAGGGGGGGACTAATCAGTATTAGTCCACTGAAAAGGAACATTTTTGGTGGGAGCTGGTCCCACTGGTTCTTCAGAGTTTCAGTTTGCAAAGTCAGAGAGAGAGGAGATGGAGCAGAAAGTATGCTGCCAAGTTTGGGCCCACATTAGTTTTCACTGGTGGGGTGGCATGCATGAAATAATCTGTTTTTTCACCCTGGAGCAATGCTGTCAAAGTGATGATTTCACTTACTTAAATCAGTACTTTATATATGCTTATATGACTCAGCCAAAATAACCCAATTGCATGCATATGAGGGTCAAGTTTCATCTTTCTACTGTAGTTCACATTAAAGGGCAAAGTGTGAAGACATTTAGCAGAACAGATTTTGTAAAATGAATGGAATAAAAATAGAGAAACACGTTCAAATTTGTGCAAATGACCAGGATACAAATGAGACTTTTGTTGCTACAAAGAAAGCAGGTCCTCTTTTAGTGAGGCCATGTTTCTGTTATCACAAACCAGACAAACTGCAAGGGCTCATGAGTTGCTTAAAAAAAAAACATCATCGAATCACAAAAAAGAAAAGAGGAGAGTGGTTGTTGTTGTTGAAAGCAGAACAACTAAGTGTTTCAATCTAAACTCTCCTGTACGTTATATTGAAGAAACTGGACTACAGCAGATCCATTCCTGTCAAATCCAACTGTACTGCACTTAAACACACTTGACAACACTCAGTGAGCTGGCCTCAGAAACACAAATCAATAATTTGGCTTATGAAAAAGTCAATACCACTCCTATATCTTTAGAGGAGATCTTTACTTTGCATAAACACTCGAATCCTGGAAAAAACAGACAGGATACATTTTGTCTGAATCTTTACATTTATTTCTTAAGGTTAATTAAGAGTCAGATATGGAGACGAGCGAAGTTAGTCTTGCTTTTATTCAAAATAAATTAAAGTCAAGCTCTGGTCATAGCAATATAGTTTGCCATTTAGATTTAAATCACCTGTGCAATGTTCAGCAGAGATTAATCTATGTGAGAATACGCTGGTTTATCACCCAGTCTCGCACATTTTTGCCTTGACATTTGAAAACACCATGCGTCAACGCTCACCTGTCTGTACCCGACCATTATCATGCGCACAAGGACGATGTTGATGTTGGTCCCCAAAGACTCGTCGTGGTAGATTTCATCAACCTGAAAAGAAATGAATAGTGCGTTTCAGTCAATCTAATCGAATAAAAAAGGGAGATGCACTTGATGAGAGTGATGGAAAAGATGTTTTTTTATATTGAGACTGCAGAGAAAAAATATATAATTCATCCTCAAGGCAGAACGGTGATACAAGGAAAAGAACGGTTCAAGTCCAAAAACTTAAGATCGCACTTTTTTTTTTTTTCCCAGTGGAATAGAACATTTCTTGACTTTACAAAAGTTTCTATCATTACCAAGGATGCAGTACGTGTACTTCATGACAAAAAGGACACCTGAAAGAAGATGCATAATGGCCGCTCTTACTTTATAAACCACTAGTCCCCATTTTGTAAAAGACATACAAAGATAAGTGCTTTGTTTTCACAGCTACATCAGACTGTACATAGAGTGCTCATGTTTCCCACACCAGTGAGCATGTGATGCTTTACAACAAGGTGATTTACAGAAGAGAGGACATCTATGGAGGGCCTGAATAGTACTAACACTTGTTTCCGGTTTTCAAGAGGAGATGGACAGCACTTGAAACTGCTTGAGCCTCTGGGAGCTTAACAGCTCATACTGGCTTTCATTTTCTTCACTCCTTAACTCGATCTTCAATCAACTGATTTATGTAGGGAAGTGTTTGTGGAAAGGAAAAACCCTTTATGGTGCGTGTTTGCATCCTGTTTCCCCCTCAAACATCTGAACTCAGAGAAAAGAGGGTCCAAAAAATATCTGGGAGTTTCTTTAAATCTTTACAACAAGCAGTGAAAAACGACGAAACACGTTATGTTATGTACTGCTGAAAGGTGGATGCTGAACCTAAAGTCAAGCTTGAATCCAACACAAATCCTAAGTCCTATTTCAATTTGTGTTCAGTTTTCATTATATTGTTGCTCCTTATATTTTGCCCTTTCTCCCCAAAGACACCAAAGTAAACAAGTTTTTTGAAATAACTTTCTCCATCAATCACATGTCCATCAATGTTTCACTCTTGCTCAGTAAACATGAAGACATTCACCCTCAAGAAGCAGCCTCACATTTCTCCATGTGACTTCTGAGCGTGATACTGACAGGAGACGTATTGCTTTCTGATTTCCTTCAGGGATGATGATGGGTTGATGATGATGCATGACGCATGAATCTGAATTAATTTTCCAGAGACAGCTGCGCATAATTGATCGTGTTGAACGGAACAGCGCCTTCTTGAAACCTCTTGTTAGAGGGAAAGTCAACAAAAAATGCCACATTTTCTCGCTGAGAGTTGTCCTTTTAATTAATCTGGCAGAATATGTTTTATTCACAGATGGAATATTGCAACAGTTTGGAGAAGTGGGACTATTTTGGCAAAAACCTCAGTCTTAAAAGTTAAAAGAGCTGTGGTTAACATGGGGTGAGAAATCAAAACTATTGGTTGATGAATCAATGTTCAGAAGTCCGATGATGGCAGTCACAATATAAGAAATGCCGACTCAGCCTAACTTAAGTGGAAAGAGGTGGAGCTTTTGAAAACAGCTACAACACACTACTATGACTAAGCTGCTCCTATAAAAATGCTTATATAAATCTTCACCTTAAGATATACATAACCATAATAACCACAATTAAAAAAATCGTCACAGTTTTGGAAACAGGATTAAAAGGTTCATAGTGGAGGTTTTAAAACTGCTTGATGGGGTTTCCTTGGCTTTTGGAGCAAGCCCCAAGTGGACACTTGAAGAACTGCAGTCTTCCACCACCACATAGCTTTAATTTTTCAAAATCAAAAGTTGTGGGGTGAAACCAACATGACAGCTCCACCAAAAAGAGGCTGAAATAGGTAAGTGAGACCCCTCGATGATTGGGGACAGAATAGATTGCCTCTTTCATATAGAAGCTCCACTAAGGAGTTTGTTGACTGAAATTCATATTCATTTCTTTTTTCAATTTTTTTTTTTTTTAACAAAAGGAAAGAAGACCATCTGTGACGAAGACTTTACAGTCAAAACACAAGTTATATTTTTCAGGCCTGTTTTCCCACCAGTGTAAATTTTCATCATGCTGATTTGTGCCGAATTGTTCATTTGCATAAGAGGTTAAGTTTTGTTTATTTTATTAATACAATTAAAATGAAGTAAGATTCCATGATTGACAGCTCTGTTTACAATTGCAGTGCAGTGTGCACCAGATTAGCAGGGAAGAGAAGGAACAGTGACAGAAATGCAGCAAACACAACGACAGGAGACTCTGTACTTTCCATAAACATGAGCATCTGCTTCAGGCTTAACACAAGATGACATCCTGCTGTTGACTGTACTAAGAGAGTATGTTAGAAATGTGTTTGAAAGAGAGGCAGCTTGTTTAAACTGTGCAGATGGTGGCTTAAAACATCATCACCAGCATAAAATGTCAGCGGTTATCTAATGCACAGTTTTGCATAAGGAGGTGGAAACGATTTTAAACGTTGTTATAAATTTGAAATATATCTCCACCTGTCAGTATCTGTCATGTGAATCTATTATTTCTGAGTTTCTTGTTTTTATTTTGTTAACCCATGTCTCTCATCTCTTTCAGTTCCTGTTGTGCTGCCTCCCTCACCGTTGATCACCGGTTACCTCCCTAATGTGTTGCACCTGTGTCTTGTTAGCCTCACTCCCCTTCCCTTCTTAAACCCTGGTGTTCCCTCATTTCCCTGCCAGATTATCGCTTCCCCTGGTTGATATATCCAGCCTTTTCTCCTGTTAGTTTCCTCATGTTTTGACCCAGTATTCTGATCTCGTTCTTGACTTTGCCTGCCGGACCTGTACCTCCGCTCTCGCTGACTGATCCTTTGCGTACGGAAAAAAGACTCTTGAGACTGTCTCTGACCAACACAAGATGCACATTTCAAATATCTAATTAAATCCATTTGAAATATATCTCTAAACTTTTCCCTGTGAAATTAAGAAGCAATAAACTTATTCATTTATTTAAAGAAAAATGCATAATTATGTTTGCTGCAGGCTGACCAAATAAAAAAAAATGAGAGCACCACATTTCCAGTGTAAAATCAACACAGTAAAATTGAAACTCTTAAAAAAAAAGTCTCATTTTCTCACACTAGAGGCGTTTAATTACTTCACAAATGAACTCGATGTTCAACAAATCTGCCGAGAGCTAAAACTAACCGCTGCTCTGTTACTCCCCTTTTTCCTTGATCTCCCACACGCTCAACAACACGCAACACTGATCCACTAAAGGTCATGGATTAATTGGCGTCTCCGGACACAGATAATACACAAAAGCCCTGGAGTGAAGGTCGATGCTGCTGTTAACGCTGCAGTTGTACCTACGAGTGTTGCTCGGCTTGATTAAAAAAAAAAAATCTTCATTCCTACACAGCAGCTCATTATTTCTGCTCTCCTAAAGAAAACTAAATGAAAGAGCTGAGGATCTTTATTTAGATGTTCTCGGCTGTTCTCAAAGTCCTCTGTCAGATAAAAGACACTGAAATACACAAGAGGCTTACTAACATATTTTATTTTTTATCTATTTATTTATTATTTTTATTTAAAGTTTATTTAAAGTTTATTACTAGCATATTTTTTTATTTTAAAGTTTTATTTTATTATTAATTTAAAAAATAAATAAATAAAATTATATGAAAGACATTGAAATACACAAGAGGCTTACTAACATATTTTATTTCTTATCTATTTATTTATTTATTTTTACTTAAAGTTTAAAGTTTATTTCTAGCATATATTTTTTTATTTTAAAGTTTTATTTTAGTATTTATTAAAACAAAAAATAAATAAAATCATATGAAAGACATTGAAATACACAAGAGGCTTACTCACATATCATCTGTTTTTAAAGAAATTAAAGTATGTACTATTTGTTTCATCATCCTGAGACATTATTTCCTCATTAAAACAACTGTCTTTGTTGCTTTTATTTTGACAATTTTAACTGTCTTTTGTTTGAAATGCTTTTATTTTGAAATTTGAAACTATAGGCTTCAGGGCAGTGGTTCTCAATCCAGTCCTCGAGCCCCCACTGTCCTGCATGTCTTGGATGTTTCCCTGCTCCAACACACCTGAATCAAATGATCAGCTCGTTATCAAGCTCTGTAATAACGAGCTAATCATTTGAATCAGGTGTGTTGGAGCAGGAGAGTTTTCGGGTCGGATCGAGCGTCTTTTACACAATTCTTCCTCAGTAAGTCCACATGACACACACTCGAAACTTCCATACGAAACCCTGGACATTTGAAGGATTTTATAAACTCCCCCCGGACAAAGCCGGACAAGACAGTCCCCCAAAAAGAGGACATGTCCAGGTAAAAGAGGACGTATGGTCACCCTACATTAGCATCCAAACAGAGGCACAAGCTCTGATGTTGTCTTTGGATCTAAAATAAACCCCTAAACATCAGTTTGAAAAGTCTCTGCCAGGTGGCAAACAGCGTAGAGAACCGCTACTGCCCCCTAACATGAACCAAACTTATATGGTATTGCGGTATACTTGGTTTAAGCACAATATCAGTGGTTCACATTTCATGGAGTAATGGGTTAGTTTAGCGGTTGAAGCACAAGCCCCATACATAGAGAGGTTATAGTCTCCAGTCTAGCACTCATGGGTTTGACTTTGACGCATAACACACCCCACTCTCACCTCTCTACATTTCCTGCATTAGATGTTTAACAAAAATGAATTCTGAGCTCCTGATGGGTAAATAAATCAGTGTCTGTCTTTTAGCAGTCAGGTAAATCATTCAGAAGTCATCTCCAAAAGCCCAAACCCTGCAAGCTGATCGTGATGCAGAGACCTTCAGGGAAAGTCACACCCAGGCCTCCTCATTAATCTAAACCTGAGGAATGTCTTGTCTCTTTCAGGCTTTTCCTGTTTCTGTCTTTGAGCGGGATAATAAAATACAGACACTTCCACGAGATTCACTGAGCTTCCCTTTGCTCAAAAAACAAACAAGCGTGTATGTGCGTATGTGTCACTCAGCCTTCTCGGGCCAGAAATTATGACCGTGCAGAACAAAAGCTCTGTCAATGAAGAAAGCCTTTCTTGGCTTCAGTCCAAATTTGCTCGAGGACGCAGGGTTACACCCAGGGTATTTAAGCAAATATTCCATTCACAGAAGCCTATTCAGGTCAATAAATGCTGTAAAGAGCACCAGAGTGACCCCAGATTCTCCCAGATTTGTTACAAGCTCAAATTCCTCAGCCGGCCTATAATGACCCATATACGTGTGCTTATGTTGGACCTGACTTGGAGAAGCTGCTGAAAATGAGGACGGCATCAAAAACTAACATCATAAAAGTTATATGACAACTTTTGTGTGCGCTGAGCTTGTATATTTTTTCCTGACAGGGATCAGGTCTTTGCTCTAGACCTGTTTTTGAAGCATTTCGGTGAGTCCTGCTGTGGGACGGGCTAACCTCACATAGGCTGGGATAATTGAAACGCCAGAAACGGCACACACTCTCACACACTCTCACACATGGAGCTGGAATGGGCTTCAAAATGAGAGTAGCAGCTGTGAGCTACAGGCCCTAGGTGTCCCTGGCTCGTGCGCAGCATCGCATCGACGTGGACACAAAAACCTGGTCGAACAACACGCCTATTGTGCGGCAGGCAGCGCAGCAGTCACCTTGGCTTCACGCAGACTGGATGTTCAGTAATCAATCCCTCAGGGAGAGTTTCTCCAGGTGGTACTACACATTCTGCAGCCACGGAGCAGGGATTCAGAGGGATTTGAATGGGCAGAGCTCTTTCAGACACAGCAAGCCTGAGGCTTACTTGTGGAACTAAACACTTAAGACCCTCGTTTGTTCAAACTTTGCCACATTTCTCTTGTCTGGGTCCACTCAAAGAGATGAGAAATACGATTTCTTCCCCCAAGAACTTCAACTTCTTATTCCACTTTTAGATTCGGGTAATTATATCCACATATTGAATTCCTCTGCCAGATTTGAACAACTTAAGTGCTCACTGAAGAGCCCTTGACATTGATGATGGACAATTACAGAGCCAGCTCTCACAGCCACTCAAGCACAGTCAGTTCAAGTTGTCAAAAAAAACAGACATTTTTCCCTCCCAAAGACAGTTTTCGATAGATTGTAAATCGAATATTCTTATTAAACAAATATGTCAAAAACCATGTCAGAGGGGTTTGAGTGAGCCTGGTGCTGGTTTCCACGCCGGACCAATACAGCTCCCACTCCGTTTTCTAATTGGTCTAGTGCAGCTAATCAGACCACCATGCAGGGTCCAAATGGTAACTGTTACAGAGTGAAACCAGCACCCTGTGAAAATCTGACTTGGGGGATTTGGGTCCAGTAAGCAGATTATGGTGGTAGGAGCTGGTGGAACCCGTAATGAATTAGCTGAGAGTTTCTTTTTCCTCTCATCTGGTAATCCATAAACAGCCAGAGACAGCGAGGGTCTGGGGACAAGTGTGGTGGACCAAGGGGAAAAATGTCTTTACAGGTCAGATTCACTCTGTGGTACTGACATCTTAAACCCACATTTCTATATTTTATTGACATTTTTAAATCCATACAGTAACAACGGATGGTGAGAAGTCATGTAGAGTCCACTATGAGCAGGGAGAGAGTGGAAAACATGCCTCATCAGACTCTGATAACAGAGTATATAACTATCTTTTGAAATAAACTAACATCTGCAACATGCCACCTCAAATTGTTTACTATCTGCAGACTTTTAAAAAGCAATTCTATGATATTCAAAGCAAACAACTGATCCTCTAACAGCTAAAGACAGTGGAAGTCTGATGAAAAGTGTGGTAATATCTAATCCAAGAGAGGAAATGGTAAAAATGTAATCTTGGGTCAACTAATTGTAATAAATGCAAACTGTGGCAGCAGGAAAGGCCAATTTCAGACGTCATCAGTGATTTGAACACACTATAAAACTTGTTTAAAAATCAACATCTTATGATGTCTTGATGTCCTAAAAGCACAAAATAACCCTCATATTGAAACTTGCTTGCAGCCATGGACATTCAAAGTTAATTGTGTCATAAGTTGTGCATATTTTTAAAGTCCACTTACTATGTTCATAAGCGTGAGGACATAATTCTGCACGTGCTCCTTGCCGTGGAAGCGCACCACAGAGTCGTCCACAGCCAGCAGCACCTCGATATTGTAGTCGTCCTTCTTGGCGTGCCTCCTCTTGCGCTCAGACTCAGACAGCTTCTGTTCGACGAGATCCAGAGACGCAGGGAGGCTCGCGATCCCAAAGTCTGCGACTGCAAAAAAAAAATAACAAACAGCAAATGAGAAATAGGAGTCAAGGCTTTTTCCTCTCTTCTTATTTCCGGTATGTGATAGATAACAGAGTCAACTTGACACAAATATATTCAGATATGCACAGGAACACTTCTTTGGGATTATTGGACCAACAAGTTGTTTAGATACTGTTTTTTTTCCTGTTCAGTACTGATTCTGAAGCCTCGTTTTGTGTAATGGCAGATTCTGGATGCTCTAATTCCAGTGAAATGAAAATGTGAATATTTTCAGCAACATTGATTACACTCTGTGCTTACTCCAAGCTGTTATGTCTTACTGACACACCATGATTTGCCTGACTCCAGTTAAATTTGGGAGTGTTTGGCTGTGTATCAGATTGGTGCAGCAGCTGACACTTGGCAACTTCAGACTATTTTGGATGCAGATAGTGCAACTAGGGATAGAAATCAAGAACAGATGAGAACCAGTTCCAACTACTAATGCACCATTTGCCTTAATGCACAAGAATTCTCCCTTTTGTGTGTCTTACACTTTGCAAGTGCAAAACATGCATTGTGCAAGGAAGTCAGTGCAAATGACAGTGGACAGGAGAGGTCCAACAACTGTTTTATGCAATGTGTTATTGTTCTTCTAATATCAGCCCTAAAAATAGAACAGAACAATGTATCAAATTACTATAAAATCCACTATCTTTGTGAGACCGGCAACTTTCTGGTGATAAACTCTGTGTGTTTCTGCCACATCAGAGCATTGTCCAAACCAACTTCAATTACATAGGGTCATGTCCGTGGACAAAATTTTGATTTCAAAGGTGGGGGGGATTCAAACATCGATGTTTAGCTCAGATTTCTTTACATATAGCCTAGCAAACAGCCCATCTCACACACACAGTAACGGAGGAGGCAATATGGCCAGCATGATAGTATAAACCCGATACAGGGATGTAAATAAAACCTCCAATTAATGTCAAAATGAACGCCACCCTCCTGTAAACTTACATTGGCAAATAGTGAATGAGCGAATAGCGATATTCACGGACTGACTCTTACAAGCAACTTGCAATACAGTCGTCTGGCCGGCATTAAATGACTGACAGCAGGGATAGCCAATCACCCACAAAAAGCGGCCCCGCGACAGAGCCATTCAAGGATCTTGTGGGCGGTCCAAACCGAGGGAAACCAGTTTCCGGCTTAAGCTGCCGTTTGGACCTAGTGCCTGACACGTATTGGTTTGCTATAGCGTAAAGTAACATTGCTTTCAGACCGTTAAAACTGCAGGGGACCAAAATGTGCAAATTGATAAAGGTGAAACTAAAGAACTGGATCAATATGCAGAATTGATTATGGTATTTGTATTAATCAAATCTTATCACTTTTAATCCATAAGTGAAACACTTCTTGGTATTAAAACAACTTTTACTTCAATCTTGATTTCTAGCCAAAATACTTCCTTTAGAGAGTTGTTTTTCAGGTTCTAAGAGTTAGAAGAGCATTTCTACTTCACTTTTGCTCTGACTTGTGTGTGCGCATCGAAAGATCCTTGAGGAGTTGTACCAACTTCACAAAACATCCCCTCCTGTCATTACGCCTTTAAGCTGTTTCTTGTTAATGTGAAGCTCTTCTTAAGTTAAGTTTGAAGGCTTTCTGAAGCCATCAGGGTTAAAACACTCCATGAAGGACAAAACGTGCACATTTGGATTTTACAAAAGCAGCAGACACCGTGTGATTAAATACATGCAACAAAATGAAATAAGTCAGAGCTCAAAAAGAAGAAGGGTTAAGCACAAGTTCGAAGAATCGTTCAATAGGCAGAGAGCTGAATTGTTAAAGTGGGAGAAAAAGCTCAGAGGCAGTAAAGAGAAAGTTTTCAAAGAGAGGATAACCCTGACTGAACCGATCAAGAGTAGACAAAACTCGTTTTTGTAATCTGCATCTACACATGAAATAAAACAGACATGTTACTGGGACACTTTTCAAGTACGCACCAATTGTTTTTCAAACAGCAGTTCATCAAAAGTTTCAGGCTTTGAGCTGACATAACCAATAAACCAATAAACAGACCAATAGAGGGGATGAAGCTCTTAAATCTGCAAAAGACTCCACATGATTTCATATTGGAGATTCAATTTAATTCTATTGTTGGTTGAGTTGACTTTCAAAGGCACAGCGTAGGAAAAAAAAGGCATTTCTGAAGGACAAATCATTCGAGTTAAATTGAAAACTAGATCGATGATAGGGTTCAACAATTACTGAATCTTTTTAAATAAGCAGTTATCGAAATAATTATTCAGTGTCATTCAGTTGTAAAAGACGATTTCACTTCTCAAAATTCATTTCAGTTTCTGCTTGCTCTTGTGGAAAACACACAAAACCTGGCTGCTAATCTAACATCACAGAGCTGCATTGACAAAATGAAGTAGATAAGCAAGAAACAGATTTTTCACTCGAGACGTCAGCCGTTGTTTAAGTGAGAGAGAAATGAGACAGGAATGCAGGATAGAGATTGGTTGTTTGTCAGCTAAAGTGACCCGCCCAACCACCACCACCACCACCAACAACTCCTCACTGAGACCTCAGAACTACCAGTAAGACTCACTCTACCAAATGCTTTAGAAAACACTGGTTCTGCTGTTCATTCCCCAAGGTGAATTGGTCTGATGACGCCAGGCTAGTATTTATTCATTCATAATAATGACTCTTCTCGTGGCTCTGTTTTTGGTCTCCACCCCCTCTTGGGTAAAATATGTGGTCGGGTTAGTGTTTAAATTGAGCAACAGCAGGCGACTTGGGTTCAATTCCAACCAACGGCCCTCTACTGCATGTCGCTTCCCAGTTTCCAGGTCTGTCCACTGATGTATCTTCAAAATAAAAGCATTAAAAGCCTAAAGTGAACTAAAAATAAGTGGTTCCTCTGTCATTTTCAGTCTGTTTTATACACCAGTTTTATACATATCTGTCTGATATAACCAGTGTAAACAAAGTCCATGTGCCTACTCCAACCACAGATAAGGTTAGGATGCTAAAAGTGAGAGTAAACTAAAGAAAAGTAAAACAGAACACGGAGCTGAAAGATACTTAAGTGCTGCTTCGACTTTTAGGTGACAGCACAGTTGCATAAGTGGCCTTTAAATACAGTAAATAGTCCCTTTTTTAATGTTAAAATGAAAAATTAAACATAGAGAAATGCAGTGCTTTTTGGTATGCCGATAGAAGTAGAGGTTGTTATACCAAAAAGACTGGAAATCATTGGATGTCTGAAAAGCAGACAAAAGAATAGAAGTCTAGGTTACAATTAAACTCCACTTCATAGAGATTCAGTCATAATAAAAGGACCACATGACATGAAGCCACGTCATCATTCCAATTCAGATTTTTTCCCTGGTCTTCTCTTCGCCAAATGCACTTCAGTCCATTTCATGTGTTGGTGACCTGAGTTGAGTTTTCTTTAAATAGTTCCTGCAACTTTGAACCTCCAGTGCACAAACACATCTGCCCTAACTCACATGTGCACACCCACATGCTCACATGCAGCCCAAACACACACACAGTGCTTTTTGTTTCCACTGACGTCAAGCTGCTACTCCTCGCCTACCTTCATTGTGGAGGTCCTCTCTCCTCTGGCCCGACTCCCGCTTGATGGCCGACCTGCGGTAGACCACATGTACACGCCCCTTCACTTCCACATCCTGCTGACCTTTCTCCAGGGGCTCGATGAAAAACTCTCCATTATCAGTCCGGATCAGACCTGCCTGGAAAAAAAAAAAAGAGGGCTTCAATTAGCGCACCCCCTCCTCCTGTAAAGGGCCGGTAATTCCACTGCAGGCAGTAATTATAGTGTGCCTGATCAATTGGAAGATTTTTGAGAAGGGTTTGGTATGGAGAATGACGCAGGTAGACACAATTTGGGGCCCTTCAATTCCTTCACTAAGATTTATAGTGTGTCCACATGATTTTACCCTGAGTGAGATGATTAGAAGCAACGTCTGCCATATGTTTCCATCTCCTTTATGTTGTTAAAAGAATCTAAAAAACCTTTGCTCCACCGCTTTCAAGCAGAAAATCAGGGGAAGCTACAAAACCAGAGTATAAACTCCACAGTTCTAACAATGTTACTGCAAAAGTGTGGTGCAATATATAGAAAATTTACATTTAATTTTCACATGCTTTTCTTTTTTGCTTTTAGTCACCATAATTTAAAGTTTCTTCCTCAGAGATTTGTGATACTTTCTCTGGTTTCTGTGATGGCAAAGAGATTCCCCGCCAGCTTAAATATCTTTTTTTTTTTTCATCTGATGTAACACATATCTTTAAGCTTCAGTAAACAAAAGAGTGTCCTTGTTTAACACCCAGCTGGACTCATGCTTGGATGCCTGCATAATAACCATCTGCATTTTCCAAAGCTTTACTTCTCAATATCTGGCAACCCGTAAATCAGAGTTGACACTTGGGCTTGTTCCGACTGCAGTTTAGTTTCCCGAAACAGATCTTAAGACATACGATCTGCATTGTTACTTTGAGTGATCAGACTTGTTTTGTATGTTCTGTCATCCTGAGGTTTGTTTTATAACAAGGTGAGCTGCAGTTACAGCAAATGTTGGTAATGCAGCTTTCAAAAACAAAACACCTGAGAAATGGAGATTAATAAATTAAAAGTTTCCCTGTTAAGTTTCTCCTTTAAAGGGATATTAAGGCGTAAAGTTAATTTAGGGTCGAACACACCGTAACACAGAGTTAGACACCCTGTCGAGAGATGAATGTCGGCGACCACTTGCTTCTCTAGTTTATACCAACTTTAGTAACGACCGCACGATAGCAATACACAGCGGTCTGAGGAGCCATAAACAAACCTCAACCAAAACGCCACTCTATAGCCACAAATAATGCTCAGAACAGCACCTAACTTCATCAACAGTACATAGAGGGTCTCAGCCATAGCACTAGCCACCAAACATCTTTTTAACTTTGCCCGATTTCTCTAGCAAAGAGACTAAACACAACTCACCTTCTCTCTTCCAGCAGCTGCTTGTTTTAGCGAGACCTCAGATGAGTCCATTACGGACTGCTGCGGGGGTGACACAGCTCAAGGAGGAACGTTTATGATCATTTCTTTAACATTTCCTTGAAGTAATAATCATCATAATAATCATTTTGCACTGCAGACGCAGTAGTTCTTTCGCCTTCATGTCTCGGTCTGATTGCATTGCCATGAAGAAATGATCATAAATGTTCTTCCTTGAACTGCGTCACCCCACCACAGTCCATAATGGACTGGCCTGAGGTCTCGCTACAAACAAGCAGCTGCTGGAAGAGAGTAGGTGAGTTGTGTTTGGTCTCTTTGCTAAAGAAATTAGGTAAAGTTAAAAAGATCGGTGGTTAGTGCTGTGGCTGGGACCCTATATGTACTGTTGATGAAGTTAGATGCTGCTCTGAGCTTTATCTGTGGCTATAGAGTGGCTTTTTGGTTGAGGTTTGTTTATGGCTCCTCAGACCGCTGTGTATTGCTATCCTGCAGTCGTTACAGCAGCTCTGATACACTTGTTTGAGCCAAAGAACAGAGGCCAACTCGCTAACGACTACACAGCAGGTTTTGATCTGATTTCAAACAAAAATAAAATAATAATTTTGTTGCCCAGACTTTTAAAATATCTGGTTACAATTTAGATCAACCAAAATAGAAATCTAGGTTAACAGCTTGAACAAGGCCCAAGAAATACATATAATATCACACCCCAGAGCAACCTGGAGTCACATATAAACATGTGACCCGTACATAAACACAAAAAAGGAAAATCTGTCCTGACACTAAGAAAGTTCACATCTTTATCTTTTATTTTTTTAAATCCTTTTATTCAAGTTTTGGAGCTGATGATGGACCCTGTTCAGGACAATCTGTTCATGTCCATCCAGAGGACATTGTTTCCTCATGTTTCCTGTCACACCATGAGCAATGTCAAACAAAGCTCGCATCTAAGGAACCAAACTAGATCTGAATCTGTCTTCCTATGAAGTTCAATGAGCCGAGCTGCATTTTCCAACAATCCTGGAGAGAACAAGTCATTCTTGTATCCTTGGTTAAAGAAATCTATTCAGTCTGTAATTTTGCAAAGCGGGTGCATCAACATGACTCTGGGAAGAACTGTTTGTGTTTCCCGCAGCAAAAATAAGTCTAAAAACAGTGCAGCCCAGAATTCGTTGAACTTTTATAAAAAGAAACCCTCTCAAATCCTTCCAGCGCTGACACTCGAGGCTAACAACACAGAGGCTGTGAAGTGAAGGCTTGACTTGTGACAGCAAGAGCAAAGAGGAGTGAAAGAATCTGTCCAGCCCCTGACCAGGAAATGCCAAGTAAGACATGCTCGAATACTTCCTCTGTGGTCTCTTATTTCAGCGGGGAGAGGAAAGTGAAGCCGGCTCTGTATGTGTGTGAGAGAGAGAGAGAAAGAGAAAGAAAGAGAGAAAGAAAGAGAGAGAGAGAGAGAGAGACAGCATCTGGAAGGGCCTACTGAGGAACCAAATGTAAACATGTGCACACTGCATGGGGAATTCTGGGAGGGGGAAAGGTGGCAGTTTGCTGTCAGGAGTCAAGAGGGGACATAAAGCTATTGGTTTTTTTTTTTTTAAAGCCTTTATTTTAGTTCAGTCCACAAATGTCTAAAAAGCAGTTTACTTGTTTCTAAACCTGAAATTTTTCTTGACACAAATGATAGTTGATTATTTTGAAAAGGATTATGTCTTTCCTGAGATAACTATCGCTGTGCACTGAATATCTGTCACTCAGACAAAATAAGTAGCTAGATTTTGGCACATAGAGCTCGCCATTTAAAATGTTACACAGTTAGGAATCAAAATGCAGAGGTGACCAAAAACATGTAACCAAAGCTGTTTTTCCAGCCCTGTGTGGCGCTTACTAACCTTAACAAGCCCCACCAATCAAATACTTCAGCCCAGCTTGCTCAAGTGTGTTTGTAGAATCTGAAGCAAAACCCAGAGATGAGGACCTCCAAGTCATTTCAGGACAAAGCACATCTTAGTCATGCTCCTGGGAAGGTAATGTTAGAGTTTAGAAGGTCCACCAAAATAGTAAAACATCTCCACAGCTTTACAGGATGAATTTACATGAAATATTTCACATCCATTCACCACTCAGGGTGATTTGTATGTGCATATATCTGCATTTATAGAAGAATTCCTTCAAAATTGACGACATAACCAGCAGTTTTAGCTTCACTTAGACCGAGATTCCTATCAGCAATTAATCAGATGGTGAATAATGATGAGGACATTCCTTTTATAGACTGGGTCATTATGAGCTTCTAAACGGATGTTAGCTCTCAGGTTGAAGGTGATGTGTTTATTCAAGTTGACGAGTCATGGCTGTAGAAACCCTTTAAGAGAACTCTCTTCACAGCTAATCGCACTTGCTTTTTTCCACCAGGAAGATTAAATATCATATCTGGGTCTCATCTTTACTGTATAATAAGATGGGCAGCATAATAGCTCCCTAAAAGTGAAGCCAAAACTTAAAGAGCTCCCCCTACTGACTGGCTGTAGTATAGTTTATAAAGCTTTTATTGGCCCGATTAATCTGAATCTGTTTTATCTTTGCAGTTTTATTTAAGTTGAATGCGTATTTACCGTTAGTTGAGGTCACACCAATATTGTGTCATGCACTAAAGCAATCTGGCTAGTTGAACCCTTTAACTGAATAGAGCTGCATGTAAGAACAAATCACATACTGCCAACGCTTGGTTAACCATTTTATGTACTTTCTAGATACAGGAGGTAACAGACTGGGCGCTCCATCAGCTCTCTGGTACTGGACAGACACACAAGGTTCACGGTTTTAAAGTTCAATATTCCAGTTCTGCAGCTGGGGTGTGTTGCTTTCACTCAGCTGGCTGCACAATTTCTTTCTTACCCCTACAGAGAAAAACCCAAGAAGCCAAAAGGAGTGGGTGGGTGTTTCAAAAAGGAAAAGTGAAATACAGCAAAACCTTAAGCTCACCATTGCACCAAATTCCACACGTTGGTAAGAGCAACTCTGGAGGCGGATATTTACTGTATGTAATTCAGGGTGACTTTTTTCAGCTCAGTTCAGCACAAACACAGAGACAAGGAACAGTGAAAATCACATCACTGCTGGAAACTTAAGTTTTAATCTATTAAGGGTTTGTGCTCATGTTGAGTCAATTACTGATTAAACCCTGATTAGTTGGCACAAGAATTACTAAAAAGAAACTGTTATTTTTATTTTAGGCTTTAACTGACAGTCATAATTTTGTCCAAGCCAGCAACACTTGCCACTGCATTAAGGCATTAAAGCCATAATGCTCTACTCCCACAATCTACATCCACTGTATTTGAATGTAGGAAATTAATAGAGTTGTTTGGAGGTGGTGCCTGGTTAAAGTGCTATACAACCACTTTACAAAAGCAATACATAACCAGCAAAGGCATGTGGGTGTGAATCCTGCAAGGAGGACTGAGAGCTGGTGGCACCATCAATGCTAACAATAGCCTCACTCGCCAACCAACTTGTTGTCCTTTACTCACAGACTCCATGATCCTGCGGTTAGTCCTGTTCAATAGACGGTGCTTATTTTGACTCTTTTAGTGGGAATTTAAATTTAGATTTGAACAACTTGGAAAATAATCGCCTCAGGAAATACTGATTGTAAATCAAATCCTATCTCACATTTGATCCTCGAAACTTTCTCTAATTAGGTATAGCAGCCCTTATATTTCCTAAGAGGCAAGAAACTTGACAAAAATGATCCAAAATAACTTGCAGTGTCTGGTATTAGAGACTGTATGCTTGTTTCTTAGGCAGCTCAGATTAATTAGTCAGATTCTCAATTCACAAATTGACAATTTTTAGTAATTTTAAATGACGCTGCCCAAGAAGAAAATCCTAAGAGTGTGGGGGGCATCATTAAAGCTCCGTGGTGTTTTTGTTTGACCCACTGAGGCAAACCGAAGGCTATATTTGTTAAGCCACTACCATGACTCAGAGATGGAGCAGCTGCTACAAGCTACAGATGTTTGAGCTGCAACGTGCAAGAAAATCAAAGTCCGGGCTTCATTCCAGGGGCTTGACCTACAATTTGTGGCACATTGATTAAAAAACAAAGCACATGGTCCCAGGCATGTTCTTTGTTGAGCCGTACACAAGAGATGTAGACTAAAAGGTCAAAAGAGGTTACCTACTGGTGTTCATTTTACATTACAAATTAACTCTCTGCCTGAGAAAATCGTCATCTTTGGCACGACAGGATCAGTTAAGAGTGTTTCGAGCAGCCACGGACATGTTGGTGGTGCTGAAGTAGAGCTTTTGTGGTAACACCAGGCAGATCGATAAGCCGGGGGAGTAAATCATAGCTGAGTGGTGCTAGACTCAGCAGAGTCGCAGGCTGGGAATAATCGTATGTGACAGCTTGTGGTAGTGGGAGATTACCACCTGATTCCTTTTTATCAGCTTTCGCATCTTACGGTGCCTGGGCCACAAAGGTCAGGCGCGGCTGGTGATCAGGACGAGAATTAATAAGATTGGACTTATTAAAATGCTTTTACCTGCACTTGAGAAATATCAAAGAAGAAAGAATTAATTAGGATTTATCTCCCAGCAAGATCAGTTCTTTCGTGTTTAGGTAACTGTTATTAGGTAACCCAACACATACTATTATTAACAGCAGCAGAAGTAGCTGAAGGTGTAATATCAGCAGACAGAGTTGTTGAGAAAAGAAGATGAAATGTTGAGATGTTGAGATGAAAGAAGATGATTGGGAGAAGAGAGACGTTACAGACAAAGAAAGCAGAGGACAAAGAGAAATGAAGAATGTTTACATGCAGTTAAGTCAAGCTAGAGTCGAAGTGGGTGATTTAACCAATCTACTGTCCTTGAGCAGTGATCTGTTGACTAAAGAAAGCTCTACATTACATACGTCACATAACAAAGCAACCATCAACATCATGAGAGGTAACCAGGTTGTACGTCAAATGGCGAAAACATCATGGCGAGTCTTTTGTGTGCAGAATACAACAGCTGTAACTATTTTTATATCCTTTCTTCTATTGTCGTGTGCACATGCAAGAGAAAATGGATCCCCGACTGTATTGTCTGGGTATGTTGGTCCAAAAAATCTGAGTCCATTAAACAAAATGTAAGAGTACTGAATGAAGTGGAAGAGAAATACAAAAGAGAAAATAAGATTTAGAAGTACCGGGAGGTGAGAGGGACACAAATACGATGATCAAAAAGGAAGAAGATGAAGCAGAAGATAAAGACGAAGAGAAGGTGGAGACCAAAACGGGACAAAAAGAAAGAGAAAGAGGGTGAGAAGAAAAAAGCAGCAGAGGAAAAAAAAAAAGTAGGAGTGATGAAGAGAAAGTATGGCTTCCAGTTGTAATAATGTTAACACATCGCCATGGTATGGAAAGTAGAAATAGTGAGAAGAGTCACAGATGTAGTAGAGTGGTTGTAATACTTCAACGGCAGAAGAAGACTTTGGGAAAAGTAGTGTACGTGATGAGAGGAGGGGTAGTAGCAGCAGCTGCAGTGGTGAAAAATATAGAAACTTTATAGTGAGTGTACTTCAAGCCAAGGAGAATAGCAGTGGTACTAGACATAATGAAGGTAGAAGGAAAAAGTTGCATTAATCCATTCCAGTCCATTCATTTATAGCATTATGGCCATGACTGTGTGCAGGCATGTCTGTGTATGTGCAGGTATGCAACCTTTTGTTCGAGTGTATCTGAATGGGCACATATTAGGATAGACATGTTCAAGTGTCTGCAAATAAAGATCAAATGCAATCAATCATGTTATTGGCCGAGTCGTGGAGCTTCCACCGATGGAGCTCTTAATTTAGTGACTTTACCTTCGTGCCAGCAGAGTCCTGGGATACCAGAGGATCCTGGAATACTGGATCAGGACCAGCCCCATACAGCATTCCCTTCAAACTTTTATGAATAGAACAATCTAGGCAAGCATTTTCCATCTACAAGGAGTGGAAAACTGCACCCCCACCCCTCAAAAGAGCAGGGCTGACTGTTGCTAGGGTTGGCTCTCTCTTTTTAACTGATGCGCACAGAAATAGTAACTCTTCAGACGGGGGCTTGTCTGGCACTTGTGTTTCCATCACACATGTAATTCAATCAGCCCCTCATCTGTCCTGATTCCCATCACATGAGCAGCACTGGTATAATCATAGTTATCGCTCATAGCTCCACAACAATAGATCATGCTTGTCTGGAGTGCACAGCTGTTGTCATCTAGCAGGAGAGGAAGACATCCCAGACAGGTCAATCAAACAAACTGTGTCATTCCCTGCAGCCACAGCTGGCAGTCTTGTGGAACCGTGAGACCAAATATATCCAAAAGATATCAGATTAATACGCAGCTTTACTGTTTGCATGTCTCATCTGTCATGAGCCTGGAATGCCATAAATCTGGCGCCTTCAGGCACATGGCAGGAGACTCGGTTAACGTAATCTGTTTCTGGTGATGTCATGCTTTGCTATTGGGAATCTCTGTGGGAGCGTCTCTGCTGCAGAGAACAGTCATAGGGAGGGAAACAAAGGAAATTTAGATAATGGTCTGAGACAGTTTTTCTCGGTTAACCTTGTATTTGTGCAGGACAAACAAACATGTGAGAGTATTTCACTAAAAAGACATACAATATACCTTCAATCACCAATCACTGTGAAATATGTGAAAAATGTGTGCTACTCACAATGCTAGAAAAAACAGAAGCTGGGGATGTTGTGCAAAACAATTCCCGGTAGGCCATGAGCATGCATGAAAGCTAGTTTGTCAACATAGCACAAAAGGAACCTATAGCAAACCACTGGAGGATAATATCTATTTTTACCGGCATGTGGCGACAGAAAAGCCGATGTGCTCCTTAAGAGCGAGCACTTTCTTTTCACGGATGCGCGTGATGTTAGGAAACGACACAACAGAGGCCTCGCATTTGTGATTAACATCTACGTCTATGAAAGATGAAATAAAGTGCAGCACAATGAGTCTTAGAGATGTGGCCCGCATGAGGTGACCTCCACACATGATTTATGTCCTTATTTCTTTTTCACTCTGCCTTTCATCATCAGAAAAGATCTCCTCCATGTCCTTGCATCAAGCAGACACTTTAGACTAAATAATTTGCTTGCTGGCGGTCTGTTCATCTTCAAATGCTTCTCAGACACCTCTGCATGCACAGGCAGGCCTTTGTTTATGTTGGCTTTGATGCAAGGAAACGCATGGACAATATTCTAAAGTGTGTGACAGCAGCAGACTCTGAATGATGACTTCAGGCACATCGCACACAGACGCAGACAAAATACAACAACTGGCTTGTATTAATTACAAACTTTAACTTCACAAAGAGAGGAGTTACATTCCCCCCGACACATAATAAAAGACTAAAGGTTGTTTGCACTGCTAACAGCTTCAGAGACGAATATTTGTTTGAGTCAACATTAACAGATTGAAGCAATAAAACTTCTATTAAACATCGAGCAAAGAGAGTAATAAAAACTGGTTTCCCATCTAGTCAAATATTGCATTTCGAACACGTTGAATGCTGAAACAAAAACTCATTTTGACAAGTTTGTTTTAGACATTCAAGTCACATTAAAAGTGAAAGGTAAGGTTTTTAAAAAGCTAGCCACACACTAGATGATCTTAGATCTAATCTGGGGATCAAGTCAGAGGACAGCAAACTTGGGACTCTAAATATCAAGCATGTTTAACCCTTGTGATTCCAGCTCCGACTCCCTACAAAGCGTTACAAACCGAACATTGCCTTCTTTTACAGCTCAAAAACTTGGTCTGAAAAAGAGGATCAGCCCGTGGATTCGTGGCAACAACACCAGTGCAAAAGCTGACAAGGAAAAGGCGTGTGTGATTCTGTGACAGTCTGTGGAATCATCACATTACCACAAACTTTAAGTGTGTGGTTTCAGCAGTCTAATGGAGTATTCAAGTATGAGTGTTCAAAGATTTTCGACATTAAAAACAACTCAGAACTGTCCTTGTGTGTTACCTCTGGTGGTTTTGAAATCAGTGAAGATTTAAAGTCAAGTAGTGAGTTGCCAACCTGAAAAAAGCCATGAAGTTTAGAAACAGTTGCTTTAAAAACTTAACGCTTGCTTTCAGATATTGGGACTAGACTTTGAAGTTCTGTCTCACTCTGTTGATTCATCATTTGTTGTCCTTCTTTCTCCACAAACTCAGGCTCTGAACAAACCTGGCATACCAATATCTGTGTGTCTGCAAAGATCTGCAAGTCTACAAGTGCTCAATAGGCGCGATAAAAAAACAACTTACCATTCCACAACGCAAGAAAGGTTTTCTATCAACACCAGAGTTATTGAGGGATAAACTGTTTGTATTTCAGGTATTTCAGTCTCGTCTTTGATAAAAATTCTTCTTGGCTGACTGAGACGATCACATTATGGATGAGCTCCTACGTGTGAAATAGATAATTCTTTGTCATATCAGAACAACTGGAATGGTGTACTGGAAAATCACATTTATATGAAGATTAAATTGAGTTTGTCGTGAAACGACATGTGTGCGCTCAAAAGCCAATCAAAGTCGTTCCGTTTCAGTGAAACCCTATTATCACAGTGAATAATGCAAATGTATGGGACTTGTTACTCTCATATGACCCACTCTGCAATCCCATACGATTCTTCATTATGTCTGCAAGTCATACACAATTTTTTCCCCCATAGGTCCTTTTCATTGACCTCAAAGCAGATGTAGCAGGAGAAATAGCCTCCATACAGCCTTATCCACCAACAGCATTTTAATAAGCACTAATTCTACAAGGTCACGAAAGTTATTCTGTGAAACTTCTGCTTCACTGAGCGGTGAGCATCGAAGGGATATTCAGGGGTAAAAATAAGTTAGGGTCAAACACACCGTAACAGCCCCCCTCGAGAGATGAATGTTGCAGACTGCTTGCTTCTCTAGATATACCAACTTTAGTAACATCTTTTTAGCTTTGCCTGGTTTCTTTAGCTAAGAACTCCCCCACTCTCCTCCAGCAGCCGCTTGTTTGTGGGGGGAGCCCTGACGAGTCGATCTCTGACTGCAGCGGAGTTTCGCAGCTCAAGGAAGAACATTTACGATCAGACCGAGACGCTAATGCAGAACAACTAAATTGGCATGCTAACTCCTGTGCATATGCAAAATGGTTGGGCTAGTTTCAGTCAGATTGAGCCATTTAAATGGAATAGAAAATCAATCCCAAGCTGCATCATTTAGGTATGTTAACAGCTAACATGATAATCAGCTAACATGTTAACATGTTTTTGAAAAGTCCAGTTTCAGTCGGGCTAATGCAATAGAATTTTTGAACCTGTAAATGTATAGACTAGAGTTTTATCTACTACTAATGTTACATGACACTTCAAATAACATGACAGCATAAGTGATAGAAAATCATCCCTACTAGAGTGTCATGTGGCCATTTGAGGATCTGCAGTTTACAGAATCTTTTGCAGAAGCTTAATCTTTTTTAACCCTGAAGGTTTAGAAGCACAAAATCTACCAGAACCAGGACTAGCAACACAAAACAAACATCAGACTGCTGTCAAACGTCTTTTGCATTTGTTGGAGGGCTGTTTTTTCCCCTCTCTTAAATCCATGTTTTTATACTCATTATTGCCTTTTTTATTGAAACAACACTACAAAAAGATAAGAATTGTGCACCAAGGATTGTAAAACACACTCTAAATACCATATTGTGAGCTGAATCCAGCATTGTGCTTCTTGGTGCACCAAGGAGCCACTATGTCACTTTTGGCTTCCAGTCACTGAAGGACACACACACACACACACACACACAAGCCTTTCAGGAAATTACTAGTGATTAGACACAGCATGGCATTGTTCACACAGACCACTCACTGTTATTACATTAAGATAAATGAAATGACTCTGTGGTATCTGCTCAGGCCATTTTTCTGACCTCTCAGCACAGTTTGCTTATTAATACCAAGAAATTGAAAGACAGGAGAAGAAGCAGTGATGATATAATCCGCAGAGATGGAAAAAAAAGAGATGTACATTGTCTTTTCCTGTCGAGCCGGTGCAACATAAATCTCTCAGCTGTCCAAACAAACATATCCAGACGCTTGACTGTAGGCTTGTGGAAAATCCAGCCAAAAGACTTGTCATTACAGCCAAGTATGCATATCAAAAAAGTTCTTCCCCCTCTAAGTGTCAAAGTGTGTCATAATTAAAGGACTTGTAACTTTGAGCATTTGTGTATCTGTCTCATTCGGAGAGCTCCAGGGTCAAAAGGTTATCTCCCCTCCCATTCCATGCGTTATTTCTGTCACAACAACTCAGAGACCTGTCTCGGAAAAACTAAAGAGTAGCCTCGCTCTGGTCAACCTGCCAATTCAAATGTCATATGCACGTTTGAAAATTCACTCTAATTTGCTCGACTGCAAACATCCATTAGTGGCTTAGCTCACCTCCCAGCGGTCTGCTCTATCACAGCACGACCAAATGACTGCCCTTAAGGAGAGTGATGAATAGATTAGCAGTCATAGAGGAGACACAATGCTTGGGATGAAATGCAGGTCTGCTTGGATCGTAGCCTTGCCTTGTGAATGATTTTTTACCTTGATAGGATTTGAAAACCATTACTGACACCGAGCCAACGTGAAGGATGCTTCGAGCAGCTGTTCACAGAGATATTCCACTCTAAATTCTGTGCAATCAACCACTCAGCTTCTGTAGGCTTGAGAGGTTTGCTTGAAATGTTTTTGGTTTTCTTTCACTTTATATTTACGCCTGGATCCAAGTCAGTTTCCACTGGTTGGCAGGTTTTCCTTTGCAAGGTTTCAAAACATCTAAGGACTCTTCTTGAGCCATAATACCACAAAATCCAATGCTCTGGTGTCCGTCTAAACGCTCTGATGGTCCCGCCCCTTAATCTTTGCACGGAGAGTCTAGATGGATATCTTATTTATACAAAAAAAAGGATAAAATTTCTAATGTGAAAGAGTTCAATCATGTCACTCAACTCTTTGAGAATGACTACCTGATCCTGCAGAACACTTCTGCGTCTCTCAGCTCACTGTGTTGGTTTCACAGCATGCAAACTTAACCAATGTTGTTTTTTTTTTTACTGCTCCAATTAGAGCCAGGGGTGCAAGTTTTAATGGTCTGTTATGTAAGACTGAGATGCATGTGCAAGCTCGGGTTCTGAAGTATGTTAAGTGGCCACTGTCAAGGACTCTCTAAGTATGAACAAATAAAAGCCAATCAAAAACAATTCCTTAATGTCTGAGAGCCAATAAAAGTATATTTTGGCTTCATTTCTCTCAGTGTGACTGATAAGTGAAGGGTGCATTGGTGGCTTACCAGTCCGTCACAGTTGCTGATAGCCACAGAGGCCTCTGGCATGTCACTCACATCCCCTGTGAAAACACAGTCCCCATGGATACGCTCCTTCGCCTTCTCCACAAAGTCCTCCTGCCATTCCACGAAGGCCCCCGGGGCCACCAGCCTCCTGTTAGCCCGCAGTCGAAGGTGCAGTTCTTTCCCAAAAACAGTGACGTTGAAAAACAAGTGCTGAGTAGAGGCAGGGGTGACTGAGGGCATCTTGGGGGCACCGCGGGCCACCCTTCTTCTTCTACTGCCAAAGTTTGAGGAGGCTGCATCAGCAGCAGTAGCAGCGGCGGCATCACTTTTACTTCCACTTCCAGCAGAGACCACGTGAGAAATGTAGCGGCCATGGGAGTCTGTGCTGAATGGCACGATAAGACCATATTCACTTAACTTTCCAGAGAGTTTTTCTGATGGGACAGACAGTGTCAAGTGAGAGGCACATTCACAGAGCAATGACAAGTTCCTATGGAAATGAGTCTTCAGTAACAGTGGTAAAGTTAGATTAAAGTACATGCTGTATCATACAGGAATTAACTTAACTTATTGTTATGTATATAACTGTACAAAGCACTTAAATGACAGTTCAAGTTCTCTTTTAAATAAGCAAAAGTCCTATATCAGAGGTCAACTCTCAGTGCTGACATTGCCCAGAGCAGTGAGGCTGTCAGACTTAAGTTAACATTTCTTTAAAAATAGCTCCTTAATTTATATCATCCCTAACAGTTACACAAAATCATACTTGAGTGCATTTGTAAACACTGTGCAAAAGTTAGGAAGAAAATAGATAGCTCACCTTGCGTTTCTGCAGCGAAAATTGGATCCAAAAATAGCTGACTTAATGAAAAGCACATTAATAAATACACACAATCCATAGCGAGGGCTGGAGTGTGAAAGCTGCCACTTCAGCGCTGACTTTTCCTTTCTGTTGTAAACTCTGAGCAGAGCCCTTCCTCCTGACAAAAAGGCACAAATGCAGGAGAGAAGTCCTCAGAGTTTAGCTCCAGCGAGGCAGCCGGGCATTTCTGAGCTTTTCCCTCTAGACGCCAAACTCTCGGATATTCACAAGTTGTTTCCAATCTTTTGGCCTGTGCTGAACTGCAGAGATCAAGACTGCCCCATCCATTTAGGGAGCAAAGGGGGGAGATGTCTGGGGTGCTGATGACGACAACTCCCCGGTAAAAACCGGGACGGTTTGAAGAGGGAGCCCACTTTTTTTTCCCTTCTTCTACTTCTCTCCTTCGTCCTCTCCTTCCTCTGATAACTTTTAAAAAGACAGGAGTGCAAGTTAACGCACGCCTACGCCGGGGAAAAAAACTCGGAGGACTTCAGATAAAGTGTGCGGAGACAGAGTGTCCCGGTGGTGAAACATCTGCCGTCCAGTCGTGCACCATTACGCACCAATGGTTCTGCTGCGGGACTCTCCACTTGAAGCCACGAGCAGCCAACAGTGGGAGCGCCTGCACTCCACCAGACAACCGCACGTTTAGCCACGAGCGACGTTTTTTTCAACTCTCAGCTAATCTCCTTTACCCTGCAAAAAAAGTCCACCTACACACCCCACAGTCAAGCTTCAAACTTATTTTGTGTCTGAATGTGTGTTAAAAAAACTTTTCCAGATGCTGGGTAGTAACTCATATAGTTTTACATCAGTTGACAAACGTAAATCTGGAGTGGCAGGGGTCAAATAGTTTCAATGCACATGCCTATAGGAAAGAGGGGAGAAATGAGCCTCAATATGAGCCTCACAGAAAGGAAAAGTTCCATATAGTGGTAAATCTTCCTAAAAATGACACTGAAATGCTCTGTTGAGCAATAAAACTATTACAGGTTGACCTAATTGTTACATATTTTTCTTAAACGTCTGTAAGAGAAGTCTTAATGTCAAAAACAGTATCATAATTCAGTTTAATGCATAGAAATAAAGACATCTACCACAATTTATCTCTTTTAATCCATACGTCCTTCGTGATGCTGCTGTACCCATTATTATTCAAACTTAGGCTATGTTCACACTGCAGGTCAATTCCGATTTTTTAACCATATGTGACACATACCGACTTTTTTTATTTAAGTGTGAACAGTTCACTTCTGATTTTTTCAAATCTGACCCAGGCCTCTTATGTATGTGGAAATAAATCGGATATGTATCCGATGTGACTGCAGTGTGGACGCTCAGGTCGCGTTCATCCGACCTATACATCATCAATATGCGACAAACATCACCATTGTTCGACAACACAAACAGCCGCAGAGAGCAATTTGTGCTTTGTGTGCACGCGGGTAACTGCACAGACGCATTCCGTTCACATTAGATGCCGCATTCGTTGTTGTAATGTGACCGACCGCATATGAACATAGCCATAAAGAGCTTCTCTGTACAATATTCACTCTTATATTTTGGCATTGCTCTATTCAGATCTAGCGTTTTTACGTTAATCCATGTCTGCTGAAACTTGATTCTGATTGGTCAATATCCAATAACAACAGTCAGTTATTCCGTAACAGCACACTCTTGCTGTGAATGCGACTAACCGTAGTCATCAATCCACCCAAAAAGGTCTGGTTATTTGAAGTTGGTTTGTTTATGGTAAGAAAACCAAGAAATGGGATGAAAAGATGTGAGAAAAAGCAGGAGAACTTATAGACACAAAAGCTGGAGGCCGTCAATTCAAGCTGAAATGATTTCACGCTCAACACGAGTCGCACTTCCTCCCAATTTAAGCTCCAAGATTTCTGGTCTCTGCCTTTGCTTTGTAATTGCAATGCTTAAGTGCTGTGCTTAAATTTCATCAGAGGAAAACAGGATGAGGGAAGAGAGAGGAATAACTTTGTCCACCAGAATCAGGAAACCAAGGGTACCTCACAGCAGCTTTAATTAATGTCGAAACATCTGGTTCAATACAATTGATTTGTGGAGTGAGTAGCCACAAACCTCTTATTCAAATCGGAACCTAAATCTCAGGATCTTTAAATAAATTCAGATATACAAATCCAATACATAAACCCTGACATTGACTTCAGAAAATGTGAAAAGTGTGGTGACAGGCTCAAGTGAGGCTGTCACCATGAAATCAGACTTCTTAAGTACCCGAGTACAAAGAATCGAATGCAAGTATCCTCAAAGAATAACCCCCATTATCTGATGAAATGACCTCATACAGCTTCTATCTTCAAGATTTCATAATCGGGGCTAATCCTGCAGATGTCACTGTGATCATATGATCCATCCGCACAAAGGAAGCACATCTAACACCCTGATTAGAGGCTTAGAAGGTGAGAAAACAGTGCAGTAGATTTCATCAGTCAAATGATGGCCTGATCAAACTTTGGTCGGCTGAACTCCTCTGGCCCAGGCTAACACGCTCTGCTGGAGTCCAGTTCAGTCTTAGCCAGACATGAGCGCACAGAAACTAAACCAACAACTCTGGAATCCATCTCAGAAGAAGCGACAGGGCTTGAATGGGCCCTGAGTTTTGTCTAACGGGTTTTATTTTTTCTTTTTGGAGGAAAAGGTGTCTAGACTGGACATTCTTTTCCCTGCACTGTTACTCAACTGTGTCTGTACCTCCCCCCACACACTCTCACTCTGTTGCTAATTACCTCCATACTACCAGGAAGGCCAATGCAGAGCAGGTGTGGCTTTTACGTACTCATCCCCCCAAGGATGGAGATCCAGAGTCGTGCATTAATAAGCTATGGAAACTAACCACAGCATTATAAGATGGAAACCATTAACTGCCTTGTAAGAAGTTTTATGCTGTTTTTCCACCCATACCGTTTAGTCTGTTTTGTTTTTTGTGCTTTTTTCTTTCGTCGCTTGTGTCTAAAAGCCAGGACAGAATTCCACAATATAGCATAGTATTCAATTAGAAGCCTTGTTTTTTCCCCTCTGAAATGAATAGCTGCACTCACAGTCTGTGGTTAAGTCCACACACCAGAATAATTTTCTACTACAGTGCTTGCATTAGAACACTCTGTCCTTCATGAGAGTATGAGGAAACACTTAAATACTCTCTCATGCAATATTGAATTTAATTCTATACCAGAGATGTTCCTAGAAAGACGGTTTTGTTGATATGACCTCAAGAACTATGCACACTTGGAATTAATGTTTTCCACTCATGCTTCACATTGACTTTTCAGAATATAGCCTTCTATCTCTTCAATATCAAGCTTAAAAAATTCCATTAAGATCTTTGAAATCTGCAGAACAGTAGTTTTCCCAGAGTCTGAGGTTGAAGCTGCAAAAAATCAAGCTCCCTCCACTGTCTTCCCACAGAGAGAAGTTTAGAGTACAGTTTGTGGAGCTGTGGATGCCTCAGTGTGTGCTGTAATGTGGTCTAGCCATGCCAGCGTGCTGAGAAAATATGTGACTTTTCATCTCTGAGATGCAGCGAGATGCGAAGCAGCTGCTGGTCCGCCCGGCAGCTCGAGGGAAGAGGGGCGTCTACGTTTGCCAAGTTACAAACCAGCAACTTGAAGACGCTGTTATTATGGTCCTCTGCCTGTGTGGATGGAAGGATTTTGGACTGAACGGTTCAGAACAAGAGCTGAGTTATGACCCGGGTCAGACTCGATGAGTTTCACTTGACTTTCTGTAGGAAAATGTGATTAGTCAGTAATGAGTGTGGGAGCCTTTTCTGTATGTGCAGCTGCAGCAGATCTGTTTTATGTGTCACTATAATCGAGCCAAAGGTCTAATCATTACCTCCTACATAGAGGGTAATGATTTAAGACCTTTGGTTCCACCTCACAGTCAAACACCAAAATGCATTTCAAAAATGAGCATTTTTACTTTCAATCTGTTACAATCACAGTGGAAAGAAATATATATTTTACAATTTTGCAAAGCTAGAAAGTCAGAAAATTTAGGTAGGCTACATATCTTAAGTTACGCTTAGGGAAAGATCAAGGTGTGGTTTAAAAAGAGTACTTACTTTAGGCAATGGAGACCTTCACTTTCATGGTTTAAAACACTTAATCAACCTACGAAAACATGTGCTGTTCTGGCTCAAAAAGAAGGAGTACACTGTTGATTTGGTTCAGAAACAAAAAAGCATTTCATTAATATGCTCTACTGTTGTATATATTCATCCATCCCAACCACCTTCCTACTTTGACCCCTAAAAGAACACTACCGGACCTCAAATAACAGTCTCTCCTTAATTTATGGGGCTATGGTTTACAGGTTGGGTGAGCCACTTCAATGCCTCGATTGCTCCTGGTTTTCAGTCAACTTTCGGGGGAAGCAGCTGGTTGATTCATCTCAGTGCTTTAGCTGGAGAGGACATTGAGAAGTTTAGTTTAGTTTAATTTAGTAAGGCAAGGCCAGTCCATTGTTTGTAGGTTTTAAGTCCACATACAACAAATTACAATAAAGGAGACAAGATGTAAAATAAACTTAAAGCATGTATTTCCCTCTCTAAATCCACAGGAGGGGAATAAACCTTTACCAAAGCTACAAAGTCTCAGCTAAGGGAGGCTAGACTTTATTATATCAGAATCAGAAATACTTTAATAATCCCCAGGGGGAAATTGCTTTTTGTCACAGTCACTCCATTGCAAATAAAGTATAAAGAGGAGATAAACAATAGATAAAATAAGTAAAAATAAAGAGATAATATACAGGCATGCACACTATATACAACACAAACTAGTAAAACAGTATGAATATTATAGGGTTAATAGAGAAACTATCACATTTCAGCACATTGTCAAAATAAACATGAAAAAGGAGCAAATACTGGAAGCAAGAGAGCTGAGACCACTTATATCCACCCGCTTAGGGTGTCCAAACACAATAACCTTAGTCTTTTTCTCACTTAGGTTGAAGAAATTTTGGCTTGGCCATCATCCAATGTCCTACACATTATATGGCTAGCTAGTGTAGCATTCTTGCTAGCTTACATTCACTCATCATTATACTCACAAAAACTAAAAAGGGAAAAATTAAAGACACATTATTGGTTGGCAAAAAGAAAAAAATATCAACAAACCTTGTATCCTCACCAGCCTGGAGCTCAAATGACTAAAAAATATTGAATTAGACGTCGTTAAAGATGACATCCGATTTTAAAGCGTCCAAACGTTTCTACGTCCGCCATTTTCCTTCCAAAATAAAAGCTTGTGTTTTCGTGACGCCCGCGATAAGATTTAATCGTAATTATGAACTTATACCACAAATAAGAGTGAAAATACAGTGAGGAACTGACTGAATGTGCTTTAAAAATAAAAATGTTATGTTTAGGTGCCTGACAAAGCCACTCATGCTGCTAGCCTTGTTTGCTGTATTTCCTCTTAGCTTTAGGACTTAAAAGGGGCCTCTTTGTCTTCATAAAAAATGTTTCCATACACAGTTAAACACACATTCGTTAATGCTTTTTAAGCATTTATTTGTCAGAATTAATTGTCCAATAATTAAAAACACAAACAGCTTCAAGTCGTAAGTTTTGCCATGTCAGTCTAGTATGTCTCAGATTTAAGAGCCATGCCTGCAAGGTAACACTCAATGACATTTGTTGACCCTTTGTGCCAAATAACAAGGTTCTTAATATGTGGTTTGTTAGGAGTGTTTAGGAAAGAGCATGGTTTGAAAGAGGTGTTTGAGACTATAGTAGGCCTACCCCCTTGAAAATAACAGTGAATGTTGCGAGTCAGCATTATTCATGCTAGCAATTTGTATGAGCATTGAACCGTCATTGTCAACTCTGAAATGTTGCCATTTGTTTTGGTCCAAGTCATGATTTGAACTTAATATTTTGGAAATCAGCTCTGTCATTTTAACACATAACTGAAACTTTAAAGGTGTATGACTTAAATATAGTTGAGATTAGCAGCCACTTCACGATGGGATTAGGTCTCTGACTAAACTTCAGTCACTGAGTGTACTGCATGGAAAATGAGTGTTTCAAAGCTCTCCATCAATTCAATCAGTATTTTTATCTCACAAGCTAAGACTTTTCATTACCTTGCTCAGTGAAGTGTGGTAGAACCAAGCTTATCAAAGCTGCAATTGAAGGCCTAAGTGTATTTGCCAACACAGATTTAAGAAGAACCCTTCATCTTTTCTCCATGGTTTTACTATAATTGATGAAATCCCTGAGAGGACAGAGACTTCTCTTTATTCTCTAAGGTGTTTGTAACGTTGCCCTTATCCTCACAAGAACAATAAAAGAGGACGCCAAAGGACCCGTGCACCCCTCACACCAGCACCATGCCTCTTCTCCTCTCTTGGGCAGCTCTCTCATCTGCAGAGGGAAGCTTTTCACATGAAGTTCATTACATCCCCTCCGGCCACTCACCTCTCAAAGCCGCTCTTTGTCCGCCCTAATCTCAGGATCCTTCAGAACCGCTAGCTTGAGTTTCACATTGGGGAGTATCTCAATGAGTCTGGAAGGGATTTCAAAGGAGAGGGGGCCGCTATATCATCCAAGCATGGTCCTCATGTCCTGGGCTTATCTTGACCCGGAGTCAAGTTGGCCATACGCTGCAACTGAATAGACCTTTTTCATATCCAAATGTTGTTTTACCCAATTTATCTTTGTTGGTAAGATGAACAGAAATACTGCATATAAACAGCCACCATTAGTGTTGTATGTGTTTATCCTTTTTTATCTTCGTCATGCCACACAAACAGGTCCGTAACAGGGAATAAACTGATTTGAAATTTGCTAATTCTGATGATTCTCTAGTATCTTCTGCCATTAGTATATGAATGTTGAGTGACTAAAAAAGTGCTGTTTAAGTCCATTACTTTCATTGTTTACAGTAACGAACAAAAGCAAGCAAGAAATTAATGTTCTGCATTAACATTCCTGGAGGCAGTCAGTTTAAAATAGCATAATGATTATTAATGGTATTATTACAGATGGTGCAACTAGGCATGACAGATTAGTGATATTGCATATGAAGAATGATACCATTACAAACATGGAGCCATACTGCTACTCTAAATGTTTCTCCATCCTTCATGAGATAATTATTTCAACAAAAGGATACTTCTTCTTTCATGATAAACCACCCAGCCATGTTGTTGAATTTGGTACAAGAGCTGAAGGATTTTCATGATGACCGCTGATGAGTTTTTCCTCGAAGGACTCCTGAACATGGTCCAAAATCTGGTGATTTTTGTCAATTTTTTAAAACGACAAACTTTTTTAAAGCCCTCAAAAGCCAGATAGTGTCACAAAAATCCTCTTTCTCAGTGAGCTCTCCTTTGAGGGCTGAATTTCTAAAAACCGCTGGAGGCACCAAGGATGCAATTTCAGATAATTGAATTTTTGCCAGGCCTGATGCATGTGTCAGGTTTGGTTAGTTCCTGGGTATAAAAACTGAAGTGAAAGTTTTTAAAAGAAGAAAAAAACCCACCCTTTCAATAAGGTCGTTTGGGCCCCGATAAGATTCTAATTTACAGTTATTGTAATGTAAAATTCCTTCTTGTGCTGTAAACTAAGTGCTTTTCAGTACACGTTACTTGTATGAGACTTATACCAAAGTCTCAATGATACAACCAAAACATTTAATATATACGTGGACATTTTGGTGCTATTTCGGTGAAAGTCTAACAAAAGGGGACTTTTCCTTTCATCTTTTTTTCTGTCTTGGGCATTTTTTGCGTTTTCTGTTTATCTGTTAAACTGGACAGTTGTATAGGGACTAAAAAGTGTGGGTGTAGAGAGTGGAGATTTATGTGCTTCAAAGGGTCATGGTTGGGAGTCGAATCAGTGACCACTGCATTGAGGTTTACAGATAAAGTAAATGGGATACGCACTTCAGCTGCCAAGACAACAAACAAAACAATCCTTTAATAATTGGCTTTTATTGAGTAATTTAGAAGTATGCATTGTTTTCCTAAATACTCTAACATAAATTGAGGTTAATCATTGTAAATATCTGACAAAGACAGCAGTCAAGGCAGCATAGAAATACAAATGTATAGAAATTGAACAAGTTTTACACTATATGCAATAAACTATGAAAGGAGCATTTTAATCTCGACCACATGGTTTTCATTTACAATAATCCAGGATAGGCTGCGGTGTGATAAAATCCTAACAACTTCCGCGCTCTCAGAGATAAGCCCGCTATGCACTTACAAGACGGGAAGTGATCTGGGATATCAGCCTTTTCAAAGCGCGCCAGCAAAGCCAAGTGAGCTTCACTGATGTGCCGGCCAGTGGCTTTTAATCCTCACACAGGCCTCCATTCTTACAGAGAGTAACCATATTTTTTAATTAAGACCTTACCTGTCCACATCAAAAGGTAACTCAGATCAGTCCTTTGATCTGCCTAAGCTCTTTATTACTGTATATGGAATATGTTAAGATTTCAGCCCAACAATCAATCATCTGTTTTCTGCTCTGTTCATAACCTGCTCTGCTCCCTGAAGGTTGGCAGTGACACAAGACAAAGAGGCCGTCCGGATATACGAGTGGAGTCTTAGCGGTGCGTATCTGGAGCAGAAGATTAGCCTGAGATAAGCGGGGTAAAGACAGGAAGCTGAGGAGGGAAGAGACAATTATTTGGCTCTGTTGCACAGTGTTTTATTGAAAATCCTCCCGGCCAGATCCCTGACACACATGGATCAGTTTTGTTTTCCTCCTTTGAGAAAGCAGTGATAAAATGACACCAAAGGCAAACAAAGTCTCTTAAATCTATTTTATTCAGCCCCTTGAAAAGTACATGAATGACACATACAGTGAATAAAGGGTCATGCACTTCCTCTATGAAGAAACTATTAAATTAAAAGCGAGGCAAAGGCATTACGGTGTTATTACAATCTACATGAAGAGCATTTTTGGAGCGAATCTCTCAGAATAAAAGCCTTTTAACTTCATTTCATTTTTCAGCATCCCAACCTTTTTGTTCAGCTATTCTAGAAAAAAAAAAAAAAAAAAAACATTTAGTGCAGATTTTCTATGAAAATGCAACACACTTACAAATAAGAAAGAAGGATTGAAAGGGAAGGATTTTTCAGGCTGTGTTTTTCAAGGCAGGATTTCTGGTTTTAAAAGCACATTTTCAGTGTATAGTTACATTACAACTGAACACATCATTGGCATATCAACGATAAAAAACAAACAACATGGTTAAGAGTTTTAAAGAAAAACAGCACAATTACAATCATTCCAGAAATGGAGGCACCATTAACAACGGCTGGAATGAGCTAAAACAAAAGAATCTCACTATTGCTCTGTTTAACTAAGAATACAACTATTCTATTGACCTGACCAATTATGCCACCAACAGAGTGAATCAGAGCCGTTAAAGGGTATACTTATGCTCCACTGATTAATACAAAATGTGGTTTTAGCCCCAGTTACACTAAGTCTTTCCAGGCCTGGGTGTTTCCAACAATAAATTTTACAGTCATGTTGCTGAAAAATACTGTTTCCTCTCAGAGGTTGGGAGTCTGCGAGTTTGGCAGATTAAAGGGTGACCTCTTCAATGTCACACTTCAAAGTATGTTTACAGGTCTTAAGGTGTGGAATACCTCTATGAAGCCTTTTGTTGCATCTCAGGAAGCTGAGAAACATCTGATTTATTGCCTTGAGTAGTGCCAGAGGGGTTAACAAAATTCAGGACTAAAAACTTTTTGAGAGTTTTGAGGGTTAATGGATGTTACCTTTATAGACCTCTGCAGTCAGTCCATCTCTGTGTAGAGCTAGCAGCTTGTGGCTATATTAGCTGCAGCTCTAGCCACAGACTATATAAAAAGATAGTCAAAACCACCAAAAAACCCAGCCAAAACACTTAAAACTCTGCCTAACGACTGACTGCAGTATAGATCATTAAGCCCACCTCCTCCATGTAAACAGATGGAACATAGATCAAACTTTACAGTCAAAATACACATAAACCTAAACTTTCTCAGCTATGGTTTCTGTCAATAAAGTTAGTTTCTTCATACTGATTTACATCCAAGTGTCCACATTTATGACAGATCTACCATTTATTAGTTATTTTATGCTAAAAAGAAAAGAACAGGAATGACTCCATGATTGACTGCTCTGCGGACAAATGCAGCTCCTGATTAGCAGAAACACGAGATTCATTGAACTTTCAAACATTATGTGTTTCTGTTTGTCAGAACGGCAACACTGTGGCTACATTAGCTGATCTCTCCTGCAGACTCTGCTTTCAAATATGTGAAATTTCAGATTAAAACTGGGGTGATTCAGTCACACTTTTGAACAGCAGGAGCAGATGGAAACATGCCATCCATCTTTATAGATAGCCAAACCAAACTGTTTGCAATCACGGTGGGAAATAAAGGCGCTAGGTTCTGACACGGAGGAAAAACGCCTTGAAATACACAGAGAGCATATATCTGGTCCTTAAATACCACATTAAGGCATGGAGGTCACCATTTTATGGGACTTTACAGGAATCACAGAAGCGAATAAAGATTGCATTTTCTGTATACAAACTAAAATATAAGGAGACATTTACAACTTTTAAGTAAAATAAGTAAAACTAAAAAAAAAAAAAGACTTCTGTTTGTTAGTACCTGTAAGATGACATATGTTAATCCAAGTTAAAAGAAACAGGTACAGATGCAATCTTTACAAGAGTAATGCTGTGGCTAGAAAAGCACATTCCTTGAACAGCCACCCTGGTCGGCCTTCGAGGACCAAAGGTTACATTAACATTTAAATAACAACAGCCTTCATATGTACACAGGGAACCCTCTTTAAAACGAAAAACCTCAAGTCAAACAAATGCGCGGCCACTGATGACAGCTGTGCCGAGGAGAAAAGGACAGGGCTCAGGAAAAATATCAGCTCACACACCAACTAACAGTTGTGACATACAGACAAAATTGTTGGCTGACAACACAGTGGAATTTCTCTCCTCCATAACAATATTTAACTCTCCTCCTGTTACAGCGGAGGACTTAGGAGTGTCTCCTTCTGGAGAATAAGACGCTTGATTTGAAAAATAAACATAAATATTAGTACATCAAATTGCTATTGTCTATTATTGATGAGAAACAAAGGCACAAATATCAACCTCGAATGTCGAATTCAGCGTAAAAACACAATCTAGTTAAGACTGCTAGTAAGTTTGGAAAAAAATAGCAGTGACACAAAAGATAGCTGAAGGGAAGATATGCATAATACAGGGGTAAACATAGAAGGCATACCAAAGTTAATGTGAATGTCTCTGAATTTAGAAAGCACAGTACTGTCCTGGTGCGTTCACAGTGACCCCCCACTCTCAGATGAACTCCCCACGGAAAGGAAGTGATTGTATGTTCCTCTGTTGCCAGCGGTAGCGCAGCCGGGCCAATGGCGAGTCCCTCGGGTTTTCGAACTCGGAGAAGCCCAGCTGGTTGAGGATGTCATAAACTCCGGCTCTGGCAGCCACCTACCACAGAAACACACAAAACGTTCATGAAGAGAGCGAGCGGGGAGGCATTCTTTTATCCGCCTGTCATGACCGCACGAAAAAGCTCTGACCACCACGTTTTCGGAGTTTAAACATGTCATCTGATGGTTTCTTACATGTGCAGCTGTCGCGTTAGAACAATAGGGATCTGCTGCGGGTTGGGAAAACAACAGGAAATGGTCGAATATAGTCGAAAATACCAACACCACAAGTTAAAATTACTTCATTACAAGCGAATCCCTGCAGTAAAGCTGGGTTACTTGGGCTTACGTTGCACACAGACACAACATACAACAATGTAACCTCAATGATGTCATGGTGTTGTCATTGGTTGTCTCAGCCCAAGCTCATCGGGCTAAAACTGCACACAAGGGACTCAAATAAAACACTTTTGAATGAGTATAAAAGACACAGACTTTTAAAATGACAGCCAAGAGAGAGAGTTATCCACTTTGGTGTCCACACTCAACTTTTCTAGATTAGACTTCGATTTCGCAGTTGAACATACATCATATTTGTTAAGGAGGAGGCATTTAAATCTTTCAGATCTAAACTGTTTTTCTAAGTGTTGGAGACCACACATATGAGGATACTTTGGACCAGTTTTTAGCATAACAATCCTCTGAACACACACACTAGATCGCTCCATGAGACCTCTAGACCACACACTATACATCTGCGGTAATGGTTTCACAGCGGTGATTTAACAGACGAGATCTCACGCTTTCATGAACAAATGTAACTTTAGAAGACGAAGCGAAACGGAGGATCAATCGAGGAATGATTGACATAGTCAGCTGGCTGTCCCCTTGCAGTGGAAACTAAAACATGGGGAAAAAAAGGATCTGCCTGAGAAGTTAGTATGGGTGTAGTCTATGAGCTTTAAGCACGTTTGCATGTTTGTGAGCAGTTAGAGTCCGCTCAGTCAGTGCAGGGAAATAATCATGTTCACACCACACACTTTAGGATTACCTCGACAGATAATCGGTTACAACAAGCCTTAAATCAGGTCACATCCCCCAGTTACAAATCAAGCTCTAAATCTGGCATTGAATGTGCGGCCCGCTCATGATGGCCACAGGAATAAAAGGACTTCCTGTGGCGTTTCGGGGAATGAGTCCATCACTGGATGTGCTTCTGAGTGGGTGTGACGTGTCACTTTTAACAGCATCGGTCAGGGTCCAGCTCCACCCCCACAACATCACTGGCCTTGATTGGCTCTGCTGGAGTTTAGCTCACACCACCACAGACACACAAAACATCCCTGGTATCACCAAGGATGTGTAAGGACCTCAGACCCCTCAGGAGGTAGAGGTGGCTCAGGCCAACCTAGTCCCTCACTGCTGCTTAAATTCTGTTTTTTTATGGTGTGTTTGACAAATCAGTGCCATGTCTGTTGTTATCAATTCCCTCTAGGTTACTGAGGCCGGAAGGGTTTCTGGTTGCAGCTCATCCTGCCTTTGGCTAGGTTTGACAGTCCTGCAAAGGAAACAAACTTTTCTCTGACTTCAGTTCGCCAATTTGAAGCATGTTTCACCGAATATTTGCTAATTTAAGCAGCAGTTTGGTTTTGTAGCAGAAGTTGAATTGACTTCTTATCCAGCTACCCTCGACTCTGCTGACTAACCAAATGTAAAAACTCATTTGTAGGAGTTCCTGCATGGTTGAATCTCATTTTATAAAAAATTTCTTTGGAAAAACTTTACAGAGTGAAATTGTGCACGCTACTATGGCTGGGTGATAGGGTCATAAATCTATATCACGATATATTGAGCAGTTCACCTCGATAACGATTAATGAACGATAACTACTTCACAAGCCGTTTACCCCCTCTCACATTAACTTCGTCTACTTCAGCCGCCGCTACGCCGCTCCAACTTTTGAACCATCCTCCATCTCCTCACCTGTCTTTCCCTCTTTGTTACAGACTGGATGGGGTGGAGCCACGTCTCCAACATAGGACAGCATCTTAAAAGGGACATGAGACCATAGCCTACCTACACACGCCCCAAACAAACTTGTATTTATTTATTTATTTATTTGACACCAGGCAAAATGACGTTGGTTTTTGTCGTAAATTTCGGTACCGGTAAATTTTCGGTTTATTGCCCAGCCCTACATCCTACTCTAGGAGGTTTGTTTGTAAAATCAGATCCCTGAATCTACAGCTTTGTCAAAATTAAGAAAAGTTGCAAACATTTCAGTACAAGAAAAATCAGCAAGAAGAAGTCAAAGTTCTTCACGCTGTATAAAAAGATTCATCTGACCTAGTTTAACCTGTGCCTCTCTGTTCACATGAAGGTGTGAGAAACAGAGCGCATTTGTAACAGGAGGTCAGCTCAGTTCCTGCATGTTCGCTGCCTGTCATCTACTGCACATCTGAGCGCATAATTAAAGTGTTAAATGAGGACAACCCATAGAAAGATATAATCAAAGAGTAATATAGAAATCCCATTCTTTCACGTATATTTATACTCTTTGAGTGCCTCCTTGTGCTGATTTTACAAGTGTTTACATCTACCAGGAAAAGGATTTGTTGAACATATTACCATAAAAACTGAAAACCATCTTCCTCACTATTGTCTTTAAGCGCAGAGATGGAACAACACCATGGAAACTGTATGTTATTTTTTTTTTTTTTCTTTGCCTGAGTCAGGACTGAATTAATGAGGATGGAGGAGAGACGTCCCGGGAGAGCGAGCTGTGTGTTCGTGTGAAGCAGCCGGTCGCACTGACTCATGGTCTGCTGAGGCTGTCAAACACTGTAAGACTGATGGGAAGCACCAAGGACAACCAGAAACATCTGGTCATAAAGCCAAACAATACAAACAAATATAAACAAACCCTGCAGACGGCAAAAAAAAAAACTTTAAAGATTCAATACCTCATTAGGAGTGCCACAGCTTGCCAAGTTTACTCTGCAGGAGAAGCTTCAGAAATGCTGAGCTGGAGTGTGATACTCAGCTATTAAATTTGATAAGAGAGTGCATAGAAAACGAAAAAAAAAATCAGGTTTATAATTTTGTATGCACAGCAGTTAAGTTATCTCCTGCAGCTTGTCCTCTCAGCCTGGAATCGATACAGTTCACAGCTAAACCGCCGACTCCTGGCAAGTTTCTGAGACCCAAGAAGACATTCGGGGAATGACTCAGGGGAAGTTAGATGGCCTAAAACACTTAGCCAATTTCACTTTTCCCCCTTGGCCTCAGGCGGTCGAGGAGTCTGCAGATTTAGAGCGGGAAGGAATTTGCAAGAGAAGGAGTAAACATCCGGGTGAACAAGGGCATGAAGCTGAAGAAAACATGAGTGTGGTTTGATTCTGGAGGCTGTGAGGTAATCCTGTATGAAGAGATTTTTAAAAAACTGCACGGTCAGGCTGAAGGCTGAGGAGAAGAAAAAAAAAAAAAGCTGAACAATGAACAGGAATAACAGTATCAAGATATCACTCTCACTGACAATGATTATAGCTCAGCCGGCCAGCTTTGTGCACAAACAAGCCAAGAGCAGAGCGCCACAGAGTTTGGTAAGATTACCAGTTTGCTGACTGAGCAAAATCACATCTTACATGAGATATTATGTGACCCAGAAATGTCTCCTTAGTCGAGCTGATACTTTGTCAGACTGATGATGATGATGCAGCTCTTTCTGTCATGTATCTCCTCCACTCTAAAGGCAAACATATGCAGCGATGGAGCACTGATGGGATCCTGGGTGGCTGCCAAATGAGGTAGTATTTACAGGGGAAAAAACGAGTGGGTGCAACGGAACAGTTAGTCAGCATCTGGGAGATCCGGGACATCCTCTGATTTTGTGCTGATCACCAGTGCTCTTAACTTGACTCATCTCCTCCACAGCTCAGCTGTCTAAATACAAGACGAGTGTGTCTGGAACAGCAAGGAGACATTTACAAGAAGCCAATTCGCTCATGGTTGTAGCCCAGGGTTTCACGATCTCCCATGAGCGGATGTTGGGAGGGGGTTGTGATGGAAGGGGATCATGGTTGACTGCATGTGACAACTAGTCCACTGACATTTTGTTGTCTTCCTTGCTCCAGGTTTGCTCTTTCCCAAATGATCCCAGCTGCTATCACCAAAGCCACCGACTAAATATCCGGAGGAGGTTTCCCCATAAAGTTCTTTTTCCAGCGCTTCAATCAACCATTTGATTTTAAATGTAGGTCCCTGACAACAACAACAACAACAACAACAGTTATCTAGTCACACTTCAGATAATAAGCAGGTCCAGACTGTGCTCTGTTTTTCCAACTTGAGCAAATATTTGCAGAAGTGGAAGGAGAGGAAAAACTTCTTGTAAGCAGGCAGAAATCGTGAGTAGATCCAGATATATTGGCGGTCAGCCGTCTGCCTCTGCAAGAAATGTAGTTTTTAATTAATTTCTCTGAAACCCCATCCCATTTAAGCTTTGAATTCTAAACTCTCTTTCCCTCTGCTATGGTTTATTATTTTGCTGTTGGTGCTTTTACTGTTCTTTTAATTTTGTTGCTTTTTGCTTCTTTTTTTTCTGTCAACAAACTTTGTAAACCTGTCTTTTTTAAGGTGCTTTACATGTAAGATTATTATAATATGCCCAGTATTACACTTTCGTCTTCATGGATTTCTACCAGAAAGTTGTACCATTGCGTACAACTTAAGCATGAAGAGGAACTACTACTCTTGCTATTCTCTAAAGGTCCTAACACACCAGGCGCGAATTCGCCAGGCAAATTATTCGCCTTTATTCGCCTTTTTTTTTAAAACAGCATAAAGTCAATGCAAGCTTCCACACTGGCGGCGATTTTTCCGCGGGGCGAAAAGCCTCTTTTATTTTTTCGCTCTTGTGTCGAATTTCTCGGAGAGTCGCAGGCGAATATCTGGACCTGCTAGACCTCTGGCCAATCAAAAGTCATGTTGTTGATGACGTCACAGACCCATGCGGCTGCAGTTCACACAACACACACCACCACTGGCACCAAGAGCAACGATGGGGGAGAGCGTGTACCACAGAGTGGTCACCCGGTGTGTATAAGCGAAAGTGATTTTTCGGACCGGCAAATATTTCCGCATTTTCGTCTCGCTTTTTCGCGTCCCTCGCAAATTCGCTGGTGTGTAAGGACCTTAAAAACTAAGTTTTAATTGGGGATGCACGACATTGGATTTTTGCTGCTAACAGATACAACACTTTCAAACTTATCTACATTGATACAGATAAACACGTACAATTTTTCACTGTAGAAAAATGTTTTTTTACTCCCACTGTGACGGTTGATTTGATTCAGAAACAAACACAAAAAACACAAACAGCATTTGATTCGACCATAAATGAAAGCTGTCTACTTCTCTCATGGCTTCAAAGGTTCAGTCCTCTTCGAAACCCTTTTTTTTCACACATTTAAGAAAAAAAAAACAAAAACATTAAAAGTCATCTGAACACAGCGGGGAGTCCCTGACAGTGGGCAAAATGCGACCAAGACTCTTCTTTGAGCCTACATTGAAAGCAAACATCAATACTCGTTCGGTGATTGGAGCAGCAGGGCAGTGAGGAGGTGCTGGTCTTTCCCACCGTCGGCTATCTCAAAGGCTGCATATACAGGGGCCTGAGCAGGGGGGGACAGGGAGGCCTCTGTGCCACACATCAAAACAGCTGGAGTGACTGATAGGGTACCTCTCCTGCAGGCATGCGTGGTATGCACTGTACACAAGTCCTGACATTGTGTAAAGCGCCATGTTTTGGATTAGCAAACATGGATTTCATTTCGAATGACTCCTCTGATGTTTCTGCTCTGATCTCGCTACATGGACACGGGGCGACATGAGCTAATGACGCCAGAGACAATATTTGTCCAACGTGCCCACAAAGAGACAATAAGTGGGATTCACATCATGAACATGCAGCATACACTGCTTTAAAATCACACTAGTGACCTCTGCAGCCTCATGCACACTAATTATATTTATCTTTCATCCCAACGTTTGGGAGCAGAGAAATAAACAAGCTTTGATATGACATGCTGCTGAAGGAAACCTTTCCTTTATTTAGTACGTCTTTACTTAGCATGATTAATATGTCATTATTGACAGGTTATGTTCCCCAGTCTTTCAAAATTGCTGGGATTAAACCTCTACTTAAAAAAATTCTCTTCACTCAGGCACCTTAGCGAACTATAGGCCGATATCGAACCTTTCCTTTGTCTTTAAATCCTAGAGAACATTGTTGCTAATCAACGTTGTGACCTTCTCCATGACAACAGTTTATTGAAGGATTACCGGTCCAGATCTAGAGTCCACCACACCATGGAGACCACATTGCTGAAGGTGACAAATGACCTACTTCTGGCTTCAGACAGTGGGTATCTCTCTGTTCTTGTCCTGTTAGATCTTAATGCTATGTTTGATGTGATTGACCACCACATGCTGCTACAGAGACTAGAATAATCAATCGGCATAGCAGGAACGGCTCTAACCTGGTTTAAATCTTACCTATCAGATCGATCTCAGTTTGTCCTTTTTAAAAATAAATCCTGTGTAAATACCAAAGTCAAAGCCATAAGGTTCAGTTCCTCTGAATAAAATCATGAGGAAACCAACTTCACTGTTATGCAGACGACATTCAGTTATACTTATCAATGAAGCCAGAAGAAACAAATCAGATAACCAAACTAGAGGCTTGCTTTGGAGATATAAAGTCTTGGATGATCAATAACTTTCTGATGCTCAACTCAGACAAAAGCAAAGTTCTTGTTCTTGATCTTTAACAACTTAGAGAGGCGTTTTTCAATGACATATTAACGTTAAATGGCATCAAGTCCCACTGTAAGGAATCTAGGAGTTCTATTTGATCAGGATGTTACCTTCAACTCCCATATTCAACACATTTCTTGGATTTCTGTTGTTGTTGCTGTCCCTCCCTCACTCTCTTTACATATCTCTATCCATCCCCTCTCTTCTCATACCCAGTGGCGGCAGGTAGCTGTCTAACATGAGTCTGGTTCTGCTCAAGGTTTCTGCCTGTTAAAGGGAAGTCTTTGGTCTTTGTAATGCCTCAAACAAAGAAAATATTAATGACTGAATTGATTGATTGACATTAATGCTTAAAAGCTAATTTCTGCTTCATTATCCTGCAATAAAACTGAAGAAAACTCTTGCTTCTAAGCTTGTTTTGAAGTACAAGACCAAATAGGTCATCGGCTCCTTATCGGAACACTCTGCTCCTGCCGCAGTAATCAAACTAGTCCATGCACAGACACATGCTAACGCCCCGATCAGGATGCAGGATGGCCTCAGTTCTAACAGGTTGTATAACAGGGGGCTTTACCGCCTAACCAGGGATGGTAATGACTTCAGACCACTGCCTCTGGCGTTCACAGTTTGTCATTAATGATCCTGCCACGGTCACTGATGATAGGCTAATGATTGCGCCCTCGGGCAGGTTGGATAGGATTGATTGGGCTGCTGCCAGATTTCTGCTGCAACTGGGCCACTAAATTCATCACAATACTGCAGTTAGTGTGGGCAAAGTGGATCACGTGTGTCACAAGACTCCCCAACATTATATTTCTGTTCAACTATTTTCATATTTTAGAACTTTTTTCATAACGTTCATAAAAGGTGATGCAATGCCATGTTTTAATTACTTTCCTGCGAGCTCACCCAGTACAAATTCTGCTAAATACTTTTGAGAACTTCTGTAAAGGGCAGGGGGAAGACGAAAAAGAAGAGAAGGGAAAAGAAGAAGATGTGAAAAAGCAATATTGAGGACATGTCACATAATCCCTGAAGACGTAGTGGGCGGTAGACGTGCAAAACAGAGAGAGACATTTGGATGTCCGAGTTTCTGCATGTGGTCAGTCCCAGCTGTGGCCCACATCTTTGTTGTCCTTTGTGTAAGTCACCCCTGTGCTCAGAAATCAATCAGGAGATGTCACCTAATCCAAAACCCGATGCCAAAAGGAACGGTTGCCATGGTGACCGCCTCAATCTTTTAGGTCCACCGGTTCAAACCCCTTACAAGCAGTGTAACTCGGGGACATTTCATCTTCAGACTAAATCTATGTCTTTTACTGGGATGTGCTGTGTTTGTTTGGTTTTGTTTTAGCGCAGCACTAAAGTTATCCTGTCAAAGAGTGACATGTTGGTGAAGTTTACTCCCATTCAGTTCAAACAGCGTGAAAAATGCTTTGATTCGTGCTGTCAAAACATACTTCTGAGTGTAACTGAGGTTTTTATTGTTGTTTACAATGTCAAATGTGAGAGTAAAAGACAGTGAAGGGGACTAAAGCGTGGAAAAAAAAAAACAAGAACAACAAACCCTTTATCCTTATCAGAAAAGCATTTCAGTCATGGAGTAAAAGCAACCAACTGGAGACTAGTGAGACACTTTCTGGAAAGTTAACAACTTTTTATTGATCATAAACAATCCAGAGATGATAATTTGTTTCAACACCCTGCTAATAATTTATTATTTGAGAAAACAATTGATAAAAATATTGTTGCATGTTTGATAAAAAACAAATAGTTTACAGAGAGACTCTGTTAAAAACGAGAATTGAATATCACTCAAGTGGTTTTGGGAGTCTTCTGTTTTTATCAGTGTCAGACAGAAGATGTCTGCAGAATACTAAAGCAGGTTGTGCAGGCTAAGGTGCCTCAAAACAGGGTACTGTTTATCATCATCAGACCACAGAAATTCACTCTTCTTATGATAGTGAAATTGTAATAGTTTTCTATTTTTTATTATTTTTATTTTACAAAACGCTGCATGTGTACAATAACATTCGATATTTACACCTATATTAGAGAATGAAGTAGACAGTTTTTATCTCCCTTTGAAAAGATGATACACTTCATGTCTAAGCTTCATTGCCAGTGCGCTCTGACCATAACTGGGAGAGTAATGTCATTTTTGTGAGCTCTACACAGGAGCTGTAACACTGTCACCAGGATTAGGATTCAGCTGGTAAACTATTAATTAATCCTTGACTAAGTCAAGTTTTAATGAGCTACAAGTTTCAGTCATCATTGCTGTAATTGAAAAAGAACAACCACACTCTGAGCTATTATTGAGTACACAGACATTATTTTGGGTACAAAATTAAAAAAATTAAGGTTATTATTGTAATGATGGAATTAATCTCCCGAAATAACCAATACCAAGAGGTGGCCCAACGATATGATATTATCACGACACTTGGGCCACGATTCGATATTATCCCGATGTTAAACATTTTGAGGTACAGTGAGTATTTCAGTACCATATATTACGATTTGTACAGTTTTTTCAACTGCTTAGCTGATTTAGCATTTGTCTTTTCTTTACTTTTGTCTTATAGGCGCATTATTCTATTTTCATCTCGCACATCTTGGAAACCTCCTGTGTCATGTGAATCTCATTTGTGTCCTGCTTGCATTCCTAATGTAGGTGGTGCCATATTTGTTGCACTAATTTTTTCCTGCTCTATGATGTCACTTTTGCCAACCTCACTGGACAAACAATTAATTTTATTTTTCCATTATTATAGACCTGAGTTCGTATAAGCAATTACTTCAAAAAATCGATACTTGGTGGATGAGACAATACGACATATCACCAGACAAAATATCATGATACTATGCTGAATTGATTTTTTCTCCCACCCCTACAAACTGAGACTATTACTCGGCCAGGACTTCAATAGTGCCTAGACACTAGCAACAGTCTTTTCTGAGAGTCCCTAAACTCCATCATGCCGTAGGTTCTTCTGGATTGCTTCTGCAGACGTCTGACTGCCGTGGATCTGTCTGCTCTCCAGCTACTTTGTGCTTAAGTCTCACTTTTTTTCATGATGTAATGCTGTTTTAATTCCAATACCCATGACCTACCTCAACCTCATCGAGCCTTGATGACTGTATCTCACATTGTCCTCTCTCTAAACCCAATGCAGTAGCAGCAGACGACTGTCTAACATGAGTCTGGTTCTACTCAAGGTCTCTGCCTGTTAAAGGAAGTTTTTCCTCTCCACTGTAACTCAACTCAGACTCAATTCATTTCAGGTAATAATAAGCTGTGGAATCTAAAGAGCCTGAAGTGGACTGACCTTGATGCACACAACTTTTTCATGTAGGAGTAGAAAGGCCCAGATTAACTTTATATGTTAATAATAAATGATTTAAAAGGTTGTTGAAAAGACTTCACATTGGAGTATCAAGAGAAATGTTTTGTACATGGATCTACTAGCTCTAATGTGAGGGAGGTCAGGATTTTTTGTGCTTTAAACAAGTCATGAACTAAAGGGAGGTGAACGCAAAGATTTGCACACAGCTTCTTTTATTTGGAGGCTGAATGCAGACTCAAGGATCACAAACAAACACAAACAAGGTCAGTAGATAGCACGAGGAGCAGTTTGTAAAAGCTTAAAGCAATTTTCAATCCAATACAAAAACTATTTCTTCCAGTGCGATAACGATGAGAGGGAGTTTTAGCTCATTTTAAAGAGGCTATAATCAGTGTTTATTTCCAATACCGAAGGACAAACTTAGCAAACAAATTCCTTTTGCTTCAGGTCTGATCAATTTTGATTTCCTCTCGTGAGTTTATTGTGTTTTACTTGGTCACAGCAGGAAGCTGCTTTGGGTGGAAAAAGCATCTAAACCTACTTTATACATCCTGCTCAGCTACAAATGGACAAATATACACAGTTAGTGACTAGTCAGTATAGCTGTATAGTATACTGTGTATAACTGGTGGGGACCAAAATCACAAAAAGGGATTTAATATTGGGCTCACAGTCCTCAGATTGCACCATTAACAATGCCAGTTCACATTATTAGTACTAAACAATATCTAAATATTTGCAGCTTTTTTCTGGGAGTTTGGTTGGTTTTTGAACAAACTATGACCCAGATTCTTGTTCAATTTTTTAAGTCAAACCCTCAAGGTTTTTTTTTTTCAAACTAAGGGAAATTCCCAGTTAACAGGAGGTATTTTTGTTAAGAAGTAGTGGAAATGCCAATCTAGCTGATAAAAGGCTGAAAAATCCTCAAGTGTTTTCTGCTGCCTGCTTTAAAACAGAGCATTCCTGCTCCCTGTGAGCGCGCCTTTATTCTCTCATGGCATATCTGGGCCATTAGAGTCACTCTGATGCACCACATATATTTGCTACTCATAACAGGAAGAATATGCCCCGATTGACTGCGCATATTTCTGTGACAATTGTTTTCACAGCGATTGTTCGGGACTATTTTGGAATTTGGCGTTTTTACTTTGAGTTTATTCCACCCCGATGAGGACAATGAAGGCGGGAGATTTTCGTTCAGCGGGTTTTCAAACATTCCAGTCTCTTGGCTCCGTTTCTCCGGTCTACCTGCCTTCAAATAAGAAAAGTGGAATTTCTCCCTTTATATAAAAACATGTTAACGCCGGATGTTAAAGCTTGGATGCACACAAGAGAGCTAACACCTTTTAATAGCAAACAAACGCATATAAACACATAATGAAGCCGTATAACACAGATTTTTTTTATTTGTTTATACTTAAATTAGCCTTTTTGTTTCATAACCTGCCAAAAACTGATTATTTTTTATTACCGTGTGAGTTTAACATTTCGTAACATACATGTTATGAGTGTTTTTTTGTGTGTGTGTCCTTGTGTGTGCGCGTTTAGTACCATTCACAGACTACTCATTTGTCTGGAATGCCCATAAATTCTCCACTTTACTGTAGGGGCACAGCTGGTCAAACCATTAATGTACCAACAAAAACACAGAGCCGGGACATTATGAAGTTCAGTGTGTGAAGATGCAGGCCACAATAGAACCAGAACCAGCTTGTAAATTCCTGGTGAAAAACTCAGATGAACGACTTGTGTTGCACTCTTACTTTTCTTCCGATATATAGTCGCTTCTTTTTAGTCAATTTTAAAAACTCACTTTTACAAACTTGCTTTTATGTGATGCCATCTTTTACCGTCTTTTACCTTTTTTCTTTTTCTCCTTTTTCTTTTACCTCTTTCTTATTTAGACTTACTGTCCTTTTAGCCTTTGTTTTACTTATAATCTTTTCTTAGTTTATCTCTCAGGTCCTTCATTGATTTTAATGTTTTTTATTTTATTTTATTTTTTGTTCCACTTTATCATTTATATTGCCATCATTATTATTTTATTATGATTTTATTATTATTATTAATATCCTCTTTTACACTTACTAGCCTGTTTCCTGCCCTCCTTTTCTATTTCATTTTATGTTTTTATTTTGGTCCTCATGGTCCCATTTATTTTGTAGGGTTCTTGTATTGCCTGGGTTTACAATTCAGAGGCCTGTTTTTAACCGAGCTTTTGTTTTTATGTGTTTTTATTTTCATGTGCTGATGTTCTGTGCTTGTAACTGTTGTCAAAGCACTTTGTAAACTTCTGTTTTTAAAGGTGCTATATAAATAAAGATATTATTATTAAGTTATTAATATATACTTTTATACTTTTTATTTCTATACTGAATGTTTACTGTATCATTTCAATCCTCTGCATGTGTCAGAATTGACAATAAAGCCACCTTGAACCTCGAATCTCGAGGAGCCCACACTAATCAAGTACTGAAAAGAAAAAGAAAACATCAGTCCTTCACCCCCTGTTTATTCCGCCTCATTATTCTTGCACAGCTTTATGAGTAATTACAGATTCCTCCCTCCTGCTATGATTTAATGAAAAAGCAATAACCAGAAAGCCTCACACCTGCAGAGCAGCAAGTGACAAGTCACATAAATAGACGTAGGTGTCACCAGCAGGTCTCTTTGCCTGAATGCAACATCTGAGACACTCAAAACAACTTGTCGGGGGTTACAGGGGGCATTGACTCGACATTTTCATCCAGAGGACCTCGGAGAACTTGGCGCTTTAATTAAGACAATGTTTTGAGTATGTCCCGTGGTTACAAATTACACAGTTACTTTCATTCCATGCCATTTTTTTTGTTATTTTTTGCGTCAGTGGGATTGAAGAAAGTTGGAAAAAGAGGAGATGAGGCAGCTATCATGTACCTGTTCCATCCAGAGAGTGAAGGAGCGCTGCCACGAGTCTTTCTTCTCCAGGTGTAGGTACGTGTTGAAGAGTATGAGGTAAATGTAGCGCTCCAGGTACTGCAGGCTCCTGAGCAGCAGCTGCTGACACTCCTTCTCCGTCTTTCCACTTTTGATCTATCGAATAAAGGGGGAAAAAAAAGGATATGCTAGTAGATATGACATGTCTTTTCATCCATCAGTAGCTTTTAGGTTCAATTTACTACATTTGTATTCTGTTAAAAGCTCAGTGGTCAGGGTTTCTTGTACTTTTCACCAATCCAGCACCTCTTTAAGCCGCCAACATGTGCCTTTTATGTTGGCTTTCATTCTGCTTAATTTACCTGTTCAGATGTGGGCTCATGTTGGCCCTTACGTCCCTGGAGAGCAATTAAGGTAGTGGGAGAGCACAAACTCCGACCACGGAAAAATTATCACCTTCGTCTTGACTGAATCGTAAAAGCATAAAAAGCTTTTCAAATGTCTAAAAACATCCAAATTGGTCAATCAAGAGCAGGAAACAACCAATTTCAGCTCCAATTATAGGTGTGCAACAATTTATAAAGACGTCATGTATGGCATGTCTTAAAAATAGAATATTTTTTGAAAGCCAATTCGCAATTTTTCTCCTATTTGGATGTTTATGTGTTAAAAAAAAACAAAAACAAATTGCTGTTGTTCTTTTAATTCATTCAACATGGTTTCGAGTGATTTCCTGTGCCACGTGATCACAGCGGCAGCTCGTCTTTTTGTTGACCTTGTCTTGGGTAAGGTTGGACATACACTGCGGGAGTCAAAAATAATCCACTCGCACAGCTTGAGTCCACTTTCCACCACGGCCGCTGCAAAGTCATACACTGTATGTCAAGCCTAAATGGGACGCAACGATTCATTTATGGCGTAGCTGCACTAACCCATCAATTCCTTCAACCTTGAGTCAAAAATGCACAACCACTCTCAATGATCGCTTACAGCAGAGAGGAGCAGTTTAATATGCAGGTAATTTAACTGAAATGCATCAAACGACCCCACAGCAGGAGCAGAAATCATTTTATTCCTTTCTTATCACGTTCAGATCAATTATTCTCTGACAATCAGTGGCTGGGTCAATGAGTACTGTTTTCAGCTTATATAACATCCTCATTCCTGCACCGTGTTTCAACTATACCCCCAACACCACCCACATGGTTATTATTTCCGCTTAGCGCCAACATAATATTGTTTATCCTAGTCTGCCTGAGGCCACCAGCTCCAACGACAGAGGGTCTATGACCTCTAAATTGCAGCCACAGTGGCAAACACGCATCAACAGCTTTGACAAATCTAGGACAATACACACAAACAATACACAACTGAAATTACCAGCTCACGCTCGTCTTCTACGCCTCAGCCAAGCAATTGTGTTGATAATAACAGCTGAATTAGTCAGAGGATGTTGTTTGATGAGCACCCGATGAGGCTTCAAATGATAATTTGATTTTGATTTGTGATGCACACCTCTGTTTAATCAGACTTGACTAAAATCACGTGGGTCTTATTTCTCAAAAACCAAAGGTCAACAACCATTTGGCCAATAAAGCGGAATCTGATTGAAATGAAAATACTTTAAATATGGATGTCTCAATGTGGATTCATCATAGACCTCCTGACCTACATTATCACCACAGTTTAAGTAAGAATCAGTGCCACTCATTTGGTATCTGACCAATTATGTTCATTCATTTCGTTCAGTATTCAAAATGGAGTTCACAATGAAGCAGATCTTCTTCTAGTTTAACTTCAGTGCCAATTCTTGAGTTATGGCCCCAAACTTGCTCTGTTAGACTGCTGTGACTCTACCAGTTGACAAAGTTTCTAGAGAGAGTAGCTAATTTGTTATTTTGTGAGTACAAATCCTTAAACAATGGAACTGCACATGACGAAAAAGAGGCTGACTAATGCTAGCATGTTGGTATCGTTGGCCTACCACAGACCTGTTTCTTTCAAGCTGCTGTACCCATCAAGGAACTCTACCCAAAAAATGACTTTCAAGAAAATAAACGTGGACCCAGTCTTAGTGTTTCACTGTTAACTATATACTCCACTTTTTTCTCAAGTTTGGTCCCCACCAACCCCTGCAAAAGTAAATGTCCCAGTTTCTACTAACCTGTATTCAGTTTTAATCAGAAGATCTGCTTGGAAACTTAATAAATTTGCTTTAATTAAAAACTGAGAATGAAGGGAGCTGGATGGACCCAAGTATAGAGTTCACTGTACAGAGGACCCAAACAATGAGCTAAAAGAGGCTAAAAGGAGCACAAAGCTTAGAGAAACACTACGTTGTACCAAGTAGTCCACACCAGTGTTCCCATAAACCAAAACTAAAGGCATGTTAGAAAGTTAAAGCTGTACGTACTTTTAGAAAATATAAAAATACAACTTTGCTTGACAGGGCAGAATAACCTCTCATGTTGTACCTTCTTCGCTTGCAGGCTGATGTTTTGACATTTGTAAAGATATCAGCTGTTGAAAATGTCATCTAACACCCACACTGTTATACTTCATCAGACACAGTATTCACATTTGTTAGATTAATATTCTTCCAATGCACTTTAAACCCTTGAGTTCATATTAAAAATAAACAACAGAAATTAGGACTTTTTTAATTATGAAAACTATTAAATTTTTTAGGACTCAAAAACAATTGGAGTGTAGATATTGAATAACCCTTTTATAGTCTTTTAATGGAAAGATAATTATATCCTCACAGGACTATTTCACTTCACATGAGGGGTAAATGTTGAGCGTTATAAGTCCATTACATCTTTCATAACAAGTTGCGAAATCTTTAAAGACAATACATTTGCATAAATCTGCAAAGTAAAAAGGCCTTTTTTATGCTGCTTCTCAATTGTAGGGTGCACGCAGTTTAAGGAACTTAAAGACAGACTTTCATCACTGCGTCAGGGTTTTTTTTTTTTTGTCTCCTCCTCCTTTTTTTCTCTCTATTTTTTCTTCTTCTGATTGCTTAAAGCCTTGAGTGCTTCCAGGCACTCGAACGAAAATGGTCTGCCATCCAGCTGTGTGTCTGTGTGGTGAAGTATAAGGTGTGTGGTGGGTTGGATAAAGTGTCAACTAGGGTTAAGAGAGAGTAACAAAGGGAGGCGAGGCAAAGTTAAGTACAACAAAGCAGCAGCAGTTTGAGCAGCTGAATGTTAATGCGTGGTGGACTCCGTTATCTGCTCAGAGTTTTGCAGGATCTCAGGGAAGTGGAGGCTTCTGGGGGCTGAACGGAGGGGAAGAAAGTTTACAATGTAGCTGGGTTTGCACTCAACGTAATTTGACATGTGCACAGCCCACCATAATACGATCATTCCAGAGCTGAATGACGCAAGAGAAGAGAAGGAGAGTGAGGGGGAATGAGTGGGTTTCCTGTCCATTCCCAGCAGCCTTAGTTGGATCCCAGCTTTCCAAGCGGAGAAGAAACTGCACCTTGGAAAAACAATGGATGTGCTGTTGTCCATCAAGTTACCCCAGGACACGGCGGAAAAGAGAGCGCACGCAAATACACACTCACGTCACGTTCTCTGAGCTTTCCTAGTTAACACTGACCACAGTGGCGGAGCAGGTGAACCTGATCACCCTGTGTGCCCTGCTACCCCATGGGGCTTTTTTTCAGCGTTTTCAACTCATAGCCTAAAAAAAAACCTGCTGTGCCAAAGCCTGGCAGCTGTCTGTGCACAAGCAATAACCAAATACTTGGCTCAGAGGACACAAATGCTCCGATCGGTTTGCAGAGATTACATAATTCACACCTCGACAAGCTGCAGAATCCTAATTCTGTGGCTGCCATCTGTCTGTCTGTCTGCAGGAGACTGAGCCATGTGTGGTTGAGCAGCCTCTCGTGCAGAAATTCCTCCACAAAACAATGTTAAGGAAGATGCGGTGAAGGAACTGAGTGGAGTATTTCCATTCCATGTCGGGGGAGACAGCCATGAGAGCTTTGGATTTGCTTGGATTACATTTTTTAAGTGCTACAAATCCATCTAAGTGGTGATACGCATATCTAATTCCCTCTGTTTTGTTTTGAAAAGTATAAAAGGGGAAAAGACGAGAACAAATCATGTCTTTGTGTGCATCAAGGAAAATTAAAATCCCTTGTAAAATGTCACAAACTTTAACAAATAAAAGAAAAAATTCACTGTTCAGTGAGGAAAGGGTATTCTCTCATCTTTAGTGGCCTTTAAGAACAAAAGAAGTGACCGGCGAAAGGTGAAAACCAAACCCAGAGGTGCGATGATGAACCTCCTAAGCCTCCTGTATGGATCCGAGGAAGATGGGAGTCAGGCCAAAAAACAGACCACATACCTTTATCGAGAGAGCGCAGGAATGCTGGAGCTGTGAGCGAGGACAATGTGTAAGACAGAGGAGCGGAGAGGACAGTATGTTATCACTGAAAAAACATGTGTTGTTGTTGCCGCTGAGTGGAAATGTCATGTTTGTTTGTGTGGCGTATTCCTGACAGATATATGCTGCAACTTAAGTGTGTGTGTGTACTAAAAATCTATAAGTAACTACCCTCGTTTTGGGTCTTTATACATGAGTATTGATACAGCTGTCATATCTTACAGTACAATATAAAGTTGAGGCCATAGTCAAGGTGATTAGCCTAGCTTAGCGTAGGTTAAAAATAGAGGGAAAACAGCCTGCCTGGATCAGTCCAAAAATAACAAAAACATGCCTTCCCAGAACTCTAAAGCTCAAAAATGAACATGTTATATCCTATTGGTTTATCCAGACAAAGCCAAAATATAAACAACAAGCCGAGGTTTACCTGGAGGTTATGTGCTGCTCATTTTCCTTTTTTCTTTGTGTGTGTGGATTTAACACTAAAGATCATCTAAAATCATCACTAAAATCCTCTTTCCTTGCCTTCTTTCCAATTAATCTTCACAAATACAATAAATGATACTGAAATGGTTCAATTGTGACCTTTCAAAGGGTTCAGATTTAGCTAGAAGTCCCGAAAGTTATCATCAAACGCAGCTCAATTAGCGGTTTCTCTCTTTCTTCTCGTCGTCATGCTGAGTTGCGCTATTGATCCTCTGGTTTTGGCTTCATATGAGGCCAAAACAGATCAAGCGTTTTCCCTAACAAGACTACAGTTTGTTTGAAGAAATGTTAAAGAAAACTTTCCCTCATACTTTGCTTTAACTTTTGATAAGTTAAATGTGAAATTTAAAAGAAAGTATCTTGTGTTGTTTTGTCCGCCGGTACTGAGAAAGACGCAGAGAGAACAGAAGAGAAGTGGGGGTCTGTTTTCCTGTTGCTAATACACATCGGTTTTGGAAACACAATTTGATTTTTTGGAACCAGCATGAGGTTGAACTTTTGGTAAAGTAAGTCAAAGCAGCCTCAAAGCATCTTTCACCACATCTGAGCCGCAAACCTTTATTCAATATCATCAAAAAGCACAAACAGTTTTAGCAAAACAACTCCCATGGAAAAGCAGCTACTGAGAAACTTTTAGAAGTTTCAGGAGAAAAAAAAAAAGGTCTAAAAACCACATCCTGTTAACATTTAAGTTAATATGGCAAGCATACTGGCAAATAATGTTAGAGCTCATACATACTTAGCTGTATTGAGTGAAATGAACAAAGGAGTTCATGAAAATAATCGGTACAACCACTTTTGGTTCAAGCATCAAACTCACTCGTCATTCTCTATGAAGTGAGGGGTAATAGAAAAAAAATCAATGTAAGAAGAGCATACACACTTGGTGGAAAACAACATAATTGCATTCAATGTCTGTGTACAATCTCGCCCAGGGCAAGCTGTTGGCGGTTTGTAGTTTCTGCCTCTGAAATCAAAGACGAAGGTTCAAACAAGAGTTCACAATAATCCCCCGGATAAGCGTCACAGCCTGCAGCCTGCAGGTGAAGGTATATTAAAGATAAACACCTACCATTTCTGAGACATACTGCCTGTCTCGTGCGTCTATCTTGTGTAAACAGGGTGTACCTCATGTCAGGAGGTTTGGCAAAGAAGGGTCCCATATGTTGAGGAAATACGAGACCTCTATGTAAAGCTGGGGGCAATGTCAGCCTACAGTAAATGAAATTAACTAATTAATAAAAACCAGAGACTATTAGATGGTCTCTCACCTCTAACACCAAAGAGTCAAAGATAAAAGACTTCAGGGAATGTGAGATTTATCAGAGTATGGGGTCAGTAAAGCACTATATGCTTGTCTGAACTGTTGTTTTGTTTGTTTATCCATTATATCTGAGTCCATTTTCATGGACCTGAATACAGCAACATCCTCCCAGACATTAGTAGTAGATTAACTAAGTAAGATCAGATGTAACTGAAATGACAGTAATGACAGTAGTTACGCTGCGTTCCAGTTACCTCGGAAGTCGGATGTAGTAGCTGGGGATGACGTTACACTCAAGTTAACGGCATTCCAGTAGACAAGTCGGAAAACCAAGATGGACGCCTACAGTTACCCATTATTAGCTGTTGTCTGCAATTGTTAGCTGTTGTTAGCTGTTGTCAGCGGTCATTTGTTGTTGTTAGCAATACCAGTTGTAAACAACGCATAACACAGTATTTTACTCTTACAAACACTATAGCACTGTGTTCACAGTTAGACGTTGGGCAGTACAACATATACCACTTATTTAATTTCACACAAAAAAAATAGAAGTGCTAATAAATAATACATTATGAGAGGTTTAACTGTTACTCTTTACTGTTGATGCACTGCGCTACCATCTTAGAATATGACATTGTTGTCAATTTCCGACTCGGAGCTCGAAAATTCCGACTTCCGGGTACAACTGGAACGCAGCATTATGCCTCAAACAGCAAGCTCCGGTTTGATTCACAACACCCACCTGTGTAACGTAACTCGATACTGATTGGTCATAACCAAACAACAACATATATTAATTCTGAATAATAAGAGATAACCAGATTACACAGAAATTTGTGAAAGTAGTCCAGCACTTTTAAACAATTTCACCTCTTCTTGTTGACAATGTGGTAAAAACGTTAATTTTTTTGATAGCATCCATATAGAATTGCGGTAAATAGCTGACTATAGTTTTATCAGACTTGTAAAAATGTCAGTGCTAGAAGTTTGCAAAAGTGTATAATGTGTATGTGCTGCATCTATAAATAAAAAGATCATATAGCTGTTGGTGAGATCACCAGAGTTCTTGGTGGCGACGGGCAAGTGTCACAGGTCGACCTTTCTGCAAGCTCATGTGGGCTGAACTAAAGGCGTGCACATTACACAGGAATCCATCTGCTTGACATATGGTGCCAATTACCAGCTGATGGGGTTGCCGAGGTAAAAAGGCCAATCCATATTGGTCCGTCCCACCCAGGTTTGCACAAGCAGCTATTCATCCGACTCCGCAAGAACGCCTCCCACCTAAATCCTAAACCAAACCCTGACCTGTCCACAGTGGACAGGCGGCCTACACATGGCTCCAAGACTCAATGTACAGACAACTCAAACGCAAGTACAACATGATGGATTTCAGATGAAAACTGTCTATAAGATAAATGATTTGATCTTTGAATTGATCCAAAGTGAAGGACGCTGGCTTTTAAATCTGGTAATGTTTATAATCATGTTTACCAGTATGGAGTCTCCCTCTCTGCATTTTTTGATGCATCGCCACATTTCTTGCCACATTCAGTGGAATGGTGGGAAACCGCTGCCTTGGCTCTGTGCACGGATTGCACACAAAAAGATCAACGAGTTCCTCGAAAATGACTTAATTCATTCCCCTAAGATGTGCCCATAATCTGCCTGACCTGATATTTAAATTGCTTTCCATTACAGCTCTTAACATAAAAGGATTTGATTACTCATGAATATTCTCGCAGCTGCTATCCTATACTTGGCATCTTAGTAGTACTTTTCATAACAAACACACTTTTTATCTGTCTGTATAACAAACAGCAGTCCTTAAACACAGCAAGACACATAAGCACGCAAATACACCTGCTGTTTTTCTACCATGCTTCTTAGAACAGAGTTATTTTCAGCATATAAAAAGTTACATTAACAACTTTTCTCCTTCATGTGTGAAAAACGTACATAGAAAAGTGTAAAAAGCACACGTCAGCAAAGTGCTTTTATCCAGGCTTTGTTATCTTGAAGTGTACTGCGGCAAACAGCCTGAGTCTACTAAAGCTTTCAATTCCAAATGTGAAAATAAAGACTTGCACCACTCTTAAGGTTATCTTGGTTTGAGTAATCAAATCCTTGTTTGTTTTTACCTCTTTGTAAAGCACTTTGTGTTGCAGCTTAAAAGCATGAAAGGTGCTATATAAATAAAGTTTGATAAAGTTTGATGATACTCTCAAACTTCTTGCTATGATTTTTTAACTCAAACTGCTTCTTCATTTTATAATTATTTTACATACTTACTAAACTTTAATGCAGCTTTCAATGGCTGTATGATATATCAGGACAATAAAGGGAATATTCGATCACTTTTTAAAAACTTTTTTTATCAAAAAGATGCCATAACATCAAATAAATCTTCTGATCGCTTTCATTCGTTTATTAACAAGTTGACCCATTCCAGCACAGTAGGGGGCAGTGTGGGATTCACCATTAAACATAAAGTTGAAAAAACGCCGCCCCGACAAAGTAATGAAAGAGCATAAACCAGTGTTTGTTTTTATCAAAGACTGTTTATAGAAGGGACGTCATATGCCTTCTTGCTAGTTGAAGCCTCTGTGAGAACAGCACCCCCTGGTGACTGGTTGCAGTATAGGTCATAAACCCCGCCTCTTCTAGCAAAATGAATGATGCTGTGGACAAACTTTAAAAATTAGTCATATAATTTTTTTCTGATGTTGACATGTAGTCATAGATAAACTGGTTTGTGCTCTAGTCCCCTTTTTTCAAAAAGCGGTGAGTACTGTAGTGCTGATTTAAGAAATGTAGAAAGTTTGCCAGAGACAAAAATATTGGATTTGAAGCACTTGATGACCAACCTTTCCTCAAGTAGGAGACCGCTTACTAATGGCATATCAATAACTGTAGCTGGAGTTACTGCTTCAACTTAACTTTATGATATGCTCTTTACTAGTCATGGGTTAGAATGAGATTCTGATGGTATGATAACCTTCATTAAAAATATGGTTTGGTATCTCAGCTGTGTTATCTTGAAACATACAGGACTCTGGGTAAGAGGAACAATGACTGTTTTTCCATTAATTGTCCCAATCTATTTCATTTTCAAACAACATAGAATATTTGGAAGATTTGTAATCATGAACGTTAATGCAAAACAAAAAAACAAGTAAGTTTTTAATACGTTTCATTCAAAAACGCAATTCTCACATTAGCATGAGACAACTAAGGAAGAAAATCACGTTTCCATAGGAGCGCTGCAGTTCTTTGTTAAAAACAAGAGGTGACATTTAAAGAGTCAGAGCTAATCATTAATTTTCTTCTGTCAAGAAAAAGAATTTCAGTGTGAATTAGTACATATCTTAATAAGCATCTCTGCCTACTTAATCATACCCTCAGGCGTGCAAACACAAGTTTAAAGCAATTTTTTGTATCGGTCGTCTCAGGCCATCAGAAAACTCTGCAGTTTCACTATTTCCCATTTCAGATTCTGAAGTATCAAGCTGTGTTGCTCCGATTTTGAAAGGTGAGTGATTATTTTCACTGATGGATTTCTATATAACTTTCTATAGTATTGAATGCCAACATTTCATCTTACGTTTTTCATTTTCTTTTTTAAAATGTTTTATTTATTGTTTACTTTTTTTACAAACCCAGGCTTTTAAAAATAACATTAACCAACCTGAAAATCCATCCACCCAGTGTGCTGCCTGCCAGGTTGGCAAGAAGAAGAAAAGTTTAACTTGGACATCATCTGGCTTCAAGCTGCAGAAATGATCTATATGGATCAAGATGGTGCCCTAAAACAGCTTTTTAAAAAGAAGCCCAGGAGAAGCCAGTGAGAGGGGGCTACAGGAGATGCCTTTATGTTAATGGTTTCCACAGATTGCAATCCTACGTCTGTCTTTTTCCAGTCGCTCAGCCACACTACGCTGATTAAATCACGGAGGCAAGGTTGAGGTGGATTTAAGAAGCGATCTGTGTCGATCTACACTCTGTAAACACAGATCTGCCGGTCTGAACAACCGGCAAAAGGCTTGAAACTTTCAGACCTCCTTTCATTACGTCACAGGTAAAATATTCAAGATTCTAATCTCTGTCTGAACATGGATTTAACTTTTATTTCATAACAAAACTGAATATCAAATAGCTCTACTCTGCCATCAGATGGTATCTTTAACAAGAATAAGTCTCTAAAATTACCAAAAACATGAGGAACAAGAGAAGGAATGTACTTCTTCATCACTAATGGTCAATAGGCATTTGAGTGGAGAAGGCCAATGCCTTGAACAAAAAGGCTTGCAGAAACACATCACGTGTCTGGTGTGCAGAGATTAGAAAAAGCCACACGAGGAGACAGGGCTCATCAACTTAGCCTACACAGAGACTGGAATATCTGCCCACATTAACCACACGCATTATGGTACATTCTGTACGTGCACATGCCTGGCAACAGCGCACACGGAGACTCCCACTGAGGATCAATCATCTACTGAGCTATCAAAATATTTTCTACAAGCAAATCCAACGGTGGGGCATTAAAACGGTGTATCCTCCAGCTACAACTAATCAAACATTCAATAATCCAAAACCTGCTGGAGTTGCTGGAATCAAATTTTACCCTGAACCATCATATTGATGCTGGAGGTTCATGAAAAGGAAATGTGTTGATAGTTTGAGTGTTGATGTCAGAAAACCAGAGCTTTAGAGTTGTTGCTGTCTGCACTCCAGACTTGTAACTATGTTGTTTATTTGCTATAGCAGCGTCACTGAAACCCTGTTCCTGGGGGGATATTGCATTGATTCATTGACATATTTTCTTCAAAAACTGCTGCATCCCAGTCTGAGAGACCCAAATGAACAAGCCAGATCCAGATCCAGTAAAGGCATGCAGAAAATGTGGGCAGGGGGGCACAACTTTTGGAGTCAAGGCTAGACCAGGTCTGAATAAAAAAGGCAGCTTACGCACTTGACATGACAACACCCCTCCAGTTGTAGTTTTGAGTTGATAGATTGGTAATAAACAATGGCAGCACACTAAAAAAAAGACGTTTTAAATCCTTTAATGCCTCCTTCACTTTAAAAAATACAGCAAATGCATAAAAGTTACGATCACATTAGTTTTCTGAAAGTTTCATGACTGAGCGAGCTCACACCACCTGGTAACATTCATCTCCACCTGCTATAAGTAAGTTTTTGGGAATTAACCTTGTATGGTATATTTTGGCTCTATAAATATGTCCAAGGAAAACGAACAACAACAAAACTTTGTTTATATTAAAATATGTTTTTTAAATAAAATGAGACAAAAAAGGTAAATAAAAACGAAACACAGAGAATCTGAGACTGAGTTGATTATTCTTGCTGGATCATGGGATCTTTTATTTGATCTTAAATGTTCATGACAACCATGGTAAACATGGTAATATACAGTAGATTTGATGGCCACCTTCTTCTCACTTAATTAATCAGGGTGGCATTTTGTTCGCATACACTTGGGGAAAACTTCATTAGCAGAAGCATGTACGTTGTTCCTGACATTTAAAACTCAGCCAAAAGCTGCTGTAACATTTGCTTGAAGCTGTTTATTTATTTTTTGTTGGGCCATCAAAAATATGCATGTTTAGGAATTAATGAAAGCTTAATTGAGGAGTTTTAGCTAATGATGATGAATTTTCTTTTCTGAATGACAGCTTCTTTGTGATTCACAATAGCCGGAGAGAACTTTGACAAGAAATGGATTATTCTTCATCTGTCATCAGGCTTTCGTGCTAGGTGAAATACTTGATTCTGATTGGTTGAAACCAGGTTAAAATGCTGAATAACAAAAGCAATGCCAGGGATAACTAGATCACACATCATATGAGATCACCTAAATGAGTTTGATACGTTAATTCAGGTTATGATTTCACGTCGAGGTGGCAAAACCATCAGTTTCAAACAACATTGGTAAACTACGTCAGGAATCATTTTACTACTGATCTATTCAAAAAGCACAAAACTTTGGATCTGAGGTTAATAAGCAGCGGAGAAAAGTAGTCAAGAGGAGAAAAATGCCTAAAAACTAGAGGGGAAGCTGTTTATAGACAGAAGAAGCTGAGTGAAAGGGACATCAAGCAAATTGAAGAAAACAGACACAAAGTGGGTTTTTTTCTGTTCCTTTTAGTCTAATATTTTATCAGTAACATGTTCAAATTTGTATCATTTTTGTTATTAAAAAAATGAAAAAGTACAAAGAGAGGCCACTGTGGGTTGATTTGTGATCGTCTATAGTGAGGCGCAGAACAGCCAAAGAAAAACACACATGACAAGGCCCATCAGTGTTCCTGCTGGGCGTGTGAGCTGTTAGCACTTTGGGAGTAATTATGGCATCGTTAACACGGGATTCATCTGTTGCTCAACTGTCTTCATGTATGAAAGACGGCTTCCCTGCTGGGGTGTTGTGAAAGTGCAATTCCTGGGGCAATGCAACCCAGGCACGACTCCTGCATATCCCACATGGTTGGCATTTAAGTGACTTCCCGACTAGGGTTGTTTTCCCGTGGGTATTTGTACACTGCCAGCAGCTAAAGCTGGTGTGAAAGCTTAGACAAAAAAAGGTGGACCTTTTCCCGGTGAAATGATTTGGGGCTTAGCAGGATCTGTGATATACCACGACCACAGCTACTGGGGGCATGTTTTAACACTCATGCATGGTTTCGAGAGTGGTTATTCCTGGTCTGTGGGCCGTGGGGCAATGACAGGTTTAGTGTGTCAGAGCAGGAAATGTGCAGGCCCTCTGTGCAGTGCTTGGCTCAGTCCTGGGGCCAGTGGTTAAGAAGGGGGGTGGGGGCTGGGGAAGGTCAGGGCAAAGGGCAGGCCAGGGCAGTTCAGTTATCCAGGGTAAAAGAGGAACCATTCCTGGAGTGATCAGCCGGTATGACGGTGAATATGAGAGATGGATACCTCAAAAAGAAAGTAACCATTAAAGAGGGCCACAACCCTAGATAGTGGAGGGTGGCTACGCTACAGCTTGGACAACATATGACCAGCATTTAAGAGCCTACCATGGTAAAAATATTAACCCTTAGAACTACCAGCTATATTTTACCATTTTTGGTCCACATGGTTTAATTTTGTAAAAATCAATGAAGCAACTCTATCCTTTCAAGCACAGCAAATATATACACATCTTTTTTTCAGGACAACCTCAGCTGTCAGTTCATGGGTGCAAAAATTGTGTAAAATGAATATGACAGTAGATTCAGAACCATCAAAGTCAACCAAAAAACAAAAACGGAAATTGATACCAACAGTACTTCGCACAAAAAACACATAAATCTACAGTGACCAAGCCTTTTCTCACCTGCACATCATTCTCCCAAGTCTTGGCTACCAGGAGAAGAAATATTGGGATTGGAACAAACACACAACAGAAACTATTTACATATTTAGACTAATTCTTCCAGGTGTTTTTTTTTTACCATTTACAGTTGTTTATGCCACTCCTTGAAGCAGTTCCTGTGTGGTATGAGACAAAGGATCACATCATACTGCTCGTAATCTCTTCTTTGCTTGTTTCAAAGCATTGAGGACAATTATTTCTTAATTATTTCTTTGTTAAGGTCCTGACTCACCGGGAACAACACAAATATACTACACAAAACTCTGAAATATTCAGAGGCGAATTTTTACGCGCCTGACTATACACACCAAGCACAATGCGACTTTCCGGGGGGAACAAAATGCATCCCGGGTGGAAGCAAGAAGACTGACACAACAGCACTCTGTTCACCGACACGTAAACAATCAGCCAGTCGACCATGTTGGATATACCGGTGAATCTGATGTCGCAACAACACGAAATCTGGTCAGTATGCAAAACTTTAGAAAATTCGACCGTGATACGAAAAAATAAATGCTGCAATATCGCAGGACGGGAAAACGTCGCTTATGTGAACGCTAATATTGACAGGATACGGGTTCGAAAAGAAATATTGACGTCCAAAATAACCGCACGAAAAAATGCTCCCAATGTGTTTAAGGACCTTTAACCATTTGTTTAACTAACAAGAAAATCTGGTGCTGACCTGTCAGAGAAAAGACATTTAATCTTTTGCATTCGTGTTTAGCATCGGTCATCCTAAGTTTTGGTTGCAATCAGCCTTAGCGTACTAAACTGAGCACATCTCGTTTCTCTTCACGTGAGCTATTAAAAAAGCTCGTCTCAACATGTCGTTAACATATGCTACAAGAACACTAATTAGCTCAGGCCTGTTAATACTGAGAAAAACTTATGAAAACAACTCAATCAAAAATTCTTCCATATAATCAAATGACTCACTGCAGCCTACGGCGACTTCCGGCTGATTCTTTGTGAGCTGCGCCAACAACAAGTGGGTTCATTAAAAGCTGGCTGCCCTCAGACACATTCCTGGCAGACTATAAAGCAATTTATAAGTTATCTAGTTTTTGCACTTGAAAGGTGTTGATACAGTTGATAGTCATTTTGCGGTACTTTGAAAGTGACTGTACTGAGGTGTACCGCAAGAAGTAAATTAATACTAGTAAACGTTCACTTAACAATCAGCAAACTCCAAGGTCAGACGCAGCATGTGCACAGCTGTCCTGATTGTGGAGAGTTATTGATGTTGAATATCAGCTGATAGGTGGGACCGCCTGGGGTGCAAAAATGCAAATGAGTGCTTCATAGTACTTTAACTCTGAATTTGACTGTGGAGGAAACTAAAGTTTGAATACTAAGTAGTCAGGGTATGATTATAATTTAGGGGGGTTTGAGCCGTTCACCACGTAAACAGCGATCACACGAGGCAGCGCATCGGGTGGTTTCACTGATTAGCTTCTCTCTTCTGGTTAAAGGTGCACTGTGAAATTACATCCTGCGACACACGACCCCAAAAAACAGTGTGAAATCTCGACTTGCTAAGACGTTAATCGTATTTTTAGAGTGATTTTCCCGCTGACGGCGAGAAACCTGTCATTTAAATAATCATCCACTCAACTGATACGGCAGGAATTACATACTGCTGTTCAGTGTCTAAACAAAGAACAAAAACCTGAATAAATACATGCTGTTAGCATCAATAGAGGTGAGAAGTCATATCAGAACACAGAGAGAGCACAATCACTGGAGGATTTAAAGACCCATGCTGCCGAAAATCACGTTTTTTCTGATGCTAGAGGACATATCATGAGAATACTCAATACATGAGTATTTCTAACCCTGCAGTAGCAGATTACAATGCTCATAAGAAAGCTAACTATGACATTCGCTTTCATCATGACCCCAAAGACATGTCCAAGAGTTGAGAGGCTTCTACATAACCCGCCACTTCTGCTGCAGCTGCAATGAAGAGGAGGTTTCAGAGCTGCGCTATCTCGGCCCATGACTCGGAGGCGAATTACTCCTTGAGCTCTGAAGAAGAACAGCCCTTGAAAATGACACATGTAACGTGATTTTGGCTTAAAAACTTCTTAATCACAATTTAAAGACCGCTGAGAACACTTTAAATAACGAATAAAAATACAATCGCAGTGGGATAGCTTCATTTGATGTTCTTTATTAAGTGGAAACTCCCTAAAAATAAATGAACCCCTGAGTAGAAAGTGTAGAAAGTGTAGAAAGTGTAGAAAGTAGAAAGCTCTGGATGTGCCTTATTTACCCCTATGTCTGTGGACCCTCATACACACAAACTACATACATGCTCAAGCATCACAGCTCTTTACTTTATGCAGGTACTGTACATCATGTCCAAGTGGCTCAGCTGCATGCACCTGCTCAGATGCCCTTCAGTCAAAATAAATCACTTCGTAGACGGCCGCGGTAAATACAGCTATTGGCATTGGCATGTGAGACGCTGGAAATTCTGAATAAAAACAACAACCTCCAGGCTCCCGCTTTCACCCCCTTCCCACTCCGTGCTGGGCTCTAAATAAGAGCCTCTGTTCACAAGCTGTGAGGCAATGTGCACTCCAGGCAAGGAGGCGAAGAAGAAGAAGAACCTGTCTTTTGCTTCAGGTGGGCTCATTTTCCTGCCAACATTTCCTCTGGCTGTCACCTACTCTATCTTGTAATTGGCCCACTTATGTCAAGTGGTCATCCTAATTGAGAAGAAAACTTCTAATGCGCGAATTTAAAGGGAGAGGGGATAAACGGCTCTGTGGAGGTACATGTGAATCGTCAACAAAATCTTTCACATCACTGGTATCTTAATTCTCGTTCTTGCTTAACTGTATCTGACTGTCAGAGCTGTGGTGGTCCCTTCTGCCCCCGATTCCTCTCCCCTTTAGACGTCCACTACCTTTGCCTCAAGAAAACCTGCTCGCTGCATTCTCCTCTTTCCGAAAATATTTTTCCACTGCCCCGTCCAGACCATGAGGGCCTTTCTTTGGACTCACACACACATATGCACACACATAGCATCGTTCACAGTTCATTCACTCTTTCTCGTTGCTTTCGGCTTCTTTCACCACCTGAGTTTAAAAAAAAAGATGGATATGAGAAATGTAGCTGAAACGCACACGCCCAAATAAAATGATGCAAAGTCTGGTTGTCGAGAGAAACAAAAAGACTTTCTGCAAGGACATTTTCTATAGCAAGAAGTCTGAATTCTGCTCCATATGAATGAAACACATCTACAAAAGCTCAAAACTAAAAGTAAATATCATCTTAAAGAGTGTCTGGTGTGATTATTTCTCACAAAGGGTCACCTGTGAAAAACAAACCCCAGAAACTTATTCTCCGTGGACTGAGGATATGCCCTCTCCAGTACTGTACTGGCTCTGATGTTGGAGGATACATCTGCAATGCTCACTCACGCCTGGTTGGCAGGAGGGATTTACAGGCCCTTCAAGGAGGACCCATCCCTACCCCTCAAAAAAACCCCACCACCCTCCCCTTCCACCCGCCTTCCTCAGGCTCCTCTGGGAGCTGGCGGAGGGTTCGGGTCCCAGTGTAAATATATTTTTTCTCTATCAAAGACACATTTTCCAACCACTGTCAAAGAGGAGGAGGTGGGGGGAGGGCTACCAGACGAAAGAGTGAGAGAGAGAGAGAGAGAGAGAGAGAGAGAGAGAGAGAGGGTGAATGTTTCCCCTCTTTTACCCCCCTTTTTCTCCCCCCCTCTCTCGTCTGCCGCTGCCTGCCGGCAACATCTGGCACTGTTTATCACCTGGCCTGCTGGTTCAGGCAGGAAAAGAGAGGCTGAAAGGGGAACACAGTGCCAACCTGGGTCCACTGATGCAGACTCATAAGATAATTTAGTTTATTTATGACAGTTCGGGTCTTTTGAACCGGTTTTGGCTTTCAGCTCTATCAGCACTTATGATGTACAATGTGGAAAAAAAAATTAAAAGAAGTCTAATGAGGCGTACAAGGAAACTCCTCAGTCAGACTCTTTAGTCAAAGTGGGGAGTCAGAGTGTGAACTGGAGTGTCTGTTAAAGACAGAAAAGCTTGTCATAATTTGTCTCCATTTTCTCTGTTCCCCCAAAAAAATCTCGCTAAATTTTAGATGACATCAACTGACTGCTGACTATGTGCCCGCCTGTCAGTCCAACCAGCTGCGCCCTTAAGAGAGCAAAACTAAAAATGAACTTCCATAAAACTAATGTGTAATAAAAAAAAAAGTCCATGTTGTTTAGCTTCCCCTCTGTTATAAACAGCATGTGGAGGCATTGATCGTGCTTTTCATAAGAGTGTGCACTGAAACACCGACAGGAGAGACCACATATATGTTACTCGTGATGTTCCTCCATCACGCTCCTCTAAATATGCAGAGATGTTTATTAAAGCCACAAACTTTATCAGCAAATCAAACCAATAGAAGAATCCAATATTAGCGACAAAAGCACATACTGGTTTCCACCGCTATCTTACCCCCAATTTCCGTCGAATATGGAACGGCTATGAATAGGCTGTATCTGCCTATCGCAGCTGATTGTACCCATTCGAGTTTATGTGTCAATTTCCACCGGCTTCTTGCCGTTCCGCTGTGGATCGCCAGACTTCGCGAGAGTTCTATTTTTTCCGGACGCCGGAGCATGCCGGATATATTCAGCACAGATTAACCCGTGCTGGAAAGGAAGTCTGAATGAGGTGATGCTGATTTTATAATTCTAGAAGTAGATTTTCCTCCTATGGAAGGACACAATCTACGGCTTACATGGTTAGCCTATGTGGCTGTCTTTATAGAGACAAGTTGTTATCGCACTATTGCATTTGAATCCGCGGGTCCTTGTGAGTTCTTGCGATTACCGCTGTCCGTAATCCGCCACGAAATTCGCCCCACCAACAGATCCAGTAGGAATTGGCTGCCATTCCGGATCTGAGCCGTTCCGGATGCGGTGGAAATTCGAGGTTGCAGACCTTCAAATATCAACCCATCAAGGAGGTTTCTTGTAAAACTTTTAAGGCTCTTGTGTCATTTATACTACTACGAATTATGCCCATTAAAGCTCCTGTAAGAAACTCTAAGCTTGTTTTGATTGTGGCGCCCCCTGTGGACACAGCAGTGCCTTTTATCCATTTCTGAAATGTATCACTTATAGAAAGTCTCTGCAGTAGAAAACATAAATAGAACCATTGTAGTTTGTCATATCAACTGACACCCACCCCCCACTAACAGGTCTTGCTATTACTGACAACTATAGAAGTGAGCGATCCTGTCACTGATGGTTTCATTCGCTTTTATCGGTCAAAAAGAGGCGTCAGTGTTTTTTTTCGTCTCTTTCGTGCCAAGGATTAAAAAAAAAACCTCACAGGAGTTTTAAAAATGAAAACAAGGTATGAGAGAGTACTTTTTACTTCTCAATACAATAAATTGAAATATTTTGTTCCTGCTTCTGCCAATGAGCTAATTAATTAGAGAGGAAAGCTGATAGTGAGCCTTTTCCTGGAACCCAGCATCAGAAAGTGACAGACGGAGAGTGAACCAGAGAGGGAGAGGGGGTATAGGCAAAAAGACAAGGTTCACAGGACAATGAGGCCCATTGATAGAGCGGAGACAGGACCGGGTGCCTCCAGCACGCTGAGACCGGCTAACGGTGCACAGAGGCACAATGATTACAGTCTGCATTACAAATGGCTAAAACAGAGCCTCGGTCCATCAGGAGAGACCTTGTCTAGATCGGCCAAATAAGCTGACTTTGTTCTATTTATGCTTTGTTTGAAACGCAGGATAGCTGAATAAGCAAAAGAAACCTCTGACAGATGGAGCTGATGCTGCTTTTGTTGACTTATTTATAGCTTTTCCACAGCAGGATAAAAACGCACAAACATGCAGGAAATCCAATAAATTCAGTTAAAAAACACTGTTGAGAAAAAAGCAGCTGTAACCGGTCTGTCAAGCTATTTAACATCGAAAAGACACAATAAAACATAAACAACAATAGTGTTTTTTTTCCACTTCACATTCCCTCCACTCACACCTGAAGGACTATAAGAAATGAGAACAGTGGCATCTCAATCGTTTTTCACACTCATTCATGACTCAGAGATCCATAACGTGGCGGTGAATGATGTGAACAAGTGCTTGACGCCATCTATAGGACCCTAGAGTTACTGCATCTAAACCCTAAAGTACCGTGAAGTCTGTGCCCCTGCATGAAGAAGACGGATTCATTAGTGAGCGGGATTTGTTTTGAGTGGATTTACACTCATGAGGAACGCGTGTCGGGGTTATTCTGAATGTGTATCAACTAAATATATTTATTTTTTAAATGATAAATCCTCCTAAAAAGCTTTAAAGCAAAAAAAAAGGTTTAGATTAAGCTGTCCCCCTTAAAGACAGACAAGAACAAACTGACTTTTCATTTCAATCATCTAATCCTCTTCTTCATTTTCTCCATTGTTCCCCCTGCCTGACCTTTGACCTGTGAATGATCTGTTATTATCCCCCTGCGCCTTGTCCAACAGAGCAGGTAATGATGACCGCAGGGGAGCTGTGCCGTACCTGTCTGTATGTGCAGATGATGATCTCCCTCAGGTGGTAGTGCATGGGGGTCATGGTCTCGCTTACGGAGTCTAGGGCCATGTCTACCTCCCGCTTCATCCTGTGCCCGTCGGGGAGCAGACGCACCAGCTGCATCACAACCTGCACAGCACAAGTGGAAAATCATTACACAGTATGTCCGGAGCAAAGCTGTGACTAGACTTCTGAACAAACACTGAAAACTGGAAAAAAAAAAAAAAGACCCGTGATGCATCTGTGATAGAGGTAGTTGGCGAAGTTTTGCTGTTTTGAGTTTTCTCTCATGTCTTTATTTATTATTTTATTTTTCATCCTAATCACCCAGCCAAATTCCTGCCTCCTCTTTCATATCCTAAGATCGTACAATAAAAGGTGGAATTAGTTTCAGTAACATCACTCACTTTTTTGAAGATGCTTAGCAGCTGCCATATGAGATATACTAAAAAAATAACGTTATCTAAAAAGCCTTTCTAACAGGAATCTTACTACGATTCCTTATTTGAGCTCTGGCATTTTAGTGCCTTCGTACCTTTAATCATCCCTGTTCATGAATACAAGTTTAAGTTTGTGACAAAATAAAATATTGACATTTCCATAGTGGATATATCTCCTGTGTTCATTAGGAGGTGCAGCTCTACAAAGGCCACACCTGTGTGTTTAAATCCACTCACAGAGACCAACAATGGTTTCGTTCCAGTCTGAAAAGTAAGAAAAGCTCTTAACAGGGTTCCTACGCAGGCATGGAAAATATGGAAAAGTATGGAATAAATTTGATCAATTTTCAGGTCTTAAAAAGCATGGAAAATGAAAAATAAAGTATGAGAAAATATTTGTGTTTCCAGACTATTACCACAGTTCTAAAATACTGTCTTTGGAAATTCCAAATGTGTAGGAACCCTGTCTTAAATATGGAACCCAAGTAGTAGTAGTCGTTTATTCAGTCATGACAACACCAAATAATGTACACAATATTGACATTTCACACAAAATCACAAAATCAAGAATCATGTGTTGAATATTGACTGAAAAGGCAGAAGCAGACTGCTTATAAAAGCCTATCCTGTGTTGTCAACTTTTTAGGCTACCGACCTGCAGAAAAGCAAAGAAACCACAACAACAGATAATCAATCGCACTTATAAGCTTCAAAAATAGCTTTACAAACTATTTTCTTACAAACCGAAAAAGAATGACATGTTTTTAGATTTATGTTGGCATCATTGGAATCATCTGAAATTATACGGACTGTCCTGAATTAAAAAGAAAGTCTGTATTGAGTCAGGGAGCATTTTTGATTTTGCTCTAAACATAATTTGCATTATTTTATAATAAAACAGATGATAAAATTTCATAACATGAGAATTTAGAAAAAGTGTGATCATAATAATCAGTCTTATTGATAATACGTATAGCTCGTTTTTGCAGTTTTATTATTGAATTTATAGTGGTTTTAAAGGTGGATCCCCACAGTTCCACACAGTAAGATATATAGGGAACAATCAGTGAGTAGTAGATCAAATGCAAGGCCTTGGAATTCAATACTTTTCTCGATTTGTACAGATTTGTTTTAGAGGACAGCCCCAAGTGGACACTTAAGGAACTGCATCTTTTTGCACTTGTGCATCAGCTTCATTTTTTTAATGTTAAAGGTTGCTGCTGTTGCCCCAAATGACATATATCTATGCTTGTGTGTGTGTGTGTGTGTGTGTGTGTGTGTGTGGTACACAGAAACGAAGAAAAGATCATATCCTGTTCGAGAGTCCAGACCTTGTGTTTATGGAGGTTTTTGATGAGCTGAGATTCCTCGAACATGAATTAAGAGGTTTTTCTGTGGAAACTTAAAAAATAAATCCGCTAGCTCTTGTGAGGTAATGACTCATCGTCATTTCACGGTAAAATGGCACTTAAGCGTCATACCTAAACCAAAATGTTTAAACAAGTTTGTTCTCGGCTCAGCTGGTATTTGAAGTGCTGTGAAGATCATCAGGAAATTCCACCAAAGACAGTTTATTTCATAAAGTACTTAAGTTCAACTCAAGGTCTATTTCTTGGTCAGTCAGGTTCTCGAAATTGCACCTTCTTTCTCAGCAAATGGAGCTTGGCCGGACGTATCGGCATTTTCGGTCTCAGAAATGTAATCTTTCAAACCACTCTGACGTCTCTCTAATGATGTTCACTTTAAAACTGAGTTTTGAACCTTGTTGACAAACACAATGTCTTTTCAGCTGCTGAGTGGCACTCCTGAGTTCTCCTGAACTTCCCTGCGTCTAGACTTCGGCTGATGAGTGTTTGAGGGTCAGAGAAGAACTTCAAATCACAGCTGTTATACAATCTTTTCAATTCCTCTGCTCTGCCTAGATTTTTTTTCCCACTATTTGTAAGATCAAGCCATTATTAAATTCATTATTGTACCTTTTAAGTTGCCTTTCTGTGCGACATGTTCCTGTGGTATCTCTCTGCCTTCAAAAATTCACATTTTGTACCATTTAAATGACAAATCATACGTACAAATGCCCTTCAAGTCAAATAACCAGACAACAATCAATCCTGTTATGTCTGTTTGAAAGATGAGAACTTCACGTCAGTCATGACCTACTTGAAAATGTTGGTGCGATCATGTGCCACCATGTTCATTTACAGTGTTGACCTAGCTGAGAGGGGGGGGTGGTTTCCATCAGCGCTGTGTGACTGCAGGTTTGTTTACCAAGCTTTGTTGTAATGCCTTGTGCAGAAAATCTTCTTAAGCACAGAAATGGTGATACTGATAAGGAGCAGAAGATAACAGGGGGTGGAATATAAGAGATAGAGATCGGAGAGCTGAGCAGGACTGCAAGATCAAGCCTCCTTTTACATTCGACATGTGTGCTGGAAGAGCGGCAGCATCAGCATGCAGCCTCAAAGTGTATTTGAAAGATAAAACACCATTTGTGCCACAAATCATCTCGAGGTGCTCGTTTCTCTATGTGTCCAACTAACAGTCATGACAAATTCCAAGCACTTACTTATCACGAGTGCTAAATCCTTGATATGTTGTTTTTAAAATGCCATGTTTGCAAAAATGATGTTTCTGTGCTTTGAATTTTATCACCAACGAAGATACTGTTTAAAGCCAGTATCAGTAATCTGTAATGCTGCTATGGGTAAAAGGGATATTCTGGCATAAAATTAAGTAAGGGTCAAAACACCCTAACACAGAGTTAGACACACCAGGAGACGAACGTTGCCGACCGCTTGCTTCTCTAGTTATACCAACTTCAGTGATGACCGCATGATAGCAATACACAGCTGTCCCAGGAGCCACGAGCTCAACCAAAACGCCACCCTATAGCCACAAATAATGCTCAGAACAGCACCTAACTTCATCAACAGTACATATAGGGTCCCAGCCATAGTACTAGCCACCAAACATCTTTTTAGCTTTACCTAATTTCTTTAACAAAGAGACTAAACACAACTCACCTACTCTCTTCCAGCAGCTGCTTGTGGGGTGATGCAGCTCAAGGAAGAACATTTATGATCATTTCTTCATGGAATGCAATCAGATCAAGACGCTAAGGCAGAAGAACTACCATGTCTGCAGTACAAAATGATTAATATGGTGATTATTACTTCAAAGAAATGATAAAGAAATTATCGTAAATGTTCTGTTGTAGTTGAAGATGGACTGGGAGTACGTTTAATCCTACAAGATGAGGCTCAATCTTATCCGATCTCTACATTTGGTGCGAGTTATTAACAGTCTAGACCAGCTTTTATTCTCAAGCATCTTAGAATACCACTCATAGGAGCTTTAAACTGATGGTTTAAATGACCTATTTTACCTCCAACAAATGTTACAGATGGAAAAGAAAATTAAAAACCATTTCCGAAGCACCAAACACACACAAATGGTCCTATACTAACGGATCCAAGCTAAAAAATAATAAAAACTGTACATTATAGTTACGCTGACAGTTCTACTTATAGCTGTTTGGAGGAAATTCTCAGAAAGCCACGGGTGTCACGTTTTTTTCCAAGCACTGATTAGCCCACTTGTCCACTGTCCGTCACACCAATTCCTCCACCATGCTGTGTTTTAGACTTCACAGCCATAGCAACACCTCTTCTGCAGATAAGGGGACAACAATATAACACATCCTTCAGAGGCTGAATTAGAGGCAGACAAGGTTTCCGTGGCGACCCCTCTGTGTATCCCAGAAACTGCTGTAGGCTTGCTGCTGTAACTGGCATGCTGCATTGTGTGCCTGCAGAGTGTGGCCTCTTTCTATGTGTCCGTGTTTACAGTGTTTAGGACACGGACAGCAGGTTCCAACCACGGACTCATTGTCGCACTCTGAATCAAGAATAAAACCTCCAAGGAGCTCTGATAAACGGTGAGTATTCAGAGCGGGAGAGGGAAGGCTATGGCTTCTGGTTTTTGTTTGGATAAAGCTTTCAATCAGAGGAGAGGACCCTGAAAGAGGGAGTGAACTAAATACGGCCAAAATAGCTGTATTGAAGCCTGCGCATTATTGTTTGGCAGAGCTATATTTAAGAGAAACACAGGAGAAAGAGTTTACAATACCTGTCCTGCAAATAACCCATCACCACAAGAAAACACAAACATGAAAAACCACCAAAAAGATATCCTGTTGTGGCATTCATGGCTGCCCTGAGAGCCCCTCAGCAGTTCCACACTTGTTGCAAACAGCATGGAAAACAGACTCCAAATAAAAGATTAAAACCTAAAGAAATTAAAGCATTAAAAAGCTTTAAAAACCCACTCCTCTAAAAATCATGTTTTTCTTGTTTTTTACATGTTCATATAGCATTTTTCTGATGCTACAGGACATATCATATCTGCATTCAGATTACAGTGAATCTCTGGCAGGCCCAAACGACAGGGTCAGAAATAGTGAGATTTCCTACATCACAACTCCAAGCTCCGCCACCCAGAGCTCTGCTATGCAGGCCAGGCTCGGAGAAATAGAGAAGACGATCGCGAAACAAGCGTGTGCCTTAGCGGATTCCAATGCTCGTAAGAAAGATAATTATGATATTAGCTTTCATCATGTCCCTAAAGACATTAGTTTCACCTGCCACTTCTACTACACCAGTGAGATTAGGCTGCAAGCTAGCGCAAAGAGGAGTGTGCAGAGCAGAGCTGTCTCTGCCCACGACTCAGAGGCTAATTGCTAATGAGCTACTGGCGCTGTGCTGAAGAAAAGCCCTTGAAAATGACACAGGTAATACGATTTAAAGACCATTTAAAGACCACTGATAACACTTAAAGTATTAAAAACATAACGATTGGATTGGGACTTAAATAGGTAAAGTTAGGTGATCTTTTCCTGTCAAGTGACTCTGAGGTCTAAGAGGCAACCGAACCACACAAAAATATGTTTAAGTCAACGCTAATGAGGTCACTGCAGTAAAAATAGCGGATTGACAAACAAAAGTTGTGTTGATCTAGCAGATTATGTCTACTTGTTTAACCTTTCACAGTACCACTTATGATAATTGAACTCTCGCTGTATACACAGCTGCCCGAGAATGATCGCCACATAATGACTGTGTGTCTCAAACATCATTAAAATGTGTTGACATGATTTTCTCTGTCAGGGATTTTGCACGCTTTTTTTTCCTTTCGGAGTACAATCGTTTGTTTTGTTTTGGTGTTAATGTGGGCTACCTTTACAGCATCGAGCTATTCGTCAATCTCTCTGCAGATCATGCTGGTTAAGCTCTCTCCGTTTATTTGGTTGTGATTAGGCAGGTGGTTGTTTCAAAGACTGTGTAAAGAGCGAGAGTGCGAACAAGAATAACACAGATAGGGCGTAATAAGAAAACACATTACGAAATCCGTTTACAGACGGCTTCGTCGTTCAGGTTGAATTGTTTTTTGGCTCTTGTAAGAGCGCTTGTTAGTTTTTCAAATGCCGTTCCTCCCCTCGTCAGCAAACCTAAGTAAATGATGGTGCAGAAACCACAGAGCTGTCACTCACTAAGTCGCATCCTCTTTAGCAACAACCAAGTATAACTAATAAATCGAGTGAGGATATAAAGTATTTTATGTGAGATTTTTTTCACTTTCTGACTAACTTGTTGATACGGAGGAGGTGAGTTTCACTACCACCTGTACTAAAAGGGAGCTGGAAATGTTTTGGCTTCACTAAAGGGGAGCTGACCTGTCCTGTCATCCATCTTTTCAAACAGATGGAGGTGTTGAATGCACCTGTTTCGAAGTGTACATACCTCAAATTCTCCTTTCGTGTACTTGGCATCAGGAACGCTCACAATCTCATCATCAGCAAACTCTGGAAATCCCTGCAGGTATAAGAAACAACAAATATTATGTTATTGTGGGTGATCAAAACAGTGTCAGCAGGTAATCTACATGAAAGAGGAAACTCACATTAAAGTGCCAAAGAGTCAGAACAGCGACGACCATGCCGGTTGTGGTCCTGCTTTTGCCGTTAGAGCAGTTAAAAACGAACGCAGAGTGAGAGTCCTCCGCCAAGGAGCTCTTCATGGCCTCCAGCAGCTTATCAAAATCCTAAGGAAAACACACACACGGAGACACAAAAATACACTTTTAAAATGTTTGTATCTGATTTTAATTGAAGCGATTTCAACATATGAATGGCAACGTGATGTAAATGAAAAGTTTTGCTTATTTATGCTGAATTTCTATTTTATTTCAAAATAAACATGCCAATATTTGTCCACAATGTCAATAAAAGCCCTAAGAATAGTTCAGAAATGGAATATGAAATTTGGGATGAATGGAAATAACTTCAAACTGTCTTTTAACTTCACAATTCTTCACATTTTGGTTCACTAATAGAGATAATAAGAGCCTTTTAAGCGAAATTGCATGTTACAGTGACGAACAGTGCCATTCTCTTCCACTAGAGGGAGCACAAAGCCTGTTCAATATTACCCTTCCTCTTGACAAGCAGCTGCCGCAGTACTCTCTAAGACTTTTGCATTTTGAGTCAGCTTGTTCACGCCTGTTTATCTATCAATGTGGGGACCGTGACTTTTCAAAAACCAGAGTGAGGACGTTAGGAAAAAGTGGGGACTCAGTTTTAATGTGCAGGATAGAAGTAGGTTTACATGATAGGTGAGCATTTCAAGGACCAAATCAGTGTCGATAAGGGTTTCCATATAACAGGAAGGATGAGTATGTGTGTGTGCATGTATGTTTCTGCCTCCTTTCACATCTTTACCTCCTCTCTGGGTGCACTACAGTCCAGCAGTGGTATTCTTTTGTAGACGAGGCCCTGGTAAGAGCTTTTGTGCTGGTTAAACATCTCTTGAACCGTCAAGCAGCTTTTAAACATCTTCATCTGTTTCTCCTGCTCCAGCGTCACCTCCAGCCACTTCTGAGCCCGCAAGACCTCCTCCTTCAGCGACGTCTCCAGTTTCTAAAGAGGAGACACACGAGCGCTTTCGCATCAGCTGAAACAAAATAAAAAAGTAGAAATGCCATAATAGAACAGCTTTTACTCTACCTCTATAATCTGTGGGTCAGAGGATGGGATAGAAACGGGCTGATCCTGAGACGAAGGCTCCCTCGGTGTGAAAATCTGCCCGTTCCCTTCTAGCACCAGCTCCTCTTGCAGGTTGACCCACAGCACATGAGTATGCTTCCTTTTCTCATCCGTCAAATGGGCCAGAACTGCTGCGGTAGCCTGCGAACGCACACACACACACACACACACAGACGATTAGATTAGATGGCGAGGAGCTGGAAGTCCAGCTGGAGGATCTGAGGTGGGCGTGCAAGTGTCCGAAAATCATTATGAGTCATTCCTCTTGAGTCTGTCTGTACAGTTATAAATATTCATGACTTCAGGGATGCATTTTGGAGAAGATTACAAGAACTGACAAGGAAATTTAGTTTGCACTTGAGATTTGAGTCGAATAAAATCGCTAATAAATCCAAGAATGACGATTTGTAGACTTGAGTATTACAAATAATCCTCCCTCAACAGTATAAATATTCTGTTACGCAAATAATCTCATTCTCAGCTCCTCAAGATGTCAGTTTTTGATAAATAAGGCATGAGTGTGAGTGAATCTGTTGTACCTCTGATGTGGGCTGAGCCGCTCCGTAAATAGGCATCTTAGGTACTCGTCTGAAATTGACCGCCTTCATCTCCTTCACCGTGCTGAGCAGGTCAGGAGCCAAACACTCATCAGCAACCTGCACAGAAACACGCGCATTTACATTATGCATAAATATAATGTAAAGTCAGTTTGAGAGTCAAGATGATTACATGACTGCGTGGGAGGACGATGTGAGAGATGTGAAGGAAATGATAGCGAGGAGAGGTTTATCAGAATTAAAAAAAAAAACTGTGTCTTCGAACATGAAGACGGAGGTATTACCAGAACCCGAGCTCCTTTAGTGACCAGCTCTGCGGGGGCTGACAGCTCGGATATGTCCATGCAGGCCAGTAATCTGTACAGCCAAGCGTGGCAGCACATCCACTGGCTGAAGTTTGACACGAAGGCAAGAGGATACTGCAGAGGCAGAGGACGCACAGTCAGAATTTAGAGGATTATTTTTACAGCTTTTGTACTCAAATCCAGAGAGAAAACTGAGCTCACCTGCTCGTGTAGGTACGCATTAAACACAATCAAGTAGAAGTAGCGCTCCAAGCTCTGCATGGTTCTGTTGAGAAAGTAGTCTTTGGTACTGCTTCCCTAAGAAACACAAAGATCGAGTCATGTCAGTGTTTCTTTTTTTCAACCACAGCCTCTACCACAGCCCGCTGATTTCAAGACAGGCGAGAGACAACTACCCAAAATGCATCAGTACAAGGGCCCAAACTCTGAGGACTTTTTAAGCATCATCATCTTTTGATTTCTGCCAAGCTGAGCGTGACTCAAGAGCTATCCACGTCACACACGCTGTTGTCTTTTCAGGCTGAGTGAGGAGTTACCTGAATTTTATAATCCTCTCCGATCGCCTCCAGTTTGCTCTTGTTTTCATATATTGCTTCTTTTATGTTGTGCATTTCTGAACACAGAGTGATCGCCTGGTCAACCTGTTGGACAATAATAACATGTCATATAACCAGTTGTCATGTTTAGTGCATTGAAATGACAAAATCACCTTTTGAAGACAGTGTAAGCTATCTGCCTTACCTCCTCCATGACTTTCTGCCCATTTGGCAGCTTGTTGATCAGAGTCTGGATGACCTTGAACAGTGGTTTTGGCTCTGGCGCTGCCGTCTCCTCACCTCTGTAAAACAGGGCAGCTTAAGTCAAGTCCTGTTTAGCCTGAATCTGAAAAAAAGGCAAAACTGCACTTGGTCTTACTGAGGTTCTGTCTGCGACGCCCCCTTCAGGCGGTTCATGACCAGGGTGCCGAGGATCATGGCGAGGTTGGTGCGGCCGACTCCCACCTGGCAGCTGAAGAGCAAAGCGGGCAGGTGTTCAGGTGCATCATGGCCTCTGGATAAGCTGGTGCTTTCCTGGAAAACAGAGCAGATATGAGACGATAGATCTGAAAAGCTGAAGAGTGGTGTATTTTTAAGATGCAATCATGAGGATTGAGATGAATCCGTTAGTTGATTGTGGTGGTAAAACTGGTTTAGCATAGGGTTTTATGTGTGTTTAACTGCAGATCACCAGACAAATGCAAGCTGAGATGAGGAAGCTGTGTTTATGTAACCTTTTAACGGCCACATAAAGGAGAAGGGAGAGGATCTAGGAAGTTAAACTAAAACCGTCCAACACAAACCTCCCAGAGTAACAACACAATAAGTGAAAATGACAAAACAAATCAGTGAATCAAAGTGTTAAATCTCTTATTTAAGCTCTAATAAGAGTAAAAAGGGCAACTTTTCATCCTGAGGAAGCCGATCCTGCTGCTGTCAGTCCAAAAAAGGCCAAAACAAGAAGAAAAGTACATCCTGTGTGAGTGAAGAGCAGGATGGAAACCAGACAGAGCGGATGACCAAAGAGCGGACATAAAGTGAGAACAGCCCTGCAGGTTTCTGCCATTTATTTCAGGACTATAACACCTTTAAGTGAGCGATTGCACCGACTGGACTAAATCAAGAGGCAGCATGTGGATGAAAAAAAAAGCTGCTTTGACCTTTTCTCTGCCTCGGTGAGAACATCCAGGTGCTCTCCTGATATTCCAGCAATTAATAACTTTAAAAACACATCAAAACAAGATTCGGTCCAGAGGGGTAAGAAGGTGAGAGTTGTTATGATTGGTGTATTTACACGGCCTTACCCTGAGTATGTTAACAAATGCATCAAAGTCTTCTTCCAGCGGTGCTCCCTCTGTTGGCAGCGGTAATCTGTAGTACCTGCGACAAAACAGGACTGTTACCAAGAGATCTGCCTGCTGTATTTTGTCAATATTGATCTTATATAGGTCACAGCACAACACACGTACACTCATCTGACCTAGAAAAGACAGCTGAGCTCTCTTGTGTTGTGTTTCCTCATCACGAAAAAAAAGGGATGTTAAGAGATATCAAACCAGTGAATCTTCTTTTTCAAAAAAAAAATCCCCTTTTAAAATTGCAGATTCACCGCAATAAAAAAGCCTGCTTCCTTTTTTGGCTGCACATGAAGAGAAGGCTCTCTGTGTCCCAGAAACGTTATGATCAACTCGTGACATCTCATGAAAAGGGGACACTGAATGGAAACAGTCTGCAACAATCTAAAGTTTAAATCTTCAGTCTCCTCTTTTTCTTCAAAAATAAAAAAAAGCATAGCAACCAGTTTTCTGCACAGATAAGCGCCACTATTTATAACCTGTCCTTACAGCAGGCAGGCATGTGTAAACTAATACGTGAGCTGAAGAGGCTAATAAAGGAACAATGTAAACAACCTGTAGGCCGGCATGGTGAACATGGGCCTCTTATAGACCTCCTCTGTCACATGGATGTCCTCCTCACATGTGATGGAGATCTTCTGCGGCTCGTCTTTGAAGAACTCGATGTCGTTGTAGACGTAGAAGATGTTTTCGTTGAGTTTGGCGAAATCGTGGAGCTGCGAGAAAAGAACAAAGAATGTTTTTAGAATGCTATATCATAGTTTAGAGCCCAGGACATTACAAGGGGAAGAAACCACAACAGCACCCATCTTATGTACTAAATGGAGAGATGATAACCTCACACTGGAAAAATTACGATTAACATTAACAGAATTCGCAATAACTGACCTACAAGGTTTTTATGGCTGATGGAAGATGTGTAAAATTTTAAGGAGTAAAATTTGAAATGCAATAATGTCTATTTAATGTTTTCATGAGCGATAAAGGAGGCTAATCAGGTGTAGATAAAGTTTACGGTGCCATAATTTAAGTGCAAAATTTATGCATAATAATAGCAGTAAAAATTATTCAAGTCCAGTCAATAGGGCAGGAATTTGCAAAAAATAGGTTTTCATTTCATGTTCAATCTATCTATGCAGTAATAAATTTGCTCGTTTCATGTGCAGCAATTTAAAAAAAAAAAATCATGTGAATTGATTGATATCAAGAATTTTTATGAGCGATAAAAGTGATTCCAGTTTCTTGTGCAATAGCGTGCATACATTTTCATGTGAATTAATAATGTTCAATATTTCACATCTTTTCACGTCTAATAATCATTATCAATATTAAAAGATGTCTAATTTTCATGTGTCTTTTTTTTTTAAACTGTCAAATGCAAAAAATGTATTATTTTTTTTTACATATTTTATAGTTAGAAAAAATTGAAGAGTAAAATTTTGTCTTGCAATTTTTGATCTGCAATAATTATCTGAACAAGCATACATGTATCTTCTATTGTTTTAATGGAGTTCTACTTTACGTGTCACAGAGTTAACACTTTTGAATAGTGTTAGAATAAATTAAGTGTAGAACAGTTTTTGTGATTATATATAATTTCACTTTTCTATGTTCTATGTTACGTGGAATTCCAAATGCCTTTGTACCTGGACCTGTGAAAGAGGCAGTTAACTTACTTTCTAGACATCTATCCTTAATGTATCAAGTCAAAAAACTCCATCACATCCAGATGCTGAGTAATGCTGAGTAATGCTGAGTAATGCGTCACCTCCTTCCTGATAGTGAGCTCCAGACTCTCCACCAGCTCCTCCTTTTCCAGGTCGTGAAGGTTCTCATGAAGGTTTTCCTTCCTCCTCGGGGTATATGGCACAAAGTCATCATCCTTGTGCAGGAAAACCACCGGCTCTTCCCTCACACAGAAAAATATGATCTCCTGTTTGAAAAAGGCCAAATGACAGGCTTTAATTATTGGCCTTTTTTTTTTCCTTTTACATTTTACACCAATATCAAGCGCAACTGGAAACAATCAGTTGTCATCCGACATGCAGCAAGGATTTAGAGGAGGCTTGACGTATAATTTTGTCAATTTCATTTTAATTGGGGTACGTTTTTCTTGCTGTTCTAAGCAAAGAGATTCTTTTTCCACTGGTACAAACGACCGCAACTTTGTTTGCTCACTGCAACAGTTCAGCCACAGCCTCCTCTCAGTACTTGACTCCTCAAATATTTACTGACAACACAGATAGAAGGAGGGCAGGCAGAGACACACAGAAGCAGACGGAGGAGAATTAAGGGCAAGAAAACCACAAATAGCATGTGGAGAATTCCTATTTGCTTGTGTATGAGAGTTAGCCTGGGATCTGACTGTATGAATACATGGGAGAGAAATTAACCTTGTGTCCTTGCACTTGGAGTCTCTGGAGGACCTGTTTGAAGCCGCTCAGGCTCGGTTGGCCCATTCCGTACAGCGGGTATGACCCCTTCACTTGGCGGAAGTTGGGTGCTCCATAGCTGCCAGTTGTATTCAGGACATCTGCCTTAGTGTACACATCCTGGACCATGAAGTACTCCTCCTGGAAAGCAATGCAGCTTTTGTAAGACCGACCTTCACACAACATTAAAGCACCTGTCTGAAAATATCAACCTGCAAATGACATGTGCCCACTTGGACTTTGTTCACAATCAGAACATAGCTGTACGTTTTTCTGGCTCTCTAAGTCTGCAAATACCAAAACTGATACGGTCTGATTCCACTGTTGTCTCAACAACTGAAATCACTCTCTTATCGCCCTCATCATCTCTTCAAGATTTATTATTTGAGGTTTCTATAAAGATTAACAAAAACATAAATACAGATTGCCGCCGGTCGGGGAGCTGCACCATCAACAACTCCCTCACTGAATCTTCCGCCGCTGATCTTGACATTTACAACTTATGAAGGTATTTACTCAAGGGAGGAGTGTACTAACCACAAACATGATGAGTAAGGCCTTTGCTTTTATAATTGTTGACCATAATGAAAATAAAGACAAATATTTACACTAATAATAGGTCAACCTGACACCCAGTGATGCACCACTTAACAAAAGATAACAGCATCACAAGGAAGGTAGAAAAACATCTTACAGCTGTGGCGCAGTATCTTCAAAACTCCCTTAGATTCATCAATAGTTCAGTTATGATAGAGAGCACAGCAACAGGGTAGATACCCAGAATGCATAGCTTTGATTTGAAGCCAATCATGTCGCTTTGATGGTGTTATATACATTCACTCTTGAAGCCTGATTATATTGTAAAAAAAATATTATGTGTGTGAAGATGGGCTTCATCTGAAATTTGAGGAATTCTTTGTTTGCATTGATTTTGGCGCCCCCTGTGGTCAAAATTGTATCTCTTTAAAGATTTGATCTAGTGGAGCAGTCTGTTGAAAAATCTTCTCTTACAAATTTGATGAAAAATGTCGGCAAATTCACACCTACCCTTCAACAGTTGTTATAAACTTTACAATGAGTTCACAGAAATAATCAGTATTGTCACTCATGGTCCTTTTTAGCTTTTTAAGCTCAATGATAGCTAATGTAGTTTGATTCATAACCAGCTTTTAAAATCTCACAGGGGCTGAGAACTGACCCACCTGGACTGAACCACTGGCTATCAGCGACGTTTTTCCGTCCTGCGATATTGCGGCATTTATTTTTTCGTATCACGGTCGAATTTTCTAAAGTTTCGCATACTGCGTGTCCACTTCTGACCAATCAGATTGCGTGTTTTTGCGACGTCAGATTCACCGGTATATCCAACATGGCCAACCAGCTGATTATTTATTTGTCGGAGAACAGAGTGCTTTTTGATAAAAGTCACAAATATTACAAAGATAACGACCTGAAGGAGAACTTGTGGCGAGTCAAAGTGTCGGATTTCTCATATGACGATGGTTTGTGTGCTTTAACAGTTTGCTAAACGTCTTTGTTTTAATTTTCATCTGTGCTAAGTAACTTTAGCTCGTAAGCTAACCTGTTCAGATACAACATACCATATGTATTTTCACTGTTTTAAACTCAATCACGTTGCTGTCACAGCACCATTAGGTCTCGGTTGTTACTTTACATTTATGGATTATAGTTTAATGTGCTTATCTAGTACTGGCCCTGACTCAGTACATGCTATCATGACAGACAGACATCTCAACACTAGAGTCTAATCAGAACTGAAAAAACAGTCAGTCTGCTGTTGTGTCAATCTTCTCACTTCCATCCGGGACGCAACTTTTTTCCCTCTGGAAAGTCGCAAAATCACATTGCGCTTGATGTGTATAGTCAGACGCGTCAAAATTCGCCTCCAAATATTTTGTAATTTTACGACATATATTTGCATCGTTCCCGGTGTGTAAGGACCTTTAGAATTAAAACAGAGCTGTATGCTGTAAGACGGACAAAAGGGCATATCTATGTTACAAAGTAGTGTTCGCCCCCTTTGTGTTCTTGTGTTTTTGTGTTCCTGTATATGTTTTTATTGATAGGAAAAAATTAAATCTAAAAAAAATAATATATAAGCAAGAGCTTTAATTTGTAGTTTTCCAAATTCTGCAATGAAAGACCACAATATAACATGGCAAAAAATTCTTGTATGGTGTTTTTTAATTTGGTCATGATCTCCCTGAAGTAAAACTGCTGCCATATTGTATTATTGTATCTGTTTACTGCACATTTTTCCATTGTTTCATAATGTTGTTTTTTTGTACTTTCTGCAAGCTTTTTAAAACACTTAAAAGTAAATACAACTCTGTTTTTTTAAGTGGGTTTTCTTTCTTCACAGACTTCTCATTTTATCTTTTTACTCTTACATTCCTTCTTTGATTATTGCTGATCAAGTGAAACACCAGGGCAGATTTCTTGAATATGTTAACCCTCTCTGTAATAAACCGGCTTTAATCCAGATTGAGATGCAGGCAGAGTCTGTGTGTTAACACTGACAAACACTGCCGGTCTGAACAGACAGAGCAGAGGTGACGGAGCAGATCAAAGCAGCAATAAGAAGGTGACAACATTCCTGTTTCAAAAGCCGCCCCACATCATAAAACATCGCATGACAATGTTCCTGTGCCGTTCTGCGATTTGGACGCGTGAATGTGAAAAGAGCGGGGCTCAGAGGCAGGTGAGGTGAATCCACATCTTCCTGCTTCGACAGTGTGGCAGGAGGAGGTTTGTGCTGCGTGTCAAAACTCACCTGCACCAGGTAGTGCTCTGGCATGTTGTCTGATATCCGGCCCACTTTGTAGTTGGTCTTGAGGATATCATCGTGAATCTGGAACTCCTGTCTGCAGTTATACCTGAGGACAGAACAGCAGCAGGTCTGGGGGTCAATTCAATTATCAGCTGCTGTTTGCCAGGCCTGAATTGACAAATGAGATGATAACAGGGGCAAACACTTCAGCTGAGGGGGGTGGTACTGAGGGGAGGGGGTCCCCACAGTGATCAAAGAGGATTAACACCCAATTGTGAGAACGCGGATTCGAGGAGGGACTTACGTGATGACGACAGGTGCAACTTTGTTGGTGATAATGGACTTGGCCTTGTTGTTGTGGATGCTGACCGTCTGAAAGGGGCTCATGCTCAAAGACTGCCTGCTGTTGGCCATCCCGTTGCCGTGGATACTCTCAAGTGGGGACGCTACGGAAACAGGCTGTGGCGCTGCGCTGGCAGTTGTACCCATGCTCCACAAGCAGCTGTGAATGACATCGCAGCGGACTCAGAAACAGGAAGCAAACGCGCTGACATACAAACCCACACGGTGCAAACACATACAGTAGGTGGGGAGGAGGAAAACAGTGACAGATTTAAGAAGTGTGAAAAGCTATTTGGTGAAAGTCTCACGCTTCAACGCAGGAGTGATTTGTCACTGACATTACATAACAAACACATTCATTTTCAAGAAGTGCCCTTCATTTTAGATATTATTTAAGCCGATAAAACACTTGATGACTTTTATCTTTAACATTCACTCCTGCAGAAATGATCTGACTCACTGAGCCGCCTGTAGACAACAGCAGCAACCGATAGGGAGAGATTAGGTTAAGGATGGTGCTGGTATTGTCTGACAGTTGTATGCATGTGTATGTGTGAAAACACATCATAGCAGAGGGTCAGGTAGGTCTAAATTACACTGGATCTGCATTGCTGTCAAAAGAGTGAAATATTTAAGGGCACTACAGTGAAATATTTTCTACATGAATAAAAGGAAAAATCACTCTGGTCAGTCAAAATCAGAGGAATAAGGGAAGAAGACCAGGCAGAGATCATCGACGAAAAGTACATCCAACAAATCGAAAAAAACAAACACAAAGTTAATGCAACATAGAGTGGGTTTTTGTGGGTGGTTTGTTTTTAGTTATTTGTTTCTATGTTTTTAAATTAGTTTTTAAAAACATTGAAACTATATTTCACTTCTTAAAATCTGCTTTTATTTTATCCATTATTTTAATAGTTTTTTGATTGTTTTTATGTCTGCGTTGTTTTGTCTATTTACGTACAGCACTTTGTTCAGCTGTGGTTGTTTTAAAGTGCTTTACAAATGAAGTTGAGTTGAGTTTTGACAGTAATACAGGAGTTAAAAAAGCCAACAAAACATACAGGGAAGAGGAACTTATAGAAATGTCACTGTAAAAAATAACAATGAAAAAACATGTCTGTTTGACTTTACACAAATTTTAACCAAACCGGCACGTAAGCTGATAAAAATACTGATCTTGGCTCACCCTCTCAGGATTTTATTCCCATAATCACCTGTGGTACATTATCAACTTCTACATATTAAAATTGAATACAATTAAGTTCTACATTCTATATTTAAACACTTCTCCAGCTCCTCTAGTAGATTTATAATATGTAATAAAATAGAAAAGATATCACATATTTAAAGCTCCTGGGAGGAACTTTCAGTCTGTATCAGCGTTGGTCCCTGCAATAGACAGCTGTCTTTGCTTGTTTTGTGCTTGCTTAAGTAGAGTCTCCTGACTAAAATCTCACCCCTAAAACACAGGGCTGTTTATTTAGATACCTGGCTGACACCTACTCCTTCACACCAGGTTGAGGCATTAAGAATAACAATATAGAAGTTGTCAATCTTGCCGCTTCTGGTCTTGTTTGTGTCATGAGAAGGTATCAACATGAATTTTGGTCTTTTTCACGAATGTCAAAAAATTCCTCACAGGGGCTTTAATATTTCTGTATCCGACAAGGAGCCAGTTTTGGCTCTCTGGCTGATTAACCCTGTCATGTAACAAGAGTAGTCTTTCAACAGATGATACATCATGCAGAAGTTTAGCAAACAAGCTCAGGAAATTCCCCAGTGTGCTCAGCCCTGATATTATGATAACCATTAATTTCATATCTGTACTCTTTAATAATAAGATAAGAGTCGAGCGTGAGGCTGTATTTATATTTGATTCAAAGCACTCAGACCCCCACACACGAGCCAGCCACAGGTTTCCAACAAACCTCCTCCTCTTTGAATAAACAGTTCGCTTTGCAGCGAGCTCTCCAGATAAACAAATGAGTCCTAGAAGCCCGACAAGCGGCGGGGACAACACTAGTCCTCAGCCTCACGTGTAGCACGGAGCTGGTCAGGAAGCTCCGACAAACAGATCAGGGAAACCTGACACACCGGAGAAAAGTATGTCATGGTTTGCAGATACTGTAACAGTGCAGCTGCAACTTCAAAATCTACTTGATGTGAGACAGCTGAGAGGGAACAGCAGGGTGGACTGAGCTCAAAGCACCTCTGTGTGATCTCCAGCTCTGAATAAAGTGCACTTTCATTGTGCAGGGAGGCTCTGTGGGGAGAGAAGTGCCGGCTGAGTCACCACTACTCTCCTCTTTGTTGAGTCTGGATCTGAGTGGGCAGGTCAACCTTTTACTCCCCGAGCCTTTGATTTGGTGGAGGGGATCTCGATAGGAGGGTAAAAAAAAAATAATGATGTGTTGGCTACTTTGTCTAATGACGTGGTTGAAGTGCAGAGGCAATGACTGAAATGTTTTTACAGCTTGTGCTACTCTGAGGAAACTACTAAAAAAGTAAAAAGACTTCAGAGGAAAAGGGAGCAGAAGTTTCTAAAAAGTTCCCTAAAAGGAAGCCAAGTTTTCAAGAAAACTGAGCTCCAGCTGCCAAACCTATTTAAGTCCCCACCACATACCAAAAGCATCTCTTTTGCTTGAATTCAGGAACCACCACGAGACACGAAACTCAAATGTAACTCCACTCTGATCAAATCTAACAAAGTTTTACTTCTTACGTTTGGGATGAGGAGCGATCCGAACTCCGAGATCCTTTTCTTTGCTGCTTGTTTTCCGCCATGGTCCAAAGGAGTGTGAGAACTTGGCATCACATCCATAAAAGAAATCTTCCTCTTTTAGATCCCCCTTTATACCCCTCCCCGGCCGGTGGGAAACACCCCTTTGGGGAGCTCGCAGTGCCTGGTTGCTTGGCACAAGGAAAAAAAATAAAAACTTCAGGATTCTGGGCTTTCGGAAAGCTTCCTCTCTGCGCTCTTCCTATCTCCTGACTGATGTCGAGGAGCAGATTCATGCTAGTAACTCAAGTCTCTATGGAGGGGACCGGGGGAAATAGTGGTACATCTGGCAGCCAGATGGCTAAAGATCAGCTCACTTTCACAGGGACAGGCTGCACACAAAGACGACACAGTTGACTTTTGTACTGTACAGACGGCAGTACAAAGGAACGCACTGGAAGTATCACTCAAGTAATCAACAAACAAAGTATTCATCTTCATCATCGTCATCATGGAAAAATCTAAACATTTTCTAGGTATGACTTCATCTATGAGGATGCATCACTTGTCTGTATTTAACTGTCCTCTGAATGAAAAATTAGGATATGAGAGGATTGGATTTTCATTAAAGGAAGTGCTCTAGTCTTATGTGTATAACCTGAGAAACCACTTATAATCGGGCTTTGGTGTATGTATGGAAAACAGGAACTATGGAGAGCAAAAGCAAGCAGAAGGTACACCGCCACTGTGTGATTATGACGCAGCATAAAATGTTGGTAAAGACAGAATTTGATGGTTTGCAAATAACAGAAACCATGAATATTTCATTTAAAATACTGCAAAGACAACAAATCATGTTGAAACCATCCATATATCCATTATCCTATCATTACTGCTTATTCTTTTGGGGGTTGAAGGAGCGCTGGAGCCTATCGCAGCCATTATTGGGCAAGAGGCAGTGTACAATCGGGACAAGCAGCCAATCCAGAGCAACATAATCCTGTTTTCTTCTGCATTCAACATAGCCATCTAGTTCTATTGGAAGTGTGGTTGTAGATCAAAACCCAAAACTTAAAGACAGTCTCCATAAAGACAGACCTGACAAAATTTGCCATTTGACTTTTTTCAGAACTCTGTAACATGATGTGGCAAATTCAAGACCTTTTTATCAAGTAAGTGACCAGAAAATCTGTTTCTTTCGCAAAAGTCAAAATTAAGCTTCTGTGACTGTAAGTTGCCATCTACTGTCAAACTGAGACCTTCTGGTACTTCAGGTTAAAGATGCTGGTCCAAATTAAATGTGTGATGCTCCACAGCGACTAATTTCCTTGTTGTTTGCACAGAAATTAAAATTCCAACCAAGTACCGTGACTAGTAAGAAACACCCAGAAAACAGACAAAATTAGACCCGATTAACTTACTATCGCTAAACACAGGATCACATAGTCCACAGGCATTGTGAAATTAGTTTACACCAGCAGTGCAAGCACCACTAAACCTTGATCCCCTCTAGTTGATATGAAATAAGATGTCATCTGTGCTTGTTTACATCCAGGTAGTGAGGTACTGCAGCGTTATGGTGATAGCCTGAGGAGTGGTGGGTTGCTGCAGTCTTGTCTCGGTTTCGTTGTCCTGTTTCAAATATGTTAAAGTTTGATATGAAACAAAGTTAGTACATGTCTTTTATATGCCCTCTTTGTTTAATCTGGACTGAAAATAGAGCTTACAGTCTGTACATTCCTGAGAGTGAAGGGCATCTACATAGCGAACTCTTTTTCAATCTCTGTCACTTTAAGGACATTTAATCAGTAGGTTTCCTTTACCCACCACCACAGTCATGCATGATAATGTGCATGTTCCTATGTGGCTGCGTTGAAGGCTATAAAACACTCCAACAACAGGCCCTCCAAATGTTCTCATCCACACTGGAACTTCATATGTCTTGTACCATGTGATGTTGCTATTTGTAAAAACGGCAAAAAAAAACGGGCACTTCCTGACGGAGGCTGCAGTTTTATCGGCCTCTAAAGGAAATGAAACCTCGACGTTGCTGCAGTTCATAAAGTAGTTTGCAAACTGTAACTGCTCCATCACAAAAACCCTCAGTCCTACCTTATAGTCTTTCAGCTCTGCTGCAAGACCATGGTGCACTCACTCTCTGATTGTTTGCTGGGGTTTGTCAGACACACTGGGTTCACGGGCAGGCCTGGTGCAGAGCAGAGCAGGCGGGCAGCCGGGGCGGAGGCCTGAGTAGAAATAGCCCTCAGTCATAAACATCCTCCTGGAGATCCAATCAACGCAACTCATCAGAGTGGCTGTTTACCCCGCATGTCTACTAGGAAAGCGTCACACTGCTCGAGAGGCCAATAAAGCAACAACACAAACTGGGATTTATTTAGACAATATAAAAAAGAAAGAAAATAGTCACTCATTCTGAAATTCCCTGATTGCACAGCAAGAATAGGACTAAAGGAAACAGCAACCCTCTGCCAGCCAACCAGTGTTGCTCCATTCAGGGCTGCCCTGTTTTAAATTCAGCCGGTGTCTCAACTTTGCTGTGGCAACGTCTTCAGACAAAAACGGCCTGAGTGCATACAGGAAGGAGCGTGCAGCTGCAGGATGCATCTGTTGGTGGCCGCTGAGGAAGGATGCAGGGTGCTCTTCATTCACAGGAGATGCAGGGGTTCAAGAGGAGAGATAGGGATCATTTTATGGGACGCTGAGTGGATATTTCAACGCCACTTCCAGTGTCAAGATGGAGGAAAGGCAAACACGCTGCACCAAAAACCACAAGGATTAAAATGCAACTTGCTCACTTGGCAACACTGCTCATCTTTTTCAAGGACCCTGGGTATTTCTGGTCTCCATGGCGGCCACTCGTTCGGTCTGCTAATGCCGAGTCCGAGAGCCTCAAGGCTGCACAAAACCACTCAAAAATGGCACAATTATATGTACTGTGTATGGCGTAAGAAAACTCAAATTAATATATGCAAGAACATGCAAAAGACACTTCAGAAATCCACTCTAGCAAATGTTTACCATGGCGTAATCTCATCCGATATAATAATGACACAACGTCTCCACAGTCTCTCACTCATCACAGGAAACTAAACCCCCAAAACCATTCAATACAACCAACACACACATGCACACCCCAACAGAGGAAGTGTACGCACACCTTGTCAGGAAATGCTCGGTTGTACCCTCTGCAACTTCCTCCCTGCAGCTGTACACATATTCCACCAATGAGGGCCAGGGGTTACACACAGGCGTGATTCCACAGGACATCGCAAGTTCCTGAACTAAATATCGGCGCCACGCGGAAATGAGCTCAGCGCTTCCTCTGCAGAAAAGAAAAAAACGTTTTTGTTTTCAATGAAGTGCTCAAAAAAAAAAAGACCCTCATTGTTAGCTTGCGGAGACTCGTGGTGCTCGTGTTTAGTTTCGCCAAATATAAATGAGCTTTAAAAAAAGCTCATAGGAAGGAGCGTTGTTGGAGGATGTAATTTTCAAATCTGATCCAGCTTGCCTGCACTGTTTCTGCAAGGCAAAAACAACAGCATAGAAGCTCTGTGCATCCAGATTTTATCGTTTTAGAGGTTTCTGTGACAGTTAGCTGATTTTTGTTGTTTTCCTGATATCTTAACTGACTGCATTTGTTATCTTGGGATAGTAAAATTGGCTTTTGCATTACAAGACATAAATAATGTAAATCAAAATTCTGACCAACTAGCTAGTCTCAAGGTAAGACAGCATTCAGATGTAGCTAAACGCAGAATTACAGCACCTGCAGGGAAACAATGTCAAGCTAGTTTCCAGAGTGTGGCTAACGTTAACGGAGCTAGCATCACCAACCATCAGTATGCCTTAAAGGTTCACATCTACAGGTCTGTGCTGGTTATTAGTTGCACTAGTTAAATAGTCTAATGCTGTTTTAAGTAGGGATGCACCGATCCGATATTTGGATATCGGCTCCAATATTGACAAATTAACTGGATCGGATATCAGATGAATGATGCCGATCTAGCTTTCTGATCCAGTCTTCTTTTAATACATGGATGTCATACTTCTTTTTGCTGTGTGCTAACGTGCAATTTGTTATTTGTTAATAAATAATATGAAGTATTTATATCTGTGTTCATTTATTACCTTTTTTTTTTTAATAAGGCTAATGTCAAGCCTGATGCCTTTACTCATAGGGCAAGGTATACAGTTCAATTATTCAACAGTAGTATTGGATCGGTATTGGATATCGGCCGATACGCTCAGCCCAGGTATCGGTATCAAGTTGGATCGGTGCATCTCTAGTTTTAAGTCGACACAACCTCAATAAAACTAGAGCATTATGGAAGTAGCCATATAGATACAGCCCTGGCTACCAACTAGGATGCTTAGTCAACTCAACATGAACATGCCTTAATCATTTCTGATAATCGCATCATGCTACCACTGCCCATGCTAATGAGTTAAGCTTATTTGTTGTTTGATTGGTGCTTCTGCCACTACAGGGACACAAATCATGATCATCTCAACTAAATAACAGAAATTATCCTGCTATCACAGGATATCTATGTCAGTTAAATGCATAGAAGCATGTCCATATGGGGGTTCAAGTAACTGTAAAGCCCTTTTCCCCATACAGCAGCCAAACCCAGTGGGATTCCTCAAAACAAACTGTACTACTGCAGTGAAAATGGCATAAATCACATGAATAACCCTTAACCTCCAACATTCTTGCTTTCATCAGACTGGGGCTGCTAAAAAAAGAGAGCACAAACCTATTTTAAGCTCCTGCCTGTAATTTATTTCAATCTAAACTGGCAATTCTATCCCCCTATGATTTCGAGGCTGCAGAAATGTGGCTTCCTCATCTGACCACAATATTCTGTCAGCAGCAGCAGCAAGCAAACTGACAGCACTACTACTTGTCAAAGATCCTCTCCACGGACAGATCTCACACCAGCTTGCTAGCATGTTTCGCTGTGCTTGCCAATCAAACTGAAGGGTTGAGCTTGTTTCTGTGCGCAAACACATCCTGACTTGGCAGATGTGTTTTCTAAGTTGGCGTAGGGAAACTAGGATCCTGTCAGACAAGGAGCCCGTCTTCTGGTTAAAGGAATGAGAGCCGATAAACACTTCAGAGGAGAGACTAAAGGCATCACATGCCAAGGAGAATGTAATCTGTGCAGCTATGTGGATATCAAACATGACTGGCAATGAAAAGAATGAGTTACCCTGCGCAAAAAAAGGTCGTAGTATGATAGAGTATGTTATTTTCAGTCCAACAAGGTTGAAAAGCTCTGTTTAAAATCACAGATTGAAATCACAACTGGAATCTGAAGTGAAATTTAGACAACTACGTTTGCTTCCTCTTTCAGCCTTCAGAGACAAACTGGTGACATGTTTCGTGACCACAAGCCCGCAGCAGTCCTCAAATGTCAAACACAGAAGTATCAGAACTATACCTGACATTCAGCTGATCAGTCCTCCATCAGAGAGGTGCTCGAGTCCCGAGGGAACGCAGGAAAAACACAACTGTGGGTTAAACAGATCCCAAAAATGACAGCTCTTCTGTAGGCAGAAACCAGCCTCAGTCTGACATCCTTGCTGGTTCCCTCTCTCTCTCTCTGATCTGTGATTCAATCTCTCTCTGTGGTCACACTACAGAAGGCGGTGGTCTCGCTTCATTGAGGCGTCCTCATAAAGCCAGTCAATGAGGTTGTCCTTCGGTGGGGACAGATCCCAGACAGAATCTCAGGAGGAGGAGGAGGAGGAGGAGGAGGAGGAGGGGTAGCGCAGCTCTCCAGCTCTGCGTCTGTTGCGTTTTGTTACTTTTTTGCATGCATCCTTTCTCTGTGCATGAGGTGCAATACTGCTCACTCATGCCAGGATTTGTATGTGTCTGTGTGTGTGTGTGTGTGTGAGGATGTGTAAAGAGGATGTGGAGGCGGAACCAAAGAGGCTTACTCATCACCCAGTTCAATCACTAGCGGAGCCTCCTGGCAGCACAATGCCTCCCACACATGGCAGACCTTTGCACACAAAAATTAAACCTTGACTGAATAAAGTTTTTACAAAATAGCCGCAGCTGCTAACCAGCGTCGGCGTGATGTAATGCAGACCTGCCAGGAGGGAGGCCGACAATCAGGGACATCACGTAAGCCTAATTCACTACGATGCTCTAATTACTCCATTCATTAGCGGTTAACACATGCCATGTTAAAGGCAAACAGGCTTACAGCTGGGCAAATACTTAGATTTAAGCTCCAGGTTCAGCTGCAGAGGGATGTGTGCTCTAACTCTTGTAGTCAGGTCAGAGGGGCTCATCATGCACTTAGTGTCCTGTTACAGCCTGTGGGCACTAAAAAGAAACACAAAGCCAACACTGTCCAGTCATATGATGGCTTTTCAGACACAAACTTGAATAAAAGAATCCTTTTTAATGCAAGTATGAATGCGCAAAAAGGCTAAAAACATCAGGCTTGTCTTGTGAGTGACTGCCTGTGGGAATATTCCCTCACCAAAGTATGTGTAATCAACAGTTTGCAGAAATGTCAGAGGTTTTGCAAAACTAATGAAAAGTTTTTCTCAAGATATGGATGTCAAATCTACAGCTGCCACACCTGTTCCTTCCTTCCTGCAGCAGTTCAGGCCCCAAGACTCTGATGTTGTTGCAACACAATGAATGTGAAACAAGAAAGATTCTCCTTTGACTCAAAAAAATAAACCTCAAAAGATCCTGAATGAATCAACCCAATAGGTGTGCAACGGTCACCTGTGATTAAGATTAAGTACACTGGTGAGGGATTTTTTTTTTAAAAGATAATAACATCAGTAAAGGAGAAGCTGCCAAATTCACAGGAAGATTTCACTTCCTTCCGTATTTGTATTAAAGCAGGCGATTAAGCAGAGCGCAGTGAGAAGAGGTCCTCTGACAGATTGAGCAAAACCTTGTCCTCTTAATGATGGAATAATGCTTAATAATAGACAAAGGAGTGTGTGGATAGTATCACCTGTCCTGTCCAAACTCTTCCTCAGACCTGGTGTCTGTCTAACCCTAAAAAAGCCCAGGAAAGAAGAAGAAGCGATGGAAATTCTCTCCTTTTAGCTTGAATCCAGCTTATCAATAATAAAATAACTCTTATTGGGATAATCATGGTTAGATTAAAAAAAAAGTCTTTACTATACATGGAGGATCATTTACTGTGAATAAACCTCAGTGTTTTCTGTGAGGATGACATGACAAAGAGACATGCCAGAGGGACATATTTAGGGCATGTTACATCGACACCTGGGTCCAGTGATGAAATGTGACACCTTGTGGTAAAAAATATCCATTACACTTAGGTGTGAACACAAGTTTTGGCACCTTTTTATGTATGTGAATAAGTTCATTATACATTAAATGGGTAAAGATAACTAAAAAAACCTTGAAAAATCAAGACTGAAAGTTGTAACAAGATCAACCAATATCCCCATGACTCACAGGTGAAAATACAGGACTTTTCCTTGCAAGATTAACGTCTCGCCTTATCATGATAAACCGTGAATAAACAGCTCAATCACTTATGATCCAGGTGTCCATTCACGGAGGAGTTTCATGCCTTCACTCCTGATTAAGTGTGATGTTCACGGTTTGATCTGCCGGTTTCTGTCTTCCCCCCTCAGGATGTGTGAGGTAAAGTGATATGAAGATAGAGAGGGCTGAAATCCAGCTGCACAAACTAGACCAAACAAAGACCGGGGCTGCACTACATCAAAGAGGTTCATGTGCTTTGTCTTACTGACCACTGTAGACATCTCTTATTACTACATGTCATGAATGCTGGTCTCTACTGATGCATTTAGGATTATTAACAGATCATTTTGCTGACTCTATGTCTATAAATTGATATCTATATCAGCTTAAAAATGACTTAATTGGGCCTATAATTTCACATTTCACTTCTTACAGCATCATCTTGCACATTATTGATTGTTTTCAACAGCCCCTCTGATTTTAATACCCAAAATATACATCTAATACATGTAGAGAAATGTGCAAATGTTGTGTTAATCAGCAAGTGTCTGCAGACCATACTGCTTTGCCTGAGTCCAAATCTCCAATGCAGTGCAGGCATGGAGAGCAGGGGGGGTGCCAAGCACATGTATGCCCCATCACCAACCACACAAACACCCCACATCTTGAGAATATCCTTCACTAGCCCTAATGTGCTCCGTTTCAAACATGGCAAATGCATCAACAATGAAGCCTTCCTGGTGCTTTTCAAAGTCTTAGCATCCAAAACAGCACGAAAGTTTAACTTTTAAGCAACAGAAGGTCGTGCAACAAGAGCCGTAAACTTTTAAAGCTAAACTCACCATTTCAGCACACGGTGGGTGAAAAGGCTTCCGACCCAGAAACAGACATGTTTTCACAGCTCAGGTTTTTCCAGTGCGAGAGAAGAGGTTGAGAAAGAACGCTTTTTGATTGTAGTTGAAACCGCTAGAGATAAAAAGCGTCCATTTAAATTTTTATTGTCTTTTTCTCGAGAAATTTACGAGGAAAGGTCTTCGCTATGTGGAGAAAGACTGGTGGCGCATGCGCAGTACACGCTCATCCTCGGATGCTCTCTGAGAGCACTCAAACCCTACCAAACTTCACTCAAAAAATGTGAATTTTTCATTTATTAGATTTGTGAATGCATGAATACAGTTTTATGTTATCCAAATGAAATGATACTTTATTTAAAGATATTATCACGAAATTCGGGTAAAAAAATAAATCTTTATTAGCCTTTTTGCATAAAGAACACGAGGAGGTCATTAAAAATCAGTTTTTTCTCTCAAATAAAGATTTTTCAATATGTAAATCATGAACGAACATTAAAAAAAACAAGTGTGTAAGTTTAAATTTAACACATATAAATAATTTGACTATTTTAAGTTTAATTTTTCTCTCTCTTTGGTCTGATTTTTTGCTTTATCTTTGATGTTAATTGATTTAATTTGTCTGAAATTTTGAAATCCTAGAATCTAGTTGATATCTTTATGAAAAGGCCTTCTATAATCCATGCACATTGCATAATTATTTGCCTACTACAGGATAAACTGCTCATAAGTCATCTGGTAGGATCATATTTTGTCCTATTGATATAGTCCTACTTGAGGGGAATGTTTTAAATGCCATCTTTTCCCAACATTTTTTTTTTTTAACCTTTCATGATAGTTCACTCCTTATCTTTCATTCCAGACTGTACTCAATAGACTACATTACACTTAAGGAAAGCCTAACAATTAGTGTTAGCCAAATAAGAGGAACAATTAATCCAAAGATGGGGAATGGGCCGCAGAAGCCCAAAGAACATGGTGCAAACAAAGAGTTTTCCCCCTTGTAAACAAGCACCCAGGCGCCTCATTACCAAGGGAATGGGTGATGAGCTGTCAGGTAACAAGTCTTGAGGACGCATGTCAATTTCCTTTAATGTTCTCAGCTACTTGTTAAACATGAAAGGGGGTGGGCGAGGGTATATAAAGACACCCCTAATCTCCCAGTAGTGGAATTTGTCATTAACCGGTCTGAAACATGCGCTCATTGGGACCTCTGGCTCTGGCGTTGCACGCATCTCTGTTAGTGCTGGTGGCCCACGGGATCCAAAAACCTAAAGATGGAGTTTATGTGAGGTCTCTGCAGAGGTTTTCACCAGTGGACCGAGCAACTGGATACCACCTGCCCACTTACATGATGCATCTGTACAGGAACTTCAGGGCGAATTTCTCCAGACCTTTGGATACTTTGGAGCGCGTCGCCGTGGCGCAAGCAGACACAGTGAAGAGTGTGATGGCAAAAAGTAAGATTTTTATTTGTTTATCTCCAAAAAAAGTTGGGTATTAAATGGTGGGTTCGTTTCTGTCAGATCATGTAAAAAGCCTATAGAGTGTTAGTTTTTTCTGTTCGAGCCAGACAACCTCACAGAGTCTGAATCCACATCCAGCTCAAGTATCTGAATAACCATGCGAGGATCAGCGTGTGAAAAGGCCGCTTTTCTGTCTAATTCTCAAAGCAAACCTCCTCTCTCTTAAATAGGTGATGTTGATTAGATACCTCGCCAGACGTCCCCCCTATACAAATCTCTTGTTAAGTCAAATCAACAACTTCCCTTAGTTCTTTTTCACACTTGGCTTGATTAGATTAGAGCTCGGGATTTAATGGCACAAGCACCCACCAAGAGGACTGCCCTCCCTGCTGCTGAATTTAATTCCACATCGCTGCTAGGCGTCAGAGTTATTACCTATTTGTTTGACTGAGGATATGCAGAAGCCAGGAGGACACGCAGGGACGTGTTAAATGATTGGTTTCGGCCGTGGTGTTTGGTTTGAGTGGATTAATAGCGAGCACGGTTTGCACTTTTGATCAACAGTCTTAAAGCTAAATGGGCCAATGCACTGGACAATGCAGAAGTGAAATGTTAAACATGCTTTAATCCTTCAGATTAATTTGAACCACACCTGTTCTTTGAATCACAATGGTGCTCTTTACACATGTGGGTGCAGCACAGGCTTACGTGCTGGAGAAGAATGGTTGGATTGTTTCACAGATGCTTAACTTATCTTTGATTTGCTGCAAATTCATCACAAGCTCTGATCATAAAAACTATCAAAAGCAGCAGCTGTTCTCTCTACATCTTACGTTGCAAAATAAGAGAGGTTGACCCACTGAGCAATAGACAGTTATTAGACATCTAGTTTTTTAGACCTAATTTAACCATCTAGATTCTGTATTTTTTTAGACTGAATTTAGACGTTGCACTTTAACCCATTATTCGATAACTATTTATTTCAATATCAACTGTAAGTTGCATTACTGATCTCCAAGTACTTAACCAAAATAACTATGATTGCCGTTGAGCAATATACAGTGTAGCATAGATATAGCCTAGATTTAGACTTGGTCTAAACTTGGTCTAAATTTAGATGTCTAAAAAGACTTTCATTTTTCGTCTGGGCTACATTTAGACGTCTATTAGACCTCTTTTAGACCCAAAAATGCTCAGTGGGGAACCTTTTCCAGTAATTATAAAAAAAAAAACATATTTATATACACAAATAATTCAAAATTAGTATTTACAATTCATCAAAGTACCACCTAATTTGGATGAGAAGGAATGTAAGTTTTTACAGTATTCATATCCTTTCACCAAATTCAGAGAATTTAGTTCCTAAAATTTTAGAAGTCATCACATTAAGTTTCCATTTTGACTCAAGTACACAATAAAAGACAGCTTCTTTGACTGGCAAGTTCTTATTTTTTAAAATATTTATTGAAATATTGCTCAGTAATACTACCATAGTAGTACTAGTAGAAAAAGACACCTTTACAGTTAATAAAATGTTCCTTCCAACAAAGCATTTTTGCAAAGATTTGACTAACCACAAATTCAAACTGCAGCTGGAGTCGAAATTGTCATGATTTTTCTCATATTTTCTGTCCACAACAGGTGGATTTTGTTGCTCCTGAAAAGCTCTCCGGCACTTTAACTTGTATTTCTTCTAAGTGCTGCTTTGATGTTAATCCTAGCATATGCACTATCCCCACTAATAACAATAAGCCATCCTGTAAATGTGTTCCCCACTTATGCTAATCTCCCTCTTTTTCACTGCATTAGGTTTGACGTACAGAAAGAAGCACTGGAGTGTGACCTTTGACCTCCATGCCCTGTTGGCTGACAAACAGATTCAGGCAGCAGAGCTGAGAATCAGACTTCCTCAGACTTCTTCAAACACCACCGTGAAGGTTTATCACCAGGCGTGCCTTGGGCACAAGAGCTGCCAGGAGCAGCAGCTGGTGGGGCTGCTCACTGATTCTTCGCTGGTCACTTCATCGCAGAGCTGGAAAGTGTTCAACATGACGAAACCTCTGCTGAGCTGGCTAAGGCAAAAATCAACAGCCAGGAATCGTCACAAGAGAATATCAAGAAGAAGGAAGGCGTTGGAGACAAAGAGAGGCATGACACTTCCTGGTCAGCCTTTCTTTGCGGCGAATCCAAGAAGAGAGCAGGACGTGAGCGACCGGGCCTTGCTGGTTGTCTTCTCACACACTGGTTCTGATGAAAACTCGAAGGTCAAAGCGAGCTTACTCCACACAGCTGAACAATCCAAGTTCTTGTCCCCCGCTGAAATCAAAAGGGCCCGCTGGCCAAAGAGGCGCAGGAGCAAACGGGGCCAGAGAGAACAAACAGCAAGAAGCCTCCAAGGGTCCAAAAGAGGGAGTGAAAAATCTCTCTGCCGCAGGGTCGACCTGCAAGTAGACTTTAATCAAATAGGCTGGGGGTCCTGGATCATCTTTCCTAAAAGATACAATGCCTACCGCTGTGAGGGGTCCTGCCCTGGGCCTCTGGGAGAAGACCTAAACCCAACAAACCATGCTTACATGCAAGTAAGTCCATCTATACATCTATCTATCTATCTCTCTGTCCATTCAAGACAAGTAAAGTACTGTGTGGCCAAGAATTGTAGACCCAAATATGAACGAAGAATTCAGACTTAGTGCAGAAAAAACAATTTATTTAGAACTGAAGCTGTAGTCAAGAATAAATAACTTAAACAAACTAGCAGAGTACATGGTCTGGACAGGTGTAAGTGGTCAGTGGGAGGTAAGAAATTAAGGTTCAACCTATATTGCTATCTATTTTTATAACTGACAGGTTTAGATACAGACAAACTAGTAACTTGTGTTTTTAGTAAGATTATTACGTTTGTATTTAGTGAGTAGCTGGGCATAAGACACCAGTTGGACGATGAAGAGAAGAGTGTTTTTTGTGTGCAAATAATATCCAAGAGGGTTTAAAATATGACAAATGGAGGACCATACTAATCATGATCATAATCATGTTATTCCCATATCTACACTCTATCTTAAAATGATATTGTTTCCTCACTTTCTGTGTTAAAGGGATGATTCTGGTTGTTCGAAGTCACTTGATAACTGTTTGTCATTTATGAACAGCAGAAGAGATGGTACATCTGTTATACTGCTAATGATTTCACCTCTCTCTGTCAACAACCACACAAAAATACTACTTCTCCATTTGGTGAAAGTACCATTATAAAGACACTAAAATGTTTTAACTTCATTCTGAATGTGTAATTTATATAACAGTAAAGCAGTAAAGCAGAATCTGACTTTGAAATAATCCACCTAACTTCCCTACTTTTGTTTCATTTTCCAGAGTTTACTGAAACACTACCACCCTGACAGAGTGGCCTCACCCTGCTGTGCCCCGACCAAAATGAGCCCATTAAGCATGCTGTACTATGAGAATGGAGAGATGCTCCTTCGACATCATGAAGACATGATTGTTGATGAGTGTGGATGCCAGTGAGAGTTACCCTGACCTACAAGCAACCAACTTGTGTGGAAACAAAAGATACACTTAGCGAGAATGAAAAAAGCTCTTGAATTTGCCACCGTGCACTGTAAGATTGTAATAAATCAATGTGCAAAAATTGAATTATAAATCGTGATGTGATTGGTTTGTTACTGTTTAAGATGTGCTGAAATACAATCTCTACTCCACCTTATCAATTTCATTTATGTAAACGTTAAAAATGACAATTTTTGTATATTTCAGCACTGTTTTTATTGTTCACTACCATTTGTATGACTGTAAATCCATGTATATTTATTGTATATAATAAAAAATGTATTTATGTAGTTTTGAGCTCTGTCGATTTTGTAAAGCAAATTAAGTTCTCTCAAAACTGCTTGAATTGAATCATGTAGCCATAAACCAGGCAGAAAATATAAGTAACTGCAAACATATCCATGAAATATAGTAAAAATCATCATTCATATCATTGAAACATAAACCTGGAACTACTGTGTGTCATATAAAAGACTCTGCATATTAAACTAAATGGACTTTTCCAGTTTTAGAGTGTTTTAGTCATCCGAAGCCCAGTCATCCCCAAAACAAAAACAGTATTGTGAGGGCTGTAGAGGAATATCCAGCAAATACTGTAAAGTCATGGCTAGTTGTAACAATGGTAAACTATTCTTTTAAAGCCAGGGAACTCATTGTATTCAGGTCCTTTGAAAATACACTGACTAACCAGGAATTTGCTCCTGTCACGACCAAAGTGGAAATAGTTCACCAGGGCTTGGGGGTAAGACCACTTTTAAATTCCCAGTGTCATACTCAGGCAAGTATTTCCCAGGGAGAAGGCTCAAAATAGCTAGAGATATGATGTGTGGCTTTAAATATGTGTATTTTTGTGAGCTTTTTTAAACGGGTGAGGCTTTAGACTAAAATGTTGAGACATTTAAGAGCAGGATTTAGACGTGAGATTCGTGAAAAGGACAAAAACTGAATTTAAACAGTGGAAGTAGTATTTTTTAATGATAGTACTGCTTTATAAGTGCTCTGTATGTAATATTATGCTGGGCGTCATCGTCTGCAACATAATAGCGCAGCACCGACGCCGATGAAGTTGTATCAATATTTCCTACCGGCTTTTTGTCGTTAGCCTAGCTTCTCTTTTGACTAACCGTCGCTCAGCTACAATAACAATGACGACGTAAGTTTTAAGCTAACTTAACAATATCTGGTGGCGGTGACGGGTCTCTGTATTTTCCAATGAGCCACTCAACACTGAGTTGAATCCAGGGGGGCTAAAAATACTCGCTCACCAAATTTGACTGTTCAGCTGTTGCAGCTAACACTGGCAGCTGCTAAACCCTGTAACAGTGTTAGCTGCTAGTTTGGGTAAGTAGCTTCTTGGCTTGTTTTAAATTAAACAGAAGGTTAATGAAATAATGGCTGTGAGTAGTTCAACAATTGGTGTGTTTGTTGTTAAGATGACAGCTTGAGCCAGTTGGAGGCCTAAAGCTATTTTGAAGACTTGTGTATCTTTCATCATGGTAGTGTGTCATTATGTAATGCTAGTATGAACCAGAAGTTAATGGAAGCAACAGAAACAAAAGAGTTACTGTCACATGAATTAGGTCTTTCCTCTGTCATTGCAGTTGTATAACGACTGAGTATCCATTAAATAATTACACTACATTAGAAGAAAGGTACTTTTGGGACTCTTTTTAATATAATCTCCAATTGTTGGTGTTTCCTCTTCATTTCTTCCAGCATAACTCCATCTTGAATGCAAACAAAACCCTTTATTTTTTCCTCTTGGGTTGTAAAAAAAGGATAAAAATAGATTTTGACTTGGTTGCAGTCTTGTTTAGCTTGGACCAGATAATCAAGGCTTTCTAAAATCTCATCTCATCTCAATATCTTCAAATGCATAAGGCTGGATACATGTATGCAAGTCCTATTTGAGGTATCATAGGCTGCCATTCATCCCCTGTTTGGTTAATTGTTGTATGACTTTTCACAGGGACGGTTCCAACAGTGAAATGGCCGAGGCTGTTGCAAATGTGGCTCGGAGGATTAATGCAACTGTGGAGGAGGGAAAAGACAGTTTAGGTAAGATTCCTATCATCACAGCTTTTTCCTCTGTGTCCCAGGACAGGAGTGAGTAGTCCTGATTTAAAATTCTGATAAGTTGTTGTATCAAATCCCTCCAGCAGGTGGTGACAAATGCTTATATTTATTTGCCGAGAGTACCACAAATGTAAATTGTGAAAGTTGAGGTTATTTAAATCTTGTTTAAGTGTTATAAATTGTGAATTAAAGACATTTAACATTGACCTGCTATGTTTTTTCTCACGTTATCGTTCTTCTGTTTTGCAGACTTGTCAAACTGCAAGCTCATATCTTTCCCAGATGGAGTGTTCAAGGTTTTGCGAAGTGTCACAGAAAACATCCGCATTATCTCACTGGCTGACAATGAGATGAAGGCCATTTCCAGCAAGCTCTTCTCTACCTTTACTCAGCTGAGAGGTAATGGATAAATGGAGTCAACCTCCAGAAAATATTGTGTTGGCTCTCTGGCTTCAAGCAACCCCTTTAACCATGTCTTTTATCACCTTGCAGAACTGGACCTGCGGGGCAATGTCCTCACCAAACTGCCTGACAGTGTTGGAGAAATGGAGCACTTAATTAGCATCAATCTGGCTGGTAATGGCTTCTCCATCTTCCCTGATAAGCTGACTGAAATAGCAACACTGGAGAGAATTAACCTGGAAGGAAATAGCATCACAGGTGAAATATATATACATAAATATAGATAAACATACTTGATTTAGAGTGCTTATAACTTATTTTTTCCCATTATGCAACTCATAAGCATTATGTTTTTTTTTTTTCAGAGATCCCACTGGAGAAGTTGTCTAGCATGCCTGCTCTGAAGTGGCTAAACGTGAAGTCAAACCCTTTGGACTCAAACACTCGGTCTGCTCTACAATCACCCCACAGTTTCGATGTATTGACGACAACAGAGTCCTAAAATACGTCTCCACTCATCTGCGGACTGCATGCTGTGTGCCTTAAACTACTTTTGTTGGATGTTTACGTGTGTCTGAGAGATGAGAAAATTTTAGTACTTGAAAATGACAAGCGTGTTTACAAGAGACGAGAGAAAAACTGTGTGTAAAGATGACATCCTTTTTGATTCAGATATTTAAACTCATGGTTGCTGTTTGGGGGTTAAATCAATCTATCTTCCTTCGCCTTTTGACATGTTTTTGTCTCAGTTTGGACAAAAGTCAGAATTATTTACCTTTTTATTGATTTTAAAATTCTGAAAATATTTTTTCAATTAAAAAGTGCTGGAAATAGTGCAGTGTGGTGGATGTGTTATTTTATTATCATTATTATTGACTAGTCACTCCTTCCTAAAACTCTTAGCTGCTGGTCAATATTTCAACACATAAAGGCTTCCATAAATTATTTCAAGACCTATTTTTTCAATTTAATCAGTCTTCTGTTCAGATGAAATAATGAAAAATATGTCTCTCTTGAATATCTAACACAAAACTGTAGGTCCATTTGTAGCAGCATAACAAGAGAAGGCTGTAAACTCACTTTTGAAAAGCTGAAAACAGGCACTATTCACCGCAAAGTTTCAAAATCAATTTTTCAGACCGACAGTCTCCCTGTTAGAGCTCTAGTTTTATTAGCAAGGTATGGGGATTCAAATTCACATACCCTTGGCTTGATTTGATAAACTTCAATTTACACAGTTTTTGGACCTAAAAGGAATCTTTTCACAAACAATTTCTATTTAAGGCTTAATCCTTATTTCTAGAGAAAAGCAAAATATTCTCAAACTTCCTATCCACCTGGAGCATATGTTTTATTCAATATTACACTTATAACACATACTAATATACGCAATAATAAAGCACAATCCCTGTATCTACTATTGAGGCTTCAGGTTGATTCAGAGTCAAGAGTTCAAAGTAAACTGTAAAGGCTTTTCAAGAATTCTTTAAATAGCTTTCCTGGTGAGTCTGGGTCATGAACAGGCTCGGGTCTGGCAGGCTATTTTGAGCTTTTGTAGTAAATTAACAAAGAAATGCTAGAAGAGTGGAGCAGTGATTTAAGTATGAATTTTATAACCCTTTTTTGTGCAAAATAAATAAATACATTTTACGGCAAAGAAGGATGGCATAAAACATTAAAACCTACAAGTGCGCAAAAGAGTAAAGTATTATGGCTGAGAGCAATCTGTAGTAAGGTGTAAGGATTAAAGTATTATGTGACGGTTCTGCTGCCCAGTCTGTGACCTTCTACTGCACACCATATTAACTTCCGACTCACCTTGCGTTGATTCTAGGCTACAGTGTATAAATCATAAAAGGATACTGCTGCTGTCATTCCTCTGCTTGTGCAGTTACACATATTACGCTGTTAGGCGAAGGCAATCTTTTTTATTAGTGTTTACAATGGGAGAAGTTTAACATTGTGTGTTTTAGTTGCATGATTACTCCACACTCTCTTGAAATTACCAGCTTCTTGTATGTGATGTAATAAACACTCGAGTTAGTAGCCATATTAGCAGTGGGTGTGAATGAGTGTGATAATAAACATGTCTTTAACACATCAAATTTAATGGCACTGTGTTGGCTGTGTAAAGGTTCCCACAAGCATTTGCCAGATTGTCTTGTGTTTATGCCAAACCCTCAAGCCACTTATTCAAGTCCTGTTTGCTTGACCTGGTGCTGACTTTTAGCATTTTTTTCTGAGCCAACAAAAGTTTTCAGCAGGTTCTTGTGCCTCTACTTTGCTGTCTGACCTTTTGGATTTTGACGACAGTCAGCAATTTTTGTTTCAGAGTTTGCTCGGGGCTTTCTCATTAAAAAGCTTTCAACAGAGACTTTGTTTTTGTCTACAATAGGGGTTTTCTACCTGCAGGTTGTTTGGTACTTTATGCTTTCAATGATTTTTATACCTTCGTTAAGTAAAACAAATACACAATAGTTTAGTGAAGAAATGGCAAGTAGCAATGACATGTTGAGTTTATCATTTCTCTTATGATAATATAGCATGATACACATGTGCCCATTTATGAAGTGAATGTTCATATTAGCTGGGTTATGATACTGAACAAAGTTTCTCTTACTAAAATACAAGCTAAGTGAAAGATTTTAGCAACAAATATGCTAACACAACTTTACTTGGATCTACAATGTTGCTAACAGTACTGGCTTATATCCACCTAGTTAGCTTAAAGAGATAATAAATAACGTGATAATAATAAATAATCAATTTATGTCTTTATTTGATATTGAAGAGCTAAATCATAGAAGCTACCAGTCAAACATGGCACTTAGCTACTCTGTTATTTAATGTTTGATTTATGCCAACAACAATTTACCTGTCATTACCACCGACGTGCCATGTTACCGATTTAGAAGCTAAGGATAAGCAAAAAAGAGGCTAAGACGTATCAATTAACCCACAACGTTTCTAAAAATAGGCAAATAAGTATGTTATCAAATAGTCACAGAGAAACACAAGAGATAAGAAGCTACATGAGCATGCTAGCTAATCCTGCCTTGTTAATTGGTTTACTGCTAACACCAGTCAGCCCCATCTGTTTTTGACTGAAAAGCGCTCTCAGGAGCCACTCGGGGTTACACAAGGGGAAGGGAAACAATTCACTTTACATATAGAGAGGTTATCAACCCCAAAAACAATGCCATGAGAAACCAGGTGAAAGAGTGAGAGGGAGTTGGAGAATCCTATTCTAAGTTAGTTCTGCCATTAGGAGTCTTGTTAGCTACAAATGCTAATGTTAAAACCATACAGGAGCATATAAAGACTAGCATGGCTCCATCATCTGTGCATACAGCAGCCTAGTTGTCACATGCAGACAGGTGTCAGATCTCTAACCCTGGCTTAAGCAGTGCGCATGCTCGCTGCCTCAGTCTCAATGACTGCTGGTCAGTCAGGAGCTTCTTAGTTCCCTGAATTAGTGCTTGGACTGCAGAGGGAGACTTGGAAACAGCAGATATGAGCTTCACCATCGAGGAGAGAGGCAGGCCGAACACTCAGGACTACAGGGTGTTTTTCAGTAAGAGCTACTCTATAGTTCTTGTGTTAGTGGATAATTTTTCTCACCTGAACTGTGCAGCTGCTTGACTAGCCTGTAGTTTATAACTTCAGTAAAAGCTGTGTTGAACTTTTCTCATGCTTGTATTTATGTATTTCTCCTCTCATTAGAAAACTCTGCTGGCAAATACATCTCACCATTTCATGACATACCTGTCTACGCAAATGAAGCACAGGTGAGCATCATGTATCAGGACATTCTGCAGAGACAGTCGTTGCTCTAGTATAATAATGCACTCATAGAAGATTAAAGGCACAACTTTGGCCATTAGCAGGGAATAGGCACTGCTTTTTCTTCTCAAGCCCTGCAACTGTGGCAATTTCTGCTACAGGAGATTTTAGGACAACAGTAGCAATTTTCAGTTAGTCTTCAGCAGTGGACAACTGTTTTTCCCAGCACCACCTGGGGGGCTGTAGTGTGTGTCCTTACCTGACTTGAGAAACTGTGCTGATAGTTGAAGCAGAAATTACCCCAATAAACCTGCAACACTGAGCTCTTAGTATATAAAACACAATTCACATCACAGGCTCCAAAAAGTCCACTTACTTGCTATTGTCCATATAGTGAAATACATATTTTTACTTTATTTTTTACAGAAAAGTATTGTGCCTTTCATATCAATTTAAGAGCATAATAATGACAGTAAATCATTCATCTAATGCTCAGTTACAGTTCTACTCACATTAGTTTTTTGGTGATAATTTACTGTGGTTTTTTTCAGCTCTCTGTTTACACCCACAATCCCTGCCAGCATCTTTTGAGTTTCGCTTGTTCTTCAAGCCTGTAATCCCTCCATGTGGTTCTGTTCAGGATAGAAATGTTTGCAAACAAGGAAAAAAGGTTGAAAAATATATATATTTGTGATATTTTTGCAGAATATTTTCCACGCTGTTGTTGAGGTTCCACGATGGACAAATGCAAAGATGGAGGTATGTGAAAAAATAACCCAGTATTTCTCACACCAACAGTCGAAATGCCCTCGTGTAGATGAAAATTTCCGGTTAGATTTTGCATCGTTTTTGATACAATACTGGCATTTTTCTTTTGCACTATCAGATAATGATAGGGAAATGATATTTTTGTACCAGTTTGTTAGATGACATAACTGTATTTCTGTTTATCAGATTGCCACCAAAGATCCTCTCAATCCACTGAAACAAGATGTGAAGAAGGGAAATCTTCGTTACGTAGCAAATGTTTTTCCTCACAAAGGCTACATCTGGAATTACGGGGCTATTCCACAGGCAAGTCCTACTGAGATTTTACCCAACAACTGCATACTTTATGTCTCTGCTCCATCAAACCAGTGTTTTCTCCTTTCACAGACATGGGAAGACCCCAACCACAAGGACAGTGACACAGGCTGCTGTGGAGACAATGATCCTATTGATATATGTGACATAGGAAACAAGGTACTGGTGAAATACTGACTATAAGGTAAAGACAGACAGAGTGAAATTCAGCTTTTACAAAAATATGTCTTTGATTCTTAGGTGTGCTCTCGAGGAGAAATAATCAAAGTGAAGGTATTGGGAACCCTGGCTTTGATCGATGAGGGCGAGACAGACTGGAAGGTCATTGTGATCAATACTGAGGACCCTGAAGCTGCAGACTTTAATGGTACGACTATGCCTGCAATGGACAGGGTCAGAGAAGCGCCATAAAAGAGAATAAGTCTGTGAACAGAAAAAAATGAAATTTGAAATTGTATTTTTTTGAAGATTACTTTTGAGGAGCCTTTTGCCTGTAGTGATAAAACTGCCTGAGAGGGACATTCAGGAGGAGAAGAAAAATGACATACGCTGAATCTTGCAGAGATTTGGCATTGATTCAACAAACAGTGCAACAAAGGCTCTACGCTTAAATCACTAAATCACACTAAATATTTCTATATTCTATCAGCAATTTAGAGCCTCCACACAAAACAAGCTGCTAGCCCAACAGGAGAAATGTGCCTTCTGTGGTTACCAAGTTAACTCTGACTTACAGAGTTTTCTTTTTCTTTTCTTTTGCTGATCATTTCAGATATAGATGATGTGAGACGACTCAAACCCGGCTACCTGGAGGCAACTTTTGATTGGTTCAAAAGATACAAAGTCCCAGACGGGAAACCTGAAAACCAGTTTGCTTTCAACGGGGAGTTCAAAGACAGGGTACACTTTTAAACTTTTGTATTCTGTATTTGCAGTTCACAGAAAAATGAAGAACAAGCCTCCAAACTAAACTACACTAACAGAGCTTTTTAGAGTCTGAGCAGAGTTTTCAATACGGGATCTAAATCTTTAAAGTTGTCAAGCAAATGTAATATATTTATAAGGTAAATCTGTCTTTCTTTGTTGTAAATGAAAATGATACTACACAGGATTTTGCCATAAAAACAGTCAAGAGTACCCATGAGTTCTGGAAGGCCCTTATATCTAAAAAGAGCAGCGCTGGAGAGATAAACTGGTGAGTTTAATTCAATTTTGGAATGTAATGTAGTCATATCATGTTGCGCAATGTGCGCTTATACAGAGAGTCTGCTTTATGATGATATACTCAAAGTAACAAGTGATTTCCTTGCATCTTGAATCAGCATGAACACAAGTGTCTCCGACAGTCCATTCTGCTGCTCTGCAGGAGATGCAGAGGCTGTGGTTAAATCTGTGAGTGCTTTTTGTTTGTTTGTTTCAATTTAAATTCATGTTGAGTAGCTTGAAAGTGTATGACTTCCTTTTTCAAACAAGTTCACTATAAGTTATCAGTGCATTAAATCCAAGCTACTTGTACTTGTCATTACTTGGCAAAAATAGAATCTCTTGTTTTTCCAATAGGCATGTGACTTTGGAGCTGAAGACCCCATTCCAAGTTCAGGTGAGCAGATACCTTCACGTGCAGCTGTTGTGTGTTGTTAATTCTCATGGGATCTTTTGTGACTGATTGTTTTTTTTTTTCAGCTGATAAATGGTTCTACTATGAGAAGTAGTAGACAGTCCCTCACTCCTTCACCTGCTTTGATCAACATCCCATAACTACATGAACTCTACGCACTGAGATTACACTCAGTGTCACAGTTAATGGCTTTTTTTTAACGGATGTCTGTTTCTGCTACTGTCAGAACCCTTTTGTTATTAATTTGTGACACTGAGGAAAACATTACAATAAAGCACTACAACCTTGGATATTGTGAACTTAATTTATTCAATTGCAGCTTTCACAGTTTTCTTTATGATATGTGTTTGTTTGAAAAACATTAAAGAGGGGCTTTCAGTTTATGTCACTGGCAACCTAAAAGCAGTCTTTGCCTATACCATGTTTTTTGACAAAACGTCTTATCCCAAAGACTTCTGGTGGTGAAATATATGTTTAATTATAAATATGTTGTGTTGTATAAACCCCTCTTGCACTGGTTTGAGGCATTTGAAACAACAATACAATGACTGTCAGTCTTGTTAATGTTGGTCTTGTTTGCTTTGGCATGTCATAAAAGGCTTCTATGTGACTCTCAGTCTAATTTATAAACATGAAAAACTCCTTACTGTAGCTTTAAATGTTAAATCAAAAGGCATACTGGCCATTTTACTGTAGTGTGAGTATTTCAACACAATAATCCTAAACAAAAATCCTAAACAAAGCAACTTAAATGAAGACCTCAGAGCAAGTAAAATACATGGATGCATGTCAGCTTAGGGTATATTTCATAAAATCCTCACTATGGTACTCACGTTTGTTTTCTCGTGTTTTTTTTTTTTTTTTGCATAACTCAGTACTTACTGACATGAACCAACATAAGGGATTTCTTCTATAACTCGAGAGAAAGGGTTTAATATATATAAAATAAGGTATTTCTACCACCACTTCCACTGAGAAAGTCATGAGTTTGACAACACTTTTTTCAACGGTGTACAGTGGGGATTACCTCACAGCCGTCAGGATGAGGGCGCTGCTGAGCCAAACTAGATGTTACACTACAGATAACAAACGACGAAGAAGAAGAAGCGGAACTGCGATTGACTGTTTCCAAGGAGACCACCGAGACCGCTGAACGCTGGAAAACCTGGGGCAGCAATAAGGGGGTAAGTCTGTCACTAACTGAAGGCGGAGAGCGATTTTATTGTAGGAGACACATTTGCAGAGGTTAGACATGACTGTGTGTGAGCTCTAAAGACCGCTCACACGAAGGAAACATTTAGAAAGTTCCAGAGATTTAATGTTAGCTAACACGCTACAGCTAACCAGTTAAAAAGCATTACCTCTGTATACTGTAGGTGCACGTAGCAGACTAAAAGCAACAGTAACGTGGTTTAAAGTGGTTTTGGATTATTGAAGGCTGCTAATTTGAAGATTACATGCTTTAATTTTCACCCATGATGATATGACTTTTACATTTATTAGCTTTGTGGTCGCACAGTCTCATTTTTTAACCTGTTGCGCCCTTAAAGCTAGATTTAGAATAACAACCAAAGACTGTGTGCGAACAAAGCTGTATATGGGAACAGATAAGCTTCATATGAGTGAAACATGAAGATTTGTGACTTATTGTTACTCACGATTTGCCTGTAAGCAGCATACCCGGTGTCCCGCTTGCAGGATTTTTTCGTAGGATGGTAAGGTAAGGTCCCGCCTCCTTTGCCTCTGATTGGCTAGAAGAGCTGGGCCCCAATTGGTTATTACTTGTAGCTGATGTTGCGTTCGCGTTACCTCTGGAGTCAGAAGTCCGAAGCGAAAATGACGCAACACCGGAGTTACCAGTGTTTCAGTTACCAAGTTGGAAAAAAAGCAAAATTGGAGCGAAAACAAGATGGCTACATCTACAAAAGTTATTTCAGCACTTGCCTTGTCTGAACGTAAGACATGCGCCAAAATAACTTTCGTAGATATAGCCATTTTGTTTCAGGCCTCCAATTTTGCTTTTTTACGACTTGGAAACTGATGGTGCGTTCGAGTTACCTCAGAAGTCAGAAGTCGGAGTTGAAACTGACGTCACACCCGAGTTACCAGCGTTTCAGTTACCAAGTCGGAGAAAAGCAAAATCGGAGGCAGAAACAAGATGGCTACATCTACGAAAGTTATTTTAGCGTTTGCCTTGTCCGAATATAAGGCAAGCGCTAAAATAACTTTTGTAGATATAGCACTTTTGTTTCGGGCCTCTCATTGAGCTTTTTTTCCGACTTGGTTACTGAGGCTGCGTTCCAGTTACCTTGCATGTCAGAAGTCCGAGCTGGAAATTATGTCACATGCGTTACCAGCGTTTCGGTTAACAAGTCAAACAAGCGATATCGGAGGCTTAAACAAGATGGCTACATCTACGAAAGTTGTTTCAGCGCTTGCCTTGTCCTAACATAAGACATACGCCAAAAAAACTTTCGTAGATATAGCCATTTTATTTCAGGCCTCCTTGGTAACTGAAACGCTGGTAACTCAGGTGTGACTTAATTTTCAGCTCCGGAATCTGACTTCAGAGGTAACTCGAACGCAGCATCAGAATTGCGATAATGTTCTGTAGTGTTCTGTTTGATGTACAGAGCCGACATCCCGCGCTCGGTTTGAGCGTGTGATGATGTTACACAGCCATATGGAATAACCAATTGAAGCCCAGCTTCTCTAGCCAATCAGAGGCAAAGGAGGCGAGACCTTTCCCTACCATCCTATGAAAAAAAATATAGTGTTTGTCACCTGTTTGACCTGTGGGCGGAGCTGTAGTGAGACGTTGTAAATCATCCAGGGTAAATGTTGATACAACTGTACACATGATGTTAAGGCTCTTTATGGTATTTGTCCAATTTGTGTGAAGCAAAGTGAACTCTATTCAGACATGCTGCTGCTAATCTGTGTGTAAGTAAACCCCCTGGGGGGTCAAGGGGGAGGGGAGTGGAAAGTAAGATATGACCCCCAAATGATCCTCCTAAGCTAATTGCCCAAAGAGACCATTAATAAGTCTAATTAGTAAGCCATAGCCTGCTGTGTAAAGACTAAACTGAATTATCCACCTTGCATGATGAAAACTAAGATGTCCCTTGCTGCTTCCCTTAATATGACTGAAGAGTGTTGTCCATAATGTAGTAGCAATGTTTAGTGTTGAAGAGGTATTCACTTAATTGATCTAACCCCAGCCCTAAATTGAATATGTCTTTCAAACTGTACACTCATAAAGCAAGTACATCTATTTTTCTGTTCAGACACTGCTCTATGATAGAAAACTAATCATTCCTCTTTCTTGTTTCAGTCGTAGACCGTGAAGATGTCATTTTTATTTGACTGGATCTACAAAGGCTTTAGTAGTGTTTTACAGTTCTTAGGTAAGTTCTGTCTACTGAAATGTCACAACTTAAAAGAATAAGACGACACTTTTACTATTTTAAAAGAATAGAAGCAACAGAACCATTTATATTCGTGATATGATTTTTATATTATATGGAGTATATTCTTATATTCTTATGGGATTGAGTGGCCCTCAAAAATGTGGATTATTTCTAATCATTTGTGAAATGTTTTTTTGCAGGTCTTTACAAGAAGAGTGGGAAGCTGGTTTTCCTGGGACTGGACAACGCTGGTAAAACAACCCTTCTGCACATGTTGAAAGATGACCGACTGGGCCAGCATGTACCAACACTGCACCCCAGTAAGTTATTGTAGAGAAGAGTGTGCTCGTTTTTAAAAGAATAAATTCTGTTAAATATGAAATACAAGTTAATTAAGCAGTTAATGAACACAACATTACTAATTGCATCCTTTTTCTGCGCTACCTGTTAAAAGAATTACCTGATGTGTTGGACTGAGATAAACATTTTTGATGGATAGTGTCGTGCTGTGATTTCCTTTGTAATTTTAAGCACCTTTAATTCTCAGTGAACAGACTACAAATCATATCATTTAAAAATAATTTGACATTTTTCTACAGCATCTGAAGAGCTCACAATCGGAGGGATGACATTTACAACATTTGACCTGGGAGGGCATGTGCAAGGTGAGAACACCTCAGAAACAGTTCAGTCATCACCTCTTTTTCAATGATTTTTAAAGCTCATTTTTTCTTTAATCAACTTCCTCCACATAAGCTTACGACAGCAGAGACCAGCTGACCAGTTACAGTCCTCATGTCTGCCACATGGTGTCTCTGCAGCTGTTTGTAGTGCCCATATGCAGTATTAAATCAGCTCTAATGCAACTGTTGAACTTAAGGTGTTTAGCATATTGAATGAAAATTTTTAAAAAATCTAGCCAGAGCTGAAAACAAAGAGATAAAGTTGGCAACTGGTGTTTCCTTGGAAACTCAAAAAATAAAAAAAATCCACATAGGTATTTTCACAAGCTTGATTGGAGCTCCTCTGAATACTGTCAGGGAGTGTTTAGTCGCTTGATTGACAGCACCCACAGTTTTCTTTTGGTGTTTTTGCACTTGCCAAGGCTGAACAGTTTACTCTTTGTTTTCAGTCAGATTGGATTTATGGGCACACACTGAGTAAAGCATATTTAGTGAAATATACATCTATGTGACTATTATACTCCTTTATATTTGAAAACAAAGATGATAAAGAAGAAATTTACACCGAAGAGAACTAATTCACTCGCTGTTTTCCCTTTTTACGACAGCTCGAAGGGTGTGGAAGAATTACCTCCCGGCTGTGAATGGAGTTGTGTTTCTCGTAGACTGCGCGGATCACGACAGGCTCACAGAATCCAAGACTGAACTCGATGTAAGATTAAACATCACAGTTACAAGCTGTTTGCTGCGTGCGCCACTGCCTGTTGTCTGTCAACACTAGATTGATGACACTGATTTTGTTTTCCAGGCTCTCCTAGGAGATGAGACTATAGTGAACGTGCCAGTGTTGGTGTTGGGTAATAAGATTGACCGTCCTGAGGCCATCAGTGAGGGAGGACTGAGGGGAGCCTTTGCTCTTGATGGTCAAGTAACAGGAAAGGTAGAGCTGTTCTCCGGGGGACCTTTAATTATAGACTAATGAAATTACCCAAGCGTAAAGGAACATGTCCCTTTGCATGATGACTGTGGTCTCATTCATCTGTCTTGTTGTCAACAGGGAAATGTCTCTTTGAAGGAACTGAACGCCCGCCCGCTGGAGATTTTCATGTGCAGCGTGTTGAAAAAACAAGGCTACGGGGAGGGTTTCAGATGGTTATCACAGTACATTGACTGACACGCAGGATTGAAGCTTAACCAGAGGGGATTTTTTCTTGACACATTTTCATAGAGCACGACAAAGACTTTGAGCCTTTGATAGTGTCACTCAGCCCAGATTTCAAAAAGAATTATCAAGGGTATTTTTTTTTATACTTAAAGCATTTATTCAGGATTTAAAGGTTTCTATGCAAACTTTTAAAAGTGGTTCACGGTGAACTGTCTGTTCCTTGTTTGTCGTTAATGTGAGATTTAGATACATTATGCAGGAATGTAGATCTGTACACAGTAGTGTTGCTTTATTTATTATGAAATAGGCTGACTAGATTCATTATGGGATAAGCTACTTAACAACAATTTAAGATTCAGTTGTCATGTATTTGTTTTTGGTCTGACATCAGATTAAAAAGTTTAGATTTTAGAATTAGATAAATAACTAAACTCCGATGATTGATTAAACTTCACACGATTTAATACGGGCAGCCACCGTCTTCAGAGTACAGAGCCAAATAAGTATCTTAATGACTTGAGGATTCGCAGGGAGAGAGATTAGACTTTGACAAAAGATTTTGTCCACGCTAAGCACTGAGCCAAAACGACTCTTTAGAAACCTTAAAAAAAGGAAAAAATATGGCACTCTTCACAAACACAAAGATAAAAAAGATGAATAAATGAAGCCAAACTGAAATGCTCACTGATGAGTGTTGATAATTTGCATCTCAGTTTTAGAGTCTCCATGAAGTTGCAGCTTTTTCAGCATTCGTTGAGAGATGCTATATTATACGTTTTAGGCAGCTGTTTGAAAGTTTTTCATATAGATTGAAATAATTTAATCTATATGGACTTTAGAGTACAAAACTCAAAAATGTAAAGTTCATAGTCCTAGTTTTGCTTTACCATAACTTAAAGGCTTTTGAAATATTAAAATGACTTATTTGTTGAGAAGCAATAAAAGAGTGTCCAACTGTTCTGTGGAAGAGACAATCACATTCAGTTGTGTAAAAGTAAGAAAGGCATCAGTCTGATTGATTATCATAATCAGTGTTATTTATTTATTGATTATATTTTGAGCAATATTTAATATTTGAGTATTCAGCGGTGAGGCTATGCAGGGAGGTTGAAGTGCTGCAGGGAATGTACTTTTTGATTATCTGAAAAGATATGAGAGTGCAATAGCAACCTTTTTTTTTATTTTAAATTAACATTTAAATATTTTAATCTCATTATTTGTAAGGATGTATTTATGTTCTTTGTATGTAAACATGCATAGTTTGATGGACTGTTTACCTCTGTGCCAGCTACAGAAATCCTGTAAACTATGTATAATAGAGTTGTAAATTTAAATGTATCTTTGTTGTTTTGGGATTATTTATAAGTGACTCTAATTTAAAATGATATTTACAGTAAAGACCTGTGCACATAGTGTAAAATTTAGGAGAATGTTTATGTAGAAATATGAAGCTGTGTGATTAGTTGTTCAAATGTTGTGATAAAAACCTGGACTTTTTGTGGACGCAACTGGGAATGCATCTTTTTTTAATGAGAAAGTCAAATAAATGAGGTTGTCTTTGTTAGAGGTGAAAGAAACAGCATTGTTGTTCAATACTCAGAGCTAGTCAAGTCAGATTTCTGCTGTGCTTCTGATTTGAAGACTAAAAATGCTGAATGAGACCTTGTTTATCTGAAAAGGAACAAGATTTAGGCATAAAGAGTCTTTATCTTGTTAGAGAGGTTTCATTTCTTGTGCCTGATTCTGTTACGGTGTCCCCCAGGGCTCTATCCTTGGTCCCCCATTTTTCCTTTATCAGCATCAATTCCGCAAATTCCAGAGAGTGTAAATAAAAGTAACCAAAAAGAGATTTTAGAAATGTAAATATATGATTAGATATGATTCCAGAATTTCTCAGATTTGTTACCAAATATGGAAAATTATGTTTCACCAGATTTAAGAAAAAGATTTTTCCAAATCTTTGTCGAATTCTTATGAACTGCCAAAATCATACATTTCTGATTTTTCACAGATGAAATAGTAACAGAATATTTTTTGTTGTCACATCACAGAGCCTTTTAAAATTCTCTTTTTATCGTCAAGTTTAATTATTGATGCGCCGTCTTTGTTGTATTAACCAACTGCAGCAAATTGCAGAGTGGCTTTTGTGCACTCCGAGAAAACTTGACAGCAAAACCCAAATCCTTGCTGCCCTTCACTGCCTGCCTGTCGTGACTGAAAATATCTGAACGTCTACTGGTTGGACTGACAGTTGTTTTGAGGACCCTAGTTTGCACCCTAATAATCTTCAGGCAAGGATCTTTTCATGGCTTTGGTGATGCCTTTTAATTAGCAACACTTTCAAGTCAGTCCAAGCTAAGATGGAAAAACTAGTTTAATTTTATGCCTTTTTAATACCAGCACCCTTTACATGAGTGACTAGAGGATCATATGCAAATTTTACTCTGTTAAGCTGATACATCCTTATTATCCACATACATTCAACCATTTTGCTCTAATTTGTTCCTCTAGCATCAAATCAGCTCCAGCTATACAATCACCCGTTTCTTTCAGGCTCTGACTCTGCAGCTCTTCACCGCATCTACTTGGATTTCCATTGCCGGCTCTATGGTTGCTCTTGATGATGAAGCTGTATTTGGTTAATGCCTTGTTAAACATAATCAGCTATAATTGCAGCTGTTAGCGACTTAAGCTGTAATAAGCTTCGGTAATCAGCGCTAACACCAGGTGGGGACACAAAAGTCCTGCGACGGTACGGTAAAATATTCATATTTACCCTCTCATGCATAAGCAGTGTAATCCATTTAAGGTAGGCAGAGGTTTTCTTGGAAGTATACCGCTCCAGTTCTGTTTTCAGTGCACGAGCTAAATTTGAAAATATGGATCTCCTGGGGTAAAACAGCTGAGCGCTACAGTCTGTGATACATATCCTCCCCTTAACACCTTACAGAGAGAAAAATCCACCTGCCTTTATCTACAAATTCATTTAATTTCCCTGCAGGCACACATAAGCACATTGTTCCTTTCTTTTTGCAGCCAGATCATTGCAAAAATACTCATCATTAAGTACAGAGAATGATGGAGTGTGACTGAGCTCTTGCAGTAGCCGCAAACTTAATCTAATTCCTCTCCGGGTGATCATTTTCTCCCCTGAAACAGAAAGATTTGGAGTCAACATACAGCTTGGCTCCACTGCCTTTATTAGTAAAGTGCTCAGCCTAGAAGTACATTCTTATTTACTCACATGCAATACTAAAAACTACCAAATGTCTGACCTACTAATAGCATGAATGAAGACATGGCAACGATAATCTCATAGAAAAAAATTACGATCTGAATTCAAGTATACACACAGAACTTCAAGTAATGCACGAATGTCCTTTTTTTTTATCAACACAAAACATTTTTTTTCTCAAGTTGCAAACAGAATCGAACATATTTGTGGCACATTCTTGGACATGGTTTCAGAGTTAGCAGAGTTTGAGTCACTGAAGTACATTCTACAGGTTTTTAGTAAAAGTAATCCAACCGCAAACATCGGTCCCGTTTGTGTCTCCGTTCTATCTGTAAAGCCTGTACAGTTATATTTAAAAACTGCTTTGAGTTGTGGTAGCTACATCTTTAGCGTAAAGGTAGCCTTGAAACCTTTGTTACCATAAATCCTCTGAACTTACTTCACAGATCATTTACAATGATTTATTTACAGAATCACTTCTTAAATACATAACCACAGTTTTAAAGAGCCGATTGAAGGAAAAGTTGGACTTTTTGGGAAGTGTACTAACCACATATATGTGACGCAGATTACAGCCAAGAGAGGGTTAGTTTAGCATAACACACACTGACAAATAATATGTTTTTTGGCTTGCTAAAGACATACTCAGATTTGATCGATTTTAAAGTTCATGTGGTTTATTAGCAAGCAATTATTTATTAGAAATCTAACTGTTATCCTGTCATTTCACCCTCTTGTAGCTCTTTTGGTCTTTAAGAAGTATAAGGGAATCTTTCCATGAACGCTTTACATGCACTTCTTCTAATCCATCTAATGCACATTCATAAAGCCTTATAAATGCATTTACAATAGTTTATAAGAGCAGTATTCATTAGGGTGACCATATTCCGACTTCCCAAAAAAAAGGACATGACTGCAGGGGTAGAGTCTCTGAGTTGCACAAAGCTAATTTTTTTTTTTCTGAGAGTTTTTCGGGTCAGATCGAGTGTCTTTTACGTGCTTCTAACTCAGTAAATTTACGTGATGCAAAATTGAAACTTACAAACAGTACCAAGGACATTTGAAGGACTCTATAAACTTCCCCGGACAGCCCCCAAAAAGAGGACATGTCCGGGTACAAGAGGACGTATGGTCACCCTAGTATTAATAAGCAATCATGGTTTACAATGCCTCATATCTATCTTTTGTTATTAGAATTTCCCATTACGAGGAAACAGGTAACAAAAAAGCATTTCTCCAGCTTGTCTAAAGCTCACATGGTTAAAATTGATCAATAATGTTCATATGGTACCTATCGTCAATTTCTCATCCTTGGAGGAAGACTTTCTCGATGGTTTGGCGCCAAATTCTTAATGAAACATAACAATTTTTACACAGCGGACCTGCAGAATAAACATTATATATATTATATAATATATACATATATAAATATATATATATATATATATATATATATATATATATATATATACACACACACACACATACATACATACACATATATACATATATATATTTATATATGTATATATATATATATATATATATTTTGTTTTTAAATATATATATATATATAAGTGTTCATTAGCCAGCTTTGAAGGCTTTGTTCTGCCTACTTTTAATCCCAATATGGCAACTTCTTCAAATCTTAATGCTAAGCTAAGCGAACCCCCTTTAGCTAAAGTGAGAGCTCAAATCAAAGTCACTGTTTCCCAAAAAGTTAAACTTCTCCTTTAATATCCGATCTCTTTTTAATCCAGTGCGACGGTGACTGTAATACTCAAGGAATATTCACACGATACAAAATTACAGGTAATCTCTATATGCATAGATGGCGGTCAGACAAGATAGAAACTCTGATGGACTGTAGCTACCTATGGCGCAGTAGTCGATGGGTCCTGCAATCCAGGACGGCAAAACAAAAAAAAAAAAGCTCTGTTGCTCAAAATACAGAGAGGAGAATGAAGCAATTACACATATCTAAGACAAAAACTGTTCATCGTCTCATTCCTGGACCAGCATCACCCATCACACCTGAATGATACACACCTCCATTCCTCCCCAGTCCCATCCCAGAATCCTTTGCTGTCAAGAGAGAGCCGTCCCTGTAGATTTTCAGGCCAGCAGCTGTGACACGGCTCTCCAAATTAAAGGGTCAGACAGTACTACCAGATGTATCCTCCGTCGTCTGCCTCGCCCTCCTCTTCTTCCTCCTCCTCTGCCTCCTCTCCGTTGTCCTCAACCTCCTTTTCTTCTTCATCCTCCCATCCAACTCCGCTTCCGAAATCTCCAGAATATCCCGCCACTTCATCTGGATAAGTGGGAAAACAAGAAACAACTGGAGATGTCCACACAGTTTCTGTTTGTTTAATGCTAATCACTGTTAGTAGGAGGAAAAATTGGTTAAAATGGGACAAACAGGGTAGCATTTGGACATTTTCACTATTTTCTGACATTCATTTAAAGGTGGGGTAGGCAGGATCTAAGAAAGTACCAGTTTTTGGTAGAAATCTTGAATGTTAACACTACCCCTCCCAACCCCGCCCACAAACAGACGCTCCTGCTTGCTCGTATCGTTCCAGTTAAATTCAGATATAATGCAGATAAATACTTCAGATAATTACAAACGGGGTCCAGTCAATGTGAAAAAGTGGTGCTACTGTAGATGCCAACAGACTACCAGCAAACACAATGTTTGCAGGACTTCTACATCTAGGATAAAGTGACATAGTCCAGGACCCGAGGTCAACAGTTTAGCAGCGCTACAACACGCAGCAGGTCCCGTTTGACAAGAAACATTTCTGTTACAGACACTTGGCTTACTTTGTTAAAGCGTTTAACCTGTCCAGCAGAAAGGTTACAGGGTCCGTAGGATCCCGAAGCGTTCCCCATCGTTTCATGCTAACCCGGCTTTTAGCTCCGTTTTAAGCGCCTGTTATTCTGCCAGACTCTCCGGTATTTACTTTGTTTTCTTGCTTGTGTTGGCAGTCATGGCCAAAGGAGGATTCAGAAAATTTTCCGAACTTTCTGGTTGGTTTCTACTGTCCGATGTTGTAGCACACTAACTTTGTTTGGGCTTGTGAACGACACAGGGGAGCAGCGTCTGCCTCACAACCAATCAGGTTGGGGGAGGCGGAGAATGGCTTTGTTTACAGTCAGAAAGAGTGGGCCGCTCAAAAAAATTAAAATGTTGACTACACTGACATAACAAAACCAGGCGATATTGTTATATTACCAAATGTAATCAATAACTAATAGCTATTGACTGATATTAAGAACAAAAACAGATGCTTCTTTAATGGAATCCTGTCTACTCCACCTTTAAATTGAAAATCTTATTTATATAAAAAAACTAATAACTGTTTGAAAAAATACTTTTTGTGTCATTCTATCTCAAATATAGACATTCAGTATTAAGCTTATAATAGTTAATGACCTATTCTGAGTATAAAACATACTTTTATTTTGAAAGGACAAAAAAAGGTACCTCTAAAAGTTACCTGCTCCTATGTTGGATTTCCCATTAATCTTCATTAGTCTAAGTCTCTGACTTCTTTCAGAAGGATGCTTTAATTTGCAGTGATTAGTGCAAAAACAATCAAGCTATTTCCTTTTTCAAAAACTTCTAATCGACTTTAAATCAGAAAAATGACTCTACACCGCCGTCACTTTTTCATGTTTCTAGAAAATACAACATCAAGGTCACAGTTGCAAACCAAATCCTCCTCATTAGAAGAGTTTTCCTGCTGTGCTCAGAGTGAGGAATATAAATAGCTGTTCCCCAAATGCCCCCCCTCTGTTACCACAATCAGGAGTGCCGTGGATTCTGGTTCCCATCATCTCTCCACCATGCTGGTCAACACACCAGCACTCCCCTCGGCTCTGATCGCACTGCACCTTCCTGTAGTAGCCGTCCTCGTCACAGCTGGGGATGTACGTCCCTGCGAGGACAATGTTTGTTAAAAACTTAGCACACAGCGACCTCACGCTGACACCTCCGAGAGGATAGAGACAAAACCGAGTTTCCCTATTTGTTTTAGAAAAGGACTTTTATGCAGCAAGACGTTGTTTCAAACATTGTGTCGGCATGTTTTCTCCCTTTATTCTTTGACAGTAGCATGTGAAAATGCAGTGACAGCCTTGGTGACAGAGCGCCTCTGTTTCCGCCTCCCTCAGGACCCTCTTGTCAAACCCGAAGCAGAGTTCTCTAACAAGCACACACAACCCGAACCCCCCCCTCTTGACTCTGAAATCCAGCGAAAACAAACAATGAGACAAGTGGGCTTCAGGGATGGCAGAACACATCTCTGTGTTTGGTGCTGACGACTGAAAAGCAGCTGTGCAGAATGTAGAGCGGGATAAAGAGAAGCTACTGAAACATGGAGTTTCTTAGAAAGCTAATCCTTCCCTCCACCTGCGCCCCCCACTCTCAACCTGATTACAGTCTAATCCCAACATAGCTGCGTACTCTTCATGTCCCTAAATGAGCCCCCTTCAGCTTCTCTTGCCTTCTCTATGCACCTTGTTACGTAAGAGACCCACCACCTTCTGCTAGCTGGAGCTAACTTAACTATGCTAGTACCTGAAATGATCAAGAACTTACAAACTATGTATCTAGAGCTAAAAACCGTCACTCAGATGTCTCTTGATTGTCACAGATCTAATATCATAGACGAGGGGTTCTCTACTGGTTGTTGCTGACTCAAAAGTGGGTTGCGGACACGTTCTGGATGGATCACGAACAGCTGGTCAAAAAAAGTAAATATTTAATGTGATATTTTTTAGATATTCAATATTTTCGGTATATGCAACTTCAGTAGTTGTCGTCCCCTTCCTGTGCTCTGAAATGCACTTTACTCAATAAAACAAGAGGATTTATGTGAAAGATTAGAGGCTTTAAAGGTTTTTTTATATATAAAAAATTAATTTGCTTGGTTTGATTTCTATAAAAGTGGGTTGCGACTAAAGGATCATGGGAAAATATGGGTCCCAGAGTGAGACTAGTTGAGAACCACTGTCAAAGACTGTATATAGAATGGACGCCATATGCCTTCTCGTTGGGTAAAGCCACTCCGAGGACAGCACCCTCTGGTGACGGGCTGCAGTATAGGTCATAAATCCCGCCTCCTCCAGCAAAGACAGTAAGACTGGTTTGTGCTCAAGTCTTCTTTTTTCTGTGCAGCTCAGTTTTTAAAAGTTCTTAGGGGGTTCATGTTTGCTATGATTGACACTCGATAGAGCTATGGGCGTATGAAGATTGCGTAGCTCACCCGGGCGATACGCTGTTTGAGTCGAACATCATCACAGAGATTCTCGGCGACTCTCCCACTGAATGCGTACAATGCTACTGCGCAAGTGGTGGAGTGCGTACAACGCTACTATGCAATGTCCATTTCAGGAAATGGAGAAAAATCGCACTAATACCAAGAGCTTTTCGGCTTTAAATTTGTATACCAGCGGAAGGCGGAACCAAGTTGTCCATAGTGTATACAGTCTATGTCTAATATGCAGGGGTGTGTCTACAATTTTTTGACTGGGGGGGCCTGACGGGATGGCACTGAAGTTGGCGTCAGGAATGTACACATGCTAATCTGTATTTCATTTTTCATACCACCATTTCTGTCATCATTAATCACATGGTCTAGGTTTTTCTCCTGGAAAATATCTTGACATTTTCAGGATTGCAGGGCATGCGCGAAATTGGCTGTACAGCTGTTATATAAAAAATAGCAGCCAAATATAAATCTGTTAAATTCACAGTACAGAGTAAAAAACAAAGAAGAAATGCACTGCTGTGAAATGTCAAAAAGCAGATTTCAAGCTGTTGCATCAAAGCGCAATCACTCTGACTGAACTTCAGTCCAGACTATCAGGACAGTCAGATATCAAAGAGGGGCTTATGCCACCTCAGTTCCCCCCTCGGACCCACCCCTGCTTGAATGATCAATAATATTTACCGGGCTTCTTCTTGGCTGCCTCCTGTACTTGGATCCTCTCCAGCTCTGCGAGGCATGGCGGCTCTGTCGGAATAAAACAAAAGAGAGTGATGACAAACATTACTTCAAACTGCTCCCTTTAAACTTAATCTCAATCAATGCCCTCCTATCATCGCACCTTTTTCACGCATTGAATTGTTTGAGGAGTATTTGTTCTCGCCTCTCATGAGCTTTATTCACTGTCAAACGCTTTGGTGAAAGAACCTGAATGCAGCCCGAGAACGACAAAGAAATAAGCTGAACCTCTGAAATATTAGAAACACGGAGGAGAGAGATGCGCTTTTTTATTTTCTCCCAGCGAGGTGATAAATCTCCCTCAAACTCTGATAACTTTGCTGCAAAGGGAAATGTAATTTTAAGCCACGGTGCTACATCTTTTTCCTTAAACATAATCCTTAAATGTGAAAACTCAATGCCCGAGCGTGAAGCTGTTTCTAAATATCACCAGCTCATAATGAAGAATTGATTAGGGAGTCAGTGTAATCTATTGCATGCGGTTTGAATGTCTGATCAATGGGATAATCAGCGTGTAAATGAGGTTTCTGTCTGAAATCTCCTGTATTTGTTCAGTAAAGGTCAAACAGCACAGATATAGAAACAGTGCACAGCTAAAACAGCGCTGTGAACGAGGGTTATAAATGAGTCCGCGGAGATAACCCATCATTTTACATTTTACAACTACACATAAAATGTCAAGAACGCGGCTTCAAAAGCCTCTTCATTTCGGTTTGAATATTCTAGCACACCAGGGGTTTTTAGATTCAGTCTGTGATCATTTTGTCTCAGATATCTCTCAACCTGACTCAGTATCTCCACATAAATCTGGTGAAATCTAACCGTGTGTGCAGTGAAGAAAAGAAGCAGGGTGTTTTTCTGAAGAATAAAGAAAACTGAGGAAAGTTTCCCCATCTTACCTAAAACTGTATTTTAACACTCGGCAATAGAATAAAAGTGATTCATATTCATCTTTTAGCTTTTTCTGTTATTGATTTGAATTCCTACATTTGAGCAAGAGTCAAATATAAATCTTGGACAGCTTTTAGAGTTAAGAGGGTAGACGATTTGCTATTTTCTGAGCTCTTACTAGCTTCATGCTCTTAAATAGTTCCTTGACAAAGAAAGAGGAAATAGCATCTAGAGTATGAGACTGCATGTTTTAAGCTTGGACCAGCTCTTAGTTAGGCTGCCAAGGTTTTAGACTGCACACTGAGCACCTTTCCCTCCTTCAGATGACTGTCTTTCATGATGTTTCGGCCTGTTTAAAAATGATAAAAATAATAAGACCTCAAAGGGACACATCTTAAAAGCAAAGAAATATCACAGTAAAGGGATATAAAAACAGGTTTTTGGTTAAAAATAAGAGAAACATCTTATTAAAAGAGTAAAAGCAAGATAAGCAGTTTTTTTAAGCAGGTTTAAGGAAGTTTTTCCTCACTACTGTTACCTGCCAAATGCTGCAAAGTGCTTCACTCATCCCACTCCACTTATCCCATCTTTAAAAAGGGTCTTTGTAAACAGAGTAAGGTCAAGACCAGCTTTTTTCGTTCGGTGCCTTGGGAATTGGTGCCATCCAAAGGGAACGCCATGTTCAGTCACAGGTCATGTGAAGTGCTCGGTCTCAGGTGGTTGAAAATATCGTTCGGTGAACTCAGGGTTGAGAAAGTCTAGGTGAGAGGTATGTTTTGAAACTTTCTCTCTCATCTCATCTTGAATGATGTGGAGTCGCAGTGTTTTAAAGGGATATTCCGGCGTAGAATTAATTTAGGGTCAAACACACTGTAACACAGATTTAGACACCCTGTCGAGAGATGAATGTTGCTGACTGCATGTTTCTCTGGTTATACTAACTTAAGTAACGACTGCAAGATAGCAATACAGAGTCACGTGCTCAACCAAAACGCCACTCTATAGCCACAAATAATTCTCAGAACAGCACCTAACTTCATCAACAGTATATACACTAGCCACCAAACACCTTTTTAACTTTGCCTAATTTCTTTAGCAAAGAGACTAAACACAACTCACCTACTCTCTTCCAGCAGCTGCTTGTTTGTACGGAGACCTCGGCCAAGTCCATGGAGTGCAGCGGGGTGACGCAGCTCAAGGAAGAACATTTATGATCATTTCTTTATCATTTCCTTAAAGTAATAATCTCCATATTAATCATTTTGCACTGCAGACCCGGTAGTTCTTCTGCCTTAGCGGCTCGGTCTGATTGATCATAAATGTTCTTCCTTGAGCTGTGTCACCCCGCTGCAGTCCATAATGGACTGCCCTGAGGTCTCACAATAGAGTGGCTATAGAGTGGAGTTTTGGTTGAGCACGTGGCTCTCTGTATTGCTATCTGCGGTCGTTACTAAAGTTGGTATAACCAGAGAAGCAAGCAGTCAACAACATTCATCTCTTGAGGGGGTGTCTTAACTCTGTGTTACGGTGTGTTTGACCCTAACTTAATTTTACGCCAGAATATCCCTTTAAAAATGAAAAGGTGACTCCTCTGCGATGTGACCACTGTGTGGCTGCATTCAAAACGAAAGACAAAAGGACACCATCACGCTGTGGAAGTCCTCTCAGGCTACATCAACTTTAGGTCTTTCCTGCAGTAAGTTGGACAGTCAAAACTCAGATTTGAGCAGAGTTCAGAGGAGCCATAAGAAGGACTTTTCGATTTGCCAGAAAGTGATTCTGGCTCTCTGACAGATGAGTCAGATCAAAGAGGCTTCACCAAGATTGTTCTCAGCAGGGGAGCAGAACGGGTGATCATGTCTTAGAATATCATCAGACCTGGATAGATGGTGGAATATAGGTGCACGGAGGGAGAAATAAGCATGGATTTGTGCGAAGAGCCAGAGGTTGAAGAGGGGAGGTGAAGCAACAGAAAAGTAGGCTCTGCTTTGAAGGTGTTGATTAGTTTGGCAATTGCTGCTGTATCGTCACCGCCTGTAGGCTTTTAGACTTTTGAAATAACATGATAATTCATTTTTCAGGGAAGGAAGGAGTCTGATAGAAAAACTGAAACTGCTTTCATATCACTGTGATAAATATGGGCCGATTAAATAGGAATATAGGTAGAAACAGGGCGAAACAGCCTATTTCAAAAAGAATAATATAATATTTAAAAGACAATCTATTAACCTTATTAACCATTTATTTTTTAGATTTTCAGGTGCTAAACTGGTGACTCTTGATGAAAACTGTTGTGCTTGAGATGCTGGTGTTGAGGTATTAATTTATACAGCTTGTGTTTCAGGGCTGGTGTCAGAGCTGTGTTTCCTAATCTGATTTTAAAAACACTCATTAGTTACTCCACTTTCAACAAAGCCAGGCAGGAAGCCAGGAGACAATTTACCCAGGATATAAATAGAAGCAGGACAAAAAAAAAAACAGTTAGTCTGGCTCTGTGCTGGTACATACATATGAGGTTAAATGTGCATTTTTCACTTAGTATTCACATCATTTCAGTGTGGAGGAACTGTATAGCTGTATTTTTGATATGTAGACCTAGCCAGGGTCTTTTTGCTAAACTAGACTAAGCAAATCCAGACCTAGCTTCATCAAAGGTGTAAGAGGAGCTGGTCTTGGTCAAACTTCCAGCAAGAAAAACAAGATATAAAGTTATTAAAAAAGTGTCAAACATTTCCCTTAAAAAGGTTTAAGGAGGAAAAACTATAAACAGTGTTTCCACCTGTTTACAGTCTTAATGCTCAGCCTAGGCCACTCTGCTGTGAGCTCAGAATTGATCACCTAATAAAACTCCAGAAAATCTCATAAGATGTTTGACTATTCCTCTATAAGTACAGTAAACTGTGAAACTGTTCTTTATTAGCGTGATCAAGCATATGACTTCAATTTCAAACTATTCCTTTAAAGAGAAGACGCTTATTTCACAAGCTGCAAACTTTAAAGGGATATTCCAGCGTAAAATTAATTAAGGGTCAAACACACCGTAACACCGAGTTAGACACCACGTCTAGAGATGAATGTTGCCGACAGCTTGATTTCTAGTTATACCAACTTTAGTTACGGCCACACAATAGCAATACACAGCAGTTTAAGGAGCCACACACAAACCTTAATCATAACCTTAATCAAACGCCACACAAATAATGCTCAGAACAGCACCTAACTTCATCAACAGTACATATAGGGTCCCAGCAACAGTACTAGCCACCAAACATCTTTTTAGCTTTGCCTAATTTCTTTAACAAAGAGACTAAACACAACTCACCTACTCTCTTCCAGCTGCCGCTTGTTTGTAGCCTCAGACCTCAGACCAGTCCATTATGGAATGCAGCTGGGTGACGCAGCTCAAGGAAGAACATTTATGATAATTTAAGGCAGAAGAACTACCGCGTCTGGTGTGCAAAATGATAAATATGATGATTATTACTTCAAGGAAATGATAAAGAAATGACCATAAATGTTGTTCCTTGAGCTGCGTCACCCCACAGCAGTCCATGATAGACTGGTCTGAGGTCTCGAAGCAAGCGGTCGGCAACACTCACCTCTCGACCGGGTGTCTAACTTGGTGTGTTTGACCCTAAATTAATTTGACGCTGGAATATCCCAAACAATTGAGGTTTTCATGCTAAAGCCTGACATAAAAGTGAACTAGCATCTAATAAATTTATCAGTATTTCTTCTCCAGAACTGAGGTACATCTATAAGAATGTAGAACTTGTGTTAAAGAAATGCCTGGTGTCCGTCTTGTAGCGGTCATATCAGGCTTACTTGTGCGTTGGAGTGTCTGCGTGGCTTTGCAGTTCTCCACCTAAAAGTTTTTGTGCAGTGTGATTTCTATAACCAGATAATGTTCAGTGACATTATCTGCTTGCTTGTGCACAAAAAACACCCAGGGTATTATCCAAATGTATTATGTTAGAGCTGGTGCCAATAAATGTTGCATGCAAAGCAGAGAGAAGAGGGATATTGTAAATGCTGGAAATAAGATGCTACCATCAGCGTATGCTCATGAACCAAACTTGTGGTGACGCAAGTGCACTCCCTTTGATTCCCTAAGAAATACAGCCAAGAAAGATTTGATAGATTTAATGAGTTTTTCGTAGATTTCTCCACTTACTTTCCCTCCAGAAGCAGAGGCACCACTCAGCTGTGGACACCTTCCCGTCCTTGAAACTGTCACAGGAGTTGAAGAAGGGTCGGATGCAGACCTCATACTTGTCCAGGTTTATAGCGGCCAGCTCAGCGTGGTCCAGATACAAGTCGCCGTTTGTGTCGAGCCTTGAGAACATCCAGCCAATAGAATCCTTGCAACTCGCTACAAGGCTCCTGTCCAGCGCTGCCAGAAACAATTTGCATAGCACTTCAGTTTCTTTGTGTTTAAACCGCATTTCTTTGCATAGACAATTGAGTTGTAAGTTTTGGAAGCGGCAGAGAATAAAGCTACTAAGCGAGTTTTCTAACCCGAAGCCGTGCCAGCTCTGAGCTTGCCAGAGTTGTTCTGCTTGGCGTTTCCATGAAGTAGCTGGAACCAGTCTCTGAGGCGGTCACCCAGGTCTGCCAGGTCCTGGCCGGTGCAGCTCTCTAAGGAAGTGAGAAGAGAGAAATGCGTGTATTCAGAACCCTGGCAGACACTTTACAGCAATCTGACTCACCTTCAAACAAAGCTGGAAGTGACTCAGTGCTGCTTTTACCGAAGTACAAAGAGCAGAATGAAAGATTTCCCTCGATTTGAAGCTGTAGAGGTGGATTATCAGGCTGTCCTTTAAAGCCACACCACATGCTAATTAAAATAAACATTATCTTGCAATTAAAACCACTGCAGCAAAACCCTGTTATCCATTTTAAATCAACTTTCAGTCCCAGACTAAGCACTTGGAAGGAAGAAAAAAAAACAGAGTAACAAGTCAGTCTTTTGATCAATTGGCATTTCAGCGTACCCTCGACTCTGCAGGATCAATACTGTTTGGCTGCAATGATAGATAGCGTACACTCTAAATAATTAATTACTACATGATTGAAGGAGCAGCTGACCCACACAGGGGATATTTGGATAGCAGTAATCTCTAAAATTGGTGAGTATTGATCCTGATTCTTGAGCATCGGTGGGTGTATAACCCTTGAGTCATGGGTGAGGTGAAAATGGTTCAGCAAAGGAGGTGAGTATCACTGACTTAAAGGCATGGTTGACGATTGGAGAGATTGGTAGATATTATGAACCTCGTTTCTATGGCGATCATGGTCCTATAGTGCGATCTCCACAAAGTGAAGAGAAAAAAGGAATGGAAAAAATCTGTTCACCCGAGCAGGTGCCTGGTTGCAAAAACATTGACCAATGGGAGCCATCCGTCCCAGACTGCTTCTATTGGTCAATCTCCTGCTCTGCCTCTTCATCCAATCACCTCACTGTATTTGACACACCCCTCTCCCATAGTTCCAACTTGTCCCCTCCCTCTCTTCTGGCTGCGATATTTTTTTTTGTAGGATGGTAGCCTCTGATTGGCTAGAAAAGCTGGAAACGTCATCTTAGCTCAAACGCGGGCTGTTGGCTCTGAACATCAGACAGAAAATTATCAAAATTCTGAATCTCCTAACCATAACCCGAACCCAACTTACAATGACGTTTCACAGCCATAAGGTATAACCAATCGGAGTCCAACACTTCTAGCCAATCAGAGGCAAAGGAGGGCGGGACCTTCCCCTACCATCCCCCAAATTTTTTTTTTGCCTCCCAGCCATCCTTGGAACTCAGAGCGGCTAAAAGTAGCGTAGCAGCTTAGCTATAGGAGCTGTGATGGAGAAGGACGCAAAAAAAACCCACTTCTGTTCGCCCTACCGCCAAAAGTGCTAAGAAAACGCTACATGACAGAAGAAAGGGCAGAGACGAAGAGGAAATGTGACCAAGCGAGGAATCTAACTTGAATAAACATCGGGTCATCCTTCAAGCGGTGGAGAAAGCTCTGCCAGGATTTGGGCCTGAAAACAGACGCAGAGACAGCTGAGATTTTGTTGAAGAGGTAGTTTTTGCCCTTTATCGTGGCACATGTTACATAAATAACTCCTATTAGTCTCTACAATGTCAACTCCGTAGCTGTCCAGGCAGCTGCAGACGGTTCTCGCTAGCAGAGCTGGCGTTTACTGCCGCTGGTCACTAGCAATCCGACATGGTGAATCCTATTTGAAGCTAACGTAGGATCTTTTGCCAGTCGGCTTCTTGCTCTGCCAGAGGGGGTGTGTCGTGGGGAGGGAGATACAGGTTCGGGGATGGTGAGGTGGCTCAGCTTTTTTCAACTGCTTCTCCAATCGTCAACTCTTGAGTCATGAATGTGATGACTGGTTCAGAAAAGGAGGTGAGTATCACTGACTTGATATGCATGAATAAAAAAAGGAGAAGAAATAGCACTTGCCACGTTTTGCATCAGTATTTGTGATGGTAACGGGGGCTGTGGCACAGGGGCAAAAGCCAGTGCACATGATGCTCAGGTCTTTGCCTGTGAGGCAGGCCTGCTGCTCCAGCTTGCACTGTATAGAGAGAGAGAGAGAGAGAGAGAAAGTGAGGACAGAGGGAGCGAGAAGTTAAAATATTTATGGGGGTGACCGCAGGAAAAAAAAGAGATTGCTCATTCAAATGAGACACTGCACTTAGAGAAAGGCAGCAGGAATGAGCTGTCACTCTCTTCTGCCATCCATGCAAGGTCAAAATTAAAAACTATACATAAATCAATAAGGAGTCCTGGCAGTAGCCGGCGTTCAGTGATGCCACTCAAAACAGCGTCAGTCATTAATCATAGAGGCGCGTTGAGCTGATGCACTTGTCTTCCTGTGAGCAGTGATGAACTGTGTTACCCCGCTGCGCCCACGTATATGTCAGCGCAGCAGGAAACAGCACTAGACTGGACTCCTCTCATTATTTAAAGCGATGACACGGCCACTTTTCATTTCTTTTCACAGGTTTTATGACGACAGTATTCAGTGATAAAGCCAAAGTGAAAAAAAAAAAGGTTATCTCAGGAAGAAGTAAGACTCTAATAAAGTGAGGATGCAAGTGGGATATACTCTCTTTACCTCAGAGGCATAGTTGTGTCCATCAGAGCCACATACAGGTGTAGTGGCAGCAACAGGACATGGTTTGCAGCTATTTTCATGAGCCTCCTGCTGCACTGGTTGTTTGACTCTGGATATGAAAGAGAAAAGTGAAATACATAAGAGAAACACTGTCGGAAAAATGCCTTCACGCTTGTATTTTTACGAGGCCACCAACAGAATTCTGAGTGTAGATTCTCAGATAGATTTGAAGACCAGGTTTTAAGGCTAAATTAACTATATATACTTATTGTGAACATGCTAGCAATTGCTAATTAGCTACACAAAGCTATCTCAAGCTGATGGAATGGGCTCTGTGCACAGCTCCACTACTTCCTGAACTTATAGGGATATTCCTGCATAAAATTCATTTATGCCGACCGCGATAGCGATACACAGCGGTCTGGGGAGCCATAAACAAACCTCAACCAAAACGCCACTCTATAGCCACAAATAATGCTCAGAACAGCACCTAACTCAATCAACAGTACATATAGGGTCCCAGCCATAGCACTAGCCACCAAACATCTTTTTAACTTTGCCTAATTTCTTTAGCAAAGAGACTAAACACAACTCACCTACTCTCTTCCAGCAGCCGCTTGTTTGTAGCGAGACCTCGGACAAGTCCATCACCGCCTGGTGACGCAGCTCAAGGAAGAACGGTTCTTCTTCTACTTAAGTGTCTTGGTCTGATTGCATTTCCATGAAGAAATTATCATAAATGTTCTTCTTTGAGCTGCGAAACTCCACAGCAGTCGATTATGGACTCATCTTAGGTCTCGCTACAAACAAGTGGCTGCTGGAAGAGAGCAGGTGAGTTGTGTTTAGTCTCTTTGCTAAAGAAATCAGGCAAAGATAAAAAGATGTTTGGTGGTTAGTGCTATGGTTAGGACCCTATATGTACTGTTGATGAAGTTAGGAGCTGTTCTGAGCATTATTTGTGGCTATAGAGTGGCGTCTTGGGGGAGGTTTGTGTATGGCTCCTCAGACCGCCTTGTATTGCCATTGTGTGGTTGTTACTAAAGTTGGTATAACTAGAGAAGCAAGCCCTCGGTAACATTCATCTCTTGACAGGTTGTCTAACTTGGTGTTACGGTGTGTTTGACCCTAACTTAATTTTACACCACAATATCCATTTAAGTTCAGGAAGTTGTGGATCGGTGCAAAGAGCCCATTATTAGTATTTGTGAGCGTCCACTAATATGTCAGAAAAGGTCAGATTTTCACTTTTTTTTTCTTTAATTGTGAGACAAAAATTTATGAAATTTGATAAAGATTCAATAGGTTTTGGAGGGTTTTTAAAGTGCCTTTAATAGGGTCTAAACAAGGGACCATCAAAGATCGGATACTTTGTCCCCAGTCAAGCTTAGACATCCGTACAAAGTTTCTTCGCTGATATTCCAACAGTTGTTGAGCTATTTCCTCAAACTGACACGATCCTCCCCCTCCTGCAGATTCTTGTTGCCGGCACAGTTAAAAACTTGCCCTCTCTGTTGAAACAGTGAACCTGATACACTGTCAACAGTCCTCAGACTGTTTCTTTTGTGGAGAGTATTTTCAGAGAAACCTGTTCACAGCGGTCTGTGAGTTTTTTTCAGAGGAACAGATTACACCAGGCTGTCTTCTTCTGGTCAAATGTATTCCCTTAAGACGTCGGGAGTTGCTGTGCTTCTGTTGTGGACTAAAAGGCTCACCTTTAAAGGCCACATCTTGACACCAAACTTGCTGTCTTCTTTCTTTGAAGTAAACAAACAACACCTAGGACTTTCACTTCAGCACCGAACTTGATCTGACATGCTTCGTTGTAAGAGTAAGAAGCTGATTTGCACCAAGATCATGCACAGTATATGCAACAGGTCACTAATATACTGTATACTGACCATCAGTGATGATTTATTCATGATGTACAGACTCATCTGAAGCTGAAAGTTTGACATTTTACACTTTTGATTAAGTTTAAAACTATTCCAGTTCTCCTCCTTCACAAAGAGCCTCTTTTTTCTTAAACGAACCTCTCCGAAAAGTATTTATCTGCTCCCTTTGCCCATTCATTCTGCTCAGACTGAAAAAAAAAACAACAAATGAGCAGGGTTGCAGTCTGAAAAGAATTAATGGAGTGAATTATTACTACCTGCAAAGTCTATCTGCAGAGACAGGCATTTATCTTTCTCACTAAAGTACTTCATTTACTGAGTCACTCCAGAGATGAGAGAGACTGTGCCGAATAATGGGTAATAAGCACGAGCACGCTAAACCATCCTAGCGTCATTAGCGTCAGTAGATGCCGAAAAAGTCGTGACGCTTGTGCTCACTGAACACGGAGTCAATCTCCGTGAGAGAGGATCTTAGGAACCAGTGCATCGAATAATAACAGCCAACAGAAACATGTGAATTTAGCCTGTTTACAGTTTACGGATTTTCGATCAGAGTGCATAATCTTGATACTTACAGCTGAGAGGAAAACAATCTCATACAACATGATTCCTCAGTAGTCGCATCAAACGCACTCGAAAACACTATCAGCTTTCTCTAGCCGCTTAGGGATAGCGAAACTGAGCTGTAAACACAACAAATTATCACCTTATAATGTATGACAAGCTTGCTAGCAAACAGTCATTTAAAATCCAAAGGACATGTAACAACATTAGCAATCCTTAGAGGACATTTCTCAGGCGGTTTGATAGTCATAACTCTGAAATTCACACTTTTTCTCTCCGATTTTAGTCGCTTACCACTCCCGGGGTGAATATCTGAGTGTTCACCTGTTAATTGCTCTGCTATGTTAAGCTGTTATCGCTGTCTGTCAGCTGTTTGGTGCTTTGTGAATTTAAACAGGGACTTTTTTTTGTTTTTTTCGGATTAATAACCAATATCCATGAAATAACATAACGAGCCGCTGAGATTTAAGAAGTATATTTTGTCCAAAACCTGAGTACGCCTAATTTTTAATCACGTTATGTGTTATTTTATATTTTTTTGAAGTAGAAATGTGAATTACAGCAGATTTAAATATAGGTTACATACCTTTAAGAGCTCCATATCTTGTTTTAAAAATGTAAATAAGTGGGATGCTGCTTTTTTTAAATGCATCACTATATTTGTGTAAATATCTGAGGTTTTATTTACTTACACTAAGATGACAGCCAATTTGGCACCACACTGTTGGCAGCTTTGCAGTTCTTTTTTGTCATGTGGGAGATATCCAAGCTGTCCAAAAATCCTATATTTGGCCTGGAAAGCTGGAGTGAATGTTATTTTCTTTCTCAGCTGCTTATATTTATAGTCCCAAGATGTGACACAAACACCAGAGCCTCAATTTGATCAAACCCAGCCTTCTGGTTCGGTCATATTATGAATACACTAGTTGAATGCATAAACAAAGACTGAATGCAGAGGGTTCGGGGTGTATGAGGAGACGCTGATCAAAGTCTCTGCAGCCAGTTTCACACAGAACTGTATAGTCTGCTCTAACGCGAGGCTGTGGAGCTGTTTCTCTCTCAAAGAGGACGCACTGAGCTGAGAAGACTGTGTCCACTTTTATCTCCGATGACGTTCAATTTGGTCGGACTGCGCCGCATTAATATATGAGTTCACAAACTGATGATCCATGTAGTTTTAAGTAATTACACCAAGCAATGGTGGCTTTATTATTAATTAAAACTGAGTCGCTGGGGTTCATAATACATCATGCATTAGATCAAACCATGATGAGTCATGTATTAGTAAAGCATTAATCAATCATTAAGTATGCACCCTTGACATTAAGTGTAACTCATTAAGCTTGCATCTATTTGGACCCCTGGAATAGCAGCCGCTGCTTTTTGCAAGCTGACAGAACTTAAAATAAGAAGCAGCCTGAGGAAATAATCTATGAATATATACATGGATCTGGAACTCATAACCTTATTTTAAAGTTTTAATGCTCGTGAATAATTAATGTCTGAACAAAATACCAGTGAATCTATAGCATGAAAATGTCAAACTATGCCAAATGCTTCAAGTTATTTGAGCATTTAGAGATTATATAACTGCTAGTACTCCATTTATGAACTTTTTGGCGTGCATATCATTAAGACAGTATCAGTTAATCATTGGTGTTAATATCTAAATCTCTACAGCTAACTTATAAGGTAATGCAGATATTTATAAACCTACATTTACTGAAAAAACTACGTCAGTTTGTCACATATTCTATGAACCTGTACATCTCTTAAACCACCATGCTCCTATCAATCTTTTTGTGACCTTTAAAGGAGCCAGGCCAATATTGCTGTCTTCTTCTTCTCATTACTCAGATTTCTTCATTTATCCGACAAAGACAGATTCGCACGTTAACATTAATTTGACGTTACATTTTAGAGAGAAATAGACAAAATAATGTCATGTAACACAAAGGAAAGGACCAAAATATTACCCAAGCACTTGGCAACTGGTAAAAGGTCAAGGCACGCTGAAAAGGGGTTGTACTGCATATTGGAGTATACTGACTCATTTAGCACCAGTGAACTTGAACAACTGCAGTTGAAAGATTAGATTAGATACAACTTTATTTATCCTTTAGGGGAGGTTTCCTCAAGGAAATTAAAAATTATTAAAATTGAAGAATTTTTAAAAGCTCAAAAAACAAAAAAGGGAATATTCAAAGACTAGGAAATTAACAGTGATACTTCTTTATAACTAAAAAAAACAGCAACTGGGTCAATCAGAAGTCCAACTGAATACTTTTAAATAGTAATTATTTTATGCCTGAAAAAGTTGTAAAGGAGTGGGTGTCAGACTCAAAGCTGGAATCTATTTTTTTTGTCAAAAAAAGATGAAAAATGCCTTTGCATGCACAGGTTAATGTCAGTAAAGAGATAAGACGTCCATTTTTGTCCACAGGGGGCGCCAAAGCTGAAACCACAAATTACCTACAGCAGCTTTAATTTTACTTGAATTTATGATAAGAAATCAACCTAATTATTGAATTTCCCTTTGGGGATAAATAAAGTTCTTCTTACCTTATCTTATCTTAATACTTAAGTGCTAAAATTTCATTGATATTAAATTTGAGTTCGGAAAGTTCAAAGCTCCAAAATCAAGTTGGCAATTATGAATATGCAAAAAATTCAAAATAAAGCGGTGGAGTAATAAATGAGTAATATCACATTTGGTTTAAAAAAAAAAAAAAAAAAGTGGAGTCATCTACCACTATCCCGAACAGTTTTTAGACTTCTATGCTACATCTGCAAGCAGCTACGATTCCTTTAGAGAGACACCTATAGAGACATATTTCCACATCCTGAGCTGCTGGATAACCAGCTATATTTAAGTTCTTCAGGAGAGTCGACCGGTCAGAGCTGAAGTTAATAACTTGCTCTTGAACTCACTTTGGAGGCTCTTCTCTAACACTGCAGATAAACACTTACTTCGTTTGAGGTCTGAAACACCAAGGGTATGAAATTGAGATCTTGAGGGTTACTCTCTCGTGGTTTTTAGGAGTGACTCACCAAAAATTTAAACAAGTTATTTTGACAGAATTTCTCTCCTTGTCTCCATAACTGTTTGTATTCACTTTCATCACTTCCCATCCACACTGGGCCCTTAATCCTTGCTCAGCATGGCTTTCCTGCTGAAATTACATCGCAGTGGACTCCTGACACTCTCTGGCCTCTTTACTGAGTTTAATCAATAACTCTCCAAGCAGACACTGAAAAGCTTTTAACTCACACACTTGAGCGACTGTTGACATCACAAGCGGAGAAATGTGTGTCCTTTACACGTGAAAATTGTATCAACAGTTGCAGCATGTCCTGAAAACACTCCCCTTTATGGCTCGGGGGACTTAAAACTCCACCTACCTGTGCTCCAGTTTCTTACGATTGACACACATGGCTCTCTGGTAGCCCTGGGCGACGCACACCTTATGGCGGCTGCACTTCACATTCTGGCACGGGTCCTTGGTGGTGTCCAGAGCTGCGAAAACAACAAACGCACATCGAAAACAAAGGCGTCAGTCACAGCTGAGGTGTTTTGCTTTAATTTGCTATTTCTGTCACCTCCAGAAGACGACACGCTGAGCTCCTGAGGCTCTTGCGTTTACCTTTCTTTTGACAGGAGTATGTGCAACAGAGATTGATACTGATCTGAAGTAGATAAAAAGAGCTATTTCATTTCCTGTGTAATGAAGTAAGGTACATTAACATTGTTTAAAATCACCACCCGTCCACATGAAAATATCTCTTACACAATGGCGTGCGATAAAAATCATGCAATGTATGATGAAAAATATTCTCTCCGTGTGCACAAATGAGCCCCATTGATTTTATAGTTGAAAACATGGACGCCTCGCTGTCATTAGAGAGGCGGCTCGTCGTCGATAGTGCAGCCCGCAGTCTCCACCGGCTGTCTGTGATTGCGAGAAAACCTGACAGCACTGATTGAGCATCTCTTTCTCTCGGTGTGTCACATCTCACTTCCCTCCTAGTCAACTTATCACTGTCTCTCCCCTGTCTTGCCTTTTCTCTCTCGCACACAGACACGCACTCTCCATCTTTGTCTCCCACGTTTCTCCTTTTTTCTACCCTCCTCTTTCCTTCCTCCCCCCCGCCATCGCTTCTCTCTCTATCTTCTGAGGGTTGAAATGTTCAATGCCAACCTCTTTCCCACTGATAGGCTGAGATGAAAATAGCACCGTGTCCTCCACCTTCCTCATGCCTTTGGTCAATGCTGTCAGAAACTTGATGTCACAGAGTCCCAGTTCATTTGCCACCCTGCCTGAAAGGCCTCAGAGGAAAAAATTAAACCTCCCAGGCTTGGATAGATCTTAGAGTGAGTGGAAAGCGGCGGTCACCCAGAGAAATTTTAAGCTGCGAAATCCTGAGTCAGCTTTGAACAGCTGCTTTGTAGTCAACACGGTCAACAAACGAAGCTGCTGCCAGCCACATCCCTGCAAAGCCTGAGACGAGGTGATACTCTGATGCTTACAGCAGGGAGGTGTGAGGAAACAGTGGACTTTTATGGAATCAGTGGATGACATGACAACTCTGAGGGAATCCAAAAATACCTGCAGGAGGCTGAGTGTCTGTGGTGAGTGTTTTTTTGTGCCTTAAGAACAGGTATGAGACTGAGCCGGGGACGGGGAGTTCGTAAAGACGTGAAGTTCTGCGCAACTTCCCGGCTAACCTGTGATCTGCTGGCCTTTGTTCGAGCGAGCTGTGATGTGACACAGCGCTGCGAGGCGGCTCGCTACACCACTGCTGCTCAGGCTGTGAAAAAATGTCACAACACATCCTCATCTGAGAATGTCAGAACGATTCAAGGTACCCGTTAAGAAAAGCAGTTTCCAATTTTTTGTCTACTTAAAGGGATATTCTGGTATCAAATTAAGTTAGGGTCAAACACACTGTAACACCAATCCAACCGCTTGCCTCTCTAATTATACCAGCTTTAGTAACGACCGCACAATAGCAAAACACAGTGGTCTCAGGAGCCACACGCTCGACCAAAACACCACTCTATAGCCACAAATAATGCTCAGAACAGCAACTAACTTCATCAACAGTACATATAGGGTCCTAGTCACAGCAGTAGCCACCAAACATCTTTTTAGCTTTGCCTAATTTCTTAAGCAAAGAGACTAAACACAATTTACCCACTCTCTTCCAGTGGCCGCTTGTTTGTACAGAGATCTCGGACAAGTCCAACTGCTGCAGGGTGATGCAGCTCAAGGAAGAACATTTATGATTATTACTTTATCATTTCCTTGAAGTAACAATCATAATATTAATTATTTTGCACTGCAGAAATAATCATAAATGTTCTTCCTTGAGCTGCAAAACTCCGCTGCACTTGGTGATGGACTCGTCAGGACTCGCCCCACAAACAAACGGCTGCTGGAAGCGAGTAGGTGAGTTGTGTTTAGTCTCTTTGCTTAAGAAATTAGACAAAGTTAAAAAGATGTTTGGTGGCTAGTGCTGTGGCTAGGACCCTATATGTACTGTTGATGAAGTTAGGTGCTGTTCTGAGCATTATTTGTGGCTATAGAGTGGCGTGTTGGTTGAGCGCGTGGCTCCTGAGGCCACTGTGTATTGCTATCGTGTGGTCATTACTGAAATGGTCTAACTAGAGAAGCAACGGTCAGCAACATTCATCTCTCGAGGGGGTGTCTAACTCGGTGTTACGGTGTGTTTGACCCTAACTTAATTTTACGTCGGAATATCCCTTTCAGCTAAAACTGTTATTAGCTTGTGTCCACTCCTTTGTTCTGTACCCCTGCGAGTCTTTGCTGCTGCTCTCCCTGCCTTGGATTTTTACATATGCATGTGAAACAGAGGAGAGGTGCGCTTTACCCACTACAGACCCTGAGCTCTCGGAAGAAACTGAAGACTACTCTTAAAGGATTAATGTGCAGCTAAAACAATAACACAATGTTGATTTGTGTTTTAACAACAGGATCAAACCCAAATCTCTCACTTGACTTCCCTTTGGCTGGAGGGTTGAAGCAGCGCTCGGCATTGCCTCAAAGTAATAGGTTTAGGCGCGTCTGTTTGTAGTGACAGACACAGATTCTACATTGCAGTCCAAGCAGTTTAGTCTAATCACATGTCAGCGGGCTTTGTTGTATGCAGGAAAAACATCTCAAACAGACAGCAAACAAAAATGCAATCCAGGGTAAGGAGATCCCGGCTCCTCTAAGCGGTTATGTGACAGCAGCTTATTTATCTATAAACAGATATCTGCAAGCGAGAGCTGCTGACAATCTGTTTGAGATCAGAAATTTCAAGCTGGGTTACAAATCAGCTCGATACTGTTAAGTGAAAACCAATTGGTGTTGCTATTTCCTGACTTCCTGGAGGGCCTGTTCACTTAAGAAAAAAAAAAAACATTTTAACAAAAGAGCATTTTAATAAAATCTGAGCTGACAGAACTTTACTACTCTGGATACTCTCTTTGACTTCATTTCAGCTTTTGGTGCAGTCAACCACAATATCTTTATCAGACATCTGAAATACTCTGAATTAGTGACGCTGGACTGGTTCATTTTCCTGTCGTCTCATTTTCCTGTCGTCTCCTTTCCTTGAAAATGCCTCCTCCTCTTCTTCTCAGGGGTCCCACAAGGGTCTATCTTGGGTCCCCTTGTATTCACTGTTTACGTGTTTCCCCTGAGGCAAATCTGCATAAGCATGGTATAGACTTTTCCTGCTATGCAGATAGGGATGGGAATTGATAAGATTTTATGGATAACAATGCCATTATCGAGTCTGCTTATCGATTGAATTCTTTAACGATTCCCTTATCAATGCCTTCCTTTGATTTTTTTTTTAAAAAGTAGACCATAGGTTTTTACCATTAACTCAAAATTTTATTGAGTCTGATAACAGAAAAAGATGTACGACACCTTCAGTGAGAGTCTAAAAATAGTGAAACGACAAACTATTTGTTGAGCATTTACTTCGGTCAGTATTAAGTCAAATTAGGGTGACCATATTCGAGATCCCCAAAAAAGAGGACACTACTACGCAGGGTGGAGTCACTCAAAAAATTTTGAGGGTTTTTTGGTCGGGTCTAGTGTTTTTTACATGCTTCTAACTCAGTTAGTCCCTGCTACACAAACTCAAAACCCCAGACATTTGACATTTATAAGTAAAATGAAGCCATGCTGTAGATCGTTTCAGCCTACTGTTCGTACCCCTCCGCCACATTTTTTCCTCAAAGTCTCTGTTCCCGTTCTGTAGGCTGGCTCTCAGGAGACCATTTTTCAAGGCACCCAAATGACAGGAATTGTCAAGGGAATCATTAAGATCAAATGTAAATGATGTCGATAGATTGAACTATTTGGAACCGGTTCTCGATTCCCATCCCTATATGCAGATGACACTCAGCTCTATGTCTGCCAAAATCTGGCACCCCTGACATGTCTCACATTACATCCTGTCTGTTTGAAATCAAGAAGTGGATATCTAAAAATGACTCCAAATCTTAAATTATTGTCATTACCCCCTCTAACCCCAGTTTTAGCTAGATTAATAATCTGTCCTCCAGAATATAATGTTTGCAAGAAAGCCTGTAACCCTGGACTCATTTGCTTTCCGACCTTTCCTACAACACTCAGATGAACAGCGTCCTGCGTTGTTCAAAATCAGGTCTATTTTTTCTCTCCTGTCTTAAAAGTCATCCATGCATTTATTTCTTCCAGACTTCAATACTATAATGCACTTTATTCTGACATCAGTAAGTGCAGCATACAAAGACTACAATTATTTTAAAATGCTGCTGCCAGACTTCTCACATTTAGCTGCAGAGGCAAGCCATTGTCTTTTACTGGCTCCTTGTGAGTTTCAGAATAGATTTTTTGATTTTGATTTTACTTTATTTTGATTTTGAGTGTTAAATTTATACCTTTTTTAAGTGTTATAGAATTAAACCTATTATCATAACGTCATAAAAGTTTTTAGAGGATAGCTGATAGATTCAGGTTCTTTTTAAGGTTAGTGGAGAATCTGGTCCTTGTGTGTCAGCAGATGAAAAAAAGCATCTGAATCCAGCATCGAGACATGAGACCTTGCTAGCCCCCACCATGAGCAGGGTCATAACACAGAGTGGGGTATTCTTAAACACCGGGTGGCTGCAGCTCTACAGTCGAAGTTGTTCATCAGCCTGGCAGTAAAAATGAGACATTGCACCAGAGTTATTTGTGCCCAACCATTACCAGCAAGTACAGAAGGAGAGAGAGCTGAAAATCCCCGCGTTTATCTTCACAGATCATCAGTTCAAAGAATCTCTGTGCGGTTTGTAAAAACCCAGAGAGAGACAACTGGTGTTTTTCTGCAGTTAGTGTAATTGAATTATAAAAACTTTTATGAGAAATCCACTGGGGGAAGAAACTCACAAAAAAAAAAAAACACAAGAAGCAGCATTTAGGCTCAGTCGAAAAATAGATTGCAGGACGAAATTTATTCCCTTTTTTTTCTTTTTTGGCTCCGCTTGATTTTTATTCTCTGTATCTGTTCCAACAGGTGCTCTGCTCAGTCATAATTCAACCTCAGCTGGGGAAATCTACCCAGACTGCAATGCTGATGATATGTCTGCTACTTGTCTTTTGATTTAGGACACAAACCCTCCAAACTGTCACCGTTCATATCATCTGGACTTTTTCTTTACAACAAAGAGAGTAAAAACGTCTCATATATTCAGTATGCCTTGATGGATCACATTATTCCTCTTTGGTGAGAGTCATCACTCACAAGTTTTTCTCGAGATCCCTCTGGTCCATCGGAGACGGGCTCTTTAAGGTGGTTGCTATCAGATGAGGTTTAGCTTTTCATGTCATTAAAAGTCATGGACCATCAAGTTTTATGGTAGCAGGGAACCAACTTGTATAGGTTCTTTTTATTTCCTTTATTTCCGACTTTCCTCTGTGCCATTTTACCGTCTTAAGGCTGTTGAGCAGCTGCTGTACCTGCTGCCCGCTCACCGACAGACACCACAGTCTGTGTGGGACACGGCTCACTGCGCTGACTGCATGTGTGTAAGTTCAATAATAGAAAATGTGGAAGTGAGTCTGAAAATATTTAACCAATGAGAGTAAATTATTTCAGCCCTGGATTGAGATAATTTCAACAAAGATGGAAAGAAAAGTGAGATATGTGGAATCTTTGTTGGCTTATAGCAGACTAAATTTTAGGAGCTTATATCCTCTTTGTGAGAATTTGGACAGACTGTATTTCCCATGAGTTAGGCCTATTTGAGACTAAGCAGCAGGTCCACATGTGAAAGAAGTGTCACAGTGTCAAAAAATTAAGACTTTGTAATTACTTATGAGAATAAAGTCGTAATAAAATCATTATTTACGATAATAAAGTCGTAATAAAATCATTACTTACGAGAATAAAGTCGTAAAGTAAATGAAGTCTTAAAGCTGCTTTTGTGGAGGAGGAACTGCTGAGTTATCAGTGGGTGCATCAGTGGGCCATTCAGAGGGCTTTTGAGGTTTCTCAAGAAACAATCCAACTGATGATCAACATTTGCGATTCAGAGGGAGTCGAGCTCCGATGAGCACCGCGTCTGTGTCTGATGCCAGCACAACACCGGCAGCAACCTACACCTGCAGAGGCACAGACACCTTATGGCATCTAGGTTCATAAGATAAACTAAAGCTGTATGCTATTGTTATTGCTCTAAACGGCTGCATTGAGGGATTTATCCTCTGCACAGACATTTTCCAGCCAATTCCCCCTCCTCAAAAAACAGTGATTCCCTACAAGTCTGGTTCTTTCTGCGGAAAAGATGCATTTCTTGCATTTGTCCCGATACTTTTGACAATGTGATGTTGAAACGCCAAAGGATTTAGTATCTCCTTGTTTGTGAAACCTAGCTACTAAAGTTCAATTCATCTAAATGCTCCAAAGAACTCATTTAAACAACTAACAACAGGTTAGAATAGCTATTAGCTACGACTTTATTCTTGTAATGATTTTTTTACGACTTTATTCTCATAAGTAATTACGAAGTCTTAATTAAGAGTGGATTTCAGGTAAGCTGAAGAGCTGGGGGACAACTTTTGTAAACTTAAAAGTTGACAATTACTCAGATTTGAATCTTGATTATAACTATGGCTCCTAATGATCATAAAAATATGATACTCAAGATTGAGCGATATCGTGCCACTTGCTGTAATGCCCCCATACATTGAATGAAGCGCACTTAACCCGCTCTCTCTAATCATAAGCACCTCAGATTAATGTAAAATAAAGTTTGGGAGTGTTGTGCTGTATCAACAATGTTGTGATGCAGCAGTACAAACAATCAGGAAGCAACAGGTGGAGAGAGGAAAGCAGGGAGAGGAACAGGAGGCTACAGTAGTGTCTGAAAAGCAAAGGGACGGAATGAGACGAGAGAGAGGCTATAGAGGTCACCAATGAGCCCTAATGATTCAGAGTTTTAATAAAATATGAGCCAAAGCCCTGATGTTAGAGAGGACGTAATCCTTGAAAAGGCTTGAAAAGACCGAATGATTGGTTAGATCCGCAGCCTGTAAAAATGCAAGATCTGGCGTTTGATCCAGTTAGTATTTTCACCATTACTGGGCCAAAGCTCCTTGAAGTGAAGTAGAAATAATAAAGTTCAGATATGGAGGCACAATCACTCTACTGGGAGTTCTGTTTTAGCTACACAATAAACCTGTTTTGGTCTCCACTAGATACTGTGATGTTCAACAGAGTAATTTGCATTAGCATGCTCCACCTTCATCACAAACAAGTAAAAAAGGATTGAACATCTGCCTTCCAGTGTTGAGAGGGTGTATTGATTAGGTGTTTTTAAGAGAAAGGCTCCTTACACTGGGGAAGGATGGTGAACATAAGCATTAAGGAGGACTAACATGTTCTTGGTGGTGCTAAAAAGCTCCATAGCACTGATGAGGAGCTGCAGAAGTGTGATATTTTTCACTTTGTCATTTCTCACACCCTGTTCGATGTTACATAGGTCAGCTGATCAATTACCAATATAAAAAATATTGATCGCAGACGCTTTAAAATCAACAGCCACGTGTATTCAGCAATAACACAAGTCTAATTCTACGACTCGCTGTGAATCAAAGGTGAGTTGACTGGCTCCATCTTTACCTTTCACCAATACTTTCCTAATAATAATACTACGTGCAGACACACAGAAGTGCTGTATTGTACGTTCCCATAGAAACAAAGCCTGGTGCTTTAAGAATAGTTTGAGATGGACAGCGCTCTCTCATTGCCTTTGTTCAGTGTCTTTAAGCACCTTGAAGTCTGCCTCCAGGCAACAGCTTTAAAACAAACACGTCTCTCTCACACAATGGTCTTATGTGACTCCTACATGCTGAAAAACCCAAACAGAGGATTTCATTTGCATTGAAAATCAAGTTGGCTTTCCATCACGCCTTTTTTCGCCTGGTGTTTTATATCCTGCTGAACTGTATCAGCTACAGACTGTGTATGGAAACAACACACATGAGCGCCATTATGGGTTTTAAATCCACATGTAATCATGTACTCAGAGGCGGCTGAGTCCAATCTCAGAGTGTCAACTATATAACTCTGGAAAATACACAACAGCAACATCACACACCACATCCACAGCTGCTGGGATATATTTAAAGTTTAAGCCTATTTTAGCCTTTTTATTTTAGCCTAGCTTGAAACTGGATTTATGCTAGCTGTTGCTTTAGCCATAGCTAGTTTTTTACACAGCCTATGATGTTTAAACTACAAACCTTAAAGGCATGGTTGACGATTGGAGAGATTGGTAATTATTATGAACCTCGTTAATATGGTGATCATCGTCCTATAGTGCGATCTCCACAAAGTGAAGAGAAAAAAGAAGAGAAAAAATAAAACGTTCAGCCTAGCAGGTGCAGGGCTGCAAAAACATTGACCAATGGGAGCCATCCGTCCCAGACAGCTACTATTGGTAAATCTCCTGCTCTACCTCTCCATCCAATCACCTCGCTGTATTCGACACACCCCTCTCCCGTAGCTCCGACTCGTCCCCTCCCGCTCTCCCGGCCCTCCTCGGAGCTCTGAGCGGCTAAAAGTAGCATAGCAGCTTAACTACAGGAGCTGTGATGAAGAAGGACGCCAAAAAATCATTCTGCTTGCCCCACCGCCAAAAGTGGGAAGAAAACACAAGCCGACAGAAGAAAGGGCAGAGACGAAGAGGAAATGTGACCAAGAGAGGAATCTAACTTGAATAAACATCTGGTCATCCTTCGAGTGGTGGAGAAAGCTCCACCAGGATTTGGGCCTGAAAACAGACGCCAAGACAGCAGAGTTTTCATTGAACAGGTCATTTTTGCCTTTTATCGTGGCACATGTTACATAAATAACTCTTAAGGGCAAAACCCACAGGATCCATCTGCCATCCGGCTCCACTGCGGATCGGATCAGATACACAAGGCTTCTATTTTACCCGGACGCCAGAGCACGGCGCATCAATTCAGTGCAGCACAGCACGAGCAGCAGCAGAAGTTGTATGCAGTTACAGAGTAAAATATTTGGTCAATTTTCAAAATAAAATTAGGTCAATACATTGAACTGTTTTAACTTGATAATAGTAGAGGCCAGGGTTGTGGGATGTGGGTGTTTATATACACTGATCGGCGGATCTCATTCTATGACTCCCAGGGAAACACGCAAAAAATTTGCAAGCCCTTCTCTAATCGTCAACCATGCCTTTAAATCTATCACCTGGCAAAGGCTGTACACTGTGTACTTTTACTTCCTGTCTTCAAGGCATCTATTAGATAAACATATACAACCACCCTCCATGAGGAAGAAACCTGGCTAATATCTCTCCATGGATTCACTGTTTTTTCAGGCTGAAGCCAGGAAGGAGTGAGATTATATTGATTCGTCAGGTTTACTCCACCTTGAAGGCGTAAAACCTGAAATTCAGCAGTCTGACACTTAAGCGTTTGACTTGTCCACCCAGAGTGTGAAGTCTGAGGGAAACGTCCACAGTGTGATTATGGTCAATGAATTTGTCTCTGCTGTCTGTTCACATCAAATCACCGGGCTCGGAGATAAGACAGGATCCTTCATCAAAAGCCTTCATCGGGCATTTGCTTTACATTCAAATTGTCAGACAGGCATTTAACTACAAGTGCTTCTGGTCAGGGAGGAAAGATAATCCGCCAAAGAGCTGTTATTGGGTGGCGGAGAAACTGTGGCACCCGTCTGACACTGAAAAGATTTAGCTCCGATAAATATTAAAAGCATGAGCGAGACAGGCCCATTTGACAGCTTTGAGTAAATTAGTTTCAACTGGATTTGCAATTACTGTCAACCTAGAGGACTCTTTTATACCCTGAGATATAATTGGTGGTCGCTGTGTTAGAGCAGCTCACGGCTTTTATTCAACTCTAATGGAGCTATAACGCTGTTTACTTTTAATTAGAAAGGATGCTACACACTAATTCTTTGTATTACAGACTATGCCTGAATTATCTCCTGGAGTTGTCGTTTAGATTGAAGCATAATCGTTTTTAACATTTTTTTTTTCTCTTGGCATGAAATGAGTGTTATTTGGAAGTCAAGGTCAAACCTTTCTGCTTAGTCAGAAAAACAGGAATCTGATTGTTCTGAAATGGTGTCTTAAAAAACAGAGCAGACTCTGCAGAGCAAAGCCGATGTCTCAATCAGCTCACTTAAAAAAACACAGCAGGTGTCTGAAGTCGACTTCAGGTCTTTTTCAATCCCCAAGACTTGCAGGTAGATACACCTCGCCTGAGATTCTGCTGTCTCGTTGAATTTGCAACCGAGAGGACCTGGATCAATTAGGTCTGCAGAATTAGTCCCAGCGGGAGTTGGGACGGGGATGAAATCAATGATATTCAAATGAACATCACCCACACTACAGCGAGCCGGGCGTTTTCTTCAGACTACATTATTATTCCCTCTGCTGCCAGAATGAACGGGACGCCGTCTGGAGCTGCTTCTTTAACATCTCCCCCCTTTGATAGGAGACTGCAGTGGGTTTAAAGTGAAACAATGTGGGAGTGGGAATACGTATGACCTCTGACCTCCCAGCAGGTGAGCCAGACCGATTTGTAAACTCACGGTTAATTTGCTCTGACTTATATGTCTGCTTCTCCCTACTGCTGAGACGTATTTCCCTCAGCCTGACTGAGGTTTGTACAATGACGACCATCGATCCAATGTGTAGCAGGAGTGACTGAACGGAGCCCCACGCACACCATCATTGACAATTCTTGTATACAACCAAGATAGCTGCCTCTGATGGAGATTATTCTGAATCTAACGCTGCATGAAACCACTCGCTGGAGAAAGATATGGATCACACTTCTCCATCTCCCTCAGTTGAGGCCAAAATACAACCATGATGTGCACTGATATACTGCACTGGCAAACAATGTGACCTCTGTGTGACCCATCTAGATAATAATTTGTATTATATTTGAAGTTTTGGAGGGATTTTTTCTCTTCCTTGAATATCAAACATCACATGAAAAGTTTGAAACAATTATGTAATGTCTACCTGAATATTAAGATGGTAATTACTGAGCTACCGAGCACAATTAGATCTGGTTTCACAATTATTTTCCCAAAGTCTCTAAGTATGTCTAATTGCATGTAATTGCATCATTATTTTGCCTTTTTCCCATGGAAGGACTTCAATGCTTCCCTCTCTAATTGAGCCCCTGCTGAGTTGGATTTGCAACACAACACTGTTTACTGTAAATCAGAGTTTGAAATAGTGCCACCAAAATGCCAGATAAGTTTTGATCTGCTTTAAAAGTAAAAAAAAAAAAACACAAAATTCATCTATGATTTTTGACAATTCTTGGATTTTTTACCACTTAGCCTTTGCTTTTTGATGCTTCCAACAATAACAGAGCAACAACGTATTGTACATAATAGGGGTGGGAGAAAAAATCAATTCACACAAGTATTGCAATTTTTTGGGTTACAATTTTTAAATCGATTTTTATATTCAAAGATCTTTTTTTTTTCAAATTTAAGAATAAATCTTAAAAACTGACTTACATGTGATTTGTATTTTTGGGGAAATACGGTTCCTGGAATAGTCAGTAGAAAATCATAATCATTCAGCTGTTTCACTGGTGTTAAAAATGCAGACTAAAGGTCCTTACACGCAAATATATGACATGAAATTACGAAAAAATTCAGAGGCGAATTTTGACTCAGACTATACACATCAAGCCTGATGCGATTTTTCCACTTTCCGGGGGGTAAAACACACGTCCCAGGTAGAAGCGAGAAGACTGACACAACAGCAGTCTGACTGTTTTTCAGCTCTGATTAGACTCTAGTGTTGAGATGTCTGTCTGTCATGATAGCATGTATTGAGTCGGGGCCAGTACCAGATAAGCACATTAAACTATAATCCATAAACGTAAGGTAACAACTGAGACCTAACGGTGCTGTGACAGCAACACGGTTGAGTTTGAGACAGTGAAAATACATATGGTATGTTGTATCTGAACAGGTTAGCTTACGAGCTAAAGTTACTTAGCACAGATGAAAGTTAAAACAAAGACGTTTAGCAAACTGTTAAAGCACACAAACCATCGTCATATGAGAAATCTGACGCTATGACTCTCCACAAGTTGTCCTTCAGGTCGTTATCTTTGTAATGTTTGTGTCTTTTATCAAAAAGCAATCTGTTCTCCGACATGTTAACAATCAGCCGGTCAGCCATGTTGGATATACCGGTGAATCTGACGTCACAACAACACGAAATCTGATTGGTCAGAAGTGGACACACAGTATGCGAAACTTTAGAAAAATCGATCGTGATCCGAAAAAATAAATGCCGCAATATTGCAGGACGGGAAAACGTCGCTGATGTGAACGCTTGTATTGACAGGATATGGGTTCGAAAAAAAATATAGTCGTCCGAAATAATTGCACGAAAAAAACGTTCCCACTGTGAAAGGACCTTGAAAGTCGAGAAAATCGACAATATCATAGAATCGCAATTTAAATCGTATCAGCATCCAAAAAAATCGTAGAAGAATCAAATCAGGAGAAAGGCATATCGTCCCAGCCTTAATACATCAGCTATTGGATGTAAAGATAGAATAATAATTATCCCACCTGTTGCATTTAAGTCCAACTTTGACCCTATTTTGGCACAAACATCAGCTTTCATTAGCTGAGGTTTTCTTGGATGACTAAAATTATTAAATGCATATCTATCTTTCCTCATTTCTGTTTGATACAAAAGGATGATTTGACTGTAATAACACAAACATATCACATGGTCTTAGTCCTCTACAGCAGGTTCTTACAAAGTGGGATTTTCTTCCAGCAAGAAACAGACCACAGACCCCATGGAGGTAAATGGTGCCTTGTGGGAGTTTTGAGCTGAGCCCTCAGCAACAAAGGCAATTATAGCCAGCTTTTCAAACTAATGGATCCAACTGAAGGCTCAGCCCTTCCTTTCCCTGAAACACAACAGCGCTCTCAGCCTCTACAAGCAGTGACACCGCGGACCAGCGCTCAACACACACGGACGACCTCAGACAACTGCTGCAATTAGGAGAAGCTGGCACTTCAATAAATGAGCTGTACTATTTCATTGTCCAGAGCAGATGTATAAAAGCAGACGGCACTTAGCATTGATTATGCTGTTTGAATCTGAAACACAGCAGGTTTTTTAGTCTTTGCATTAGAACTGGCACTTTAAGTAAAGCCATTTAAATATTGAAGGCTCTGCAAAGCGCCTTTGCATCGAGTAAAGACGCAGGCACTCAGGCTGCAAACAGAAAACACATTTAGCTTTGAATAAAACCACAAAGCAATCCTCATAAGTCCGCAGAAATACTTTTTAATCACATAAAATCTTTTTTTTCCAGGACTTACTTTCATCAGAGCCCATGTTCTCCTCTGTGTTTTTGATGTAGTCGTCCTGGAAACAGAAAATATTCACATTAATGGGTTTAGCAATTCATACAAAGCAATAAAACAGAGGAAGTGTGGTCTTACAACTGCAAAGATAATGGAGGAAGATAACTTAAATGCATACTTCACCAAACTGTCACAACACGAGTGTAATTAAAAGCATGATTTTTACTCAAACACATTTTAATATAATTAGTTTTTATGATGTAGAGTTGGATTTAATAGATGGCAAGTTGGAGAAAAGCATTATTTTTTAATCCAAGGTTTCATTAGGTTTATAAACTTTATCTACCATTTGATATCCTCTATAGTCTGCATTTTCCACCCATTAATTTTGCTTTATTTTACTTTGAAGGTCATAAACAAAAATTATAAACATAAGCAAATGATTTCAAACCCAGAAGTTATGAAAACAAGCCAAAAAAAGTAACTTTTGCTCTCTCAGGTGCAACATTTGTCGTACTTTTTCTTCAAAGTTTACAAATTTTGCTGATGATATTCAGTTATACATCTTAGAAGAAAAAAAAACAGAGCTGGATTAATTTAACTATTAACAAAAGTCTGTGTCAGAGTTAAAAGCACATAGCAAATCTCATTTATTTATTTACCTATTAGAGTCTGTTTTAATTTTAATGAGAAGCTCAACGTTTTCCTAAACCCTGTTGTTTCCTTCTTTGTCTGTAACATCTAAGCTCTCCGTGTTTTGATCAATGATTTGTTCTTTTATATTTGTCCCACATTCAAGTTTAACAACAAAAAAGAAACAACAAAATCCTCAGTTTTTAAAATGTATAAAACATCCAAATTATGCATCTATTTGTTGAACGAACCCTGGAGAGGAGATCAGACTCCCCTTGTTTGCTATCTGTTTATTTGAGAGAAGATCTAAGCTGTTGTGTGCACTCCCAAAATTGACGCACAGCTACATTTCAGACCTAACATAAGCCAGCGAGCAGCTTAAGATCCTCAAACAACATCCAAAATAAGAGGTTGTTCCCTTCTGAAGGATTAAATCTGGAGGTGACTTTGCCCCTAAGAGACCCAACTCTCAGCGTGAACTCTCTGAGGAGATCAGGCTGACTCAGTGTGCTTTTACAAGAAACTGCGGGAAAGACGTTTATAAGACACTTGCAGGTTTTTTTTCTGGATGTGTTTGCTGCATCTGGATGCGTTTTTTTTCTTCCACTTCATTTTATCTAACATTTGAGTATTCATTGGAAAATGAATGCATGTAAAAATAATAACAAGTTTGAAGATGAAGAACCTTTTGTTTCTGGTTACAAGAAAAGATTGATACCTCTCTAATGGAAGGTACTCAAAACAGTCAATTAGCTCATAATGAATACTGAAAGCAGGGAAATGTACAATTTAAGACGAATCTTCACTTGAAGCGCATATGAGGAACTTTTGGTTTGTGTCAGTTTTGGCGCCCCCTGTGGACAAAACTGTCTTTTCTCATTCTCCCTCACTCTGATAAGTTTTGAGGGCCAGACATCTCATTTATTGTGAACGTTTAATGCTGAATTCGTAGCTGAATTCAGCTGCTTGAGTGACACCTATCCACTTGCACTGGTTTCTGACTTTAACAACTGCAATCAATAAATTGAAAGTCTTGTCGCTGATGGTCTTGTTTGCTTCGGGATATCATAAAAAAGGGTCTATTTTATGAATATCCTCACAAGAACTTTAAACACATTTGTTTTATAGGAATGCAGATTTCATTGATTTTATTTAACACCAATTGAGTAGGTTTTTTTGGTTTTCAGGATTTACGCTAAGCTAGGCTACGCAGCCTTTTGCTGTAACAACACATAATCAAACAAGCTAGCATGTGGCATCAATTTTACAGAAATATCAAACTTAAGGTCCTTACACGTCCGAAAGGACCTTTATTATCAAGTTTTCCCCTTGACTATAAAATTATTGGATTTTCAAGCAGTATAACCATTTCAATAGGAACTTACTGGAATATTGAGAAAAGCAAACACCATAGAGACAACAAATACGAGCTTTGCTCATTCATGAAAGCTCCGTTTTTTAGATCTATGACTAATGTTGATGAAAATATCTGAACTCAAAGTCGTCCTGCCTGCTTTTTCTGTTTCTTTACAGTGTCATGATCTTCATCGGTGGATTTGTACATTAGAATAACTCACAGTTTGTGCAGATTACCCAAGGAGGACCATGTATTGAGGTTTGAATCTGGAAAGTCAGGGGGTGAACCCAAAGTTGAGATTATTTTCTTGTATAATGTTGTTATTGAGGTGAAGAATAATGTCAAAGTTATAGAAAAATTGTCTTCACTGTTGACGTGAACCTGCCTTTGCGTAACAAAGTTCCACATAAATCCCACATGAGCTCTGTTTTCTTGTTTTGGGGTTTGAAGATGTGTTTTTGAGTATCAAATATACAGAACAAGAAAAGACTCTGTGAGCTTTAAGTTTCTTAAAAGCCTCAAACTATCTCGCTCCTGCCCCGCTGCTGAGGGAATATTTGCAAACCGACTCAACTTCTTAGATTAAGTCCCTTGCGGCGTAGCACTGGAACGATGATAAAAATTCACCGTCCTTCTGCTGTATATCCACTCTGACCCATTTCTCTCTATGCGAACATCAGGACGGAGAGGATCAACTATAAAGCGGTTACTACTGGGCATGGGGCCCAGAGAAGACCCCGAGGATCAGGTCTGTTCGTTTTAGCTCGGCCTTATTCTGCTTCAGGGACACGAAGACGGAGCTCTCAAGTCAGGCTGAACAAGAAGAGCCGAAGGCATCTTAAATATTGGACAGAGGGTGAGGAGTTAGAGGGGTGTTTCTGAGTTTAGACTTGTTTTATACTGTGGAGAGAGTTTATTATGGTGAGTGTGAAAAGTAGAATTTTATTCCACTGATGACACCGCCTGCGAACTCCTTTTTATGGGGAAGCACTTATTTTAGTTTGGCAGCACATGTAGGTTCATTGTGTGGTTTTTTGTGTAATTTTGTCAACAGTCTGTTTGGCCTTAATGTTGTGATGGAATTATTATCTCTGCTCACTGATTCTCAAAATTATACATTATTATCTGACTTGTTCGAGCGAATGTTTTATTCCTCTACTATCTTATTAGTAACCCAAAAGCGTCAAAGTCTCTCATGTTGTTTTTCTCAGCTTTAAAAGTGCTTAATCATCCCTAAAAAGGTTACTTCAGCTAGCTTGCTAGCAGTCTGCTTCTTCTTCATCCATCCTCTATTTTATGAGATGTGGCAACTCGGGTTAAGGACCACTACTTTTAAGTCATGATATGCTCATTTAAAACAAATTTATATGTATATTGAGGCACCAAACTTGGGGGGACAGAGCCTTCTCTGCTGCCACTCCCACCCTCTGGAATTCACTCCTCAAACCCATCCAAGACTGTACAGACCCCCATACTTTCAAATCACTCCTAAAAAACACACCTTTTTAAATTGTCTTTTAACCTGTGAACTGTTCTTTTATTGTCTTTTCATATTATGTGTTTTTTAACATTTAACATTGTTGGTCCTATTAATCAAAATTTTCTGTATTTTAAATTGTGTTTCTTGTAAAATGTCTTTAAGCACCTGTAAGCATTATAAATATTATAAAGAAAATGTTTTAATATTATTATTATTATTATTATTATGTTGTATACATAAACATTATAAATAAAATGTTTTATTATTATTGTTATTATTATTATTATTACGTTGTACATAAACATTATAAATAAAATGTTGTACTATTATTGTTGTTATTATTATTATTATTATGTTGTATACATATACATTATAAATAAAATGTTTTACTATTATTATTATTATTATTATTATTATGTTGTATACATATATATTATAAATAAAATTTATTATTATTATTATTATTATTATTATTATTATTATTATTATTATTACTATTATTATTATTATGTTGTATACATAAACATTAAAAATAAAATGTTTTATTATTATTAGTAGTAGTATTATTATTATTATTATTATGTTGTATACATATACATTATAAATAAAATGTTTTATTATTATTATTATTAGTATTATTATTATTATCATGTTGTATACATGTATGCATACTCTTTGTATATAGTCATACACATAAATATCTCCAATTTTCCTATGTAATATATCAAACAAGTACATAACAGCTGTAAATAACACTCATGTATATGTTATTTTAACTCCTAAGGTGTTAATCTTTTAACTTGTCTCTTGTATTTATTGCTGCTGTGAATTTGGACTAATAAAGTATCTTATCTTATTTTTAGCACAATATCTATTAAATATCTTTCTTAAAAAGACAGTTGGTAACACTTTACTCTATAACGCATTATAAATATATGTATAATGCGTTATAATCACATTATAGCAGTGTATAACTATAGTTTTAAACACCCATAAATGATCATAATGCTTTATAGCAATAATCATAACACATTATAAAGTATTTTATCATGACTTACAAGGTCATGTATTATAATGTGTTATGCTTGTTGTTACAAAGCATTATGATCATTTATGAGTGTTTATAACTATACTTATACGGTGCTATAACATGATTATAATGTTTGTTTTTACAGACAAAGAGGCCATATCTGACATACATGTGTGCTTTAGCCACAATGAGCTCTTTCTAACAGTTTGACATATAGCCTTACAGGGGCACTCAAAAAAAAAAAAGGAGACAGACGGAATATTTATGACCATACAAAGAGATACTCACCTCAACTTCCTGCAGTGATGACAAGCAGCAGCATGAGAGAGAGAGGAAAGAAAGAAAGAGGCATCGTTAGAGATTTATATAAAAAAACACTTTGCATTTCTCATTCAGCATGCAAACAGTAGGTTGGTTTATTGCAGATATGGCAGCAGTTAAACTGTCAGCCCTTAATGCACGCTGATTGCAAACACACGCCTTAGTCTCGCTCGTCTCCAGGGACGACATAAGACATTCACAGAGGATTATGAGCGCCTATTAACCGAGGATGATCCACTGCCACTTCTATGAACTGGCAGGGGTCCTGATCTCTGAAAGGGCTCATTCTGTGGCTGTGTTCACAAGAAAACTGAAAAAAAAATTGCCAGCTTCCTGCAGAAGGAAAAGTTTTGAAAAGGTTTGACATACCACATCAAGATGGGGAAAAATACAAGAAAAAATTGGTAGGGATCTTCAAAGTCAGCAGGAGGATGTGATTTAAATGTTCTTTTATAGACACGCGGAGCACATTTACTAAGCGTACCATTGACAACGCAGACAGATATAGCTGCTGTAAAGTACAACCTTGAGTTAACAGGGGGAGTGACTGCTTTCCTTTCATTCCATTTCACCGTCTTGGCTCGGGTCCAAGGGCATTTCACATCAATACACACCGCAGCCTCTCTCCCTTTCTCTCCCTGTGCGTTTCATCATTCAGTGCTGCGCTGTGTAGGAGAGAAATATAGCGCTGCAACTCAACCCAGTAAATAAACCTAATTCTTGTACACATACCTGTCTACTTACTATATCACAACGAACAATTTACAGACCGCACAAGGACGAACCAAAGAGCCAGCAGAAGGCTTTTAAAGGTAAAAGCAAGAATTCATCACAGAGTGGCTTCGGGACTTTTGATTCACTGCTGAGGTTGTTCCTTGGGGGTAAATATTTTCTCTATTGAGGGAAAAATGTCCAAGTGCAACATAGATGAGATGCAATGTCCCAGTTTAATCTTTACAGTCTACATGTAGGAATACAGCAACACACACAAATCCTGATACGGTACGATATGATATGATACGATACAATACGATATGATACAATATGAAACATTACGATATGAAATGATACAATACGATACATTGAGATATGATATGATACAATAGGATATGACACGATACAATATGATACAATGAGATACGATATGATACAATATGATACGCTATGATACAATACAATATGATACGATATAATACAATACGCTATGACACAATACGATACAATACGATATGCTATGATACAATACGATATGATACAATAGAATACGATACGCTATGATACAATACGATATGATACAATACAATACGATACGCTATGATACAATACAATATGATACAATACGATACGCTATGATACAATACGATATGATACAATACAATACGATACACTATGATAAAATACGATATGATACAATACGATACGCTATGATACAATACGATATGACACGATACGCTATGATACAATGAGATACAATGAGATATGATACGCTATGATACAATACGATATAATACGATACGCTATGATACAATACGATACAATACGATACAATATGATACGCTATGATACAATACGATATGATACAATACAATACGATACGCTATGATACAATACGATATGATACGATATGCTATGATACAATACGATATGATACGATACAATACTATACAAGATGATACAATACCATACGATATGATACAATACGATACCATATGATACAATATGATACGATATGATACAATATGTTACGATACGATATGATTAAATACAATACGGTATAAAACAATACAAAAGGATACAATACAATATGATATGAAACAATACGATTTGATGCGATACGATACGATATACAATACGATACAATACGATTGATGATCTAGTAGGATATGATACAACACAGTACAGTGTGGTCAATGCCATAGTATACGATACGATATGGAACAATATCGCATGATACTACAACATGACAAGAGACAATAGGATTGGGTAGGATGAGGTATAATACAACACTATAGGATTCAACGCAAGTCAATTTTGGATGCTAAGTTTACGATACAACTTTTGCCGATAAATCTCGGTGTTAGTAGCCCAGAAAATATTGCTTACTAAAACTGGTATTTGTGATGATTTCGTTTTGCCTTTTTTACAGTCATGCATCTGCGTTACATCATGTCCTGTTTTGATATGTTCATTTAGTCGCATGGGTGAATGAAAACAGCTAAAACAATCATCTAGGGTAAAAAGAGGTTTTTCCACTGGTAGCAGATAGCAATCTTACATAAATTTTACACTATATAAGGCAGACAGCCGCCTCTGATGTTAAAAATGTCTTATTTTGTACCATTTTACACCCTTAAAAATTTCAGGTTTATCCTATGGGTTAAGGGAAACAATAAAAAAAGGCTTTGGATATGTGTAGCTAAAACAACCTCCTCTTTCCTGGTCTACATCTTGATGGTTACAGATGTGACAGTGGACTTCCAGGGTGACACAGCAGTAAAATAAAGAGCTAAGCCTTAAAACTGAACACTAAGGAAAGTAAAGTATCCTAAAATCCCTCCAAACTAGTGCCCCCTCTATCAAAGATACGTGTGTAGCATGTCCTGCGTCAGATGTAACGATCACTTAATTCATTATTCTCAGCGCTCCTGCAATCACTCAGCTGGCTTTGCTGCAGGGCCCGATGGGACAGGAGTCTAACAGCATGTCCTAAAGGCTGCAGTGCTTATCTTCTCCCAGCAGCAGTGTGAAGGCAAGGACACCAGGCTGAGGCTGCTTTTTTAGTCCTTCACCAAGGTTGAGAGCTAATGCTGTCCCACCGAGTCCCAGCCAGGCGGCTGCTACAAGCCGAGACAACAGGGAGGGAGGGGGGGAAAGATCAGGCAACACAGGGGTATGATATTCATGGTGGAGGTCCCCTGAGTTATGTGATTCATAGCACGCACACCACCTCTTCTGCCATTTGTCAACAGGGCTGTAATGCAGCCGGTGTAAAACACAGCCTGGAGGCTAATGGAGCTTGACTATCCAGATGCTGCGGCTGCTCCTCCTGGGCCGCTCGCTGGTATTAAGCTGACAGCATTTGGCCGTCAGCCTGACTGCTTTCCTCCGAGTTAACGTCTATCTCAACCAGGCCGAGGCCCTGTCTGCTGGTGACATAAATACTACAGATAACCCTGAACTGATCGACCCTAATGTCACTTGTGCACACCTGAACGAGCAATGGTGCCAAGCTCTGCACGGCAACAGTGTCGGATGAACTTCTGACTCTTGAACTATTCGAAATTACCCCAAAATTTCTGAACAGTCTGACCCTGAAATGCTCCTGGGTCACTTATGCACACAGCAGTGGGAGTTTTCCACTGACAAGGGTCTCAAGAGGACTTAAAGGAGGCTACAAAAGCAACAGTGTAATTTTTAAGAGGAAAACCAAAATAACAGATTATTGGCCCTGGTCTGAAATTGGCTTAACTAGCCAAGCCAAGACTATTGCTCAGGGTTTTGTAGATAATAAATGAATCAGGAAAAGTAGCATTTAGCGCTCAATGATATTAACATGTTAATCCACTGATTAAAGGTGGAGTAGGCAGGATTCCGTTAAAGAAGCATCTTATTTGTTGTGTATATCGAAAAAGCTTTTAATATCAGTTAATTGCTATTAGTCATTGATGACATTTGGGAAAGTAACGATATCGCTGTGTTCTCTTATGTCTGTGTAGTCAATATTTTAAATTTTTTGAGCGGCCCGCTCTTTCAAACTGTAAACAAAGCCGTTCTCCACCTCCCCCGGCCTGATTGGTTGTTAGGCAGACGCTGCTCCCTCATGTTGTGAGGCATGCTCCACGAATAACGTTCACGAGCCCAAATGGAAATTAGCGTGCTACAATATCGGACAGTAGAAACCAACCAGAAAGTACAGAAAATTGTCTGAATCCTCCTTCATCCACGGCTGCCAACACAAGCAAGAAAATGAAGTAAATACCAGAGACTCCGGTGGAGTAACGGGAGCTTAAAAAGGAGGTAGACCGGACAAGAGCTAAAAAAGCCGGGTCAACATAAAATGATAGGGGACGCTTCGGGATCCTGCAGACCCTGTAACCTTTCTGCTGGACAGGTAAACCACTTTAACAAAGTAAGCCAAGTGCATGTTGTAGCGCTGCTAAACTGTTTACCTCGGGTCCTGGACTATGTCACTTTATCCTGGTTGTAGAAGTCCTGCAAACATTGTGTTTGCTGGTAGTCTGTTGGCATCTACAGTAGCAACAATGCTTTTTACTTTCACATTGACTGGGCCCCATTTGTAATTATCTGAAGTATTTATCTGCATTATATCTGATTTAATTGGAACGATACGAGCGAGCAGGAGCGTCTGTTTGTGGGCGGGGTTGGGAGGGGTAGTGTTTACATTCAAGATTTCTCCCAAAAACTGTCTCTTCCTTAGATCCTGCCTACCCCACCTTTAAGTATTAGAGGTTGGTCCATTGTCACCCTGCATCCATGACTCCTTTCACATGAAAAAAAAATCCAAAAATGAGGCAGAATTCTGCTACAAAGACATGTCTGGACAAAAATAAAGAGGAAAAACCTCGGTCGAGTTTTTAAAAAGAAGCTTATTCGGCTCTGAGTGTTTGAGCGAGGAGCCACCGGGGCTCGACCTCACTTCATCGAATCGGAGAGACGCTCGCAGAGAAAAAAGGAAATGTCACAGAGGAATCTGCATCTGCTCGCCCTGCTGCAATGATCCATCACGTGAACGCAGCTCCCTAGCTCCATCACTGCGGCTCCTCTGTCCCTGTAATATGACAGGATCGGTACAGTCTGGCTCCTAAAGGACACACAACACACAACGCAAATACTCCAAGATTTCTCGCTGCCGGAAAGAAGGTGCTGGAAACGGAGGAAACATTTCAAATCAAATAAAGTCAGCTGCCAAAGATTGAAAGGACGGGGATGTTTTAAAGATCACTACACCTCTACACACACATAGACAAGAACAAACACACTCACACACACCCTTGTATATTACATATCAGATAAAGATCAGTCATCTCCAGCTGATGTGGCGATAAGCTCCTCTCTGACCACAGAGCATTTTTTATCTGAATCACAAAGATGAAATATTTTGGTCGACTGATTTTCTGACGCCTGATGATGGATCTAAACAATATGATATCCTGTTGAATTTTTGGTTTAAGAATAGTAATTTGCCTTCTTGCATAGTCATATAGTGGTGACAGTCATATCTGTACAGCATTTAAAAAAAAAACAAAAGTAATAAGTGGTTGGCTTAGTTTACAACATAGACTGAAAAAAGGGTCCGTGTCTGATTGGACATGTAATTCATTTCTTTTGGCCAGCATGGCATTATAATTGTAAGTAAAATATAAAGTGCAAAAACTTCACTCTTTTACATTCAACTTGTTTATAAGATTATCAGGCATATACTGCTCAATCTTGAGCCCACACAGACATCAAATTATATGTTTTTTTTTAAACACAAATTTGAGCCAAGTCCGACAAAACAACAGTTTAAATTACTTCATAAAATTTGCTCCAAAACTTTTAAATCCTATTTAATACTAATCTACTCAACTCTTTAATCAATAACACCAAGTCTACGTTCGAGGTGCACCTATCAGAGATGCAACAGCTACCTACAATCCAGGGCTGTTATACAATTTACTTCCAAAACCTTGATTAATTGCTGAATTTCAACAATCACATGTTTAAAATTTCATTATTTTTAAAGAAATTCGTATCACTGTCAGTGCCTATTCACATCCAGTGATCCCAGGTTAATGCAACAGTAATGGCACTTTTCAGGAGATCTAGTTTGGACACTCTTACTGTTTCACACAGACTCTTCCTGTTTGAAATTATGACTAGTCACAGCCTGCAAACCCTATAAAGTTCTACTGCATCTATCCGAGTTTTAGTCCACCCATGAGTCATTTGTGATTTGCAAACTCCAAGAAAGAGCTGCAGTTGTAAACCCGCATTAGTCTGATAGCTGCACCTGTATGCTTGGCTCATAAATGGCCGCTCAAGCTATAAAGTGTAGAGTATTTTAGTGAAAATTTTAATCCTGTTTGACAAAGTGCAAATTCATTTTGACTTGTCAGTTGAGCTGTCTGGGAGTGAAATCTGCATCCGACAGCTACAATGCATCTTAAATAGAGGTGTCCCGATACAACTTTTTACCTCCAATACCGATACCGATATTGATGTGATATTGGCACAAACTTGTGCATGACAAGTTTTGCACTCAGCTGCAACATCTTTTTCGGACTTTATTGAAAAATACTGCCATAGGGCCGACATCACTACTTCTCCTTGCTTCTTTGTTTGTACCTTAGTACACACTGTTGTTGTGATTATGTGGGCTCAGCATGTTGGATCCGGAAGCTGCTGGATGGAGGTGCCGGAGCGGAGTCTGGAATGGACTACTTGTATCGGAGTGCTGATATCGGAGATTTTAGATGCAGATCGATATAATCCGATATTCGATTTTTTGCTGATATCGGACCGATATCTGATATTAATATTGAATCGGGACACCCCTAATCTTAAATTATCTGAATAACATGATATTCAAAAAGTAATTGTGGACATTTCTGACCTTAATCTCATCACAGTTCACATTTTGATGCCGACAAGATGGCTACATCCATGAAAGTTATTTTAGCGTTTGCCTCGTCCGAATACAAGGCAAGCGCTGAAATAATTTTCGTAGATGTAGCCATCTTGTTTCCGCCTCTGATTTTGCTTTTTTCTGACTTGGTAACTGAAACGCTGGTAACTCGGGTGTGACATCACTTTCAGCTCCAACATCTGACTTCCGAGGAACCCAGCATATATACATTTGGCTTCTCATATAAACTCACATTTCCGATGGTGTGACTGATCTTCCCCGTCCAGCACCCAAACAGACTTTGCAGCTCGATAAAGTGATGGTATTTGGACTTCTAGGTGTTAAAGCACTTAAAAGCGCCATTACTCTGTGATCATACAGAGCCCTCAGAGTTTTATCGTCGGATTATGACAGCAAACCGGCATCCATAGCTTCATTTATTTTGATGCTGATTTGGATCCAGATGTCTAGACAGATTTTTCTGAACAGGCCCAACAGCTTAGCGTGTTTACCATCTCCAAAAAACCAATACTGCTGAACTCTGACTCACACAGACATACATATTTCAATACTTTTAGTCGAGTAGCTGTGCTTTCCACATGAAAGCTCCCCTCTCTGGAGGCAATAACCGCATGCTTCATCTTCAGAGATATTTCTTATTGATATTCTGAGGGTGATATTTGCAGTTGAGACATCACCCGAGCAGCAGGATATGAGTTCGAGGTTAAACGATGATCTGCGCATTTTGCATTTCCTTCTAGTTGTCATTTATCAAGCTTCATGAAGTCGTTTACTCCGGCGGTGACTGAATAAACACAGGCTGATGGATGTTCTGATGATCCAGGTCACGTCTGTAATAAACGGGAGGCTCTTCTTCAGCTGATTGCTCAAAGCCTGGGCCGTGTCACGCTATCAGATCACTCAGGTGTGTCTGCATCTCCGATACGCAGGACATCTTCAGCTCATTATTCCTCAACCTGTCATTTGCAAAGTAATGTTCTCTCTGTGATTTATGACTCGGAGTTGGAGCACTACTTTAAATCGCCGCTAAAGGGCACACAGGCAGAGGTTTTCCTGACACTCTTTTCCACCCTCTGTGTCTCTGTAGTTACCGGGAAGCAGCAGGAGTACATCTCAACTTTGCCGTGTCATTATAGTGCCCAGATCTGGCATGCTGGGCTCTGAGTGGTGAAGGTAATGTCTCTCTCTGTTTGCTCCCCAATGCTGTCTTTGAAAACCATGGAGGAATGGGGAGAGACACTAATGGTGCAGGCCCACCACAGATTGAACCACTTAGAAATGCATTAGAGTGATCCAAAATGATGCTGGGAGTCTCTCGGCCTGAACCCGCTGGTTTTCGAGTGGCAAAACGTTGAATTTTCACTCAAACATTGGACTGACATCATGCAGACACAGCCAAGGACATCTTTTCACACCTCTATATACCAATAAAGCGGTCCCTATATCTGTATAGAGAAACAGCTCCTCGATTTTTCTGTAATTGAGCCGTGACAGGCTGAGGATTTCTGCAGCGTATTTGCTCTGACACGATCAAGGGTTGTATTACAGGCAGTTTGAGTTGATTACATGCCCTGTAAATGTCAGTAGCGTATGATTTTTCAGCCTGATTTAAAGAAAAATAGGTTGTCTTGATTGCAACAAAAACACCAGAGCATTATGGGATTAAGTCACACAGCCCGGCAACACAGAGCTGGATCAAATTGATCATCCCGAGCCGGAGCGCTCGGGGGCCTGCAGGCGAAGGACACATGTTGTTTCACAAGGTAAGATGCCTGCCTGCAATGCAGTACAGCACGGAGCACAATATGCAGCCGTCTCTGCACACTGAAGGGCAAATTTTGATCCCGAGCCACGAAGTAGCCGGCTGTCAAGCGTGCATCCATCTGCACGCACAAAACGCAGATCGTCATTGCAAGATTAATGTGTAGTTAACGCAGAAGAAGCGTATTTTCAATCTGAAAGAGGGGCCTGAAATCATTAGGACCGCCTTAAAGGAAGCTTTTATTTCACTCTGAGTTGCTGCCTTTGGCTAATAAGACCACATTTCAGAAAGTTGCATCACAAAAATGAACCTTTTTTTCATCCTCAGGAGCCCTTTAGCTGTGGTCTCCAATCACTGATGAAGAGACACATCAAACAGTGGCCGGCGCTCACAGCTGTAGCTGACTCTGAATTTGAATCGAGGCGTTGCATGCTCTGTGAGATGCAGTAATTGGAGAGGAGGAGGAGGTGGAAGAAGAGGAGGAGGATGGTGCAGATGCAGAAAAAAAATGGATTTGGTTGGACCTTGCTGCTGAGCCAAGCAGAACCCTGAAGTCTCTGCAGCATCTTATCGCTCCCTCCTCCTCCCTTCGCTCCCTTCCCTCCCAAACATTTGCAAAACAAAGAAGCAGAAAGAGAGGAGGCGAGCCTTCAGGTTGAGCTCCACACAGATGCCCCAGGGAGCTTGCAGCTTATGCAGAGCCGCCTTTCGCTGTGCTGAGCCATGCTGCTTCTGCATACAATAGTAGCACAAAAAAAATACATCCATAATGAAAAAAAGCTAAAGCATCTAGCTCCACGGAAAACAAAACTGCCCCATTACAGCGTGCTATTTTCACCCCAAACTATCTGGACTTAAAGGTATCGATCTAAACGCACACAAAAACTTGACCGCATACATAAATAGATGAACAAAATAGAATCTTGTTTGGTGTTAGCATACTTATCCACTGCTGGAAACTGAAATCAATATTGAATGTAGTGGAAGCACAGAAAATATATTCAGCTCCAATCAAGTCTAACAAACTGATTTGGTTGCCCTAAGGAAAAAATGAGCCATACGGGTCAGGTTTAACTATTTAAAATACGAGTTTTCTGCATGAATCTGTTAGTACAGAGTTGTGATTGATTTAGCGAAAAGACACGCTGGGAGTTTTCTTCCGTCTGTGAATCTTAATTCAAAGTATGAAAAGATGAAGACAAGTGAGAAAAAATATCAAAACAGACACAAATAAAGCAGTTTTGTTTGTTTTACTTGATTTACTCCGTTTGATCTACTTTTATCAGGATGGTAGGAAGCCATTTTTCTGTTTGTTTGATCTCTACAAGAAGTCCAAAGTCTGTATTCCTGCCCACACACTGTAGCTCTGATTGGTTCATTTTCCTTCTCAAGCAACTTCCAAAAACAGTTGTTCAACATTTTAAAACAACCCCCAGATTTATGCATTGATTTAAAGACCACAAATGGTGTCATAAGGGCTAAAAAGCAAATGCTAGGTTGACTTTTCTCAACAGCCCACCAATCACTGACCGAGCTAAAATGAGTAAATTTGTTCCACAACAAGCTGAGAAAAGGAAAACCATCTAAAGTATTTTTAAAATTATATAAATCAAAGATGTGTCCATTGGGTGGACGGTCCATGGTTGTGTATTCATCCGCCACTGTGGTGATGAGCATGGCAGTTCTTTAAGATGTACTGAATCACTAGAATCAGTTCACCCAAAAGATTCGTTCAAAAGATTCATTCATCGAATCACCGAATCATTCAGCGCTTGGCGGGAGGAGCCTGTGACGCCGACCTCCTGGACTGATACACAGCTGAACGGTTCAGGATTCAGTTCAATTCAGAGCTTCTGGGACCGGGAGACACGAGGGTTTGGCTGTGTTGCTTTGGCAAACAGGTTTGTAAAAATGAACTTGTTTATAAGTTATGATGTTTAAAGTGTACTGTCCTATGGTATGCTATTTATCAGGTCTGCTCAGTAAATTGGGCTTAGTGCGTGATTCGTTCACTGAACATTTAGAAGAATTCAAACTGAACATTCACTGTTCCCTCGCAAACCGCTGCAATGATAGGATGCTGCAGGTTTAATGCACTACTTGTTACATGCTGTGTCCTATTGTATGCAAGTTGTTGTGGTGGCAATTTAGCAGTAAAAAATAAAAAAAAGTTAGTTTTGTCCTACAAAAATGATTCCAGAAACAAGATGGATGGACAAAATGATTCAAGTGAGAAATGAACGAATCACTTAACGAAGTGATTCGGTTCTGTATGTTCACTTAAAAGGTTCGGTTCTTTTGAATGAATCGTTCGCAAACGACACAAAACTGCACAGCTGAAAATAGTTCCCAAGAAATATGGTGTTTACACATGTTTCATTCATTAGTTAAAAAACTACAGTGACTCGTGATTTGAAGGGGTATTTTTATTATTTTTTAGGTTAACCTGTTTGATGTCAATATTGAATGTATTAGCTGCACAGGATGTCACTTTGCCCCTTTGTTGAGAAACCAGGAGGAGAACGAGAACAGAAGCTAAGTCATCAAACACCCCATACATCAATGTGACCACCTGATTTAGCTATTTTAAAGAAACTCTGACAGTAGCGCAAAAAATAATGGGCCTTCTGACAGCAAAATAAAGTGCTGGAAATTTTCTAAATACAGTGTCAACAAAGGGGCTGAGCTGACTGGCATCCCCTGTGGGTAACACAATTACTATTGTCAAGTACCTTATATAACCCTACTAAAATAAGATCCCTTAGAAGAAATTTTCTGGCCTTTTTTCTGAGATGAAACTTTATGTAGTCAACTTTTTTCCCGAGACTGTCTTCAGTAACAAAAATAAAGGGCTTTGGGCTGACAGCCCCATCAGGCATCATCAAAAGGCAGAAAACATGCTGTTTGTTTGGTATCTCTTTAAAGCTCCTGTAAGGAGTTTTCTGACACTTCATATCGATGCCTTTTTATCACAACCAAAAGCAAAAAAGAGACTATTAGCCGCACGACTGATGGTTTTTTATCATGTAACTTTTTGTGCTTGAAACTGGTGTGAGGAGCCGAGGGGAAAAAAAGTCTGCTTTTTTACAATATTCTTAGTAAATGATTCACTTGACAGCCAAAAATCAGCAGGATAAGCTTTGGTGAGACGACATACGCAAAGACTGCCCTGTCCACAGGGGGCGCCAAAATTGATCCCAATCAAAAGTTCCATACAGGAGCTTTGCTTTTGGAAAAGTACAAAACTAGGGCTCATAATATTACATTCTTGTCTCATAGCTATAATGCCCATAAAATATCTGTTTGACAATATGGTAGCAACATTTATGGAAAGTCAACCCAATGAGGCAAATTAAAGAAAGGCAAGATTTTTGACTTATCGTATATTTCGGGCAATAAAGCGCACCGGATTATACGGCGCACTGTGAATTAACGTGTCTATGTTCACACATAAGGCGCACCCAACTGTAAGGCGCATTAAGCATTGATTGGTTTATTGTTGCTAGCGCGTACTCCGGGCCCGGGCTCCCTTACATGAATGCACTTCTAGTTTAGACATTACAGTCAGGCAGTCTTGTAGACTGCTCAGGGGGTCCTGTTACGAAGCCAATCAGGTAGCGTTACAGTGTACCATAATAGTCCGAATATCCATTGAGCGGAGCGGCTTGTTGCTGACCAAAGTCGCACTCACACATTTAGATAGATTTTTGAGCATATTGTACCACATAAAATCGGTCAGTAAGCACAAGAAGTAATCATACATAAGGCGTGCTGGATTACAAGACGCACTGTCAAATTTAAGGATTTTAAGTGCGCCTTAAAGTTAAAAAAATACGGTACGTCATCATCCAATTCCCATGGTGTTCAAAGTTAAGTTTGATCCACATCACCAGCCCTCTGACAGAAGCCTTTGCCTCATAAAACAAGTGTTTGAAGTCCTTTTATTTTGACATTTTCCCATCTTGCATTAGGGTTACTTTATTTTCTGAGTTACAAAATCATGCTTTTTTATCTAAGTTTGAAGGATAAGACTATTTCTGGTAGATTGTAAGTTACTGCACTGAATGAAAACAGCTAACGTAACAATTAAGACGTAAAAATGTTTAGTTAATTTGCACCCCTGAAGAGGGACAAGCTTGGATCATCTTGTAACATTAGTATTTAAAGTGTCATGTTATCTTCTGGAGGGGTGCTACAGCTAGTTTTCTAGTAGCAGCTGCTTCTTCTTCATCTCCCCTTATGTGTTGAATGTAAAAAACCACTACTGCTGTCCAATATGAACCATTCCTTTAACTGTATTACCAGTGACAAATCTATCCATACAGCTTTTCCTCAACCTGGTCTGATCTGCAGGAGCCAAAATCTGTGAAAACTCTTGTTTTACTGAGCAGCTGTGTCATCATTCGAGTGTGCTTTTGTCCACCGCCAGCATGTGTGGTCAGCAAGTGATTACAATATGATTTTACCAAAAGCTTTTGTGCCTGTCACCGTTTATATAAGCCGTTTCCCCGAATTTCAACAGCTTTCCCTGCTGTTTCAATTATTGGACTAAAATGACAAGTAAAATGGAGCCACACAGCTCTATTTAAACTGACAGACACAGAAGTTTAAAAACCAGCAGCATGTTTAGGAGAAGATAACAATGTTAACTAGCCCGGTTGAACCGCAGAGGGGATCTGCATGAGACGGCGCACAGGGGGTAGCTAAGTTAAATATGCTAGCTGGATGATTACATTTAATTTCCCCCGTCTGCTGTGGCAATGAGAACAAATTGGGTTGTTGTGGCTGCTGATAATGCTAATCTCCTGCAGTGGCAGTGGGATATTACAGTAAAACAGGGAGCCACAATGAGTTGTCGCGTTATGGCTTTAGGAAAGGACTACATTACACATAAATGAGAAACTGTCGGGTTCTTTCAGCTGAGAAAAAAGCTATTAGCGCTTTAGCTCGTCGCCCTATCCCTTCTATATGATTTGCTTGATTAAGGTCATCTCAATATGACTTTGCAGTGTGTATCCATTACGCTGCCAGCTCTGCAAATCAACAGTGTCCTTCCCACTTAGAAAAACACAAATATCCGCCACATGCCTCACATGCTAAATACAGCGTGTTCACGGACAAGATCAACGGCCTTTTCGAGCACGTCCTTGACGCCTCCTTCTCGTTCGGATAGTTAATACAGAAAGGAGGCTCTCGGCTTTCCCTGCTTCTCCACAGCTCTGGGACAGTCAAGCCAAAGACTAAAAGGCGTCCGTCATGTCCAATGTTACAATTAAACATTCAGAAGACAGTACAAGAAGCAGATTCTCCTCAGGCAAGAGCATGTCCTTGAAGTTTTTGTAGCCGCCCGGCCTAATTGTACATTACCTGCCCTGCTGTTTCAACAGTGAGTGATTCATGGCCTAAAGCGAAGAATCTATCAATGCCAGGTTGAACCTGAGCACCTTACATTATTACACCTTTAGTAACTGAGCATGAGCAGTATGTCCTTGTTTGGTCAGGCAGTAAGTTTAGTTCAGGACTGTTCATTTCCAAGAGAGCACCGTTTTCACACGGAGGTCATTTCTCTTTGACGCCAGGAATCCTAAAAAGTGTTTGATGGAAGTCTGTGCATTTATGCTACTCAGGGGGAATCTGTTCATCATTATCATTTTATCATTTCCCAATTCTACTACCGTTTTTCATATAAAAATATACAGAATAATTATCTATCAGAACAAGTTTACATCCAGCCTCTAGTTTGCTCCCATTAAGAGTCAGCGTTGCAAATGTATATGTTCGCACTCTGCAACTTTACAGCCATCTGCAACTAAAGCTACGTCAGGATAAACGACATATTTGATAACCTACTGTTTGAAATGAGATGACGGCTCATGGTAGCTGAAGCAACTATGTACTATGTACTATTGTACAGAAGTTTCTAGATGTAAGTTACTGTCACATGTCACAAAAGAAGCTGCTGTTTTTGCCATGGCTAGATGTCCTGACAAGATTTTTACAATCTACTTCTTGTTTAAAGGGATATTCCAGCGTAAAATTAAGTTAGGGCAAAACAGACCATAGCACCGAGTTAGACACCCCATTGAGAGATGAATGTTGCCGACCGCTTGCTTTCCTAGTTCTACAAACTTTAGTAACGACCGCACGATAGCAATACACAGCAGTCTGAGGAGCAATAAACAAACGGGCCTCAGGCCAGTCCATTATGGACTACAGCGGGGTGATGCAGCTCAAGGAAGAACATTTATGATCATTTCTTCATGGAAAGCAATCAGACCGAGACGCTAAGACAGAAGATCTACCTCGTCTGCAGTGCAAAATGATTAATGTGGAGATTATTACTTCAAGGAAATGATAAAGTAATGATCATAAATGTTCTTCCTTGAGCTGCGTCACCCCACTGCAGTTGATGGACTGGCCAAACAATCGGCTGCTGGAAGAGAGTAGGTGAGTTGTGTTTAGTCTCTTTGCTAGAGAAATTAGGCAAAGTTAAAAAGATGTTTGGTGGCTAGTACTATGGCTGGGACCCTATATGTACTATTGATGAAGTTAGGTGCTGTTCTGAGTATTATTTGTGGCTATAGAGTGTCGTTTTGTTGAGCCCATGGCTCTCTGTATTGCTATAGTGCGGTTGCTATAAAGTTGCTATAACTACAGAAGCAAGTTGTTGGCAACATTCATCTCTCTACAGGGTGTCTAACTCGGTGTTTTGGTGTTTTTGACCCTAAATTAATTTTACGCCGAATATCCCTTTAAGTACTAAATTATTTAACATCAGAGCTTCTCATTTGTGTGACATTAGAGGAAACTTGGGACTATGGGAATAAATCAGCCCCATGAGACACGTTTCCGAAACATCTGAGGCAGACCTGAATATATTCAAGGCGGCACTTCTCTTCAGCCTAAATTTATTTCAGCCGGGCCAATATATGCACAGCAGTGTTTGCGCTGTTTTTTTTTTTTTTTTCATGTTTAATAATTTCCATTCAAATAACAGGTCCCATACCCGCACTCTCGCTGAAGAGGCTGATGGGATTTTAGCAGGTGAGGCCATCCTTGAGTGTTTACTCAGCGAGGGGAAAACTGAGTATTCTGCCTCGCGTCTGTGAGCGTGTTGAGGGTCAGTGCGGATAAACACATCGGGATGTTAGTGTCAAGTAGAATTTAAACACCCGGTCTACAGTAAACAAAGGTGTTTTTTTTTTCCTGTCATAAATCTCCTTTAGTTTGATTTTTTTTTTTTTGAGAAGCCAAGTAAATAGATTTATAAAGAAAGAGACTCAGACATTTTAGACTCAGAGTACCAAGAAAAGGCAACATGATTTTCCTTAAAACTGTCTGAATAACTGAATCTAAGTCATCAGACATTCAGAAGCATTCAGTCATCTCTCCCCAGACCTAAATCGAATCTGAAAATACCAGAGTGAACTACTACCACTCCAAGTCTACTACTTAAATTATGCACTGTGTTTTTAAATGTAATTGGGATATTTTTATATTTATAGAAAGTAAGTTTTTTTCTGTACTTGCCTGCATTTTAAATTCCTCTTACAATATTAGGCAGCAGTGTGGCTCCAGGGGTTGAAATGTTTGTTGACCTTAAGGTCAGTCTGAAACTTTTCTCAACACTAAAACTACTGGGTGGTTGGACTTTAAATTAAGAACGGACAGTCAGGGTGCCCCGAGAGAAACGACTTTCTGCTCACTTGGATCATCGCCAGACCTTTTCTGTGTGAATTCCTACTTTAGGTGTTTTTGTTCAGTTCTCCAAATATCTTGAAATAAAACTGATGATCACTCACATATGGGAGGATGCATCACACTGGACTGGGATTGTAAACTTATGACAAGTTACCCACTCAATGGCACCTGAGGCTAAAAGAGCAGACTTTGTTAGATCGCCTAATTCTGCATGATCTTAAAATTGCTCGTTTCAGGAGGATAAGGTTTTACTGAGTGGTGGATGAACCTGAAGGAATACAGTACTTATGCAATTATGCAAAGTACTTAAAGGAATATTCCGGCGTAAAATTAATTTAAGGTCAAACACACTGTAACACTGAGTTAGACACCCCCTCAAGAGATGAATGTTGCTGACCGCTTGCTTTTCTAGTTATACCAACTTTAGTAATGACCGCACGATAGCAATATACAGCTGTCTGAGGAGACATAAACAAACTCCAACCAAAAAGCCACTCTATAGCAACAAATAATGCTCAGAACAGCACCTAACTTCATCAACAGTACATACAGGGTCCTAGCCACAGCACTAGCTACCAAGCATCATTTGAACTTTGCCTAATTTCTTTAGCAAAGAGACTAAATTGAACTCACCTACTCTCTTCCAGCAGCGACTGTTTGTATGCACAGACATGGAGAGAAGTCCAATTCAGCCAAAAAAAAAAACTAATTATGAGCTTAGTCCGATTAAGCTGTACAAGTAAACGCACTGAGTGACTGCTGCAACAAGAGCTTTTACCTCTACACATAGTGGTCTTAAATTGCTAGACCATTGGTGCCCACACCCACGCCTATTTTGAACACTACCTGTGTTTTTAGCTCATTTTCTTTAAAACAAATTGACTCCAATTTACGATATTAGTTTTCTTCTTTAACTCGAAGTGAGGTAGCTAAACCTCTAGTGACCATTAAACTAACGCTGACTCATGCAAAGATAGCTAACGGCTAGCCAGACCTTCGTGGAATAGGCCAAATATCTGCATCCTCAGCCTGAACTCATTATACAGTAACTTTCTTTCCTGTTTATTGAGTTTAAGGCAGAGTTTTGAGATGTATTTCTCCTGCCTGGGGGAATTAGATTTATCACGCTGCCCTACTGATAGCGAAATTAAGCAATGACATGGTTTGCTTGTTTGCTAAAAAGCACTGTCATTGATTGAGTATCGGCTGTGCCCATATACCAGCCTAAAAAATGCAGACACACACCAGCAGACTGGCAGCGTTTATTGCTCTGCCCGCAGCACAGCATAGAGGAGCTCTAGCAGTACTGAGACGACTCTCAGGCAGATGCCACTATAAATAATGCATGAACAATAGAGCCAGAAGAAGAACCTTGGAACAGCTAATTATTCAGTCCGACATTTTTCAGTAACTCAGAGAGAAGTTAATGGCTAAAAAAGATGGAATTCAGTGCATCTTTGCTTCTGGGTGCGTGTGTGTTAATGCAGTAGGTGCAGCCAGGCTCCATTATGAAACACATTAATCTACATATACTCTCCGATCACAACAAGTAGCGTCTTTGAGCTCGGCTGCAGAAAAAAGGAAGAATCCTGTATCTTTGGATAAGCTGCAGAACATGGGTTTGCTCAGGAAAAACATTTTCTAGTGTAAAGGCAGCTGTTGAGCTCCTCTCTGTTCCTTTCGCTTTCTTTTTTTTTTGCGGAGCATAAATTGCTTTTCTGGCCTGTGGAGCTTTTCTACAGGACCAACAACACAAAACAGCCTCTCCACTCAATTAGGAGTCACCCACGCTTGTGTTGAGAAGCCAACAGGATCTCCTTTCTTCTCTGTTTTCACTGTGAACCGTATCAGAGCGGTCCAAACACTCGCAACAAATCCGCCCGACATTCACCTCCAGTCACAGACGTGCATTGTAATGACAGGAGGAACAAAAAAGTGTCTCTTTCCCCTCCACTTCTGCCATTTTGATCTCATTAGTGTGCAATGAGGGGATCGCCACAGATAGTTGATTTGATGGTGTGATCTTCAGATTCTCTCAGCAGAAAAATACAGATAACTATTATCTCATTATGGTTTCTACCATCCTAATTTTCAACCCCTGCACTGCCTCCAGTTTTTAATTGGAAATAGGTCTCATTATCATATTTTCTACAATTGCGCACTGTCCTCTTACTCTCATTTCTTCTCATTTTTTCACATCTGTAATTACATTAGCTGTTAGCGCCGGAGCACAAATCCTGCGGGACACTTATAAATGGCTGAAGTTGATGACAGGAGCAGAAAAACACACAGCTGGCAGCGTGTCTTTGAGCTCAGTAAAGGAGCTCAGTGTCACTAAAGATGCAGAGACTTCGTGTTCAACAGCAAAACAGAGTGAACCCAGGTCTTGAATTAATCTAGGAGCTCTCGCAGTGGAGCTGTGCAGATGTAGGATCAGGGACCGGACCATCACTATCATCATCTTATTCATCTCAGCATTGATAAATTATGAAGCTGATCCATCGCTTGATAAAGCGGCTCTATGAAGGCCCAAGTGGTTCATCCAAGAACATTAAAGTCCCTTTACATTATATATACTAGACCGTATGTCTATGTAGCTCAAGCAAGCCGCTACATTGGTTAGCTGAAGCTAATTTTTCACTCTGCAAAGTACTCGATGGTGTTTCGCCACTTCAAAGCAACATTCCTCGATAAGAGACCCTGAGGATGAGGCTCCACTCACAAACTTGAAGGAACTAACTACTATATCATTAATGCTAAGAAAAAGGTTCACTTAAGCTTGCAGTGGTTTGTTTACAGTTGAGAACAAAGAGAAGAGACAAACACAGCAGAGAAATAACAGGAGAGGTCAAAGACACAGAAACTGTCGGCTCCCATGAAGAGGAAGATACAAAAGAAGTTAACGTTAAGCTAACGTTATAAAGAGATAAGAAAACATCAGAGACTTTGACAGTGGTGAAGCAGAAAAACTCTAGAGGCTGATTTGTGCAATCCTGTACACTTAGAGTTTATCATTGGAAAAGTTGAGTTTAAAGCTCCTGTAAGGAACTTTTGGACTGTGAAATCTTTGGCGCCCCCATGTGGACAAAGTAGTCTTTGCTTGTCTTACCTTCTACATGCTTAAGTAGTTTCTTTTGACATAAAACATCATCTATTGTGAATGTTTATCATGGCCGTTTCTCAGCTGCTTGGCTGACACCTACCCTCCATGCACTAGTTTCAGACATTTAAAAATACAACATTGAAATTATAAATCTTATAACCGGTGGCCTTAAAGAGACAGCAGCCAGAACAAAGCGTTAAGTAAGAAATATGAAGCTTTTTTGGATCATAAAATAATGTAAAGAGGTATCATCGAGTAAGTATAGAGTCTGAACAAAATGCATGATACCCCCAATTTAAGGAAAATAGACCAAATGTAAGGAATAATAGTCCAAATTTCAAAGAAAAGAGTTAAAATTCATGTTTAAGGAAAAATCAGAATAGTACAGTGAGAATACAAGCAGACTGTTTCTGAGATGAGGCATCACTTTCTGGTGAAACTCTTTTTCTAATGTGTTTTAGCCATGTGTTCACTGTCAGATAAAAGTCTGAAAAGACATTTATTTGAGTTTTTTAACATCCATGAGCTGGGAAAGAGAAGAAAATTTGTCTGGAGTTGATCATTTCAGTTCCATACTTCAAATATGAAAAACTTGTTTGTCTATTTTCCAAAGCCAAATGAAGCAAATAGGCCTTTTGCTTCATATTAGCGCTTTCCTGACTGTGTTGCATGTTCACCTCTCTGCTCCTGCCATACCACCTATCAGGTAGTCCTTTTTTTACCGTTCATAATTGGAGCTATCTGTGCATGAAAATAATAGCCTACTTATGAGCTGCAGCCCTGAAGCTTGTTTCCTGTGTGTACAGAAATGAAACATTAGAGCTATTCTCTCTCTATCGCTCCTTTTTTTTCTCATGTATCTCTTTATGAATATTAAGCATGTAGATTTTGTGAGAGGCCTGAGTAAAATTTAAAGAAGCGATCATAGTTATCTAATTAATGCATTTATCACTGTCCTAAATCAAATTAATTGGTAAGCAGCAGCAAGGCTAATGAGCCCGTGGGTTTTTTGGCTCATTCTGTGCTAATCTTAACAACCAATGAAGTCATCGAGCCATTTACCTGGAAAAAAAAAAAACACAACAGGCATCGTCTCTAAAGATGAAGCTGGCAGGGGAGCAGGTGCAAACTTTAAACAGACCCCTGTGGTTGGCTGAAAGGCTGCACAGCTCCTTAATGAGTCCCCTCTTTGCCTTGCTCTGAAAGATGGCTGTGAATGAACAGCACAGTATTGTTCACATGAGCAGTGGCCCGAGCTCTCATCTCACAGATCCACCGAAGTGGTGCTTGAGGAAAAAAAAAAACACATGAAGGGGCGAAAAATCTATTTTTTTAAAGCTGATTCCGGGGAAAGCAAGTAATTACGATCTCCTCAAATGTGTGTTTGTGGCCTGGTGGTCTGCTCGCTGTGTGTGTGGGTGAACTGGAAGCTAACGTGACAACACTGGGAATCTGCATCAGGAGAGTTGACGTCTTGACATTTTCAGTGTGTCATGATTACAGCTTCGCCATGGATGTCAGTCAAAGTGGAGGATGTATAACATGCCGTAACCTGCTGAGGATTATCTCGACACCCTCTGTCTCAGCAGCTGTTGGTGTCGTTGTTCTACCTTTCAACGTTCCCTCATTATGTTTTCACTCTAGGTAATCATATGTAGGCGACATGGGTTCAATTGACACCGATCAATCAAGCTGCCATCACAGTTTCCTAAAGCCCACATAGTGATTTTTTCACCACTTCTATATAAATACAGTATGAATATTCCTGCTTGCCATATCACACCACCTGTTTCCAAGAACAGCAAGTAAATAAACACCAACCTTTCACATTTCAGACGCTGCCGTCAGCACCGACACTCTCTCATGTGCTGTTGTTCAACATTGTCTTGATGAGGTTTACACGACATGACAGAAACAAACGAGGACAAGCACCCTTTCGGTTCTCAATGATGTGATGCAACCAGACCAGTGGCATAAATACTAAAATAAAAACAACAACAATTTGAAACAGTTTTGGGGTTTTGGAGGGAAAGTGCTTCCATTTTCCAGTCTCTAATTTAAACCAATCCTATGTTAGATCTCGCTCTGTGTAGTGTGAGGATATAAAACTGGGTTCACTCTTATTCTCAAACCACTGACAGTCAGGAACCACATATTCTATGTATGTTTAAATCTATCTTTAAATTAATTAATAGTGCGGTTATAAAAGTAAATGAAACAAATAAAGAGCATATGCAATTAAACAGTAAAAACTATCAGTCCTATATCAGCAAAAAAATGAATATCGGATTATATCGGCCTGCATTTTAAATCTCCAATATCCAATCATTCTATTACAGACTACGCTTCAGCACCTCTAGTGGCATCCAAATCCAGCATGCAGAGCCCATGTGATCACAACAACAGTGTGTACTAAGGCAGTGGTTCTCAACTGGTGGGTCCCAACCCTAAAGTGGGTCACGGACACATTCTGGATGGGTCGCGAACAGCTGGTCAAAAAAATATTTAATGCACATCTGATGTTTGACATGTCTTTTATTTTGAAAAATAGCTTATTTTGAAAGGCACGCAATATGTCCTTCTCCTCAGTTTCTTATTAATGTGGCCTGAATGCAGTGAAAATGAATAGATATGTTTTTTCTTTTTTTGGTCTCTTTTTGCTCTGAATGCAGAGATGCATAAAAGTCAAATTTTTCATTTTTCTGGTCTCCATTTTGTGCAATTTGATATTTGATATTTTTTGTATATGCAACTTTAGTAGTTGTTGTCCTCAGTTTATGTGCTCTGAAATGCACTTTACCCAATAAAATTGGTGTTTTTATGTTAAAGATTTGAGGCTTTAAAGGTTTTTTTATATATAGAATGAATTTGCTTGGCTTGAATTTTATAAAAGTGGGTCGTGACTTAAGGACCATAGGAAAATGTGGGTCCCAGAGTGAGACCAGATCAGAAGTAAAAAAGTTGTATCTGCACACCCCTAAAAAAACACCCAAAACTCACCAGCTGAAGCATTTTCACCATTTCTGTTGATATGTTTTAATCAGAGCACGTTAGCTTAACTTTAATGAAGCTGGTCAATAAATGAGTTTTTACTCTGACATTTAAGAGACACTCCCTGATGATCAGTTGCAGGAATGTCTAATTAATCCTCTAGGATTCAATGTTTTACAGCTATAAATCATGGAAATGCCAGAGTGATAGAAAGATAGAAAGCGTTGATATTATTGGTTGATTCATTGCTTTGCTGATTGATTATTTTTTTGTCTTTTCTGTTTTGTATTATTCAAATTTTAACATCTTTCAGTTTTGGACGGTGAAAAACTTGAAGAACATGTAATTAAGTGAAAGTTCAATCTAGTGATCAATTACTTGAAACCCTGATGTGCATAATGAATTAGTATCTTAGTGAAATATATCCCATAATAACCCGGCTTTAGTTTAGCTGTTGGCCAATTCAATCAATTCTACCTTTCATTCCACTATTAATCATCACATACCCTTTTGAGGGAGGGTCTGAATGAAATGAATGCATGAGTCATACTCTGAATCCAGATGCAAATAAAATAGGATTAATAGAGGTCTTTTCAGAAAAGTGCAGGTGCCGATGCCCAAAGTGCGACACCACAACCCCCCCAGAAAGGTCTCATCTACCTCTGCGAGTCAACCACTGATTCAATCAGACAGGTGAGGGAAAAGCAGCAAAGATAATGTCCAGCTTTGCATGACAGGACAAATTTGCATTCACTTACAAGCTTCCTGGGTCTTCGGGGCTCAGGTGCAGTTGGACATTTTCTTGCATACCACCAAGCACAGCCTGAATTAGCACAACGACTCCCTGTTCAACGTTGATAAGACCATCTGTCCGAGGAGATATTTCCCATCAACAGAGCATTGGTCGTCATTGCAGAGGCCTTGATCTGAGCTGATACTAACCGACTCCTCCACAGAGATCTTTTTAGCATCATGGATTATATCACGTGGTTTAATATTTCGCACTGGGGAAGAGCTGCTGCTGCACCGATGAGCCACACTGGACATGATAGGCCTCTGACATCTGTTCATGTTCACAATCTACCAATTGTCCACATATCCCATGGGGGCTCTACTGGGTAAAAATTGAACTCCATTAAAGTGACTTCTCTTAAAAGGATAGTTCACTTTATTTGTTCAAGATACCCATCAATCATAGGTGCGTCAACCACAGGGGAGGACAGTCAACTAAGTCTTTTTATGGCGAAAGCGGGAGATATGCCACCACCACTGCAGACGGTGTCAGCTCTGATTTAAAGACACCCTAACTCAAATGCAGATTGGGTGCAACTGTATGATTTATGTGTAAGCTTTTCAGCACCTTCATTTGCCATCAGGAGGCCTATTCGTTTTCTCACTGTTTGGGGGAGATTACAAATTGCCAAGTGGTACTGATGTGCATACTGCAAAAGGTGAAAACTACCACTGTCACGAGTTGGACTTGGTGACAACACAATTCCAAGACCTCTCTCAATAAGAGGAAACAAGTGGATTATATACAAGTGCAGTCTGCATTGCTCAACCATTCTTTTTTCAATATTCAGAAGCTAAATTTGAAAACCAAAGGTTCCAAGTGGTTGTACATCTTCAAAGATAATGTTTTGCTCTCGTGGTTTATGATACACCCCATGGTCTGGACAGTGTTTTTACAGCATCAGAATACACCTGTAGATGGGGGAAGACTTAGATGATTTTATAAACTTTGCAATATCAAACTTTGACACCAACAAAATGGTGTCAAACTGTGTATCATTCTGTATCATATTGTATTGTTTCTGCACTGGTTAAATACACTGCAGTTGGAAGAGCATGTATATTGTGTCTGAGAATCACGCTAAAGCAAATGGTCTGTTTCATGGCCAAGTAAAGCAATGTCAATTTTAAAGAGGGCATCAGTCTAAGTGACTGAAGTATGTTAGTCTGAGTCTCCCAAATTTAATCAAATAACATGATAAAACTGACCCTGTCTTCTGCAGCTGTTGAAAGCCATCTCCAACAGTTTGCCCAACAAAGGGACCAAGCTCACAGGCATCTCCTGTGGCTAATGCACTTACCATTAAGAAGAACCTACTAAATCCACCAAAACGACAACAAACACCCATACCTCCAAAATTGAAAATAGGTGTCTACAAAACATTTAAATATCAGAGCAGTTATCAGTGTGGGTACTGGGTAGAAGTCGGATCTTACAAAAAGGAAAAAGCCTGTAAATCTACTTATCATAATTCACCATCAAGTTAATTAACAGAGTCACTCCTGACATTCAACAGGTTGTTAGCATTGAGTGTTAGCATTGGTGGCTTTTCTTTGTATCAGACCATTACTGGCGTTTTATAACCCGACAGATTTATGAGATGACCCACTATCCAAGTGGAAGCCAATTATATTTGCCCATTAGTTAAAATATTATCTCAAATAGAAGGATCAGTAGATTTTTGTATGTACAATTTTAATAAGGGATTTAATATTCCTGAATAATTTAGTCTCTAACCTGTAGTGTGCCTGGCATGACTAAACAGAAGACACGATGCTGTCACTTTAAAGGCCAGATTCAGGTCTGCACATCGACAAAGGAACTGAACATGTTTTTATTTCTCTGATTTTTTTCCTGAGACTTGAGATGTATGATTTAGAGCACACACACGGTGTCTTGCTGTGTGGCTTTTAGCCATGAGTGCTCATAAAGCTTCCTGCTGCTCACTGTGAGCCTTTACATTTTTCGAGCAGTGTGGCAGATCAATGGTTACTGAGAAGTGAATTAAGACAGGGCCAGGCATAAGGTGCTTCTACTGTTTGCAGCAGGAGCTTGGAAATTGTTTGACATAAATTTTCTTTGATTTGTATTTTTTAATTCATTAAAAGAGGCTTGTGGTGTCACTTTATATACAGGAAATTAAAACACTTGGAGGGAAAATATACACATCAGTGTTTAAGTTAGGGCTGGGTGATAAAACGATACCGATATATATCGAAACTAAATTTCCCTCAATATCAATATAAAACACGGTCAATATGCTTTTTGAGAGTCGGCATTCTGCCATGTTTTGATAGAAATGCAGATGAAGGCTCAACAGATGACGACATCGTCAACAACACCGGCGAGAAAACATCGGTGGCGAGGAGGTATTTTTTTTCCACCAGGACTGTTTTTATCATGCAATTATTTCGGACGTCAATTTTTTTTTTGAACCTGTATCCTGTCAATACAAGCGTTCACATCAGTGACGTTTTCCTGTCCTGCGATTCGCATACTGTGCGTCCACTTCTGACCAATCAGATTGCGTGTTGTTGCGACGTCTGATTCACTGGTATATCCAACATGGCTGACCGGCTGATTGTTTACGTGTCAGAGAACAGAGTGCTTTTTGATAAAAGACATTAACATTACCAAGATAACGACCTGAAGGATAGTTTGTGTGCTCTGACAGTTTGCTAAACGTCTTTGTTTTGACTTTCCTCTGTGCTAAGTAACTTTAGCTCGTAAGCTAACCTGTTCAGATACAACATACCATATGTTGGCTACTTTGTTACGCAATGCGCATGTGCAAACAGTAGAAAGGCACCGTGGGAAATTAAACAAAACGAAAAGGAAAATTTATTTTGTTTTCGTTTCCATCTCTATTATATATTCTGTTTTAAACTGAAAATGCAAAAACAAAAACTAATCTTTTATTTTTGGGTTGTATAGAAAAACAAATAAAGATTTCCTTTGAATTGTATTTTCTTATTCACTTCTAGAGGTTTGTGGTGTCACTTTAAATACAGGAAATTGAAATACCTAAAAGAAAAATATGCATATCAGTGTTTAAGGGTGTTATAGGGGTTTTAAAAAAAAGCCTAAATGCCAAAAAAGTCATCTAATCAGTAATTTCATGAGGTAAAATGAGTGTTAATAAACCAGAATTACATTTCTTTTTCATTTTCTTAATTTTGCACTTCTGAACGACAGTGAACTGCGCGCGAAATCACCTGAGAAAACCATCCCCACGAGCGTGTATCAGATCTAACAGCACGCGCTCATAATCACACTAAAACACACAACACTCACGTCTCTGAAGCGATTCCAGTGTTTGATCTTCCGGCTGTACTGGGAGATGGTTGACAGCCATTGCTCGTCTTCCATGAAGTTCCCGGCTTTCCCCGCTTCCTCTTTCCCACTTTTCACGACGTCCACTTGGAACGACAAACCCACCAGCAGGCACAAGCACGCGGCGATCCGCACAACGACCATGTTTGCTCGGGTTGTTTTAGGGGTCTGGGATGTAATCTCCTCTTCCTCCTCCTCTTGCTGCTGCTGCTGCTTCCACAGACTGAATGGAAATGAGAGAGACTGAGGAGGAGGAGGAGGAGAGAGAGAGAGGGAGAGAGAGAGAGAGAAGGGGGGAGGAGGGAGAGTTAAAGGAGAGATCAGATCCTGCACTAATCATTTATTTCTGCTCACTTGGTTTCATTATTTTATCCTCTTTTTGGGTTTTTATTCTGTTTGTAAGCAGCCCACACACACTCAGGCATCCTCCTGTCACACTGCAAATGAATCATACAAGTGGAACAGATGTTTATTGCTGCGCTGATGATCAATCACATTTTATTTATCATATTAAAATGTTTCTGGAAGGAGGCCAATGCCTGTCTCAACAAATTCAGTTCCAATAAAGCCGCAGAGTGAAATGAGTCACTCGATAAAACAATAAAGTTAAGTTGGAGGAAATTTAAGAGGGAGGAAATTGCTTTATTGAGTTTATACCATAAGGCAGCGGTGCTAAAACGCTCCATGGATTGCTGAGGGTCACTGACAGGCTCCCAAGTGGCCTCTGGGAAAATGAGGTTAAATTTAGCTTAAAATGAGCACCATTTCACTCTTTAATTCCTTCATTAGCCGCAAAGATGTAGAGTGAATGCGTCCCATCAGCTGTATCTTTGAGGTGTCCTAAGGTAAAGTCTGAAACACTCACTGCAATCCAAATACTTAAGAGAAGGGTCTTAAATTCTATGGTACATACTGCTTAATGGGAATTGTTTAGGAAACTGTTGCTATGGAAGCTGTTGTGCCAATTAATCCAAGAACACTATAGCTAGAATTAGTAACACCATCACTATCGCCGGGTGAATTTTACCTGAAATAAAATACCTAAGAAAAAGTCGTTGTCATTAAAATATATCAAAATAGGACAATACATGAAAAATTAAAGTATTTTTATTTTATTTTTAACTGTGCAATGTCTAAAGGGAGGGAAAAAAGTGCGAGGGGACAATATAAAAATGCAACAAAATAACTAAAATTAGGCATTCATGAACAAGAAATTCTGAGTGAACCAAAATATGGCAGATTTTGAGTGAGTAAAAATGACCAGCTGACTAAAATATGTTTTATCACCATATGAATTCCCTTGAAAATCACTGCTTTGTGACAGTTATTCATAAACACTGTGTTTAATAAAGATAGCATGCAAATTCCAGGACCACTCTTACTGACCTTATTCGCCTACATGCAGCGATCAAATCCACACAAACCTACTTTACCCTCTATAACTATTGCCGGGCGAAAATCACCCGAACACATGCCTGTAGGAAAAAGCAGGTTTTGGATCAGGGAAACAAATATGTCTTCAAAGATGTCAAAGGCAATGCTAACGCTACCCAGAGACCCATGATACTCAGATAAACGCAACATAACGAAAATCACGTAAACATGAATGGTCGGGTGAAAATCCTCAGCAGAACCAGACTCATGTTAAACAGTCATCTGCCGCTTCTGCGTTGGGTATAGAGAAGGGATAGAGAGAGATGTAGAAAGAAGGTCTGCGGCAGCCACCCAGAAGAACCTACGACATGATGGAGCACAGGGACTCCCAGAGAAGACCGTGGATTAATGTGGACTCCGCCTTTCCCAAAGTAGCTATAAAGACAGCTCCAGAACATTTCTGGTTGAGGTTAGGTTTTTAAAAAAGATGATGTATTTACCAAACAGCATATAACTATAGCAGGATTACTAATAGCAAGAGATATAGAGCTGAATATTCCTACTTCCAAATAAAAGCATTAAACCTCAAAATGCACTAAAAAAGGTGCTTCTTCACTTTGAGTGTATGTGCTAAACAAATAATCAACTATAAAATATAACTCTGGATCCCCTTCCCATTTGTTTGCTCAGTTTAGGTAAAATGCATAATCACTGTGTATTTAATAAATCTGATCATTTAAAATAAAAAATACCACCAGACCATATTCCTTATATTTATAATGACTCATATTTTTTGGCCAGTAGGAGTCCTCTGGGCTGAAAGAAATGAGCTCCTGACTCCTGCTAACTCCATGTTCCTACCATCTGTGTGTGACAATAATCTGTGAACAACAGACCCGAGGATTACTGTGTGGATGTTTGACTTGATGAACACGTTCATTTAGGAGTAGACTAAATGTCACCCTTATGATAATAATAATTATAATAACGCTAAACTGGAAACAACACACAAGCCCCGATCGAGGAAATACTTGACCATCTCTTTGAGTTCAAATGGCAACACCAGCTTTCAAATCAATTAGGCTTTAAGCGAAGAGTTAATACGGAATAATCCCATTTGAGGATGTTAGCTGCTACTTTGCCTGATTGGTAATCCACCGTTGGTTGCACCACTGACCTTATTTGTTAATTCTATCCAAGTGTCAAATGCAGACAATTGTTAACAAACAGGGCCAATAATAGTCAATTTCCAGGAGTCAATCATTTCTCTTAGGTTTTGTGAGATAAAAGTGGTGACTACATCAAACAGAAAACTTGAGACGTCTTAATTATTTTTAGCGTTTACATAAATCAGTGTAACCCAAGCATATTCAGCATATAAACTCTAGGTACAAGGTCAGAATTTGAAATAGCCCTCTAATACAGTAACAGTGGTTGTGCAGGGTACAGTATAAAGACCAAACCGTGACTGCAAAGGTTAAATATGAGATTTACTTGAGATGCTGCTGTACTGCTGCTTTTTCCTCAGGAATCGGTGACCTACAGGGTTCTGCTGCGCCTGCACATCATTTTAAGTCTACCCACGTTATTTCTGCCTCTACCTAAACTCTCCATGCCCCCTCTCCCTGGGCTCCCTATTTCATCCCCATGAAGATAAACATAATCCAGCGCCCTGCTCACTCATTTGAGTTTAAGGTTACCGATATTGGCAGAGGCTGGGCAGCCAGGCACGGGATCACATTCCCGGGATGCTGCTTAGCTGGCCGAACCAGGCTCTGACACTGACATCAAAAACAGTTGATGTGGCAGATGCAGGCTTTTCCTGAGTCTGCAAAGCTTTGGGAGGCAAGGGCAGCGGGGAAAATTGTCCCGCAGCGTCAGCCAGCTGTGCACGTCGACACCATGAAACACTGGACATGATGTGTTAATCAAGAGGTCATCATCAGTCGAGTCATGATCGGGATGAATTTGTGCGGCAGACTAATGGGCAAACTGCAGCAGAAGGTCACGGTAAATGACCTAAATAATGTGAAGTTGATGTTTACAGCTACTGCAAGGAGTTATGGACCAGACTGAAATGATTACTAATGCCTCTGATCAGCCCGCAGAAGAGAAACAAACCATTAGCGAGAGGACTTGATACTTCTTTACGTTTAATTTGAATGGCTTCTTCTGCTGCCATTGGGTTTACGTCAGAACTACCTACAACCATAGACTGTATTTACTATGGACAACTAGGTTCCACCTTCTGCCAGTATACAGATTTGAAGCCGAAAAGCTCTTTTGGTATTTCCGAAAAGTATTTTCACGATTTTTCTCCATTTCCTGAAACCAACATTGCGCAGGAGCATTGTACGCATTTGGCGTGACAGTAGCCGTGATGGTGCTCAACTCAAACAGCGTATCCACGGGTGAGCTACGCAATCTTTGTACGCCCATAGGCTGTATCAGGTGTCAATCATAGAAAACATGAACCCCCCTAATAACTTTTAAAAACGGAGCTGCGCAGAAAAAGAGGACTTGAGCCTGTCACCAGAGGGTGCTGTTCTTGCAGTGGCTTCACCCAGCGAGGAGGCAGACTCTGTCCATTCTATATACTGTCTTTGTCTACAACCCAACTGGAGGAACGCTTATATATAGTATTTTCCACAAACACCATGCTAACATGTGAGGAACTTAAAGTTTGGCGCCCCCTGTGGACAAAGCAGACTTTGCTAATCTCGTCCTCTACATGCTCAGAGAAAAATCTGATCCTGCTTGCTTTGAACAGTCAAAAGTGTAAAAACAGGGCTGTTTCTTCAGCTGTTTACCCATAGACTGTATATAGAATGGACAAGTTACTCGGCTTCAAATCCGTATACTGGCGGAAGGCGGCACCAGTAGTCCGTAGTATATATAGTCTATGTTCAGAACAATCGACAACACAAACCGGAAGAGCTCTTGATATATAGTATTTTTTCACAAACACCATGCTAACATGTGAGGAACTTAAAGTTTGGCGCCCCCTGTGGACAATTGAGTCTTTGCTCATCTTGTCCAGGATCAGAAAAATCTGATCCTGCTGATTTTGAACAGTCAAATGTGAAAATAGTTTTGAATATTTTGGAGGCAGATTGTAAAAAACAGGGCTGTTCAGCTGTTTACTCCATCACACTGACTCTAAACTAATAAAAAAAGAAGGATATAAAAATGATCTTTTATGCTGCTGGTCTTGTCTGCTTTTAGATACCATTAAAAGGCATCAATATGAATTTCAGTGTCAAACAATTCCTAACTGGAGCTTGAAGGAATAATTTGACAAGTCAGGCTCCAAAGTCTTGCCCGTGTATCACAGTTGTTCAGACTAAATTTGTTTTTTGTTTTGTTTTTTTGGCTTCAACACTCTGTTTAACAAGCTTTTGTCAGTGGCCATCAGTTTGGGAGTCAGACGTCATTAAGCAGGGGACGCTGTAGCCTCTTAGAGGTGGGAACACTGTGTTCCTCTTTGCACCATCGCTCTTAAATTTTTTTCAATATTATTTTTTTGGGGGGGGTTATCTGTCTCTGGTCTGTCTCAGAAGAAAGTCCCCCGAGAACTCTCCTACAGCGAGTGAAAAACATGTTGATGAAAGCTTTAAGCGTTTAGAGATGTTTTAGGGATGAGGAGACTCAAAACATCCTTTTGAAATTGCGGCAAGTTCTCACGAGTTCGCCTCTTCTGCTCCATTAATATGTGAAGTAGCAGCACAGTGACCAGCAGCACTGAAGGACTAGTAATCACAGCAACACCACTTTTATATTCGCGGTACATGAGCTTCAGGGGGTAATGGCTCTCTAGCATGCTTGTGCCTCACTGATCAGATTGAATTCACAGTCTGCACTCAGCACTAGTGGCAGAGAAGTCCGTCAGAGGGGATCTCTGTCAGCGCGGAGGTAACAATTTAAAATCTCATACAAATGATCAATTCACATCATATCTGTTTATGGAAAATCAAAGCACTTACCTTGAAATAACTCAGGGATGATGTGAGCCTCTCAGCCTTGATGACACTCGTGAATACCGCCACATTTAAACATCTTAGTATTCAGCTTTGAGACTCCAGATACTACAATTTTCTAACACATTTGGCAGCACTTGTGGGGGCTTCATCGCTACTTAATGTTGTGCTCAAATGCTAAATGATTTTTTTGCATTTGTAAAGATAGTGTTAAACAAAAACAGGAGGAGAAAATTGGCGAATAATACCACCAGTTGAAGTTTAAAATTCTCTGTCTTGAAAATAAGAAAACTACAGGGTCCCTGAGGAGCCAAAAAGAGATTGTTTTTCAGAGTAATCTTAGCTCAACAAGATGATTACATAGTGCTTTACAAGCACAAGCTGAGCACAAAATAATAACCCGTTTCCCTCATGTTGTTATCTTTTTAATAATACAGCTCTAAAATTATACCAACAAATTTAAAGCAAAATATCTAAACAAATCTACACAGATAGGAAAATGTTTGGCTCGGTCCCTTTTGGGTTTCTGTCAAGGAATCTAAAAGTGTTAAGAAAGAATAATAATAAAAGGTAAATAATGGGGCTAAAATAGAAACCCACTGAGCATTCTTACGAGCATCTGAGCATTGGTCTAAAAGAGGTCTAATAGACGTCTAAATTTAGCCTTGACGACTGGTCTATAATCAGGCTACCACAGATCTAAAAATGAATGTTTTTTAGACGTCTAAATTTAGACCAAGTTTAGACCAAGTCTAACTCTGGGTTGTATCTATACTACACTGTATATTGCTCAATGGCTATCATAATTATTTTGGTTAAGTACTTAGAGATCACTTATGCAGCTCACAGTTGCTTTTTGAAATAAATAGTTGTTGAAAATGGGTTAAAGTGCAACGTCTAAATTCAGTCTAAAAATATACAGAATCTAGACGGTTGAAATTAGGTCTAAAAAAAAAAAACTAGACGACTTATAGCCGTCTATTGCTCAGTGGGAAAAGACAGTCATGCACAGATTCATAATTCACATTTCACAAACACATTTAAATCAGTTATACATGGTTGTAATGAATTGATGAAAAGACACAGATAAACACTGCTGCTATTAAAAGTCGCATTGACTTTCTCCTTGTTCCATTTTTTGTTGCTATTTTTTCCAAAATGTTCCTAGTTTGCACATCAAACACAAAAATGTGGCCTTTCAGCCGATGAAGCTCAGACAGAGGGACGTTTTATCTATCTGTTAAGAGCACTTCACAGAGTCTTGAATCACTTTTGAAAACATACATCAGCAACAAGGCCGAATTTTATTAACCAGATCTGTGGATTTAAAGTTTTGCAGACATCAACAGAAGAGTCGAACTTTGTCTATGTCGGCCTTGGTGCTTGAGTTGCTTTAAGTTTAGTCTTATTTCCATATTAAGTGCGTGGATATCGCCTCAGGGCCCGACACTCCTTTGGTGATTGCCTCAAGAATAATATTTGACTAAAAAAATACATCAAATAGAAAGGCATGTTGTGCAGCTTGCTTTATTCTGAACATTATACGGCAGCTTCACACAACCTGTTTAACATCTAAGAGTCACAGTGTGGAAGAGCGCCTTTAATTGTAAAGAGATTAACTGATGTCATCTGTTCCCCTCTGTTCCTCGCAAGGCAGATGTGATAAAAAAATTATCTATCCACTTCACGGAGCAGACTGAGTTTACATAAAAGAGGAGTTCTGGGCTGGGAAGCTTCATTTAAATATTGTCAGACAAGAATGAGAGCGGCTAGATTCGAAGGGTTGCTTATCTGTAAATATTTTGAGTCAACAAGTTTCAGAGTGGATCGATTTTCTGTCTAACAAAAAAGCTCATGGGGGCCTCACAGCTCCTCAAAACTCTACATATTCTCACGTACTGTAACATGAGGTTTGCTTCAGGAGTTGCCGGTACACAGCAATTAATTGCAACAGGCCAAGGTTGGATGCTTTACACATTTATTTGTTCCTGCTGTATTAAAACTGAGCGCTTAACTCCTGTGACTGTGAAAGAAAAACACAACCAGATCAAATTTTCATTTTCCAACCGATTTCAACAAAAGATTGTGCAAAGCTGCGTTATGAGTTCATTCATTCTCATCATCTGATGAAACCTGATCCCTGAGTGCCGATTCGTCGACTCAAAGATTGTTCCTCAGCACCCCAACCAGAGGACTTTCCATCCTGGTATCATGACCTGCAACACATAAACAGTGATTAACATGTTATATCTTTTGAAGCCAAACCAGAAGACCTCAATTACCTTCATCTTTGGGCGATGATTCTCTGGCTAATATGTAAATTATTTAGTAAATGAATGAATTACATATCATCATATTGCAATTTTTTGATGATTAGCTATTAGAGATCGTTATTCTTTATGACTTTTTCCCACTTTTGTGAAATCCAAATGTTGTTGAAAGCCACAAAAATAACTGCAAAGCGAAACGTTGTCTTGGATTCGCTCTTTCTGCTTGAGCAACAGACCAAAAACCTTGAAAATGTTTTTTTCATGATGATAAAATAACATATTCATGAGAAAATTCAGCACCATATGTTCACAATTAGGGATCTGGAACATGTAAATGTTCAGCATATTTGCATAATGAATGGCTGATGTGATCATGAACTCTGTAAAGGCAAGACAAACTATGTAAACACTGATATATGAAATAGAGTCTGTGTCATGTTCATGAGTCTGAAAAAGTGCTGAATCATATCACAAATGTACTTTCATAATAACTTTAATAGTCAGATACCTCTTCACTTTCACAGCACATATTTCTGTATCACTCTGTATAAGCCAACCACTTATAATGCATCATTAGCACAGATATAAAGCCTAAAGTGAATTTTGATTTTTAAAGTGTTTTAAGTAGTATACATAATGTCTCATAAAGGTATAATTTCTAGTGCAGCTTGGTGTAAAACTTCGTCCAATTATATAAGTTGATCAAGAAGTCATTCAGAGTTCAAACAAAACAAACCCTTGGTACCATTTTAACTTAAAAATTAGTTTTATTTCAACAAAACATGGCTTTGAAACAGCTGTTTCTTTTTGTTTAAAACATAAAAAGTACCCTCCTTTTTTTCTTTACTACTTTTACAAAGCATACAGTATGTACGACTGTCGGCCTTTGACTGCCTTTTTTGTTTGTCTTTGAACAAGTCTAGGATACCTTTGGATACTGTTATAGCTGATGAGTTGTGAGTGAAATAGTGATTCACTATACTCAGTGTTTCATCCAGTCAGTACCACTGTTATAAACATGTTGTACTGATATGTTAAACGTATTATATAGTTTTTATTTCACTTTACTTAAAGCACCCAAGGTAGGGGTGTTCCGATACAATGCTGATATTGGATATTGGTCGGATATCAGCAAAAAACAAACATCGGATTATATCGGCCGTCATCTAAAATCTCCGATATCAGCACTCCGATACAAGTTGTCCATTCAAGGCTCTGCTCTGGCACCTCTATTCACCAAACTGAGCCCACAAAATCACAACAACAGTTTGTACTAAGGTACTAACAAAGTGGCAAGGAGTTAAAGTGATGTCGGCCTTGTGGCAGTATTTTTTAAGTCCAAAAAAGACATTGCAGCTGAGTGCAAAATTTTTCATGCACAATTTTGTGCCAATATCGGATCAATATTGGTCAATATCGGAAGTCAAAAAGTTGTATCGGGACAACCCTAACCCAAGGTCATGTTATAGCATGCTGTGAGTAATACATGTGTCGTCGTCACAACAATCACAGTAAGACACATCCTGGTCCTTTAAAAACAGCGACTTCTGCTGCTTGTTTATGAGCCTGTAAAAGATGCCGCCTCTAAAAAGGATTGTGGGTAAAAAAAAGCAGCTCGAAAGGAAGTTCCTGGAAAGGCGAGCCATCAAGAGAAGTTATTTTGAAAAGTTGAAGGGGGAATAAACCATATGGGGAGGCATTTAATAAGTAATCTCCAGTGACTTACAGCTGTAGAAAGAGCTGCTGTAAATGCTGTGAATGGATCTAATTCAATTGGATTCAAACTGGGTCACACAGCTATTAAAAGTGCAAAGTTACTTCAGGGTAGTCTGACAGCAGTTTGCCTTTAAAGTACCGAAGCTGCTGGTTCTGACTGCAGGCTGCTGCAGCAGGGGTGGAGGAGAGTGCAGCACCTTTTTCAATTAAACGTCCACAATAGACGGAAGCTGGCTAATGTTCTGAACTCCTGACGTGTTCAGTCTCACAGGGAGAGTTATTTTAGTCATCTTTATCAAGCTTATACCAACTACTATAAATGACAAATCCTCATCAGTCGCACTCCACAGCCCTCCAGGAGTCGAAGAAACAGCTTTGAGTGCTGCATGAAGGGATTTCACACTCAACAACTTTGGAGAGGACGGATAAAACATATGAATAACAGTCGGGGAGATGATTTGTTCAACAATTTATAACTGAGGATACGGAGACAGTCAGAGCAGGAAACCTCGACTTCTGCGGAATACTGTAAACGGATGATCATGTGTTGGCGTTAAATTAGACAGCGAAAAGGAGATAAATAACTAGCAGGTCAAAGTTGAAGCATCGTCATCACCTGGTGTTAGGGCTGGGTGATATGGCCTCAAATCAATATCACGGTATATTGAGCAGTTCACCTCGATAACGATAAATAGACGAGGACTACCCCACAAGCTGCTCACCCCCTCCCGCCTTAACTTCATCTACTTCAGCCACCGCTCCAGCCGCTACAACTTTTGAACCGTCCGAAATAAAATTTACTGACAGTGCTGTCACAGTTGTTTGCTACTCAGCACATGATTGGTTCAGCGCGAAGCGGACCAAGCAACTCCCCTTTTCATTGGCTATTCGTGTAGTCTAGCAAAACATGGCAGAATGACAACTATCGAAAAGCATATTGACCATGTTTTTTATTGATATTGAGGGAAATTAATTTTCGATATATATCATCATTTTATCGCCCAGCCCAACGATGTAGGACAGCGTCTTAAAGGGACATGACCCATAGCCTACCTACACACATTCAAAACCAACTTTTATTTATTTATTTATTTATTTATTCATTTGACACTTAATATATTGACATGGGCAAAATGATGTTGGTCACTGTCGTAAATTTCGGTATCACCCAGCCCTACCTAGTGTCATCATCTAAACTTTCAGACAGTCGCTCCCAACCTTTTCGTAAAAAGCAGGCCCCTCAAAAGCCCTCAGAGAAAAAAAATGATGCATTACTGTAAAAAAAAAAAAAAAAAACATTAATTTTTATGTTCCTACCAAGAGAGTGAGAGAAAAAAGTGGTTTTACTCAGTTATCCACAGGCAGAACTATCCAAACTACCAAGCAAATGTGCTCCAAGGATTTTTAGTTTATAAGATAAGACAAGATTAAAAATAGAAACACATATAAATGAAAAAGTAAAGAGTAAAAGTGGGTCTTTAGGTGTTTCTTTTCAGCCTCAACAGAGTTCACCTGTACCCTCCAGCAGGTGTTACATAGCAGACAGAGAAAGCCCTGACCTCAGAGTTTTTCATCCATGAACGGGGCACAGCCAACAAACCCTGTGGAGAGGATGTAAGGGGTCTGATGTGCTGTCAGGATTGTAAAACTCTCAGATACATCTGAGCGAGAGATTTGAAAACAATCAGATGAAAAGAGTTGATATTAATTCTGACATGAACGAGGAGCTAATGTAAGATAGTGAGCAAGGGTGTAGAGACCTGACTCGACTATTCTCTTCTCCTTTTACGAGCCTTTTAGCATCTTTCAGCTTATTGTTTTGGTTTCAAAGCCTGAAACTCAATTGTCCTGGTTCATTTTGATTCTTCTCATCCAGGTCATTTAGGGCTAAAACAAGGCAAAGTTTTCCAGCCGGAATAAACTCGCTTTAGCAGCCGGCTCTAAACAGCAGATGGATAAAGTTAGTTACTTCTCTGTAAACACTCAGAGGCATTTAGCAGCAGATTAATCAGAATCTTTCCTCTTTTAGGAAACCAAAGGGACAAAAATCTGAACTGAGCTGAGCTTAAGAAATACGGCGATTGGTAGTCTTTCTGTTTGAGCGATTTCAAGACACCAACAGTCTCTTTTCTAATTTATCCATTTAAAATGTTGCAGTTTTTTCCCCAGACGAATAACAGATGAAAAACTTATTGAAAAAAAAAAGAATATGGGATTTCAATCTTTAATGAAATTTTGTTGGAGGCTATTTTAAACTTGTTTGTGCAGAGGGTATACAAGGTAAACAGCAGCTCAGAATGACTGCCTGCTGTTCAAACACACTCAGCTTTGTGCCTCCCTTCCCTGTGTGAACGCTTCCAGCAGTAAACAGACGTGGACAGCTGCAGGCAGCCTCCAGACTCAGCACTTTGAATGATAAAGAGCTGCTGCAGGGATCACCTGCCTGCTCGCCGAGAGACACAGATTAAACATTTCAAATACTCTCGCCTTGGCTGTCTGTCAAGGCCGCTCGTGCCCATTAGTGACAGAGTGATCAGTGAAGGATTCAAACGGCGGTGACACTCAGCGGAGAGTCACAGTCTGGAAAAGAGAACTATCAAAGGAAGGGGCTGGTGAGGCAAAATGTAGCAACATGAAGTCACAATTTGAGAACGACAGAGTGGAAAAGACTTGTGCCACACAAAATCAAATATAAATAGTTAAAAACACGATTTTAGCATGACAAATATCAATGCTCTAAAGGGATATTCCATCATACAATTAAGTTAGGATCAAACACACCATTACAACAAGTTAGACACTCCGTCAAGAGATGAATGTTGCCGACCGCTTGCTTCTCTAGATATACCAACTTTAGTAACGACCGCAGGATAGCAATACACAGCGGTCTGAGGAGCCATAAACAAACCTCAACCAAAACGCCACTTTATAGCCACAAACAATGCTCAGAACAGCACCGAACTTCATCAACAGTACATATAGGGTCCCAGCCATAGTACTAGCCACCAAACATCTTTTTAATTTTGCCTGATTTCTTTAGCTAAGAGACAAAATACAACTCACCAACTCTCTTCCAGCAGCTGCTGGTTTGTACGGAGACCTCCAGGCGAGTCCATTACTGCTGCGGGGTGACGCAGCTCAAGGAAGAACATTTATGATCATTTTTTCATGGAAATGCAATCAGACTGAGATGCTAAGACAGAAGGACTAGTGCGTCTGCAGTGCAAAATGATTAATATGGTGATTATTACTTCAAGGAAATGATAAAGTAATGATCATAAATGTTCTTCCTTGAGCTGCGTCACCCCGCTGCAGTAATGGACTTGCCTGAGGTCTCTGTACAAACAAGCAGCTGCTGGAAGAGAGTAGGTGAGTTGTGTTTAGTCTCTTTGCTGAAGAAATCAGGCAAAGCTAAAAAGATGTTTGGTGGCTAGTACTATGGCTGGGACCCTATATGTACTGTTGATGAAGTTAGGTGCTGTTCTGAGCATTATTTGTGGCTATAGAGTGGCGTTTTGGTCGAGGTTTGTTTATGGCTCCTCAGACTGCTGTGTATTGCTATCATGCGGTTGTTACTAAAGTTGGTATAACTAGAAAAGCAAGCGGTCAGCAACATTCATCTTTTGAGGGGGTGTCTAACTTGGTGTTACAGTGTGTTTGACCCTAAATTAATTTTCCACCAGAATATCCCTTTAAGACTATGATTTGAGCATGTCCAAAAGTTATATCAATGCTTTGAGTCGATTACAGAGAAAAATATACGTCACCAGTCTCAGCATTATAAGCATATATAAGTGTTTTATAAATATCTTGAAGTAATATATCTTTCCCTTCCTCAATTTGACTAATTGTGTAGTTTTATTTTCAGGTTTGTAAAAGTAGAAACTCTCAAACTAAATGAGATGTTCTGTAGTTATTAATAGCTGTGTTTCATGGCAACCACAAGTACTCAATAAAAACAGTGCAACTTATAATAACGTCACTTCAGAGGAAAACGGTGGACTTGTTGGAGAGCTATTAATTGCTTCCCCTTGCGGTGTGGTCGTGACTCTGTCTCTGTGGATTAATACAACATACAGGACTCGAAGGGACTTTATGCCACAAGAGACAAAGATGACAAAAACGCTAATGTGGATTGACATTTTTCTGGACTGGATTTCTTCGCTTCTCGGGGGGGTTATTGAATTTAAAACTTGTGCAGCTCTCGCTAAAGCTATCCTTTTACCTCATGGGTATTCAGTACCTGCGTTTAGAGGTAAAGGAGGGTGAAGTACTGTTGGAGTGGATGGCCTGGGTCATGTTTGATTGTGAGTGCTTTGCGTCAGGGACGAGGTGACGCCATTGGATAAGCCGGCGGTGGGAATACCAATGAGTTTGCAGGCTGAACGAGAGTTTAAAGGCTTTGTCTGTCCAAATTGAATGACGCGCTTTATAACTAAAAAGACCTTGGTGATAAAAGCGCAGGATTCAGGCTTGCTAGAGAAGAAAACATGACGAGAAGAGCACAAGTCTTCCTCCTGAAATGTCATCTCACAGCTCCCTCGCTGCTGACTCGATCTTTCAGTTAATTGGACGTGGTGTAAAATATTCCGTGTATTGCTCTTTGAAACCAGGCTGATCAACCTTCCCACGTGGGGGAAACTTCAGTAACCTGAAAATCTATTTCATGTGTGTTATTAGTCAGTCCGAGCAAGCAAAGCAAACCAAACATGCCTGCTGTATCAAAAGGTCACGTCTGTCAAACGTCACCTTTTCTCCTCTCCTCGCAGATGTTAACTCCGGCACTCCGAGATGAAAGCTTAATTCGCAATTAAACTGAGAAAAATTGGATAGTGTGGTACTGAATATTAAGAGCCCCAAAAATGAGACTAAAAAGTCTGAAATTAATCATCCCCTGTTTCAAACTGCCTTTGTATAAAAGGCTGCTTTGAAAATTGACTTAACATTAAAAACACAAACTGGAAGGAATGATATATACACAGTATTTGGATGAGATAACATAAGACCTCAATTACCAAAAAATAAATTGCAGCAGTTTTGCTTTCCTCTTCGGCCACATGTAAGTTTTTAGAGTACTCCTCGGTCGTCTGAGTGACATCTTTGGTTCTTCTGTGCAAAAATGAAACACTTTTTTTCTTCTTTAACACGTAATTATATGAGCAAATATCCTAAATTAACTCACAATGCCGAGTCTGGCAAATCAGCCTCTGAAAACATACTGTCTATGTGACTCACTGATGCATGTAAACAAGCACAAGCGCACATGCTTCAAAGACAACTAGGCTGTTTAACATTTTAATTAAAAACCCGGCTCTAGTGTCACCTCAGATGCTCAGAAACAGGGATGCAGATCCACGGAGGAAATACAAACACACTCCGAGGTCTCATTAATGCCGCCTGTTGAAAAGGACACATGCTAGTCTGGAATCCTCGAGGGTCACTTTGGAAGTTTCCTCTACAGGAAGCGCAGAGCTCACTAATTAGAGTGAGACATGTTGTAGGAAAGGGACGGATATGTAAGTTGGCGGGACAGTGTGTGAGAAAACTCATCCACAAAAATAAGCATGGTTGTTTCATGAGCCTGAATAGAACATTACTGACGACTGACATAAATCTGTGGAAATCTAACAAATTCTGTTTATCACAGTTTAAATTATTTTGATTATTGCTTTTTGACTGTGATTAAGTGTAGTGCTGTACTTTAGAAATGTATCAGCTTAATCATTACTTAGCTGTAACATGTGCTGAATTCTGATTGGTCAATACTCCATAGCAACAGTCCGTTATCTCTTGAGGGGCATGCTGTTACTATGGATACAGGTCTAATTGCAGACCCCTGAGAGTTTTACTTCACTATCAACAGAAACATTCAGTTTAATGTAACATTGATTTAATAACAGCTGAGTCACCTCATATTAAAAAGACTACAAAGGCAGGCTAAGGGTTTTTAACACTTGGTTCCTACTATGTCCGTATTGAGGACATTTCTCATTTTTTTCATCTTTATTTTGAGCTGACAGTCACAATTTTAAAGACTGTAGCATTAGGTTTGGTGAGAGGTCTTATTTTTCTTCATATACTGAACAACAGACTTCTATTAAAAACATGTTTTTTGACCATTCATTGACATGGCCAAGACTATTTTTATTTAAAAAAGAATTTAATCTAGGTCATTTTATAGGGGGAAATATCGCGATTTTGTGTTTTTTACCATTTAAAATAGCAGTGACATGGTGCACAAAAACTGGCATAAAAAGGGTAATTCATAGAATTTTTTCATCTATTATTTTTTGATAGTCAGGGCTGAAGTAGTTTAAGAGATATGAGTAAAAAAAAGTAAAAAAAAAAAAAAATGTTAAAAAAATATTTATTTTATATAGCATAATATGATATAATACAATTATTATTATTATTTTATGAACACCTATCTGCATGTTCATTTTGGGGACAAAGTAGGCTAGATGGAGCTTAAAATTAACAGGAACCGAGGGTTAAATCAGTAAAATCACGCGTGAATATTTGATGTCAGAACATTAACTTATTCCATGTAATGTGCTGAATAAATAAGCAAAGTCTTTGTTTTGTGTGTCAGACAGTATGTCTTTCCTCTTTAATGTTTTCGCCTGCACATGTGCAGGTAGTGTATAGGACTGTAAATCTGTTACTGCCGTTTTTCAACAGTGAATCTTGATGCCAGGAGAAGCAAACAAAGGCTGTTTCTGCAGCGTGCGGTTAATTACCCCATCTGACGCCAAGGTGGTTGTTAGTGATACTAGAAATTACTGTATGGAAACAATCAATCTTCTTGCTGATGGTCGTTTGCCTTTGTCTTACAAAGGTGGGAGCGACAATTTCAGTCTGTTTCATAAGTAGCTTAAAAGCTCATTACCAGAGGTTTAACAAAAAGTCTAGAACCATCTATCTGGTGCAAACATGGACAAGTGTTTTCATTTTAAAATCAACATCTATTTTTTTAATTATTTTTTTAGACTTTTTTGGACTCAGCTGATGTTTACATGGAGACAAGGTTTCAAACAATTCCCGTTTTCAGCTCTTGTTGTAAATTGTGTTTAGTAAGGCAGTAGACCTTTAAATAAATTTGTATAATCTGAGCACTTTGACTTGAATTGTGCTTGCAAATGAAACATGCCTTCAGTGCGAGTCTGTGGATGACGTACCCTCTCCTTCATGTGGGTTTTCAGTATCATCATTACTGAAGACATCTGCCTAACGCATCCTTAATCATGTTCCTGCCAGAAAAACAAGGATGCACAGTCTCCATGAAATTCATTAACTTGCAAATCACCTTCTCCCTCTCCCTCACTCTCTCCCTCTGTGCCTGCTTTCTATTTACAGTCCCCAGAATCCTCGCTGTGTGTTACCTGCAAGTGGGTTATTCTGTATGTGTGCTCCTGACCCAGAAGTGAGCATGCTCTCAAGAGGCAGAGAGCGACTAATTAGGTCCCTGAAAACACACATTTTATTGCCAGGAAGTGCCTCAGTCAATGTATGGACGCCCCAGCTGGTTGGCTGACAAAATTTACATCTGCTTGACTAATGGCGTCTGTTGACATGGCTCCAGGAGGACGACGGGGGGAAAAAAAAAAAGAAAAGCAAAGTCACACCACTGCTGAAATGGGAGGGTGGACAACACAGGACGACAGCGCTGACAAACAGAGAGCACCCTCAGTTTGCATCAGTGTAACTTTTGCCCGCTTCGACACAGCCCTCCTGCATGCCAAGCAGAGAGAGAGAGAGCATTGCCAGCTGACGGTCAGGTGCTGAAAAAAAACACAGAGCTCTGACGGCAAGATCAAGTGACCGGAGCTCTGTGTTCATGGAGGATCTCGACAGACGCGAGTGGGAGCAAGGTTGTGGTCGGTGTGGAAAGGGCAATGATAAAAAAAGATGGAAAAAAATACTCAGACGAGTGTGATGAATCTCATCGGTGACGCATTAACTAACGCATTCATGAGGTTGAGAGATTCAAGGAAACAGTCAAAAAGGAGTTGACTAACGTGACCAGACCAGGGTTGTCTTGTTTTGGACAACGTTCATGCTGAAACTTTTTAAAGGACCTTTCATTGTTCATATTTGCTCAAACAGGACAGTTTATAAAGAGACACTGAAAATGTTCAAACGGTGATGGTAAAGAAACTCAGATCATTTACTTAAATCAACAACAAATAGGAGGAGTCTGTCCTAAGTATCTTGTTCACCATCCATCTGAAGCTCTGTCTCTCTATATCCTCTTGTTTTAAACATATGGGTTAACACTGGTTAGACTCAGGGCACTGACTAAAGGACTGCAGAGCGTCCCCAGGCCTTTGCATGAAAGACAAAAGACTGTAAAATCACAATGTAATCCCAACTCTCAGTACAGAGTTGGGTTACAGATTTACTTTCTGCTGAGAGTTGGTGGTTACTGTCCAAACTATGTTGCAAAGCTCCATGGGTATGCTTTTTGCACTGGTGTGTTGTTATTGAAATATGCTCACGGCAACATAACCAGGGCATATGGTAAAATTTCACATGTAAAGAAGCTCCCAAGCTTGTTTAAACCATTTGCTAATGTTTTAGATACAATACTTGATTAAATGCAATCTGCTGTTATATTTAAATAAACTGTCAGTCATTATGTATTTGACACACTTTAATCCCAATCTATATTTATATGTGCATCTACCTCCCTAAAATTACTCAAAATTTTTGGAGTGAGCTGCATCTGTGAACACAAACAGGCAAATTTATCATTTCTACTCCACACAGACTTTCTCCTGTCAGAACTCTGGTAAACTTTGAGTGGGCGAGAGAACACAGCAGGTAAAAATAGAGGACATTAAGATTATATCACGCAACGCTTGCAATCACTGCAGACATAATTAAGCTGCTTCATAATCTCTCTGCTTGTTATATTCTTTTCCACTTAATTTGTTTAAACTGTGAATGCATCCATATAGGGCTGGGCGATAAAATGATAATGATATATCAAAAATTAATTTCCCTCGATGTCGATATGAAACATAGTCAATATGCTTTTCAATAGTCGGCATTCTGCCATGTTTTGGTAGACTATACGCACAGCCAATGACAAGGAGAGTTGCTCTGGATTGTGCCCCACTGAACCAATCATGTGCTGAATTAGAACCAAGTAGCAAACAACTGCGTAGTTGCTACACGTAACCATAGCACGTAAAGCCGACAGCACTAGTGGTGAGGAAAAAAAGGTGAGTGCTACCCCCGGCAGAAATGCAGACAAAGGTCCAACAGATGACGACATCAAGGAATTTCGTTTTGTTTGAGGTCGGACATGAAGCAGAGTAATGTGCACTGCAAATGATGTCGAGTACATGTTAAATTTCATTTAAGAGTAACAGGGAATATTTAAGATTGACAAGTGATTTTTTTTTATATCGTCACTGATATGAAAAAAATATATCGTGATATACTTTTTCCCATATCGTCTAGCCCTACATCCAGGTAAACATAATGGTGGTATAAAGACAAAAACCTGTCAACACAAAGTCGAACAAAGTCATTTTTACATTATTTCCAACCTCCTGAGACCCCATCATGTGTCCTACTCAGTGGAGCAAACGTCTTGCTGTGATGGACATGTGTGATAAGCAACTTTGGAGAATTTCAAGGGCAAGTCGTCCTGAAATTTTCCTAAAATTTATCAGAAGTGCAGATGTGAAAAGTGCTTATGACTGATCAAAAGTCTAATACGGCTGGCTATTTTTAAGAGTCTAATTTCATTTCTATTCATGTTTTTAAAAAGGATAAGAGAATTTGCAAAGTGAAGAGAAATTTTCATACAAAACATATTTTTTTCTGCTGGGATCAAAAATTATCCAAACCTACAAAAGAAAATGTTTCGTCAAAATTAAGACAAAAGCTCTTCTCTTGTTATTTGTTTTGTTTTGTTTTGATTGCCTATTCTGCTCAAATCTGTTCTGTGTCACTTCCTCTGATTTTGTTTGACTCCCTGAAGAGAACAAATTGTCTGGAGACTAAAAGACACAAACAGAAATTTGCCTTCCTAGAGGCCCCCCAGAGTGATTACACAGGCATGTTTCATCATTTCAATCATTCTGCACTCTGATCACTTATTTTTTACGCATAAATACATCTCAGGGGGCTTAAGGAAACAAGAGAATGTGGCTCGGTCTCGAGCATAACAAGTAGCCTGTAAAATTATGAAAACCCTTTGCTGACACCTGCTGGACGAGTCGTTCAGTGATCTGGTACTTCACAAAGTAGATGTGTTCGTCAATATTCTCTCACCTGATGCTATGCTCAGTCCAGTTGACGTTCATGAGAGGTTGATGCTCCCTGCAGAGGAGTAGTAGCCCGTACAATCACTGGAATACCTCTGAGACAGCAGCACAGTGTTCAGCTCAAAGTCTCCAAAATGATAGGTTCCAAATTTCTGTAATAGAAGCACGTGAAAAATATCAAATGAAATTCAATGGTGCAAAACTTAACTATCAGTTCAGCTTTTTTTATTTTGAAATCAAATTGTATTTCCATTTAAAAAGGTAACCCAAGCATGACACTATTAAAGTAAGTCATCTCTGTGTTTAAAACTTTCCTAAACTTGTTGACCTCTTTAAAGAAAGACAGAGGGATAAGCTGTCAATCAAAAACACGGTGTTACCATAGTAACATGCGACTGAGAACCTGCTTCATTTACAGGGGCGGAAAATCAAGGATTTTTATTTTTCAAACAAAGACCACTTCAGCAGCAGGGAGGAACAGCGAGGTAATAATTCAGGGTACTTTCATCTGCAGTGTCAGAAGTAGGAGAGTCACACAGTGCTCTTTTAGACAGTGTGTTAGAGTATAATTCCACCATCTGCTAGTTTTCTGTGTCAAAGATATTCTGCTTGAGTGTTAGAATCTCAGGACACCACCAACAAATGAAAAAGATACAGAAAAAACTACTATTTATCTGAAAATACAGCAAAGACAAGATATCGGAAATGAAAAATTCAATTTTTTTATGAAAGGCTGGCTCAGTTTAGCACCTGGCCTCTTATGCCACAAAGTTGTACCATTGTAATATAAAGGGTCTAAACATGGTTGAGCTTTTTTTTTTTTTGCTGTATTATGCAAAGCACCTACAAAACCTGTTGTTCAGCATTATTAGTGCTTTCCAGATGTTTAAACTACCCACGCCATGTGTATTTAGGAATAATGCTGGCTTGTGAAGTGGGTGCTGATAAAAAGTTGGGTAGTGTCCATCTTTAGTGGACTTGGGCCCAAGTCAGGCATTTGTAGATCATGCTTATAAGCGATTTCCTATGTAATTTCTATAAGCGATTTTGGATGTGTCTATTTCTGAGAGCCCAAAGTCCACAGCTACCCAGTATTGGTTTGTGGCCTTGTCTCTTCTGTACAGAGATTGTCCTCTAAATCTTTTTAATGATATTGTGCAGAGTAGATGATAAAATATTTTGGGTTTCTGTATTTCCAAAAAATTTACAGTATGCCCAACTCATATTGCAAAGGATGTAAAGCATTTTTGTCATGCCACAGGTAGGAGCACAAGTTGACCTAACAGAACCAATGATTGATTAAATGTAGTACCTTCTGTTCTCAGGTCCTGAAATACTAGTCTGTTTGTGATGTGAAATTGGAACAAGTGTAACTGGCTTCTAAGCAGATCAGGAGGGTCTAATTACATATCGCAGCTGCTGAGGGAACAAAATCATTTAGTAGCTGCTTGATTTCAGGAAACCTTTTGCTCTGGTGGACTGGAGTGAGTCAGCAGCAGAAATTAACCTGATTGTCCTCTACTCACGTTGAAGTGGAATCAGTGTGTCCTACTCCAAAGACCCAAACCTCTCCATTTAATGACCTTTTAATTGATTGGAAAGCTCTTTAATCCCACTGAGACCTCAAATGCAGGGGAAATGTCAGCCACAGTTAAAAAACCTGAACTCAGAGCAGGATGTAGCACGGAGGAGAAGAGCTTTGCAGGTTAAGAGAGAGGATTTAAGTTTTAGTTAAACATTTTTCATTTATCTTTTGGTCTTTTTGACTTTGTCCCTCCCTCGTATTACCCTGTACATTTTTTTTTTTTTTAAAGATTTTAACCAAACAGTGAAGAAAACTAAGCTCATGTGAGGAACTTCTGGTGTGTGCTGGTTTTTGTGCCCCCCTGTGGACAGAGCAGTATCTGTTATCTCTTTGCTGGTTTTAACTTGCACAATATCTTTGCTTTGCATTTTTTTCCTCCTTTTCTTGTTTCTACCTGCAATTTAACAGAGTCCAGAAAAAATATAAAAATAAAACTCACCTACTCTCTTCCAGCAGCCGCTTGTTTGTAGCGAGACCTCAACCAGTCCACCATCGACTGCAGCGGGGTTATGCAGCTCAAGGAAGAACATTTATGATAACTTCTGATTATTACTTCAAGGAAATGATAGCGTAATGATCATAAATGTTCTTCCTTGAGCTGCATCACCCCGCTGCAGTCGATGGTGGACTGGTTGAGGTCTCGCTACAAACAAGTCGCTGCTAGAAGAGAGTAGGTGAGTTGTGTTTAGTCTCTTTGCTAACAAAATTAGGCAAAGTTAAAAAGATGTTTGGTGGCTAGTACTATGGCTCAGACCCTATATGTACTGTTGATGAAGTTAGGTGCTGTTCTGAGCATTATTTGTGGCTATAGAGTGGCGTTTTGGTTGAGCACGTGGCTCTCTGAATTGCTATCGTGCAGTCGTTACTAAAGTTGGTATAACTAGAGAAGCAAGCTGTCGGCAACTTTAATCTCTCTACAGGTGTGTCTAACTTGGTGTTACAGTGTGTTTGACCCTAAATTAATTTTACACCGGAATATCCCTTTAAAAGATGGACAAGAGAATCATGGTGATGTATTTACATGAGAATATTGTTCCTTCATTGTTATTGAGAAAATAAAAAAATCTGTGTCATACTTGTGACGCACCACTGAGAGGACAAACACACTGGTCTAGTAGCTGCTGTATACTGCTGGGCCCACGTGTTGCACAACTACAGACGTATGTTGCAGAGTCTGGCAGAGATAACACATTCTGGTAGTTCTGCGACATATTATGCTGTACAAATACCAGCATATGACATGCCAGATTTTGTGGCATACCACTGGCCACTTTTCAATCTAGATGCTGCAGCAAATGTATAACTCTGAGAAATTACTGCCATGGAAATATGTCAAAAAGGCAGATTTGGCAGAGTGCTGTTAACCACTAAAAATCTGTGTAGAAGATGATAATGATAAAGTAAAGACATGAAGATGAAGACTGATGTTCTGGTTAGCTTTTGAAGCTTATTCACAGGCATCACTATTAACCTCAGTCTGTTTAATATTCAGCTAAAAACTCCTCACAGGGGCGTCAATGTGTTTTTCCACATCTACACTATATTTATCTATTTGCTTTTTCAAAATCCTCTTGTGAAATGGTCATCTGGCATTTACACCTATTCCAGATTTCCGTTAGGACAGGGGTCTTTGTAGGGGTATGTTGGTGAAATTTTCCACTAACCTTCAGTATATTTCTGGCATCAAAAGCCTCCCTTTCATTCACGGTTTGTCTTCCTGTTCCACCCACATCTTCAACTGGAAAAGCACCAGGAGAGTAAATGAAAAGCTGCACAATGTAGCATTGAACAATAAAATGCAGATATGCTATCTCCTGATCTCATAAACATGCATTCATGCGGCGTCAGCAGGTGATACTAAGGTGAAAATCCAGGTCATCTAGTTTGTGAAACGGGTTTGTGAAACACAGAATAGAAACACTGACTTTAATCAGATTTATCTTCATGTTGGCAAACACTGAGCAGTGACACGGCCCCTCCTTTGTGTCTTGTTGCTGGTCAGCTCAGTACACATTTGAGAACTGAGGCTGGACCTAATCCACGGCCAAAATGAATGAAGCCATTGTCAGAGTACTTGGAAAACACGGCGCTGGGCGCACGTAAACAGAGCGCTGGCCAAACAGAGGGAGCTGGCTGATATCTGTCATCAGGAATCTGTTGTTGTAATTGTTCAAGTTTGTCGTCACTGCAGCTCAGCTCAGAGCCAAAAGATAATAAGAGGACATTGGTAAACATGTTTAGGGCTGGAGCTTGCCGTTGTAATCAGAGCGGGTCAATAATGTTGTTTTTACACAGGCTACAGGGACATGCACAGGAGAAGGATCAATAGTTAGGGATGTATCTCGAGCTTAAAACCAGACTTCTCAGTGTTGCAAAGCTGGTTTACTTTTTACCTGACTAGGTCACCATGGTTACCTGCTCAGAGTTTCAAATCTAACTATGCTGAAAACTTGAGACCCTCTATTCATTTTGTCCCTTAACATTACTTCAGGGAGTTAATGTCATGATTCAGATCATTCCTACACTGAAAGAATAATGCACTTTCACAGCTCTACAATTTGCACTTGTTTTGCTGTTGTTATTTTTGCATTTTATATGGCATAATGACCTATTTTCTGCAAGAAGGCTGGAAGCAATTGCCCCACTTTTGCGCAATAAAGAGTTCAGTGATGAGTCAAGTAGTCTCTTTAACAGGAGCATGCACATTTGAGTCTGTGATAGAAATCCTAGCTTAACAAAACCATTCAGTTGACAGCATTGTGATGAACATTATTTTTGACAAGGCAAGCCTGGTCGTGTTCTTTTCCCAATTTTCTCATCATGCGTTCGTCACATATTTACCTGTGGAGTCCCTTCTGAACAGAGTGTTCATCACAGTGCCGTGCAGCTTCACTCGGTCCCACTCTCTGATCATCAGACCCACTGAGACAAAGTGTTCAACCAGCCTGTCGGCGATCACCTGCAATCTGAAGAGCAGCAGTTGTACCAGGGAAAAATAAGAAATTGATTTAATTCAAAACTCAATGAATTTTCATTGATGTACTTACTTGTTAGATTCATCTTTTGATTTGACTTTGGCGTACAAGACATCAACCATCGCTGGGTCATCATTCATGTACTCGATCCCCATCACCTCCAATGGCAGAGGTTTCCCTTCTGTGATGTCTCTAAAGGTCACAACAAAATCCAGATGGCAGTGACTCATTTTTCTCATCAGTTTTGAGGTTAAGATGTCCATTTATGTTCCTCTTTTTATTTCTTGAGAAATAAAGCATAACCTCATCTGAACTTTAAACTATAAATCTGACATTGACTCATAAGTACTAAGGAGTCAGAATGGCTGAGTCGGATTTTTATAGTTGTGCAACTAAGCCAGGAAACAGACCAATAAAAATGGTTGAATCAGTGAGTTTTTTCTGTGCTATTTCAGCAAAAATAAGAATATAAAGATGACCAGAATCATGCTTTGAATCAGTGATATCAGATTTGTTTGCCTCTATGTCTTTTAAATCACAACTGACATGAAAATACCTACCTGATGAAGTTCTGACACTCTTGAAGGTGTTCTCGGGCTTTTCTCACTTCCATGTCATTCAACAGAGCCAGTGTACCGATTGTCAGGTGAAGCTTTGCAGGGTTTTGAAAGATGCTTTCATCTACGCCATGATCCTGCATATTAGGTGAACAAACACTTTCAAATCACAAGGGATAAAAAGTGCGAATCTTATGGATACTACTGGCTCTCATCATCATCATTTCTGTTTTTATTCTTCTCAGTCATACCTGTGCACACTGCTTCAACACCTCCTCCTTAAACGTCAGGAATCCTTCTTGAACTTTTGGGTCATTGAGAGGGAATGACAAGAAGTGTGTAAACGGCTGCTTTTTACGGAAACTCTCCACCAGGACCTCGACTCGTGTGAGCGCAGATGAGACTGCAGCTTTGTGGGAACCTGTAATAACTATCAGGCCAATAACAAATATGAGATTACATCCTTTGCTTCAGTAAGCACTTGTCAATCTAAAATGGATCTACAGATAAATGCAATTGTAAAAGCCAGTTTTTATCATCTTTGTCTTTTAAACAAGGTCAAGTCTTTTTTTATCTTTTAGTGATTTTGAGGAGGTTATGCATGCTTTTATCACAACTCGTCTTGATTATTGCAATGCACTTTATTCTGGTGCCAGCCAAACCTCTTTTAATCGTTTACAGCTTGTGTTTGCTGTAAATATGACTACATTTCCCCTATTTCAGCCTCTCTTAACTGGCTTCCCGCGTGTTTTAGGATTGATTTTAAAGTTTTGTTATTAACTTATAAATCTTCAAACGGTCTTGCCCCTTTTTATCTCTCCGACCTTTTAAAACCCTATATTTCATCTCGGGCTCTCAGATCCTTTGACCAGTGCCCTCTCACTGTCCCTAGGTCAAGATTAAAGCTCAGAGGTGACCAGGCTTTTTCCATTTCTGCGCCTAAACTCTGGAATGCTCTTCCTCCTCATGTCCGACTGTCCCCCTCACTGCCTGTTTTTAAATCAATCTTGAAAACACACTTTTACTCCTTGGCTTTTAATTCCAGAGGACTTGGCCTTTTAATCATGTTTTTACTAAACCATCTATGTCCCCCTGTTTTTAATGTGTTCTTGAGTCTTTGTTTTATTGTTTGTGCTAATTGTTTGTTTTTATTGTTTTCTAATTTTTACTGGATAGCACGTTGGTCAGCATTTTGTTGTTTTTAAATGTGCTTTATAAATAAACCTGAATTGGAATCTGTGTGAAGAGGTTCTTAATTCTCACCAATCTGTCCTTCCACTCCTTGCTTTGGGATGTTGATGGATGTCTTTGTGTCAAACTCCAAGCGCTTGCGCGTCTCTCCTTTTTTTCCTATGATATATCTGAAAATACAAAGATGTACATTTAACAACTCAAAGAAAACATCTGGCTAGGGCTGGGCGATAAAACGATAACGATATATATCGAAAATTAATTTTCCTCGATGTCTATAAAAAACATGGTAAAGATACTTTTAGATAGTCGGCATAGCCAATGAAAAGAGGAGTTGCTCTGGGTCTGCTTTGCGCTGAACCAATCACGTGCTGAATTAGAATCAAGTAGCAAACAACTGCGCAGTAGCAGGCTGCAGCACTGTCGGTGAGAAAACACGAAAATGAGTGCTACTTCCGGTAGAAATACAGATAAAGGCTGCTGTCTCTAGCGTAACGCCTTACGACAGAACGTCAAAAAGACACTAAGACCTCACAGATGCAGTGGCTTATTGTATTGCAAAGGACATGCTACTAATAAGCACTGTTAAATTTCATCTTTTTTATCGTGGTATATACCAATATTGACTGATATGAAAAACATGTCGTGATAAACTTTTTCCAATGTTGCCCAGCCCTACATCTGGTGCTTTAAAAGTTTGGGAAAATAGTCAAAGCATGCACATTTGTAGATAACTCACTTGTAAAGCACACTTGGGACATCAATGGCACAGCGGTACCCTTTCTCAGTCTGTTCAATCATATGGGTATCACAAGATTCTTCCTCAGCAAGGTCTTCACTCTCTAAACATGGTAAATCATAAAGACACAATCACAAAATGGCTTCAATTTTTAAAGAAATTGGGGAAACGGGCTGACACAGACACAAACTGTTAACACTGACAGGTTTCATCTTACCAGGTGGTCCCATGTAGGAGAAATCCTCTTCTTCCTCATAATGTTCTTCCTGGGTGATATTCCTTCGGTATATTCTTCCATTTACATTTATTAGATGTGGTCGTAAAACCTCCATGACGTGAAGAAGCTAACGCCAGCTACACTTGAGACAATTTACAACTTAAAAAATTGCGTCTCGACAATTTAGCAGCTGTTTATCTACACGGGAAGTGCGTAAAATAAGCTCATGTAGTTTATTTTTTATTTTTTTGATAAGCTAACCTTAGCTTGTTGCTCATATGGTACAAGTTACCTGACTGTTTTACTTTACGACGCCCGTAAGTATCGGTTCATGCTTTGTAGATCTACAAACAGCCACGTCTTATTACGTGTTGCCAAGCGACCCATCCCCGTCAGTTAGAAATCTATGAGCGCTTTCAACGTAAAGCGCCGTTTCTGTCGTAAAACTAGTGTCAACACAGCTAAACAAACTGAAATCAACAGTACGGATTTAAAGCCTTTTCGGATTATTAGGTACGTAAAAGGTAAATTTGAAGTTAATTTAGCGGCTTTTTAAAACTAAATTTGTGTTTGTGGTCACATTTACGTTAAATATTCGTGGCCTGCGTTGGTGCTAGAGGGTTGGTTAGCTTTCTTAGCCGCTTAGCATAGTAGCTGCAGTTGAAGCTTGTTTTTAAGTGTACTCAGAGCAAGAATATCAAAAACCACTCATATTTAAGTTTTCATATCGCAAAATCTTTCTGTGTGTGTATTTAAAGGTGCCCAAGGCGATGGCTGCGTCGTCTTCGTCCTCCTCTGCCGGGGGTGTGAGTGGCAGCTCGGTGACTGGATCTGGATTCAGCGCCTCCGAGCTCATTCCTCCCAGGAAAGTCCTTTACACGTACCCTAAAGGAGCAGGTGAAATGATGGAAGGTGAGCTTAGACACAGAGGCCTTTAGAGGATCTCATCCCAACAAAAAAGAGCCGTAGAAATCACTTAATCACATCACAGCACTTAAGTTTGAAACTTACATCCAGACAGTTTGAGCCTCCCAGGTCTCCATAGGTTGTGCTGAGATCTAAATGGTGTGCATGAAGCCCACATTGGTATTGGTTTGGGTTCAAGCATACGAAGTAAAGTTTAAATGTGGTTGAAAGGTCAAAAACAGTTAAAAGCAAAAATTTCTGTAGTCCAGCTACACCTACACTTTGCAAAACAATGCCATCATCAAGCAATACGCCACTCTATAGCCATCAACAGTACGTATAGGGCCCCAGCCACAGTACTAGCCACCAAACATCTTTTTAACTTTGCTTGATTTTTTAGCAAAGAGACTAAACACAACTCACCTCCTCTCTTCCAGCAGCCGGTTGTTTGTAGCGAGACCTCGGGCCAGTCCATTACGGACTACAGCGGGATGACGCAGCTCAAGGAAGAACATTTATGATCATTTCTTCATGGAAATGCAATCAGGCCGAGGCGCAAAGGCAGAAGTACTACAACATCTGCAGTGCAAAATGATTAATATGGTGAATATTACGTCAAGGAAATGAAAAAGAAATTATCATAAATGTTCTTCCTTGAGCTGCGTCACCCCGCTGTAGTCCGTAATGGACTGGCCCGAGGTCTCGCTACAAACAACCGGCTGCTGGAAGAGAGGAGGTGAGTTGTGTTTAGTCTCTTTGCTAAAAAATCAAGCGAAGTTAAAAAGATGTTTGGTGGCTAGTACTGTGGCTGGGACCCTATACGTACTGTTGATGAAGTTAGGTGCTGTTCTGAGCATTATTTGTGGCTATAGAATGGCGTTTTGGTTGAGGTTTGTTTATTGCTCCTCAGACCGCTGTGTATTGCTATGGTGTAGTTGTTACTAAAGTTGGTATAAAAAGTCGGCAACATTCATCTCTCCCGGGGGTGTCTAACTCGGTGTTACCCTAAATTAATTTTATGCCGGAATATCCATTTCATGAACTTTTTGAAAAATTTCAGCTACACTGTGTATGGTGTCATCCTGAATAGAGCAGGCAACATTTTCATTCTGTAGCCCTTCATTATCTCTTCACGTAGGACAAATGTGTGCAACCGAGGCCATCCTGCCCTTTACTCCTACTTTTGGTGTTGCCTTTTTTTGAAAATCTGTAATAGCTGTGGTTTGTTTGGACTTGTATTAAAGCAATCAGTGCTGCAGCTTTAAAAACATCTAAGAAAGTGATGAATAGGACTTCTGAGGGTGTGAGGCTTTCTTTGTTTACTGCAAAACCCTGAAGGCCAGTTTTACATAATGCTGAGAATTGCTCAACAGTCAACCTGAGACTTTTGTTTTGAACAGCTTGAAGGTCAGATTCACTTTTCCCATTAGCATGGTGAACACAGAGGCTTTAGCTGTGTATTTTACACAAAAATCTCTACCCTTTCTAACTTGCTTCTTTACTTTTTCTGTCTTTCTAGATGGTTCTGACAGATTTCTGTGCGAATCTGTATTCAGCTACCAAGTTGCGTCCACACTTAAACAGGTTAAACATGGTAAGTCAGGAACTGTAAATTTAAAGGTTATGCAACTATCCTTTTTTGTGTGTGTGTGATCCATCCTAAAATTCTATCAATTGTGCGTCTTTTCCAGATCAACAAGTATCTCGAATGGAGAAACTGGCGAGCTTGGTGGAAGAGCTGGAAGCAGATGAGTGGCGGTACAAACCTATTGAACAGCTATTGGGTTTCACACCATCTTGAGTCAACACATCCAGATGTCTGATAAATAAGCCCAATAAAAGGAAATGGTCAATCTCAGTTTATAGATGTTATACTTAATGCTTTTATTCTGTATCTTATTTGTGTAAAATTATCAGAGACTGATTGTAAGATCACTTTTACTATCCTGTGAACATAGTTTATCAAGGACAAAACCGCTCTCAAGAAAAATATCACCACAAAGAAACAACTCAAGTGTTTTAATAAGCTCTTAGTATGTTTTTTTTCATCTGGTCAAGGTTGAGAAAGTTGTTTTTCCAGTCAAATCTGCTCTTTCTTGCAGAATTTGGTGAGAAAACATCTTTGGTAATGTTATAAATCCCTTGAAGTGAGGCATTGTGTTTCCACATGGCTGCTCTGTAACTCATAAATCTGGAAACCTGCTGCCTGCTCAGCCTCTCCTCTCCCTTTTTCTGTGAGTCCTCATCGCTGCTCGCTCCGGCAGCACAAAGGGAGCTTGTAAATAAATAAAGTCATACTTGGACATTCCTTTGGCTCAGTTGTGTTTGCTTTGCTGTGTCCTAACTTCAACAAAGACAAATACTTTGACGTAGTTATTTGGCAACTGGCGTATAGCATATATTTGTTTCTCTGCCCATCTTCAAGTAAACAACATTTCCCTGTTGTATTCTCAAAGCCACTGATGGGACTGTGTCCATGTTGGATCTCTCCTGTGTTAAGAGCCAGGAATGGTGCAGATCTGGGATATTTTTCCCAGTGGCTGCCTGTTTTCAAACAAATAAGGGGTGGGATTGTACGGAATGTACTGTTCTGAGTATTAATGCCTAAGGACGGCCCCAGACACTACAAGACACACCCCTAGTTAGAGCTTAAAGGTCCTGTTTTAGGGGGTCAAAAGAATTGTCACAGACTTTCTAGGAATCCACTCGACTGGATGTTTGCTCAGAGTCTTTAAAAGTTAAGCGCTGTTGTCGATTTTCAACATCCGTTTGCATTCTTTACATATTAAAAAGGGAACTGTCCACCCCCTTCAAAACTTTGTGCAGCGGACTCTTCATTCAAAACATCCCCCTCTGAACATGCTGTTCCTGTGGCACGTGTTTATGTCTTTCATTTCCTGATATAAAGTACAGTCCGTCCCACTCACGTGTAGTGACACTGCGTATATCCGGCTCCTCTCCAAAAACTTTTTTTTATGTAGACACTGAGTGAGTCACGTACAGTATGACCCACAGCAGTAGCAGCTTCTGCTTTGTACTGCCAGTTTTGTTTTATTGCCCTGTTTTGTTCTGTTTTATGGTGTTTTTTAGTGTGGTTGACCACAAATCACCGAATAACAAAGCAACAGTGTTCAAATGCAGCTTTCTATGCTTAGAAAAGGCTCTCTAGTAAATGCTTTTAAGGTATGATTAGAAAAAAAATCCACCAAACTGGGTTGGTGCATCCTTTTTGTACAACACTATCCCATTATAGGGCAAATGAAGTAGAAAATGTGAATACAAAGCATGTTTTTGTCACATTTTGTCACGCTTTTAGTGTTGTGTTTTGCATCTGATGGTGTTTGTGAGCTGATGTTTGGATCTCTGTGTGGCAGATGAAAAATTCTGATGTAATGCTTGAGCAAAACAGGTGACGTAATTGTGCACTGCAACACTGAACCTGCAGAGCTGAGCCTGCATGGACTTGCTGCTGGACCTCTGTACAGTAAGCACACCCTGAATGCTCATACAGCACAACACATTTACATTTGCCCACGAAGAATATCATGTCAAAAAAATACAATATGACTCTTGCAAGCCTGGGCAAGTCCCTGTACATTTCCATAACACTGGGGTCTGCTATTCATCCACCACAACCCCCCTTCTCCTCCTCCTGTTTGTCTTTCTTCTCTGCTGGCATGTTACCAGGCAAGATACAGCGCAGATGGCGTGCCTCTCTTTTCGATTGGCTGGCTGGAGAGGGGGAGGGCGTGGCTTAACGGGCCCTATATAAGCATTGTTGCAAAGCTGACCGCAGAGCTTGGCAGCTGGTGACAGGCTCGGAAGGCGTCGGTGGAAGAAGTTTTAGGACAGTTGTTTTTGCAGACAATAAGGTGGCTAAAAACGACTTAAAACTCACGACAACGGACTTAAACGGCATCGTGAACTGTAAGTATGAACATATGCTGACATATATTTGAGTTTTTTGTCGCTTTGTGGCGAATTGAGAGAGTTAAATGGCTGTTAGCAACCTTGAAACAAAGATGTTGTTGGTCATTCATTTCTCAATACTTCTAATTTTCTATATGTGCGTGTCACTAATGTTTAACTGACTTAAACTACTCGCTTTTAGCTTGATTTTTAAAGCTTATCTGTTGTTATTCCCTCTGATTACAGAAAGCAGCTGATACCATTGCAAACCACAAAGAAGACCACTATGCCTGCTCTCTCTGCACCCACTGAAATCGTCAGCTCCCCTCCTTCCCCAGTGGACAGCAGTCCAAGGAGGCTGTCATGGGGCAAACTGGTGCAAAGACTGACCGATTTCAGTACACCAGGCAACAGCAGCAGTATAGAGTCTGGGTCCAACAATGGCAGCAGGAGTGATCTCTCAGACTCAGGTAAACAACCCTGAAAACATTGATATCACTGATTATTTGTCCTGTTTTGTTCATGGTTCAGGATGTAACCTATTGTTTAACCCCTCACAGGCTCAGATGTCTCCAGTGACCCCTTAACATGTAATGAAGACCTGTTTTATGATCCAATGGAGGAGACCATCCTGAAGGAAGTAGTGGACCTTATTGCACGTAGCCTGAGAGAGGCCAAAGACTCCGATTGCGCCTTGAGATGCACAAAACTCCTCATTCCTGAGAAACTTCTGGAGCACATCGGTCAGGAGCTCCTTCACCTGGCAGCTAGCGAGCCCTGCGGTCTAAGGGGGGCTCTCATTGACCTCTGTGTGGAGCAAGGGGCCTTGTGCGAGAGCATGGGGCAGCTATCTGTGGACCCTTACCTCGTCCCCACCTTTCAGCTGACTCTGGTGTTGAGGCTGGAGTCTGGTGGACTGTGGCCAAAAATCCAAGAACTTTTTAGTGCCAAGTCTCCTTCCAATCCAGTAGTGAGACAGGAGATCAAACTCAGCACTGGTTTCCGTGTGATAAAGAAGAAACTGTATTGTTCTGAAGAACTGCTTATTGAGGAATGTTAGAAGATCCTGGGATTGTAAAGTTTTATTGTCTGCGCCTTTTTAAAACGAGCTCACAGAAGGGCCTTATTACTGTAATACATGTATATGATGCCTTATGAGGCGTGAGGATGGACTCTGTCATGGTACAGCGTATTGTTCCTATTGTAAGGGAGATAAAGTTTATGGTACCAGGAGCAGATGCTGCTCCAACACACACGATCGTGATGATAGTTGGATTTCCAAATGGGTTCCCATCCTGATATATGTGCTGAACAGGCATTTTGCGAGCATTTAAGTGCGTACCTCAGTTTCTATTGAAACAATATAAACGGCAGCTAGCTTTGGTGATATTCATGAAAGACCATTGTGTTGTTCCTTTCTTTTAATTTGTGGTGATTAATTGTAATGTTCGCCAGTTGATGAATTGTACACCAAGCATACCATTAGGGACCTTTTTAGTGACCGCTTGAACCCAAGAGCAAAGGCCTACCGCTGCATGCCTTGTGCAGTTTATGTGCAAGCTGCAGCAAAATATGTTCAAGTGTAACTTTAGCTTATACCTGTGTGGACCTGTTTGCATTCAACTTTATTTATTTGACATTCAAATACTCATATCATTGCACTGTTTTTGTACTTTCATGATGCAAATAAATTATTTTTTTTCAACAGTTCTGTTTTCGACTGACTTATTTCATGAAACATGTCACCAGTTGTCAATTCTAACCCCAGCCTCAGATGGAAATGTCTCTGAAACTAGAAAAGTGTTCAATTCTGCAATATAAATGATTACAGATGTCTGAGAAACCATATCAAAACTAATAATCTTTGACTGTATCCTTATTTTGTCCAACTGACCAGCTTGGGAACCATCTATTATCTACTTTATCATGCACGACATAGTTAAAAACTGAAGGAAAAACACCAGCGCAACTCGGTCGGACAAAAATAGAAAGCAGAGCAGCAACATCTGCCAAAGAACAGCAGAAAATATTTGCGGTGATGCTGCAATTCCTAACAAGCACATGTTGCACGTCCCCCGAAACGTGAACGTGCAGAGAGCCATGTTCCCAGTTCCCCTTCGTAGTTCGAGCCAGCCGGTAGACTTTCCAACGCGCTGACTAAGCCTTTTGTCTCTGCCGTCTGTTCCCACTCCGCTCAGAACAATGAATCACATCCAGCACGTTTTAAGCATCCATATTTTATTTTTCATCTGGGAGTAAAAACTGGGTGGAAAAAGTGAGCAAGGTTTGAATTACTTTCTTAGTCTGATAATACATTTTTTAAATAAATAACTCTAAAAATAAATAGCATACTATTAACATAAACAGTGTGACAAAAATGCTTAATCCAGTAGGCATTCATCAGAGACATTTGGCTGAAAACCAGGACTTACAGTCCCACTTTTTTGGGTTCTATGTCTATTTATTCTCTTTGTTGTTATTGTGAATAACCACAAATATACTCTAAGCTTTTCTATCTGTAATACAGTTATAGAGGCAAAGTGTAAAGGGACATTTCCTAAATGTTGTCTCACACACACACACAGCAGCAGAAGACAAATAAGGTGTTCAAGTGTCTAATAAACCTAGACATGAGTATATATTCATCAGAGGTTTCACATTATTCCTGCATAGTTTCAGAATGTGCATTTGAAGCAAAAACAGCAAATCTCCCTCAGACTTGTCTCCTCTGCTGATCAGATGGCAAAAAAAAGAGGAAGCCTTCGCTGTGGTTACTAATCAGCTGCTACATAAATAACATCTGAACAACTAGATCTATGTTCTGTTTTTTTTTTACTGCGTCTGCAAAAAAAGAAAATAACTATGAAGAGGACCAGGCCTGCTTCATCATGGCTCTCAGTCAGAACTGGGGCTTGGAGGTCATCCAAACCACTATCTCGTCACCAGGACAAGTTGTTTTCAGTGGCTTCTCCTTTTCTTTAAAAAACACTAAAATAACTTTATATTTTGATTTCACAGACTTGAGTTCCACTGAAATGGTTTTAACCAGTGTTGAAACCATTCATATGGTATTTTTGATGCAGAGTGCTGCTGGTTTGTTCAAGTTGCTTGTAGATTATCCTCAGTTTCCTGATATTTAAAGCTCATTTATTTACAGCTGATTATCTTTAGTGTTGATTCTGGAAACCTGGAGAGAAAAAACAAACATAGTAAGTTTGCTTTGTAAATAAAAAATGAAATACGCAGTTTAAGAAAACATCTCTGAATTACTTGCTTTTGAATGATGAAAGGAGCCTCATCCGTGTAATGAAGCTGTGATCTCTGAGAGCTTGGCGCAGCTTGGTGTGCGAGCCCTCTGAGCTCTCTGATACAGATCAGTGTCCCCAAAATAGCGAGCTCTGTAGAGCATACCCTCCTCTGCAAAAAAAAGACAGTTCACCAAACATAAGTCAGTTCTCATATAGCTGTATTGGAGAAAATGACTCTTATTATTGGCTGTTTACATAAAACATAAACATTTATTTCTCCGGCAATCATACTTTGTTGTTTCTCCTTCCAACAATTGTTACGCAGGTTGGAAATATAATCATCTTCAACTGTTCGCTCCAAATTCTTCAGATTCCCTCCGTTCAACTCTTTGGAGACCTGCTCCCCCACATAATATGGCACCTTCAGGTTCTCAGTCAGCCTCTTCTGCGTGTAACCTGCTGACCTGCCAGAAGATAGGAGCAAATGTGGGAGAGGTATCATGTGACTGCGAGAAGTGCGAGGATGACGGCTCTGGCACCGTCTGTCTCTGTAAACATGACTCATGATTGACTGTGGCGTGCACATGGGTCATAATGTACACACATGTACAGGCAGACTTCATGCTGAGTGTTCCAAACACAGATGAGGTCTGTTAACAGACTAAGGCAGTATAAGGGCTTCTCACTGATTGACTTTTCATATTTCTCTTATTGCAAATGTTCATTTAATCGAAGTTCTTAACATTTCTTTTATGTGATTTTATTAATTATCTCTGTTCTTAGTCTTTTTCTTAACTCCCGCCTTAGAGGTTTTTACTTCTTTTACCCTTTTTATATGGTAAAGAGCTCCTACTTATTTTTTCTTTTTTTTTTTCTTGTTTTAGTCTTTTTTTTTTTTTTTTACCATTTTTTATCTATTTATTTTTTTAAATTTTAATTGTATTTATTAATTGTATTTCCAGTGTTTCCTAAAGGTAGCTCTTTTCTCACGCAATGTCTCGGTGTCAGGCCATGTCTCTTTAACAATATATCTTAAGTTCTCACTCTGTGTGCACGTGTGTGGGGGAGTGAGGGTGTGTGTGTGGGTCCATGGTTGGGTGTGTGGGTGGGAGGTTCGGGTTTTATTGTTGTTTACTCGTTTTTAACCTCTGTGAGGTACTTTGAACTACATTTTTTTTGTCGGAAAAGTGCCATATAAATAACGCTGAGTTTGACTTTTAAGGTCTTATTATTTTCTGTGTCTGTGAGTAATGCAAATCCTAAAAGAAAAATGCTGATATTTTCACTTTATCATGCATGAAAGTGTGTTTAATGTGGTTTATAACAGTAAAACATGCCAACTGTGACTTTATCGTAAATGTTTGAAGTTCATTTCACCTGACAATGAGAATACTGTTACCATGGAAGCACTACAATCTGTCAACTAAAGGACTGATTTTTTTAGCAGTACACGTGAATCATTTTAAAATCAATACTTGGCGTTAATTTGTTTGTACCTTTCCCTCTTAGCCAAATAATGATGCCAGGTGTACATGCAAAATAGACTCCCTTCGTTTCAGAGTCTTGCCTCACCCTGTTGGGATTCTATTTTGCATAACAACACACCCACTTTACATTATAGCTTAGTCTACTAGAAATTTGCAAAGCATTTATTGTTGTAATTTGATATCCTTTGTGAGGAGGCGTTCAGAGCAGGGATCACACTTACGGTCTGTAGCTGAGGCTGTAGGGGGGGCTGTTGACCATGATCTGACTGAGAGCTGACACAATAACCAGGATGAGGATGGGCATGACCTGCACAAAGAGAGCAAGCCCCCCCTGCAAAGAGACGACAATTCAATTCTGCTGATTGCACCAAAAACATTGATTACAGATGACTCAATGTCTCCCCCTGCTGTCTGACAAACACCCTACATTATTTTTACATCTACAGTCTGCAGGAACTGTTACAAGAACATAAAACTTACATCTCGCTGTCGCTCTCTTCTTTCCCGTCTTGGGTGACGCATTCGCCCATTGGGATACATATTAGCATTACCTGGATTAATGCAGCACATTAAGCACTTGATACACTGATAGTAAACACTTTCACACAGGAAAAAATTCATATCATAATCCTTGCATGAGAGCACAAACAAGGACACTCACTTGTTGGGTAACCGCCACCGAAGAACATGTTAAAAAGGTCTTCAGGTGAAATATCTGGCTCAAAGTTTTCAGTGTCTGGGCTGTGTCCTGAAGGGTGCCTCCTCTCTTCTTCACACTGATCATACTGTTTTCTTTTGTTTGCATTACTCAGTACAGCATATGCATTTCCAATAGCTACAAAAAAAGGGGAAATAAGGATGTATGTGTGTCAAAATCGAGGACTCGAAGACACTGTCTGCCTGTAATAGTGAAGATAAAGCTGATATAAAGCTCACCTTTAAAAGCCTCTGTAGCACCTGGAGCGTGGTTCTTATCTGGATGGAATCTCAGAGCGAGTTTTCTGTACGATCTTTTAAGTTCATCCTCAGAGGCGTCTGCCTGGACCCCAAGAATTTCATAGAAATCTTTGCAGTGTTTTATCCTGCAAGAGTATAAATGACTCTCAGTATAAGGTGTTGTATAGAGGATGAGTATGCTAGGTATAGCTATGATCAATTTAGTCCGTGTATAGGGTAAGTTGACCATAGGAGCGGGGTAAGATGAGCCATTGAACCTACCCCTGAACTACTATGATGACTTTATTGGTCCTCTAAGCTCAAATGGTGGACTTTTATGCTAGGTTTTTGACCTCATGTTGTAGCTCATAGATACCACAATTGATGTATAAAACAAATTTAAAATGATCTTTTTTGGTCTGAACACAATTTTAATAAAACTTATGACAGACTAAATTCACTTTCAAGAGTGAAAAACGTTTTTTTTTTTTTTTTTGGAAATAAATGTCTAACCTCTTCCCCCATGTGCTTCTAACCTTCCTGGACTCCATGAATTGATGCCCATCTCCTAAATATTTGGTCACATGATCAATTTCTTTTACCATTTCTAAGCAACAGGGGGTGGCTCAACTTACCCTTTGGCTCAACTTACCCCACTCTCCCCTACTACTACCAGCCCTACCTCTTCACAGCATCTAGCTGATCTGCTGTGTAAGGTTTTGATGTCTCTGACCCCTTCTCTTCAGGTCTAGTGTTTTCACTGGTGGTCTGCCGATGCCGGGGCCCAGAGACCCCATTCGAGTCTGGATGACCGCCTTGTCTCGGTGTGAATCCATTCTTTGCTATAAGCTCTAGAAGTACTGGAAGAAAGGGTCAGAAAGGTTTGACTGGGGTGGGGGTGCAAAATAACTGTAAAATATCACAATTACATAAGGACCCTTTCATTAGACAATACAATAAGGCATGTTACTGAAAATCCTAATCATATAGGCAGATGGAAAGATGACTGCTCACATTATCTTTGAATTTTTCACTTAATAATCATAATTCATGTTAAGTGCATGGCTAAAGCTTTGCAGGATCTTGATGTATAGGGGGTCCTCAATCCCATTTTCTACTAATACTATCTGACTCATGAGGCTTGGCTTTCAAATATAGACATCTGTTTATAGAAAATATGCTGTAAACAACAACTATAGCAGCAGTAATGTTTTAATTCGTCAGGAAACGTCGATATTCTAACCAATTGTTCTCCTGCTAGCCTCGATGCTATCACAGGGCCCTGCTAAATGCGCCGCAGAGCTCATCCGGGATGCAGGTGATGCTGCTGGCCGCTGATGATGCGGAGCACCTCTCCCTGTTCCTCCGGCTCTGCCATCTTTGAAACTCACCCTTCGCTTTCTCCGTGGGAAAGAGTCTCTGCGCCTTCTCCAGGAACCTCTGCGCCTTGTCCGGGTGGCCGCCAGTCAACGCGGCGGTCGCGATGTCGATGCATCGCTCCGCTTCGTCCCTGTTTACTTCCATTGCAGCGGCGGAGCAGCAGCGGCGAACTGGACCAGAAGTAAATAAAAGTCGCCTATTAATGACGTCATGCGGTTGCTGCAAATATTATTTATGGGAGTCAATTGGTGACAAATTTGACCATATCTGAATGTTCCTGCTGCTGCTGGTGTTTAGAGACCTGTTCAAGACAGGATAGTCCTTCCTGCACATATACAGTCTATGCCTGCACCAAATGAATACAGTAGGATGTTACTGTGATGCCTCATTTGTCCACTAGATGGAGACAAACCGACTCTTTTTTGATATAGGTCGACCGTGGACCTCTCAGCCCTTCTGTGATTTAAAACCTTTAGCACATAGTTTCATATGTATAAGAGGAGCAATGACAAAAAAATTAAAATATTTTTTTTATTTTTTGCATGTATGAGTGATGCTTTCTGTATGACCAAACATATATTATTGTTAAAATAAAATAAAGTAAAAACATTTAAGTGCTGCTGCTGATGTAGGCCTCTGATTCTTATTGCTGATATGTCAAAGCTCCATTACCGTTATGTGCCCTCTGCTGTGCAATGTGCACTGAGCATCCAAAGTGCAGGTAGTTGTGTGGCGAAACAATGTCGCAAAAAAGGACATATCCTTCAGAAGCAGAGAAAAGAAAGCGGAAGAAGAGAAAAAATGCCAAGATAAAGGTATGTTTGCATTTCAGGGAATGTGACATGCAAACATACCTTTGTGAAGGGATGTGGGTGATCAACAATCAATATTATTGGCAGAAACAGAGGGCCCCAAAATCAAATTTTGCTTAGGGCCCCATTGAGGCTCTGTGCCCCATGTTATATTAAATTGTACATTTGTAAGCTATTTTGCGCAGTTTTGAGAGTGCCAGTTGCGGATCACCATTCCATGACATGCAAAAATACATTTATTATGGCGTTTTTTCTCTTCTTCCTATTTTTCCCTCTTTTTTTTCTCATCTCCCGAAAGACATGTCCTTTTTTGCGACACTGTTTTGCCCCACAACTACCTGCGCTTTGGATGCTCAGTGCACATTGCACAGCAGAGGGCACGTAATGGTAGCGTAGCTTTGACATATCCGCAGTAAGAATCAAAAGACTACATCAGCAGCAGCATTAAATATTTTTACTTTACATTGTTTTATTTTTACAATAATACATATTTGATCATACAGAAAGCATTACTCATACATGCAAAAAATAAAAAACATTTTGATTGCTTTTGGGGGCCCCCTACTGGCCGTGGGGGCCCTAAGCAGGCGCTTAGTTCGCTTATGCCTTGGGCCGACTCTGAGCTAATATTTGGTTAAACAGCATTGATAATCTTAACAATAACAACAACAACAACAACAACAGCAATAATAATAATAATAATAATAATAATAAAAACAACAACAACAACAATAATAATAATGATAATAATAATAATAACAACAACAAAATAATAGTAATAATAATAATAATATGTATACGCTAATTACAAAATTGTTAAACTGCTTTATGAACTCCCTTTCTGTACTAATTCCTGAATCTAATATTCATAAAAATATAGGAAGCAAAGTGACCCTCATTAGTATTTATTTATTTATTTATTTATTTTTTTTAAATATGGGATTTTTTTTTTTGGAGGGGGGGTTTTGACGTCACGGAGCCCCATCCATCCCTGTATTTTTCCCTGTTTGGGGCGGGCAGGAGTCCTCCCCCTTTTTGCTGCTGCTTGATTTTTTTTTTCCTTCCCTGTACAGTAACTTGTTTTGTCCCAGTTTTCATTGTTGAATTTTTTACACCCCGCCATTCTTCGCTTGCTGCTGGATTCGTTCCAACCCACGCGTGAACGGAAACTTGCGTGTTGTTAGTTCAATACGAGTCTAGACAGCGGCCGCTTCTCTCCAGGGGAGGTAAATATACATCTGGCGAGAGAATGAATAAAAGGTGAACAGCAGATGAACTGGTAGCCAATCACAATCCGAGCTTGAGGCGGCATCCAGGCTCTGATTGGTCAGTTTCACCTCGAGCTCTAGCTCTTATTGATTCGTTCTCTGCAGATCTGACTATCATTCTCCCTTTCTGGGTTACTGTACTTTCTAGCAGAAGAGCTTTAAAAGAAAAAAAATATCCTTTCTACTCCCCCTGCTATCCTTCTGGTGAGTGAAACGCACAATTTTTATCGGCGCTACAGGTGTAAAATGACTGTTACGCAATCTTCTAAACGTCGTGTGTCAGCTAGAAGTCAGCATCATCGTTACATGACCATCCTCTGCCTCACCAGCGTAGCTTAGCTTTGTTAGCGTCAAAATAATTCACATATTCGCAAAGGTGTAAAGGTGTATTATCGCTTCCTGTATCCAAAACGCGGACATGATGGATTTCTCTCTCTTGTTTGCCGCTTAGAGCATCACCCCTAAAACCGCTGGCAGCACCATGACGGAGGCGGAGGCGTTAGAGAAGAAGCAGCAGCAGCACAAGCCCAGCAACGGGAATGTTCCTCCAGAGGCCACCAGAGAAGACGTGTTTGATCACACATACAAAGAGAAAGAAGGCCCCAAACCTCCAAGGATCATCGTGTGGAGAAATGTCATATTGATGTCTTTATTGCATATAGGTGCCCTGTACGCCTTCTTCCTCATCCCTTCAGCATCTGTTTTGACCTTGCTTTGGTGTGAGTATATGTATCCTACCTGTTTGCATCAGTTCTGCAAAAGTGATGATTAGGATTGTTGCATTGGATATGATATTGATGTATATAACAGCTGTTATGTCAGTGGCCCTGCCCACTCCTCGCATGGCGCTGTACTTCATGTTCCCAGTATGTGGCATGTGCTGGGATTATATCATCAGCAGGGATTTCATGTCGGAGCATGTATATAAAGTTGTAAATTCCCTCCTCTGGCAGACAGTTTGCACTCTTAAAACAGAGATCGCACATCATGGAAGGAAAGCGAAAAAATTAATACAGCTAGTTAATCATCTTAACTGCATGCTTTATCCTAGGCCTGGGCGATTTGGCAAAAAAAATGATCACGATAGATTTTGTCATATCGTCCGATCGCGATTATTATCACGATTTTTTTTTAAACTGCCTGTTTTAAAGTATGTATACTAAAAACTAAAGAAACTAGAGATTGGTTTAACATTTTATGAACATATAAAGTAAATAACAAAGCAAATTGAATAAAATACACATAGAAAAATATTTAAAGAACATTTTAACTCACCAGTACAACAAATGTAGATAAATATTAAATAATACAGTGAATTAGTTTACAGCCCTGAGTGTTTCTGCAGGTATGCAAGACCCAAAAGAAACAAATCGCCCCCTCAGGGATAATGAAGACGCCTTAAAATGTAAACATTAGATGATGTAAATGTAGATGATATAATTTATTGCTTTGGTTGGGTAGCTGCCGCGATAGTTGTGGCTAAACTGCTAATGCTACTCGTGCTAATGCTACATGTGCTTTCCGCATAATCATTCAGGAAGTACTTCTTCAAATGATTCAACAGATTTGTTGTGATGCCGTTTTTTGAGGGCACCGATCGCCGACATACGTTGCATATCGGCTTAATTGCTCGACGTCACTTTGGAGATACCCGAACCACTGCAACACAACCGACGTTGAATAACTTCTTAACAATAACATCTTCTGAGGATGACTCAAAGTCACGGCTGACATTTACTTTGCTGCCCTCAGCTTTGCGTTTAGCTCCATGCTCAGTTGTTCTGTTTACTTCTCTGATTGGCTGTTGTGACGCACATTTCCGCTATGTTTGATGGAGTAAATATGCTCACAGCTGATCACCGCGATCAAACTGAAATTTATCACGATCATATAATCGCCTAGTCCTACTTTATCCTCTTTTACACCTAATTGTTTTAAGTCAGGGAGTCAGGTTTCTTTTACAAAACTACAAAAGCTGGATTTCAATGCACCCAGTTCATACATCCAATCATCAAATGGTTTTTTTTTCCAACCATCCATCTAGTCATTATCTGATGTGACGTAATAATTACATTACCCAGAGTGTATCACAATCCCATACAGCATGCATTACTTCGGTTATGGTTAGTTAATCTCCTGGGGAATAAGTAGACCGCAAACCAGCTCAACTTAATGCAGATTTCAAGGATTTTCAGCTTGCTGTATCATGCAGAGAGCTCTAGTGATACATTGAAAGCAAATATGTTAATATTTGCTTACAGTAGAAAGGATTTTGCTTAAAAAAGTGCTAAAGACAGAAGTAGAAAGTCATTGGAACTAATTTGTTGGTGTATTTCTCTCCGCAGCTGTCCTTTGTTTTTTGATAAGTGCTTTAGGAGTCACTGCAGGAGCTCACCGCCTGTGGAGTCACAGATCCTACAAGGCCACATTACCTCTAAGGATCTTCCTCGGTGTCGCAAACTCCATGGCGTTTCAGGTGCCTATAAATGACACACAAACAGACATCTGGCTGTGATAATAGCTGTTTTCACGGCCGTGTAAGTACCATATTGCAGCCGCAGCGTGTGTAATCTCCGCCTCTGCTTGAACCCGCAGAATGATATCTTCGAATGGGCTCGAGACCACAGGGTTCACCACAAATATTCAGAGACTGATGCTGACCCTCATAACGCCGTGCGGGGCTTCTTCTTCGCTCACATCGGCTGGCTGCTCGTGCGCAAACACCCGGATGTCATTGAGAAAGGGCGCAAGTTGGAGCTCAGTGACCTGCTCAACGACAAAGTTGTAGTGTTTCAAAGGAAGTAAGTAAAAAATTGGTGCTAAATATGATAAAATGCTTTATTAATTTGACTAGAAAAGAAGACAATAGTAAATCTAGTCTCAAACAACATCAAATAAAGAATAATTAGCTCAAAAAAACTCCTCCACCCACAACAGTTTGCTTTCAACTGCCAGAGATATGTCTATACAGGAACAGATCCGTGAGTAATTCTGGTTTAGCAGGCTGACAGTTATATGTCATGTTATCTATGTTGGCTTGTGTGTTCACTGTCATGTGAAGAAAGGGTCTGACAATGAGGACATTTGTGTCGCGCACTGTGTAAACAGCTCCATTCGTTCTCCTCTCCGCCCACTTTCTTTAGGCACTACAAGCTGTCCGTGCTGCTCATGTGCTTCTTCATCCCCATGTTTGTGCCTTGGTACCTGTGGGGGGAGTCTTTATGGGTGGCCTACTTCATCCCTGCTCTGCTGCGGTACACCTTGGTGCTGAACGCCACCTGGCTGGTTAACAGCGCGGCTCACATGTGGGGGAACAGGCCCTATGACAAGAACATCAACCCGCGGGAGAACAAGTTTGTCACGTTCAGCGCTATAGGTACGAGAAACTCAGACACATGTCGAGATAACACAATAAATGCAAAAAAGAAATGTAGTGTCAATATAAATGTGTCATTTTGCTGTTGTAGTCCTTCTTTAAAGAGAGTTAACATTTAAGTTTAGAGGGCTTACATTGACTGTTAGGCACACTCTTTATTTACATACGGCTGCTTTGACATTTCAAGAGACCATGTGAAGTTCATAAGAGGATTATCACAAAATGCACAAGCAACTCTGAACACTCTATACCCAAATTCATCCAAAATACTCTTATATGTTTTCTGTATGCCTGAATGTTGCTCCACTGTACTTCACTGGTCTCCACTCACCCCAGAAGAATCTCTAAATGAACTAGATCTACTTTGATTTCACTTAGTTTACTCTACTGAAAATAGTTCAACAGACAGTTACACTGAAGATGCTTCCAAATGCTTTACTCTGAATTTTTTTGTGTAGCTTCTTTTCCTTAAAAGTCACTCAGTACGTTTATATGCGCGGATAAATTGTGCTGCAGTCAATGCTCTTTGCCCCAGTTCACATGCACCAGGTAAGATTTAAATCATTGCGTGCCTTCCTCTGCTGCAGCAGGTTGCAACACGCCCCCCTTTTAGTTTGTTACTATCATATGACTGAGATATTACAAACCAAAACAGTCGGCACGTTAGCAAGAAGGAATTGTGGTGTATCAACAAGAACTCCACCACTTTCACTGGAAAGTTTCTTCTTTTTACGTCCTTTCTTTATCTGTCAAGGTTTCGTTTCCTACCTGGCTGCTTAGCAACACATTTATGCTATTCAACCTTCGGCTTAGAACTTGGCTTGTGAACACTGGGGGCTGTTTTATTGTTTTTTTATTGAACCGTATATATGACATGGAAAATAGACCCCTAACTGCATTACCCAGGTATGTTAGTCTGACTACGAGAAGTTTGTTTTAGTGGAATTATGATTAAGACGAACAAGTTTTCATGTTTTTAAAAGTTCCGTTTCAGTCCAACTAAGGTAAAATATTGACTATTTTGAACTGCATGTAAACGCACTGACTGTCGAATTTATCATTTGACGAACAGGTGGGGTGAGCAAAGGGGCGTGTCAATCTGGTATCTAACAGTGAGATAATCTGACTGTTGAGTATTCCCATTTCAACGCAGTGTACCTTTAAATCAAATGCAAAGTACAAAAAACATTGAACCATTGAGTGGTCTTATTCCAAAGTAGTTGTGTTCTTTTATAAACAAGCATAATTTCCAACTCTGATAATTGCATCCAAAACATACAGCAGAAAATGAGGGCTTTACATTTTCAGCCATGGATATCGGCACAACAACAACGAGGTGTAGACCAAGCCAAATACTGCAGTTACTCACAGTCAATCCCAGCACAAACAGTATCAGCGCTGCCAGTCCAGCTTTGCACACAGAAGAAGTCTGCTTTGTCTTTTAGAATAGCACATAATTTGAAGTCCTCATTAGGACCCAACCGATATGGATTTTTTGGGGCCGATGTCGATACCGATTATCTTAACTCACGTTACTCATTTCCGGTCCGGTCTCATTTGGAGACATGCAGCTGCCTCAGTAAGAGTTCGTAGCGCGATCACGTTATGTGTACTGTTGTTTATTCTACCTTTACCGGCACGGCTAACAGTGTAGCAAGGCTAACAGCTGATGGCTAACTCTAACTTTAGCTTGCATATTACATGGTGCTGCACCGTTAACTCGGCGTGACCGAGACCAGCACAGCGGGGAACATCGTGAAGTGGGTTGAACTGAAACTTGTTGACTTATTGTGTATTTCACAAACCGGTTTATTTACCGTTGAGGCGGACCACTCTCCTCCGTGCGTCCCTGAGCTGCCTGCTTCAGATCCGTCACTCTGCTGTGCTGTGAGGTAGTTAGTGAATGAAGATTGATATAAAGTCGCTGCGCCATCTACAGGATTAGTCTGGGAACTTTTAAAATGGCGGAACATTTTCGAAGTGAACCCGAATCGTATTCTCCGCATTTTATTTCTGAAAATATCGGCGAAAATCCGCGAGTTTTGGCCGATTACCGATTAGTCTCAAACGGGCTAAAACTGGCCCTAGTCCTTATGTGAATGTGAATTTAACAGCTCACCCTGTTTTTGTAAAGTAAATCAGCAGCATTCAAATAGATAAGAGAAATGTTGTTTAGTTATTACTCTAAGACAGCCATTAATCACTTTAATGTCTAATGAAATCCTGTAGCTCCGCAGCGTTCATCATATCCTGTGTCATATTTTTAACCTTTATTCATTGACCACTCTTTCTTGCATCTGACAGGCGAGGGATTCCACAACTACCACCACTCCTTCCCCTTCGACTATGCAACCAGCGAGTTTGGCTGCAAGTTGAACATAACCACTTGTTTCATCGACCTCATGTGCTTCCTGGGCTTAGCCAAGGACCGTAAGAGGGTGTCCCGCGAGGTGGTCCTGGCCCGAATACAGCGCACGGGAGACGGGAGTCACCGGAGTGGCTAAGATTGTGAAAACTGTGTCCAGCTTCAAGGAGAAACAGCAGAAGTTTCACAGTCCTTTGACAGCTCTACATTCTTCATCCTCTGAGGAAACAAGTCAGCTTCATGAGGGCCTCGACCACATTTTGCTTGTTTTTGTGGTTTTTTGTAGCTGTAACTAAACAAAATTGTTCAAGATGGAAAACAACCCAACACCTCTTGCAAAGCTCTTGGCCTCGGTTTCTTTCTGTTCAGATGGGCCAAAGTGTTGCAAAGATGTTTTAGATTTTGAAGTAGATCAATTTTTTGAAAGTCAACTTCATTCTCCGCTGTTTCTGTTGTCTTCATGCAACGCCATGTAGCTGATCATTTTTATGTAAGTATTACTCAATTGTTAAATTCAAGTAGACAGCAAGCGGAGCGCAGAAATGAGGAGTTACAACCGAAAGGGAAAGATACTGATTGGAGACTGTTGCCTTTATTGCGGTTTACAGCGAGTTTTTCCAGTTCTGATAGAAATTTGAAGCACCTGAAGAGCAGGAAAAAAAACATTTAATGAAGAGAAAGTTGTTTGCTTTAGTAGAACATGGCACATTTTGAAGAGTGAGGGAACCCAGACCATTTTTATTTTATCTTTACTGACCAAGTGGTATCCCAAAAGGGGGCGGTTTATTCCAGCGTGTAACCAAACGAGGGGTTTTCTTTTGACAAATGAAGTGACACACTTATCAACAACTCAGAAAACTGCCATCAAAAGAGACAAATGTGATTTTAACTTGAAACCATGTGATGTTTGATTGAGTTTTTGTGTTTTTACTGACTATAACATAGTGCTAGAACGTGCCAATTGTTGACATATTTCTAACCATTTCAACAGAGCACATTGAGTCGATATTGCTTCTTCAGTTAACATCATGGTGGAAGTACTTTTAACTGTGCGGCATCTGTGGCTTCGCTTCCTTTTTCAGGCTCCTTCTATCCCTCTTTAGCCCAGATCTGATTGGTGGATGTAGCAGCCAGTCATGTGTCAGTTCTGGCGTTGCAAATGAAAACACCCCACTCCCCCAACCCCACCCCGTGCATGACGATATTCTGTAGTAGGTGTCATAGTGAGGTGTTTCTTCGGTGACTCTTCGGGCAGTCTATTTTTGTAACGTACTGTGGAGCTGCATCGCTTTCAGAGATGGGGTCTGGTTTCCCTTTCGATGTCCTCAAACGCTGATTGTCACTGCAAAATTTCAGGTGCATCAATGTTTATGTTCAATTCTGGTGTGCCGAATGCCTATATTATCTTATTTATGTATTTATTTCTTTTTATCCTTATTGACGAAAAACCTGATTTTCTCTACTCCAATATTTGGCCAACAGTCTCGTAACGAACTAAAAAGCACCTGTTTGTTTTTTCCCCAAGAGTCAGGAAACAACCAAATGCCTTATGACTTGCATCCATTCCTGATCTACGTCACGTCAAGACAAAAAAAAAGGTTCAAGTACCACAAAATGAATCAGAATGAGGTTCATGTTTACAGGCTGAAGCACCAGATGGACTTTAATTTTAGGCAAATGGTAGCATGAAAATATATAAGTACTGTAAATGCAAATGGAGGAGAACAGGTGTTTGATACAAACTCAACTCCTCGTGCAAACGTTCAATCGACAGATTTACTTGCTAAATGAATGCCTGGTGGATGTGCCAACTAGTTTCCAACCCATCACGGCATCTTGATAGGAAATCAACAAATTGAAGGTGCTGACATGAGAGTCTCACAGCGCCAAACAAACCTGACAATATGTACCAAGCCATGCAGACAACTCCTGCAGCCCATAGCGCCAAACTCAACATTTTCCCAACGGCGATGAGGATCAAAAAAAGGTTGTCACTCTGAATGATTCTGTCAAATCTCAACTGTACTCTATTCTGAAATAAAATTCACAATATTTTCAATACACTTGTAATTCCATTAACACTTGTCTCTCTTCTTTTTTTACTCATGGTGTCTTTTTTTCTGACCTGGCTCAACACTTGAGAGTTTATCCTTGATTAAGAGCAAGATGATTCTCCCTGCAGAGCTTCTTATAGACATATTTCACAGGCATCAGATTCCTCCACACATTTAAAAACCTATCTGCCATCTGGACCTGGATTTAATTTCAGAGTCTTTAGTTGGAGTCTATTTTCTGTAAGCTGTCATGACGGGGTCTGTCAGAAGTGAAACAGATGATCCAGCTGCTCCTGCAGGCCCAGTTAAGTCTGGACAGCAGCGGGAAGTATTTAATCTTGATTTTGTGAAGAATGAGGCCAGACGCTGTCAGAGCGGCTGCTGTTCAAATGATGAACGGGGGACAAGCTCAGGCTTCATTATGACAGTGTTGGGAAAGAGACCTTCACTTATGTGGCTGAATTTATCTCTAAATACTGACAGGATATCTTCACTCAGAAGATAAAGAAGGTGCTCAAAAATGTAATTAGAATAAAAATATTGTGTAAAATGTTAAAATGATCCACAAAACACAAAGTCCTATAAAGTGTAACATTTGAATTTGCATTTTCTTACATTTTCAACTACAAAGGTTCTCCATGAGTGGATCCTTGGACTGTTAAAAGTTAATCAGCTAATATTTGCGTTTCAAAACACTATCAAGACATGTACAGAACAAAACCAGCAAAGAGATTGTATCTTTTTAGTCCTAGGGAACCACAAATCAACTCAAACTTCATGGATTTCAAAGATAAAACGAATCCCATCAAAATGATCATCACTGATATTTAAAGCCCTAGTAAGTAACTTTTGATTTGTGTTGGCTTTGGCACCCCCTGACAAAACGGTATCTTTTATTCCTCAGATAACTTTATCCAGTGAATGTAAACTCTACAAAAAGTTTTTCTTCAGGCATTCATCTGATACCTACCCCACCTCATATTAAAAATTCATCTATTTCTCTAAAAGTAGTGGGGAACATGCACTTTGTCCCACAGCATACTGTGCACCGCTTCACAATACCTACAAATCTGCAAACACTTAAAATCAACTCACACTTTTATTTAAAGCTACGGTAAGGAACTTTCAGTTTGTGTCAGTTTTGGTGCCGCTTGTGGTTTTCTTGTGCCTTTTGAGAGAAAAGCTCATTCTGTTGACTTTTGACAGGCTAATGCTAAAGTCAGAAGCTGAAAATGATGTCACACCCGAGTTACCAATGTTTCAGTTACCAAGTCGGAAAAAAGCAAAATTGGAGGCTGAAACAAGATGGCTACATCTACGAAAGTTATTTTAGCACTTGCCTTGTCCGAATATGTGGTAAGCACTAGAATAACTTTCGTAGATGTAGCCATCTTGTTTCAGCCTCCGTTTTTGCTTTCTTTCAACTTGGTAACTGAAATGCTGGTAACTCGGGTGTGGCGTTATTTTCAGCTCCAACATCTGATTTCCGAGGTAACTTGAATGCACCTTAAACTATCATTTCTTGTAAAGATTCAATGTGCAAATTCAGCTAAACATCTAACATCTACCTTCTTGTTCTAGTTTCATGCATTAAAAAAGACAAGATACAATGATCAGTGTTGTAGCTGATGGTCTTGTTTGCTTTAGGATACCACAACAAGGCATTAGTAAGAATTTCAGCCTATTTCAGGAGCTTTTAATGAATCTTGTGAAACTTTGTGTGCTTTAAAAAGTCAGCCCAAAAGATGTGATTTGTTTTGATAGACATTAACAAAAAGTACCATCAAAAAGAAGCAGTCAAAGTTGTTCTAAAAAAAGTTTTGCTAGTTTGCCTCAAGTGAAATCTAGTAGTCTTCCCCTCTATTTTTCTCTGTGAGAACTCAAATGATAACAATCTGGTAATGATCTCATTTCAACTTGTCTGTAGATTTTCTGCTTTCTAGTTTAGTTTTCATTCTGCGGTAAAAGAGGAACTCAACACCTCCACTCTGCCTCTGACTGAGCATATCCTGACTGTTTCATACTGCAGTTATTTTCTCCTGTGTGCAGCAGATGAAGAAAGCACTCTGGAAATGTGTCAGATGGTTTACACAGGGCTTGGAGGAATGTAGAACCAGTGTGCTGATGAGACACCAGTTTATGTATTACATCAGACTCCTTAGGGGTTAGAGAGTGCATGCTGAGTGGATGGTGCCATTAGTGCCCAAACGTCACTTTAAGTCCTCCAGTCCTGTTCAGACAATCAGATAGCTGGTGGTTTTGTTCATTTAAAAAAACAAACAGCATTTGTAAAAGTGAATTTCTTTTACTCCTTATTGTACCTCAAATAATTTTTAACTTTAGTAACGACCGCACGATAACAATACACAGCAGTCTGAGAAGCCATAAAAAAACTCAACCAAAAAGCCACTCTATAGCCACAAATAATGCTCAGAACAGCACCTAACTTCATCAACAGTACATATAGGGTCCCAGCCACAGCACTAGCCACCAAACATCTTTTTAGCTTTGCCTGGTTTCTTTAGCAAAGAGACTAAACACAACTCACCTACTCTCTTCCAGCAGTTGTTGTTTGTACGGAGACCTCGGGCGAGTCCATCGAATGCAGCGGGGTGGCGCAGCTCAAAGAAGAACATTTATGAACATTATATTAGTTAGGTGCTGTTCAGAGCATTATTTGTGGCTATAGAGTGGCGTTTTGGTTGAGCACGTGGCTCTCTGTATTGTGATCATGTGGTCGTTGCTAAAATTGGTATAACTAGAGAAACAAGTGGTCAGCAACATTAATCTCTTGAGGGGGTGTCTAACTCAGAGTTACGGTGGGTTTGACCCCAAATTAATTTTACGAATTCCCATCTTGGTGACTTTTGACAGTCAAATGTATCATTTCTTTAATATTTTATGTGTACGGTGTAAAAACAGGGCTGTTTCCCAAACTATTTACCTGACACCTACCCCCCTTGCAACACATTTGGGCATTTAAAACTATAATGCAAAAATCATCCATCATGTCACTGATAATGTTGCTTCTTTTTAAAAACAATTTTAAGTCATCAGTATAAATTTCAGTCTATTTTTTTGATGCTCAGTTTGATGTTCAGTCAAAGTCCTCCTATCTCAATACTTTCTTGTTTTTGCATCAGCACTTTTGCTTCAACATGATGATAAAGGAGTTAAAGGAAAAAAGAAGACAAAATACAAAACTATGTGGAGTAAAAGGGAGGAAGAGGTAAAGAAGGTCAAACACACAATAAAAGTCCAAGTACTCTTGAGTAAATGTTCTGTGGAGAAAGATCCATGTCAGTGCAGCCTGACTGACTCATCTCCTGAAGCCTCAGTGTCCCATGAACAGCGTGACTCAGGGCGCAGCAGCGGTGTGATGGGTTGAATTTAACATCATGAAAACATCACCCCAGACTGACTGACCGGGGTTACTGCAGTTCAAACCCCCACCGAGAGAAAAAAAAAAAACATGCGCTGCAATCCCAAAGCGTCTGACTCCACCCAGCCAATCACAGGCGAGGTCCTGACTTATGATCCTCCTGAACCAATGGACGAAAAGCGCGTGAACCACCTGTGCCAGCTTGTAAACTGCTGCTTCACACCCTCGGAGGGTTTTCACATTAAAGAAACTGAAAATCAAAAAAAGTTGCAAATGGAGACGGTGGTGCATTCAAGGGATTTCGTGTAAGTAGGAGAAAAGTGTTGCAGCTGCAGCCCAGTTCACCTGTGGGCGTGGGCGTGGATGTTGAAAGGCTGATAATGCTGGAAGCCTACTGTGATGGTGCAAATGAAAAAAAAAAAAACACGAGGGTGTGGAGAAGAGAGACCTCCACTGGCCAACGTGGAAATCACATACAAGGCAGAGAAACTATAGAATCAGAGCAGGGAGGTGCTGTGATCTCTAGAGAGTCAAAAAATTAAAGGTCTGAAGAGGAAGTGGTCGTAAAACACACTGAAATTAACACTGACGCCCCTGTGTGACCTGAAAGAGCAACAAAAAAACCAAAAAAGTCAAGATTTATCACCTCTAAATGTCATTATTAGGCCTAAAGCCTGCGCCACAAGGTAGCTGTCAGACAGAGTGATAAACTGCGCGGTGCAGAAACAGCTTTTATTGACATTATCCTTTGTGGAAATTCTTGTTTGATGAGTGAGGAATGAGATGAATACCTTTACCTGCAAATGTGTAGGATACAGAGACTCCCCAAGTATCAGGTCAGCAGGAGAAAAGAGCTGTAGGGGAGAGTGGGGTAAGTTGAGCCAAAGGGTAAGTTGAGCCACCCCCTTGTTGCTTGGAAATGGTAAAAGAAATTGATAATGTGACCAAATACTTAGGAGATGGGCATCAATTCATGGAGTCTGTGAAGGTTAGAAGCACATGGGTGAAGAGGTTAGACATTTATTTCCAAATAGACATTTTTCACTCTTGAAAGTGTATGTATCTATCAATACACTTGAGTGGAAATACCCAAATCTACTTAATCACTTACACATATCCTTGTACAAATACATAAACGCACATATTTAGCTGGATTCTGTAAATACAGCATACACAAAAGGAAAGGAAAAGCGCAGGTATGCAGACCTCACATAAAAAACTCAGTTCTTGCATCTCTCCACTATATAACCCCTTTCAGGAGCCCTTTGAGAAATGTAAGTATTTACCCCACTTTCCTTCATATAGATCCATTCTACCCATTTGTGTATATGACACTTTCAAATGCTGCAACTTGTGCCATTGTTGCAGCACTCCCCCTCTGTCTTCCAACCCCTAACAAGTACCTGTATACCAATCATAATACTAGTTTGGATCCAGCCTTTAATATGATTCCCTGTCCAGTCAAAACTGAATGATCACCCAAAACAAATAATCTAGGGCTAAATGGGAATTGTGTCTCTGTAATCTCACATGGATTAATCATAAATCTTTGCCCAAGAATTGTTGAACTTTGTCACAGGACCATAATACATGAATCAGATGACCTTCCTCAGATTTACATCTCCAACAATTTGATGTAGTGTGTCGTTAGTTTGATTAGAATTGTGTTCAGACCAAAAAAGATCATTTTGAATTTGTTTTATACATCAATTGTGGTATCTTTAATAATAATAAAAAGAATTATTGTACCAGTTGACTAGTGTATAATAGATAAAGATACACATGAATGTGAAGAAGTGACTGTTATTTAGGGAGAGAGAAGGTGAGGGAGGGCTGGGGTGGAGAGTTGGGGGATAGTAGGGATACGGCTCAACTTACCCCGCTCCTATGGTCAACTTACCCCATACACAGGGTAAATTGACCATAGGAGACCACTTTTTTGGCATGCTGTATTATCAAGACAGTTATGTTTACATAAATGGCTCATCTTACCCCACTCTCCCCTACCCAACTGTGTATAATCAGTGAGTGAAATACACAAATATGTCCTTCATTACACAGAGAAAAACATGGAAATGCACAATGAAAAACACTGTACTATCATCAAATCTAACTGCAAAATGAACACAAACTGAATACCCTTATAGTAGCTTCATACCAGACTTTTAAGTGGAATTCAAGGACTTATGACCCATTAAATAACATACTTTATTCCTTAAAGCTGTAGCAAAAGAAGTACCAGAGGTGAAAAATCCACAAGACAATAAAGTGAGTCTAAAAGCTTTGACGTGAAGTTTTATTTGAAAAAGTTCCTGCAATGAGTAAAGTAAGCAACATGGATTGTATAAATATCTGTGCAACCAAAATGAGCACACGGAGGCACTTCACTGCCTTCTGCTGCTGCCATGAAACACCAAACTATCCAGCGTCATGTCCAGCTACAAACCTCTAAGTATTACATGTTTTCATTTCATTCAGGTTTGTAGGACTGTACAGTCTAATCTAAAACGAAGTACAACTTATTCTTAAAAAGTAATTCAGAGTTAGAAAAAGAGAGGATGCAGCCCAGGTAGAAATATGAGTTAAAGCATCTCAAAAACATGGAGGATTAAGTATTTTCAGTCCAACATAAATTAATGTTTGTTCATGAGCTGCCATGTGAACTCAGCAGTGAGCGACATGGAGGAAAAAAAAAAAGAAGTATTTAGACGAGCTAAACAGAAGACATCAGTGCTAATAGGGCTAAATAAACAAAAAAAGAAGATAATGTTTAACAGCTAACTCACAATCAGTGTTTGGGATTCTTTTGCAGTGCTTTGGCCCAAACCTCCTCATGGCACAATGAACCGACACAATCTGTCACAGCAGGTGAAGAAAACAATCAGTACTCGCTTAGTTCCAGAGCTTTTAAAAGCTCTTAATGCTTGTTGTAAAATGTTGATTGAAAAATCAGAAAATGTTTTTTCTTACTCATACAAACTACACCAACAGGAAGGATCGTAAGTGCAACCGAGGTTTTTAATTCAAGCTTTACACTCTATGTAGGAGCTTATACCCCCTGTTGTTTTGTTGTCCAATCAGAACCTCCTCCACTGCTGTTGTAGTGAGTATGCACATGTACGGAGTGTAACTTGGACTGTGAAAAAGCACCTACTCATACACACACCACCTTGGATTAAACGTTTCACCGTTTTCTTTGCATTTTACATAAACTGTTGAATTTACACAGAATCACTACTTTCAGAATACATTCATCTTTTTGTTTTTTTTGTAAAATTACCACAGCAACAATGACATGTCTTTACAAAAAAAAAAAAAAAAAAAAACATCCCCTCAGCCGAATCCTCCAGAAGAAAAAACCATGGAGTGAAGACCACAATCAGCGATATCATCAGTGATTACTCTCATTATCGAAGCACGTCCTCGGGTCAAAAAAAGAGAAATAAATACATATATAACAGTATGATAACACTGAAGTCTGGTTGGTGGGCTGGTTTTAGGGGGTTAGACGCCCAGTTTGTTGGCGATGGTCATGACCACTTTGAGGATAGGCATGAAGGCGGAGATCTCGCTGAAGTTGCTGCTGCTGACCACCTGGGTGTGCACCTCCAGGCCGCGTTGGTAGTTCTGACTCGCGACGCAGCGGCCGATCTCATGGAGCCCGTTCAGGATGTTGTGGGACAGCTGGGAGGTTAAAGGAAGACAGTTACTGTGTTAAACATACCCGACACAGACATTTTCAAGCATCTTATTTTCAATTAGGGCCCGACCAATTTATCAGCGAGCCGATTAAATTGGCCAATTTTAGCCCGTTTGAGACTAATCGGTAAGCAGCCAAAGCTCGCAGATTTTTGCTGATATATTTCGACCTCATGACAGTCTTCATCCACTAACTACCTCACAGCACAGCAGAGTGACGGATCTTAAGCAGGTAGCTGCAGGGACGCACGGTAAATAAACCAGTTTGTGAAATACTCAATAAGTCAAATTTTATTCCTGAAAATATCGGCGGAAATTGGCGATATTTGGGTTTCAGTTCAACCCACTTCATGATGCTCCCCTGTGCTGTGCTGGTCTCGGTCACGCCGACTTAACAGTGAAGCACCATGTAATATGCAAGCTAAAGTTAGAGTTAGCCATCAGCTGTTAGCCTTGCTACACTGTTAGCCGTGCCAGTAACGGTAGAATAAACAACAGTACACATTACGTGATCGAGCTACTTCTCTCATTCTGGTCCGAGTTTGATCACTCAGTCTTCCTGTCGGCGTGAAGAGCAGTAGCCTACAGTATATCTACAGTATATAGTATACGCTAGATATCTACAGTGTATATATATATTTTTTATAACTTCATAAAAATTTAAAAAAATCATCCGATTAATCAGTAATCAAATTTTTCGCCCCCTAATAATCGGTCGGGCCCTATTTTCAATTGAGTAACTTTTCATATATTTAGTTAGCCGGGTAAAAACTTAGTCTGAATATTTTTCCGAACTATTGAAAAATTTAAAAATGAATGATAACTATCTATTATGATGATCTATGATCTATTTCTTACCGTCTGCTCCCTCAGCTTGTCATAAAGGTATCCCAAACGTTTAGCTGCATCATCCAGTTTCCTCTTTGTTTGCTGAAAGTAAAACATTTGTGGTCATTTCACATCCAATAAAAAAAAAAAAACACATTTCCTCTTTAATTCTCTCTAATTTTGTCCCACATGAGGCGAAACCTACTGGGTCTCTTGCAGCGAGCTGGCAGCGCTGCACCAGGCTGTCGAACGTGGATTTGAGGACCATGTGTTCGGCTGGGATTTCTTTCTGCTCTACCCTCTCTGCGGGCAGCTGCTGGAGGACCTGAGGACAACAAATGCAAAGAGTTGACGTATTTCCTGTAAAGAATGCAAAAATAGATTCGCTTTTGACTCACAAACCTGCATGTTGGGCTCCTGGGGCGCACCGGGGGGGACCTGGGTGTGATCGTGAGGCTGAGGCGCCTCCACGGGGAATCCCATCACAGGAGCGGTGATGGGGGCTGGTGGAGTGTAGTTCTCAGGAACCTGAACACACAAATATAATCATATAAAAGCTTGGCCTTTAGTTAGCTTGTTGCTATTTCTGTCTTTTCTCCTTTTTGTTGCTGATGTCGGTAGAAATATTGCACCAACTATGTAAATTCCCAAACTAAAAACACTCTTTGGACAGTGAATGACTAAAAGTTAAAGTACCTTCTTCTTTCTGGGTCCAGCCCGCACTGCTGGTGGGTCATTCCAGCCCTCCTGAGGTCCTAAATTTAGAAAAAAAAGGTAGGAGGATATTAGAAAGACACCAGCAGCTTTTCCTCCTTTAGTCTCACTCAAACAGTAAAACATTTTTATGAGCTGAGGTTAGTCCACATGTCAAAAATGCTCTAAGAATGAACTGATGTCAAGCCAGAGATTTTAGCAGTTTCAGCAAGTATGGTAAAATACTGAGGCGGGGTCCAACAGTGGCAGTGTCAGACCTCCTCTGACTTCTTAAAAGTATTTTCCATACGTACTTTTTAGGCTCAAACATAAACAAGAAGTTTGCAAACTGTCTTGTCATAATCTAAAATTGTGCGATAAAGGGCATGCCAGCTTTAAAGCATGAGTCTTGGATTTCTTTCATACTGTGATTTAGGGTTTCATACAAACAGCTTAACCAGCTCTCTACATTTCCCTGAAGCATGAAAGCGAACACTGACAAAAATACACAGAGTTACCAGAAAACACAGGAGTCTAAAGAATCTGTCGAAAAGTTGCAGATTTTTTGCTTTTCTAATGTTTGTTTTTTTTCTTCCTGGTAACTCAAGCGTATGTTTTAATGCACTCTTATTCCATAACCAACCCTAACCCTGTCACCTTGTAGGTCACTCTGGGATATCAGCCAGGGAAAGAAGCCTGCAAGTCAAATGAGGTGGACAGCTGAGTATGATTCAATGATCATAGGAAATATGGAATATGTAGATATGACAGAACAAATGATGAGATGAGATGAATCTGATTATGACCGTGTTAAAACATGGAGTTTAAAATGTCTTGTACCTGTGGGAGGAGGAGCAACAGGAGCAGCAAACGGCTTAGCAGCAGGAGCACCCGGGCCTCCCTGGGGATACCCTGATCCCAGAGGGTTATAGGGACCAGACACCATAGGAGGTGGTGCAGGGCCCTGGTTGTGAAGGGCACCTGGGTACATAGGAACTGGTGCTCCAGGCTGAGAAGTGGGCGACATGGGGCCTGATGGTAAAGAGGTAGATGGCATGAAGCTTGTCGGCGGAACCCCCGGACTGGGCATGGGGGGCAGGCCTCCAGGAGCTGATGAGGAAGGTGGGGGTGGGGGTCCTGATAAGTTAGCAGCTGGCATTGAAGGACCTGGAGGAGGGAAGGCGGGTCCACCAAGAGACATTGGCTGGGGCTGGAATGGCTGTTGAGGCAGGAAACCTGAGGAAAGACATTGAATCATTATCAAACATGACTTTAAAACCAAACTCAAAACGTACATTTTTAGTCTTGCTTTTAACTAAATTCTGTGTTTTAGCGTTTATCACTTTCTAGTTTTACTGACAGGATCGTCTTTTATTGAGCTATTTTGGTGCTCTTACTTAAGTATCTTTTACTGTTGTTCTTATTTCATTTTAGATATTATTTCTAAAATTTCATTCTATGTAACTTTGTTTTTAGTATTTAACCTAAACCTCCAGTGTTTCCTATCTTGCGTTTTAAAATGGCGTTTCCTCAGTGCGCGTTTCCATAAAATCAATCACTTTTTTAAGTTGATGCATTTTAATACTGTTTCTGTTGCGTTTAGATTGTGGGGTGGGAATGAGGGGTTGGGTTGGGGTAAATTTGAGTATTCTTTTTTTCCTTTAGTTTTGGGTTGGGGAGAATTTGGGTATTCTGTGTTTTTTTATTCCTTGGTTGGGGTAGATCTGGGTATTCTTTGTTTCTTTTATCCCTGGGTTGGGGTAAATTTAAGGTATTCTTGGTTCTTTATTCCTGGTATGGGGTAGATTTGAGTATTTTTTTTTCCTTTATTCTTGGGTTAAGGTAGATCTGGGTATTCTTTGTTTCTTTTATTTCTGGGTTGGAGTAGATTTGGGTATTCTTTGTTTTTTTTTTATTTCTGGGTTGGGGTTGTGTATGAAAAGTGCTATATAAATAAAGACTGATTGATTGATTTATAATTTTCCACAAACATGTATAAGTTTAATCAAAATAATCAAGTGTTAAACCTGGAGCTGGGGCTGGATGTTGTGGGTAGGGGGGCCTCATAGCAGGGCGGGTGTTGCTGGGTGGCAGGGCGTGAGAAGAAGGTGGGACTCCAGGTCCAGTGTTCGCTTGAGCAGCCTGTGGGGTAAAAACCGATGGCATAGGAGGCTGCGGTTGAGGGGCAACCTGAGAGGGAGCAGGAGGCTGGTATTGACTCTGAGGTTAGAAAATAAAAAAGACACAATATTTTAGAATGAAGTTAAAATATTCATGATTATGTAGCAGAGTTGATCTTGCAAAATGCATGATCCATTTATTTGATTTGCTGCTTCTGTTCGTACCATGACTTGTGCTTTCGGTGCAGAGGGCTGTGCGGCAGGAGCAGGCTTGGCTGCGGGCGCACTGACTTTGTTGAAGGAGTTTGAAGGCTGCTGACCACCTGCAGCCTCTCCTTGAGCGTGGAACAGTCTGTCTCTCAGCATCACGATCCCAGGCTGTGTGGACGGATGATGCAAACCCATTAAAAAGTTTTTCTCACAATCCATGGAGAGTTAAAACACTTTAACTCTATTGGTTTTTGTCTTACCTGGTCTGAACTCTCTGGCAGGTACGTCATGGCGGTGGCCAGGCTGCCCTCTGCGGCGAGGATGCCGGCATAGCATGTCAGCTTCTCGGCGAGGATAGGGCTCTGGACTGCTACCTCGCTGTTACGGAGGCGCTCGATTGATTTACGCAGCATCATGACTTTCTCAACAAGGTCCTGAAGAATACAGACACAAAGACAGTCTTTCAGCTCTAGGAAATAAAAATCAGACTCAGCCTTAGTTGTGCAAAGTTTAAATTAAAGCCTGACAAAGCTTTTACCTCTAGACCGAGAGGAGTGGCGCTGTCTTTATGAAAGGCCCAGCACTCCACCAGCTTCTCGATGTTCCCAGAGCAGATGTAACACAGGCAGGCCTGCAGGCAGCGTTTCTCTGTGCCCTCATTCTCGAGCCGGCCTCCCAGAGTGTCTTCACAGAGGGATTACAGAATGAAACACTGTCAACAAACTGGTGCTGGTGTTCTCTAAAGTTCTCCCAGAAATGTGGTGCGAGAAACTGCGAGTGACTTACCACACAAACGGGCGAAATCCTCAGGATGAGCGTAGGTCAGCAGAGCAGCCAGAGCCTCCTTCCAGTTGTCTAACTCGCAGCTCTGCACGATGTCTCTCCAGTTTTGAGTCACCACTGATGATATGAGCTACATAAGGAGACAAATTCATTTCACACACAGCTCTTTGTGATTGTACAAACTGACCCACTGTGAATAAATACACTCGTACCATTGAAATGCTGTTCTTTTGCTTGCTTAGGTACTTCTGCTGCGTTTTCTTGAGCAGCTCCTCTCCTCCGCTGATGGACAGCAGGATGGCTTCAGCGTAACGGCCGTCGTTCAGGCACAGATCCACGGCTCCCTCAAAGTTACCCACCAGCAGCGCCTGGCTTATCAAACCATCAGTGTCTGCACAAGCACAACAAGGTTATCCGCCATAAACAAACACTCAAGCGTGACACAGAAAGAGATAAACTGTTTAACGTCGCATAATGAAGTGTGTACCGCAGGATATGGGGATCTGGAAGTTGGAGTTGTCCTTCGGGGTCTGACTGAAGAAGTCTGCCGGTGAAACAGATCCTGAGGTTCTCGCATCGGCAACAGCTTCATCAGACCTCTGGAAACAGAACAAAGAATACCGTAAATGAATTAAAGGTTGAAAAACTTGGCGTACAACTGAGGAATAAAATGTAGGAAAACGTGCGCCGACCTCAGCCGAGAGCCGCTGCATCTTTTCCGCCAGATCTTTCGCATCGACTCCATGTCCATTGTGCTGAAAACTCTTCCCCAGGCATTTTGAGATCTGATTTAACACAAGGTTTTAGCAGCTTAGACACAGGAGATGAGTCACATGCTAACATGAGATTACAAATCAGACGCAGGATACCTTTTTCTCCAGCTCATCTTTGCTAAAACCGAGAAGTCTGAGGAATTTAATACGTGCTTCTTCCTCAAAGTTTACCTGCAAACGAGAAAAAAATCAATAAGCTGAAAGTACAACATTAAAAACTGACTGACAGATTGAGTTTGATGACTCAAAATCGTACCAGAAGGAACTTCCATATGTCCTGCTCAGCGTCTGTCTTGGCGTTCTGAATCTTGGCCTGGCAGTAGTTGTTGAAGGAGCCTGACTGCAGCGCCGCCTGCAGCTCCCTGGAGCGCTGAAGGAACTCTGTCTCCGTGGTAACCTGGCTCACAAACACCTGTCTGGGGACTGGCTGAGGGCTCTGCACGGGAGGCAGCTTGGGATTCTCAAAGGTGATCAGTTTACCTCCAAACTATGGAATAAAAAGAAAGATCCTCAGGTTAAAAACTGCTCTTTTTTCCATAATGTTATTCAACAACGTTTAAAGTCTCACTCACAGCAAAGGAGGCCCCCACTGGTCTGCGCACCCACTTGGGAGGCTTCCTCAGTGGGGGGATGATGGTTTCCTGTGTTGTGGGCTGGGGGACTTGCAGGGGAGGAAGAACCTGTCCTGTTCCAAAGGGATCCATGGCATCAAATGAGGAGGATATCTGTTAAATGAACGATCAGATGTTAGTTCAGGAAAATGTACTGTTAATCTAACGACGCTTGATTTGCAAACAACGTCTGCAATTTTACATCAATGTCTTGAAAAATAAAGGAGTAAAAATTCTACTAGTTGTGACACATCTACCATTTTAGGTCCAGTGTCAGAGTAAATTGGTACTTTTTGGATAGATGTTTAAGAAAACATTCAGCAGGTTAATGAAATACATCTCTTCTTCAGCCGCTGATATTTAAAGCAATCATTTCACCCCTCTTTAATGTCAACATCCTGTAAACATGTCGTGTTTGATTGCTCTGTTTTCATTTCCTTGACGTGAGCACCACCTTGTGGACGACCAGAGGAGCTCAGCTCACCCTGAGGGATTAAAAACCATCCAATCATGAAATCCCCTACCTTGTCAGCTGTGCTTTGCTGCTGAGCCCTCATGCTCCCCCCCATCACAGAGTAGACTGTGATTCTCCCGTCAAATGAGGCGGCTGAAAGCAAGGCTGGATTCCTGGGGCACCACTGCACGTCGAAGCACCACTGGTTTGTTGTTGGAAGCTCGTAGATGACCTTCGATGACAGAAATGGCGCATGGAAATGTAGTCGAGTCACAATACTGAGACAAAGTTATTCAGACACAAAAGAAGCTGAGGTGTGTGTCGCATACCTCTCCAGTGTTTGGATTCCAGCAGAGGATGCGGTTGTCTTTAGCGCTGCTTAGCAGCAGCTCAGAGTCGGCCTGGCTCCAGGATATGGACAGAATACCCCTGCAAGATAATACCAAAGAAAAAAGGGTCAATGTTGAATATTCTGGATGATAACCACAGTCCACAAACTGTTAAAGCCGTACCTTGTGTGGTTCTCCAGGACTTTGAGGGGTGATGTGGCAAAACGAAGATCCCACATCTGGATGACTGGTAATCTGTCATCTTCAGAGGCCAAGACCAGCTGAGTGGCCACATCAGGGTGCCAGAGCATTCCTGAGCAGTGCATCTGGAAACACATCATACAGACAGGATTTAGAGCGACAAATGGACATTTCTACAGCTGCACAAAACTATTCAAACTACTGTCTGACCTGAAAAACACTTACTACAATTTTTGTGAAGTTTCTTCAATCTCTGTTACGACTAGAAAGTCTATTCTTATTATAAACCTTGCAGATATAGAGAATAGATAATGCAAAATTAGTTCAGTGCACTTCATTGCTGTTCTGATACCTTCAGTTTGAAACTGAATGATTTAGTTTGTCAAGCTATTGGCTACACCCATTTAATCAACAAAGTTTATCAACTTTGCTGACTAAAGGTCTGAGGCAAAAGAGACGCACTGTGATTTGTCTGGATTGTACGACTGACAGGAGGCATACTTTTTTATTCACTGTGCAGAAAGTTATGAGAATTAAATACATTATATATCAAGTTTTTTAAAAGCTGATTCTAATCTGAGTCTTTTTGAATGCAGCCTTACTCATAACTTGGATGTAAACCAACTTACCCTTGCAAACAGAAGTTAGAGGGTGTGGTTTAGTGGTAAAAGCAAAACAAGCCAACTAGCTTTCTTCATTGAAAGCCAATAATTTGTGGTGATTTGACAATCTTACTGCCAGATTCTGCACTGATTGATGGATAGAGGTTGATGTGTGAGAGCAGGCGGTAAATAACTGTCACACTAACATTGAAGTATTTGTAAATGTTGCAGAACCGGGGTAGATGGCATTAATAAAAGTCTCGTACTTAGTAACCACCTCTGTGTTTTGTATGAAAGAATCACCCACCCTGTTACTGTGGTCGCTGATCTTGATGATGGGCTCGTTCTTTCTCAGGTCCCACACGACTGCTTTCCCGCTGGGGTTCGCAGAGGCCAGGATGTGCTGAACTTGCCTGTTCCAGGACACGACACTGATGTCTTCAGCAGGCTAAAAAGAGAAGAGAGAGCACGTTAGGAAACCAGCCAAAACAGAGTCCTCGTATTCAAACCACAATACCAGGACGCCCTTGCCATGCAAACACTGTGTGTTTATTCAAATAGCCGTGTGACATTGATGTAGAGTTTATTTCACTCCAGGGGGGCAAAGGCAAAAGACACCATGATGCAAACTCTCTTGTGGTTTCCGTTTCTTCTTCACATATGCCGCCTGTTTGGTAGTTATGGTTTTTATTTTGGCGAAGGGTCAGCAACAAAAGAAAAATCTCACACCTACCTGTGTTTTTGCTCCTGGTGTCATTGGACTACTGAAGTTGTTCAGATCCCAGATGTATATCTCTGAATCATTTGCTCCTGATGCAAGAAGATTACTCTATAAAAGGAGAGATAGAGAAGGATGAGTTAGATGTTAGGTATAAGCTACATATTAAGGACAGAGAGGACTGTGACAGCAGACGTTTACCTGAAAAGGGTTGAAGTCGAGCGCTCTAATGGGTCCTGTGTGCTTGTCGGATTGTCCCACTATCGCCTCCGCTCCAGAGCTCATTATGACCTCGGGGTTATAAACAGTTATGGTGCCGTTTTCACCGCCGCCGACCAGTCTGCCTCCAGTGCCATCAGCGCCCATTCCAAAATTTACCCATACAATACTGTGCAACCTGGAGGACACAGAACAGTGAGTTAAATTTGCCACAAAACGCTGCTTCAGTAATGATGCACATCATTTGGAGAACAAAGAAATCCCCTGCAAATTCTAGCAAAAGCTACATGTTCACTAATAAAGACTATAAATGAGAGGGTAGAAGGAAGCTGTTTGATACAGAGCGATTAAAATATTGTAATAAATCATTCCGTGTTATTTAATATTTTAGTTGGCAACAAGTCACATGATTAAAAATTCTGCCAATATACTTTAAAACAAAGATTAGACATGCTTTTTTGGTAAGAGTGAAGACTTTTGGCTTTGTGGGAAGATAAAAAACTAAAGGCAGAGCTGGAACAAGGCATAAGCAAACTAAGCGCCTGCTTTGGGCCCCGCAGCCAATAGGGGGCCCCCAAGAGCAATCAAAAAAAATATTTTTTAAATTTTTTTATTTTTTGCATGTATGAGTGATGCTTTCTCATACACAGCTGAACAGTTGAGGATTCAGTTCAGTTCATAGCTTCTTGGACCGGGAGACACGAGTGTTTGGCTGTGTTTCTTTGGCAAACAGGTCTGTAAAAATGAACTTTTTTATAAGTCATGATGTTTTAACTGTACTGTCCTATGGTATGCTCTTTATCAGGTCTGCTCGGTAAATTGGGCTCAGTAAGTGATTCGTTCACTAAACGTTTAGAAGAATTCAAACTGAACATGCACCGTTCCCTCGCAAACCGCTGCAATGATAGGATGCTGCGGGTTTAATGCACTACTTGGCTCTGATTTTTTCATGTCAGTGTGAACAGTGCAATTCAGATTTTTTCAAATCCAACCCATGTATGTATGTGGATATAAATCGGATATGTATCCGATGTGACTGCAGTGTGGATGCTCAGGTCGCATTCATCCGACCTATACGTCATCAATATGCGACAGACGTCACCATTGTTCGAAAACACAAACAGGCGCGGAAAGCAATTTCTGCTTTGTGCACCTGCGGGTCACTTCACGGACACATTCCGTTCACATTAAATGCCGCATTCGTTGTTGTAATGTGAACGACCACACAAAACGATCAGATTTAACAAAAAATCCAAATTGTGCATCATAACCTGCAGTGTGAACGTAGCACTTGTTACATGCTGTGTCCTTTTGTATGCAAGTTGTTGTGGTGGCAATTTAGCTTTAAAAAAAAAAGGGTAGTTTTGACATACAAAAATGATTCCACAGAGTGTAGTTCAATGCATGATTCGTTCACAAAATGATTCAGGTGTCAGTACATGCAGCCCCTCGTTTGCTGGCTGCTCGACTGGAAATGCTGTTTCTCACTTTAGCTCAACTGAAGTGAGAAACGAACGAGTCACTCAAGGAAGTCATTTGGTTCAGTACGTTCACTTAAAAGATTCAATTCTTTTGAACGAATCGTTCGCGAACGACAAAACACTAATACTGAGTCAGGTCACTGTGGTCAGGTAAATTATGACTCACAATACTGCCAAGAAGTTGTATCTTGCGTATTAAGTGTTTGTATAAAAAATGACCTGTTTGCTGTCGGTAATGATCCTCTTAGCTGCATCTCCAGAGAAGGGTCAGAAAAGTCCGTCTCAAATATCTCCAGGGCAGCAGTCGTATTGAAAGAAGCATCGAGCTGTTGTGCTGAAGTTCCTAAAGCCAGGTAGATGGGATGGTGCCCGGCAGGACTCCACGCCTGGTGGGCAGTCCTCTGGATCTCCTTCAGCCTCATATTCCTCCTTAAAAGTGAAATCCTGGACGAAAAAAAACAACAACTCCGTTTACCAACAGATACTACATTCATTTGAAGATGAAGGGAAGTTGTAAATCACAGCAAAGGGTGCCACCCTTAACGAGTCCGACTATTTCCTGGAAACGGTGTCTAACATGTGTCTAACGTTAACTTTGACAACACACACAGCTCACACTCGTGTTTGAACGAGTCGATACGTGATGTTTCGTGATAAAAACGTGTTATTTGCAAAGACGCTCGGAAAATTGACCCAAGCTAACCTCAACTCCAAGTTAGCATTTCGTAATCACACCTCACGTTTTACACACGTACCGTTAAATTAGACTTATTAACCTTTGAATATACGAGAATTAATTATGTATATTTTCTCTAGGTTATCCAAAAATCATTCATACGACACCATTAAGTTAAATACTTGAGCCGGGGGTTAGTATTTCATCTTGTCACTGACTGGTTGCTTCTCTCGCCGACGTTGCTACATGCTAACAGCCACCACCCTCGCCACTTTCTCCCTCAGAAATAGGATTCAATCTAAATCAATCCGGTTTAAACCCAACAGAAACAAAGAAGAATACTTTTTCAACTTACGTCTACTGTCACTGTCACAGCCCGACTGTCCTCATCCACAACAAACCGGAGAGCTAGCTCCTTATCAGCCAAGCTAGCAGCTTAGCCGCAGATAGATTCCGGCCAAAGTGCTTTGCCGTGTTGTCACTAAGCTACGGAAGCCGACATGGACATTTCTCATGGTGAGGTGGCCTGAGGTAACCCCGCTGACACAGTGAACCCTAACTAATATGTAACTCATAAACTCATAGGTAAAAACCGCTCTTTTTAATAGTTGAACATATTTTTAATTATTTTGGTGGTAATTTTCCTACACATGACAAAAAAGCAACACAGTGAGTAACTTAACTGTTAACACCTTTATTCTTGACAGAAATATATATACACACAAGTAGATTCAGGTTTAAGTCATTAAATTTCATAATTTTTGACTTCTTCTTCTGGTTGTTTCTCTGGATCTCCTCCTTTCTCCAGGTACAGGTTGTTATAGGGATACTGTTTCGGCCCCTGAAAGAGAGGAAAATTCTTTATTAAAAATCTGCTTTCGTTTGAAATTAGACACACAATTTAAACCATTTCAACAAAGTGCTACACAGCACCTTAAAAAAGTGACATAGAAATGACTAATATGCCCAAAATAAATACAGATTCTCTATTAAAGTTGCTCCTATGTCAAATTTTTCATTGTGAAAATACGTGAACAAAATGATTTTCATTTAAAAAAAAAAAAAAAAAAGAAGAGTATTGGCAAAAACATGACAAAAAGTCCTTTATTTATATCTACATGAACAGGTCAGTGCTGGTTAAAATTTACACTAAATTGGGTCTACTTGGCTGACACATTTGGGTTCATAAATTTCAAGTTTAATCAAATTTTTATACCTGCACTAATCAGTATCAGCTCACGTTATGATAAACATAAATTTATAAATTATTATGCAGCCCTGGCGCAATTTTTCACCTTCAAAACTCATTATTGTGTGCGGCAAAAACAGTCCAACAATCAGTGTTGTTATGATGCATTATGCAAGCATGCAAAAAGTAAGTCACTGTCAGAAATCATGTCCCCTTTAAACCCAGTCTTAACCATTTAATATGTGTCCAAAAGCTACAAGCATTGGTCCCTACTTACAACAGGGTGGTAAGATGGAAATAGCTCCCCAAGGTAGAGCAAAAACAGTGCACCGCCAATGAAGCCAAACAGCTGTTTGCATGCTGAAGACCACTGCACAGGGCTGGGAGTGGTATCAACACGGTTCCTGATGTACATGTCAAAATCCCAGTGCATCTAAAAATAAAGAGAGACAACCATTATTAACCTCAGGTAAGTTCAAACAGTTTTGATAAATTAATTCAAGGGAAAATCTGTAATCACAATTATAATGGCATTTTTAATCGTAATAAAAGACACTGAAACAAAGACAAAATGGTTCCTTTTAAACACTCAAGAGCAATGATGTTCAGTTCAGGCTGCTTTAGTTTGTACCCATCGGTAAATTTATTTTGTGGCAAGATGACGACATCCAGTTTGACAGTAACTTACCAAACAACCACAACATGAAACTACACACAATGAGAAAAAATTAAATTTGCTAAAACTTGATCAAAAGTACTTCACCAATCAAAACTTGAGAGAAAAGAATATCAGCAAATGAAAAACTGGGATTAAAAATGTTCAAACTTGCAAAGTCAAAGTGAGAGATATTGTTTGAAATGGTGATAGCTATCTGCGGTACCTGTCTGGTTTACAAAGATGAAAAAGGGTCTCTGCAAGTTTCAACAAGTCAAATTTAAGATGTTTTAATACTTTAAGACTGTAATGATGAAATTTTAAGACCCATTTTACATCTTTACTGGCAAAAAAGTACCAAAGACATGAAGAGAAATCAGAACATTTTACTTTACTTCAAATCAAATTTTATTTTTAAGTAACATCAATAAATTTGTCAGACCTTTAAAAACTCCTAACATACTGACCAACTAAGAAAACATTTAATTAGACTTAGACTTTCTTTAAATGTCATTGCACAGAATAAAACACAGCAGTGATTCCTCTCTGCAACAAAATGTTGTTGCTCGGCTTCCATATCACAGCATGATGGTGTTCAATTTAATGAGAAAAATAAAAACAATAAAAACTAAGGGTAAAATAGCAGCATGGTGAGTATTATTGCACTTTCTGGAGGTAGAGTGGTAGTGGTATAAAAACAAATAAATTAAAGTGTATATAAAAAGATATATATTCTTATTTACACAGAATAAATTAACTCCTACAGATTCAAGAATTTTTATGTATGAGTTGCAAGAGTAAAGTTTTGTGTAAGAGTTTGAAACATCTCGTCATTTAGGGTAAGAATTAATACTAAAATCCTGTACCATTCAGCATCATAAACTTGCACTAGCAGATGCATGTCCTACACACTTAAAGCCATCTGTGATGATATAACTATGAGAACCTCTCATAGAAAACAAAAGGTGTGTCCCAGATCACATACTTCCATACTTAATACTAAATTGAGTGTACTAAACATACTATATACTCAATCGCGCAGTGCATGAGTTTCAAGGGTGCAGTGCTGCCTGAAATCGCATACTGCCATGCACTCACCAGAAATGACAGAAGAACAAAAACTAAAGAAATAATGACGATACGCTGCAGACAAACCCCAGTGGCTGATTCTGCCTCCAGTCACAGGCTAGCTAGCCTCGCTGGTTGTACAGTCCATGAGCAGGCTCTGCTGGCCCGCTGGTTATTTTTTATTTGCCACGCGTAACCCTGCAGAACCCGGCGGCTACTAGCTAACTACCATTAGCATTCGACAAAAAACAGGTTACACCACAAATGGACTCAAAACGATAAACGCTGGCGGTGCTTGGTGGAAAGAACACGTGTAAAAGGAAACTTATTACTTTTATCTGAACAAAGCTCCCAGGTTGACCGTCGCCGACCCACTGGCACCACAGCCTTCCGATGAAATGAGTGCGGGTGAGTGTCCACAGTCGGATATTCACAATCTTGACCAATTTAAGAATATCATCCGATAGTGTACTCAATTTTTCACATACTTTTTTCCATTTTGTGTTGGGTATACTCAAAATTTTAAGTATTTAGTATGGAAGTACGCGATTTGGGACAAACCAAAAGTCTATCTTACCGGCTCTCCCCAGTTCCTCCTCAGGTCAGGGTGGTCCCACTGGTACCAGGGGTCTCTTTCTTGCTGGGATTTATCTGGTAACTTTGGATAATCACCAAAGCTGCAGAAATTAAAGGATGGCACTGATTTATGCAGGTCTTTAACTGCTCTCTATTGTAAAACTAATGCCAAATGATGAATTAATTTAACCTTACTTAATTAACCATAGAAATACAGAACAGTTTGAACCAGGTTATTATGAATAGTCTGTTTTCAGAGGGTAATGCTCACCCTTCGCCGTTGTCTGGATATGGTTCATAGTCCTCCACTCTCATGTTGTACTTCTTTGCAGCTGCAGCTTTCTCCTCAGGGGTCTTAGGAAAAGAACCGGGTAAGCCATCCTTTGCCAGACCAGCGGCTAAAACACCAACATTAACATTCTTGTTAATCTAACAAATACACATTTATACGACTCATATGCACAAACGAATGAGGACAGATGAGGGCAGTTCAAAGTTGAGCTGCTAGCCTTCACTCGTTCAAAACAGCGGTAGCATGAGCTAACGTTAGCATGTCAAGGTTATGCGAATACGAAGCTTTTTCTTTCAAATTCTGACATGCTTATTCAGATAAATTCTTCAGAAGGTTTATTTTAATTCGTCGACACAACTGACCTGCCCTGGCGCCCGGAAAAAGGGCTGGAATGCCAGAGCCCTTCCTTTCAGAAAGGAGTTGGGCCCACCGTCGGAAGCCTACACCAGCCATGTTTACAGGCTGCTGCTCTCTGACGGACTGAGAAGCACGCATGCGCAAACTACAAAGTACGGGTCAGCATAAAGGACAGAGAGCAGGTATGGAAGTAAACCTGTGCCATCTGATTTTGAATTTGAATTTCTAAAGCTGAATTATTATTTTTTTGCATCAAAATCAGAATTTTAATTACAAAACTATCGAATTTCAAGCACGCATTTTTATTTCTGACGCTAACTTTTTTCACAATGATGAAGTAAATTCAGTGTAAAAAAATCAGTCTCTCAAAATGTAAAATAAATTCAATGTCAAAAACGTAAGAAATGAAAATGCATGCTTGAAATTCGATGGTTTTGAAATTCAAAGTCTGATTTTGATGCAAAAAAACAATTCAACTTTAAAATTTTAAATTCAAAATCAGATGGCACAGATTTATTTCCATAAGCAGGGCACAATAAATTTCGAGTTTCCAAAAATGATACACAAGGAAGACGGATAATTGACCACAACTCATTGACCAGTTTTTCTTTTTGAAACTTATTTATTGACTGTTGTTGACTATGTGAGAAGATACTGTCACATTAGAGAACAGGTGTGATAGTGACTAAAAATTTCTCCAGTGGCTGAAGGGAACTTGTTCTCAGAGTGAATGCACTGAAGCCCTGAGGCTTGCTCCTCTTCCCATCAGATCCAGCTCAGGTGCAGGAGTGCATTTACTGAGGGATCGTCACACGGCCACTGATGATGGAAGATAATTTTATTAGAGAAGGTCTGCTATGTCCTTCTCCACGATGTCAATCGGGCAATGAAGTTCATATCTGGAAAGAGAAAAGGGAAACACTTAAGTCACAATATAACTACACTTACACCAGAGCTAATGGAGGACAGTTAATTTCCTCAGCTTGAAGGTGCAGTGTGTAGGATTGAGCAGCATTAGGCAGAACAGACTTGGTAGAATTGGAATATAATATTCATCATGAGTATGTATTATCTCCATATTTTTTGTCCTCAAAGGCAGATGTGAGGCGCTAGTAAGGGAGCGTTTCAATCCAAAATCTGATGGCCAAATACTGCTAAATATTCCCATTTCCCCATACTTTGAAGATCTTTACCATATTTTACCTTTTAAAGGGTATGCCGTCAGCATTGACTAGAAACTTTTCAAAGTTCCATCGTATATCATTGACTTTGATAGGGGACCAGTAGAATTTCTTGATATCTCCAATAACAGGGTTCACAAATGGAACGGTTTCCTGTAGCAAATGAGAAATGCCTGAGACATGTGGGAACAGCACAAATACACAGTGAGTAATGCCTAATACATTACTGTCAAACCAACAAATGGACACACCTTACCTTTAGAAAGGTGAATAAAGGCTCTTCATTTATTCCATTCACCTCAACTTTACCAAAGATTGGAAACTTTGGCTCATATCCTCCTCCAGGTCTCACATATTTAAGAATATTTAGGGTTTCATGATTCATCTCTGAAGGAAAATATTGTTACAAAACAGTTTAAACTCACAGTGAAGCTATTTAATACAAAATCATTTGTAGTAACCTTTTTTTTATGTATGACAAGTGTTTATATGTTGCACGAACACGTTCATAGGACAAAAATTCTTGTGTAGATCAGGGGAGCTGCAAATCATATCCTTTCTTAAAACTCCTGTGAGGAACTTTTGGTTTGTGTCAGTTTTGGTGCCCCCTGTGGACAAAGGAGTCTTTGCTTATCTAGCCCTCTACATCCCAAAGTACTCACTTTTGAAAAAAAGAAAAAAACATCTTGCTCACTTTTGAAAGTCAAATGTATCGTTTGTCCTAAATATTTGATGGGAAATTATAAAACCAAGGCTGTTTTTTTAGCTACTTGGCTACCCCCTCACACTGGTTGCTCTGAACAAAAATTAAAACCTCATGAGCCTCATTGCTGATGGTTTCAATATGAGTTTAAGTCTGTTTCATAAACATAAAAAATTCCTTACAGGAGCTTTTAGCTGACAAAATAAACTTAAAAGCTCCTATGAGGATTTTTTGGACATTTATGAAACAGAGTAAAATTCTTATTGGTGTTTCTCTATGCCATACAAAAGCAAACAAGACCATCGGCAACAATACAAGCAATTTCTACAAAGTAACTCTCAAAGCCTGAAACTGATTTAAGAGGGTAGGAGCCCTTGAAAAAACAGCCCTGTTTTTACATTTTCCTTTATGCCAAAAGTGGCACATTTAACCATAGCCATGTCTTGTTTTTTTTGGCAACAGAAACTACAAAAGCATGTAGAGGACAAGATTAGCAAAGACAGCTTTGTCTACAGAAGTGCCAAATTTGACACAGAATGAAAGTTCCTCACATGAAGCTTTAAGTAACTCACTGAAAACACTAAGACCTGCTGATGCAATTCTGTTGTAGTAGGGGTAACACATACTGACAGCATCAAAATAAAAGCGATAATTCTGCTTTTAAAATGCATGTTCCTGTGGTACATAACTGACAGGTGTTTTTCAGTATAAATATCAATCTAAAAAAATAGTCAAATGTGGTTGCAAGTTGAATTTAATGGAGAAAAAATAACAAATAAAAGAGGTATTAAAGTCCAAATTTGCATAAAATGGAAACACTCAAGCATCTCCACATAGTACAACATTAGCATACAGTACAAAGTTACTTTACAATGTAAAAGTAGAGAACTTTGATTCTCTTACTTTCAGTATAAAAGTCTGTTTTTTAAATCCCATATTAAACCCTTTCGTGTACCTACCAGGTGACTGAAGGCCAAATTGGTTGCAGGTGAATCCCAAGACAGTAAAGTTGAGGTCGCCAAACATTTCCATCAGTGCATTCAGTCTGTGGTACTTAGGAAACAGAACACAATAATCAAACGCCTCCTCAATAATACTCCCGTTGTGAGATTAAGTGACCTGTCTGCGATCAATCAGCGCTCTTGTAGATTATTACCTCCTCCATAGTTGACCCTCAGAAGGTGGCGACGTTGATGATGAGCAGCACCTTCCCCCTGTACTTACAGAGCGGAACCAGCTGCCCATCCAGGGTCTCAGCAGAGAAATCATAGATTGATTTATTCCCCATGCTTGTACTTGGGCTTGTATATAGGATTGTAGTCAGTCAAGAGTGAGTTTTCACTCAGCTATCCTGTTGGCTCATCTCATTCACTGAAACATAACTCATGGGTCAGCAATTGTTCAGCATGACTGACTTCATTGTTCTCCTGGGCAGAGGTGAGCTGGCAGGATGGTCATTTGTTCAACACATGTATCCAGGCTGCTAATATAGGAACAGATTGTTGTCATTGGGAGATTAAATATTCAAAATAAACAAACTGTATACAGGTCTGCAGTGACAAATTTTGCTTGTATTGTCTCCGTTTACAGATGAGACAACACCTGAAAATGTATTGGAAATATTGTCTATTTTGTGCAATAGTTCTAAATCATTGTACATACAATCATCTGCACAATTCTTGGTCCTTTAACACAACAGCAACTGCAGTTCATATTAGTATTACATACTGTATTTTATATTGTTGTTTAATAGGTTGAAGGTCATGTGGTGAGTTTTTTACTAGTTATGAAACAGACTGAAATTGAGAGTGATGTAACTTTTGGCCCACAGCAGCAAGATGGTTCATGTATTATCTGTCCATTCAATTATTCTATTCAATCTAGAAAAAAAAACAAAAAAACAAGTCAATATTTTGTTTATTTGTTTTTCTATATAACCAAAAGGATAAAAGATTAGTGTTTGTTTTCGTGTTTTCAGTTCAAAACAGAATATATAATAGAGATGGAAACGAAAACAAAATAATAAATCTACTTTTCGTTTTCGGGTTATTCTCACACATGCGCATTGTGCAACAAAGTCGCCAAAAAGTGAACCAAAAACTCCAGGCCAGAGTGGTAGAGAAGGGCTAACCTGCTGTCATGACACATCCTACATATTCAAAGCCGCCAGGAAGGTCACACCGAAGGAGGAAGATATGACTGTGGAAAAAAACAACCATAGCTTTGTTACAATATAAGATTTTGGCACTTGAACTGCTCTGTTGAATCTTTCGCGATGGTAACTGTTGCTCAAAACAGGCGCACTCAAAATTAATAATTGTAAATAAGATTTATTATTTCGTTTTCGTTTCCTTCTCTATTATATATTCTGTTTTGAGCTGAAAATACGAAAACAAACATAATTTTTTTAAATTTTTTGGTTATACAGAAAAACAAATAAACAAAAAATTGACTCGTTTTTTCATGTACTAGATTGAATGGAATAATTGAATGGACGGTTAATACAGGGACCCAAGATTTAGGGTTATGGCTGGGACTGGGGATCAGGGTAGGTGTCGGCCAAACTTGTACGTTAATATACTTGATTAATATTCACAGTGGGTGATACAAAAGGTTGTGAGATTTTTTTTTAATTAATTTATCTATTTATTTATTAACTTTGTAAGAAAATACTGTCAATGAATGTAATTGACAAATCAAACAAAGAGTGTTTTGACCAAAGTGATGCTACAGTTGACACAAACCAAAATGTCTTTTGGGGAGCTTTAATAGAATGTTTTATTTTTCACACTGCTCCTTTAAAAGACAAGTCGCGAAGCCGTACAGGAATCCAACATATACTCCGGAAATAATCGTTATTTGGGTAAATGTTTAACCTAAAATAGCCCCTCTGTGGTTATAACATGCAGTAGGCTATGTAAACTGCATTAACATGATCCTCGGTTAAACCCGGAATCATGCCACTGTTGCGTTCACCGTTCCAGGGACAGGCCAAAAATCCTCGATAGCAGTTGACTCCTAGTCATCTAAACACATTAGATATATGTGTGTCATTAAACTTCTTTTATCATTTACACCATCATAACATGTCTCAAAAATCAGTTCGACATTCGACTTTCAACTTCCTTCTATTTTCTTCATATAATGGCAACTTTCTCATCTCTTTGTGTTGTTATGCAGAACGCCAAAAAAACAATCTAACTTTATCCGACGGTACCTGAACACCACATTAGGTTTGGGTTACACCTCAAGTGCTTGCAAGATGCTAAAAGAAAATACGTTATTTTGGCATATATGGGGAAAACAACGTATCTTGGTGTAATATTATTGAGTCAGGATGGACGAAGAAGCAAAGACACCAACGTAAGTATCATTAAATTTTGAGTTTTGGGTTTAATATACAGTAAAAAGGGGTCCCGGCAGGCTAGCTCCTAGGCTAACAGCGATAGCTTGCCAGTAAAAACAACCTGAGCTGTGTAGCCGGCTGCTGCTTTATTTATGGCAGCTCAACTTCGTTATCTAAATACTGAAGAGCTTGACACGTCTATATACCATAATTGACAGCGAATTAAACACAATTTCTACCATACCAGGATTTTTAAAACATGTATTTCGTTATAAATGATTATCCCCCATGAACTGCTTACAGTGTCAAAGTTGAGCTGTCTCATCGTTGCAGATGTGATCTTCTGGATTTGCCGTGGGAGGATGTACTTGTTCCACATATTTTGTGCCACTTGCCACTTCAACACATCGTCAGCCTGCAGAGAGTGAGCAAGCAGTTCCACAGCCTCATCCAGGTGTATCTAGCAAACTGCAGGACTTTTGATCTATCCCCGGTAAGTCCTAAAATCTGAGAGTTTATCAAATTTAAAACATACACTGAGTGGTATTACAGTGGATATAAAAAGTCTAAACACCCCTGTTCAAATGCCAGGTTTTCGTGGTGTAAGAAAATGACGGCAAGGTAAATAATTTCATAATTTTTTCCACCTTTAATGTGACCTATAACCTGTACAATGCAGTTGAAAAACAAACTGAAACCATAAAAGGGAAAAATATAAAACAGAAAAGTTAAAATAACCTGGTTGCATAAATATGCACACCCTTAAACTAATACTTTGTTGCATAGCATTCAGTCTTTTTGGGTAGGAGTCTATCAGCGTGGCACATCTTGATGTGGAAATATTTGCCCACTCTTCTTTGCAAAACCGCTCCAAATCTGACAGATTTCGAGGGCATCTCCTGTGCACAGCCCTCTTCAGATCACCCCACAAATGTTCAATGGGATTCAGGTCTGGACTCTGGCTAGGCCGTTCCAAAGTCTCAATCTTATTCCGGTGAAGCCATTCTTTTGTTGATTTAGATGTGTGCTTTGGGTCATTGTCGTGCCGAAAGATGAAGTTCCTCTTCATCTTCAGCTTCAGCTTTCTAGCAGAAGGCTGCAGGTTTTGTGCCAGCACTGACTGGTATTTGGAACTGTTCATAATTCCCTCCACCCTGACTAAGGCACCAGTTCCAGCTGAAGAAAAATAGCCCCAAAGCATGATGCTGCCACGACCATGCTTCACTGTAGGTATGGTGTTCTTTTGGTGATGAGCAGTGTTGATTTTGAGCCAAATATACCTTTTGCAATGATGCCCAAAAAGTTCAACTTTGGTTTCATCAGACCATAAAACATTTTCCCACGTGTGTTTGGGAGATTTCAGATGTCTTTTTGCAAAGTTAAGCCGGGCTTTGACGTTTTTCTTTGTAAGATAAGGCTTCCGTCTTGCCACCCTACCCCATAGCCCAGACATATGAAGTCAGCGGGAGATTGTTGTCACATGTACTACACAGCCAGTACTTGCCAGACATTCCTGCAGCTCTTTCTGTGTTGCTGTCGGCCTCTTGGTAGCCTCCCTGACCAGTTTTCTTCTCGTCTTATCATCAATTTTCGACGGACGTCCTGTTCTTGGTAATGTCACCGTTGTGCCATATTTTCTCCACCTGATGATGACGGTCTTCACCGTGTTCCATGGTATATTTAATTCCTTGGAAATTCTTTTGTAGCCCTCACCTGACTGATATCTTTGAATAATGAGATCCCTCTGATGCTTTGGAAGCTCTCTGCGGATCATGGCATGTGCTGGAAGATGTGGCTACAAAAATGTCAGGAAAAGCATACTAGGACAGCTGAACTTAATTTGGGGTTAATCAGAAGCACTTTAATTGGTGACAGGTGTGTGCTGACTCCAATTTAACCTGAGTTTGAATGTTATTGGTTAAATCTGAACACAGCCACATCCCCAGTTATTAAAGGGTGTGCACACTTATGCAACCACATGATCTCAGTTGTTTATTTCTACTTCACCTCCCTGAAAGATTTCTGTTTGTTTTTCAATTGTGTTGCACAGGTTATAGGTCACATTAAAGGCAGAAAAAGTTGTGAATTTATTTATCTTGATGTTACTTTTTACATGACAGAAACTTGGCATTTGAACAGGGGTGTGTAAACTTTTTCAACTGCACCATAACTTTTTGAAAAAGTTTTCTTGTTGCTCTGTTTTTGATCCTCACAGATTGGACCATCTATTCCCAAAGAAGCGTTTTGTTCCATGTTGAAGGACAACAAAGTTCTCCACAGCCTGTCTCTGCTGAACTGCTCAGACTGGGTGACGGACAAGGAGCTGCTGCCCGTGATCGGCCAGAACCAGCATCTGCAGCGAGTGGACATGAGCGGATGTGCTTGGCTCACCCGGCACTCCCTGGTGGCCGTGGCCTTGACCTGCACACACTTGCAGCACCTGGGCCTGGCGCACTGCGAGTGGGTGGACAGCCTGTCCCTGCGCAGCCTGGCCGAACACTGCGGGGGGCTCGAGTCGATTGACCTCACCGCCTGCCGCCAGCTCAAGGACGACGCCATCTGCTACCTGGCCAAGAAGTGCGTGAAGTTGAGGTCTCTATCGCTGGCGGTCAACGCAAACATCACTGATGAGTCGGTGGAAGAGGTGGCCAAAAACTGCAGGGGCCTGGAGCAGCTGGACCTGACTGGTTGCCTGCGGGTCAGGAATCAGTCCATCAAGTACATGATTTCTTATTTTCAAGTTGAATCCCGCTAACTTTGTGTCATCTCTGCCCAGTTTTTTCACTTGTGCATCCATCCATAAGATCCTCTACATGCTGTGCTTACAGGACTCTTGCAGAGTACTGCCCTAAGCTGCGGTCCCTGAAGGTGAATCACTGTCACAATGTGACTGAGTCGAGTTTGGATCCTCTACGGAAGCGCAACGTGGTGATAGATGTGGAGCCGCCTTTACAGAGGGCTCTGGTGCTTCTTCAGGATGTGCTGGGGTTTGCTCCCTTTATCAATCTCCAGATATAACAGAAGGGCCATTTATCTGTCTAACAAGAGCACACAGGTGGGTAATATAAGCTGTATATCTACTTTACAAGCTTCTGACATATTTACACCCTAAACTGTCTATCATATACCTTACTACAATAAACAATAACTTTTTTTGGCAACAGTTACTGCAAGTCAAACTTAATAATGTTAGAGTGATTAACATTGGTGTGGTTTTCTTTGGTTTCAGTTGTCTTTGCCAAAGCAGTCACCTCCAGCTGCACTACAAGACAAGACACGTGAGTTTCTCTGACTTAGTCTTAATCGTCTTAAGAAAAATCCAAGAGGACCTGGATGTTTTGCACTCAAACTTCTGTGTCAAAAACAAACAAACCTCACTTGAATATGCTTGACGATGCACATTTATGAACTGAAAACAATTCTACGTGTGCAACCAACTGAGAAAAAGCCATGAACTGTTAGGGATCGCTGCCACATGTCCAAAAGATGTCACTTTTATTCTTTATTTTATGTGTGAGTCATTAAATGTTGTAATGATGTGGCTTTATAGAAGAGCAGTTCTAACCGATGTACAGCAGTTTTTGTTTGTTTGTCAAACAAAGAACTGAATTAACTTTGTGGATACAATAAAAACATTTATCTTATGTTTCAGTTAGAAACATTAAATAATGTTTGAGTTTAATTGAACTTTTCATTTTGCATGTATGTGCTAGTTTTTAAGAAAAATTCACCAAATATCTCTGAAGCATCCTCCACCACTCCTACTGCCATCACAATACTTTGAATACACAAAGGTGTGAGAGTTCAGAGCTCCTCAGGATATACTCACACCTCACAATTTTAAAGCAATGAAATCATTTGAGCAGCTTTTTTGTCTTTTCTCACACATAGTTATGTTAATATCTGTATAGCGAGACGCCTCTAGAGATGACTGATCAAGTGTTGACGTGTGTTTTATGTTGCAAGAGAAACATCCCTTTTAAACCACAATGTTGATACATAAGAAAATGTACAGCCCAGTATATATGTGTGGAATAAGTTAAGCAAGTTATTCATCAAACCCTTCAAAGCTCTTTTGTAAAATGTACCTGTGTTAAATGCACCTGCTCGGTTATACAGTGTTTGAATATATAAGATAAATTAAATTGTAAAATGCAATAACTACTTTTCACTTCCATTTGTTTTAACTTTATTTTTGTCAAACAGAAAGAGATTAAAAGTGACGTAAGAAAATGTGTTGAATTTAAGGTGGAATGAGTATGTAGAAACAGGACTGGTGTGGGTGTCTGTTCTGCTGCACAAACATGATAGAATCACAATATAAGACAAAACAGAAAGAGCAGATAAATAGAACAAGATGAAAAGTCAAAACAGAACTATAACTTAACTTTTACCTCAAATTTGGATCCAATACCAGAGCTGTTTATTTTTCTCGAAAATCAAAAACCTTTGGTCCCTAAAGGATAAAAGTTGCAACACTTTTTGATGAACAAAATCTCAAGTCTGTTGTCTTAACACGACTGAATGTACAGATTTTTTTTCAGTGAAGATTGATTGACATCTTAAGTTTGAATAATTAAAAAAAAACCGAACAAGAAAAGCAATAGAAAACATTAAATGCTCCATGAGGAGTTTTGAAGTGGTTTAGAAATGGACAGAAACTGATACTGGCTGCTCTCTGGGACCCTTAAAAGTAAATGAGACCACCATCAAGAAGGCTAATAATAGCACAGAGAGAATTTCCAATGCCTAAAAAGCACTATGAGGTGGTAGGAACAGTGAAAAAAACACCCTATTTTGACTTCACTGTGGTTGATTTAATTCACTTTTAAAAGACAACAGATGATTTTTTTTTTAAAACACTTCTGTCACATGTATAAAACAAGAGACATAAAAATATCACTTTGTCCACAGGTATACTGAAAATAATTTAAGTAATTAAATTATTTTTTTTGAACATTGTTTGTTGTATTTTTTTTAGTTTCTGGGGTCTAGAGGACTATCTCCATGCATAGGGGCTCACTTTTTCAAAATGTGTTATTTTATGACTCAAACTGACACAAGATGGCAGCAATGAGTCAGGATACTCATCAGTCATAACTCTGCTAGTGGAGATGTTGCATTACTTCTACACGACAGTACAAACAGGAGTAATACAGACGACCTAAAAGTGTTTTTAATGACCAGGATACAATCTCAGGTGTGAATACAAGAGCCGTGAGTAATTTCAAGATGTACAAAACATGTTAAATGTTCGCCTATTTGTCTAAAAGTGAAACAAACACCTCTTTTATCATCTTGTTAACACTTGATTGAGTGATTGCACTCTAAAAATAGTTAATGCTTCCTTTTGTTGTTGTTGTAGCTTTGTGTTTGAAATCCCACCTTCACTTTCCTCTGGTGGTTCGACTGGCAGACTATATTGTAACTTGTCTCTGTGACAACACAACAGGTCTATTTTCCACTTGATGGCACGGTTTGGTCCATCTGCTGCGTGCTGTCCACAAGCTGAGTGTGCACCAACAGAGAGTTGTGTTTGGAGGGCTTCAGGGATCGGCCAGCGTCCTTCTGTTAGCTCTGCTGATCGTCATGTCGTAGCGCTGAAGCTTGGAGGAGACGCCGTAGTGTCATTACTCTTAAAGAAAATCTTAAAATTTCATTTTAAAAGCAAGAAGATGTCAGTATCTCTTAATCGAAACAAACTCTTAAACAGTTTTTCTACACTTTGGGAAGAATTGGACATGGCCTGGTTTGCACTTTACACCTGAAAATAACAAAAGAGGACAACAAGTAACATTCAAGTGTTTTTTTCTCCCTTTAGCATATAAAGGCATAAAAAACATGGTAACACATCATATATACCCACCTCTCAAAATGATGCATCATGATCACATTTATAAAGCCTTACTAATGCATCTACAAATCATACCTCTATGAGGCTTTATGGCCTCTGCTTATAAGACTTCATTAACTTTGCTATAAGCTGTTATGATGACTTATAATTACTCATAAAATCTGTAAGATGCATTTGTAAGGCTTTGTAAATGTGTTTTAAGATGAGGGTTCATATAAAGTGTTACTAAAGAGATTTTCAATGCATGAAAGTTGCAAGAATTTGAACAAATTTGGAAAAATGTTAATACTGTATATGACAAACAGGGATCAAAGATGGTGGTGGTGCAGTTTGCAAAAAAGACAATACTTCTTTCTCCTTGCACAACACATGAGCAAGGATTTTCCAATTAATGTGGATGCTAGTTTTTTAACAATATTGTAGCAAAAAATAGATATGGAAAAGCCTGTCTTTCTCTCCTCAAAATAATAAAAAAGAAACCTATGCAAAAGTTAAACGTTTTTTGTCCCTGCATGAATTAAGAGCAATTCTGGATCCAGGATTCTCAACTTCTTTTAGTCTTCTCCGTGTTTGAGCAAATATTAAAGATGATCTGAAGTGCAAATCTTCCCTTAAATAACACATTTCTACATGGGTGAAACTCTTTTTTTTCTAACACTAAAATGAATAAATGAGAACTCAGGATTCAACAAACAAATGACCTCCATGAGCTGTACCTTTAAAAACCAGGTCTTCACAGGCCCAGCAGCAGCAGCAGCAGCAGCAGCAGCAGGCCTTGTTTCATCTCAGCATTCAGTGGGTTAAAAGTGTCTCAGACTACATTCATCATGTAGGACCTCAATTAGCATTGATCTGCAGGGGGGGAAAGAAACATCGCTGTGTTATTATATACCATGGAGCAATTTCTGTTCCAGTGATTGAGTGTACGGGGGGATTTCTGTAACATAGCCAGCCTAACATATTTTGTCTTCCTGTCAATAATCTAGCACTTGTCTAAATTATTGATCAATAGCAACTGATCATTTTATACCCAGGCACAACAGTGAGGGTGGTCCATTTCATTCAGTGTGCAGTTTTGGCCCCCCGGCAGGGTGGAATATACTGTACTTATTAAAACTAAGAATAAATCTGAGGTAAATCTCCAGCTGCTTTCACAGTAGTCCACTCTGACAGATGAGTAACTTACTGCTGCAGTTCAGACTGACAGAGTGAGTTTTGTTTATATGTGATGTGGTGTCTGCAAACCTGAGCCTAACTTCGGTTCAGATTTTAAAGGAAAAGAAATCACAGAATACAGATAAAGTGGCCGACAAACTGACATTCTTGTGCAAAGAAACGGTCCTGTTTTTACAGTTTTCACAAAAATCTTTAACGATTAATGATATATTTCAAAGTCAAAAATAGAGGACCAAAAGAGCAAAGACTGTTTGGTCTACAGGGGGCGCCAAAATTGACACAAACTGGAAATTCCTGGCAACATTGGTGCTTAATAATCTACACAACTATTAGTAAAAACTTTGCTTGGATACAAGGGAATGGTTGAAGCACCAAAACATTGGCAAACGATGGACCAGACTTCACTCTGCTTGACAAACTAAGTAAAACCACCACCTTTTTGCTTCCTCTAACTCTGTTTCTACATTATCTCTTCAATGTCTTTTGTATCATATTTGATACATACTTTTATGATACGTCTATCAAATCAATATGATCAACAAAACAGCTGTATAAAGTCCGATAAATGATAAAAATGTCCTCTTGTGGTTTATCAGTTGCCAAAAACATCTTATGTATCAAATGAGATAAATATATATTTTTTAAATTTTAAGGATATTTTGATTTTTGGGGTTTTCAGTAGTAAGTGAAATAAACATTTCAGCTCCTAAGAAATTTGTCTTTTCAGGCATTAAAGGGTTAAATATCCCCTAAAACAGTTTTCAGCTGGCCTGATTTGGACACCACTAAAGGTGGACACCAGGCTGGTTCTGGTCATTCCACCAAGAAGCCTTATACAAGTTATTTAGATGGACAGATAGATTCTTCCTTTACTTGTTTTAATAAAATTAAAGTTTCTCCCAACCTTGCCAGTATCTTAAAAATGGACATCCCCATATATTTGGTACACTGAAAAACAATGAAATTCTTTCTTTTGGCATCATGTCTAATCGCAGATATTCAAACGCAAATATCTCACATACTGATGATTGCATTCACCTCATGAAGTTGACTGAACACAAGAAAATAAAAATCGAATCATAAAGAATTAAAAAAAGGCTCATTTCTCATTTCATAAAATATGTTAAAGTTTCTGAAACTAAAGAACAACTTCAGCTCAACAAGAAACCTGCCAACTTTATAAATCATCCAAAATAAACATCATTTATTCTGTCACTTCACTTTAAATCACATTAGATCCACTCAAACTCAGTGTATCCCAAGAACAAGGTACAGGAAATTCTGTGTAATGATCCTGCAAAACTATACTTTTTTACATTTCTTCATTAACTTTATGACAATATAAAACTTCCAAAGATTTTTCTTCTCTTAAATGCTTGTTGTCTTTATTTAACCGCCATTTGTCTTCTGTCATAACGGATCAAAGTGAATGTTGGTTGCTGGCAACATTGACTAACTGAACAATAAAGTAAGACGAATCAAATATTGATTTTCAAGCCACTTATATAAAAGCAATATTTTACCTTTGTCAGATCTTGACCAAGAAACTGATCAGACTACGTTGAGACCATTTCTCAGCTCTGTGTTAATTACTCAAAGTTCATTTGAGGTGGAGAGAGAATTACTGTAGCTTTTCGGAAGGGCCCAAAACTGTGTCAGAGATTTTGTTCATTTTCATATTTTTAATTACCAGACTTTTTCCCCTCGTCTTCCATCAGTGAATGATTCTTTCGTTCGTTTATTAGATGTAGTTTATCTCCTCCAACCATTCATATACAACCTTATTGGATCCTGCGACTTAGGGATCCACCTTTTGGCCACCAGAGGAGCAGAACTAATGACAACATTAAAGTGGCTTTGTGAGCGTGGCCATCAAAAATGTTGATCAACCAAGCAAGAAATAATGTTGGATTTTCAAATCAGCATGAATAAACATGTATGTTTGGAAACTAAACTGTGAGGGGCTCAATTGAGGGACATTTCAGAGGTGTTGGTGAGCAAACTTCCTCCTTTAGGAATCAGATGTGTGTCATGTAGGGTTGAATAAAAAGGGTGTCATTTGGAGGCTTGGGCCAGTTGTGTTACGAGCTGTACAGTTAAACGAATGATGATCCCACACAAGACATCTAATTGAAGTGACATTTGAAGCTTTCCCAGGACTCATTACTGTCAGAATCATTAGCATCTTCTTTATCGCTGTGCTCTTAACCCCAGACTGGACAGGAAACACACGGTCAACTCGCTCTGACCCTGCTCGATCCCGGTCATGTAGATATTCATGAAGAGGTTTTGTATTGAAAGAGGGGAGAGTAGTTGATTTACAGTGTGGGGTGGGATATAAGAACATTTAGACTGATAGATATATCAGTATCAGAAGATTTGGCACCACTGATTAATAAAGAGGCAGAAAATATGGTGACGTTTGGAGCTGGGGGAGTTGGTATCTAAACAGATGATTGACAGCAGGCCAAAAAACTGCTTTTTTCTTATTTTTTTCACTTTTTCCACAGCAGGGATTTGTTTCACTGTTTTGTTAGGATTGTCTAACCGTAGGCCCGAAATGCCGCTTTTGCGTTGTGTCTGTTGCGCAGGGATTTGCTAATAGCTGGGACTGTAGCTCTATTTAATGGCTGCTAATGTAATGACAGTGCTGTACTACCTGGATGTAAACACGCACAGATAAGGGATGGTATAAAAGGAGATAAAGTTGTATTTTGGCTATATCATGGCTATAGGATACATGCACAAACCTCAACCAAAACGCCACTCTGTAGCCACAAATAATGCTCAGAACAGCACCTAACTTCATCAACATATAGGGTCCAAACCATAGTACTAGCCACCAAACATCTTTTTAGCTTTGCCTAATTTATTTAGCAAAGACACTAAACACAACTCACCTACTCTCTTCCAGCAGCCGCTTGTTTGTAGTGAGTCCATTACGGACTACAGTGGGGTGACGCAGCTCAAAGAAGAACATTTATCTCCTCAGACCGCTGTGTATTGCTATCCTGCGGTCATTACTAAAGTTGGTATAACTAGAGAAGCAAGCAATCGGCAACATTCCTCTCTCTAGGGGGTGTCCAACTCGGTGTTACGTTGTGTTTGACCCTAACTTAATTTTACACCAGAATATCCCTTTAACCCCAGCTTTTAAATTTCCATCTCAATGAATGTAAACAAAATATCCCTATCCATAATGCATGTTATTCCTCATCAAATAAACTCCACCTCTCTTTGTTAGTGGTACTTATTCTTTAAGGTTGCTGAAGCTGCTGATATAAATACCTAGCTGATTGAACATGTGTGAATTTAAACATTTTTAACATTGCTCTGAGGCGCTCCTTTTTCACTTACAATTCACCTCATGATATTTTTAAGTCTGCCTCTCTCTTTAAAGCAGGTGCATTCCTCTGCATTTTCTTCTGCCCTAAGCCCTGCCATTAAAAAAAAGTGACCTTGGCTTGAATTTGACCTGAGCCTGAACACCCAGAGGC